CGCTCATCGGACTGGGTCCTGAAATTGCCGGCGGTTGAGTTTGCGATCAACTCCGTGCGCTCGGAGAGCACGGGGTATGCACCGTTCTTCCTGAATACTGGTCGCATGCCCCGCGCCATGATCTGGGAGGACGCACCCACGACGGAATATCCCGGGGTGCGGACTTATGCGCGCCGCGTCAAGCAGGCCATCATGCAGGCTCATGACGCAGTGCTCGCCGCGCGTGTCAAGCAGACACGTGATGCCAATCGACGCCGCATCCGCGCGCCTTTTGCCGAGAACGATCTAGTATATGTCTCAACTGCCAACATGAACTTCCCGAAGGGCCGCGTTCGTAAGCTACTTCCCAAGTTCATTGGACCATACCGCATCCTGAAGGATCTAGGCAATGAGGCCTTCCTTCTTGATCTCCCGAAGGAGTTGAAGCAGCGGGGAATACACCCGCGCTTCCACGCGTCTCTATTGAGAATTCATATTCCCAATGATGATCGGCTATTTCCGGGCCGCCTTGAGACTCAGGTGGCCGACTTCGGTGCCTGGGAGAAAGAATGGGCAATTGAGGAGATTGTGGGACATCACGGCAAGGGTGCTGATGCAGTACTCAAGGTGAAGTGGAAGCCAGGCGACATGTCCTGGATCCCGATCAAGAATGTTGCCACCCTCGAGAAGGTCAAGCAGTACCTTGAGGCGCTTGGCGTTGACAAAGCGGGTGATCTCCCGGCTGGATCTGAACCAGACCCCGGGGATATCCAATTGTATGTAGGGAATCTCGAACTCACGATCGAGCCTCGTGTTCCCGATGGCGAGATTCACGACGAATCGGGTAATGGGCTTAGCTGGGATCCCCTTAAAAGGGATGGACAGTCAGTATGCCAAACCAACTCCATTTCCTCTTCCTCTCTCTACATACATACTATGGATACTTCTACCTTACCTCCGCTTCCCAACTCTCCTTCCCCTTCGCCCAACGTCAACCGTGTCGGTACCCGTTCCCACACCAAGGCCAAAACGGCGCCGGCGATCAAAAATGGCAACAAGGCGGACTCGGTCCAACCGATGGATGTCGACCCACCCAGTTCCGAGGCCGCCCCGCCGGCACCCGCGCCCAAGACGATGTCGTCCGTCCTCGACGCCGCCGGCTCTGCCGCCTCCACTCTCATCGACAGCGAGCCGCCTGTCGACACCGCCGCCGCGCTCCGCGCAAAGGAGGCCGCCCGCGCCAAGTACAATGCCGGTATCATCGCCGACCGCATCCGCCAGCAGGAAGCCGCGCGCTCCGACGTCATGAAGCAACCCATCCCGCGCGTCAACGCCGCCGCCGACGCTGGTGCGGATAAGACCGCGCCTCCGTCCGCCGCCGCTGAGACGACGCCCGCCAAGCGCGCCTCCGAGGACGACGGCTTCCTCCTCGGCCGCGCCAAGCCACGTGGCCCGGCCCAATTCGCCCACCGCCGCATCGTTCCCATGACGTGGGAGATCCGCGGACGCCGCCTCGTCATCCCTATCTACGCGCGCAACGACCCTGAAGAATACCTCTTCAGTTACCGCATCCCACTCACCATCCTCGTCGAGTACATGCGCTTCAGCGACGGCATCACTGCTACTGGAATCCGCCACGACGTTGTTGAGGTCCCGTCCGGCTATGCCGAGTTCGTGGAAATCCTCCAGCGCGCCGACTTCGGCAAGCACATGTGCCCGATCGACCTCGCGACCGGCAAAGTCCGACCCATCCCCGACGAGCAGCGCATTGATCGGACCTTCTGGGTGCGTCAGATCCTCGACATCAGCAGCGGAGCGGCCGCGCATCGCTACATGGACGAGGTGGAGGGCAAGGTGCCCGAGCCCACCAACGAGGAGCTCCTCCTTCGTGAGGTGACGGCCATCGAGGCGATGCAGGGGCGCTTGTCGAACGCCCGCCGCCAGCAGGCCTTCGAGGCGAACCGTGCCAAGCGGCGCGAGGGCAAGGGGAACCAGTAGTTACTTACTACTTACTAGAGATCATCAGAACAACGGCTCGAAAGTTACTTACAGAAAAGGTTCGAAATATATACAAAAACAAAGACTCGTTTCTATTCTATACATACGTGCTACTTACTGGTTGCTACTGTACTTACAGAGCGCCTTAGAAGGCGCTGGAGGGGGGTATGTGACGCCTCGGCCTTAGCCGACGCCACGTGCTCTGCCTTCACCCCTCGCGGGGGTATTTCCTTTGGAGTTCCTTGAGGTTCTCCTGGTTTCTTATGACTCGTATATATACTCCGTGACTAGTTATGACTACTTACAGCTGTAGGTATAAAAGGGCCCTCCTCCAAGGGAGGAGGGCAAGGTTTTCAATCGAGACTTCGTTACAGAGTAACCTCGTGGGAATCTTCTTCATCATCTCCGTGAGCCGAGCCCGGCCCGCTCTCCGCGTCACCGTACTCGCCTCACATCCGCACGAAGCGTGTAATTGACCACACTTGCAGAGATGTTGGTAGGTATCGGGTCATGGAATTCGATCGCGGCAAAGCACTCGGAAAACAGGTTGAAGTTCTCTGGGCAGGTTGCGGGGATGTCATCTGGGGAAGCGACCTTCTTGACAGCATCTAGCTGCGAGGGAGAGAAGTTGCTCGTCACACGCGACATGATGTCGGTGGGGGAAGGGGACGCAGAGCCGTTCGTTGCGTCCGCCCATACTAGGGTGAGGGAGCCGTCGAATTGAGAAGATAGAGGGAAGATAGGGTGCGGTTCGCCGATGCCATACTGTGATGAGGGTTGTGAGCAAGAAGTACATAGCGATCGGGAGGCACGCACGTTATTCGTCTTGACCAAGAAGGACTGCGCCACCGCAAGGAAGATCCCATAGGCAATTGGCAGGATGAAAGCGCGAAGGATGTTCAGCTAGAGCTGTCTCAGCAACACGTACCACCATAGCTTTCTGAGCAGCCTACCAATGGATGCTTGCTGAGAACGACCGCGTTCTTCCAGCAGAGTATCGCAAACTGCCTCCAGAAGAGGCCTGCCATGGTGGGGGAAGGGAAGGGCGAGTGCCGCGTCAATCAAGGGCTCGCCGCAAGCTCATTGCCAAGTATTCAGAGTGATACACCGCATAGGCTGTTCAATGACACGGCTAAGCGCCCGTTCGCACGCGGACCGGATCGGTCCGGGTGGCGCGCTGATCAAGACCTGGAAACGTCCCTTGAGACTGCACGCAACCCCCAAGTACGAGCGTGAGGCCTTAGCGAAGCTGAGGGGGAGAATATGGTTGGTCTTTGCCAAGCCAGAGGACAACCAAGAGCCTTCGGAACAAGCCGATGCGGGTCACGTGTAGTCTATGGACTCCGTCTGGCTACAACCTTGCAGGTCCAGCTTACGGACTATCACAGTGTAGTGGCTGCTAGCGGAGAATTTCTTGTCACGCCACACATAGTTCCAGCATGCTTCACTACTCGATCAAAGCCATTCTACGGATGCAGGAATGTTTGAAGCTGAAAGATCAATCAGAACAATCCTCCATGCATGCTGAAGCGAACTCACGTATTCCTCATACACATGTAGCACCTCCCTGAGCTGCTTCCTCGTAATCTCAGCACGGTACAGTATCTCATCGTCTGTCATCTTGCCGTCAAAGTACTGATTGATGCTACACGACGCCCGTCAGCCTCGCACACCCAACTACTCTCAAAGCAAATCACTCACTGCGCAAACCGATGTGCGATATGCTCATTCTTCCCCTCGGACATCGTTGCTAGCCATAGCTGCTGCAACGGCGTTGCCTGACTCGGATCCGTGATGATCGACGCCGCCCCGCCTTCCTCATCCTCTTCGCTCGCCGGGCCCTCCCCGGGCTCGTTGTCCTCGAACACGTCGTCGTCCGCGTCCTCGTCACCCAGCTTCTCCCCGTCGTCCTCCTGGATCACCATTGCGCTCACTCGGCTCTCGCTCGCGCGCATTCGACCCGGAAAGGAGTAGCTGTGTGCCGTCTTTGGGGACAGGGACAACCAAGGTAAGGCAGATGGCCGGCGTAGGGCAGCTATGGGCTTCCCGTGGCCAGCTTTCTCGTCGAGTGCGGCAGGAAGATGAACGCGCTGATGCTTGCGTAGCCTCGCGCGCTCCTTGAGCTCGCGCGTAGCGACGATGCGGATGCGGAGGGAGAGACGGATGAGGAGGCCGCGCTTGAGCATCCAGAGGACGACGTCGTGGTAAATGGGGATGAGATCGCGCGATTGGACGACGGTGGCGTAAAAGTGGTTGTCACTCTGTTTGGAGGGCGCGGTGGAGATGAGGGAGAGGATTTCGGGAAGGGAGGCGACAGAGGGGTCGGTAAATTCTTGTTCGAATTCGGCGGTCAGTTCGGATAGCCTGCAGTGGGAGTCGGCATCAAGCACAATCATACTCCTGAGAAGCACGTACGGCTGCTCAAACTTTGGCGGCAGTGTGAAGACTGTCTTCAAACCAGGGTGCACGACGTCGACGATCTTTGCTCTTCGGTGCTCGACCAGCCAGCGAACAACGGGGTATATCTGCGTATCGAGATCCCAGTCTAGCAGACTAGACATGTCTGCAAGCCTAGGCCATCGTCGTCAGAGTGAGCAAAGTGAGGATGAAAGAATACTCACGACAGCGTGATAGACGCAACCTCGAGGAAGCGGATGAGCCCATCCACCAGTGGCCTATCATTCACACTAACATGCGGCCCCCTTAAGCTCGCGAATGGATCAAATCCATCCTTCTCCAGCAACAAGATGCTCTTCCACGGCGCAAGCGTCTCCAACCTCCACCCATAGCTCATATGCGGGCCCCACATTTCTGCGGCATCCTGCTCCTGCAACTCGTCGACGTCGTCGTCGCTTTCGACTTTGAGAAGGGAGTCGAGATAGGGAGGTAGCTGGAGCTCCATGGGAAGGTCGTGGATGGTGATGTAGGCGATGGTAGAGGTTTTGATGGCGTCGAAGAGGACTTGCATAGCGGGGGCAATGGAGGTTTGCGCTAGTGCCTGAGTCATGTAGGTGGAGAAGTGCTCGCCTTCGCAAGGCATGTGAGCATATGGGCCACTATACAATTGGGGGGCATACCCTTGGCTATACATGACTCTCGTATGCTCATGAGCTGCTCGCACTCCATTTCGACGAAGTTAGACAGCACTTGCTCTCGGAAGAGCACAGCGGTCAGGTTGAAGGCGATCCGCTCGTATATGATGTCAAAGTACTTCCAGACGTTGCCAGAGTTAGAAGACGACGGATCAGGAAGGTCGAGAACGAGTACGACGTGGAAGGACTGCAGCCAGGCGCTCTTCGTCCCAAGGTGCTCGGCGGGGTGCGCATCAGAGGGATCAGCATCGTCGTTCGTCGCCGATGACATTTGCCGGTTCCTCGAGCCGCGCCCGCGGTTGAGTCCCTTCCCGACTTCGGGCTTGAATTTCCACGTCCCATCCGGATAGGCGCAGACGGGATGACCGATGAAAGCCAGCTCGTCGACGATGAGTTCGAACTTCTGATGACACATGGATACGTGAGGGCAGAGCAGGTTGGTCAAGAATTCAGCGTTGTAGCCGAGGATGCGGTCGTACTCCTCATCCTTGTCAGGAGGTGCCGAGAGGTGAGCGCCTTTTGCAGGCGAGGCGCTCGTGCCAGTAGGAATTTCCTTGGACATAGACGCTGTCCGTACCCGGATAGCAGATTTTGGCTTGCTCCAGGTATATTCATCACCATGGACTGTGGCGGTAGAGGTACTCTCGAGCACGTTGGGCTCGAACGCATGGGAAGTGCGCCATGGGTTGTCGAGGTTCGAGATAGGCAAAACCTCTGCCTTGTCCGGCTTGTAACGAGAGAGGCGAGCTGAGGGTATGGGTTTCGCAGGGTATTTGTGTACGAGGGTAGAGCCTGTCGCCGAGGAAGTCACAAGCAAGATGGCCAACAGGGTTTCCGCCATCGCGGCATTTGACAAGGCGCGTGCGGGCTAAGCGTGAGACCGTCCGCCCGGAAAGGCAGGCTTTGTTCCTTTCCTTTTACGTCCATCACGTCCCGCCCGGCTGGGAGGATCGGTCGGCGATTGTCCGGCAGCCTGCCCCTCTTCGAATCTCAGGCGCACACTCACAGGAACAAGCGCTAGCGGAGCTTGCTGACGACTTGGTGCTCTCATGATACCGCACAAGCCCGACACGAATTCGAACGGGAGTCGGTTACGTATTCAAAATCGTGGCTTACCCGATGTTGCATTGGCCAGGAGGACGTCAAGCAGCGTCTTGAGTGCGCGACGTCAGGCCCGCATGCCAGCTGTTCCCGAGAGGCAGGGTTTGGACAGGTCTCCGCCGGCGTCGAGTCCGCTACGACTGCCGGTGGAGGACCTTGATGATACAGACAGCTCAGCCTTGGACGAGGACCACGTGGATGTTGAAGCACCGTCCTCAGCAGAGGAGGGCGCGCACTTCGGTCAGAGCCTTCAGATCGACATGAAGACGCTCGTGGGCGATGCAGTGGGCAATGTAAGCAACCCCTGACAGACACATACTCTCGAGCAGAGACTCACTGTCCGTGCAGATTAGCATCAGCCCATCCTCGAGGGACCTTGTTCTTGCTGCGTACGGCAATGACTATACAATGATAGCCAAACACTGACCATAGAAAAGACGCCGCGGCCTGTTCATCATTGATTTGGAAGCACCGCTTGAAGTACCCCGTTTCCTGCCTCAGGGAGGGACATGGGATGTCGCAGACGTGCAATGGAGCCCTCATACGGCTCGCTCAGAATATATAGTCTCCACTTCTAGCGAGAAACTGTCGGCTCATCCTGCTCTCTACTGCGCTGCTCTTACTGATCTTTCGGTAGGCTAATATGGAATCTCATGTTGCAAGGGAAGACGTCAATACAGCACGTACTGCACTCGCACTACCGTGCTATCACGGATATAAACTGGCACACGAGCGAGTACGACACCGTCATCAGCACCGGCATTGACTCCTGGTTATGGGCGTGGGATCTGCGCCAACCTCGGAAGCCAAGCATAGGTCTTTGCGCTTTTCATGGTCTGTACTTGTCTTATCGCCGTCGACGTTCTTGCTGATGAGGACTTTCAGCGGGCGGAGGGACGCATGTCAAGTGGAATCGCCACGACCCCAACGTCATCGCATCTGCGCACACGAACGAGGTTCTCATCTGGGATCGCAGAGTATGTTCTCTCTCGGTCTTGCTCTGAGTGCGATGTTCAACAGAACCAGAATGGCTCTTTACCAACCGCACGCATACCCGCCCACAGATCGAAAATTTACGGACTAGATTGGTCCCACACTGCACGGAATGAACTCGTCACCTGCTCACTCGACCGCACTATCAAGTTCTGGGATATCAACTGCCTCTCAGACACGCCCGGCGTTCAATCGTCTGAGGCAAAGGCGACTATTCACACCTCGTACCCGGTCTGGCGAGCGAGGAACTTGCCTTTTGGCGAGGGTGTGATGAGCTTGCCTCAGCGAGGGGGGACTGCGCTGGAACTGTACGCGAGGGATAACTTGGAAGAGCCTATCGAAGCGTTTGAAGGCCATACAGATGTTGTCAAGGAGTTCGTGTGGCGCAATGGCGAACAGGGTACGTGTGAATGTGGTATCTTACACGGCGAAGCTGACTTGCTACAGATGACTTCCAGCTTATAACTTGGTCGAAGGATCGTACCCTGCGCTTCTGGCCTGTTGACCATGAAACACTACATGTATGACCTCTCTCCTCCGATGATCAAAGCACGCTAACCTTCACACAGCGCGTCGGTCATGTATTTGGCGAGAACAGGGGTCGCACAGGCAAGCGCCCCTCGCTCGACGTCCAAAGCTACCGGGACGTCACCTTCCGCGGCCCCACCGAGACCACACCGCAATCCATGCTCTCTGCCCCCATCGGCAACCGCTCCATCCTCGCCGAAGTGCGAGCCCTCCCGCCCAGCATGACCACCACCTCCGCTCCAGTGGTCCTCGGTGGTGGCGCGGAGAAACCCACCAGCGCCCACGGACGCATCTCCAACACGCGCCACGTTCCCATCCCCCACACCATCGCGAGCCTGAAGAAGACGGGGACGATGAGCAAGGGGAGCGTGACGGGGAAGTCGGTCGCGACGCAGATGGATGCGTTCACTTGGCTGTCGAAGGTGCGGGTGGGTGGGAGGAGGGGGAGTAGTTCGGGGCGGGGGAGCGATGTGAGCCCGAGTGGGTCTCAGTCGAGGCCGGCGTCGGCGGTGAGGGGGAGGAGTATCAATCGGATCGAGAGCGATAGCGAGGACGAGAAGGAGGAGCAGTCGCTGGCGGATGAGTGAGTTGTGTGTTTGCCTACGTGGAATGAATGCTTACGAACTTCGACAGGATCCTGTCCGTCGTCAAGAAGCTGGCAGAGCACAAAATTAAGCTGGAGAAGGTGACCACAAATGTTTACCCGTTTCCAGCATCTACTGACGAAGCTGATGTAGGCCGACCTGACTAAGAAGCGCACCTGCACTCTAGGCTTGCACGGCCCTTGGGGCGAGAAGTCGTCTGTCTTTCTCCGTGTCACCTTCACCTTTCCGAAGGACTACCCACACGCCCAACATCCGGGCGGCACCCCAAGCGTTGAAGTCGAGCGCAGTCCTTTGATCTCGATGAAGGACTACGTTTTCATCCTCCGCCGCTTGCGGACAATCCGACAGCACCGGAGACCTTGCCTAGAGGCTTGTTTGCGCTTCCTCCTGTTCGCCAGGGAGGACGAGCATGCTCGGGGGCCACTGTATCCTGACTCGGAATCGTCGTCAGATGAGGACGAAGCTGGGAAGTCGAGGGATGTGACGGTATCTTTGTTGCGGAACAATAAGAACCTGACAGAGCCGAGGACACTGCAGGGCGCTTTCGGGCCCAATGGTAAGTTTCAAGCTGCCCCGCTATCCCGTGTAGCTGACTAGTCATGTAGGAGAGCTCGTCTGCTTCTTCCGCGCGCCTCCCCGCATCGTCCGCACCCTCATGCCCGACGTCTCCGGCTCCCCCGACGAGACAGGAAAGGTCACTCCAAAGCTCTTCAAGCACCCCGCCCTCATCTTCGACGCCGTCGACCGCCTGGGCAGCTTCACCCCCGAGCGACCCAGTAAGCCCTACCCCCGCCGGCCTGGTCGGGGGGAGGCCGACAACATTGCGCGCATCATGACGAACCTGCTCACTTTCTCCCCCTTACAATACCGCCCCGAGCTCGCGTCGCACGCCGAGGACCAGCCACAGAGCTATGTGCTGCCGATGCGGCGGAGCACGATCGCGGTGACGAACACAATGGGGCTGGCGGGGCCGGAGAGGAAGGTGGCGGTGGATTATGTGTTTTTGGGAGACTCGTTGGAGGATGTGTGTAGAGCGAATGCGGAGGCGGCGAGGGTGCATGGGAGGTATGATCATCAGAGGGTGTTTGAGGCGCTTGCGGCGTTGTTTCCGGCGTTGGAAGACGAGAATGGACCGCATAGGTATAAGAAGATGAGCGCGGCGCAGCAGGTAGTGATGAAGTAGTGAGTCCGGATTGCTTGCTGGCTCTTATCGTTGCTAATATTGGGTTTCTCAGCTTCGAAGATTTCTGCGTTGCGAAAGACGTGCAAATGCTGGGGATGCTGTCGTCTGTCATCCTCCAGGCATTCGACCATCACCAGCTCGGGGCAATACAGCCGAAATCCCCAGTGACCGCTATGCACACTCGTCGCTCAACCCCTCTGTCGGCCAACGTTGCCAATCTGGACTACTTTACCACCCGACGTTCGCGTACGAGTCCTCACTCTCCACCTTGGCATCGGTCCGGGAACGATTCCCCTTCGCGCAATTTCATCAACGCTGCGATTTCCTCCTCCAACTCATCTCGTGGCTCATGGTCCAGTCTCTTCAATACTGGCACAATGCGGCAGTACCTTGCAGGCGTGCAAGATACCCTCCGCGAAGGCCTCGCCACCCCTTCGACCGACACCCTCCCACCTACGCCCAAACTTCCGCCCACGCCTACCACACCCTTAACTCCTCGACCAACAATCCCCGTCCCAACTAGCAAAGTACTTCGCGGGCCCGACTCGCCCATCCCTCGAGCTCGGAGGCCACGGCAGAACTCGATCCTCGCCCCACTGAACGAGCCGATGTCGAAGTCTTGGAACGAGTCGTTCTTCGGGTCGAATCCAGGACCTTCACCGCCGGTAGTGCAGTCCTCATACTCGTCGGCGGGGTCTGGGAATAACAGGGTAGGGCAGCGCTCGAGGCGGCCGACGTTCTCGAGGGTGCCGCCGCCGAAGACGATAACGACGGTGACGGAGAAGCGGTTGGTGTTCAAGGAGGAGATGATGCTGGCGGAGGGGAGGTGAGTTAGGACATCGAGCGGGAAGGATTGGAGGTGCTGACTCTGCGTAGCGAGCCGTTCACCCGAGAGCAGATTCTCCAGTTTCACGCTCATATTCAGGCGTACGCAGAGATCCTGTATCGCTGGCAGCTGCTGGAGAAGAGGCTGGAGCTTCTCAAGTCTGTCCCACCGCGAAGGAATGGGCTAACAGATCCCGTACAGCACAGGATGGGTATGTCACTACTGTCTATTGCTTGCACTGAACCTTGGTCTGACTGTTGCGCAGGTCTCATCCGACAATGCACACGCTGTCCGAACCAGTTCCCGTTCGAGGTCGGGCGCAACAAGTTCTGCCCCTACTGTTCGAATCCGAAAATCCTTCCTTCGTGTACTATATGCCGTCTGCCCGTCAAAGGTACGTTCACTCTGTGCGCTCTTCGGAGCAGGATTCTCTGATGCTACATCCGCAGGGCTATCGAAAAGCTGTCTTCGTTGCATGCACGTCAGCCATATATCTTGTTGGAAGAAGTTGGACGTGCCAATCTGTCCGAGCGGATGTGGATGTTTATGCTCGTCCTCGGAGACCGGGGTCTTCCTCCCTGGTGGCAGACTTCCGATTGCCCCTCCAGGTTCTGCTGTGCTCCCTCTTGCCGCGTAGCTGTGTACTGTATATCCCTGCATTTAGTGTATATTTCTATGTATTATTTCATCTTGCGTCGTGAATCCCGCCAGTGATGTCCCCGCTGTGTTTGTTCGGATTGATGCCGAGGCCCTGTTTGGTCGCGGTCATTGTTGACTTCTTGCCACATACGCGTCGAACGCGAACACGACACGGGGCCCGTTCTTTGTCTCCTGCGTCCATGAGGCTGTAACACGATGAGCCAAGAGCCAGTAGTCGGAAGCATTGTCGAAATCCCTGTCGGCCGCGGCGTCGTACGCTTCACTGGCGCTACCTCCTTCTCTCCCGGCAAATGGGTCGGCGTGCAGCTCTACGATGCCAAGGGCAAGAACGATGGCTCCGTGCAAGGGGTTCAGTACTTCACCTGCCCGATGAACTATGGCGTCTTCGTGCGCCCTAGCCAGGTGAAGGCGGTACTCGGGATGGAGCCAAAGGAGCCAAGGGAGAATGGGACCCCAGTGCGTGCGCTGAAGACTGGACGCGCATACATGCTCACATCGCATAGGGCAGAGTACCAATGTCAAGGCCGGTACTGGGGCACCAGCGAACGCCGAGCTCGTCGAGCTTACTACGATCGAACTCGATGCACCGGTCCACCGCATCTACGAGCAACTCCCCGCGATCCAGCAGCCCCGCTAAGGTATCGCCAAAGCCAGCATCGCCAGTGAAGACCTCGAGACTTGGTCCAGGATCGCCCGCGAAGCGCGCGTCCATATCCTTGCAGCCACGCAAGTCTCTGTCCTTGAAGCAGTCGCCTCCCGGGCACGAGCCAAGTCTGTCGCGGGAGCCGTCTGGTTCAAGAAGACCGCCTGCGTCGCCAGTACTGTCTCGACATCAGACGTCTTCACCTTTGATAACACAAACTCCTCTCCTTGCCACGACACCACCGCGAACGCCATCACCACCAATACCAACCATCAGACCCGGTTCGCGCTCAAGTTCGCCCATAAACAATGCTACAGTGCGTACATCGCTTGCCATCATACACGGCACTGACTCTTGCGCAGCCCCCACAACCCCCACCCGACGACACCGAACTGCAAGAGCTACGCGCCAAACTCCGCGTCCTCGAAGCCAAGCGCGGCGACGACTCCCGCCACATCCGCGAGCTCGAAACCCGCCTAGCCGAGGCCGAGTCCTTCGTTGCCCTTCGCCCCAAGCTCCAGGCCAAGCTCAATCAGCTCCAGACCGAGCTCATCGAGACGCGACGCGAGCTTGCTGACGCGCAGCAGCTGTCCCAACTCAATGAGGGCCGAAATGTGGATAATCAGGAGCAGCTGGAGATGGCGATGTTGGATAAGGAGATGGCGGAAGAGCGGGCGGAGCTGGCGGAGGCTGAGCTGGAGGAGGTGCGGGAGAGGCTGGCGGCGGTGGAGGTGGAGTTGACGGTGAGGAGAGAAGGTATGTGTGTGTAAGCAACGGAGGTCGTTCATGGCTAACAAGGATATAGAGAATGGCGATGCCATTGATACCGAGGCCGGCAAAGATACCCTCGCATTCATCCAACTAGAGAAGCAGAACGAACGGCTGAAGGAGGCGCTCATCAGGTACGCCGTTCTCCCCCTTCCCGCACGCGCACTGCTAAGAGCGTCCAGATTGCGGGACGTGACGCAGGAAACCGATCAGGAGCAGCGTAAGCGACTCGCTGAACTGGAGAAGGACCTCGCCGGGTTTGAAGAGCTGCAGAGTACGTTGTGTGCGCATATATTCCAGAATACGATCCCTGACCCATCCCAGCCTCATACGAAACCACCCTCATCCAACTCACGAACGCCGAGATTCAGGTCGAGGACCTGAAGATGCAGCTCGACGACGCGCTCGGGGCGGAAGAGATGCTCGTAAAGTTGACGGAGAGGAATTTGGAGCTGGGCGAGGTGAGTATATGCGTGGTCATTGTTACTCGAAGGACGGGGCTAATAGGCAACATAGAAAATCGAAGACATGCGCATCACCATTGAGGATCTCGAGGCTCTGAAGGAGCTCAACGACGAGCTGGAGGAGAACCATGTTGAGACTGAGAAGGCGCTCAATGAGGATCTTGGTTAGTACCTTTCATTCGAGATGGGCACCCATCATACTGATGGTCTGACAGAGAAGCGCGACATGGAGATCCAGGAGCTCAAGCGCGAGGTCGAGCGCTACGAGGAAGCGTGCCAGGATCTGGAGGGCACGATCTCCCAGTTTAGGGAGCTCGTGCTCAACTTGCAATCGTATGTCGCTCAATATTTGTTCCTCTCCTCGTCTGACTGCATCAACCAGCGAACTCGACACCCTCCGCACCCAGACTCAGACCGCGCAGGACGAATCCGCGAATGCCGCTTCCCAGACCGCCGCGGTCATGTCGCTCAACATGAAGTTGCAGTCTTCTGCGTCGAAGAACCAGGCCAAGCATATCGAGCTGGAGATTAAGAGGCTGGAGGCAAGGGAGTCAAAGGAGTTGTTGGAGATTGTGCAGGTGCGCTACTTTCCACTTCCCTTCCTACATATTCCCTTTAGACATATCACAAGTTCAGCGCGTACTCATTGCTCGCGTAGCCCTTCCTCCCGCAGCTCTACGTCGAGCAGGACAGCTTGTCGATCAGCTGCTACTTGTTCTTCCTCCGCCTGTCGTACAAGGCCGACCTGGTCAGCTCCGTTACCGCCCAAGCTCACGGTCTGCCCGATTCCCTTCACGGTACCGTTTCGGATGTGCTCGTCGGCGTTTGCGAGGTGCGTCCCTCCCCTCATCGTCCGGTGTATCGCGCTAAGCACGTCCATGTCATAGATGCGCGGCCGCCTTTCCGCCCTATCCATCCTCTGCCGGCGCTTCGCGGCCATCATGCGCTGCTGTGACGTCGAGACCTTCCTCAATATCGGTAGGATATTCCCGGATATCGCGCCCATGGAGAAGCGTTTGGACATGCATGTTGATCTCCTTCGCCGCGATGAGTTCAGGGTGCGGGAGTGTGTGAGCGATATCCTGAAGTGCGTATTGTATCGCTTGTCAAGTCGGAATGCGGGCGAGACTGATGCGGACCCTCATAGGATGCAGGCGCAGTTCGACCACCTTGCGGAGACGTACTTTGAGGGCTTCCCGCACGATTTGGGCGAGCGGCAATTAGGCTATGTGTCCTTGTTTGATCACGATCTGGATATGTTCCTTGGGTCCATGGGTCTGATCAAGACGACTGTGAATGCAGTTTTGAAGGATGATGGTATGTTGGTGCGGCCAGGCTTCAGAGCGTCGCTCACTTCGTTGGCAGAGATCACTTTCGACATGGGCGGGTACGACATCGATGCGGAGCTCTTCACGCCGATGCAGAAGCTGCTTGACCAGATTAAGCCTGCGAAGAACACTGCGAGGTAGGCGCAGCCGTTTCAGTCCTTCGAAAGTGTATGTTGACCACCATGCAGGAAACTGGTCAAGCGCTTCGAGGACCTGACGCAGGACTCTAACGCAGTCAAGTCGGCATTCGAGCCACGCTTGAAGGTTCTGAGTAACTCAGTTCCAGAGCTCGTCAACTTCGGCTTCGCAGTGCGTGTCCTTCCTATATGCATCCTCCGAATAGACGTTGAACCCTTAGCAGCTGGCGCAGCAAATCATGCCCCATCTGAAGGACGCTCAGGCCGGCAAGTCTCCCTTCCAGTTGACGACGATCATTGGCTTCGTCAAGCAGTCTGCGACGTCCACGGCTGCGAAGGGTCTTAAGCCGGGCGTGTCTGTCTGGGATGCGCTGGCCGAGCCTATCACGCAACTGGTGCAAGAGTCGTCAAACCTGCTCACGGAGATTTCTGAGCCCAGCGTCGTCACGAAGGGTATGCACGTTGTAGCTTGATGGAGCCCACCAGCTTATCAACCTCTCATAGTCACTGGCATCGCCCCTTGGATCACCCGCGTCGAGCAGATCAAGGCCAGCCTCGCCGTTAACGTCGAAGCAGACCGCAAGCTCGCACAGGTCTCGGACGAGATGCAGGGCCTCGTACGCAACATCAAGGCGAAGGACCAGCACATCCAGGAGGCCGCGGTCAAGATCGAGCTCATGGAGCGTCGCATGGAGGCGGCGAAACGGCAGGCGGACATGGTCGTCGACCTCGAGGCGGAGCTTGCGAAGGCGCGGAAGGAGAAGCAGGCGTATGATGAGGCGATGGAGCAGCTGCAGACGGATTTGGATGCGCTTGAGCAGGAGAACGCGAAGTTGAAGGCGCAGACGGCGGCTGGGGAGCGGCAAGGTGGGTTCTGTTCTGGGTCTCAGTGTAGGGCTGAGCTAACCTTTTCGTAGCGTCGGGTCCTCAGCAACCGGAAATGGAGAGCGTGCCCGTCGAAGGCAGCCTCGAGACGTCCTACCTCCTGGAGCAGGTCGACGCCCTTCGCGGCACCGTCCGCTTCCTGCGCACCGAGAACTCGTTCCTCAAGGGCCAAGACCTACTCCGCGAGATCGAGGCTCTTCCTCAGCTCGACTCCGTCAGCCGCATGTCGACTCCTCCCTTGGACCCCTCGAGCTCTTCGGACGAAGACTCTGACGACGACTATCCGCGTACGCCGCCAACTATGCGGTCCCTGGCCGTGGAGACGAAGCTGTTATACCGCGATGTGATCAAGTTCTCGTCCTCGCCACGCGTCGTCGACCTGTCGAAGCTGAACGCGCGGCGGACGGAGGCGAAGACCGGGCGTGTGTGGCTGCCGAGGAAGGAGACGCCCGCGTACCACATCATGGAACGCAAGCGCGAAGCGGAGGCGCTCAGTAGACGTGTGCGCGGCCTTTTGGAGCGCGCAAGCGGAATATAGTCCATGCTATGCTTTTCTGTTTCGTTCTCTCCCCTCAATATCTCTACGCGTACGTGCAGTGCTTGCCGTACGCTTGCTTGTTGTCGCTCATGTGTCACCAGCATTTGCTCCACAACGTATACCACCTCTAATACCGGCCAGTCACTCGTTTATCTTCATGCTATCACGGTATTTATGTATCACCATTATGCACGGATTACAATGCCGCTACTTCAGGGATGCCTCACCCCAGACACGGCCGTGATGCACACGACTTATCGCTTGTGTGCGCACCCCAGCCAGGGACTGCATCATTTCGAGTCTTCGACTGAAGGTGTCAGTGGTGTGATGGTAAGACTGGAGCTTTGGGCCGACAGATTGCAATGACAGATGCAGGCCAACAAGCATCAGTGGTGTAACGGTAACATTGGAGCTTCCCATCCACGTGGGCCCCAAATGGGGTTAAATGCTCTAGCCTCGGGTTCGACTCCCGGCTGATGCATAAGTTTTTGCCCTCGCATAGGGATGAACGATATCGCTCCCCAACTTTCGCCGGTCGCTGACGACGACCTTGGTAGATCTCCGTTTTGACACAAATCTCATTTATCCTACGCCGGACTATCAAACTTCGCGTGTGCAACCGTTTCATGTTTCAATTGAAGCGCGGGCCATTCGTGTTCCTTTCTTTCCCTCCACGTCGAGAATTCCCGGATGCGGAATGAATGACCTCGTCACCACACCGACTTATAAGCTCGCGCGTTTTCGCTTCAGGATCAAGTGTCTAAGCCTGCCTGTCATCCACCTCGTCGACTATCGCTTCAGATTGACTCTCGCGATTGTGAGTGATGCGGTCTCCGCCTTCGCGGGTGCATGCGATTGCCATTCTTGCCCATACTAACTAGCCCGTCTCAGCGACAGTGTCCCCAAATGCCTCAAAACACACAACATGAGCTGACGAGGAGCTACGCCGGTCAATATGCCAGTCGCGCTGAGTTACTGAACGGCTTGCTGACGGATATGTCGCAGGTCGTACGCTGTCCCATCGCCATGGATCCCGTGCCGCAAACGCCGATGCGTCGGGCTTCTGTAAGGCTTGCGCAACGTCTTATGGCCGAGGAGTGCTAACCGACATATATTTGAAGGCCCTGCGACGCTGGAGGACGAACTAATTCTCGAAGAGCAGCGTCGAGAGGCATTGAGTACGTTGTAGTACTTGGATTGACCGCAAGGCACTGACTATCATGTACTAGAACGGCTACTGACCCAGCCCGAGTACCCGTCTCGGAAGAAATTGGTAGTCCCTTTTTCCAAAGCGCCCCTTGCCTCCTCTCGTATGTTATGCTATCAATGAGGCAGGTGTCGCGTACTTACAGTGTCTCTCAGTGACCTCGATGAGTCCCCGGCAGGCAAGCAATCTCCAGCCACCCATAAACCGACTTCCAAACGAGTTGCTCTGCGCGATATTCCTCAACTGCGGTGACCCGAGTCCTGGATTTGCATTTCTTCACGATTGGCATATGCATACTTTCCTGCTATCTCCTTACGATGCAAAGCTATTCAGCAGGACTGCAGTCCTCCTTGGGCATGTCTGTGCGCGGTGGTTCATGCTGACGCGCGGTTTCCCCGGTTTATGGACTCTTGTCGACGTCGGCTACCCCAACCGGGAAGCCACAAGCGTATTGAAACGATGTCTATTATACTCTGCAGGACAGCCGCTTACGCTCTGGATCAACGCGCACGGGCGACCGAATGGTCACAAGGAGGTCGCGGACCTGCGATTCATGCCCCTCGTAGCCGCCAATGCCCAGCGGTGGGTCGAAATATCCATCTCGCTATGCGATGACGGCACTCTTCTGGACCCTCTGATGGCGCTGCCCCACGGGTCATTCAAGATACTCTCAAGAGCTTGCATCAACTTCTTCAACCTGACTGTGCGCAACGGCGAGAAAACGGCCACTCAGGACACACGGCTATGCAATGCTCTGCACGCGTCACCCAATCTGACCACGGTAGGTTGGAAATGCACTGAGTTCATACGACTAGGGCTCGCCTCCGCACCCCTCCGGCAACTGACCAGCATCGCATTGCATGATGCCGAGCCGACTGAGCTTTCTCGAGTAGTCTACGCCTGCGCCAACCTTGAGTTCCTATTGGTCCGCATCAATCCATGCAAAGATTGGATGCAACGCCGAACTCATACACTTGGGTTCCATTCCCCCATTTGCCTACGCCGTCTGCGAACCCTGGCGCTGGTTGGGTCGCTCGATTGGATGCCGCTTTTTGAGGCGCTTATTGTCCCTGCTCTTGATCGCCTTGATTTGGGGAACCAGGAGATTCCTACTCATGTCATAGAGGGCATGCTGCTCAGATCACGCGCAACCCTCCGTATGCTTACCATATTTGAGCCGAGGGTAAATCAAGGGGAGCAGATTCTCACTCTTCTCCGTAGCCCGCCTCTGCGCGAAATCAAAGTTCTACGCTATGTGCGTTGCAACCCGATGAGCGCAGGGAGGGAGTACGAATATCTCTTTGACTTGCGACCATTCGTGCCTTCACATGTACTTTACACGACTGACTATAGCGAGGCTGAGCGTCTATACAGAGAGCTTGGAAGCAAGCGATCTTGATGTGTATCATATGAAAAGAGAGAGCGTATAGTATCAATATAATTCTTATATATTGTTCCCGCTAGCTTGCTTCGGTCACTCGTCGAAAGTAGCGAGCGCGGGCTGCTGGAAGCTGAGTCCTCTGAGGCGCAAGCCATAGTCTAGATTAATGTATCTGCTGACTCGAAGACATCCACATAACCTGGCGGTACACCGTCAATCGGCTTGAAGCGGTTGAACATGGGTCACGTGAATGCCGCGTGCCATCAAGAAGCGCCGGCCCGTTCGCGACTCCTTCCCTTCTTGTCCACAATTGCCATGTACGTGTTGAATGGAATTCCCACCGCCGCATCGTATAAGCCATTGCCCCATCGCGACAGAGGGATTCCTCCCTAACACGTCCACTCGCCTTCTCCGCTACACGCTCAAGACGAGCAGCTACGCGCCCAGGTGCGTTGGACGCGTACGCGAGCCTCCAAAGAATCCCTTCTGACGATTCTTAGTATTGACCAGGGGGAGAGGATGATATCGAATGTTGTAGGGCAGGATACCTTAGGCGGCGTGAGCCACGCAGGTAAGTCTACCGCTTCAAATCCTGGCGAGGCTTACCGAAAGATTGGAAGGTCTCACACCATCCCCTCATGGCATCTCTCCAGACGCGCGGGACGCACCGGCAGACGTCGGTAAGGTCGCTGTACGCCTCTTAGACATCGACGAGTATTGATGGATGCAAAGGATCTACCTCAAGCGCCACGCGCGATCTCGAATTAGCCCTAGAAGCACGACGTCGCGAGGCGTTGAGTACGTTGTTACATCAAAATTCGATCCAGAATGCTCACTACTTTACCACAGAACGAGTACTCACTCAGCCCGAGCATCCAACCCAAAAGGCGGGCTCGAAGTCCGCAAAAGCGCTCATCCATTCCGACTGTGCGTTGGTCGTCTTGTGAGGTATACGTCGTGTACTCACAGGTCTATTTAGCGAGCTCGATGAGTCATCGGCAGGCTCATAACTCCCAACTTCCCATTAACCGCCTTCCCAACGAATTACTCTGCGCGATCTTCTTTGTCTGCGGCGACCCGAGTCCTGCATCCGTCTTCCCGCGCGACTCCTCGATGCACGACCTCCACATAAATCCTCTCAATCTGAAGTCCTACAGTAGGAACGCAATTCTCCTCGGAGTCGTTTGTTCGCGATGGTATCGCGTCACACATGGGTTCCCCGCGCTCTGGACCCTTGTCGACGTCGAGTATCCAGCTCGTTATGCGACGAACATCCTGAAGCGATGTCTTGCGCATTCTGATGGCCTCCCACTCACGCTCTGGATCAGTGAAAGCGTGAACCCATGGTTTGGCATGAACGGCGAGGACCCGGACCCGCGCTTTATGGACCTCGTGGCCGCCAATGCCCACCGATGGAGAGAAATCTCCATCGAGCTATACGACAGACGCGATGCTGTACAGCCGCTGATTGCATTGCCGCCGGGAGCATTTAGAATTCTCTCTAGGGCCCGTATAAACTTCTACAGCCTGAATGCGGAGGAGTCTTCCTTGGATACGCAGCTATGGAGGTCTTGGCTTACGTCTCCGACGCTCAGCTCGGTAGACTGGGTCAACACTGAGCACATTCGATCAGGACTTGCCGTCGCATCCCTCCAGCGTCTGACCAGCATCGGCATGCATTTCGCTGAGCCTGCCATGCTGGCTTGCATACTTAACACTTGCCTCAGCCTCGAGGTTCTACTGGTCGAGATCGAACCGCATACACTGAGGATGAGAAGCATGCCTCTCACGCTCAATTCGATCTCCCTCCCCCACTTGCGAACCTTGATGCTGTGCGGGCCTTACAATTGGACGCCACTTTTCAACGCACTCACTATCCCTGCCATTGACCGACTGGAGCTATCGCGTCAGAATATCAACGGACACGACATAGAGGGCATGCTGCAGAGGTCCTGCGCACGCCTTCGCATGCTCACGATATTTTGGCCGGGGTTGAACCAGGCGGATCATATTCTTGCAATAGTCCGCAGCGCGTCTCTACGCGGCCTCAAGGTACTGCGTTATCAGTGCTCTCCCCATGGCGGAGCAAACCAAGGATGGGAGGATGCGTTTGACATACGCCCGTTCGTTCCTGCCGGAGTTCTATACACAGCTGACGCTAACGAAGCCGAGTGCTTGTACGCTAGGCTTGAGAATAGTCGCAATTAGATAGATGGATTATATCGTACCATGGGCTACATCAACAGGAAAAATACATTCTGTCTCGAAGTTGGAGTCACTCAAGGTGTAGATACCAAGCGGGCCTTGCGGAAATCAACCCTTGTACGCCGGCAAGCGAATTCCCATCAGTGAGCAAAAATTGTACAGCAACCTCGCCTGGGACGTTGGCGAGTAGTTGCTTACAGGGAAAAGCGGAGACGATGCGCAAAACCGAGGGGAAATCCATCCCATCAGTGTTCGCCGCCTTGAAGTAGTCACGCTGGCCTCGGGGTAGAACAGGACCCGCTTCCAAAACAGCCAGATTTCTGCACAAAGTAGGCAAAGCCTGCACATCCGCCTCGCTTATATCCGCCGAGATCTCGAGAATGCGCAGCTTTTCCAAGGGGAAGCTGAAGAGTCGCGCGGCTGACGTCTTGCCTGCTAGTCGCAAATAGTGGAGGTGCGAGAAGGTATCGCTCACCATTTGCTGCGCTACACAGAGCGGCCTCACTTTATCAGGTTCGACGAACAATGCAGACACGGTGCGAACATGGTGCAGGAATGGCTTGAGAGCGAGCGTCATGATACCGAGTGCATCCTCGTTGTTGAAGGGGCCACCAGAAACCAGAGATTGATGGAATTCCAGGCGCAGCTGAGTGAGATCGGTGCGACGAGCATTGCAAACGCGGATGATATCGTTCAGCCCTGCATCGAAGAGGGCGGAGTCTCCCAGCTGGGATTTCGTCCCAATGCGGACGAAGAGCTCACGCTCATCGAAAGGACCGTTCTTGGTCACCGTGTCTGAGAATTGAAGACGCGTCGGGTCTCCTTCGCCAAGCGCGCCATTCAGGGTGCTCGCTAACAGCCGACCATCAGGCGAGGACATGTCGGATCTGTCCGAGGGAGACAGATGGGGCGCGAGAGCGGAATTGCGAGGGAGTGCGGTTTGCGCAGAGGGTCCCGGCTGGGAAGTAGACGCCCGCTGCTGCTGCCACGCTCCGGCGCGCTGGGAAGCACGTCTAGCCGCCTCCGTGGCTGGTTGAAGGCAGCTGTGGGTCGCGTTATCATCGCCATACCGCTCACGAGCGGTCGCGGTGAGTCCATCCTGCAAGTCGTCTCGCCCAATAGGGTCGTGGTGTAGGATGGCGCAGTTCGCCGAAGTAGCAGGGCCCGGCGAGACTGGAGCTACGGCGGGAGCGGTGCTGATAACGGCGACAGTTGCAGAGGTACCTGGATATTCGTGAGACGGCGTGTCGATGTTCGATGGCCCTGGCGTGGGATCGGCGCCTGACGGGGACGAAGGCGGGTAGATGATATGGGTGGCTGCGGGGCTGGTCCCAGCGTCGCCAACGTCGTCGTCGCCCGCTTGGTGTGAGCCTTCTTCGCCGCCGCCATGGCCCGCAGACCCTTCTCTAGCTTGAGTGGTCGTCGTATGAACACCGTGCCGCAGAATGTTGTTCGTCTCCCCGATCTCGTGCAGGACGCCGTCTACAAGGGCTATCAAAGTGGTCGTGGTCTGGGCAATATATTCGATGGCTGGGTTCGTGGCAATAGGGTCACGCGAGGAGCGGGGAAGGAGAATGTCGAGGAGAGCTGTGCCAGCGCCACGAATGTGGCGCACGAGGGAACCGCGAATGCCTCGTCTCCGGATCGCAGGCGGCGTCGTGCGTAAATGCACCGCTGGTGCCGGACCAGCCAGTGGGGTGCGGGCCGTATCATGCGCGTCCACTGGATTTGGAGAGATCAGCAGGCAAACCGGGTCAAGAAAGGCATACGCACTGTCGTTTGCGGCGTACGTACTAGCGAAGCGTGATGAAGCGGTCGTACAAGACGTCGGTGAGGTCGTGAGTGTATGGGATATTCTGAAGGGCGCCAGGCCGTTCGTAAGTCCGTGAAAGTATGCTGCTTGATGCTGGATGGAATGCGCAGGGCTTATAAGCGCGACTACCTCGTGCGAACTGGCCGACAATAAGAACAATCAGCATGAGCACTATTGTTCTCAACTGTATAGCTAATTGTAAGAAGATAAGGAGGACATGTCGGCACGAAGGACCTCTCGCCGAAGAGAACAAAATGGCCGGGGCCACATTTTCGGTCCTGCGCGCATGCCGATGAGGCTTTCGGATGCAGAGGTCGAAGCAAGCAAATGAGGAGGTCCTTGGAAGGTATGTTCCGTCAATCAATCTATGCGAATGGTTCAGCTGAAGGCGTCGTGGAAGTAGGTGAGGAGATGGAGGTCGTTACTAGTATCTTGTCTGCGCTCTTGTGAATGACTCAATGAGGCATCAACGTGCCGTCACACCTCCGTCACGCCGAACATTGCCCGCTTCTTGACCAGCATGTCCGAGACGAAAAGCACGACATGTCGACGCTAACGACGTCTGCGCTTCTACCTTGGCCAATGACTTTGAGTGAGAGACGAAGTTTAACGTCGGTTTCGCGTGCTTTGCATCGGACATCACCGGTTGTTACCGCGACGGGAACTCTGAGCTCGTTCTAGACCCCTTCCTTTCTTGAACACAATTGCCATGTAGGTGATGAATGGGTCTCCCACCTTCGCGTCGTATAAGCGAATGCGCACTCGCCAAGGCCCTCTTCACTGATCACCTTCATCAACACCACGCTCCTTTTGCTGACAGCAGCGGCTACGACCTGAATCACGGTTGTAGGTGAGCTTTGGATTTTCCTGTCACGTCGACGAACCCGTTCTGAGTACTTGATAGTGATGGGTGTGAAGAATAGGGTAGCCCAGGCGTCAAGCGCACAGGGCGTCGAACATGGGATAAATGCCGCTGGTGAGCTCCATTTTTTGCAATCGCGACAACTTTGTTGACTCTGAAGTAGGTCGCACATTCGTCCATGATACCATCCCTACGAACACCCGCAACGTCGCGGCGCGCGTCGGTATGGTTTACCCTCAAAAATTTTGAACTTCGGCTCACGATCTTCAAGATCTCAAATGCAGCACTCCAGGTGACCACGCCGCCTTCACTCGCGCTGGACGCGAGATCCATGCCGTTGAGAAGCCAGAGAATGCCCTTCCCCAGCCTATCGGTACGCCTATCGCATACGTCTGGCCGCATCACTTGTAATAACCCCTCCGCAGAGTCCATGACGATGCGCCCGACGTCCCCTCGTGTCCAATCACCCATCGACCGCCTTCCCAACGAACTACTCTGCGCGATTTTCCTCCTCACTGGCGACCCAAGCCCCGTATCTGGCTTCCCTCGTGATCAAGATATGCACGACAACGGTCTGCATCCGTTCGCGGTGAAGCTCTACAGCCAGGCCGCAGTCACCATTGGACGCGTCTGTTCCCGGTGGATGCACGTGGCATGTGGCTTTCCTGCGTTGTGGACCGTCGTCGACGTGACCTATCCGGGGGCGAGAGCTACCGCCATACTGAAACGCTGCCTGAAGTACTCTGCCGGTCTTCCTCTCGTACTGTGGCTTAGCAGAAGGGTGAACCCAGACGACAGTTATTACGGAGTCGACCCCCGTTTCATGCGCCTTGTTGCTGCCAACGCCCATCGATGGGTCGAAATATCCATCCAATTGGGCGATGAGTGTCACGCTTTACAGCCCCTCATAGCACTGCCGCCTGGCTCCTTCACTGCACTGAGGAGAGCCCGCATAGAGTTTGCGCTGATCCATGTAACCGACAACAGCTTGGATACACTACTGTGGAGGTCTTTCTATACGTCCCCGCACTTGGTCGCTCTGGATTGGAACCGCACTCAATACATCCAGTATAGTCTCTCCTCGGCCCCCTTACGCCAACTCACCGAGCTGGGCGTATATTCCACTGAGCCTGGAATGCTCCTCCCCATCCTCCTCAACTGCACCGCCCTTGAGGTCCTTTTCGTCCATATAGACTGGCCGTGGGGCCCAGAGGAGGACAACGGAACCATCCCTCTTGCGTCACCAGTATGCCTTCCGCGCCTACGTGCACTGGCATTGCGTGGACCTTACGATTGGGCGCCGCTCTTTTCCGTATTGGAAGCCCCGTCGCTCAAACGGCTCGACTTGTCCCATATGGACATCAAGCACGCTGACATAGAGAAAATGCTTCGTCGGTCGTCTGCTGGCCTGATGATGCTCACTGTATACTGGCCTGCCATGGATCAAGGCGATAATATAATCGCTCTTTTGCACAGCCCGGCGATGCGTCACCTTCGGGTCGTGCGATACGAGTGTGCTTATCCTGGGGCATCTGAGTTTGGATGGGAGGAATCATTCGACTTGCGTCCATCAGTTCCATCACATATGTACTATACTACAAGATACGCAGAGGCGGAAGAGTACTACAGGATGATATGCACAACGACGAATCCTGGAGTAGTGTAGCCGAGACAATATCTGTAGCAACCTCAGAAAGGCCGTATACCCTATCAATCTAGTCGCATAGTCCACGTCGGATGAACCTCCATGATGGCTCGAAGTTTGTCAAGCCCACGCGTCTCAGTGAGCGTGAAATGTACAACGGCATTGCCCGGAACACTCTTCAGCGCTTGCTCGCAAGGGAACGCGGACTTCAAGTGCACGACGAAGGTGTGTGGATGGTCTGCAATAGGGGAAGCGCGGGAACCGTGCGCAAAACCTGACAGGTAATTTGGCTGGCGGGAATCAATAGGCCCCGCAGTCAGAAAAGCCAGTCGATCACTGCGATGCATCAGGAGAATCTTGATGTCCATCTCTGAAGTGGGGAAGAGAGCCTCAAGGACGCACAAATCCTGGATTGGGAACGTAAGAAGTCGTGCTGCTGAAGTGATTCCTTCAATCCGGACGTGGTGAAGATGAGAGAAGTCGTTAGCAATCGAGCGTCGAGCCTGCTGTACCGCCTGAGTGGCTTGCACGTCATCAAATGCCTTGAATGAGACGACTGCCGTGTTGAAGCTTGGCAAGTAAGCGCGGATTGCAAGCAGGATAGCATTCAGCGTGTCTTGATCGTCGTACTGCCCGCCAGAGACCCGGCTTTGATGAACCTCCACATAAAGCTGCGTGAGATCATGCTGACGCGCTTCGCAGACATAGAGGAGGTTATTGAGCCCTTCGTCAAAGGGCTCGGACGGGTCCGGCAGCTCCACCTTCCTTCCGACGGAGATCAGCAGCCTGCGTCCGATGAAAACTCCGTCTGCCACGACGAAGTCGCGGTAGTGGATGTACGTCGAGCGGAGGTTTTGCTGGGCGACGTCGAGGACGGCACGAGTGGGGTCCTCGTCCGCGGCATCACTAGATTGCTCTGCATCGTTGTCCGGTGGAGTCTCTTGTCGTGGAGAAGAGTGGTGGAAAGCTTCTCCGTCAGACGCTGACGCGGCGTCCGAAGCGACGCTTTGCTGCTGCTGCTGCCCCTCCTCAACCCCCTGGTCAGCGGCCCGACGAGGCGAATCCGACATCATGGCCGCCAGCTGCCGCCTCGCAGACCCCTCGTCGTAACGCCTCGTCTCCGCCTCAGCCGCAGGACTGTAGTTAAGCAAGGCAGAGCTCTCCGAATGAACGGGGCTCGTCTCAAGTGAGGGGAAGAAGAGCGGGGCACTGGCGGCAGGACCGGCCGTTTGCGCAGCTTCTACGCGTCCGGAAGACGACGCGACAGGGCCGGACTGTGCCGGTGCGACACCAGAGCCTGGCTGGTCGAGAGCGGGTAGCGGTATCGTGCGACTGAGAGGCGTATACAAGGCCGAAGGTACCGGGTCGGGCGAGGGCGCCAACTCGGGGAATGGGTCTTCCTCGGGGGTGAAATCAGCGAGTTGGAACTCGACATTCTGTTGATGAGCTTCCGGATGGGCAAGTATATCGTCGAGAGTGTCGCGGTCATGAGCATTTAAGACAGCCGCCGGGTCTCCTTCGCCTGAGGTCGCGCTTGTAGCACTGCTAGAGTCGCTGATGTCGTGGTGCTCTTGAGAGGAGCTGGCCTGAGGACCGTTGTCCTCCTCTTGAGGCGCCGAGTGGATCTGCTGCTCGCACGAGGTAGCCCCCGAGTTTTCCTCCCGTTGTTCGTCTCGGACGACCTCGTGAGCTTGGGATAGATTGCCCAAGGGCGCATCAGAAGGGCCGGCGCCGCTTTCTGCGAGCTCGTGCGAAGCGCACTCCCCACGAGAGCGTAAATCGTACCTGGCGGCATGGCTTGTCTCGTCGCTTATAATCGGATCGTAGTCGCGCGAGACATGCGGGCTCCTAGGACCGTTAGATGGACGTATATGACTCTGCGAGGGCGACACAGGCCCGAGTGGGCTTCCAAGCGCGCAAGAAGGATTGCCGGTCAGATCTGGGTTCGCAAAGTTCAGCAGGTCGCCATTCGGGATCGAGGCTTCTTCTTGTGCAGAAGATGCGGAAGGTTGGTGATTGTCGAACTCGAGCGGGTCTGGCGCGATCCCAGGTGGGAACCCGCCAGGACCGCCGCCGTGACCCGCGAAACCTAGTGCAGCTTGAGAGATGGCGTCCGCAATCCTATTGAAACCTTGCTCTGTAGTCTCGCGGTGCCGCTCGATGGCGTCTAGGATGCCGTCCGTACGCCCGGGCTGGGCGGTCGTAGCGTGCGTGGGAGTGTCGTTCGTGGCAATGAAGTCGTGAGATGGGCGAGAACGTCGCAGACTTGGGCGCGGAGCGTGAAAGTGGTGCGCGAAGAAGCGACGGATTCGCCCTCGAAGGGTCGCGTGCGGCGTCGTGGAAGAGTGCTCGGAGGGTGCCGGACCAGCCGGTGGATCGTTGGTCGTATCGTGCGGATCCACTGGGGAGTCAAGAGTCAGCAGAGATATGTGGTCATGCAAAGCATACGCACTGTCGTACAAGGTGTGCTCGATGGCAAAGCAAATCGTGGCAAGGAGTAAAGCCTTCGAGACGTCGGTGAGCTCGTGAACGTATGAAAAGTCGTGAAGGCGCCAGGCCGTTCGTAAGTCCGTGAGTATGTGTGCCGATGCTGCTGAAAGGAATGTGCAGAGCTTATAAGCGCGAGCGTTCTTGAGGTGGGTATACCGGCAGACAATAGCGCCCCACAAAAGGCGTAGGTGCTATTGTTCCTCGAGTCTTTCAGCTGCTGTGAGGTGCAGATTATACCATCGCAGCGCGGAAGCACTTCGCCCGGCAACACAATATGACCGGTGCCACGCCTGCTTGTCGCCACATACCAGAATTACTCTTAGAGTTGAGCATTTTATGTCACACTACGAGACGAATGGTGCTTACCGTTCAAGATGGCCCACTGCTCGCGCGATTCTAAGCCCGAGCCAGAGAAGGTATAGCATGTGCGTAATTATCAACGTAAATCATTTGAGCGAGAGAACTCGTTTAAGACAGGCAGTCCTCGAATTGTGTCCCAACCCTGTTCTTCTCAATCCCACGAGATGTGGGCGCCTCGAAGCGTGAGCACAAATAGGTCGAATCCGACGGTCCGGAGAGAATAAAGCGGCGCTCCGTCAGGTTGAGGGTGAGACCAGCCAAATCGGAGTTCTGAACAGAGTCTCCCAGTGCCGGGAATGCCTTGGAAGAGATGAGTCGAAGCGCACGTCGACCCAAACCTCGAGGTGACGGTCAAGGACAAGACACGGCAAGTGCCGAACGCGCTGCCGGGCAAAGGTGACCATCACCGTGTCACGCCATTGTCCTTTGGCCAGGGCTGGCCGGTGAACTCCATCGAATGCGAGAACACAATGAGAGAGAATATATGTATTCCCGCTGTTACTGAGCGGGGTAGGCCTTAACGTGAGTAGCATTGAGAAGTCGTGGGCATAGCGACAGTCCTGAATTTCGAGGCACATTCGGAGGTGAAAACAAAACGGCGCGGGGCCACATTTTCGCTGCGGAGGGTTGAGCTGCTTGGTAGACTTCGTCATTCGGAGGTCCTGTAGCTCACCTCGCGGGGAATGGTATTGTAAGTAAATGGACATGAAGGGCGGAGAAGAGATGTAATTGTTGATCCCTTCGTCACGCCCGACGTGACGTCTTGTTGTCACCCTCATTTTCTCCCTGATTAGTCCACGAACCCGCGCACATCATGCCTGCCAACGATGGCGCCCTCCTCTAAAAATACCGGATTCTCGGCGAAGCCGCGCCTATCCGCCTCTCAGATCTCCCTGAAGCGCCTGAAAGGGGAGGACTTTGAACGCAATGCGAAGCAGGTCTCGCGCTTCAAGATGCTGAACGGCGGCAAGCCCTTTCGCGACGAGGACGGCAAGGTCACTGAGGCGGCGGCGTTGGAGAAGGGGGCGGAAGACACGAAGCCGGGGAGGGTGCAGCGCGACGGGTGGTGGTTTGGTGAGTGGTCTCTTCGACCTGAACTGCGTGCAGGGAATACCTGGGTGATCTCCCAGACTGCTTTCGATCACTGCAGAACGAGCCCTACGACGAAGAAGGATGATCCCTACTCTGTGCTGTTGCGGAGGAACAAACTCCCCGTGGCGCTTCTCGACGATGCGGCCAACCCCAATACTCGCAAGCTGTGCCTACTTCCCCCATACTACGAGTCCTCACTAAATCCATCTCAGCGCTCTGTTATTGTCGAGACCAAGCCTTTCTCCAATACGTTTGGTCCCAAGGCGCAGCGGAAGCGGCCCCGCGTCGAGGTTGGGTCTTTCGCCGAGCTCGCAGACGCCGCCAACGAGGCCGCCGCGAAGCCTGAGGAGGGAGATTTGACTGCCCCCGTCAAAGTCCTCGAGCCGCAGACCCACGCCGACTTCCATGAGCCCATCTACGCGAAGGGGACGTCCCGCCGCATCTACGGCGAGCTGTACAAGGTCATCGATTTCTCGGACGTCATTCTTCACGTCCTCGACGCTCGCGACTGGGTACCATGTGCGAGTCGATTCTCGAGTTCATCAAGAAGGAGAAGGCGCACAAGCAGGTCGTTCTCGTCATCAACAAGTGCGACTTGGTCCCGAACTGGGTCACTGTACGTTGCACGACCTTCCCCATCCTGCGGTGTACTGACTCGTCCACAGGCCCGCTACATCCAGCACCTCACCCCTCGCTACCCTACTATCGCATTTCACGCCTCCCCCAACCACTCCTTCGGCAAGGGCTCGCTCATTCAGCTCCCCCGCCAGTTCTCCCAGCTGCACTCGGACAAGAAGCAAATCTCCGTCGGGTTCGTCGGCTAACCCAACGTCGGCAAGACGAGCGTCATCAACACGCTCAAGAGCAGCAAGGTCTGCCGCGTCGCGCCCGTGCCTGGCGAGACGAAGGTCTGGTAATACATCACGCTCACCAAGCGCATCTACCTCATCGACTGTCCCGATGTTGGCCCGAACGTGCCGAAGGGCGCTGGGCGCGTGGACGCTGCGGATGCCGTCCGAGCGGCGAGGCGGCGAGCGCGGAGGGGTTCGGGGTCGGGAGGGGAAGGAGGGCAGAGCACGCATCGGGTTCAGGTGTACATCCCGTGTAGTAGTGAGGCAATGGAATGTCATTTGCTACGAGACGAGACGAGAGACACGAGGGCACGCGGAGAGGAGGAGAAGAGAGGGGAAGGGGAAGGGGACATAGACGTCGCGCAGCGAATCCCACGATTGGTAGGCACCACTCCCGCGCCCCTCAAGCCCTTCTCACCAACATTTGACTGTCTTTTGTCAGCCCGAGAGCGGACGAGCTGAATACCAGCTTCTATACCAGCTTCGTGCCTTCGACCCCACGACGCTCCCATCCTACTAGACGAGCCGCGCGGTGCGTATGAACCGAGGCATCGACGTGCCGTCACACGCCGTTCACGCCAAACATCGCTCGCTTCTTGTCCAGTACGACCGAGACGAGGAGCATGACATTCCGGCGCTAACGACGTCTGTGCTTCGAATTATACCTTGGCCATCGACTTTGAGTGAGACGAAGTCAACGTCGGTTTCGTGTGCTTCTGATAATCGCATCGGACATCACCGGTTTCCACTGCGACGGGAACTCTGAGCTCGTTCTAGACCCCTGCCTTTCTTGTACACAATTGCCATGTACGTGATGAATGGGTATCCCACCTTCGCGTCGTATAAGCGGATGCGCACTCGACAAGGCCCTCTTCACTGATCACCTTCATCAGCACTACGCTCCTTTCGCTGACAGCAGCGGCTACGACCTGAATCAAGTAGGTGAGCTTTTGGATTTTCCTGTTACGACGACGATTACGTTCTGAGTACTTGATAGTGATGGGTGTGAAGAGTAGGGTAACCCAGGCGTCAAGCGCGCAGGGCATCGAACATGGAATGAACCCCGCTGGTAAGCTCCGATTTTTGCAATCGCAACATCTTTGTTGACTCTGAGATAGGTCATACAACATTTCATGATAACATCCCTACGAACACCCGCAATGTCGCCGCGAGCATCGGTAGGGCACACCATCAAATTTCTCGAACTTTGGCTCACAATCTACAAGACCTCAAACGCGGCGCTCAAGGCGACCACGCCGCCTTCACTCGCGCTGGACGCAGGATCCATGCCGTCGAAAAGGCAGAATACGCACCTCTCCGCCCTCTCCGTGAGATCATCCCATGCGTCTGGCTGCATTGCTCGTGCTAACACCATCCGCAGAGTCCACAGCGACGCGCATGACGTCCCCTCGTGTCCAATCACCCATCGACCGCCTTCCCAACGAACTACTCTGCGCGATTTTCCTCCTCACTGGCGACCCAAGCCCCGTATCTGGCTTCCCTCGTGATCAAGATATGCACGACAACGGTCTGCATCCGTTCGCGGTGAAGCTCTACAGCCAGGCCGCAGTCACCATTGGACGCGTCTGTTCCCGGTGGATGCACGTGGCATGTGGCTTTCCTGCGTTGTGGACCGTCGTCGACGTGACCTATCCGGGGGCGAGAGCTACCGCCATACTGAAACGCTGCCTGAAGTACTCTGCCGGTCTTCCTCTCGTACTGTGGCTTAGCAGAAGGGTGAACCCAGACGACAGTTATTACGGAGTCGACCCCCGTTTCATGCGCCTTGTTGCTGCCAACGCCCATCGATGGGTCGAAATATCCATCCAATTGGGCGATGAGTGTCACGCTTTACAGCCCCTCATAGCACTGCCGCCTGGCTCCTTCACTGCACTGAGGAGAGCCCGCATAGAGTTTGCGCTGATCCATGTAACCGACAACAGCTTGGATACACTACTGTGGAGGTCTTTCTATACGTCCCCGCACTTGGTCGCTCTGGATTGGAACCGCACTCAATACATCCAGTATAGTCTCTCCTCGGCCCCCTTACGCCAACTCACCGAGCTGGGCGTATATTCCACTGAGCCTGGAATGCTCCTCCCCATCCTCCTCAACTGCACCGCCCTTGAGGTCCTTTTCGTCCATATAGACTGGCCGTGGGGCCCAGAGGAGGACAACGGAACCATCCCTCTTGCGTCACCAGTATGCCTTCCGCGCCTACGTGCACTGGCATTGCGTGGACCTTACGATTGGGCGCCGCTCTTTTCCGTATTGGAAGCCCCGTCGCTCAAACGGCTCGACTTGTCCCATATGGACATCAAGCACGCTGACATAGAGAAAATGCTTCGTCGGTCGTCTGCTGGCCTGATGATGCTCACTGTATACTGGCCTGCCATGGATCAAGGCGATAATATAATCGCTCTTTTGCACAGCCCGGCGATGCGTCACCTTCGGGTCGTGCGATACGAGTGTGCTTATCCTGGGGCATCTGAGTTTGGATGGGAGGAATCATTCGACTTGCGTCCATCAGTTCCATCACATATGTACTATACTACAAGATACGCAGAGGCGGAAGAGTACTACAGGATGATATGCACAACGACGAATCCTGGAGTAGTGTAGCCGAGACAATATCTGTAGCAACCTCAGAAAGGCCGTATACCCTATCAATCTAGTCGCATAGTCCACGTCGGATGAACCTCCATGATGGCTCGAAGTTTGTCAAGCCCACGCGTCTCAGTGAGCGTGAAATGTACAACGGCATTGCCCGGAACACTCTTCAGCGCTTGCTCGCAAGGGAACGCGGACTTCAAGTGCACGACGAAGGTGTGTGGATGGTCTGCAATAGGGGAAGCGCGGGAACCGTGCGCAAAACCTGACAGGTAATTTGGCTGGCGGGAATCAATAGGCCCCGCAGTCAGAAAAGCCAGTCGATCACTGCGATGCATCAGGAGAATCTTGATGTCCATCTCTGAAGTGGGGAAGAGAGCCTCAAGGACGCACAAATCCTGGATTGGGAACGTAAGAAGTCGTGCTGCTGAAGTGATTCCTTCAATCCGGACGTGGTGAAGATGAGAGAAGTCGTTAGCAATCGAGCGTCGAGCCTGCTGTACCGCCTGAGTGGCTTGCACGTCATCAAATGCCTTGAATGAGACGACTGCCGTGTTGAAGCTTGGCAAGTAAGCGCGGATTGCAAGCAGGATAGCATTCAGCGTGTCTTGATCGTCGTACTGCCCGCCAGAGACCCGGCTTTGATGAACCTCCACATAAAGCTGCGTGAGATCATGCGGACGCGCTTCGCAGACATAGAGGAGGTTATTGAGCCCTTCGTCAAAGGGCTCGGACGGGTCCGGCAGCTCCACCTTCCTTCCGACGGAGATCAGCAGCCTGCGTCCGATGAAAACTCCGTCTGCCACGACGAAGTCGCGGTAGTGGATGTACGTCGAGCGGAGGTTTTGCTGGGCGACGTCGAGGACGGCACGAGTGGGGTCCTCGTCCGCGGCATCACTAGATTGCTCTGCATCGTTGTCCGGTGGAGTCTCTTGTCGTGGAGAAGAGTGGTGGAAAGCTTCTCCGTCAAACGCTGACGCAGCGTCCAAAGCGACGCTCTGCCGCTGCTGTCCCGCTCCAACCTCCTGGTCAACGACCTGACGGGGCGGGTCCGACATCATGGCAGCCAATTTCCGCCTCCCCGACCGCTCGTCGTAACGTCTCGTCTCCGCTTCAGCCGCAGGAACGTAGTGCAGCAAGGCAGAGCTTGCCGAATGAATGGAGCTCGTGTCGAGCGAGGGGAAGGAGAGCGGGGCACCGGCCGTCTGCGCAGCATCCGCGTCTCCGAAGGACGACGCGACAGGGCCAGACTGCGCCGGCGCGATGTCAGCGCCTGGCAGGTCGAGAGCGGGTAGCGGTATCGTGCGACTCAGAGGCGCATACAAGGCCGGAGAAACAGGGTCTGGAGAGGGTGCCAACTCGGGGAACGGGTCTTCCCCAGGGGAATCACCTGCGAGTTGGTACTCGACATTCCACTGGTAAGCTTCCGGATGGGCAAGCATATCATTGAGAACATCGCGGTCTTGAGTAGATAGAACCAATGCCGGGTCGCCATCTCCAGAGCTAGCGCCGGGAGCATTGCTAGAGTCGCCGATGCCGTGGTGCTCTCGAGAAGAGCTCGCCTGAGGACCGTTGTCCTCCTGAGGTGCCGCGACCACCCGCTGCTCGCGCGAGGTAGCCTCTCCAGCGTCCTCCCGCTGCCCGTCTCCGGCGAACTCATGAGCTTGGGATGGATTGCCCAAGGCTGCATGGGAAGGGCCGGCGCCGCTTTCTGCGAGCTCATGCGAAACGCGCTCTCCCTGCGAGCGTCGTCCAGACTCGGCGGCCTGCATCGTCTCGTCGTCTCCACTCGTGTCGTAGTCGCGCGAGACACGCGGGCTCCTAGGATCGTTAGATGGACGTATCTCATTTCGCGAGGGCGACGCAGGCCTGAGCAGGCGGACAAGCGGGCGGGAGGGTTGACCGACCAGGTCGGGGTTCGGAAAGTTCAGCATATCATCGTTCGGGCTTGAAGCTTCTTGGGTCGTGAAAGATGCGTATGGCTGGTGGTCGTCGACTTCGGGTGGGTCTGATGCGATCCCGGGTGGGAACCCACCAGGACCGCCGCCGTGGCCCGCGAGACCCAGTGCAGCTTGACCGATGGCGTCCGCGATCCTATTGAAGCCCTGCTCTGTCGTCTCGCGGTGCCGCTCGATCGCGTCTAGGATGCCGTCCGTACGGGAAGGCTGAGCAGTCGTAGCGTGCGTGGGATTGTCGTTTGAGGCAATAAACTCGTGAGATGGGCGAGCACGTCGCAGACATGGGCGCGGAGCGTGAAAGTGGCGCGTGAAGAAGCGACGGATTCGCCATAGAAGGGTCGCGTGCGGCCTCGTGGAAGAGTGCTCGGAGGGCACCGGACCAGCCGATGGATCGTTGGCCGTATCATGCGGGCCCACTGGGGATTCAAGAGATCAGCAAAGATATGTGGACACGCAAGGCATACGCACTGTCGTACAAGGCGTGCTCAATAGCAAAGCAAGACGTGGCAAGGAGTAAAGCGTTCGAGACGTCGATGAAGTCGTGAGCGTGTATGAAATCGTGAAGGCGCCAGGCCGTTCGTAAGTCCGTGAGTATGTGTGCCGATGCTGCTGGATGGAATGCGCAGAGCTTATAAGCGCGAGCTTGCGCGGGCGAGTTACTCCGGCGTACAATAGCGCAGAACAAAAGGCGGCGGCACTATTGTACTTAGGCACTTCGGCGGCTCTGGGATGTCGGTTAACGTGCCACTTAGAACCATGCTTCGCCGAATACAACAATATTCCCGGGGCCACATTCGCGTGTCGCCAGATTCCGTGAGAAAGCAATATTCCAGACAAATGACGGTCGGTCGCGTTTGAGGCAAGATACCCAGAAGTGGAGGGTGTATGTGGCGCCGGTAATTGTGTGGTGGTCCTTTGAGAAAGTGGCGAGGACAACAAACGAGGAAGAAGCGCTCGCGTCTCCGACAGACAAGAAAGACTGGCTGGGCCTGCCGAAAGGACCACCTTCAACCAGTGATCATGTCTCCCGAAATAGGTGGCGAATGCGCATCATTGAGTATTCCATTTGGCCCTCGCACAATAGTGCAGGCGTGACCGCAAGGACGAAAGATTGAGCAGAGAACGCACACTGCATACTAGCTGGGCCACTGTACAGACGGGGAACAAAGAAGAGGGACGGCCAAGTGGACTCGAAATCGAGATCATCGTTGTTGAGAGTAAGGAGCGGCAACCACCGAAACCGGCTTGATCCGTCTAACGCGTCACCTGATGAGCGCGTGATCGCAGACGCGTTGGCCCGTTCTCCACTCCTTCCTTTCTCGTTCACAATTGCCATGTCAGACATGAATGGGCGTCCCACCCCGGCGACGTATATATCAATGCGCCCTCCCGATGGAACATTACTTTCCCGACACTCCTCACAACCACTTACTATTGCCTAGGACGAGGTTCTACGCGCTGGACCGCGATAGGTGCGTTGAGCGCGTCTCTTCGATGAAACCTGGCTGACCTTCATATAGATGAACTCGAATAAGCAGAATGTATATGCGCCAGTTGTGCCGGGTACCGAGCATGGGCTTGAGTACGCAGGTGGAACCTAGTCAGATCTGTTGGGAATTTCGCCAATCCCTCAATAGATCGTGCATTCCCCCATGATACCATTCCTCCGGATGTCAACGATGTCGCAGCGTACGTGGGTAAGGCATACTCTACATGCTCTGCGACTTCAAGCTCACGAATTGTAAGAGCGTAAAGAAATTGCTCAAGATGGCCGCGCCGCCCTCACTCGTGCGAGACGCAAAAACTACACCGTCAAGCCAGAGAGTGCCCGCTACCGCTCTCTAGGTAAGTTCTCCTTGTACGTCCTGCAGCGCCTTCGAAGCTCATGCTCTCTATAGTGTCCATAATGACGCGCAAGCCGCCTTGTAATGCCCCACCTCCAATAGATCATCTTCCTAACGAATTACTCTGCGCGATTTTCCTCCTGACTGGTGACCCGAGCCCCGCATCCGTCTTTCCTCGCGACCGTATGATGCATCCGTACGAGCTAGACCGTCGGAAGGTGCAACTGTATAGCAAGTGTGCAATTCTCCTCGGGAGGGTCTGCGCTCGATGGAGGGCCGTAACGCGCAGCTATCCAATTTTATGGACCATCGTCGATGTCGATTTACCAGGAAAGGAAGCCACACGCCGTCTCCAGAGGTGCTTGGACCATTCTGCTGGCTTACCTCTCACCCTCTGGATCAGCAGGAGCCTCAAATTTGGCGCCGACAAGTCGGTCGACCCGTGCTTCATGTCTCTCGTTGCTTCCAATGCCCACCGTTGGGAAGAGATCTCCATCGAACTCTGGAGGGAGCTAGATGCTCTGCAGCCTCTTGTTTCTCTGTCGCCTGGGACGCTCAAAACTCTGCGCAGGGCGCGTATACATTTTTACGGCTCGGGAACAGAGGTGTCCACGCCCGATAACTTACTGTGGAGATTGTTCTGTTCATCCCCAAGACTAGAGGTCGTCGACTGGATGCGCAATGAGTACATCGAAACAGGACTGAACGTGGGACCGTTGCATCAGCTTACGAGACTGGCTGTGCATTGGATCAATCCAGGCGTTCTCGTTCCCGTTCTCAGCACTTGCACCCGTCTTGAGCTCCTGCTTATTAGCATCAACCCGACTCTCCTCGGACAGGAGCATCAAGGACCACTGCCTATCCACTCTCCGATCCAACTGCCTCACTTGCGCGTCCTGATGCTGTGCGGTCCTGCTGACTGGGAGCGACTCTTCTCTTCCCTCAACGCGCCCGCTCTCAATCGTCTGGACATATCGCGCATGAGCATACAAGGAGACGGTATAGAGCGCATGCTTCGCAACTCGAATGCGCGCTTGAGGATGCTTACAATCCATTGGCCCGCAAAGGACCAGGACGACATTCTCGCTCTCCTTCGGAGCCCATACATGCAATACTTGCAGGTTCTTCGGTATGAGCGATATTATCAGGATGGCTGGAACCTGGGATGGGAGGACACGTTTGATTTGCAGCCATTTGTGCCAAAGCATATCGTTTTCACAGAGAGTGCTGCCGAGGCGGAGCGGTATTATGCCCAGATTGTGTCTCATGCATACATCTGATACTAGACTCATAGTGTATAATTGAGCATCAATAGGGCTACGTATAGCTTTCTGTATCGATAGCGTGGATATGAAATGATCACGATGAATGTGCGAGAAGATACGCGAAGACGAATGGAAAAGTTGAACATGAGTCACGTGCATGCCGCGTGCCATCAAGAAGCGCCGGCCCGTTCGCGACTCCTTCCCTTCTTGTCCACAATCGCCATGTACGCGATGAATGGACTTCTCACCCCGGCGTCGTATATAGCAATGCGCCCTTCCAGCCAAGGGACCCTTACCTGACACCCCCTCTCCACTTGCCACCTCGCCGAGAACGTTGCGTGCGCTGGATCACCGTAGGTGAGTTGGACCTGCCCGAGTATTTGATTGAGCTTTCTGACCAGATCATGCAGGGTTGTACTCCAAGGAGAGACCCATGTGCGCAACAGACGCGCAGGATGTCTATGACGGGGTGAACTCCGCGGGTAAGTCTCTTACTCAACGCTGTCGCAAGGCTTACCGACAACATCACAGGCCGGCCCTCACCGCCTAATTATATCCCTGCGGACACGGACGTCGTCTCTTTGTACGAAGGTGAGCACTTCTCCTTCTTCCGCATCAATGATTCTCACGACGTCCGAGAAGGATCTGAGCTGACTACCCATAAGAAGCACAGCCTTCACCTCACTCGCGCTGGACGCAAAATTGACGCTGTCGACGGGCCTGAAAACGCGCCTTTTCGCCCTTCTCGTACGTCAATATCTGACCCTTGCATGATAACGCGTTTAAATACTTCTGGCAGCGCCCGAAGTAGCGCGCAAAGAGTCCATGCACGCCCAGCCTTTGATCGACCGTCTCCCGAATGAGTTACTCTGCGAAGTCTTCCTTCTCACAGGCGACCGATGTCCTGCATCCTACTTCCCCCGCGATCCAGGCATTCACGACAACGATATCAAGCCACCCTCAGTACACTTCTACAGCATGGCCGCAGTTCTCCTCGGGCGTGTCTGCGTGCGATGGATGAGCGTCACGCATGGCTTTCCCGCGTTGTGGACCACTGTTGATGTGCTTTTCCCTACCAGAGCGGCCACCGCCATACTGAAACGCTGCTTGAAATACTCCGCCGGGCTCCCTCTCGCGCTCTGGATTAGCAAGAGCTTGAGGCCCGAAGGCGGATGCGAAGGACTCGACGATCGCTTCATGCGCCTCGCCGCCGCCAATGCGCATCGATGGGCGGAAATATCGATTGAACTGTGCGATCAACGTGATATCCTGCGACCTCTGGCCGAACTGCCGCCTGGGTCGTTCAGTGCGCTTGAAAGAGCCCGCGTAGATTTTTCGATGTTCAGGGCGGGTCCTGACACCCTGGACACGCTGCTCTGGAAGTCCTTCCTTAGTTCCCCCCATCTTGTTGCAGTCGACTTCGCTCGTGCGGAGTACATTCGCACCGGCATCCCTTTGGCGCCTCTACAACAATTGACAGAGCTCGGCTTGCAGTTCGCCGAACCAGAGATTATACCTCTCATATTCCGCACCTCCTTCGCCCTTGAGGTACTCTGCATCGACATATACGTGTCGCCAATTGGCTCGGAGCGCAGCGAGACGACTCTTATCGAAACTCCTGTTTGCCTTCCGCGACTACGAGCCCTGACGCTATGTGGACCACACGATTGGACGCAGATCTTCAACTGCCTGACCGTTCCTGCGCTTAACCGCCTCTGCCTCTCGCACACAGAGATATGGCATGCTGAAATAGAGAGCATGCTCCGACGATCCGCTGCTCGCATCGTAATGCTCAGCATCCATTGGCCCGCAACGAACCAAGCGGACAGAATTCTGGATTTACTACATAGCGAGGTCATGCGTTATATCCGGGTCGTGCGCTACCAGTGCGGATATCCGGGAGAGTCGCGCATGGGATGGGAGGATACGTTTGATTTGCAGCCATTTGTTCCATCGCATATCGTATATACTACATGGTTTGCGGACACAGAAGGCGCGTATGCGCGGGTATGTAGTTGGTAAATGCGCAGAGCCTAGTATCGGGGACAGCAGACAGTACGGTATATATGTGTATCTACACGAAGTTCCCTCATTCAAGGCGTACAGTCCATGTAGTCTGTGCGCCAAATACGTCCGGAAGATCGAAAAGCAAACGCGCATCATACAGGGTGAGATGGAGCTCGACGGAGTTGCGAGGAACGAAATCCAGTAGCCGCGTGCAGGCATGATTGGCCTTGATGTGCATGACGGTAGGGACCGCTGGAGGTGGGCCTTCGCGGGAGTTCTGTCGCGGCTTCCGTAGGCAATTGGCGTTAACTTGATCGATAGGACCTGCTGCAAGAAAGTGCAGCTTCTCGCTGCAGCGCATCAAGAGGACCATAACATCGTCCTCGGTGATATGCGTCAGGAACTCCAGGGAGCATAGATTTGCCAACGGGAATGCATCGAGGCGCGTTGCTGTAGCCTCCCCCTCAACGCGAAGGTGGGCAAGACGAGAGAAGGAACCGGCAATTAGGGACCTCCGCCGCGAGTCGTTAGTATTGAGCGCACCAGCGATCTTGAAGGAGACGGAGCAAATGAAGAACAGGTGCAGATAAGGGCGAATTGCATACAGGAGGGATTCCAGCGCGTCTCCGCCGTCGAATGTCCCGCCACTGACCAGGACTTGATGTAGCTCCAGCTGAAGCTGCGTTAGGTCGTGGCGACGTGCTTCAATGACACCGAGGAGCGTGTTGACCCCTTGGGAAAATGGCTGTGACGATGAGTCCTGCAACTGCGACTTTTTCCCGACGCGGATCAACAGCTTGCGTCCAATGTAGGGGCCTTCCTTCACGAAGACATCGTGGCAGTGGATGTGCGTCAAGTCGTGGTCTTGCTCGAATGGACCGCAAAGAGCATTGCTAGGTCCCCCACCGGCGCCGTCGAGAAATTGCGCAGCAGCGTCTTCCGGAAGGGATCCATCTTGCATAGGCGAAGAAGGACCAGGAAGTTCTCCTTGCGAAGAAGCTCCTGCATCAGCAGAAAAGACGCCGGGCTGCGGTCCCGCTTCAGCCTCCGGGCTAGCGTTTGGAGTAGAATGCGGGGCAGAAGGATCATCGGACAGAAGCGACGTGCGAGGCGAGTGGCTCAAGTCACTCGAAAGTGACGAAGAGGAAGGTGTTAGCCGATCGGCTGCAAGCTCTTCCGAGTGGGCGTCGTTAGCGTCTGAAGCTTCGCCCTCGATCTGGTGACCCTTTGGACTTCTCATGACACCGGCAAGGGCTACGCGCGCCGGTTGGTCGAAAAGCGAATGAGGGCCTTCACCGTATGAAGCAGGACTCTGGTCTGGCGGAAGAGAGATGGGTGTGGGTGCGGCTTGGCCGACGACTTCAGGCGGCTCCGGTCTCAGCCCTGGTGGAAGCGAGTGAAGTTCGACGTCGGGATCTGCGAGACCTATCCCGCTTTGAGGAACAGCGGGGGCCAGTCTCTCAAAGCCTTGCGCGAGGATTCCATTCGTCTGCTCGATCGCGCGCAGGACGTCATCCGTACGGGATAACAAAATAGTCGTGTTGTGCGCGATAATGTCGAGGGCAGAGCTATTCGTGGCACTGAGGTCGTGGGAGGTGCGAGAGCTGTGCGCAAGATGAGTGCGAGGCCCGGGAATGTGGCGTCTGAGGGAGTTTGAGTCGTCAGGATTCGGACTCCTGGTTGAGGACGACGTTGCAGGCGCCGGACCCGCCGGCGAAGCGTTGCCTGTGCCATCGAGATCCACTGCAGGGTGAGACAGTCAGCAAGGATACGAGGCTGCGGGAGATATACGCACTGTTGGGACTCGTATGAGGTCTGTGGGAGCAAAGAAACGTGGTTACAAGTGATTTGACTGTTCAGGACGTCGACGAAGTCGTCAATGTGCGGGAGGTCGTGAAGGCGCCAGGCCGTTCGTGAGTCCGTGAGAGATGCGTGTTGGTGCTGCTGGATGGAATGTGCAGAGCTTATAAGCGCGAGCTTCCTTGGAATGGGTAGACTGGCAGACAATAGCCCTCAACAAAAGGTGTAGGTGCTATTGTTCCTCGAGTCTTTCAACTGCTGTGAGGTGCATATTGGACCATCGCAGCCCGGAGGCGCTTCGCCCGGCAACACAATATGACCGGTGCCACATCTGCTTGTCGCCACATACTAGGATTACGCTAAGAGTTGAGCATTGTAGATCACACTACAAGACGAATGGTGCTTACCGTTCAAGATGCACTGCGCGCGATTATAAGCCCGAGGCAGAGAAGGTGTAGCATGTGCGTGACTGTCAGGGGAATTCATTGGGAAGAGAGGACTCGTCGAATACAGACAGTCCTCGCATTGTGTCCCAGTCCCTTTTTTCACGATCCCGCGAGATGCGGGCGCCTCGAAGCGTGAGCACAAATAGGTCGAGCAAAACGGTCCGGAGGGAATACAACGCGTCCCGTCAATTGACCAGCCAGACCGGAGTTCTGCACCGAAGTATCCCAGTGCCGTAGAATGCCTTGGAAGAGATGAGTCGAAGCGCACGTCAACCCAAACCTCGAGGTGACGGTCAAGGACAAGATACGGCAAGTGCCGAACGGCATAGGTGACCGTCACCATGTCACGCTATTGTCCTTTGGAGTGAACTCCGTCGAGTGCGAACGTACAATGAGGAACGATATGCGCTTCTTTCCGAGTAGTGATCAGGGACGAGTGTGGAAGCGGACACGCAGGGAACTTGGGGAAGCAGGCGGTCAGCTGCGGAGATGACCAAGTCATATTGACGCTCGCCTATTGTACCGAACGGGGTATGCAAAGAACTGAGTCATTCCCAGATTGCCCTTCGGCGGCCACTAACGAGCCACATCTCATTAGCCAGTCCTCGCCGAGTGTCACACAACCGGACTCGAGTCGTCATCACAAGCGTCGTTAGCAGAGTAATCAACAGTGAACCAATTTCACTGCATGTCTATGGTGTGCGTACGAGTACAACATTATTTTTCTACTTCCACAAAGTCCATCCCATCAGTAAAGTACAACATTTTACTTGCGGAGCAGCGCTGGGGCGGTGTGGCCCTCAGAGAGGCCAGCCGCGCCAGCGTACTTCGCGCCAGAGCCAGCGATCTCCTCCCTGAAGTGATGGTCAGGACATGTGCAGCAGGTATGAAGGGAATCGACGTACTCGATACGGAGGAGAGCGTTGTACTTGGCAACACGCTCGCTGCGCGCCGGAGCACCAGTCTTGATCTGGCCGGTGCCGAGGGCGACGACGAGGTCAGCGATGATGGTGTTCTCGGTCTCGCCAGAGCGGTGAGAGACCATGACGCCCCAGCCATCAGACTGCGCGAGCTGCGCGGCCTGGATCGACTCCGAGATCGTGCCGATCTGATTGACCTTGAGCAGGAGACCGTTGCAGGCCTTCTTCTCGATGGCGGTCTTGATGCGGAGCGGGTTGGTGACCGTGAGGTCGTCACCGACGATCTGGATGCCAGAGTTGGCGGTGAAGTGCGACCAGGCCTCCCAGTCGTCCTGGTCGAAGGGGTCCTCGATCGAGACGATCGGGTACTTCTTGACGTAGGAGAGGTAGAGGTCGGCGAGCTCCTTGCCCGAGAGCCACTTGCTGGCGTCGGAGTTGGGGTTCTTGAAGTCGAGGTCGTACTTGCCGTCCTTGTAGAACTCGGACGAGGCAACGTCGAGCGCGATCTTAATCTTGCCCTCGTAGCCGGCCTTCTTGATGGCCTCCGTGAGAAGCTCGAGCGACTCGTCGGCTCCCGAGACGTTCGGGGCGAAGCCACCCTCGTCACCAACGTTGACGGCTGCAGGAAGTATCAGTTACTGCAGCCAAGACGAAGTGCACATGTGCGTACCATCGATACCGTACTTGGCGCTGATGACCTTCTTCAGCGTGTGGTAGGTCTCAGTGCCGATCTTCATCGCCTCCTGGAAGGACGCGGCGCCGGTCGGGAGGAGCATGAACTCCTGGAACGCGAGCTTGTTGCCTGCGTGCGAGCCACCGTTGATGACGTTGAACGCCGGGCACGGGAGCGTGTAGGGGGGCTTGACGCCCGCGAGCTCAGCGAAGTGCTGGTAGAGAGGGATACCCTTCTCAGCAGCGCCGGCCTCAGCAACAGCGATGGAGACACCGAGGATGGCGTTCGCGCCGAGCTTGCCCTTGTTGGGAGTGCCGTCAAGCTTGATCAGGAAGTCGTCGATCTCCTTCTGGGAGGTGACCGGGAGGCCGGCCTTGAGCAGGGCGGGCGCGATGGTGTCGTTGACGTTCGCGACGGCCTTGAGAACACCTGGGGGACGTGTCAGTACCGCGCGATGGACACCGATCAGTGGGGGGATGCGCACCCTTGCCGACGTAGTTGGCCTTGTCGCCATCGCGAAGCTCAACGGCTTCGTGGACACCGGTGGACGCGCCCGATGGGACCGATGCGCGGAAGCGGCCTGCGGATGCGTGTCAGTCGCGGTGAATACGCAGGACCGGGGAGGTGTACGCGTACCCTTGGAAGTCCAGAGGTCGACCTCGACGGTCGGGTTGCCGCGAGAGTCAAAGATCTGCGAGCCAGTCAAAATGCTGTCCCCATCGCCGACCACGACGGCGACCTACCTGGCGGGCGTGGATCTTGGTGATGGACATGGTGGTTGTGGGAGAGGCTGATGAGGAGCGTCGGAGCGAAATGGGCGCCTTTTATCGTGACGACAACCGTGACCAGGCCGAGGTCCGCGTGCGCCCATCCGCCAATCACCGCGCGGGAGCTGGGTCGGGAATCGGGCGGCGCCTCACGCCCGCCGTCGGCAGCGCAAATTCGATCCTGCGGCCTTGCCTGTCTGCACCCCTCGAACGCAGTCTGGGCTTGCGCGCGCCCCTTCGCACGCCGCCACCGATCCAGAACAGGGCACTAGTGGGCACTCGCTGCCCGTCCGTTCACCACGAACTACAGACACAATATGTATATAGCGACCGACGTGTGCTACTAGGCGCCTCGCACAGTCTCTCACCGCCTCGCCTTGGCCTTCGGGCCCTCCCTCCCAGTGCGCTTGCCAGTCGGCAGGCTCTTCATGTGCGCCGCCTTGGCCCTATTTTTGTTCTTGACGTTGGCCTCAGAGTAGAAATTCGTGGCTTTGCGCTGAGGATCACGATCGTCAGCCGTGAAGAGGAGAAGAGGGTACCCGTGACGTACCTTATTTGTCTTCATGCGCGACGCCTTTTCCTGCGCCTTGCCTTCTTGACCCTCCTCGTCTGAATCGAGTAGATCAGTTTGAATGGATTCGTCAACAATCACGGTGGTGAGCCTACCTTGAGTATCAGCACGAGCGGAAGATGTGTCTTCCGCAGGAGCAGCGGGCTCCGCGGTGAATCCGGTCCAGACGTCGTCCCAGGTCATCTCATCGTCCTCTTCGTCCTCCGCGCCCACTTCTTCCGCATCTTCCCCTGACGACCCATCGTCGTCTTCTTGGGCTGCCTCTGCGTCCGAATCCTCCTCTACGGTCTCCTCCACCTCGAGCGGCCGGACATCATCGTCGACGAACGTGTTCTTCTGCATGATGGACCCCAAGTTTTGCTTGACGCCCGGCACGACACGTTCGTCCTTCCCGACAGCTTTCTCCTTCCCCTTGCCCTCCTTGATGGCCTTGACCTTCGCCGCCTTCGCCTCGGCCTTGTTGAGCTCATCCGGGCGCTCGGGCGGAGGGACGAAGAATGGTATCCGCCCGCGCACCCAGTCGCTAAGCAAGATCTTCGCAACCGAGTCCAGGTCCGGCTCGCCCTGCTTCAACAACCGCCCCTTCATCCTCGCCAGCTTGTCCAACAACTCCTCCGGCTCCCAGCTCTTCGAGTGGTCGTTCTCGTCCGGTAGGGGCACGCCGTACGTGCGCGAGAGGTAAATCGGCTTCACGCGCTCCATCAGCGCTGGGATGTGCTCGGAGGGCGTTGGCAGCGCCTCCACGCGCACTACGCCTTTCAGCACGGTCGACGTCTGCGAGTCGTGCGCGGAGGTAGGGACGACGCCCGGGCAGTCGATGAGGTAGATGCGCTTGGTGAGCGTGATGTACTGCCAGACTTTGGTCTCGCCGGGCACGGGCGCGACGCGGCAGACCTTGCCGCTCTTGAGCGTATTGATAACGCTCGACTTGCCAACGTTGGGATACCCGACGAAGCCGACGGAGATCTGCTTCTTGTCGGAGTGTAGCTGGGAGAACTGGCGAAGGAGCTGGATGAGCGAGCCCTTGCCGAAGGAGTGGTTGGGGGAGGCGTGGAAGGCGATGGTGGGGTAGCGGGGGGTGAGGTGTTGAATGTAGCGGGCCTGCAAAACAGTCAGAATAGCCTACAAAGGGGAAGTTCAAGCAACATACAGTAACCCAGTTCGGGACCAAGTCGCACTTGTTGATGACGAGCACGACCTGCTTGTGCGCCTTCTCCTTCTTGATGAACTCCAGGATGGACTCGCACATGGTGCCCAGGGGGTCGCGAGCATCGAGGACGTGAAGGATGACATCCGAGGAGTCGATGACCTTGTACAGCTCGCCGTAGATGCGGCGGGACGTCCCCTTCGCGTAGATGGGCTCGTAGAAGTCGGCGTGCGTTTGCGGCTCGAGAACTTCAACGGGAGCAGCGGCCGATCCCTCCTCGGGCTCCGCGGCGGCCTCGTTCGCAGCATCTGCGAGCTCGGCGAACGACCCAACCTCAACGCGGGGGCGCTTGCGCTGCGCTTTGGGGCCGAAGGTATCGGAGAAGGGTTCGGTCTCGACGATGTGGGAGCGCTGGGATGGATTAGTGATGGTTCAGTGTGAGGGGGAAGTATGCGCACCTTGCGTGCATTCGGATTGGCCGCATCGTCAAGAAGCGCCATAGGGAGCTTGTTCCTCCGCAACAGCACAGAGTAGGGGTCATCCTTCTTCGTCGCAAGGCTCGTCCTGAAGTGATCGAGGGCCGTCTGGGAGATCACCCTAGTGTTCCCTGTGTCAAGTTCAGCGGAGGGAGTGATCGAGTGGTGTACGACCACTCACCAAACCACCGCCGGTCAGGCTGCACCCTCCCAGGCTTCGTCTCGTCCTCCCCCTTCTGGAATGCCGCCGCCTCGATGATTTTGCCGTCCTTGTCGCGGACGGGCTTGCCGCCGTTGAGCATCTTCAGGCGCGCGACCTGCTTCGCATTGCGGTAAAAGTTCTCCCCCTTCACGCGCTTCAGGGAGATCTGGGAAGCGGAGGAGCGCGGCTTGGACGAAGATCCTGCATTTTTGGATGGGGGCGCCATCGTCGGAGGGGATGATGAGCGCTAGTCGGAGACTTTTTTTGATAGATCCCAAACAGGCAACAAATGGGTGTGACAATGTGACGCGGGCACGCATTAGATTCCATCTCTCCTCCTCCACTCATGTGCACCTTTTCACAATAGCATATGCCGGCAGGCGGGATATTTCTTCTACGGATGAATGGTGTAGTCTCGAACGACGCAGTCTACTGAGAGAAGTCAACCGGGGGCAGCGAAAATGTGGCCCCGCGCCGTTTTGTTCTCACCTTCGAACGTGCCTCGAAAACACAGGACTGTCGCAATCCCCACGGCTTCTCAAAAGCTGCTCACAATAACATCTACCCCTATTGTCTGCTAATAATTGTCTAGCAGGCAGCTTCGCACGAGGGAGGGCGCGCTTATAAGCTTGCGACATTCCATCTACGAGCCAGCATCTTTAGACACCGCGCATCTCGCTCTACGCCCTAGTGCCTTCCCCTACTTCTTGACCCTCACGACCTCACTGACGTCCTGACCGGGTGCTCCGCTTTCATCCTCTCGCCTCGTTCTTGCTGCGTGCCTCATAACTTCAGTGCGTGTCATGTTCAATCCCTTCCCGAAGCTTTGAATCGCTGACTCAGGCTACTTCAGTGTCTTCCCCTGATATGTCTACTCATAGTGGCACCACGGCTTCGTCGACTGGCTCGACTGGCTTGGATGGTCCTCGTTCCGGTTTTGCTGGTTCTAATTCTGCCGGTCCAGCTAACCCGGCTGGTTCTCGTATCGCTGGCTCGGTTTCCCGTTCTGCACACTCGACCCACTCGACCCATTCAGTCCGTGCAGCTGAGTTTGCTGGCCCCGCCGGTCCAGCCGGTCCAATGGATCTGGATATAGCCGTGACTGAAGATCGTCGTCGCGGCATTATCGCGCGCCTCCTTGGTCGCAGCCGCATTCCTCCAGTCCGCTTTTTCACCGTTCATGTGGATCATGAAGACCTGGCGTTCGTCCTCGGGCGCGTCCAGGATCACTTCCGAGCTACGCCAACGCTGCGGCGTGCCGCCTCCGTCCTTCACTTGAATCGGGCTTACCGGGAGCATGCTCTCGGTAACACTGACGACCAAGGCAATCCCCGTCACGATGTCGATGATGGACGCTCGCATGGACCGGCTTGCGCGGATGCTCAGACCAGTCCTGTGCCTACCCTTCTAACATATCCATCGCCGGACCACGTCCCTGTCGATGATGGCGCCCAACCGGACCTCACCATGCAGTCAAACATACCCACAATTCCCTCCGAAAGCCCTGGTTGGTCACCCATGAACCGTTCTGCTCACACCGGTTGGATCTCTACGAGATCTCTGACGCGAAGTACCCCCATTCCTTCGGGGCTCTATTCTCAACTTCGTGGGACGGGGCTCTCGCGCCCGTCGGAACCGCCCACTGGTCTGCCAGCTGGGCTGCTCCTTGCTCCTGACGATTCGGGTCCAAGCACTCATGGCCTTGGTCGTGCGAGGGGCGACGGTCAGCAGCCACCCAACTCCCCGACAGACCATCGCAACGCCTCAGGTACGGAAACGGGTCAGCGGCGACTGCAGACCGCTTCTGGGGGCGACACTCCTTCGCAAGGGGCGGCAGCCTCTTGGTTTCGTGCTACGGACGCCCAACCTCCGGCCTTGAGTGACATTAATCCTCACCCCGAGGTCAACGATGCAGTTCCGGCTGTCGTTCAGGCTGCGTATCCCGGTCAGGAAGCCGAGCTGACGTACCTATCATTTTCTGAGACCAAAGTTAAGGAGAATGGACTTTTCGTCGAGCGAAAGCTCCTGATCCGCGTCGGGACGAAATTCCAGCTGAAAGACTCCTTGACCGAGCCTTTCAGTAAAGGGCTCCATAAGGCTTGCACTGCTGGCAAAGCGCGCGAAGACGAGTTGACACAGCTCTCCGTAGAGTGCCATCAATACCGAATTCGCGGCGGAGCATATTCAGGCGGAGACGTCCTCGAGAGGATTTTCCTCGATCTTCGCCCAATTCTGCGGCGCTTTCTCGAGGTTGATGTCATCTTCAAGGAGAAGGACGGGAGTACGAATAACGCGGGAGCATCAGAGATTCAGAGTCTCATTGCCGGGGAGTTTTCGCACCTATCCCGCGTACGACTCGAGGGAAAGACTACGACCACTCGGCTTCTCACCTTCCCTTTGCAAAACCTGCGCACACTGGAGGTACTGACGAGTCTTACCGAAGCGGACTGCCTGCGCCTCCTGGACTTATGCAGCGAGAGGCTGGATGTTCTCGTTGCGGGACCCATCGATCGCGTCAACGAGGACTGCCTTGCGGAACATTCATGGGAATCGACCGGCGGGCGGTCCTCACCTCATGTCTATCCTTCGACCATGCGCATCAGCTCGCCCTTGCCATGCAAGCAGTTGCTGGCTGACATCCCCTCCGACCTGGTAGATCTTCACTTCAGGCTCACCGATGCACACGGGTTTGTCGATGTTCAAAGTATCTTCGACGATAAGGGCCAAGCTTGTCAATGGACTTTGCATCTAATATGACCCATTCCGTGGCGCTTATGAGGGCACGCATATCTCCTACCCGTGTCTTAAATGTACAATCGAGTATACTAAATTGAAATATTACTTATCAACGAATAATACTGCTCTGCTTCAACGGAGCTTGTCGTGTAAAAAATCTGGCCCGGGACAAATGGTCGCAAGTCGAAAGCGTCTTCCCATCCCAGCCTCCGCCCGCCTGTATAATAGCGTTTGTAACGCACGACTTCGAGATATTGCAGAGTCGAGCTTCGAAGAAGAGCGAGAACACCATCTCCTTGGTCCTTCACTGGCCAGTGAATGGCAAGCATCCTGAGACGCGCTTTTGACTTGCAGAGCATGCGCTCTATCTCGTGTCCATCTATCTCCATTCGCGACATATCCAGGCGATCAAGAGCGGGAGCAGTCAACGAGGAATAGAATGGCTCCCAATTGATTGCCCCACGCAGCATCAGGACTCGCAGGTGAGGAAGATGTATAGATGAGTGGATCAAAAGCTGTCCGCCAGCATCCCGAAGCGATAGCGGTGTGATGCCAATTAGGAGGACTTCGAGTTTGACGCAACTGCTGAGAAAGGGCAGAAGCATGTGTGGATCCATGGAGTGCAAGCCAAGCCTCGTGAGCTGGTGCAAAGGGGCCGCGACAAGTCCAGCCCGGGAATAGTGCTGGGCCATCCAGTCAACTGACCCCAGCTGGGGGGAAGTGCAGAACAGATCCCATAGCATGGTGTCCGAGGTGGACGCACCGGCACGTCCGTGCCAGAGATAGATGCGTGCGTTGCGAAGAGAGCTAAACGACCCACGTGGCAGAGTCACCAGAGGCTGCAAAAGCTCGCGTTCATCGAAGAGCTCGATAGAGATCTCTGACCACCGATGGGCGTTAGCAGCCACAAGCGACATGAAGCGAGGGTCGACACCCATTTCGTCGGCGTCTGTTCTCAGGCTTTTGCTGATCCACAGCGTAAGAGATAACCCAGCAGAGTATGCCAAACACCGCTTTAGAGTGCTCGCGGCTTCCCTTGTGGGATATTCGACGTCGACGATGGTCCACAGCGCGGGATAACCACGTGTGATATTCATCCATCGCGAGCAGACGCGTCCGAGGGCGACTGCAGTCCTGCTATAGAGCGTCACCTTGAGAGGGTCCAAGTGAAAATCGTGCATCGTGAGATCACGCGGAAATCCGGACGCAGGACTCGGGTCACCGCATATCAAGAAGATTCCGCAAAGTATCTCGTTTGGCAGGCGATTGATTGGAGGTTGCTCATGACAAGACATATTGTACGGCATCGCGCAAGCTAAGGAGAGAGTGAGAGGTGAGCTGACATGATGAGTCTAGATTGACGCACGCAGTGAATAGAGGGGCGCGTTCCTTGGCTGTAGGACGTCTATCCCGCCCAAAGGGTGATCGGCATGATATGACCCTGAACAGGATAGTTCAGCATGTGCAACGCTCGTTTGAAGGGATATATATACCCGAGGACGACGAGCAGTCAGGGCGGGTAGATGAGATTTGGTGTTGCTGCGCGCTGTCCGACCCAAGCTCTTGTGAATTATGAGCAACCTCCGCGAGACATGTTAGGCTGAGCTATACCTTCGTTCACTTCTTCCTCTTTCGTACAAACATGATATCGAGGCACATTACGACCTGTAGTAGAGTCAGTAAGTCGGAGCAGAGACAATCCTGGCCCAGATTAGACGCACCTGCGTAACATACGCCGAATGTGGTGTAACTCCGACCTGGAGCGCCAAGAGCTCTTTTTTCTGTGCTCATGACTATGTCCAGCGATCAGGAATCTTCCGACGAAGGCTCATGGATACGTCCGCGGACCAGTGCACCGATGGATAAGATCACGAGTCAGCGCTCAGATGGTCGCCTTGAGCGGGGAGCCTAAAGCAACGAGAGAAAGGGTTCGTGGGGTGTCCCGTAACCCTCAGGAGTGCGCGTCGGTTTATACGACGCCATTGTGAGAAACGCATTCATCGCATACATGGCAATTGTGGACAAGACAGGAAGGAGTTGCGACCGGGCCGACGCTTCTTGGTGGCACGTGCTATTCATGTGACGCAGGTTGAAGTTTCGGTGACAACTTGCGCAGGCCACTTTATCCATCCTGTGCGAGTTTTCGACCGTCGTTAATTTGGTAGCTGATATATGCAGTACAGAATACATTGTACCCGGTTCCCATGACGTTGTCTTCGAACCTTGGGGTGAGGACTAGCATTGCGCATAATAATATTGCCCAGGGGTTCACGACGTCAAGAAAGTGGAGGGTGAAATCCGACGAGTCGACGATTTTGTATATCTTGTCGTATATGCGACAAGAAATCCCCTCCCCGTGGATGGCCACATGTCGGCATGGATTTGCGGCTCGGGGTCTTCAGCGGGAGCAGCGGGCGATCCCTCCTCGGGCTCCGCAGTAGCCGCGTTCGCGGCATCCGCGAGTTCGGCGAACGACCCAACCTCAGCGCGAGAGCGCTTGCACTGAGCCCTGGGGTTGAAGGTGTCGTAGAAAGGTTCAGTCTCGACGATGTGGGAGTGCTAAGGAGGGAATCAGCGATAATTCCTCACGAAGGAGAAGTATGCGCACCTTGCAAGCATCAAGGTTAGCTGCATCGTCAAAAAGCGCCATAGAGAGCTTACTCGCTCGCAGGAGAGCGAAGTAAGGTTCATTCTCCGTCGTCGCAAGAGTCATCCCGAAGTAGTCGAAGGTAGTCTGGGAGATTACCTTCGTATTCCCTGCGCGAGCGTCAGGGGAGGGAGCGATTAACGACCATACGGCCACTCATCGAGCCACCTTCAATCGGACTGCACCTCCTTCGGCTTCGTTTCTGAAGCGCCGCCGCCTCGATGATCTTCTCGTCCTTGTCGCGTGCCGCCGTTAAGCATCTTCAAGCGCGCGACCTGCTTCACATGGTAGAAATTTTACTCTTCGGGAAGGTATGGGAGGCAGAGAGCAGGGCTTTTGAGGGGGGGCCATTGTCCGCGAGGATGATGGGCGCGCGTGCTCCGCAAAACTTTGATCATGAGAGGAACAGCCCAAACCGAATGAGTGTGACAAGCACGGCGTGACACGAACCGGTCGTGGGAACAGACAATTCCGTCTTTTCTCTTCCGCGCATGTGCACTTCCGACAATGACATACTTTGTGCGGCGGGCTTTTCTATAACTCTTGGTGCTTGAGGGTCACTAAACGGCCAAGTCTGATGAGAGAATTTCGGCCGGGGTAGCGAATGTGGCCCCGCGCCGTTTTGTTCTCATCTCCGAATGTGCGTTGAAAACACAAGACAATTGCAGTGCCTATGGCCTTTCGAAAGCTGCGCACAATAGCACTTCCGCGTATTGTCTACGGCTGACTGTCCATTGGAAAGCTTCGCACGAGCATGGCCGCGCTTATAAGCCCAGGACATTCCATCTCCGATCCAGCATCTTCGGACACGCCACAACACGCATCTCACTTTACGGCCTGGTGCCTTCTACGGATTACTGACGCTTACGACCTCCCCGACGTCTTGCACGACCACCCGCTTCCCTCCTCAGACGCTTCCTGCTTTCTCTCTTGCGTGCCACATAACCCGAGTGAGTATGCTCTCTCGCCCTTTCGTATGGTACTGAGCATGCTGCCTTCAGTATATTACTCTCATACGTACGGCAGAGCTTCCCCATCAGCTGGCTTGATGGATCCTCAGGACCTGGCAGTGACCGTGACCGAAGACCGGCATCGCAGCGCTATCGCGCGCCTCCTCGGTCGGAATCGCACCCCCTCACTCCGCTTCTTCACGGCTCGCGTGAACTCCCAGAATCTGGCCGCCATCGCGCGGGCTATGAACAGCCACCGAGCCATGTCGCCCAGTCATCTGGACGAAGCACAAGCTAGCGATGACCCTAGCGACTTTCCGGGCCACAATCCTGTTGGAGAACGCTCGCAAAGGGCGACTAGCGAGGCCAGTGGTGAGGCTCAGGCCAGTCCTGTGGTCACCATTGTGCCGTATCCTCCCGCCGACTCTGTCTCGAGGTCGGATACCGCTCCTTACACTGCTCCGTACACTCAAGCCGGCATCAATGACGCACCTACCATCGCTTCTGAAAGCGATACCGAATCGCACAGTTTCCCTTCTGGATCTGGCGAGAGCTCGACGCCGACTTTGACGGCGAGCTCCCCGCTTTCGACCATCTCCATCATTCGCCACTCGCGGCTTACGCAACCGCTGCAGTCTCCCGCTACTCAGGCAGCTAGGTTGCGCGGGTATCTCGAGGATCCGGGTCCGAGTACTGCTCGCTCACGGCCTCATGCGGCCGGCGGTGGTCATCGGCTCTCGAATGCCACGGCCGACCCGACGGATACACCTGTCGGGCAGCAGCGGCTGGACTCAATCTCTGAGGTCAACGCTTCTTCGCAGGAGGCAGCCTCGCAACCTCCTTCTCCCGCCGAACCCGCATCTTCTGCACACGACTCCGAGTCCAGCGATGCCGATCCCGCGGCCGCTCAGGCTGCGAACCAGCATGGCCACGAAGACGACCTGACATACCTTTCTTTCGAGGTCCAGAAGGTCAACAAAGGTCCTTTCGTTGACCACAGGCTTTCAATTCGTGTTGGGAAGCGGTATCAGCTGGGTGACCTTCGATCTGCACCATTCACCCAAAGGCTCGATGAGGTTTTCGAGGTCTGCGAGGCTTCGCAGTTCGCCTTTACCGAACTGTTCTTGGACGTCCTCGAGTCCACGGTCAGGGGCGGCGGACTCAATGGGAGGGATGCGTTCATTCAGATCCTTCTTCGCCTAGTTCCGCACTTACGGAACTTGCATCACGCGTCCGTCAAGTTCTATCACGACGAGAGCGCGTATGCACTCGGTGATGCTTCCGCGCAAGAGCTGCAGTCTGTCTTACTTGCTTTCCCAAGGTTGCGCCATCTTCAGCTTGAGGGCAACACTACACTCACGCGCCTGCGAACATTCCCTCTCAGGCAGTTGCGCAAGCTCGAAGTTCTCACGGAAGTGAGCGAGAGTATCGTTGAGGGATTAGCATTGTCTTGTCGCAAGTTGGATACCCTCATAGCTGGGCCTGTGGTCCCAGATACCACCGGCCAGGATTTCCCGGAGACGTCTGCAAACACGCCCGCCCACGGGCAGGCTGGTTTTCCATCTTTCCTGAGGATCTTCTCTGCACATCCATGCGAGAAGCTCTTGGCTACTGCGTCACGCGGTTCAGTCGAGGTCGACTTCACGCTCACCAACGCACAATACTTGCCTGATGTTCGGGAATCCCTCGGTAAAAACCCTGCATCGGTTATACGGATTGTATGATGTTTCCATAGTAGTGACGACTCTTAAATATATATTGATGACATCTACCAAGACTACGACGGGCTAGCTCCATACGATGATGTACCTTCACATAATTTTATGTACGACTGTTCAGCCTCAGCAGCGCCCACCGCCTGTATCACTCCTTGCGGGATAAATGGACGCAAATCAAATGCATCTTCCCATCCAATATCAGCCGACCCCGGGTAGGATATAGTATAGCGCAAAATCCGGAGGCTTCGCAAAGGGGGACTACGGACGAGAGAGAGCATGATGTCTCCCTGGCCCAATCCGGGGCGATATATGGTGAGCATCCGGAGACGCGCTGACGACCGAACAAGCATGCGCTCAATATATGGCCCTATGTTGATACGCGCTACGTCAAGGCGATCAAGAGCAGGTGCTGTTAGCGAGTTGCAAAGGGGCGCCCAGTCATAGGGCCCGCATAGCATGAGCACTCGCAGGCGTGGCAAATGGCTTGAAAAGGGAATAGGTAATGTCTGAAGGCCCGCAATGCCCAAAGCCATTGGCTCGATCTGGATGCAAAGGAGCTCGAGGCTGGTGCATGTACTGAGAACGGCGGGGACCATGTCCGGCATAGCAGAGTGCATGCCAAGACTGGTGAGCTGTTGTAGAGGAGCGGAGGCAAGTCCCGATCGGATGAAGTTGGTTCGGGTGAGGTCTACGCAGCGCAGTTTCGGTGAGGTGAAAAACATATTCCACAGACGAGTGTCCAAGGTGTCCTCTCGCGCCTCCAGTTTTTGGAATTCGATGCGCCCCTGTTCCAGGGAGCTAAAGGCGCCATGCGGAAGTGATACGAGAGGCTCCAAGACCCTGATTTCGTCTAGAAACTCCATAGAAATCTCCCTCCACCGATGAGCATCTGCCGCGACAAGGGACATGAAGCGTGGGTCGACTGCTCTCTTCCGAGCATCCGGATCCAGGGATCTCGTAATCCACAAGGAGAGCGGAAGGTCGGACGAGTACCTCAGACAGAGCGTTAGAACGCTTGTGGCCTCCTTCGTCGGGTACGCGATGTCCACGACTGTCCACAAGGAAGGAAAGCCACGTGTCACAGCGTACCAGCGCACGCAAACGCGTCCGAGAAGAGCGGCGGACCTGCTGTATCTCTGGATTTCGTACCTCTCCTTGCCGTATGTGTGCATTCCTATATCGCGCGGGTACGCGGACGCTGAGCTCGGGTCTCCGCAGATGAAGAATATCGCGCATAATATTTCGTTTGGAAGGCGATCAATTGCGGGCTGACAGGACGTCTTGCGGGACATTGCAGACACTGCAGAAGGGGTCAGTACATGAGTTGTCATGCTGGGGTCGGGATGAACGTACGCAAGGAGCGTATGCGTGCCCTTCCTGGCTTGTCGACGACGGAACGCTCAGCGAGAGTGGGGATAATGTCGTGATTTTTTGGGACGCTCATATCGGGCGCTTGGGAGGGGTCAGCATTGCTAGAGCGGCAACAGTGGATATTTGCTCACTGATATGCGCCCTGACGTCTTCCGCGCCCCGAGAACCACGGCCATGGGGTTGGGTACGACCTATGCAAGTTCAGCAAGCCTGCTGACGTGCCGAATAGGAGGCTCACCTGCGTACACAACTCTGCTTTCCCCGCGTCCGGTACCGCGTGTATCTATCGCATGGACAGCCCCCTCTCCCATGTCCATCATTGCGCGAAATTATCGAAGGTAGTCGGCGAAGGCTTATTGAAGTCGTATCCACGAGCGCGAACCAGCACGCAGCGATTACAAAGAGGGAGGTCGTGAGGAGGAGATCATCTCCTCGTAGTGAAGGCGAACTGACTTATACGACGCCCGGGTGGGAAGTACATTCATCGCCTACATGGCAATTGTGGACAAGAAAGGAAAAGGTCGAGACCAGGTCGCCTCTTTTGATGGCACATGATTTTCATGTGACCAAGGTTGAACTCTGGGTAATTGGAAATTCGCTCTGGCAGAGCAGACGTGGGCTGTCTTTCAAACGTTCTTTTCAAAGTCTCGCAGAGGGGACATGGTGAGTATCATAAGCCAGACGGTCTTTGATTCCAGGTCGTAACTCAGTCGCAAACATCATATTGTATGTATATGTATGCGAGTTCACAGAGTATTTCTACTCATGCGTGTGTAGCGCCGCTCAGCTTCAGCAGCATTGTCCGTAAGCAGTACATGTGGCGATACATACGTCTGAAGACCGTGCCACTGCAGATATGGCTGGTTATCAAACACGGCCTCGCCGCCTATATCAGAGGTCTCGCGTCGGTGGGGAAGTTTACAGCTCAAAATTTCCAGATCCTGCAAAATCCGACTACGAATAAAGTCCAGGAAGTCTGCTTCTCGGCCCAATATAGGGCGATGAATAGTGAGCATTCTGATGCGTGCAGACGACCGCGCAAGCATGCTTGCGACATGATGATATGGGATCTCCGAGTACGCCATATCGAGGCGATCAATGACAGGTGCCGTCAGGGATGTGAAAAGAGTAGTCCAGTCAATCGATCCCCTCAGCAGAAGAATGCGCAGATGAGGCAAATGGATGGGTGTTACAAAGGGCAGAAATATGTTGGTCTTCTTGAATTCGATGCAGAGAAGCTCGAGTTTGGTACAGTTCTTGAGAAGTGGAGCAACCATATCTGGCTCAGCATCGTGCAGCCCAAGGCTGGTAAGCTGCCGCAAGGGTGCGAGAGGAAGCCCTGATTGAAAGCATTGCGTCCGCGCTAAGTCCATGCAGTTGAGTTTCGGCGACGTCAAAAACAGCTTCCACAAGTCGTCGTATATCGTAGCGTAGTCCGGCTGCTGGCGCATTATGACGAAGGCGACACGCGCTCTTCCTAGGGAGCTGAAAGCGCCAGAAGGAAGGCAAGTGAGAGGCTGCAGAATGCGACGCTTGACGTCAAGTAACTCGATAGATATTTCCTGCCATCGATGAGCGTGTTTTGCGACGTTGGCCATAAATCCTGGGTCGACCTCTTGGTATTGCACTTGCGTATATTGGCTGATCCACAGAGTGAGTGGCAGGCCGGCAGAGTATCTCAGACAGAGGTTCAGAACGCTCTTAGCCTTCGTTGAGGGGTATGCGACGTCCACCAGAGTCCACAGCGCAGGGAACCCACGTGTCACGGCATACCAGCGCGAACAGACGCGTCCTAGAATGGCGGCGGATCTACTGTACGCCATCCTGCACTCCTTCACAGCGTAGAAAGTATGCATTTCAGCGCAGCGAGGAAATGCGGATGTAGGGCTTGGATCGCCGCACAGGAGGAAGATAGCGCAAAGCAATTCATTCGGCAGGCGATCCATGAGAGACTGCGAGTTGCAGGTCTTCTCGCATGTATCTGCGGTCACTGCGAAGTTGGTCGGTACATGTGGGTTTGCGAGGGAATGACGAACGTACGCAAGGAGCCCGAAGGCGCGTTGTCCGACTTGTTAACGGCGATATTCCGGCGTACAGCCAGATTGTGGGAGGTGTCGTGATGACCTATTAGGGCGATCGCGTCGAGCGCCTGAAAGTACTCAGTCTTGTCGATTTGGCGGCGCGCGCCTTGCGCACGACCAGCTTTCTTGTAATCACCCATTTCTGCGCATTTCGGTCAGGAGGGATGCGTGGAAAGCTCTCTCTAGTCAGCAACGCACCTCCAGTCGCGTTTGGGGGCGCAAGTCAACGACAGTCGGTGGGGGGTGGGAGAGGCAAGTGTCAGTGGGGTGCTCTTGGTCGCAGGTGCGCGTCGTTTTATGCGGTCTCCTTGGGTGAAAAGCCATTCATCGCGTACATGGCAATTTCGCACGAGAAAGGAAAGCGTGTGAAGACAGAGGTCAAGGCTTGGCCGACACCAAGGCCGATGCGTTGGCCTCTTGATGCCACGCGCTCTGCATGTGACCTATGTTCAACTTTCGGCAGTTAGCGACCTTGCCACCAGGACTACGAGGCGAGCATTGACCGTACATCTCTACCTAGCCTCATCGTGAAACCTTCATCGCATGCAGTGAGTAAGTCGCCTACGCCAGAATTCGACGGGTGACGGGTAGTGGGTGCTGCAAGTATATTTGAAGCGCTGGCGTCACCATGTACCGAGTAGGGTCGTTCCGCTTCAGCGGCGTCAGTCATATAGTATAGAGTATACCTTCCAAAATATGTGGTCGCAAAACGAACCTATCCTCCCAGCCCAGATAGGAGTTCCCTAGCGTGGCTCAGACATAATGTACAATCTGCAAAGTCCCCGGAAGCGGGCTAAGAACGAGGACTAGACTCCCTTCAGATTGAGGTATGCTCGATGAGCGCGTGCGAGACGTCGAGTCGAGAAAGAAGACCACAAAGATGTTGAAAATAGGCGCTTATAGATCGAACGAGCGCCGTCATGATAGCCGTGTATACTGCGTCCGCGTCAGCTTCGCGCAGCGCAACTTCGGGGAGGTGAGAAAAGCCGGCATAGCTTCGTATCCTCGTCATACTCTTCAGCAGCCTGCCGATGAACGTGTATGCACGCCATTTCAAGCGTTGTGAAAAGAAGTTCGGCGCAGTACTTCAAGCGGCGTTCGAGGGCATATGTGGCTTCCCTCCTCGGATAGTCGACGCCGACCATGAAACAGAGAGCAGGGCAGCCGTGGGTAGCCTCGAACCATCGCAAGCAGACGTGTCCGAGAATGACTGCGGTCTTGCTGCATAGCTTCACCTCGAGAGGGTTCATACCAAAGTCGTGCATGACTGGATCGCGTTGGAAATGGGACGCGAGGCTCGATTCCCACACATGAGGAAGATCGCGTTGAGCATCTAGTTTGGCAAGCGGTCGACGATCGACCGTATCGAACTGAAAGGAATAAGTATGTGTCTCGACGACGACTCGTAGAGCAGGTCCTTACCTGAGGACCTCGCGGGGGATTCACGACCATGCGGGTAAACCTGACGAGGGGCCATTTATCGATGATCGCACGGAAGGCGACTGCAATTGTGGCTGAGAAGGGAAAAGTACCATGTAAGAATGCCGATACATCGTACGGCACGTGTACACGGTGCACTCGAGGAAGCCGTTTGATCACTCTGGACGGAGCACTCCTTCTAATCTATACGCGAAACGCCTGTATCGCCCTCGTAGATCCTGTTATAAAGAGAGTGAGGGAAATCGTGGCACTAGACCAGGATTGGAAGTGCAGCGTCCTTTAGGCGAGATTCAGTAAGAAGCATGAGAGCTATACAGGCGGCCCTCGACGTCAAGCAAGCCCTCAAGAAGTGGTATAGGCCTCTGTTGTTCAAGTCGCCGGCGAGAGTTGGAGTAGAGGTGGAAACATGCCAAAACGGGCAACAAATCTGTGTGACCGCGAACTAGGGTGTGACATGATGCGGCCCGGCGCTAACGCTGCTCTCCTGCTGTTCTCCTCTGTTCGACCCAGGTTGAACTCGCCCAGTCCCCCTCGCTGCTCAGCAGCTCCAGGCTGCAGGTCAGGGGCGCGCATACACCTATATTGAAGCTCGGACTGCTTGATTACGACCTATGTTTTCGCCTAACGCTGTCTCCGCTGCTCCCTCGAAGCAGAATGCGCGCGGGTATGAGCGCGGTGCGTGATATACCCTTCTTGCTCGAATCGCATATTGAGGATGAACAGATCCCCAGTATGTGAAGACAGGCGCCAAATTCCAAGTAGGCCCGGACCAGGGCCCTCCCCCACCCCATGAATACCGCGCACGCGTACCCCCGAATGAGGAGGCGAGCCCAGAGAGCGCGATGCACACCTCCACCACCGACGCCGTCCTGGACACCGCTCCCCCCATCCCTTACTGGAACACCAAGCGCCATCTGACCTGCGGCAACCCTACCCCCGCCCCATCATGGTCAGCCAAGCCTACGGCGTGGAGGCCAGCGCCCGGCAAGCTCAAGACGTCTTACGCCGCGCTCGTGCTCTGCCTCAACATTGATGTCGATCCCCCAGACGTGGTCAAGACGAACCCCTGCGCGCACCTCGAGTGTTGGGTCGATCCGCATTCAATGCCCTCGCACAAGGCCCTTGAGGCGATCGGCAACAACCTGAAGCACCAATTCGAGTGCTTGAGCTTGAAGATCCCATACAAGCCTATACTAGATCCGTCGTACGAGGACCTGCGGAGATTCTGTCAGTCTCTGCGGCGGCAAGCTCAGGATGACGCGGTGCTATTCCACTACAATGGACATGGTGTGCCGAAGCCAACTGCGAGCGGCGAGCTGTGGTGCTTCAACCGTGACTATACGCAGTACATCCCAGTATCGCTGCAGGAGGTGCAGAACTGGCTAGGGGCGCCGGGCGTCTACATCTGGGATTGCTCCGCCGCTGGCCACCTCCTCACCAATTTCAACATATTCGCTCAGCGCCGAGACCAGGAGATGCAGCTGCAGCCGGGCGTGTACGGGAGCAAACCCCCCTACGCGTCCTCGCTGCAGCTAGCGGCGTGCCTGGCGCATGAGCAGTTGCCGTCGTGCCCAGAGTTGCCGGCGGACCTATTCACGTCCTGCTTGACGTCGCCGATAGACATCGCGCTGCGGTTCTTTCTCATGAACCATCAACTGCCGAACAACATCAAGATCGACATGGTCTTGCAGTTGCCGGGAGACTTGAAGGATCGCAAGACGCCGCTTGGGGAGCTGAACTGGATATTCACCGCCATCACGGACACCATCGCGTGGACGACTTTTGACCACGACACCTTCACCCGCCTATACCGCTGTGACCTGCTTATCGCATGTCTCTTCCGTAATTTCCTCCTCGCGGAGCGTATCATGAAGAATTACTCATGCACGCCACACACGTCGCCCGCTCTACCACCGACGAACACACATCCACTGTGGGCGACTTGGGATCTGGCTGTTGATACGTGTCTACGCCAACTCCCCAGTCTCCTCTACATCACGCCAGAAGACCCGAAGGCGGCAGCACCCAGCCCACCGCAGAGTGGCACGAACGTGGCCGTGCCAGGGCGCATTGGCCAGATGTATCGCCAGCAGGACAAGAACGCACCTCCGATACCGGTGCCGCCGGAGGGCAAGAAGCCCTACGTCTACATGCCCAGCCGCTTCTTCTCCGACCAGCTTACCGCCTTCGAGGTGTGGATATCGCGTGGCGGGTCCGCCCTGACGAGAAGGGGGCCTATGTCACTTCCCTCGTCGGGAGAGCGGGGTGCCTCAGAGGAAGCACTCGATCAGAAGGCGGAAATGCAGCAGCTGCTCAATGGCCAACACCATCTGGTACCCAGGAAGCCGCCTGACCAGCTGCCAATCGTGCTGCAGGTCCTGCTGTCGCAGCCGCACCGGCTCCGCGCGCTCATCCTGCTCTCGCAATTCGTGGACCTCGGACCGTGGGCGGTCAATCTCGTCCTCACCATCGGCATCTTCCCCTACATCTCCAAGCTCCTGCAGGCCGCTGGGCAGGACCTCCGCCCCGTCCTCATCTTCATCTGGGCGCGTATCATGGCCGTGGATCCCTCTGTGCAGAACGACCTCTACGCGTCGCACGGGTACAAGTACTTCTCGAACATCCTCAGCCTGCGCGACGAGCACGCGCTGCCGAACAGCTCCGAGCACAAGGCGATGTGCTCGTTCATCCTCTCCGCGCTCTCGCGCGACTTTGTACACGGGCAGAATGCATGCCGCCACGAGCGTGTGTTCGACAACTGCTTCGATGCGCTGAACGACGGGGACTTCCTCCTCAGGCAGTGGTCCGCGCTGTGCATCGCGCAGATGTGGGACGCGAACGACGAGATGAAGATTTATGGGGTGGACCATGGCGCGCAAGACCGTCTCGTGGGCTTACTGTCCGACGACTCGGTCGAGGTGCGATGTGCGGCGCTTTACGCGCTGGGCACGTTCTTTGGCGCAAGTGGGTCGGCGAACCCCCAGAAGCGCGGCGGCGGAGGAACAGGAATGATGAGCCAGCTAGACGAGACGGTCCAGTTCCGGATGGAGATCGCGGTCGCAACGGGCGCGACGCTTGCCATCCGCGAGGACGCGAGCCCGATGTGCAGGAAGGAGTTGCTGGTGATGCTGAGCTGCTTGGTAAAGGAATGGCGCGGGTACTTCATCATCTGCGCGTGGCTTTACTGGGAGGAGGATCGCAAGTGGCGGTTGGGCGGTAGTGTCGACGAGGATGATCTAGCCAGCCAGGCGGTCGCAGAATGGCTCGACGAATGTCCGGATGATGATACACGGGAGGGTCAGCGGGTTCTACTATCGTCATTCTTCACGATTTTCGTCTGCTTGCTCGACTTCTCAGTCGACCCGTATAGCGAGGTCTCGACGCACGCGCAGACGATTGTGGACTATATCATGGCGCTGCTCCTTGAGTCGCCCTTTAGCCGCGTCGACTCAGCTACTCTGGGATCTGCACCGACACGGAGCTTCAGCCCAGATCGGCACCATGGTCATCGGTCACGGCTTTCGTCAGTGCAAATGTCACCTACGATCGCTCCAGGGTCCCCCAGTATCGCTCGGCCATCATTATCTCGCGCCGACACAGTGACGAGTACCTTCTCCAGCACTCTCAAGCGCACTGGCTCCTTCGCCAACGCGCTCAAGTCCCTCGCCAATGGCATTTCCTTCCCCTCCACCGAGGACCTGCGCCTCGCCCCCGCCGCCCTCGCCCCTCAGCCACCCAAACCAGACTCCGACCTTACCCGCCCTCCATCCCCCAACCTCAATATCGCAAGCTACTCTTCGCCCTATCCTCCACCTGCTGTGGATACATCCGACAACTTCTCGAACGAGCCTAGCGACTTCTACCCGTCGGACGTGATGCAGGCGCTGATTGCGGAAGACATGGAGCGCCTGCGTGCGAGGCGAAGGACACCGCATCAGGCGCACCACTACCAGCAGCTGTACGGGCAGCCGGACATGATGCCGAGCCCGAGCAGCAGCACGTTCTCGATGGAGAGTGGGATCATCCTGGGTTTGGGTACGGGAAAGAATGTACGGGAGACGCTGCCGTTGAAGAGCGTGTACTATGACTTCTGCTGCGAGTACTTCAAGGAGCCGCAGATGCGGGTATGTGACGGGCTCTCTCAGTTTTGATCATAGTGCTGACGTTCAAGCAGCAAGCGGAAGCGGACGAGCCAGGAAGCATCGAGTACAACTATCAGGTGTGGCGGCAGCAAAGGAATGAGATCGTCAACGTCGAGACGGAGCATCAAGCACCGATTGCAGATTCGTGCCGCTGGGATCGCTCTGTTGCGACGATACAGACGGCGAGCTACCCGTTGACGATCGCTTTCCACTCCTACGATCAGCACGTCGTTATAGCGAACGACAAGGACACGATCAGGTGCGCGGCATGAGTTTGCCTCGGTTGACACCATGCTCATATCCTCCCAGTGTCTGGGACTGGTCCAAGCGAAGGCGACTATGTTACTTCTGCAACGGCAATCCGCGAGGGACGAACATCACCGCACTTGAGATCGTCAATCAAGACATCGGTGGTATCATTGTGTCCGGATCAGGTAAGTTGCTATCGCTCTTCATGAGAAGTATATGGAATGTTGATATCTCCTAGCGGATGGTGTTGTCCGTCTGTATAGAAATTATGACCCGGCGCTGCAGCAAGGCCCGTTGCAGATGGTATCGTCGTGGCGAGCGATCAACGAACTGATATACACGGACCATGGCGCGGGCTTGATCATGGATTGGCAGCAGGCGTCTGGTGTGCTGCTTGTTGGCGGAGACTCGCGCACGGTCAAGGTTTGGGATGCGCAAACCGAGACGTCGGTGTCGGTAAGTAGCGCCCAGCTCCCCTCAATTGAAGTTCACTCACGAGTCGAATAGGATCTCGATACCAACTCCAACGCGCCATTAACGTCAATGACAAGCGACGTTGCTTACCCGCAGACGTTCGTTGCGGGCTTCGCGGACGGCGCAGTCAAGGTCTTCGACCGGCGTTTAGACGATGAGCAGGCGATCGTTCGGTCGTACACAGAGCACAACTCGTGGGTGCAGAATGTGAAGTGGCTCCCGAAAGGCGATCGTCAGCCCATGTCGGCAAGGTATGGCTATCTCCGTTGAATGGTGATCATCGCTCACATGGCTGTGCAGCCTGGATGGCGAGGTGAAGTTGTGGGATTTGCGAGGGAGTGAGATGTCTGTACAGACTTGGGACACGCAGAGCACTGGGATCTCCGCCTTTGACATCCATCCGCTGACATCGGTCTTTGCGACGTGAGCAGCCGTGCTCTAGCTATCGCGCTATGTGCTAACGTTCCCACGCAGCACCTCCGCGGTCACGCCTAATAATTGGAGAAGTCAACGTGTTCTAGTGCAGAACGCGATGGACTCGCCGGATACTTCCCTCTCGTCATTCATGTTGCCCACCGGTTTGGGAACCTCGCCTACGCGGACGTTCTCCACTCCCTACATGCCTCGTTGGACGTCGCTTGCCTTCCACCCGAAGGAAATGTTGTATGCGATTGGCGCCCCGGATGGAAACTGTACGTGGTCTTCCTACACATCGTTACGTCCCTCGGCTAACTTTCCCTCTCAGTGCGCATCATGGGCTGCAAACTAGCCTGATGCCTGGGCTTTGGGGACTTTTACTGTACTGCTTGATTCCGCCGATACTTACCGCACTGTGCTACCAGTCCCAATATTCCCACTTTATGTAGAATACGCTATGCATCTATCGTAGAGTCTCCAATTGGTAGTGCACGAAGTCGCGCCACCAGAACATGGGAAAATCGGAGCGCGGCACGCCGCGCCCGGCGCCGCGATTTCCTACGCCACATTGCAGCGCCGCAGGACTTTGCCCTTCCCCCCGCACAAATTCTGAGTTCCTACGTCCACTCTCGTGCCCGGCGACGCTCAAGGGTCGGTGGCCGCACAGGGCTCGACGCGCACACGTCCGCGAAGATGGGGAAATCGACGGGGAGCCCGACGCAGGGAGCAGTGCGTTCTGATCGCCCGTGCTCTGTCGTGGGCCGCGCGCTGACGGGCTGCCGGTCGCAGGGGAACAGCAAGAAGGCCGCGGCGCTGGGAGGGTACTACAGACACCGCTCGCCGCCGCCGGGGCTCAACTACTGGCCGTGCAAGCTCGACGGGTGCAAGAAGCAGTTCCAGCGCGAGGCGGACCTCCGACGCCACCAGCGGACGAGCAGGACGCATTCTAAGGCTGAGCAGTACGTGTGGCGCGCAGAAGGCTATTTTTCTAGTTGAGCTGACCGATCCCTGCAGTATGTGTCCCCAATGCGAGGCTACCTTCACACGCGTGAGTGCGCCACTGTGGCCGTCGAGAAGTACCAACCCCCATCCCAGCCCGACGCGTGCAGACGACACCAGAGGTCAAAGTGCGTGCTCACTCGAGCTCAGATAGCCCGTTGCTAATCAGCCATAGACATGGGACCGTCAGCGAGCCGCTCATCGCTCACGTTGGGGCAGGCGCTAACGAGGAAGATGACCCCTCCGCGGAAGGCAGCCCCAGCGTGGACATGGACGGCATGAGCGACAACGAGGAAGTACGTGATGAAGCCGCCGCCGACGCCCTCTCGGACGTCGACGACGAGTCGGACAGCGCCATGAGCGAGGACGCGCCACTCTCCGAGGAAGAGTCTGCCAGCGCGGTGGTGGCCGTTGCGCCCGAGGCCCCATACGGCTCTCATGATACGAGTGCGTGCACCGCCCACCCTCATTAGTCCCCACTCATGAAGCCCCCCGGACATACAGTCTATGGCCGCTCTGCCGACGACGAGACGTACGGCGCGATTCCCGCCTCTCCGAGTCACGCCTCCTCACGCTGGTACAGCACGAACCCGCTGGAGTCCTTCGCGGTCGGCGAAGCAAAGCCCGTGTACTACCCCTCGCCATACTACCGCATCACCGCCCCGAGCTGGCACTGCGGCCCGTTCAGCATCGACCGCTACATCTGCCATCCCACATCCAACGCGCGCAACTCACCGGACGAGAACACGAGCTCGGACGAGGAGGAGCAGGACGAGAAGGATACATCGCACTCTGGGGTTTCGTTCGTCCGGCCTGCTGTCGACGCTCATTACTACAGCACACTCACCTTGACTTCGCATACAAAAGCGGCAGCGTCTTCATGACCCAGGTACGTCTTCGATCCCTGCACTCACACCTCAGACTGACCGTCGTTGCCAGCAGTTGGCTTTTCACGAAGCCTTCTCGGCCAATACCAAAATCGCTCATGTCTTGCGACCTGTTGTAAAAATACGCGCGCCCATAGTGATATAACGAGGACATGATGTCTTTACCGACTATAACACCACTATACGTGCTCCACCATACACCTCCGATGCCTGCACGGTCCCCTACACAGCGAGGATCGCCGCGACAGCGTCTGCATGCTCCCCATAGATGCTCTCGTGGCCGTTCTTTGGCGGGTCCTCGACGCCACCAACCAACCTTGCATATCTCTCTGTACAGATCTGTATTTATAGAGAAAGATCTATAGGAAAGGAGAATAGGAACTGACTGTACCGGGCGGGTTTCTCTGACGGTGTTTGTCCCTCGCCACTCGGCCGACGGTCCGAAGATCCCAAAATCTACTGTCACAGTATGTCACGTCACAAATGCATGATGTCCTCCTCCCTCGGCTGCTGGTCTTGTCAAACTGGCCATCCGAAGCTCAGCGCTCAGGTCCAATGCTCAAATCGTACGATTGCACTCTGAAGAGGCATGACTGAACGAGAAAATCACGCTGTCGTTACTTTTTACAGCTTGATCCAGCGACCGACTTGGTGACTTTACCTCCCGGTTGAACACATTTCGACGGCTCTCCGCAAACCTCTTCTCGAATCTCTAACGACGAAATGTTCTGTTCAGAATTCAGTATCTCTCGTTCAGCGCATCCTCGTTCATGCCGGCCCGCTGTCAATAATTGAGTTCTTCCGCTGTCACCCAAGCTGTCGCTCCTCTATGTCGCGATGTTAGAACGCCGATGCGCGGCGCAGTCAAGAATGAGAATAAGGCCTTTTTCTTCCTTCCCTCCTCCCACCACCCCATACCCTGCTAACTGGGCGGGATCCCAGAATTCACACTCACAGAGCTAGCATCTGTGTACTATACCACCGTCCAACTCCTTACTACCCTCATTTCTATACCCGAGCCATGCTCGACAAGTTGACCGTCGTGCTGCAGGCCCTCAGCTTGCAGCAGGGCCTCTTCAAGCCCACGCCCATTATCCTTATACCCCAGGAGCCCTCACAATCTGCGGCGCCCAGTTCAATGGCGCCAGTGGACGACCCGACTTCTGCCTTAGGCGTCGGCTCAATATCGACACCTTTGGGGCAACACGACCCGTGCTACGTCGAGCCGTACCTCGTACCTCCTCCACCCCTTGAGCCCTTCCCGCCCTTCGATCCCGTCAAGGCGAGCGTCTTCCGGTACCGGCAGCAGCAATCAGTTAATCTCGGTTCATGGTACGCATATACCCCATCCATCCCGATCTTCTCGCTCACTCGCCCATCTAGGTTCGTGCATGAGCAATGGATGACACCCTCCCTTTTCACCTGCGCGAGCGGCGACAAAGTCTCCGAGCTTGACATTGCTACCGGGTGGAACACGACGACCTCCGCAAAGGCGGTCCTCGAGCGCCACTGGGATACCTTCATTGACAACACTGACTTCCTGCACCTCGCGAGCATCGGCATCAACACCGTGCGCTTGCCCATCGGGTACTGGTCCTTAGGCCCGACGTTCACCGCGGGGACGCCGTTCCAGGACGTCGCGGATGTTTATTCGGACTCGTGGCCACGTATCGTGCGCGCGATCAACCAGGCGGGCGAGGCGGGGATTGGTGTCCTCGTCGACCTGCACGGCGCCTACGGCAGTCAGAACGGCCAGCCGCATTCCGGTATCAGCGATGGTCAGACGCGGTTGTTTGGCGACGAGACCAACATGGCGCGGACCATCGAGGCGCTGTCGTTCATGGTCCAGCAGTTCGAGAGCGTCACGAACGTTGTCGGCGTCCAGATACTCAATGAGCCTCAGAACAGCCCTGCCCTTTCCAGCTTTTGTGGGTATCGCTCTTCTTTCGCTGCCATACTACCGTTTTCTTACCGGTCTTCAGATGATCGCGCCATCCAGACGCTTCGCTCAATCTCACCGACGTTCCCGCTTTACATCCATGACGGCTTCGACCTCGAGTTCTTCAGCGACTATGTCTCCAAGAGGACCGATTTCGTCGTTCAGGACAATCATTCGTACTTCGTCTTCTCGCCACAGGACGCGGCGGAGCCGGCTTCCCAGCATACGAATGACGTCCAGACGGGTGTGGCTGATCGCTTCGTCCGGGCATCCAACCAGGAGCGCAGGAACCTCAGTGAGTACCCTCATTGCCCAGATGCGGTAGTGGTACTGATGCTACTGTAGTCATCGGCGAGTGGTCGTGCGCCCTGACAGCGGACAGCTTGTCGTCGGAGCAGGATCAGGAAGCTGCGCGTAGGGACTTCTGCACGCGTCAGGTTGACGTCTACACGAACAGCACGGCAGGATGGGCGTTCTGGGGTACGGTCTTTGCAAGGGTTCAGCCGGCGAAATACTGACGGGAACGTTCCAGCTTACCGCACCGAGGATTGTGACTCGGATCCTGGTTGGTGCTTCGATGCGGCAGTCGGTCGCAGCCTGCCCTCGTCCTTCTTCTCGTACGGTCAGCCGGGCGTCGTGAATTTGGACCAAGCCAACCCCTTCGCCAACGCGGAGAAGGGTTCTCACTTTGCGACAACCGTGGGCTCGATGGTCCCGCCGACGATGGACGATATAGTCGGCAAGATGGGTGACGTCGGTGGGAATATGGGCGATGTCGGCAGCAATGTGCCCCTCGTATCGCGGAGCATGCGTGTCTCTAGTGGACGTCCGTCGCTCAAGATATTCGTCGACATTGCGCGGATAGCGCAGCCGTTTAATTCGAAGCACCGCTTCGAGGCCATCCACATCCGCCGCGCGCTCGCCGAGCGCGACGCGGGCGTGGCTTCCGATCCGCAGGTCGCGTACGCGCGCGGATACGCGGACGGGTTCATGACCGTGAAGACGTTCGCGCTCGAGGGCGGCTCGCGGCTGGGCTTCCGGGGGCAGTATGTGATGGATAGCGTGAAGAGCTTGAATGCGGGCGGTGCGCAGCTGGGCATGGACGTGGCGCCCCCGGACGGTGCTGCTGGCAGCATTGTGGCGCCGGGGATGGAAGAGCGGTATCGGGATGGGTTCTTTGCGGGGCTGAATGATGGGGAGGATGCGATTCGGGCGGTGATGGCGATGTTGTAGGGGGTGGGTGGGATGGAGGCGAGGGGGTGGTGTTGAAGAGGGTTAGCGTGGTCGGATGGAAGAAATGAAGGGAAAGAACAATTGTACTATTAGCTTGTATCAGTACTATCGACAGGGAATTGACATGGGACTGGGAACAAGGGAAATATGGTGTGACAGTCACAGTTCTGAGCTGGAACCCCCTTGCATTGAATATTGGACCGAGGCCGTTTGCTTTCGACCGCCATCATGTTCGAGTCCCGACATGCGAATCGCTTTTCTAGACGACTTCGCCAAGCGCCCGCTGAATGGTACCTCGATCTGTCGTTGAGAACACCTGGAATATTCGCACCGGTTTCAGGTGACTCTGGAGCTCGATGTTCGGCGAAGGACCAGACCTCGGTGACGTTCAGCTGCGAATAAATAGTCGGGGTACCGCGGAGGTGACCCCAGTTTACAATGCCTCCCATGCTGAAATTCGCGCGCCGACTGAGTCCCATCGATTTGATTTGCGCGAAGACAAGGCCCTTGTCGTCCCACCCCCACCACCGCCCCTTCACCTCCTTCCGCCCCTCACACCGCACGATGTCGTCCTACAAGCTCTTCTGCATGGGGAACCCGCTCCTCGACCTCCAGGTCCGCGACGGGGAGAAGCTCTTGGAGAAGTACGGCCTGAAGTCGAACGATGCGATTTTGGCAGAGGAGAAGCATCTGCCGCTGTACGTGGGCTTTTGAGCGTTGTGGGAAGATGCGTGCTGACCGAGATCGGCAGGTACGACGAGATCGTAAAGGAGCACGAGGTCACGTACGTCGCTGGCGGTGCGGCGCAGAACGCGGCGCGTGGGGCTGCGGTGCGTGGGCTTGTCGTTTTTCGCGGTGGGTCTTGCTGACGCGGGCGTTTGCAGTACTGCCTGCCCCCGAAGTCTGTGGTGTACACGGGCTGCGTTGGCGATGACGATCTTGCGGAGCAGCTCAAGGCGGCGAACAAGCGTGAGGGGCTCGATGAGGCGTACCTCGTGAAGAAAGGCGAGAAGACGGGCGCATGCGCGGTTATTATCACTGGCCACGATCGGTGCGCAAGCCAGCTACACATCGCAGTACACCAGCTAATTCCCCTTTCAGCTCCCTCGTCACCACCCTCCGTGCGGCGGAGAAGTTCGAGCAGTCGCACCTTTCGTCCGAGGCGGTTGCGCCGCTCGTCGACGCCGTCCAGTTCTACTACATGGAGGGCTACTTCGTGACCCACGGCCTCGCCTCCGCGCTCGAGCTCGCGGGCAAGTCGGCCGCCAAGTCCAAGTGCTTCGTCCTCAACTTCTCCGCGCCCTTCATCCCCCAGTTCTTCATGCCCGCGATCCAGCAGCTCCTCCCCTACGTCGACATCGTCATCGCGAACGAGTCCGAGGCGGAGGCCTGGGCGTCTGCGAGCGGGCACCCCGCGCCGACCGACCTCGCCGCCGTCGCCAAGTCGCTCGCAATGCAGCCGAAGACGAACCCGGCCCGCCCGCGCGTTGTCATCTTCACGCACGGTGCGGAGGAGACCGTCGTGGTGAGCTCCGCGGAGCCGGACCGCGTGCGCACGTATAAGGTCGACAAGCTCGCGGAGGGCGAGATCGTCGACACCAACGGTGCTGGTGACGCCTTCGCGGGCGGCTTCCTGGGTGCGCTCGTTGCTGGCCGCGAGCTCGACGACTCTGTCGAGGCGGGCCACAAGCTTGCGAAGATTAGCATCCAGCAGGTATGTTTCTCTGGCCTGCTGGGCTGAGCTGGCGCTAATCTCTCTTTTGCAGATCGGCCCGCAGTTCAAGTGGCCGAAGGTCCAGATCCTCTAGATAACTCACGTACTTACCCAGCATTGATACCAAAACGCTCTCAACAGCGTCCCCACCTGTACTCTCATCTGCAACTTGCTTTCCTCAGCGTGTATCCAATAGTATTGTTTTGCAATGTGCTTCCGCTATGAAACTTCGAGTGACGACCCTGCCAAATTGCGCGAAATGCCGGCTCATCAACTGAAGTCCCGGTTTAGATTTGAGCGTACTGGACATTGTCCAAGTCTTTCCATCGCTGGCTGATCGTAGTAATCACCATATTTCCGCTTCTCAAGTACCCAGTAGACATTGATCGACAACATACAACATCCTGCCCGTTCTCGGAGAATACAATAATAAATACTGCGTGATGCTCGTGGTGATTCTTTCTACCCGAAGTCCACCAGAAAGGATGGCTCAGTGACACGTCCCCACAGTGTCAGTAGTGATGATGATACCCTGGGGCAGGTTGTTCGGGTCGTAGTCGTTCCTGCGAAGATTCGTTAGGGGGAAGAGCGGATAACAAGATACGCATTATACGCACAAGTACCAGATGTAGTGCCCCTGCTCCGTCTGGCCGTAGTTGATGCGGATGCGGTTGTTGCACTGGAGGGCGGCGAGTCAGCGACGGCCTATAGACGACGAGAAGGAGGAGGAAAGGGAAACATGAAAGAAGACGGTTAGGACGGATATTGGGATTTGCCACAAACCACCCACCGAAGTCTCCTTCGAGCACTTGTCGGCGCCGCCGCTGGGCGGGCAGTTGATGGGGTCGGCAGGGTTGTCCGGGTTGCGGATCGCGGCGGCGAAGGCGGCGAGGGACACGAGGGCGGCGATAGGGATGAAGGTGCGCATTGTGGTGGATGAAGAAGTCAAACGGCCGAGGTGGGGAAGAGGCTGCTGCTGGTCTGGTGTCAGAGGCTGGCGGAGAACATGAAGAGATGGTCGACCTTATATAGGCGGTGTTCTTTGTGCCGCCCGCACCGGTCAAGAGGCTCACTATTGTGAAGTTCGCCCGCAGGGAGCGAGGCCGCTGTTGTCGGATAGCCCTCGAATGAGCGATCGATCCCAGTATATGCAAGGCAGTTTCATCAGAAAGACAGTTGCTCCATCTCCTCCATAGCGGAAGAGTCGAGTCGCTGGAGTCTGTCAGCGAAGACACAGGATATGTCAGCCTGTAATCCTCACAGCAAGGGACAAATACATGTACACAGTACCGCCGTCTTGAGAGGCCGTGAAACTTCATTTCGATGCCTACCGCGATTCAGGTTCGACAGAGCGATGCGCGACATCGTAGTTCATGGGCTGCCGAGCGCTCATTGTGATTGACGCTGATCGCCGTGCCCGTATCGCCTCCGGATGTGCTGTAGGACTTCGTGTTCGGACTGCCGACCGTGCATCGTCGAGAAACAGATACGTCCGACCTTCACGGGTTTGAGTGCTCGGCAAGATTCGAGCGAGGTCTCAGTACAGCGTCGCGGCGTACGGCGAGAGATCAGTCGCCCGTGAGGGCAGGATAGCCATTGCGGTCCACGATTCTGCCGCGAGTCAGCAGGACGACTCATAACCAGTATAAAAGTCAAGGGCAGACGCACCTTACTCCCAGCATTCGCTAAAGCCCACTTCACCACTTCACCTTTACCAACACCCGCACCCTCAACCACGATGCTCTTCTCTCTCGCAGTCGTCCCCGCCCTCTTCTTTGGCTTCGCCGCCGCCGCCGCGGTCAGCAACGCTGAGAAGCGCGGCGTGACGGACCCGACAAACCCGCAGAACCTCATCAACTGCCCGCCCAACGGTGGTGCCGACGGCTGCCACCTCGAGACGAAGGTGAGCGCGCCCGTCGCCGTCTTCCGAGAGTCAACGCTGACGCTGCCCAGTGCGACCGCATCCGCATCAACTACGGCTACTCGTTCAACGGGCACTATATCTGGTAAGCTTGGAGCGAGTGTTCGTGGTTGACCTGACGTTGGACTCACCCCTTTCGATAGGTACAACTACAACATCAACGACGTTCCGGATGGCAAGCGCATTGAGATCGATAACGAGGGGACGTGCTAGACTCTCAAAGTGGAGGGAGACGGACTGTATTTATTCTTGTGTATCAATCGAATGAGCGCGGCGATGTCGAGCTCATCAAGTCTGACTTGCTACTCGACGATCTCGATGATACTGCCTGACGAGACGAACCCTGCACTGACGCTCATCGTTGGTCGAGTAGATGACAGATGGGGATGTGAGCATAGAGCCTGCAGTTTCGTCAAAATCGGGAAAGGGCTCAAGCTGCAGTCCGCGTCCATTCGAACGAGGGCCGGGGGTAGACGGCAACAGAGTTTGGGATGAGTGATGTTTGTTTGTGCTTCTTTTTTACAAGACACGCAACCTTGGCGCGGGACGCTTACCTCAGCGTGTCTTCGGCTCCAACAAGACACGCACGTGACCCGGCTGATCGGGACGCGCGGCCGGTGATTCCGGCGCCACGCGCGCCTTATCCGATCCCGCGTCTGCCCCTGCGCCTGCCCCCGCCGCCGCTTCCCTTCGTCTGCGTGCTCGTCGTGGACCCTTCTCCTCCCCCTCCTAACTCTTCGACTTCGATATTCAGTGGCTTGGTGTAGATATGGACTCGCTGGCGCCGTTTTTAGCACTCTGTACTATTCATTACAACTAAACAACCTGAACGTTGTCAGTCTATGTAGTAAGATGGATCCCTGTCCATGCGCCGCCGCACGCGTCCTCTGTAGGTCCGCTAACAGCGTCATTTCATTGCTCCTGTCGTGCCCAACATCCCACTGCCCCTTGCCTCACCCCCAAAAGCAAAGAAACGGCGCTTTGTGCATACTTCCCCGCATCTCAGTTTCCCCTCAAGTCCGTCTCTGTCCCTTTACCCTCAGAATCAATGAGGCGAGTGCGCTCCGTTACCATGTAGTAGGTATGCAGGGTATTCTAAGTAAGACACAGCACGAGAAGCACAAGTACGTACCAACAGAACACTGTATGTGCCGGTCAAGAAAAAGCGGCACAAAACAAGTCGAAGCTCGAACGGCAACTTCGCGCACAAAGCGCTCTTCCTGCGCGAGCCTCATCTGGAGCCGCGTAGCGCTGGCGCCATTCTTTGACCCTGCGCTTTTCCCAAATGATCTGTGTAAGTCATCAGTCAAGGTGTCGAGGATGTGAGAAGAAAATGATACGTCAGCTCTTCCAATTCATGTGCGCTCGCTCTGTTGTTGCACTCGCCAGCTCGCAGCGTCTAGACCGTCCAGAATTGTGCCACCAACGCCACATGTTGGTTAAGAGGCTAACAGAATGGAAGAGGGAGCCCGAGACGAAGGAGGGCGAAGGGATTTGTGAGGGGACGCGGGGGCGATCTAGGCCTCATTAGGGGAGCGGTAGTCTGGCAGGGCCGCCGTGTGGCAGGGTATGATCAGTGCGAGAGCGGGCATAGCCTCTGACGGTCCGTCAGCTCAATTTTCACTTCGCTCAAGGGCGAAGGTGAGAAATAGAACTTACCTTCGAGCGTGAACGGGCGGTATCACCTGTTCCGGGCATATATTCGGGGCGGAGCCCGACCTGTTGCTCAGCCGTGCGTGCAGGACATTGTGCAGCGGCATGCGCATGTCTGCGGTGGTAGAGAAATCAATATAAGCCCCATGTTCAAGGATGGAAACCTGTGTGAAGCGGTCGTCTGCAAAGGGGACCGGCAACACCGGTGAGCCGCGAGAAACGCACCTGCCTGCATTGGCTTGCACCGGTTCAGCGTCGACCTGTCAGCGTCACGTACAGAGCCCCATGGCTCACCCAACGAGCTAGGCGGCTTGCCCGTCGAGGCCCGAGCGCGAGCCGGGCGAATATTCTTAGCTTGCGTGTCTTGCGAGAGCCAGCACCTTATTTCTTCACAAGACACGCATCCCCTAGGCCGCCCGCCCAAGATTTGCGTGTCTTGTGGGGTGCTAAGCGTCTGATCCTTCCACAAGACACGCAACTCGCCCGCGGAAGTCGGCGGCGCGAGCTAGATGGCGTCGCGGCGTTCTCTGTTCGGGTGCGCGCGAACGGTAGTGTTTGGACGTTGACAGTGCGCGCAGAAGCGCCGAAAATGGGCAGCATTGAATAGACGAAGTTTGCACGATTCCAGCGATATACAACATGTCGGGGTAGGCTACGATAGGGCGGGCACGGTGGGGGGAGGAGGACGGGGCGCGCGACCTTGATCTGGTTCCGCGCCGGGTCGCCGGCCGTCACGTTACGTCGCCCGCGTTCGGCTCTTACCGGTGCGTGTCTTGGGTCGATCTAAAGGTTGCATAAATGAACTTGTTCTGCACGTGTTTCTTGGCTCTGATCCCCATTTGGCATTCCTCCTTGAATCGAACTCCCACAACCCATCGCACAACGCTGAGCGACTCAAACGTCCTTCTTGCCAAACTTTGGCGGCATGAGCCGCGGGAGGACTATAGAGCACTGTCCCACTTGGACGAGTGATGTTGCTGACTCCAGTTTCCTTGGTTGACTCCACCATTTTCACTATCGTCGACGTTCGTCAACGCTCTATCCGTCCAATCCTGCGGTTCTGTCGGCTTCGTGAACACGCTGCGGGATGAAACTGATCATGATCATGATCTGCAGGCCCTGAGACTTGAGGCTCGATTACAACACAAGGCTGTGCGATGCTCGAATATAAAGGCCTCGGTGGTTGAGGCATCCAAATCCAACTTGCCCCCTCTTTTCCCAGTCCAGCCGCTGATCTGCCATAGCTATGACAGAAGATATCCGTAAGTCTGTTCTGATCACTGGGTAAGGGATTCGCATCCTTCGTACAGATTAGATACTGTTTTGAAGCCCAAATGCAGCTGCAGCGCCGGCAGCATAGGCGATGCTCTGGCACGGGAGTTTCACGCCAGAGGTACGCTCGTCTGATCCCAGACGAGACAGGCTTTGACGACTACGGCCACGCGCAGGTTTCCGCGTATTTGCTACTTCGCGCAATCACGAGACGATGAGCACCCTTGCGCAAGAGGGCATTGAGACGATCAAACTGGACATCACCGACGACGCAGACATTCAGCGCGTCGTTCGCGAGGTTTCGATGCGTACAGGCGGCACCTTGGACGTCCTGGTGAACAATGCGTAAGCCGAAGCGTTGCTATCGCGTATCCGCTCGCTGACATGCCCGTCCTCTCGCAGCGGTGTTGGTGAGCCCTCAAGTTCTTGAAGGCATGTCGCGATGGGTTTGATGTTCTTCTCTCAGGATATTCGTTCTCGGTGGCGGATTCCGATATGGCTAAGGTTCGCCAGCTATTCGATATCAACGTTGTCGGACACTACGCCATGACCCGCGCCTTCATCCCCCTCCTCCTCAAGTCGGACCGCGGCGTCGTCCTCTTCACTTCCTCTATCGGCGGCATTATTCCCATGCCACTGAATGCGGCCTACAGCGCCTCCAAAGCTGCTATCAGCGCGCTCAGTGACACTCTACGACTTGAGCTGGCGCCATTCGGTGTGAAGGTCATCAATGTACGTGGTAATTGGGCGTCCGCCGTATACTGACGACCCGTGCTGACTTGTGAAGCTCGTAACCGGCATGGTGTACTCGAACCTCGCCCCGCGCGTCGTGATAGACGAGGTCTTCCCCGACGGCTCCTTATACAAACCAATCCAGCCTAACTTCGTAGCAATGTTTGCGCGTAGCGTGGGTGAGTCACCACATCACCGTACGCATGGCATCATCCTCAATCGCCCACAGAAACCTCGACGCCGACCGACGTATACGCTAAAGGCGTCGTCGACGAGGTTCTGAAGAAGTCACCAGCATCTTGGTATTGGTCTGGCGGCCTTTCGACTATGACCTGGCTCTTATCCATCTTTGTCCCACGCGGAATCAGTGTAAGATCCCCTCTACCTAGCTGGTGTTTCTTTGCTAATATCAGTGACAGGACTGGATTTTCACGAAGCAGTGTGGTCTAGACAAGTTGGCGACAATTGTCCGCGCGCAAAAGAAGACTTAGGATGGGGATGGAATCCAGTATTGGCCTCTCTTCGTGCTAGATTTAGACTTATGGACATAATGGATTCTCTCCTTTGCGTGAGAGCGCCTTCCACTGTTCAGCGTCTGCTTCGAACGGACGAATATTTGTTGGTTAGATGCGGCCCGGAGCCCCGTTATCTCCTCGGCGTCTAAGCGCCCATGAGCGCTTGCGACAGCCCGTCTCCGTCCAACAGTGGTTCGCAAGGCTCCCAAGCAGCTTGAATCAACGACATATCTATACGTATGAGCAAAGCAATTGTTCTCTCCGGCGACGTGAACGACGGCCACAGCGACCGCTCGGGCTGGTTGGGGCCCTCCTCATCTCTGGCGCTCTCGCACGGGCGTGGTCTATTAGGCGCCCCCCTCTACAGCACCTGAAACTTCAGCACCACATCCTCACACCTGTGCTCAGACCGCCCCCGGATTGTCATTCCGCCTATCTAGGACGAGCGCTCCCTCCCAAGGCGCTCGGTTAGCGCTACCCATCTTTCGTGATCATCGTTTTCCTCCCGCTTAGGCGCAACCGGGGTGCGACGAGGTCTTCTATATGTTTACTCAGGTAGGAGATACACCATATGTCGCCCCTGAGGATGACAAAAGGTGCCAGCGCTCGTATATAAGGACTGCCCTTGTGGCTGTTGGCTTTGTATCGGATTTGCCGCTGCGCACATCCGCATTGCCGCCCACGAAACACGAAGCTACTCTCACTGACAACGAATTAGAACCATGGCGACTGACACTCGGAAGACCGTTTTGATCACTGGGTGAGCTTGAAAGGCTTCAGGCTACTCTTTCGCGTGTACTGACAGCGACACGCAGCTGCAGCGAGAAAAGCATAGGGGATGCGCTCGCGAGGGAATTTTTTGCCAGAGGTACGCATTCGAAAGTTGGAAAGAGGCTCGTGCTGATGCTTTCTCGCCATCGTGTAGGATTCCGCGTTTTTGCAACCTCGCGGAGTCTCGAAACGATGGAAAGCCTTGAGAAGGATGGAATAGAGACCATCAAGCTGGACATCACCGACGACGAAGATATCCAGCAGGTCGCGAGCGAGATCTCAAAGCGCACCGGCGGAACCTTGGATATCCTGGTCAACAATGCGTGAGTGTAACCGCGCCCATTGCAACATCTCTGCTAACACTTCCTCCTTAGAGGCATTAGTGCGTTTGCAGTTTCTTCACAATCAGCTTTTCCACTGGCTCACGATTGCGGTGCCCCTGTCAGGCTACTCATCCGCAGTAGCGGACGCTGACATGGCCAAGGTTCGCCAGCTGTTCGACATCAACGTCATCGGGCACTACGCCGTCACCCGCGCCTTCATCCCCCTCCTCATCAAAGCCGACCGCAGCACCGTCCTCTTCACCTCTTCCCTCTCCAGCATCATCTATCTACCCTACAACGCGGCGTACGGCGCCTCGAAGGCAGCCATCAACGCCCTAGCCGACACGCTGCGCGTCGAGCTCGCGCCTTTTGGGGTGAGGGTTGTCAGTGTACGTGAAAATTAATTCTTGACTTCGTCAAGCGCCCGCGCTTACAGTGATTTTCGCAGCTCTTGACTGGCATGGTCGTATCCAACCTCGCCCCGCGGCTGAATATAGATGAAGTTTTCCCAGAAGGTTCGATATACAAGCCCGTCGAGCACGGCTTTAGGGACGTGTTTGCGAAGGGGACGAGTCAGTCATACATATACTTCTCATTAAGCTCTCCGAAGGATCGCTTACCTGACGCAGAGGACTCAACACCCACCGATGTATACGCCAAAGCCGTCGTCGACGAGGCGCTGAAGAAATCGCCAGCACCTTGGTTTTGGACCGCCGCACTTTCGAGGTTGGGGTGGTTCCTCTCGGTATTTGCATGGCGTGGTAGCTTTGTGAGTTCTTACTCTGCGTCAAGGATGTGGAAAAGCTAACAGAGACCCAGGACGGCATCGTCTCGAAGCAATATGGACTGGACAAACTTGCTGAGACCGTTCGCGCACAGAAAAAGGCTTAGGATGGGAGTAGAGTACTATGGATCGTGGTTTTTCTTATCTAAAGTATACTGCCGAGTGTCGCTTCTTTGCCGTCGTTTATAAATGGAGGAAGACTGCTCGCTCCAATTCCTGAGCGTCAGATTCGGAAGGAACAAATATTGGCTTTGTTGAGTAGCGGCCCGGTCTTCCGGTGCCCCGCCTGAGCGCCCATCAGCGCTTGCGGCGGTCTGTCTCGTTCCAGCAATGGGTCGCAAGGCGTCCAAGCAGCTCGAGGACCAGCGACACGACTACGAGGAGAGCAAGGGCCTGCTCTCCGGCGACATCCGCGACGATGTCAGCGACGTCGACAGCGAGGGGGGCGAGCGCTCGGGGTGGTCGCGAGGCCGGCTGCTCTGCGTGGCTTCATCCTTCATCTTTCTTCTCATAACCGGTGCCTTTGCGAGGGCGTGGTACGTGAGGCCGCCCCCACCACACAACAGCTATACTCTAGAAGGCGCGGGTGAACTGCGCTCGAATGGCACGCATGAGTTCAGGCGGACGGTGCTCATCGTGTCGATAGACGGGCTAAGGTGCGTGGTTCGCTAGTCCAAAGGGAGTGTCGGGCTGACTGTGAGAAGGGCGGACTACCTCGACCGCGGCCTCACACCACACCTCCTCGACATCAGCAAGCAGGGCTTGCGCGCCAAGTCCATGAGGCCTATATTCCCGGTACGGTGCGCGCTCCCTAGCCCATTCCGTTACCGACGTTCCTCCCTGAACAGACCTTAACCTTCCCGTAAGTGTCCTTCACCAAACCTTCTTCCACAACATGCTGAACACGCGTCAGTAATCACTGGGCCCTAATGTAAGATCGCTTGCGCCACCCTACATGAATCACTTTCACCCCCCTCCCAGGACTGGTCTGCATGCCGAAAGCCACGGTATCGTTGCGAATGTGCGTTCGTGTGTCATTGTGTACTTGGCATGCCATTGACGCCATCCACAGAACTTCTGGGATCCGTCCTTGAAGAGCGAGTTCAAGTACAACTCCGCCGCTGCATCCTGGGACCCTGCATGGTGGTACGGCGAGCCTGTGAGTGAAGCATTACGACTCATTTACCCTCTCTGACGCTCGTTAGATGTGGGAAACTGCCGAGAAGGCCGGCCTCATAACTGCGAACCTCATGTGGTGCGTAGCGAAAACCCAGCGTCAGCCCTCCTTGAATGCTCACTGCGACGCAGGCCAGGTCCTCCTAAGATGGCCTCTGGCGCCAGTCCGACGTATTTCGAGCCCTGGAGAGTACGCTGAAAGTCCGTATCATCTTGTCGGTCAGTGTGACTGACGCGGTGCCTCAGGACAAGGTGCCACTCCACGAGAAGTTAGATCAAATCTTAGAGTGGATAGACTTGCCATTGGAGGAACGACCCCAGCTTATTATGGGTCAGTACTTTTCACGCTTTGCTGGCGCTCAACTGATGAACTGCATGCAGCATACGAGCCATCTCTCGACCAAGCGGGGCACTTGACGGGACCTATGTCCGCACTCGTCAATGTGCGTGCTCCTCAACCCGACCCCTTCGCGCGTCTCATGACACCCTCGTAGAAAACCCTCGGCTATGTCGACACCTTCGCCAAAGATCTCGCCACCTCCCTCGCTGCGCGCAACCTCACCTCCATCGTCGACGTCGTCTTCGTCTCCGACCACGGCATGACCGATACCTCCAACCCCGAGTTCATCTACGTCGACGACATCCTCGGGCCCGACGGCATGAAGGCCATCGCGCACGTCGACGGCTGGCCGAGCATGGGCATCCGCTGGAAGGAGGGCGCGAATGTGACCGAATACCTCGGCCGGCTGAAGAAAGCCGCCGACGCGCGCGAGGACGGCGCGTTCGACGTGTTCACGCACGACACGATGCCGGAGCGGTGGCACTTTGCGGGGATCGACCGGATCGCGCCGGTCTACGTCGTCCCGAAGATGGGCTACGCGCTCACGACGCACGAGGAGGGGGAGGACGGGATGAGCAAGGGGGTGAGTAGCGGTCTGCTGTGATCACGTTACGCGCGACGAGCGCGTGCTGACGCTCAACTCAGAACCACGGCTACGACAACCGCGAGCCCGCTATGCACGCGATGTTCGTCGCGCATGGGCCCTTCACCGCCGTCATCAAAGCCCTGCATCAGAGCCGGGACACCCTCGCGCGCCGCTGGCTCTCCCGCCCGAACAAGGGCTGGCACTCCACGGCGGACGACACCTACGTGATGGACACGTTTGCGAACGTCGAGATCTACAACCTCGTGCTGAAGCTCTTGGGCGTCGAGGGTTTCAAGGCGCCGACGAACGGGACGGAGGGCTTTTGGGATAGGTACTTCTAAGATGAACTAGGATGGGGATATGCAAGCATATCCATCCGTGATGGTGAACGAGTTGCTGAATTGTTCGTTCTTGTCCCGGGAGACGTCGTCTTTGATTGGTGCGAGGAGGCACGAAAGTGGCGGGATGCAACTAGAAGAACAGGTATGAGATACGTAATGCAGAGTGACTTCAACGACCGGTGAAACAGAGTATGATGGAATCGATAATCCCCTTGTGAGTCAAGGTAGGTACGTAGGGTCGTCCATGTCGTCCATTGACAAGCGCCCCGTCCCATCAGTATTACAAAATGCGATCATCAGAGATATCGTATCCATATCATATCTGCAACGCGCTGTGATCTCTATGATTGCTGCCACCGGCTCGATGACGCGCTTTCGGACGTCGGGCGGCAGCTGGTGAATGCGCAGGACGGCCTTCGGGCTGAATCCTTCACAAAGTCCACGCCAGATCGGCATCCACGCTTGTGCAATACGCACGGTGGCATGCACATGATCGTCGATGGCCGCCAAGAGCGGTATGCCTTGGAGCAGAGCCTCTGCTCTGGGAAATCCTACAGGAAGGTCGTGCCGCTGTACAAAAGGGATGAGCGTCCCATAAACGAACTCGTCCAGGCCCCATGGGTACACGAGATGCGTGCGCATCGTCTGCCGTAGTGCATCTAGTGCCGAGGTGATAGATGCGATCTCGGGTATCCTATGCAAGTCCTCGAGCAAGCAACGGAAGTTGCTTTGCCCGATTTGAAGTTGATGAGTTGTGAGGTCTTTGCCGAGGTCGTCGAAAATATTCGAGCACACCATGGCGACTATGCGAACCTTGTTGGCGTGCAAGTCCACCTCGGCTGCAATGCGTCGATAGGCGCGCCAGAGATCAGGAGAATAGGCCTTCAGTAACAAGGAGTGCAGTTTTCTTAGATCGCGGAGCATGAGCTCGGACTGAAGCTGAAGATCGCCCAGGGGCTGGACAAGCGATATTCGGTACTGCAGGAAGATTAGCTCGAGCTGACAGAGAGAGAGAGAGAGATGCATTTTACGGGATCATCTGGTCTACTCATGATGTGTTGAGACCGAAGCGGGAGATGTACCTGTTCGTCGGGGAAGAGGGAAGGAAGGAGAGCCGGTATATATGCAGTTTTGCGGCGATCTGGAACCTCTGTCCAGGACGTGTCTAGGTTGTCTGATCGTCCTTTGGCGGAGCATCGCGCGGGAGGGTGAGACGAGGTAAGACAAGAGCAGGTCAGGCAGCGTGATGCTTACAGGGAGCGCGCTTTTGTTCCTTTTCCCCTATAATTTGTCCTTCTGTATATACGGTGTATTAAAGCATGGCCAGGCGCGAGCTAGCAAGGACGTCGTCGTGCTCGATCATCACACAATTGCCAAAGTCAAGTGTGTTAGAGGTTGAAGTCGGAGACGACGGTGAGAGGCAAGAACAGAATGATTATCAGCACAAAGGCCGTCGGGAATAAAGTACAGATCTAATCTAATCGCGGGCGGGACGGCCCGAGGCTGCCAGACGCCAACAAAGTGATGAAGCGGGCCAGCGGCGAAGTTGGATCGATGACCGCGCGACCGTGGCAAGCTATGTGGCAGGTCGAGCAGGCCGTCGTCGATGCGTGGCGAGCGCTTCCGTGGGGAAGAGGGGGGTACGCCCAGCCCTGTCGCAATTTCAAAGACCGATATGATAACAAGTCGTGTTTATGTCGTATCTGCAGCGATCTGCGATCGCTATGACTGCATTTACCGGTTCGATGACCTGCTCTCGGATTTCTGGGGGAAGCTGGTGGATGCGCAGGACAGCTTCCGGGCGGAATCCACGGCAGACTTCGCGCCACAGGCGGTCCCATTCGTGTGCATGCAGTGCGCACGGTGGTTGGTATGCGCTCCTCGAACTGGGTCAAAAGGGGCATAGGTACTTCTAGGATTGACGAGGTGCAAACATATTTATCGGTGGTGGTGAATGTGTTGCTGGATTGTTCGTTCTTGATGCGGGTAAAAGGCGCGAGGTCCGACAAGAAGAGACGTTCGGCAGTGATGCAGAATGTTTTCAATGGCTGGCGAAATGAGATATAAGATGGTTATACACTTGCGGGTCAAGGTTGGTACGTAGGGTCGGCATACCGAAAACGGCGCTTGTCAAGCAATGGAACCCCCGTTCTATCAGTATTACAAAACGCAATCCGCAAAGTGATGAAGTCCATTTCTTTTCTGCAGCGCATTGTGATCGCTGTGATTGCTGTCACGGGCTCGATGACACGCTTTCGAATATCGGGCGGCAGTTGGTGAATGCGCAGGACGGCCATCGGGCTGAAGCCTTCGCAGACTCCACGCCAGATCGGCATCCACGCTTGTGCGATACACACAGTTGCATGCACATGATCGTCGATGGCCGCCAAGAGCGGTACGCCTTGGAGCAGAGCCTCTGCTCTGGGAAATTTGACTGGGAGGTTGTGCCGCTGCACAAAAGGGATGAGCGTCCCCTGAACGAATACGTCCAGCCCCCATGGGTACACGAGACGCGTGCGCATCGTCTGGCGGAGTGCATCTAGTGCCAAGGTGACGGATGCAATGTTGGGGACCTTATGCAGATCCTCAAGCAGGTAACGAAAATTCTTTTGCCCGATGTGACGTTGATGGGTTGTGAGGTCGTGGCCAAGGGCGTCGAAAATACTCCAGCACACCATGGCGAGTATGCGAATCTTGTTGGTATGTAGGTCCACCTCAGCTGCAATGCGTCGGTAGGCGCGCCAGACATCAGGAGAATGAGCCCTCAATAACAAGGAGTGTAGTTTGCTCAGATCGTGGAGGATGAGCTCCGATTGGCGCTGGAGGTCAAAAAGGGGATGAATGATAAACTACCAGACAGGTTAGCACTCGATCGTAGAAATGAATTCGTTGGTCTTACGGCAGCGTCTGGGTGGGCCATTTTTTGGTTGTGAAGCAGAGAGTATACGTGTGTGGTTGAGAAGAAAGAGGGGTGATCGATGCGAGACCGTCGGCGATCTGGAACCCGCCTATTATACCTCCGGGTCAAAAGTTACCATTTCGAAACGAGCGTCTCCTTCAGGATGGAGCGAAACATGACTCTGCGCATGTCGAATGCATTCGAAGGCGTAGGGCGAGCAACCTACCGACTAAGTGATTTGGGGAGGTCCGTACGCACTCTGGTAGATCAGACGAGGGATGCAGTGAAGAGACGGGAGTGAGCAAGGATAGATGTCAGACAATAGAGCAACAGGAACGACGATGAGGAAACTATACTATCAGTTCCCCCTCAACGGCGTCTGGCTCCAGCCCACATCGTTCAAGAAGAATGTTCCACCGCGCTCGGTCTACACGCTTGAGGTATCTGGAGTCGTATGAGCATCAAGCGTGGGCAAAGGACGGGGGAAATGATACATGAGGAGGAAAGAGAATGTCACCGATACATGGTGCAGGGCGAGGTGAGTACCAATACTCACCTCAATAGTTTTGCTCGCTGATGTACGAGCTTTCGCAACGGCAACCGGTTGCCCACGTCACGCTTGAAGCCCGTCAAGTGCTCGTAGAGTTTGCGTATGCGGTAGGTGAGGATAGCGACCTGAACCTCGGTGCGGCCGGGGTCGTCTGGCTTGGAGGGATCGGAAAAGGTAGCGATGATGCGCTTCCGGTTCTCGTACGCGAGACCAGCAGCATTCGTGTTGCGCAAGTCAATGAGCTTTGCGAAGTTTTGGCTCTTCTGCAACTCGGCAGCCTCGCCGGCCTTGATCGCTTCGACCTTCTTCGGGTCGTTCTCGTTCATGGTCTACGGTGGGCTCCGTCAGTGATTGAATAAGGAAGTATGGCAGACCACGCACCAAGACCTCCGTCGTCGCACTGAGGTATGGCAGGTACCGGAAGAGGACCTTCTTCTCCTCATTGTGCACGCCGTACGCAAACTGCTGGGGCATCTCGACCTCGCCGACCGGGAGTTGCTCCTTGTGCCGCGCCTCCGTGACGGGTATGCTGGCAAAGTCCTTCTCCAGCACGAGGATCTTCGCCAGGTCGCACTTGTCCCACTTCCACTCCTCGCCCGGGCGCGTGCCGAGGACGGGGTTCGGGCGGCGCGCCTGCTCGCGCACCCAGCGCTGCTCCTTGAGCGCGTTGTGCGTCTTGCGCACGCGGTGGCCGCCGGCTGCGCTCGCACTCGTCGAGAAGGCACGCGCTGCTGTCGGCGCGGGCGGCCGTGAAGCACTGAGGGCGCGCAGCATGCTCGTGGTCGTCGTCGTGGTCGTCGGTGGGTGTTGGCGCTCGCCGCTCGCTGCCCTCGGGGCGAAATCCCGGCGGGCCGTGCACACCTGATCGTGGGAATTGGAGGATTTGCGGCGTATATAATCGCGCCCAAATTTTCCGGGTTTCTTCGATCAAACCATGGGACATGCCACGCTGCTCGGTGCAGACGCTCGACCGTCGGTGCAGTGCCAGAGGCCCGCTTGCGGACCACTGGGTCCCAGAGAGCGATAGCAGTCTAGGAAGTGTCGTTTCTACGTGAGAGGAGACCGGCATGTCGATTTTTACTGCGACAATCTTCCCCTTCATTGTTTCCCTCGTCGTCCTCAGGAATACTCCTCGTTGCTCGGCGCGTTGTTCTAGCTTAGTCGTGCTCAATACATTCTGCTTCTCTCCTAAGTCATGCTGTGGGATCCATCCTTGTTAGGCGATTAGCCCATCGATGACGAGACGTGCTGTGCCCGCTGCTGTAGCCAACGTCGAGGGCACTGGCACAGGTGAGCTAGGAATGCGGAGACGAACAGTAGAATTAACCTTCCCCAGGCATATAAGGATGCAGCAAGACTGAGGTAAGGCAGGAAAGCATCTCCCGTCGCTTCCTGTCTTTCTTCCTCATCAGTCGTGCAACAGGCCGCCCAACGTCATGGGCTGTCATCCGTCGCGCACATCTAACACCGGCCTCGAAGATGGCTCTCTGCAATTCAACTGCGACTCTCCTGATGATCGCATTGAGGGCTGTCCCTTTCCCCATGATCCTCCTTCAGATAATGTCCCTGGTCTAACACCTACCGATCATGCCATCGAGGACGACGCGAGGATCAACAACCAGGATGAGGAGCCCATCATCCACCACCTCCCGATCGAAATCCTGAGCGAGATCTTCCGGCTCTGCGGGGACCCCTCCTCCGTTACGGACATCCTCTCCCTCGGCCCCGTCCTCTTCCCCGCGCTCACGCCCACGCTCGACTTCGGTCGCCACACGTTCCTCGCCTCCGCGTTCGCCCTCCAGCAGGTCTGCCGCCGTTGGTACCACCTCGCGCGCGCGCTCCCCGAGCTCTGGACGCAGCTCGACTTTGGACATCGCCTCCCCGCGGATCCGGTGCGCGTGGCGGAGATGTGTATAGAGCGTGCGGGTGCGTTGCCGCTAACGTTGCGATTGAGGCAGACGGATAGCTGCGCGCAGGCTGCGTGCCGGGCGTTGTTAGGGGTGGTCGCAGAAAATCCAGGGCGGTGGAGGCAGCTAGTGATAGAGGTGCGAGACGGGGATGTGGTGCTGAGGCCCATGTTGGAGTGCGCGGATGGGTCGATGGCGGACTTGCAGGTGGCGGTGATCAGGACGGTCCTGCCGTGGGGGCAGGCGCAGGGGTCGTGCAAGGTCGGCGTGCTGGCGAAGTTCCACTCGAATTTCCCTGGGCTACGTCTCATGCATGTGGCTCAAATTAGATGAACTAATGAGGCTTTTCGTCGACTCTTGACTTGTAGCCGTGGTGTGGTGCGGTTCTCGCTCTCGTACTCTTAGTCTGACAGAATAGTATACCGTTGTACTTGTATCTCACGTACGAATTCATGCTTCGTCTTGGCTCCTCGCTTGAAGCACTCGAGACCATCCATAAGCATGTATGTGGCCAGTTGTCCTCCTGACGCGGGCGGCCTATTGATCCAAAACAGGAAGTTATTGTTTCGACCGATGACGCAATTGGTTCCGCCGAATTCCTTCCAAATCGGGATATTTTGTTCTTTCTTCCCAAACCATCATCATCTTTCTCGCATCAACAGCTTCATTCACCCCGCTTCCTCGACAATGGCTCTATACGTCTTATTCTAGAAGGAGACAACGGTCTTCACCTCCCACGCCTGCGGACCGCACGGATAGGCCATGTTCTCACCGCACGGATGACAAGGACTGCCCAATTCGGCAGTGCCCTTGTTCTTCATGGTCTGTACATAGACCGTGGCGCCAAATTATACAGAATTACTTACCATCCTGGTCCAAAATTACTCTTTGAATGCATGAATGGACGACAGAGGAATGCGCGCATATAAGCCGGTCCCCCCACAGGTTGGTGCATCTCCATCGAAATTCACGAGAAAACAACGCTGACCATCACGACTTCTCTCTCGAACGACTATACGACGGCTTCTACGACAGCTTTTCACCTTTGAACATGACTAGACGATGCGACAAGTACTCGGTCTCCGCACCCAAAAACCGGGTTGTATCACGCATGACTATCGAGTTCGCTACGCCTCCGAATGGCGATGCGAGGGCCTCGCGCGGGCGCGGGCACTCTGGTGAGTAACTAATAGCGCATGCGAAGTATGAGGCTAATGCTTATAACTTCGTTCAGACTCAGATAGCGATGAACAGGGTACCTCTTTGGCATCGCAGGCGGCGCCGACGAGCTGCGACGCTTCCCTAGTCATGATAGAGCACTCGCATCGTCCGAGTCGTCTCCGTGCCTTGCGCAACTACCTGGCCCACCGCCTCATCCGAGGTTCCTCTCGCCACGCTGAAGCGGAATCTCAGGCCGCCATGAATGAGCACGCCACGAACGAACCGAACGCGCCTGAACCTACTCCCGAAGAACGGAGTAGCAATGAATCTACAAGCTCCCCCAGTTCCCCCTCTGCTCTCACGACCCAGCTCATTGTCGATGCGAGTGATGCTCGTCGCCATGCGGGGCTCGAACGAGCGATTTGCCAGATGGAGGAGCGCCTCGCACGCCTCTCTGCCCGCCTAGACGAGGTTGAGAGGCGGCTCCCCGATACGTCTCCGCTACCTTCTTCCGTCAACCCATCGCCACCTGAACCTCCGGATAACGATCGCGATCTGCCCAAGAGGAGCGCTGTGGGTGGACCGATTGAGGCTCACTCTGCACCTCATGCACGATCTACGAGCCCAGCTAGCTCTCTAGTCGGGCCGCCTAGCTCTCGTCACTCCGCACCGAGGGCGCTCGCTTCAGATGCTCAAGACGTTCCTCTTGTCGCCCCTCCCCCTACGTATGCGTCGTCGTCGCCGTCGCCACCGTCGCACTCACCGCCTGGACTACAAAGTCATCGGCGCCGCACGAGACCGGGAGCCGCTAATGGGCGGAATGGACCGCCTGTGACACCCACAACTCTCAATATATCTGGGCAGTCCATTGTGGATCCACCATCCTCTACGCTCGAAGCGTGGGACGGCACGCTGCCGGATGGCGTCAGCAACGGTGTTCCCAGTCGTTCATTGCTGGCTCCCGGGGGTGCTGCGTCAATGGCTATCGGATCATACCCTCTCGGTGGTGTACAAGATGACACGGACATGCCGCTGTCGCAGCCTCACGCTAATCTGGACTGGTCGATGCCGCCGCCGCCGCCCCAGCTTCCAATCCCACTACCCGATGTCGAAGAACACGACGACGGCGCTGCGCCACCGCCGTTGCGAGGCCCTGTGTCTCTGCCAGACATCGAGGAGCCTGAGATAAAGCTGACGCCTCTGCACCTTCCTGATCCTCTGCCTACGGGTGACGACTTCGACAGTGGCGATCTTGATAACGCTCTCAATTTGAACATGACGCATCCCGAGCTGCCTATCCTACTTCCTCGACTTGAGTATCGCCACCAATCCCCGACCCCCTCCATGGTCCCTGACGATCCGGAAGCGGACGATTTGGCGCGCGAACGAGCGAAGGTTCGGCTCCTTCAGCTGCTCCAAGAGCCCGGCCATCCATCTTCGCTCTCTGACCACGATGTACATCGAACACCCGCTGATGCTATTCCCCGAGGCCGATCTGGCATTTACTCGCTTGATCATCCTCCCTTTTCTCCTGAGGTCTCTGCTGCGGGGCACGTTCCTGGCGCTACCACGTTGGGCGCCATTCCTCGACTGGCGGAGCAGGCGAGGCCTACGGATGACAGCGCTGCCCACGACGCCACTATAAAGAACAACGACGCAGTTGTAGCTCCCTCTGTCGTCACACCACCGGTGGAGGTCGGCGCCGACTCGGGCGTGCCCAACGTTAACCGAGCCGCGGAAGCGCCCACCGTGCCAAAGCCTCGGAGTACCGTGTCGAGGACCTCATCTCCCTCTGGTCATCTGCCTACCTTTGTCGGTGCCAGCAGCATTAGCCGACCATGTCCAGGGTCAATCCTTCTTATTGACGTCGGCGATGGCAACGGTCGAGAAGGATTCCAGAGGTTCTTCTCCGGTGACTTCGACCTGGCAATTGAGCGCCTCATGCAATTTAGCCAGAGTCCGACGAGCACGGGAAAGCACTCGGTGACGCAGTTGCACCTTCGCATCCGTCGGTCTACAGATCGACGTGGGCACGATGTGATGACTGTGGTCATGTCTGCACTCTCCGGCATCCTGGGCCACCTGCACGTCGTCGAGATCTTCATGGACGAGGAAAATCCGCACCCTTCGACTAGCGACGCCTTCCGTGGCCTCACTCATCTGCGGCGGCTGCACATAGAAGGTGAAGCGCAAGGAAAGCGCTTCTTATGTTTCCCTCTGCACCTCGTTCGAGAGCTGGTCGTCAAAGCCAGAGTGTCTCTCGGAGACATCTCGATGCTGCTACAAATCTCGTCGAGGTTAGATCTGCTGGTGGTGGATTTCCGCTGTTGCGCCCATACGTCGACCATGCCCGCGCTGAACAGCGTCAAGAGAAGCTCGCATCTACCAGGAATCGTACATGCTACTTCGAACGAGTCGGAGGCCCTCTTGCCCTTCTTGCAGAAGTTTTCTCGGGCGGAGGATGTGCGTTTACTTGTGCGCTCGGGCCATTGTTCTCGGAATATTCGGGATCTGTTCAATGCTCACCAGTGGTCGCTGCTTCGCATGTCAACTGCGTAATCGCAATCTTCCGTGTATTAGACTACAAATGATGATACCCTTATATCACATAGGAGTGTCTCTCGTAGCTACACCATTCCAGTAAGCCTCGTCTGCTTGCGCAAATTCCCGTGTATACAGTGATAAGTACGTGGGTAGAAAGGGCCGTGGATCGAAAGTTTCGGGCTCTCCAACGGTATAGCGAGGATGGGTCTCGTAGAGAAATATGCGAAGATGACGCAGCGTAGGGCTGCGAAGGATCTTTTCGGTTTCTTGCGTCTGTCCACAATACACGCAGCCAAAGCCCAACATGAATAGTCGTGATTTCGAACGCTGCAGCATGGCTTCGATGGCGCGTGCTTGCACTCCGGCGTTGATGAGATCCAGTCGGTGCAGACGAGGTGTGGTGATTCCATCGAAGAGATTCGTCCAATCAAACATGCCAGCGAGCATCAGAACCTGGAGGTGAGGGAGGTCGACAGGCGACGGAAGCTTAGCTATCAAAGCGCCGTCGTCCTCGCCCATGAGCTGGCTCTCAAGCGACTTCACCTTCGCCCTGAGGAACCTCAGCTGTCCGCAGGAGCGAAGGCACTCCATCACGTCCATGGGGTCGATGTGGTCCACCGCAACATGGGTGAGGCGTTCCAGAGATGACGAAGAAGCGCGGAATCCGACACCGTACCAGTGCAATGAACGGAGAGCCGTCGATCTGAAGAAATTCTCCCAGAGAGGCAATGTAGGCCTGTGGTCATCGCCGAAGAAGTACAGCATCGCGCGTTTGATAGAGGGGAATGATTGGGGAGGAAGACTTGTGAGGTGGTGCAGGCCGTCGAAGGGCCTGAATGGGCCTTGGGTCACAACGAAGGATATTTCCTCCCAGCGGTGCGACGCAGCTGCGACGAGACACATGAATTTCTGGTACGTCTCCGGAGTGTGCAGATGCTTCGGCAGCTGGTAGTGTCCGTTGATACGTAGAGTCAGAGGCAAGCCTTTGGAATAGCGGAGGCTGAGCTCCAGCGCAGCAACATCGCATGGTTGAGGAAAGGGGACATCCACCATGGTCCACAGCTGACGTGAGCCTCGCGTCACGGCGAACCAGCGCAAACAGACGTGGCCCAAGAGCACGGTCGCTCTGCTATAGAGGTGCATGGGAGGGGGGAGTGCGTCGTGTACGTCGTGCCGAGGGTAAAGGAACGCGTCATCCACTTCTCCGCACATCATGAAGATGGCGCATAGCAGCTCATTTGGAAGGCGGTATATGAAGCAATCTGTCCGCTGCGGCTTGCGCGTTGTCGTTGTCGTGCGACCAATATCCGAGGTGCTCTTCTCGGCATGACCCTGGGATGCGGCTAAAGGCGAGTTGTCAGGAGGAGAATGTCGCGAATCAATACTCTAACTTACACAGACGACGAGCGCGCAGGAGGGTGTCGATAGCGAGGTCATCGAAGTTCACGATGTCGAGCGGAACGGTGGAGGGACAGCGCGCTACGGAGATGTTCACTTGCACGCCGCTGGAACCTCTCACATCTGACGTACCCGAGCCGAGATCCTTCCCAGAAGTATTCCCAGCCCAGGGCGGGGCAACGGCGATCGCAGGCCCTTGTGCCATTTCTACGGATATCAAGTTGGTATCAGACGGCATGGCCCAACGAAGATGCGCGAGCACTCACCTCAGAAAGACTTGGAGGATATGAAGGAGAGGGAGATTGGTGAGAGATTGGCCGCAACCCTGTTCGCTAGCGTCTTATGAGCGCGGCAATGTGCGTGACTATTGTTGTGATCACCCGAAAGACAATAAGATCGACGACAATTAGCTCGTTCGAAGGCGGCGATATCATATTTAAGATTCATTTGACCGTTCGCGGCTCCAGGGGAGGGCTTAGGAAGGGTTGTTAGGAAGTATGCCCTCTTTCGCATCTCGCACGCGCGCAATATACGAGTATAAGCTATTCGAGTTGTGGCAGCCCTCTGAAGGGTGCCTTGCGGGCTTGCCGACAGCGCATCGCAGCTTCCGCGGAGATATCGCGACAGTCCATGGGAGTGACCCCACATGGACTTTTTTGTCGCATCGCTTTGATACAGGAATGTTGATGCACCGCGCTTGATCTTTACGGAGATGGACTTGCAAGGTAAGCAAGGTCGGCCTTGGAGACGCGGAGGTCTCTTGAATCATCAGATACTTGATGATATAGCGAGGTATGGCCATCCTCAGGGTATCGTGGTGGCCGAAGGCAGATTCGGCGGTCGGATCGGGAGAAAAGTGACGCAGTCACATGTGACGCCTTCCCGGTTCGAAACCGATATCCGAATTCAAGTTGGCATGCCTTGTTCTCTCTTCCCGAACTACCATCATCCTCTTCCGCTTTCTCAACAATGGACATACGCATCTTCTCCTTGTCGCCGATAAAGGACCAACAAGCAAGCATTCTCAGACCCGGACTGTCCCTTCTAGCGCAACGTCGACAAGGACTGCCCAATTTGGCCAAGTCCTTGTTCTCGATGTATAACGAAGGTCATGGCGTCAGAGATCTCGCCGCAAACATGTAGTCGCCTACCATCTTGGTCCAGAATTACCTTTTGAATGCTTGAATGGACGATGCGCATATAAGCAAGTATGCCTGGCTAGTGTGTGCACATCCCTACCGACGATAACGAACGATTCCCCACCAACGTTTATGAACACTCTCAACATGACTCGACGACGCGACAAGTACACGTATTACGCTCCCTGCGATCAGACTGTGTCACACATGACCATTTACTACGATGCGCCACCGAATGGCAATGCAAGGGCCTCGCGCGGGCGCAGGAAGCCTGGTGAGTGGAGCGTAGAGCGTAGGAAGTATGTGGCCATCGCTTACGACTCAATTTAGGCTCAAGCACTAGTGACGAAGGACTGAATGCGTCTCTGGCGTCGCGGGCGGCGCCGACGGTCGCCCACGCTCCTGCTGCGGTAGCCAAAAACACCCGTCGCCCAGGTCGCCTACGTGCATTGCGCAACTACCTCACCCATCGCCTCATCCGAGGCTCCTCTAACCACCCCGGAGCGCATGATCACGTCACCACGAATACGGAATGTGCCACGAACATCTCTGAACCTACCCAATATCACTCTCACGACAACGAATCCACACGCTCCTCAGTTTCCCCACCTACGCTTACATACGAACCCAGCGTCGAAGCAAATATATCAGGCCGCTTTAAAGGGCTCGAGGAGCGCCTCACCCGCCTTTCTGCACGCCTGGACGAGGTCGAACGGCGGACCCACAACGTATCCCCTATAGCATTTCGGGGTTCATCTGAATCGTCTCATGATGCCCACGACTTGTCCGAAAGGCCTGCTACCGCCGGCCAGAATGATGTTCACCCATCGCTCCGCCCCGGGCATGTGAGCTCAGCTTGCGCGCCACCTAGACCGCCGAGTCTTCAGTTCCCAGCAACCAACACCCTCGCCTCAGATGGTCATGCTATGCCTCCCTCCACAGGCCTGCCGCCGTCGCTGCGCTCGCCGCCCGGACTGTCGAGTCATCGGCGAGACACGAGGAGCGCGGTCGCTGCAAATCGTCGAAATGGACCACCCGTGACACCTATCTCTGTCAACTTTTCCGGTCAGTCCATCGCGACCTCGTCGCCGGAAACGCTTGAGGCGTGGAATGGCACGCCACCAGAGCCACACCACTGTGTCCACTACGCCGTGCCCTTGCCGTCAGTCCCGCCTCTTCCGCAAGCGTACAGCGGTCCATTTACCGACAGATCATACACTTCGTTACCTCCAGATGGTGTGTGGAACGACGCGAACGCGGCTCCGCCGCAGCCTCACGATAGCTCGGACTGGTCCATGCCTCCGCCTCCTCTCCAGCTTCCTATCCCTCTGCCAGATGTCGACGATCCTGAGATGAATCCGACTCCGAGGCACCTTCCTGCATATCTCCCTATGATCCAGGGACACCCTAGCACGCTCGGCCTGGATGTTCCATTTCACCTGCCTTCTCCCATACAACCTCACCCAATATATAAGGAAAACCACCGGTTTCATCGATTCTGGGAGGAGTGGGATCTTGGAACGTTCCTCAACGCGGAGTGCACCCAGGCTCCCCCTCACATGCGCCTTTCTCGGAGGCCCGACCCGCAGATGGTACAATATCACCATGCGGTTTCGGCCATGTTGGCGCGCAAGCGAACGGATGCTCGTCTCCAAAATATGCTTTTTGGGACCAACTCTTCGTCTGTGTTGTCTGCGTTCAAGAAGCAGCGTGCTGACGGTGATTTCACCGACGGTCTCGGATCTTCTAGTCTGCTCGCTGAAGCTCTTCGCCAGCGTACGGCCGATGCTCGTCCCGAACTCTCGCTTGCGCAGGTAAATGCACCGCCGGCTGGACTTGGACCTCCTTCGGTGATCGAGGAAAGTGTTCCTCTCTCGAAGACGGCAATAGCCCTCGGGTCCTCGCCTGAGCGAGCGACCGTCGTCGAAGACGTGGACCACCCGACCGCGCCCACCTCTGTTCCTACTGCTCTTGTGCAATCAAGTCGTGGCTCCGACGAGGCTTCCGTGCGCGTGACTCGAGGCTCTACGACCAGTGACAAGGTGAAGTACAATATCCCGACTTACGTCGGCGGCTTCAAAGCATCCAGAACCTGCGCGGGGCTGCGGTTGATCATCGACGTTGATACTCCCAATCGCACCAAACCGAGTTGCTCCACATACTTCTACGGCGACTTCGACCTGGCCATGGAGAGTCTTCGAGGAATGTTGGAGATTGAGGAACGTCTGCACAACCTGACACAGCTCTATTTACGCATCAACCGCCTGCGAGATAACAACAACCAGGACATTATGATGCGGGTCTTTGCGCAGCTGAAAGACGACCTGCGTTATCTCCACTTGATAGATGTGCTTGTGCAGGCCGCCGATGTGATCCCTGGGTCCGTGGATCTCAGCGCTCACCGCCACAAATTCACGCAACTACGAGAGTTGCGAATTAGCGGTGTCGCATCCCCTGAACGCTTTGGCTGTTTTCCGCTAGATCGCGTCATCCGGCTGGGCATTATGGTACCAATATCTGTCCCCGATATCTTGGAAATATTGAGGCGAACGGAGAGGCTGGATTTCCTGATCCTGGACTTTTGCCAACGCTCCGAGATCGTCCTCACGCATTTCACGAGCTAAAGAAGCGCAGGACGCGCAAGACCTCAGTCTTCCTGCTAGTGGAATAGCGACTGATATTCATACCTAAAGAAGCGCAGGACGCGCAAGACTAAAGTACAGTCAGTAAATAGTATGAGTATAGTAAGTGAGATAACATACCCTCAGTCTTCCTGCTAGTGGAATAGCGACTGAGGGAAAAGAGATGTACAGTAAGGATAAATACGGACGCCCCCGGAGCGGCGTGGGAAAGTTCTTCCCGAATAGGAAGGCGGACCAAAAGCGTGGACGCGAGGCAAACCGTCCACCCATGGGAGGAGGCAGACTCGCCCCTCTATACCCTACTTTTGACACTCCCACTCGAGTCTGGCCGTAAACCCATACCTTGGCAGAACTTGAGATGCTTCTCATGAGGTAGTGCCTTGGTAAAGATGTCCGCAACCATCTCGTCCGTGGGGTACCAGAGGACGACGCACTCGCCAGTGGCAACCAGCCCATCGCGGATGTAGTGGTACTTCCGCTGGATGTGCTTGGTCCGAGCCCGGAACTGAGCATCCTGGCTGAGGATGATGGCCGCGCGGTTGTCGCACCTAAGCTCGGTGGCACCGGCCTGCGGACGTCCCAACTCCTCAAAGAATGAGCGGAGCCACGCCAAATGCTGGCCAGCATTAGCTAGACCAATGTACTCCGACTCGGTAGAAGAGAGAGAGACCATGGACTGCCGCTTGCTGGACCAACCAATGGCGCCCCGACTTGAGATGAACACGAAGCCGGAGGTAGACTTGGACGTGTCGTTGCATCCGCCCCAGTCAGCGTCGGTGTAGCCATGGAAGTCGAGGTCCATGCCAGCGTCAGCGCCATCATAGACAAGGCACCAGTCGCGCGTCTTCTTGAGGTACCGGAGGACACGCTTGGCCAGTTCCCAATGGCAGGCCTTGGGGGCGGCGCTATAGCGGCCAAGAACCCCCACCACATAGGCGGTATCCGGTCGGGTGCCCATCATCCCGTACATGAGCGAGCCCACTACGCTCTGGTAGGAGACGACGGGACCTCCGGGGACCAAGGCCATATGAGTGCGCACCTCGTTGTCGTTAGGGTCATCAGCGGAGATGCGAGTACTTGTGGACATGGGGGTGCTGACGCCCGTGCAGTCCGACATGCCATACCGCTCAAGCACGGTGTCGATGTACTTCCTCTGGGAGAGGGAGATCGTGCGCTTGCCCGGGTGCCGGATGATCTCGATGCCCAGGAGGTACTTGGCGGGACCCAAGTCGCGCATCTTGAAGGAGGCAGTGAGCTTCTTCTTGATGCTGTCCATGAAAGGACGCGAGGTGGCGGCGAGGAGTAGGTCGTCGACGTAGACGACGAGGAAGCAGACCTGCTTACCGTCCCGGAAGACGTAGAGGCAAGTCTCCGAGTTGAGGCGCACAAACCCGAGCTTGTCGAGCTTGTTGTGGAGCGTCTGGTTCCACGCGCGACCAGCCTGCTTGAGGCCATAGACAGACTTCTTGAGTCGCCAGCAGTAGCCCTCCCGGATGTCGACACCGGTCGGGGGAAGCATGTACAGCGTCTGTAGCAGCTCGCCGTTGAGGTACGCGGTGTTCACGTCCATCTGGTCTGTGTAGAGGCCAAGGCGGACGGCGAGAGCGAGGATGATGCGGATGGACTCCAGGCTAGCGACGGGCGCAAAGGTGTCCTGGTAGTCGACTCCTTCCTGCTGAGTGAAGCCGCGTGCCACAATGCGCACCTTGTACCGCTCAATGTTCCCTTGAGCATCCTCCTTCAAGGAGAAGACATGCTTGGAGGTGATCGGCTTGACGCCCTCCGGGATGGGTACCTCCTCGTAGACATCGTTCAGCTTGAAGCTGTTCAACTCCTCCGACTGCGCATCCAACCACTTGTCGCGCTCTGGGCTCGCCATGGCTTGCTTCCAAGTGGTGGGAATCTTCCGCGCACCGCTGCTCGACCGACCACCAGATGCTGTGCCCGCGAAGAGCTCGTCATTGAGAAAAGCAAAGTTCACAGACTCGCCCTCTTCGTCAGGTTGACCCGGGGGATCCCCACCCCCCTGGGTAGGCGCTGGTGCAGGTTCTGGTTCGGGAGCTGGTGCGGGAGGCGGAGGAGGAGCTTCTGCCTGGGGCGGCTGCTCTCGACGTCGGCGATTTTCCTCGAGTTGCTGCTCGCGCGCGCGGATGTTCGCTTCGCGCTGCTTCCGCTGCTGGGCGGACACCTTCCGGTGGTTTTCCTGTCGCTCCCGAGCGTTGATGTAGCCCTGGTCCTTGTGCTGGTTTGCTGTTCGCTCTTCTGGCTTGCGAAGGCCAGGGCGGCGTGATGGACCAGCGGCGGGGGCAGGAGCCGGCGGAGGTGTGGCCGGTGGCAGGGACCGGCGCGGTATGCGCGTCTTAGGTGGACGCGGAGGAGGCGGTGGCCCGTCCGAGTCAGGTGAAGGTGGACGATCATCTCCCACTGGCTCTGGCGTGGGTGGACGAGGTGCTCCCACTGACCCGGCTGCAGGTGGCTGGGCCGGCGCATCGTCGTCGTCATCGTCCTCGCTGTCACTGCCCGCACCTGGTGCAGGAGTGTCCTTGGGCGGCAGACGGAAGTACTTGCCAAAGTCCTCCCACTGCTCGGCGGACACATCGTCTTCGCCCGCGCGCATCTCGTCAGGAGAGGGGGAGGCGTCGTCGAACTTGACGTGCCGGGAGATGATGACCTTCCGAGTGGCGATCTCGAGGAGCTTGTACGCCTTCGTGCCCTCAGACCAAGCATAGCCTATGAGGATGCACCGGCGGGCGCGGTCGGCGAACTTGCCCTTCCGCTTCTTCTTTGGGATGAGCGGGTAGGCGGGGCAACCGAAGGGGTGCAGGGCGTGGACGTCAATAGGGCGCTTGACCTTGCGCATGCGGTTGATGGGCAGTTCTCCCTTCTGGCGGCTTGCGGGCGACAGGTTGATCATGTCGGTGGCGTACTCCATGGCGTACATCCAGTACTTCCGGGGAAGCTTGGCCGCGCAGAGGTTAGCGATCGCCCGGGTGACCAGCGTCTGGTTCATGCGCTCCGCTATGCCGTTCTGCTCAGGTGTGTAGGGCGCCGTCGTCTCGTGGATGATACCGCGTCGCCGGAACTCGGCCTCCATCTTGTTCGAGCAGAACTCGCCACCGCCGTCTGTGCGGGTGAACTCAACCCAGCCGGGGAGCCACTCCCACTGCTCGATAGAGTCGCGGTGCTGATGCTCCATGTCGATGCGCCACTGACGGAGCTTCTTGTAGACCTCCGACTTCTTCTTTGTGAAGAGCGTGTAGACACCCGAGGAGTAGTGGCAGACAATGACGATCCAGTAGAGATAGCCGCCAATCGCAGCGGGGTCGACGGGGCCACCAACGTCGCAGGAGACGAACTGGAGCGGGCGCGAGGCGGGCGTGGTGCTCCGCTTGAAGGGGAGCTTCTTCATCTTGCCCATGACGCAGGGCTCACAGAAGGATGGGATGCCGGTAAGCGTGTCAACCTCCCCGAGCTGCCCATGTCGGACCATGTTGCGCAGGCTCTCGAAGTTCGTATGGCCCATGATCTGGTGCAGCCGGTTGATGTCGATGGCGGTGAAGGCGCGCTCATCCGTGCCGATGGGCTGGCAGTCGACGTGATAGAGACCGTGTTTGCGCGTTGCGACACAGGCGATATCGCCGGAGGAGTCGCGGATAGTACAGGCGTTGTCCTTAAAGGACACGCGCAGACCACGCTTGGTGATCTGGGGCACCGAGATGAGCGTCAACGCGAGGTCGGGGACATGCAGTGTCTTCCGAATAGTAAGCGCGCGCACACCGTCCGGTGTCTTAGAGGCGAAGCAGGCAGTGCCAATGCCTACTGCCTTGATGACGGACTCATTCCCGAGGTAGATGTTGCGCGGCGGGTCAAGGACACGGTAAGTGCTGTCGTCGAAGAGGCGCTCATCGGGGGTCATGGTCTTTGACGCACCCGAGTCGACGATGTGCGAACCTTGGTGTCGCTGCGGTCGCTTTGGATCAGACTGGACATAGGCGGAAATCTTCTTGTAGGCACGGCGCGAGACGGTTACATGTGTGTCGTCTACATCCGAGTCCGAGTCCGAGTCCGAATCCGAGTCCGAGTCCTTCACCTTGTTCGCCTTCGCCTTCTCCGCCGCCCGCTCCTTCCGCTTCTTCAGCGCCTTCTCCTTCTGCCCAATGATCGTCTTGCACTCCTCAGTGGAGTGCCCCTCGCCGTGGATGACGCAGGTTGCCTTCGCCTTAGCCTTCTTCTTGCCCTTGTCCTTGGGCTTGCGCGGTGGGGGCGCGCGAGAAGAGGAGGCGGCGTATGCCTGCTCATCGTCCGAGTCTTCCTTGCTGGTCACCTGCGCCATCAGCTTCGCCTCGACGTAGGAGAGGGTGAGGGGCGCGGCCTTGGAGCTGCCCGCCGAGATGCCTGATGAAACGATCTTCCACTTCTCCGAGCTGGGAAGGGAGGCGAGGAGGATGAGGGGGACGAGATTGGCGTTGAGGGGATAGCCGAGGGTGGCGAGCTGGGTGACCGACTGCCGAACGCGGTGGATGTGCGCGCTCATCGCCTCGCGGGAGACATCTCCATCGTCGCCGTCGGCAAGCTTCGCGCGGAAGATCTTGATCAGTTCGGTGACCGCCATCTCGCTGGTGTTGGTCTGCTCGAACTTCTCGACGAGCTTCTCCCAGAGTTCGCTTGCGTGCTGGTACTCGTGGAGCTCGAGGGCGATGTCATTGGAGAGGTGCTCCCGGATGGTGGAGAGGGCGCGGGCGTTCCGCCAGGACCAGGTCTCCCTCCGCGCAACTTGGTGAGTGGTGGAGGAGGAGCCCGATCCTGTGGATGTGGTGGCGGTCGCCGGAGCGCCAGGTGACGTGGACGGGGGAGAGGACGTTGTCGGCGTCGGTGGAGTCACCGCGATCTCAGGGGGAGGAGATTTTTCCGATCCAGTCACCACGGAGGTGAGATCGTCCCTGTTGAGGGCGTCGGTGACCCGGAGGCGCCAGAGCGGCCAGTCCGCCGCATCGGTGAGCGTCGGGACCTTGCTGTCCTTGGGAGCCATGGCGCAGAGTGGGATAGAGTGAGTCGCAGATTGAAGTCTTGCTCGATTTTAGGCCACGGGGCTCATAACCTTTCACGAGCTAAAGAAGCGCAGGACGCGCAAGACCTCAGTCTTCCTGCTAGTGGAATAGCGACTGATATTCATACCTAAAGAAGCGCAGGACGCGCAAGACTAAAGTACAGTCAGTAAATAGTATGAGTATAGTAAGTGAGATAACATACCCTCAGTCTTCCTGCTAGTGGAATAGCGACTGAGGGAAAAGAGATGTACAGTAAGGATAAATACGGACGCCCCCGGAGCGGCGTGGGAAAGTTCTTCCCGAATAGGAAGGCGGACCAAAAGCGTGGACGCGAGGCAAACCGTCCACCCATGGGAGGAGGCAGACTCGCCCCTCTATACCCTACTTTTGACAACGCAGCACACCGAGGGGCCAGACGCGGATCGCGTGAACCTACCACGGGCCCTGCACGTCAAGTGTCGGGAAGATGTACCTGTTGAGCTTCTGGTACTTTTTGGGATGGCGCATGCTGGAACGACTGCAGACGTACGACTGTTTGTGGATCGACCGGTCTCTACTGAAGTTGTGCGGCTATTCAAGGGACGTCAATGGTCTTTAGTTATCACCAAGTGAATGATGCGTCTGTACTCTGCTGGACGTCGATACATATATATATATCCCACCATAAGATTACGACAGCAATGTATATGTGTGCTCTGCGTACTCGAAATCGTCCGTGATCAATCCACACTGGGAAGGCAGAACAGGTGCAGGGTCGAAGTCCTCAATTACGCCCTCCCCTTCTTTCGACGAAACTTCGTAGAAGAGTATGCGTAGATGCCGCAATGGCGAGGAGCGCAGAAGGGCTGCACATCCGTCCGTGGTACCTTTGTACAGGTAGCGGAATGCTAGCATGGACAAACGGGCTCGCGAACGCATTAGCATGCATTCTATTGCACTCGCCTGTACGCCCGAATACGCGATATCCAATCTATCCAGCCTAGGTGCTGTTATACTGTCGAAGAAGTTCGTCCAGACGGGCATGTGACTCAGCATGAGCTGACGCAGCCGCGGCAGGCTGATTGGTGCGGGCAGTGCTGGTACGACATCCGTGCAAAGGTAGTTGCCTTGTATCGTTCTGTTCGGTGTCACCTGGAATACCTCAACCTGGGGGCAATGGCGAAGTAATTCCAGTATTTTCTCTGGTGGAATGTGGTTCGCGCCAATATGCGTGAGCTTCGAGAGGGCATGTGAAGGAACGTGCAAGGAGACGGCGAACCATTGCGCTGTTCGGATGCTGGGCGATGCGAAGAACATTTCCCATAAGCGTACAGTGACAGGGCCGTTGGTACCAGCATCCCAGCGCCACATGGTTGCGCGTTGTGGACATCTGTAGGCGTCCACGGGGACGGATAGGAGAGGTTCCAGCAGCTCCTCGAGTGCGAGTGACTCATTGAGAGAGAGTATAGATATCTCCTGCCAGCGTGAAGCGACCGAAGCCACGGTTCGCATGAAGTTTCGGCAAGCTTGCGCAATGATTGCGCGTGTGTAAGGAAGCGCGTAAGGGCGCTCGTGCAGTCTCATCGTCAGAGGGAGGCCACTGGAGTACCGTATGCACCGTTTCAGATTAGCGGTATCGCATGGCTCAGGTGCGCATATGTCCACCATCGTCCAGAGTTGTGGAAAGCCACGTGTGAGAGCGAACCAGCGCGCGCAAACATAGCCAAGGGAGACCGCGGCTCGGCTGTAGAGAAGCTGCGGGTTCCGCGCTCGTCCTCGGTAGGCTCGGAACATGTTTTCGCGGGGATAGTTGAACTCCTCCTCGGTATGGCCGCACATCAGGAAGATGGCACATAGCAGCTCGGGAGGTAGGCGATCTACGTAGCAACTCGCGGGCTGAGTCTTTAGTTTGCGGGAACGCAGATCGGCGTCTGAAAGCTCGTGTTAAAACCATTGATGGGGATTCGGAGAGTTTGAGGGCGAACCTGTCCTACAGTTCACGCGTGATATGACGAGGTCATCAATATTGACGAGATTGATCGGTATGGCGGAGGGACAGCGCTCTATGGACTTCGCTTAGCCGCCTCCGGAATACTATATACATCAGACATACCAGCGCTGAGGCTCTCGCCCAAGGGTCTTGAAGACAAGTGCAAAGTGTGATCGATCGGAGGGCACCGCTGACCCAGTTCGGCCATCTCTGAAGTCGTAGAGGTGTGTCAGCCGGCCAGACCAGAGAGCGGCGCTCGGTCACTCACCTCATAGAGAATTGTGTGCTGGCGAGGAGGGGAGAAAGGGTAAGCGATTTCTCGGGGAGCCGGTCGCCTCCATCTTTTGAGTACGGCGACGGACGTGACTGAGGCTGTGATTATCCGAAAGACAATAAGGACGAGAACAATTGGCTCGCAGTCGGCGGCGTCATATCCGGTACCCATGTGATCGCTTGATGCTAGGGAGAGAGTGTCTTCCCAGGAGCCTGATGTCAGGAAGTCACTCCTTCGCATACCGCGCGCGCCTCAGGTATGTCGTCTAACTCGAGTTTCTGGCTTCGGACGAGCCGCGCAAGCCTTGGACACAGCATTGTACTGAGATTACGCAGGTGTGTGTGTACAAATGCCTAGGCGAGTGGTGAGGGCTCCCAAGAGAAGCTGTCTTTGAATCTGGGCGTATCACGGGCCTGCTCCGCGCTTGACCTCCTCAGTGTAACGATGACGAGAGGGAACGGATTTGGACCTGATGGAAGGGTATTTCTTAGCTTTCGATCAGTCCGTCGCGCTCCGTGGCTCTACTGCCCATATTGTCGTGGCTTCCCTAGGAGGTGAAGATGGTGGTTCGGCCATGAGGAGAGTGATGCTGTCACGCGTAACGCTGCGGCTTCGTGTTGCTCTTTCTCCCATTGATCTATGTTCGAACCTGGCTTAGTCTCTCAATGTCCAGGGAGACGTCGAGGATCCGTATCACAGCACCACAGATATGTATACGTAGCGGTATATATAAGAGTTCCCGGTATTCAGAAAGTAGCTGAAGACCAATACAAGTCGTCCGCATGCGAGAAATTGTCGCTGAACAACGTAACATCTGGTGGCAAAGACAAATCCAGTCCAGACAAGTCCGAGGCTGGGCCGAACACCTCGGCATCAATAACGAACAAAATCTCACTTTTCTCCTGAAGTACTATACGTAGCTGTCGCAGCGATGCACAGCGTAGAAGGGCCGCGCACTGCACGTCATGTCCGTCATATATGTAACGGAGCGAAAGCATGTCCAGTCGCGCATGGGAGGATTGAAGCATAGTATCTATCGCGGTGGCCTGGATGCCTGTGTAGGCGAAGTCAAGACGACTCAGAGAGGGAGTAGAAATACTTTCAAAGAAATTCGTCCAATCACCGAAGCAGCTCAGCATAATGACGCGCAGATGGGGCAGAACGACTCGCGGGGACACACAAGGTATGAGGTGACCATCTTCCTTTCCCGGAAAGACACTTTCATTCGACCGCACCGAGATCTGAAGTACTTCGATTTTGGGGCATGATCGCACGAGGTCCAGGATATTCTGCGGAGGGAGATCATTCACACCGACATGTGTCAGTTTTACGAGGGTAGATGCAGGAGCGTGAACGTGAGCGCCGGCCCATTGTGCCTGACGCAGAGAAGGTGACGCGAAGAACATCTGCCAGAGGAGGCAGTCGACGGCTGGCTCCTTGAGATGATTGTGGTGCTTGATCATGGCGCGCCGAAGACGCCTAAAAGCGTTGGTCGGTTGAAAGAGCAGGGGCGCGACTAGATCGAGCAGCGTGGGCTCGCTACGGGTAGATAGGATGGATATCTCATCCCAGCGGAAAGACACCGACGCTACAATCTGCATGAATCGTTGGCAGGCATCGACATCGGGTTGTCCCGGAACTAGGTTGTGGCGATCGTTGATTCTCAATGTAAGCGGAAGATCGCTAGAGTACCTTATGCATCGCCTGAGTGCAGCTATGTCGCATGGGCGTGGCGAGGACACATCGACCATGGTCCACAGTTGGGGACAGCCACGCGTTATAGCAAACCAGCGCGCACACACGAGCCCAAGGCTGACTACTTCTTGACTGTGCAACCATGGTAGGTTCCGGCTTCGTCCACAGTAGTCCATGTCCTCGCGAGGATAGTAAAATTCGTCGTCGGAGCGTCCACACAGCATGAAGATATTGCAGAGCAGTTCGGTCGGAAGAAGACTGATGAAGGAGCTTATAGACCGCGAGTTCACTTTGCCGGAACTGGCGTTTGCGCCTGGAAAGCTCCCATCAGGACGCATGGAAGGTGAATCGCGGATCTTACAGACGCACCAGGATCACGCATCATGCGCGGCGAGGAGAATCTGCTGCCCATCTTGAGAGATAGACCGGGATAGCGGGGCAGTAGCACTCTACGACATTCAGTCAGCCCCCCGCCACTGAGCTGGGTAGCCAGAACCTACCGGCGCTATAATCGTGATAGGTTTAAAGCTTGATGGGAATCACAGTCAGCAGGAGGGCGAGGTAGCACAGTTCTCCCTCCCTTTCTAAAATATCTAGAATCGAGTGGGGCCGTGGTCGGGAAGACGCATGCTGCCTTCTTCAACTTGGGCATCTTAAGTGAGTGCTGAAGCCGTCTTCGTCCGCAAGACAATAGGAGAAGAACAATTAGCGCAATCACACGAGAGGATATCACATCGAAGGGTCAACTAGAGGAAGCTCCGGCTCCGCCGGCTTCAACCTTGCCTTGAGGCTGAGACAGTGGGGTGGGCTTGCGCACTGGACTCTTGTTGCGCGCGTGTGGCGCGCGTGACTTGACGTTTGTTGTCCAAGAGCACCGTACAAATTGATGGGGTCAATTAAGGGCGGGAGAGACCTTGCAAGGCAAGGTAATATGGTGGGTTGAGATGCCAACAGGACCAGTAGGCCGGCCCTCGGAATTCGAACATGACAGTTGGCGATGAGGAGAAGCGTGACGAAGTAACGTGTGACGCTTCGCGTTTTCGCGTCTGATCTGCGGTATAGCCAGCTTGTCTTCCCCCACCATGACCTCCGTCGCTCAGCTCGCAGAGTGTCTGACCGCTACCCTAGACTCAAATCCAAATGTCAGAATATCTGCCGAGCTCAAGCTCGCCGAGTTTTCAGCTCAGCCGGGTTCGTGCTCCATGCTGCAGTGCGCGACGCTTGACTGAAGTAGGCGCGTGGATCGATCAGAGACCGGTATCTCCCTCGCAAGACTAGCGTTGTCCCCAGAAGCGGAGCTGCCACTGAGACAGATGAGTACTACGCGTGATCTCCAGCAATACGCGTCCTGATGAGCAATGTCGCGCCTGCACTCGGCTAGCATCGTACTGAGGAAATATGTGCTTGAACGCTGGTCCCCCATCTTTCCTCAGTTCCGGGGGCCCGCTCCACCCCAGGAGGTGCGTTGTAATATGCATCCTATACTCGACCGATGCTCATGAGTCGCAGACCAAAGCCGCAGTCCGGCAGCTAGTCTTCCAGGGCTTGTCTGACCCCGATCGCAAGATCCGCTCACTCTGCGTGCGTGATCATAGCGTTATCCCATTAACATCGTGCTCAGCTTTAGCAAACAATAGGCTCGCACCATGTCTACATTAGCCAACGCTGACTGGCCCGACGAGAACCCCGAACTCCTCACTTCCCTCATCGGTTTATTGTCCTCCGGATCACCGAACTCTGTCCACGGCGCAATGCAGGTCTTCGCCGAGTTCATCAAGGCAGACCTTTCCGAAGACCAGATCCTTCCTATTCTTCGCGAACTCCTGCCGGTTTTGCTCACCATTCTCGGTGGAACGGAGGTATGCGTAATTGGAGAGACAATTACTCGATGCTAACCGAGTTCACAGCAATACGGTGCGATTACGCGCGCCAGGACCGTATCCGTGTTCCAGCAATGTGTGGAAGCGCTGTTCATGGTCAAGGACCAGCACCCGCAAGCCGTGAAGGAGGCGACCACGTCCATTTTACCCGTTTGGCTTGAGGCGTTCAGGGTTCTGCTCAACATCGACCCTCGCCAAGACCTCAACAAGTCGGAGTGGGACGGGCTCTTGATCCGCATACAGATCTACAAGGTACGCTATACTCATATGCGCATACAGCACGATGTTGACTTCGCGAAGACCCTGGACATCATCCACACTTCATTCCCGCGCGCCATGACCACCTTCCTCCCCGACATACTGAGCGCCTCGCTCAATCACCTGCAAACAATCTACCCGGCATTCCAGCAATACTACCTTTCCGCAACTGACTCCCCACCTCCATCCTCGGAAGACGAGCCGGTGCACCTACCGCAACTCATCTGTCCTATCCTCGACTTCCTCTCCTCGATCATTCGGGGAGGCAAGGCCAAGACATGGTTCGAAGGCAACAATTTGACCGCAGTCGTATCCGCCGTCTTCCAGTATGCGCAGATAACCGATGAGGATGTGAGTATCCGAACACAACCTTACTCCACGCGACATGTCCTGACAGCCTTGATTAGGAAGACACCTGGGCGAGTAACGTCAACGCGTTCATCGCGCAGGAGGACGACGAGACGCAAGAGTACAGCGTTCGCGTTGCCGGCTTCGACATCTTGGGTGTAAGTCCCATTTACATACGTCTTTTCACTTGCCTCATGATTGCGCCAGGTCCTCATGGAACGCGAGCCGGCGAAGACGGCGGCGACGTGTCAGTTGCTGCTGCAGCAGATGGTTCAGTCATCGCAGCAGGCGCGCGATGGTGGCCAGGAAGACTGGTAAAACTCAAATGCTCGTATGATGAAGACATTGTACTCATGCTACAGCAGGTGGCGTCCTCTCGAGGCCTCCCTCGCTGCAATCGGTTCTCAGTCGGAGACCATCTTGGACTGCATCGAGGACGAGCTTGAGTCAGGACGGGATAAGCCGATCGACATTGAGTACATCCTGCGCGACATCGTGCCCTCGGTCTTGGGTCTTTCTGGTAGTCTTATTCCCCGTCATGTTGACTGATGGCTGACGAAAGTCAGCACACCCCTTCCTGCAGGGTCGCGGCTTCGTCTTTGCCAGTCAGTACGCGAAGCTGTTACCGCTGCAGCTGGCGGGTCAGTACCTTGAGGCTGCGATCCAGGTCATCGAGTCCAGCGAGGCGGGTGTTCCGGTCAAGGTCTCTGCCGTGCGTGCGGTGCATAAGTATGTTTGGTGCTTGCTTCTCAAACACGCATTCACTAACATGCTTCGCGTAGCTTCTGTCAGGGCGCCGAGGATTCGGCCATAGTCCCCTTCGTCGCGCGAATCGCCAAAGACCTTGGTCCCTTCCTCCTCGACACCTCGGACGACGCGCTGTCTTTGGTACTGGAGACGATGTCGGTGGTCGTGCAGGTGGACGACGGGAGGTGGTTGACGACTGATCTGGCGCAGTCGCTCGTCGTTGCACTTCTCGATGTCTGGAAGAAGAACAACAAGGGTCTGCACTCTCAACTCTGACGCATGAGCCCCTCTCACCTCCGACTTTTAGACCCGATCTTTGAGTCGATCCTGAGCGACATCTTTGAAGCTCTCGCTTCCTCGAAAGCGAGCGGCATCTACCAGTCAATCGTTCAGCAGGCCCTGCCGGCGCTCTGCAAGAACCTGAATGAGGCGAAGCCAGATGAATCGTGGGTCACATCCACCGGCATCGAGCTCATCACCAGCATGGTGAAGGGCGCGCCGGAAGGCGGCCTCGGCGACGGCTTCGTCGCCGCGATGGCGCCGAGCCTCTTCCACTGCCTAGCGCAGTCTGAGGACCGCGACGTCCTGCAGAACGGCGTGTCGTGCTTGACTACCATCGTCCGCAAGGACTGCAAGCAGCTTGCTGCCTGGTCTGATGGGAACCGTGGGGGTTTGGAACATGTGTTGGCGTTGATAGCGCGCATTTTGCAGAGCGAGGATGAGAGTGGCGGGTTGTTCATTGGCGACTTGATCATTCACCTCTTGCGGAATGCGGGGGAGGCCGTGCTTCCTGTGTTGCCCGAATTGCTGCAGGCAATGGTCAGCCGCATGCTCACTGCGAAGACTGCGACGTTCTTGCAGGTATGCACTCATGTTCAGAGTCCATTGTAGATATGTGCTAACCTGCTTCCAGAGCCTCGTCATCCCCTTTGCCTTCCTCATCACCAACCAGCGCGACACGGTCTTGCAGCTCCTCGAAGGCATCAACGTCAACGGCCGCTCCGGCCTCGACATCCTTCTCCAAACGTGGTGCGAGAATGCCGAGACCTTCCAGGGCTTCTGGCCCGGCCGCGTCAGCACCCTCGGCCTCTGCGAGCTCCTCCGCGCCGCACGCCCCAGTCTGCAGCAGATCACCGTCAAGGGCGACATCATCCTCCGCCCGGAGACGAAGAACGGTGAGTGGGCCCCGCCTCCCGCATCCTCGCGCGCGCACCGAACGAATCGCCTTTCGCAGTCATCATGACGCGCTCGCGGACGAAGAAGAGTGCGCGATGGGTCCTATTGGTGTGCTGTGGAGATCTGGCTGACGGCTTGTGTGTTTTTTGTTTGCAGTTCCGACGGAGTTTACGACGGTGCCGTTCCCTGTGAAGGCGCTGAAGATTGTCGTTCGCGACTTGCTTACGGGCGGGGAGTCGGCGGCTATCGGGGCTATCGACGACGAGGAAGTTGCCTCGGACGACGGAGTAAGGCGATGCTTTCGAGCAGCTTCATGCATGCTAACATTGCCAGCAGGATGATGATTGGGAAGAGGAGGGCGGTGGTGAAATCGGCAAGATCAACTCCCAGGGCTTCACCAAGGATGAGTTCGCGTTCCTGTCCGAGATGATTGGCCCGCGTGGCGTCAAGTTTGACAACGACGACGTCCTGGACGATGATGACGACGAGGACCTGAAGAACGACCCAATATCGCAGATGGACATGCAGGTAAGTATCAACATTTTTTCGCGACGAGCGGCTCTCACTGTACCGCGCAGTCGCACCTCGTGTCCTTCCTCCGCGACTGCGCCCAGCACAACACGTCAAACTTCTCGCAGCTCGTCTCCCAACTCACACCCGAGGAGCAAGCTGTCGTGCAACGCGCCATTACCCAGTAGGTGGCGTCCCGGCGCCGAAAATATGATTGGGTGTAGACAACCCGATAACTATACAAGAAGGAGAATCCGTAGCTATATAATGTACTTACATGTTTCCTTGCGCCTGCTCTATCACCCCGAGTCTAAAAACTCATATCCTTCCCCTTGTCCCACTCCCGCACCGTCCCGCGCTTGCTGTACTGGATGTCCATGACGTTCGTGCCCCCGCTGCTCCCTCCCCAGCCGTCTCCGAAGCCGCCGCTCGGCGCCTTGTAGGCGTCCGGGTCGAATCCGAGGCGCTCGAGGCGTTTCTTCTCCTCCTTGTCCTCCTTGCGCTTGCGCAGGAGGTCGAGCATAGCGTCCCAGCCCTCGAATTGTGTGTTGTCGATGAGCCCGGTGGCGGGTACGTGTGGTGCGGCGGGTAGAGGGTCTACGTCGAGGCGGGGGTCGTAGTCTTCCTCGAAGTACTTGTCCATCTTGGAGGGGAGGGGTGGTGTGGGGCCGGGTGTAGGGGAGCTTTCGCGGGAGGGGAGGGTATCGGAGGGGGAGCGGCGGGAGGAGCCTTCGCCTCGGGAGGCGGGTGAGGAGGAGCGGGTACGCTTGTGTTTGGTTGGTGGCGCGTCATCGCGAGTAGAGGATGAGGTGGGGGAAGGGCTGCGGTGACGATGGTGGCGGCGGCTGTGCTTGTGAGATGAGCGACGCTCGCCATCCTTCGAGCGGGAGCGGTGGCGATGTGAGCGTCGTGAGCGGTCATCCTTGTCCTTAAACTCGTCGCAGTCGGGAGAGCGAGACCTATGTCGTCGCTTGTGAGAACGTCCAGGCTCATCGTCGTCTTCGTTCGCGTTCTCCCATGCGCGTCGTTTGCGTTTGGGATCCCGCTCGGCCGTTCTCCCGTCCCAGTGATCCCACTTCTCGTCATCAGCGACGCGGTGCCAGTGCTCGTCCTCGCGGTCGCGTCTGCTCGATCGTTCCTCCTTCCGCTTCCCCTTGCTCTTGTGTTCCTCGTCTCGGTCATCAGAGCGCTCGCGGTGTCGTCGACTTGACCGCCCTTCCTCTCTCCGGCTCGAGTGCCGTTCTTCCCGGCGTGAACTGCTTCCTTCGCCTCTGCTACTTCCCGCGCCACGACTTCGGCGACTTGCAACAGCCTCCTCTGCGCGCTTCATGCGCTCGCGGCGTTCCTCTTCCCGCCGTTGACGTTGTATTTCTTCGGCTGCCTCGGCCTGCGCGCGCAATATGGAACGATTGTGGTCATCTGTGCTCTTGATGATCGAGGACAGGAAGCGCTTGTTTGGCCTCGGTGCATTGGCGTCATGTCTGCCAAGTAGTTAGCTACCATATCCTAAGCAGCGACGGTCTTCCCGCTACCACAATAGAGTACGCACAAGCTAGGCGCGAGGTACGCGCGAATGCCAGTCTCCTGATATCGTTCGGCCTTCTTCTTGGCTTCTTTCAGGATAAGCTCGGCGACGTGGCGGTCAAGGTCCTCGTCGGTCACGGTGGGGGACACAGAGGACCCCATAGAGGCCCGCACAAGGTTCGAGACGACGGAGGAGAGCGAGGAGGACGGCGCCGACGACATGGTGGCTCGCTCCAACCTGCAGTGGACAATGACATGAACAGCCACGTGTGACTCTTTCCGGGTCGGTGGCGGCGAAGCGGCTTGCCCTCTCCCACCATGTCCAATTGTCCAACCTCCGCTTTACCCTTCTGGATCTTCTGTATACAGGATACCCGGTTTTCTATGGACTCTCTATTGTGACAGCAGACTCTCGAGACATAATAAGGGCATTTGAGAAGCCGTCCTTATTGTCCTCGACGACATGGGTTTCTAGCTTATAATGCTCGAGGATTCCGTCTGGCTCTTCGTGGTGTCCTTTTTCGCCCCTACACTCCTTACATCTTTTCATCTCTTCGGAGCTCAGCATGGCTCGGTCCTCTGGAAGGCGCTGGACTGGGGGCTTGATCACACTGCACCCGGTACCTTACCGACACGGTGAACCCCCGCTCATCTCACAAGGCCGTTTTCCGCCTACCAGCTCTGAACGCCGACGCTTTTCTATACCTTTTCGACTTTTTATGGCTCCTCTGGCGCATCTCTTCCGTGTAGGCGCAAGTCCTGAACTGGAGCAAGATATGATTCCTCCCGGTGATCGCATCCGCGAATGGACCGAGGCGGATGAAGCTGAGGCGGGTGCTCAAGAGGGCACGGGTTGTAGCAGCACGTCTTCTCACTCGCCTGCCGACGAGGACACCTCGACGCTCATGGTCGGCGGCAGCCGTAACCTGCAACAAGAGCGAGCGTCACAGCTCATTCTGTCCCCTGTTGGTCCTCCGACCACCACCTTCGGTGACGAGTCCCATTCGCTAGGCACCACACCGCCCTCTGCGCAAGAGCCGTCGCCGCCACGAGCATCTCACGATGCCGCCGACGCTACGTCTCAGCCTCCGAACCCGTCCTCCAGATCGCAGCTTCTCCTTCAGGATCGGACAACCATCCAGGCGGAGGAAATTGAACGCTATATGCGCTCTGAACGAAAGGAGGTGGCCCTGCCTCGTCCCAAAAGGCCAAATCACCTGGAATCTGCAGACTCTTCATCAATCGTCTCACTTAGCAGCGTTACCACGCTGTGTTCCGTGAACCAAGCTCCGGCACCGGACGCCCCGGACCTCACCCTCACTTTGACGGCTACACATCTTCCCTCCGTGCGCCCTCGCGGCATACTTCGCAAGCCAGGCGCCGCCCGTCGTGGCGGGAACTTGAGCATTCGGTTCATCGACGAACCGCTGATCAAGGTCATTAGCCCGGCACCGGACATCGTTGGGCTTCCTGATTCTTGGACGAAGCGTGGCTCGAGTCTCAAGGAGGAATCTGAGGAGTCGTCGTTGCCGGCGTCGACTCCGTCGACACCCATCTCCTCCGAGTCCTTCTTCAACAAGACGCCTTTCCCTAGGCATGCGGACCTCCCGCAAGCGTCCCCTGAGAGAGCTCCGTCCACCATTCCGTTCCCCGACGATCATGCATGGGTTGGTGAAAAGGAAAAGGACTTCCAGACTTCTTCCGCGGGGCTTTCCGCTCCTCCTCCAACGCCGCGTATCCCTCACACGCCCCTCCCGGACGAAGAACACGAGCCATTGCCCTCTGAGCTTTCAGCACCTCCTCCAGCGCCTCGCATCCCCTTTTCACCTCTTCCCGACGAGGCTGAGGTCGAGGACGCCCTCATCGAACATGTGGAGCAATTCACAGCGGAGGTCAATGCTGTTCTCGGTCGCCAGGTCACCGTCAATGAGCCCCCTACCGTGATGGCCGAACTGCGGGCCCTCGTTCAGCTCGTTTATCCTTCCGGCTACCCCGGACCCGCCGTTCTATCGATGCGCGTGGGCACGTCCAGCGCCCTCCAAGCTGGCGAGACGTGGGACAATGCGCGCCGCACCTTCTTCACGTACTGCGATTCTCTTCGCCCATCGCGACATACTACATCTCGCCTCGTGATCGAACGTATCTTGTTTGAGATCGAGCAGAGCGTCGTGGGCGTCGAGGCAGGCGTGCTGCATGCGCACGCATGGGGTGGCGGTGACCTGGCGGTTCGATTGGTGAACATGGCTCGGGTGGAGTGCCCAAGTTGCCGTTACATCAGTGTCGCTATCGTGCAGTGATACTTACATGCATGGAACTTGGGGTCGAGGACATTGCCCTAGTTTAGCTACATTTACGATCACCTTTACGCTCTTTTTACGACTTTTATGAATCAGAAAATAAGAACTATCATTCTACCTCAGTCCTGACACTGCGATTCAGATGCAAAGCACGACAGTGAAGCTCGTGAAGGTCGACCCAGGTCTCCAGAACACAAACGGCTGCGTGACTTGAACCGTGACGCATGCACGTGTGGCATCAGTGGGTTGACCACGACCGTCATGTCCGTTCAGACGCCCTTCTCCATCACCATAGCCTGACGCTTTGGGCATCATCCCTGGATAGAGGCGAAGCGCGACAGTTGTTCCCTCATTGACCTTCGCCAACATGCTCCAAGCGTCCAGCCCTCCGCTTCGACCTTCAAAAGCTTCTGAGCTCGGGCCTGCAAATCCCCTCTATTGTGAGTAGGTGATTCCGAATCACAATAAGCCTGCTCAATAGCCATCTCAATTGTCGTCGAAAAACTGTATCCCCCGGCGAAGGCTTATATACGCTGAGTATTCCATCTGGTTTTCCGTGGCCTCCTCCTCCCCACAGCCGTACATTCCTTTTCTTCACAGAGATCAGCATGACTCGATCACCTGAGAGCCGTGCAGTAAAGGGCAAGGCGATTCACGTGAAGTGTCCTCGATGCAACGTATCGCTACACATATCGCCTGCCACAACAGTCGATCTTCGCCCTCCCGTTTCCGTTCCTCGCCCTCCCGCACCTGCGCAACCTCGTTCGGCTCTTTCCACCCGAGCCAACAGGAACGGTGAAAGCCCCGATAAGCGACCAAGGATGAGGCTCACCAGAGATTGCATCTGTGACTGGATTGACGCGGTCGAAGCGGAGACAAGCACGCAAAACCGCGTGCCATCCGCTGCCGCTCTTCGTGGCATCCTTCGCGAGTCAGGTATCCCTCCTCGACATGAGAACCTGGAAGTCAGGCTTGTCGACACACCGTTGGTCAGGGTCATCAGCCCAGCGCCATCCCTCGTCGAGCCATCACCATCACCCTCTTCCTCAAGTTCCGTTTCCTCCGAGTCTTTCTTCGACGAGACGCCTTTCCCCAGGCATGCCGATCTTCGAGAGAGGTTGTCCGAGTTGACTTCTGCCATTCTGCCTATCATCGGCGGTCAAACACACGGCGCACTCATGGTCGAATATAGGCAAGCTGTTCTTCGTGCGCGTTTGCCTCTCCCTGCGATGCCCCTGAACCCACCTACGCCCCTTCCAGCAGAGGGTCATGATCAACTTGAGGTTTCAGACTCCGTTGGGCAGTCCCCCAAGGGCGTTGATTCCGCACTGTCCTTCCACAATCTCTCCATTTCAGGAGCATCATCCGCCACTACAGTTCCCGAAATGCGCGCTCTCGTCCGCCTGGCTTATCCTTCGGGTCACCACGGACTGGCGGTTCTCACCATGCGCGTCGGCACATCCAGCTCTGTCCAAGCTGGCGACTCCTTGGACGCCGCGCGCGAGCGCTTTCTCGGCTACTGTAACCATTTCCACCAACCAGACTCGACTTCGACGCGCTCTGACCTCGAGTATATCTTATTTGAGATCGAGGGCAACGTTGTGGGAGCCGTCCCGGAGGGCGTGCTGAATGAGCACGCGTCGGGTGGCGGTGATCTAGCAAGCCGGTTGGTGGATATGGCGCGCTCGGTCTGCTCGGACTGTCACGAAATCAATGTGACGATTGCTAGATAGCTTTGGCATGTTGTGCTGCAGACAGACAGGACTTTCCTTCATTGAACTCCTTGTCCGATTCATGATCATCTCTACGTTCTCTTTACGAGTAGTTACGACTGGATATCTCAAGAAAGTGCAGTTTCTGAATCCTTGCATTGCGAGTCGAACCCTAATCACAACGGTTCAACGGTCGAGCTCGTGAGTGTGTCCACTTCGTTTTTCTGGCGTGCACACAGGTCGAAAGGCGTGACTGAGACTGTGACGCATGCACGTGCATTATCAGCGCCTTGACCTCAACCATCATGACCCTTCAAGCTCGACGCTTCTCTATTCAGTATGCCTGGCCAGAGGGTGTATCTCTCTTCACCAGAATGGAGGCCTCAAGACCCACGGAAGGTCCGTGCGTCGCCGGAAATAATTTCAGATGCGCACTTAAATACATTGGCAAGATCCTAGCTTAGTTTCCGTGGTCCTCTAGCTACCTTCGCATCCCTTACTTGCCAAACCTAAGCATGTCTACATCCTCCGAAGACTCAGACGTCCCTGCAGACCGGACGGCTTTCGTGGCCGACTGGCTCGCAGCGCAGCCGGGCGTTTCTGGCGCATCCGTCACCCGCGAGCCTCGCATGGCCTCTCGGGACAAAGTGACCTCGGATGCCAGGCCGCAGCCCTCGCAAACGTCCCTCAAAATCGCTGTCTTTATCTGTTGGCTGGCCGACTGTGTTACTCTGGGCATGTTCGGGTTAGGGCCGCTGCGATCTCCTGACAGTTTCCAGTGCCTCAGGTTGGTAGAGGAAGAGCACGTTCTGATGCCAGGCGACTTTGAGGCTCAGTCTCACAACCGGGTCAGGTTCCTTCAAGCGCCTGCGGTGAGGATCATCAGCCCGGCGCCATCTGTTGAGGAGCTTTCTCAGCCAGATGCGGGCGGCGAGGTATACCCAGAGTCTGACACTGTCTCGTCCGATCGCCAGGACCTTGTTCCACAGTCTGGACCTTGTCCGCCGCCGCATCCTCGTGCAGAAGCCAGTAGCAAATCGATGAAAGGCGCTCATTCACCACGACCAGCACTCCATCCGGCGACCGCGCTTCTTCCTGTGCCACGATCCTTCAGCCCTTCGATTCCATCGACGCCGCATATAGCGCATTCTTTGACCCCTCATAGTCCAGAGTCAGATCTCATCATTGAGCACGCGATCTTGCGCTCCTCCCGGACCCCATTGCTGAGCATCGTGCATCTGGACGCGAATGATTGGTATCGTGCGGAAGGCCTCACAACACTACATGTGTCCATGATGATGAAATTTCTCTCCGACGGCCCACCCGGCCTTCTCTGCGTGAGAATGCGAGTTCAACACGACTCGCACAAGAAGGTGGACGATGTGTATCTCTACGCCAACATGCTGTGGAACGACGCCTGGAAGGGCTTTGAGAGATGGTGCCGTGGTCTTGCCGAGGAGAGGGCCGCGAACGATTTTGTGCGACGTATTCTTACTCGAGCTGCCGCGTTGTCGACGATGGGCGATGGGCAGGAAGTCAAGAAATTCTCTGCCTTAGTTGAGTGGGCTGTATACCGCGATGGGGGAAATATTGGTGAGTGTCTTTCCGGCTATGCGCCGGCTTACTGCTGTGATCTTCTGCTGTCTGTGCGATTTGAGAAGCCGCGTACATGTGGGCAGTAGCATATCTGAATGACCTGTACGACGTGTTGACATAATATAATCCTAGCTTCACGGCCTCTATGCAAGATTTATCTCTGCGCGAGTATTGCTCAGAGGCGTATGGCGACTGATACTGCTATCGTCCTGCCAAAGTGTCCACACGCGAGATGCTCGACACTGCACTGATCTTGGGAAAACGAACATGAGTTTACACGCGTTCTACACGTGTGCGAAGGCGCGGTCATGTGCAAGACCAAAAACGGAAGCTCTTTAACGGCACCAATTCGGGCATCTCCGATTTGACGACTTCCACTTCTTGTCCCGGGCCACACTTCTCGTAAACGTTTTTCGTGCCCGAGGCAGTGAAGCTGTGGCAGCTATGGCTGCTCTGTATATCTTTCCTGACTCAAAGCACAACAAGGGCGCTTGGCACGACGCTCAAACGTCGCCATCGCTTCGACGAGGTTCGTAGACGCCAATCAAAGGACTGTTCAGAGAGATAGTATGCTGATGGGCTATATGATTTATAAAGATACCCGAAGGATTAGGGAATGGCGCCATAGCGTCTCCAGTGACTCTGGATTTGCGGATACCTCTGCACCAGTGCCCAGATTTCCATACGCCACACAAAGCTCGGGAGCCCGGGGAAGAGGGCCCTCGCAAATCAGAGATGCGAGTAAATGGACAGTACAAGAGACATACAACGGAGAGAATGTCTCTCCTAAAGATCCGATCATACCCCTGCCAGGCTCGACTGGTACAAAAGTCACCGAGATCCAGTTTCCTTCCACCACGGGCACGCCTCGCGCGCCATCCGATGGTGCAGCCGATGGAGCTGGACAGTTCACACCTGTGGACAGACGCGCATCTACTGGTCGGCCCACGTCGGGCCCTGCGGTTACAGAGATCGAATTTCCTTCGAGCGAACCGCAGTCGTCGGCTTGTGAGTTGATTCGCCGTGCTATGCAACACTTCTGTTGCTGATACTTCCTCAGACAGCCCGAGTCCTTCGCGTGGTCGTGGCACGCAGCGTTCTTCTCAAGCGCTCACCGAAGCAGCTGTCCGTCGCATGTCTGGGTCACTTCCTTCTCGTTCATGGACTCCCCGAGATGGGGTGGATCGCAGGTCAAACGACGTGGTTCCGACGCCATATGGCGAACCTGCTTTACCTCTCGGTCATGCCAGTGAGGACAGGGGACCTCATGACTCTGTACCTGCGGGACGGCAGCCGCCATATCCTTGTCACGGACACGGTTCGCCGCCCTTGCAGCCTAACGATGACAGGTATCGTGACCAGGGTCTCAATAGTCGTGAAGACAGGCAAATGTCCGTTGGACTTGCACCAGGGCCCGGAATTGTGTATGTCCAGAACTACGGAGACCGAGAACGTACACGCAAGGATTCCTCGGATTTCATCGGTAGCATTGCCCGTGTTTTCCGCGGGAAGTCCCATAAAACACGTCTGCGCAGGACGTCGGAGACATGTCCTGTGCCTGCTCATCGTCGCTCAATGTCTACTCCGACTCTTCCTCCAGTACGATACCCTCATAATGGGGCGCCTCCGCCAATTCCGTATGCGCTTAAAAGCGTTCGCTGTGGCCGATCCGGCGATAATGGTCGCTGCTATGAGCAGCAGAGCCATAACCACCGACAAGGCACGTACGCGTCCTCTGACCAGCCGAAGAACGCTCGCAGCGAGAGCCAGGCTACTACGACGTCTCGCGCCTCACAGGACAGAAGCAGATACGAAGAGCAGGCTCAGAAGCCTATGCGAAACCCTTCACTATCGCAGTATGGTCATTCCGGTTCACCCTTATACTCACGCCGACGGTCCAGCTTCTTCGGACGCATGTTCGGACAGCGAGCGCGCCCAAATAGCGTCAGTTCGACGCGCCCCACTGAAGAACTCCACGAGACGCCCTCTTGGCACGATGACTCGGGCCTGGGTTCAACTATCCCAACGCGATGGGGGCCGTACCCTCTCAGAGATTCGGGCGTGGCATACGATACCAAGAACACCATCTACCACTCCGCCTCCGAGATCCCCTCGACCCCTCAGCAGGTGCCGCTGATCACGCTCACGCCCGCGAGCGGTAAGACGCCGTCAGAGCCACCCTCGACAGACTCGTCGCTTCTCTCCCGGTGGCACAGACCCGCGCGGCGCGTAGAGGACGTTCAGGAGCGCGCACAGACATCTCGGCCACTTGTCGTTTGTGGACAGCTCAACCCGTACTCGCGACAATGGCCCGCAGCCCAGACGCCCCTGGCTCAGACGCTTGGCCTGACGCCGGAGCCGAGTCCCTCTACTCCTCGCTCTCCTCAGCCGGAATGGGCCCAGCGACCTCAGGGAACGCCCTATCCGGGAAATGCACAAGTGCCAGCAAGCGAGTCGTCGTCGTCGTCGTATCCTTCGTGCAACGGGGATGCTGGTCTTCCCTCTCCCTCTCCCTCTCCCTTCCCCGTTCCACCTGCTCCTCTCTTACACATTGATACTGGCAGTACGATGGCGCAAGGCCCAGTCCCTCAGACATCCCCCTCGGAAGAGCCGATTCTGACTGCTGATGAGAGGAGCGCCGTTCCGCTGCGCTCGCCGATGACGCTGATTGGGCAGCTGCAGAGCGCACTGCAGGACGTGAGCCGTCATGCTGCTGCTCAGCATCAGCACCAGACGGGAAATGGTACCCACGTCGTGCGTGTCGATACCGCGACGGACGCGACCGAGGGCCCGCGCTCGCATATCTTGAGCTCGGATGCCGAGCCGTCGTCGATATACGAGTCTCGAGGTACGACGACCGCGACGATGACGGTCTCGTCTGCGCCTACCGCCAGCCGCAAGTCCGAGGTGGAGGTGGTGGAAGTTCTTGCCGTGCAAAAGGAGCAGGCGCGTCGTGTCCTTGATTTCCTGTTCTTTTGGTTCTTCCTGTGTTTTGTGATGATGTTCACGTTGATTTGGCCGCTTGCGGAAAAGCTGCACGCTCAAATGGAAGTAGACGCCGATCCCGGACTTGCTGACGATGTGTTGTATCTGTAGATGATCACGTACCGTTTTCCTGTTGTGTTGTTGTATATCTGGATTGGTGTTGTAACAGTCATCGGTGTCGCATCGTTCATGGTTGCTTTCTCTCTGCTTTGTAGTGTGGGATTATGCTGTACTTGCTATGTGTACCTCTTTTTTGTCCTTTTAGTCAGGATATATGCATGTTTCTAGGACTTACCTATCCTCCCGCTACGAGCTCGGCGCCGCCGTACTCTTCTCGCCCTCCGCCGCCGGCTTCTCCTTCTCCTCACTCGCCTCCCACACCTTCAGCGCCGCCTCGAACGCTTCCCACACCGCCCTCCCCGCCCCGCTCACCCCCATATTCGCGGTCGTCGGCGAGCGACAGGGTCTCGTCTTGCGCATTGGACTTGGCTTTGGCCTTGCCCTTTTCCTTCTCCGCCTTTGCCGTCTCGTTCTGCGCGTCCTGCTCTATCCACTCGTCGGGTACGGTGACTTCGAGCGGGACGACGGCGCACTCGGCGTAGAGCGCGCCGGGCTTGAGGACCTCTTGGCGGGGCTTTACGTCTCCGTCGGCGTCTGTGGTGTCCTTCTCCACGGTGCCGGCGAGGATCTGTAAGAAGTGAGTGAGCGGCGTGGAGCGAATCAAGCATGCTGAAAAGGTACCTTGAATGGGGTCGGCACGAACAAAGCATGCAATATGCTCTGTATCGCTGCACTTGAGCCTTTGGCGAGGAGTCGGAAGAGTGGGTTCAGGAGAACGTAACTGTATTCTAGGTCAGCAAACGTGCCATGAAAGCGTTCGAAGCGTACGTACAACAGAAAGCCTGTCCACGACCACCTATCACTCTCGCTCGCCCCAAGCATCGGCGCAATCGTCGTCAGGCGCGAGATTCCTGGCGACACGCTCACAGTCGTGATATTCGACCGCTGCTCCTTCTGTGAAACGACCGGAACGCTCGCCGCATTCGCTCCTCCGGCCTCCGCGTCCGTCTTCGGCACCTGCGCGGCAGGTAAGGCGTCCAGCACGCGCTGCAGGTGACGGGAGTAGACGATAGTGCGGAGCGCGCGGGCACCCTCGCTCGGTAGGACGCCGGACTGCGCGGGTACGCCCCGTAGCGCGTCCCCGACGTCGAGCACGCCGGGGAACGTGCATGCGAGCTTCAGGCCCAGGCCCTTCGCGCGCGTCTTCCCCATACCCGCGCCTGCTGCGTAGAACGGGTTGACCACGTGGACAATCCGGATATCGCGTTCAGGCGGCGCGACGAGCAGTGCTGGGAGCAGGAGCGTAGTTATCAGGAACGTTGCGAGCGAGCGTACGGATCGCCGCTTCGCGTCCTCTGCCTTGTGCGCCTTCCGCCCGCCGACGACGTTCCCTACGTGTGGCGCCTCGTGCGCAAAGACGATGGCATCCAGCCGCGTGTCATTTCCCGTGAGGAAGCGCGTGCAGAAGGCGCGGATGTGCGCGGGGGATTCGATGTCGCAGTGCTCGGCGTAGATGTGCTGGTTGCCGGATGCGGTGCGGAGGGCCTCGATGAGGAGAGCGGTGGGGGAGGCGGAGAGGGGAGGGGGCGAGCTGGGGTCGACTTCGGGCGCGGCAGGGGCCGTACCGGCAGCTCCAGGAGGAGGGGGCCGAGGGGCATCATTCGAAGAGGTACTGCCAGAGGCAGGCGGGTTCGCGGGTGCGGTGTTGGGGGAAGACAGGTCGATCGGTTCTGGTGAGAGGGCGATGATGTGTGCTCCTCTTGCTGCGAGGGATTCCATGAGTGTCAGCCCCAGTGGGGTGAAGGCTCCCTTCATGATTGTCAGTATATTTTACCTCCAGATTGAACGGCCTCACGCACCGTCATGAGCACGACTCTGCCATGCAAGTCGCGGTCGCGACTTGTTTTCCTACCCTGTGAGAGCGTGCGTATCACATACAGCGCTAATATCGCTGCGCATATGTGGTACAGATATTGCTTCGGGAAGAGGGTCTCGTAAGCCGTGCCGAGGATATGGACGACCATGGCCCAGTGCGTGTCACTTCGAGAGACGTTGGGCCGTGACTTCAGATCGTTGGACTTCAAGTGCCTGGTGGTCTAAGATCGTTTTCTATGAACGTTGCATGAGATGATGGGCCTCAAGACGAAAAGGACAGTGAAGGCAGGAAATGAGGTAAATACGGCATGTGGCGTCGCGACGCGTACTCGGATGACACGGGCCGGCCGAGTGTGATCGTGGCTGCTGTGGAGACCACGACGGCGAGGGATCACTGACCTCCGGTACAAACTTCAGAGCCAGCGCGCAGAGAGATTCCAGCAGATTCACGGTAAATGCATGCAATGCGTGTCATACAACATGATCGACGAGGTACATAGTACAAGGTAATTTAACCAGAGATCGTAACCTCGACCTCGACACCAGGCTCCAGGCTGATGCTCGTCTGCAATGAGAGATGAGCAATCGCACATCAGTACCATGAAGACGATACGCACGATCTGCTTGACGACCTCGGAGGAGGACTCGAGGTCGATGAGGCGCTTGTGCACCTTGAGCTCGTAGCGGTCCCAGGTCTTCGAACCCTCACCGCAAGGCGTCTTGCGGGTGGTGATCGTAAGGACCTTGGTGGGGAGGCGAACCGGGCCCTTGACGCGGAGCTGCTTGTCCTTCGCGCGGTTGATGAGGTCGCCCGAGACTGTATCGCAAGCCAATCGGTCAATTTACTCCCCCCTGAATGAGCTTGCGTACGCACACTTCTCGAGGTTGCGGACGTTGCTGGACGTCAGCGTGATGCGAATCTTGTGCAGCTTCGCGCCGGGGACAGCGCCCGCAGCATCGTATTCCTTTTCACCCTTGGCGACGTAACTCATAATGGCCGGAGACAGCGGTGACTGGTAGCAAAGATATCAGCGTTCGTCATCGTCGTTCATCGACGCGTCGAGGACGCGCCCCGCGGCCGCTACGCACCCAAAGGTTTTCCTGTGGAGGTGAGTGAGGAGGGGAAAATTAGAGTTCGATCGGTTCTGTGGATTGGTGTCCAAGCGCGGCAGAAACCGACGGCTGCAAATGAGCGCCACAAATGCAACGGCTGTTACCGACCTTCATGTTGAACTTCTTATCTCTGACTCTTTGTGCCTCTCTTGGGTCTCTCCTATCTCCCATTCGTGTGCCCACGCTTTCTCTCGCATCACGAAACTCGTTGTGCACTTGGAAGTGACTTCTTTGTAGGCTATAATGAAATGTCGATGCTCAGCAGTTTCTCGCCGTCGTCAACAGCTTGCTCTGACCGCGGTCCCTCGCTCGAACTCTTATCTGGCATCTGAATTCTCATACCAAGCCTCTTTTTAATGGTCGGCATCTCCGAGGCCGACTAGGTCCCGCATATATAAGATGTGCAGAATGCTGTCTGGCCTCGCCCTTTGCACGCTATACGCATTGACCATGACCATGTTCACGACTGTGATGAAGCTGACCGCGTTGGCACTTGCTGCATCTAGCGCTTTCGCAGCCGCACTTCCGGAGGGTGTCCTCGGCGTGCCTGTAAGTGTTCCTTCCGATACGGCCTACGATGTTGTCCTGTCTTCCCCTCCTATCTCGCTCATAACCTGCCTAGTACGCAGGCATCAGCACAGCCAAGTACGCGCACCCCAACACCGCGCTCCTCATCGTCGACATCCAATACGACTTCATCAACGGCACTCTCAGTAACGACCGCGCGTATAGCATCCTGCCTAAGATCTACCAGCTGCTTGACGAGCACGAGTGGGGGAGTGAGTTGTCGTTCGCTCACATCGCTTGTTCTTCTCGCCCTGTCATGCTCGTTTTGTATATCGTCTGTCGTCTTGCTGAACTTCCTTTTCAGTGATCGCCACCTCCCAAGACTGGCACCCGCAGGACCACGTCTCCTTCGCCTCCAACCACCCGGGCCACGTGAAAGGCGACGTCGTCCAGATCCCCGTTCTCGCCAGCAGGTTCAACGAGACAGCGCGCCAGTCGCTGACCGCGGACCATTGTGTGGTATGTACCCTGATTTCCGCCTTCCGGTTCATCACCGAGGCACAAGCCTCCAAAATGACGCCCATCTCTCAGCCCGGCACTATCGGCGCCAACATCGAGGCCGGCGTGCAGACCCGCCTGAACACCCTCCTCGGCAAGACGCCCATCACGCAGATCCACAAGGCGCAGAACCCGCACGTCGACTCGTATTCTGCTTTTGCCGATGTGCGTGCTCCTTTTACCCATAGCCTCTTCCGTATCCGTGCACGAGTCTGAGGGCATACTAACCCGACTTTGCAGAATCAGTACTACGAGTGTGCGTCCCCCTGCACATCCCTTCTTTCACCAGACCGAGAGCTAACATCCTGGTCATTCTAAGTCACAACTCTCGCGCCCGAGATGCGGGCGCGCAACATCGAGCACGTCGTCGTCACAGGGCTGTGAGTTGTCACGGTTCGCTAACTGTTCACGAGCGCTGACACAATTCTATATTGTCCAGCGTTACCACCGCCTGCGTCTACGGCTCCAGCGTCGACGCGACCAAGCTCGGATTCGGGGTCACCGTCATTAGCGACGGCGTCGAGACCTCGACCGCCGAGGCGCAAGCGACCGCGCTCGAGGAGCTCGAGACGTGGTGGGGCGTCACCGTGGAAACCCTCGCCGACTTCGAGGCGAGCGAGTAGATGTTTGGGAGAGGTAGCAGAGATGCGTATGAGAATCATCTAGATGAAGAATCAGCTAGACGAAGAGTCTGCATATATAGAACACACGTCTCAATGAGATCCAAGAACGACCAACATCTCATTACGAGCGACAACAATACGGTTCTACAGTACAGAGAACAGCTATCCATCCATATACTACCAGTACACCTTGAATGCCACCGCGACCCCATATAACAGCGCGAAACTTAACCTGCTAGTATCAGTACACTACCGATAAAGCGCCGAGTCCGAGTATAACGTCCAACATATGTACAACCAATGCAGCCTTGACCACAGGGGAAGACATTCAATCCATGCGCGGCGACCCATGCCCCATCCGCGGTGACATCCGCGTCCTCGGGCTCGTCTTGTGCGCCTGCATCTCCTCATCATCCACATCCGCCTCGAACAACGTCTCTTCGAAATCCTCCGCTTCATCCCCGCCCCTCGCCTGACCTGGCGAATCCTCCGCCCCATGGCCCATCAAGTACCTCATCCCCGGCCGGCCGATCAGCACCCACTCGACGGCGATGACCAGCGCGAGCATGACGGCGATCGCCTGGAACGTGCCGCGCCAAGCGTCGCCGGGGCCCGCGGCGAGGGCGAGGACGTCGAGGATGAGGACGAAAGGGACGATGGGGTCGGGGCCGGTGGCGAGGGCGATGGTAAGGAAGATCATGGCGCTGATGGCGCGGGTGCTGGTGGTGGGAGCGCCGGTTCCCTAAGGAAGAGAAAGAGGTGTCAGTGTTTGTTTGCGCTTGTGAGGGGAAATGGAAAATAAGGGAGGGTGGGAAATGGGGAAAGGCAGAGGGGCAGGGGAAGGAGGAACTCACCCCGAGCGCGCCCCATGTCTTCCACATGTAGAGTACGGCGAGACCGGTAGAGCTCTTCGCGACGAGGTGCGTAAGAATGTGCTTGCGTGAGCGGAGGACGGGCATATTGAGCTGCGGCGTAAAGAGCGCATAGAGGTGGATGAAGACGGCAAGCGTGAGGATGGCCTCGCAGATCATGTAGTTCTGCTCGAGGAAGAAGGGCGTCCAGAGCGCTACGCGGGGTGAGCAAACCTCGCCCTGTCTCAAGCACACTATAAGCGCAACTCACCAGTCAGCGCGCTACACGCCGCATACGTGGGCATATACGCCACTTGCGCGGGGTCAGGCTCGATGGGCGGGGATAGCTCCCAGAGCTCTTGCAGGCTGTTTTCCAGCGCCTCATCGCCCTCCATGAGTCCCACCGTCTTCTCCTCGTCATCATCTTGCTGGTCCGCGCTGGGTCTCACGAAGAGCGGGAGTAACCACGCGATCTGCAGCGCGGTGCTTGCGAGGAAGAGCCCAGTGTCGGCGAAGGGGTGCGGCGCGTACTCCTCGTAGAACAGCGGCGTGTCTTGCTCGATGACGAGTCGGCGGGCCTGAGCGAGCGTCTGCACGATGAACCCCGCGCCGCCGAGGATGCGAGCGTACAGTAAGCGGTGTATAAACATGGTCGTCGGGTCGAGGGTTTCGCGCCACACAGCGAGGAAAGGAAAGAAAGTGGCGAGGAGAGAAAAGGAGAGTGCAGCCGAGAGACAGAGGCAAGGGAGAGTCAGGGAAATGAGAGACAGCGGAAGCCGCGGAGTAGTGACGGCCGAGACTGAGAGTATGAGCAAGATCGACGGATCGGTTCCTGACCACGGGTGCAACTCTCTTCGCTACCTAAAAAGGGGCAGGGCGGTGCTGACGACGACCCATGTGCCTCCGGTGCCCGTCCGCGAGAATAGCAACAGCAAACACAGAGTTGAGAGGAACAGAGGGCATTTCAGTTGGGAAGATAGAGAAGACAAATGACTGGCGGATGCAAATGTAAAACCTACCATATTGGGATAAAGTGCAGAAGACGATTGTAGGTCCAGCGTTGGAAATTCAGAGCTTTCGGACGATAGGCCCATCCTCCAAGGGTAGGCTCTATGGTTATCCCATGAGCAACACCCAACCATTCTTGACTCGCGCAAGGGCCCGTCATCACACAGCAGAGCTTAGAACTCATCTATTCAATCGGCGAACTGACCACAGACGCCGCTCGCCATGCCTCCCAGTCGCGCATAACATCCGCCAACTCCCCATCCAAGTCCCCCTCCCCCACCTTTCCCCCATACACGCCTTCCACGAGCGCCCGTCTGACGTACGGCACCAGCACGTCGAAGAACATCTCGCCTCCTCGCAGACTTGCGTCCCGCTCCTTGTGCCCTACGGCAGCGCCGACGTACCCCACTAGCGCACCGCCTGCCTCTGCAAGCGCGGCGTCGAGTGAAGATCGCAAGGCTGGTAGCACCTCGACGGGTGCGAGGAGGCGGAGGCCGTTCAACGCGGTCAGAAGGGCGTTGGCGAAAGTCGCCAATGGTGGGTATGCTGCCAGCGCCGATGGAGGGACATGTGCGGGCCCCGCTAGCATTTCTGCCGGACGAGGTGCTGGTGCTCCTGATGGTGCAAGCCATGTCGACGGCTGGTATCGTTGCGAGTCTAAGCTCGACCGCCCATCGAGACTGCCTCTCGCATCCAGACTCCTCCGTCCATCAAGGCTACTCCTCGTCGGTGCAGCCGGCGCCATCGAGGCCCTCGCCTTCACACACTCGCCCGCGAACGTCCTCGCCGCGCGTCCAAAGTCGCCCGTGACGGCTGAGCGCACAGCATCCGCGGCGAGCCCCGCCACGGCCGCCCGGAAATCGAGCCCGGAGCGCGCGAAGGCGGTCGCGCAGTATGTGAGTTGTGTGAGGACCGGCGGGAGCGCAGAGAGCGGGAGCTGCGGGAGGGCGACCCTCAACACCGGCAGCAGATGCGTCATCAGCGCGTTCGAGGCGTAAGCGGAGAGCTGGGCATGGACGATGGGCGCAGGATCCGACGCCGGAGCGGACGCGGCCGTCGTGGTCGACGTCGGGAGGAAGATACTGGTATACTGCGACACCACATCGTGCACGCCCTCTCTCCAGACATCGATATACTTGCGCACGCCGCGCGTCAAGTCCTCCCGCTCCCGCTCGCCCAGCGGCGCCGGCGCGCCCGCCAACCGCTGCACGTCCCGCGCCACCGGCTCCAGCGCTGCCCGCACGCACGCGTGCCGCCCGCTCAGAAATGCGAGTGCGAGCAGCTCCTCAGGATCCTCCGCATCCGCCGCGAACGCAGGCATGCGTCGGAGAAATGCGACGGCCTTGTACAGCGCGGGCAGCTTCCGTGCCGGCTCATGCAGCGTCGCGAGCAGCGCGCGCAGCATTTGCGCGATCGACGCGTGCACCTCCGCGAGCACGGAGCGCAGGATGGGGGGTGGCGGTGAAGCGGAGGAGGAAGACGAGGCAGCGGCGGCCTCGGCGTGCGCAGCGAGCTGGAGCGCCTCCGCGAAGAACCCGTTGCGCACGCAGGTATCAATGAGGAGCGGGATGTCAAGCAGATCGCGCAGCTTGTCGTGTTGCTCGAGCACGGCGCGTGCCTTATTGCGCTCGCGGACGACAGCGTCCGTCCGGGTGTGCCAGTTCGCAGCCGCGGCCTCGAGCGCGGGCAGGCTCGTATCGAGCAGGCCATCGAGTGCATTTGAAAAGGTGTCGAGGGAGGCGGAGAGGGATTTTGTGGTCGCGTGGAGGGCGAGGAAGGTGGGATAGGAGGTGTGGGTGAGGGAAGTGAGGCTGGATGTGAGGTGGTGGGCTTGAGTTTGGAGCGCGCCGGGCTCGGTGAGGAGGTTGTCGAGGGGGAGGGAGGTCAGATGAGTGAGATATGCTCGCTGCGCGGTCGAGAGGGGTTCCTTCGAGAGGAGATCAGGCAGGGATGCTGCCTCACTGAGATCTAAGGTGGTCTGTCAGCATCGTCACCGAATACTGGGCCGATACACGCGCCTACTTCCATCGCGGTCGTGTTATCTTGCTGCGCGTACCGATAAGTTCGCCAAGTCGCGTCGACAGATTAGAAGAAGCGCAGTTGCAGCGTGCCGCGTCCGACCGTGAAGAGGGCAGGACGCAACATTGATTGAACGCGTCTATCGTCCGGCCCGCGCAGTCCGCTCTGCGTGTGGTGCGCGTCTTGGGGAGTATATACAAGATGCGACGCGACACACCCTTTTTGGAAGTGCGACACCCCCTACGAAGAGCGACACGTGTCGCCGTTCGCGGTGCCGGTGTCGCATTGACACTTCTCGAGATGCGCGACACCTCGCCTTGGAACCTGCCTGAGCACCACAACAGGGGCAAACAAACCTGTTTTTCCTCCCGACCACCATCACGACGGCAAAGCCATGCTCAAGCCGCGCCCACCCACCGCCTATACCGTGAGTTAGGGGATTTGGCTCACTAGGTGGGCACAATCAAGAGATGGGCCAGCATCTTGTATAACAACAGGCAATGCCGCCGAGCGACCAGCGTAGCCACAACCACCTGCTCGTGCAGGCAGACCCGGTTCATACACATCCAATAACCCCATACCCTTACATCCTACTAGTCTACTACCTGCCCTAGTTTACTACTCGCTGCAAGGCCCAGTACTCCTAGCTAGGTGTTTAGAATACATGAACAACATTTTCATCTCCTTCAACAAATTGAAGCTTGTCCAACGTTCGATCGCTTACCACGTCCGCGGTGTGTAAAAGGCTCGTCACGTGCTCAGCTAAACTCGAAGGCCTACGAAGGTGCTTATAATGCACTTTAAAGCGCATTTCACAGTAAATATTCATGGTTGCTGGTGATAGAGTGCGTTAACGACGTTCTCAGAAAGTCAATGTCTACATAATCACTTGTCCTTACAATATTCGCTCGTAGTTCGACTTCAGAACGGAATTTGCCGAGTACCGGCACTTGCCGCAGATCCAATCGCGTGGCAAAAGCGGGGTGTCGCACATTTCCGCGAAGCGCGACACCCCCTACGAAGTGTGACACTTGGGCTGGAGGTGTCGTACTTCCAAAAAGGGTGTGTCGCGTCGCATCTCGTCACTCCTCCGTCTTGGGCCTCTTGGCTCGAGTATATACCAAGTGCGACACGACACTCCGTTTTCGGAAGGAAGTGCGACACCCCCCAGGAATCGCGACACGTGTCGCGATGGTGTCGCGCTTTCCGCGATGTGCGACACCTCGCCATGCGCCTGCATCAACACCACAACAGAAGCAAACAAACCCGTACTTGCTCTCAACCCCCATCATGGTCGCACCATTGAGCTCAACCCGCGCCGCAGAAAGTGCCGTTTTTGCAGTAGTGCACCGGACGTCGTTGAGTGCTATGGGTGAGTCTCATGTCATCTTTTGGACGAGTAATTAAAGCTAACATTCCGAGAGCAGCTGATACTGCCGAGTAAACGGGGTAGCCTGCTCACCCAAGCCTCCTGGTGGAGGCAGGTATGCGGTAGGTTCTCAGCTAATCATCCTAAACTCTTCCATACGCACCTCACTCCAGTTTGCACCATACTTCTTTCTAGGTATAGTGCATTTTATAGATAGTCACGTAGTTTACAAACATATCTAAAGATTTCCTGCAACAGTCAACCCAGCGCGATGTCGTGAGTGAGAAAGAACCAAAATTGAGACATATCGCTCGAATAGAACAGGTACTGAGGGCGGAGGCACGTGACACTTCCACGTCCAAGGTAGCACTATAGACCAAAGTTGAGGGATATGCGAGTGTTCTATGTCTAATATGAATAGTGATTACAGGCTACCCAGTTGATCCCGTAATATTGAGCTGGTTGTAGCTACTGACGGCGACATTTTTCGCCATTGTTCGACTGTCCTGCGGGACTTGCCGAGTACCGGCTTCGCCGGCCCTTCGGGCCGCGTGGCGGGCACGAGGTGTCGGACATTCTTTCCAAGTGCGACACCTCCAGCTTTAGTGTCGCCGTTCGTAGGGGGTGTCGCACTTCCGAAAACGGAGTGTCGTGTCGCACTTCGTCACTCCTCTCTTGGCTCCTCCCATAAAGAACTGCGTAGGAGACTTATCTATGGCCTACTCAACGAGACCTACTTTTGATGCTCTTGAAGTTCGTCAGTCCTTTCTCAAAGCCGTCATGTATCAAAAGTCGCCCACGGTATCGATCCCGCTCCGCCGATGTACTAGGCGCTCCGGTTCAACCTGCCCCTACGCTCTTCATTACGCCTATTGTCCTCTCGTTCCTCCTGTGCCGCACCTTACCATCTCCCGGAGTGAATCACTCCGACTGGCCTACAGGACACATCCTACCGAAGCCTCGATAGTAGCCACGCCAGATGACAAGATGCTTGTCCAAGCCGCGTACGAGTAATCTAAGGAGGATCCCTACCTCAAGGCCTACCGCGCCCTCCATCCCTATGCTTCGCCGTAAATGAATGAGCTACAAGTGCGACAGCCCACACGTATGCACGCTTTTAGAGAGGGTGATATTCTGCCTGGTGCTACGCCAGCGATGGCGCCTATGCGCCCCTCGGGATGCCTATAAGCGCACATCACACCCACTTTGATAGCAATTCCATCTACCAGGCCGCGCTACTCAGAGACGCCATGCGAACCAGGTCGTTTCTCCTCCCAGCTAATAGCCCGGCGGATCAGTACCGCCAAAGTCAGCTTCCTCGACACTGCCAAACTTGTACGTTCCGACTTCCATTTTCTACACCGACAGCATTCAAGTTTTCTACATTGTGAGCCCCGGCGCTGCTGTATAGAGTCCTCTCAAGGAGTGTAGGCGCCCCATGCGATGCTACGAGGTCGGGAGGCGCATATGCCGACCCGCCTAACGCGGAAGGGCGGGAGCACCGATGTGTTGAACATGTTGCAGGCGCCGTACGAGACGTGTCGCGCTGTATCGAGCTACAATAGCTGGCCTACGTATCCATACAGCATGCACGGTAGCTACAGTGTCTTCAAACCCGGGTTCCCACCTGCAACCTCACTGTTTGCATTCTCCGGCCAGCCAAATAAAGGTCACATGACCGTGTGAGGTTTACGGTTGAACTTCCTGTTGCGTCTATTTTCATCTTGAGTTGCAGGCACAGAGGGTGTTCGGGGTGCCCACCACTAATTGAAAGGTCTGCTAAGCTGATTGGCCAGAGTGTCTACCCTCGATCGAAAACCAGTCGCCGCGCCTCGTTAAAGCCCACGCCCGATATACCGCCCAATCACTTGCACGCCGAAGATACTTCGCAGTTCATGAGGGCCACGCCCCATGAAATGACTCTATTGTAAACCAAGTGCCTGACTAGTACACGAGTAGATGCGATGCGTATGCACGCGTAGGTGCGTTGCGTATGCAAGAATATGCTAGCTGTAGTGTGGATGGAGGAACAGGATGCAGATACGAGTCTGGGGATGAGATATATATACATATACGATAATTTGAGTGAGGATGCGTAGCTTGGAATGGACAGTCCGAAGATGCGAAGGGAGTACACGGCAGACCGTGAGTTATGTCTCTTGAAGAGCGAACGTAGTGTGAGCAATAATGTAGTGTATGGATCATGCTTCCGTAGAAAGCAGCGTGGATGCGGGTGGTGGTGGTACACGGGAAGACGGTTCCTTCCTTGGAATAGATAGGTCGTCAGGTCGTGTCGTGATAGTCGTAAGGGCCGCTCGTTGTTGGATCTGTAGTCCTCTTCTTGGGATCTTGAGAATGCGTAGCGTGGCGTGGTGCAGCGGAGAACGCGCGGCATAGCTTGACCATACGTAGCCAAAGGCGATTCTCCTAGCACGCGGCGATTTGAGCGAACATGTCGCTAGCCTGCAATGATGATCAGTCGCGTAGTTCAGAGCCATGAAGAAAAGACGTACCGCGCTCGCGCTGAAAACATTGGCCGTCAATGCCTTGAACTTGCGCACGTCGCTCGTAATGTTGTAGTCAACGCCATACATCGTGCACGCCACCCTCAACGGCGCCAGCTGCGGGTGCTTCACACCGTCAGGCGTCGACCTCAGCGTCAATGAGCGCAGCTTTCCGCCGTGCACCGCGCGCAGGACCGCGCCGAGGTTCGTTCCGTGCGACTGGCCGACCGCCAGGTGCTCCAGCGGCGAGGTCTCCCCGTACCAGAACGCCGGGGCGAGACACGCGCCTGCCACGGTCAGCGAGCGTAGAGCCGGGCAGCCGTCGCGGACGGCGCCGACAAGCTCGTGCTCGTGCAGGGCGGGCAGCGTGAGTGCCTCCAGCGTCGCACCTTGCGCCTCCAGCAGCCGCAGCGCTTCACCGTCCCACGCGCGAGCGATGTCGAGGGCACGCAAACGCGCGTCACGAAGGAGCCACTCGACGCACTCAGGCGCCAGTGGGCCCGTGCAGTTGATGCGCAGAGCCTCGAGGGCGGCGACACACTGCGGCGGGGCGCAGGCGGGGAGCGAGGGCGGGGTGCCGGCCAAGGAAAGCGCACGCGGGCCGCAGGGCCACGCCTCGAGGAGGTCAAACAGGACGGACTTGTCTGCGGACCAGTTGGCGAGGTGGAGCGAGGTGATCTGGGGCCCAGAGGCGAGGAGGGAGAGCGTCTCGGCGTCGAACATAGGGCTCTCGGCGGTGGCGCGCTCGACGGTCGTGTGAGCTTCGGTTGAGGGGCCAAAGAGCGCGAGGTGCACGGTCTCAAGGCGGGGGCAGCGGCTCACCACTTGGGCGAACGTATGTGGCGAGAGACCGTCGGGCTGATTGCGGTCCACGGTGGCTCGCAGAGTGCGGACTGCATCCGCGAGCGTCGGACGCACTGACAGCGTCGTTACGAAGGTCTCGGCGGTGTTGGCATCGCGCACGACAAAGTGACGGTAGAGGACGCTCTGAGCGGGTGCGCGCCAGGTGCGGCATACGAGAGCGCATGCGCGGAGGGTGGCCCGGTCCGGCTCGGTGGCGGGAGCGAGGGTAGCGAGTTCGAGGATGTCGAAGACGAGCTCAAGGGGCAAGTCGACGCGTCTGGACGTGGGCGTCGTAATAGGCGTTGTAGGGGACGTGCAGGCAGCGGGGACGAGAGCAATGTCTATGTCGTGCCTGGTGTGCTCGGGCACGCTCTACGAGGGAGTCAGCGCTGGATACAGCGACGATGAGCAGAACACGCACCGAGGAGTACAAATCGAAGAGACCCATCGCTGAGAGATGTCGGGACGGGGAGGGCGGCAAGGAGCCGGAGTGCAGACGGAGCCGTATTTATGTGGCATTGCAATTATGGAGATGACGGCCGGGAACAAAAGCAGAGTCGCTCACGAGCTGTGTTCCGCTGGTTCGGCTCGGCCACGCGCCGCCCGCTTTGCGTCCGTCGTCTCCGGATCCGGACGCCCCGCCTGCCTCGAGGGCGTGCACACCGCATCCATCGCACGCCCATTGTCTCTTTACTCTCCCCATTTCCCCGTCCGGCCGCAATATCTGCCCATCACCCCCGTCCCGTCTTCTTTGACTCCATCCAGGGCCCCTTAGTCACCCCATTCTCTCCTCGGGCGCAAGTGGTTCTTTGTGGCCCTCCGCCTGCGAAGAACGAATTTCGGCATCTTCTATCGTGGCCTCCGCGCAGGGCGGTAGCACCGTTGAGCCCCATCCTGGTCTCCTCCCAAATACGGTGGGCACTATGACAAAAGCACACGCTACCATCGATGTATCAAGTCGCATCTCAAGCGATACAGCTCGCAGTCATCAGCAGGCCATCTCTCGCCTTGGATGCCGGCCCTCCTTCGTATTACGGCGCTTGTTTCGACTTGCTCCCTTCAAGGTTTGATCCTCCCCAAGCGGCGCTCCCCTCCCCCATCGCGCGGTGCTGACTCACCGCACCTCCCTTCACGAGAGCGCCCCCTCGCCTCTCGCGCTTTGCAGCCCAATGACTCTCCTCCCGTGCCTTGCTTCCTCCCCTCCGTGCTGCGCCCGCGCTGAATCAGCCCCACGTGCCCTCCCGTCGGCTGCACCTGTTCGCCCGCCCCCGCCTCCCGCACTCTAGCGCCCCCGCCCGACGCCTCCGCCTGACAGACTTGCCGATACCGTCGCAACGTCCGCCTGCCACTGACGCTGACGGCGTCTAGCTCAGGGTGCGCCCATACACTCCCGTGCCACCAACATACACGAGCTCGGATGGCAGGCGAGCTCCGCGGAGGGTACGGCGGGCCCCTCGTCGCTAGAAGCGCACCGTCGACGTTTGCTTGCAAGGCTCGGTGCGAAATGCTCGGTACTTGCACCAATAAGAATCGGCGGGACTGGGGTGTGCTACTTCTCCCCGCTGACTAGCCAGAAGGCCTACCGACGTCCTTTTGCATGACTCCCTTCGCACAATACGACGGACTGCTTGACTCACGACGGACGCTCTATCGATCCCACGCGCATGCAATGAACCCATTCTTGGCCTTCGACGTACTCAGCTTCCTCGTGCTCTTACTTCCTTGACGCGTAATACAGCGAACTTCGCCTGAAGGCTCGCTCTGTGTATTACGACTATCAACACGACTGCGCGCGAGCACACGACCTCAATCAATGGTCTATCCTCGGTGTTCATTCAGCCGCCCCTTCGCCTTCTATCAAATGATCACCCAGTAAACTGCGCTCAATGGATGTCTGCCAGTCAACGAGCGCGTCAGTTTGTGTACACGGCTACTGGCAGCGATTCTCTCCCTCGTCGCATGATCCTGTATTGCTTCAGGCCTCTCTTCCATCTCAAGGCCGTGATCCATCTCAGGACCAGCTCAGCTCGCCCGGCCGCCCCGTCGACGAGATATCATATTACCGATGAATTCCATACCACCGACTCATCTTGGCTCGACGTTGACCTCATTGGCGGCACCGACGCCGTGTCGCCGTCCAGGGATTCCGAGGCTGTGCGTTGCTGCGTATTTGCTACCTCCGTCCTGCCGATCGCGCTGGCCCTGCGCGCGGCGTTCATCTCGTGCACATTTTCGACCCGACGCCCGGGCGTCGATCGTTGTGCCCTGCAACCTGCAAAAATTCCTTGACAAGGGCGCTGTGGCACGTCTTCAGCTTGTCACACCAATTCACCCTACCCTGAACTCGCGGGACGTATGTTTACCGGAAACCGTAGGACGTATCCCGCGTATACTGACAAGACATACCGAATATATTGACAAGACCCTGCATGCCCTGTTTCGGGCTCCCGGACGAGCTCGAACATTGTAATCTGTACGCCCACGAGACGACATCTGGCCATCAAGCATGCGTTTATTGCCGTCCCTTTGTCTTGCCTACTCATCATCTTTCCAGTGCTTCATTCCATCCTAAGAGTGCGTCATTCTTGCGTATGTATATTCCGTCTATCGTCCTTCCCATCGCTCGTACGTCTCATCTCTTGTCCATCCGCCATCCCATCCCATCGATGTCGGCCCCGCAAGCCACCTGAGCTCTCCACAAGAGGTCATCATAATCATCCCCATCGCTATCTTATTGTTTCCCAAACAAGCGACCTTGTTCGCCGCTTTTACGAGCGCGGCCTCGGACGCGTGCGTACGTCCTTGTCCCCGTCCTTCGCGTTAACTTCTCCCCGTTTCCCGGTGTCACTTCTCCCTCGATCGTTCTTGTCTACCCTCGATCCTACAAACTTCTCACCTCACGGCCACGTTGGTCTGCCCCCCGCCCACGCGCTTTGCATTATGCCGTCTTCCATGATTCATTGTCCTCCGTAATGCGTTCATTGTCCACGAGCCCCTGGTCCATTCAGCCCGCATACCGATATTAACATGCCGTGGTTCGATTCATTCAGCAGCGGCAACCCTCGGACGCCGTCGCGTGCTTTTCATTAGCGAGGCGCGGTCTCCGGAGGTGAGTCGTGGTCCGTTTCTGTCCGCCTCATTTGGCAGTGCACTGCCGCCGGGTGCGAGCCTGATTGGTGAGGTGACTCGACCGCTATATGTGAGTTATGTACGTTAGCAAGCCTAAAATTTCCGAGCACCTCAATCTTCCGACGTACTGCCTGACCTCCGCGGCCATGACGCACGCGCCGAGAGTGGGACAAGAACATTGCACCTGAGTATGGAAAACATGCGACCATGCGATCCGTCTGTACAATGTTGCCGTCTCCCCGTTCGTACGTGAGAGTAAGGGTCACGGTCTCCTTCGTCTGTGAAGACCTCATCCGATTACAGGGTGCTCCGCTAGTGATCATGCGTGCCCTCGCTTTTTTGGGCAAATTGCTGTGGGCTTGAGTAAGGCGCGTCTATAACCGCGGCACCCTCGACACTCGGGAGAAGGCTCAGGGTGTGCTCGTGCCAGGGCGTGCTCGTGCTTCCCCCGTTTTACCCCCGCCTGCGTGCTGCTGTGATCTTCTGTAGCACACTGGAGAGCCCCTCGAGCACGCAATAAAATACCTTACCGACTGCAGTGTGTACTGGAACTGCTTGCACCGCTGATTCTCCACCGAACAGGCGATCAAAAGCGCCACACGAGGGAGGCGTGGACCCATAAAGCGGAAGTAAAGTCTACCGGCTATCGCCGGAGCGGAGGCAAACTCAATCGGCTCCTCGGGACCCGCGCGTTACGGTTCGACTGTCACCGTCACGCCCGCCGGCAAAGGTTCCCACCACACGACGTTGGCATTGCGGACTGGCTGAGTGTTTCTCGACCACGAGAAAGAGCCATAGCACGGAGTGATGAATACTCTGCTATCGATCACGATCGTACAGACGATAGCTTCCCGGGTAAGAAAGCTCATCGGTTTATCCTTGGCCAACGGGGCGGACCGCTGCCGAGAGCTCACGGAGCGAGAGCTTTCATACCGACTACATACAGAGCAGACCACTGTATTTAAGAATCAGACAAGTAGGCTACTATCGCGTAAGTGTCCGCGTCCGCCCGCGACCGTCTCTGCAGAATCACGGGTCATCGAACGCGCTTGCTGTTCATCTCCTCATGACCCGCGAGCCTCCTATTACTGAGCCGGCGTGTGAGTGATTTACGCGGTCTCTTGAGGACACGCGTACTGCTAGACAACAGGAGGAGCAAGACACGAAAGAAGGGGTCGCCAATATCATAGATATGGAAATCTGTGCACTGAGCAGGTCGTGGTGTCGTAGAGGCGTGGTATTGTGGCGAAGGAGATACTGATCAAGGATACAGTGCGGTAAATCAGGAAGTACAGATACAGAGTGAGCAGCCCAATAATACATGATTCATACTACGGTTGTTGATATACGTCGCCAAAAAGGCAGAATGTCCGTCGTGTCATGTCCGAAAATCGTGAACCAGGGAAGGACGAAGATAACAGAAGCTGAAGATGGCGCCGACAATGTGGCGCTAATAGCGATGAGGCGAGGGTTGAGTAAACAGTGTCCGTGGGGAAGTACGGACCATGAGTAATGAATAAAGAAGGATTAAGCCTTCGACCCCTTATTACGCCCTCGCCACAATTTGGTCAGGGTCGAGGACGAGGAAGACGACCGCGCGCGTCCGTCAGACGGCGGCGACGACGACGACGTTGTCGCCGTCAACGCGGCGTACATATCGTGCGTCTCGCGCGGTGACTGATGGAAAAGGGTAAACGCGTTGGGCGATGTGGGCCCCGAGGGGAAGAGGCCTAACGAGGACGGGGAGGACATGGTGGCGAGGTCGCTGTGGTCGTAAAGAGGATGCTGAGTGATGGTCGTGAGGAAGGCGCTGGGGTGATACAGACAGTGTTGGTTTGTGGCGTGTAGAAGGGCGTCAAGTGTGTGCTTGTTTAGCGTGAGTTTGTGGCGAAGGCGGATGGGAAAGAATGGACAGGCGCTTGTGTTTGTTTGGGCGCGCGCGGGTATGCATTTTGACCGTCTACGAGAGCGTATAAGTAGGGAATCTCTTGACGGGACGACATTGCATGAGTCAGGGCGAGCAGTGAAGACGAGTAGCAAGGAGCTGTGGCAAGGACGTAAAGCAGTGTTATATACGAGCGGGCGGCTGTGTATAGTCAACGTGTTGCGTCGAGGTCAGAAAGGACGTCTCTCGTGTAGAGGCGCGCGGATGCGGGCGCGTCAACTTGTCAGGGCGGGGAGGCGGTGCATACTCAGTGGGCGAGCGGTAAAAATCAAGAGTCACCTCTAGCAATCAGCATGCATAGGCTTTTTTTTCAGGCAAGTATCGGCGTGCACCTCGAAGCAAGAGGGAGAGAACGACGAGCGGCGTCATCTCGTTCTTCGAAGGAACTTCCGCAACACTCAAAAGTAGAGTACAAAGATGAGATCTGGAGTGTCTTTTGCAAGACTTGAGTGAACCTAGAGCACCTGTCCTGATAAACAAGGTCGCCAAGAGCAGCGCAAAAGAGGAAGCTAAGATGGTGGTCGAGTTCACATTACCAGCGGCCCGGAATCTCGCCCTTCGGCACATCGGTCCGGGATTACTAAGCCAACCGACATTCTCCGGCAACGACGTCCGGCTTCACCTCCACGGCTCAACAAAATTACTCGTCTGGCAAGCGCCTACCCTTGTTGCTGCTTACTCTGACTCTGACGAGACTTCGTATTCATCAGCGTTACTGCAGGCATTGACGCCCAGTAATCATTCTTTTTGTCCCTTGAACTTGGCGGCGGTACCTACGCATAACATCATGGCTTCGAACACAGTCAACGTGAGTGGTCGGCCGCACTGTGGATAGCTGGGGTGCTCATGAACTCTCTCTGCGTGCTTGCCTACCTTTCTGAACATCTATCCTCTATCCCCCGTACGCCTCCCCGATCACGCTTTCCAATAGGTCGTGCGCTATACGGCACTATTCTCGGGCATCCTTTACGGCTGGTACCACAACCGGACCGTCCAGCGCGAGTTCAAGGAGCAGGAGGTCCAGCACGCTGTGCACAGGCGGGAACAGCTGGTTGAGCAGGCGAAGGCTGAGTGGAAGCGCCGCCAATCAGCAGGCAACGACGGCAGTGAGTTCCCCTGACGCGCTCTCGACCAACCGCGAGTCGCTAACCCATTCCCCAGTCGTAACGGACCCAGAAGACCCGCGGTTCGACCTCGAGAAGCTGTTTGCCAAGTGGGAGAAGGAGGCTGCATGATGGACCCCGCGCGCGGTACCCCCTTCGCCTACTCAGTGACTTTGCTGCACGCACATATCCCCACTGTAGACCAGCCTCAATATCCATATTACTTACAGGGACATCACCTCTCCTGTTTGAGCCTGTAAGGTGCTCGGAGTAGCGATAGACGAGGTATAGAGTCGCTGTGGCTGAGAATGCTTGATGCCCGTGAGAAAACCGGGCGCTTTGACGCGGTTCAACGTCCTCGACGCGTCGAGGCGCCTTGTCTTCGACCCCCACGATCTCGCGCTCCTGCGACTCCAGTTTCCTGTCGCTTGCTTGACTCTCTCTCTGTATCAGTATGCCTCGCCCCCAAGCTGAGGAAGTGGAGGATGATTTCGCCGCCGAGGAGGAGAACAAACTGATCAATGAGGTGCTTCATACCTGATCCCCTCGCCTCTGCCAACCTGACTGACGCGTCATATCTCCTACTATAGGAATACAAGACATGGTGCGTAGAACGACGCGTCAACGAAGTAAAGGAAACTCAATGACGGGCCTACAGGAAGAAAAACGCGCCCTACCTCTACGACGTCGTGATCACACACGCGCTCGACTGGCCCAGTCTCACCTGCCAATGGTTCCCCGACAAGGAATCGTGCGTCGTATCCATTCTTCTCTGACCCGCCACTCACCTTCCACTCCCTACCCACCAGCCAACCCTCCAAACCCTACGACACCCACCGCCTCCTCCTCGGCACCCACACCTCCGGCCAGGCGCAGGACTACCTCCAGATCGCCACCGTCCAGATCCCCAAGACCTCCGGCCCCTCCTCCGACAAGCTCGACCACTCGTCGTACGACGACGAGCGCGGCGAGCTCGGCGGGCACACGCTCCCGCCCGCCCCGCGCGTGAAGATCGTGCAGCGCATCAACCACGACGGGGAGGTCAACCGCGCGCGGTACATGCCGCAGAACGCGGACCTGATCGCGACGAAGGCGGTCAGTGGGGAGGTGTTTGTGTTCGATCGGACGAAGCACTCGAGCGATCCGGATAGGAGTGGGCAGTGTAAGCCGGATATCCGCTTGGTGGGGCAGAGGGGGGAAGGGTGAGTGTCTGCGAGAAGTTGACGCAGAATAACGTACTGATTCCATGCAGCTTTGGTCTGGCTTGGAGTCCCGTAAAGCAGGGTCACATCCTGAGTGCCTCGGAGGACATGACGGTGTGCCACTGGTGAGCACAGTGTGGCGCGAAACGCGTTTTCGATTAACACCAATCGTAGGGACATAAACGCATACGCAAAGAGCAACCCCTCCCTCGAGCCCACTACAGTATTCCGCGGACATACCTCGGTCGTCGGCGTGAGTGCCACAATAATGATACCCCTCTAGCCTGTCACTAACTGCTTACAGGATGTTGACTGGCATCCGACGAAAGAAAATGTTCTTGCCAGTGTTGGAGATGACAAGATGCTGATGATGTGCGCCTTTTTTGCGTTGATTCCCTGAGGCTTACTGACTCCCCGCCAGCTGGGACACTCGTGCATCCAAAGAGCCGAGCAACAAGATCCTGGCCCACGACAACGAAATTCTATCTGTTGCATTTAACCCGGCAGCAGAGCACCTCATCGTCACCGGCAGCGCTGACAAAGTTAGTCAGGTGTTTCCTCACTTTGTGATCAGCACCGACCTTGTTTTGTAGACCGCCGTCCTTCACGACTTGCGAGTACCAAACCGCAAGCTGCACATCTTCGAGTCGCACACGGACGAAGTTCTGCACGTCGCATGGTCGCCACACAACCCGACCATCTTCGCAAGCGCCTCGAGCGACCGGCGAATCAACATTTGGGACCTCTCACTTATTGGTGTTGAGCAGACGCCCGACGATCAGGAAGACGGCCCACCGGAGCTGCTCTTCATTCACGGAGGTAACCATCCCCGTCCTAAACCTTCGACCTCACCCGCTAACTCACCATCCAGGCCACACCGCGCGCCCGACCGACTTCTGCTGGGCGCCCGGCGCGGAGGAGAACTGGAACCTGTCGAGCACGTCCGAGGACAACATCGTCATGGTCTGGCAGCCAACGATGCGCGTGTGGGCCGGTGACGAGATCCGGGTGGACGAGAAGGAGCTGGAGGACGACGCGATGGAGGGCGTGGAGGCGAGCAGCGCGGCGGGCGGGTCGGGTGGCCCATCGAGTCATGCGGGAGCATCGGGAGCGGGCAAGCCGGGCGGCGCGCTGGGGCTGGAGATGGGACCTGCGGCGGGAGAGGGAGAGGCGAAGAGGGAGCAGAGCATGAGCAGCCGGAGTATGAGCTTGGGTGATGATTGAGGGGTGAGCTGGCTCTTGTAAGTGAATATACTATATGCGATCCACTGTTATGATTGCTCAATCTGTTTGCGCCAGGTGTAATCTAGGCATTGTTTCTCTTGCTCAAATGTGTGCGAAGCGTGCGTAAAGCAGTTTGTCGTCCTCTTGCCTGCGACTCGACTATCGCCACTTGGGTTGGAAGTCGTTGGGGGTGCCAAAAAACCTTGGCGCAGCGGTAGCGAATGTGGTTCTCCGACGCGGTCATGTGACGTTGCTGCCGCGCGCCCCACAGGACGTATCCGACTCCGGTTTCGACAACCAGGCTTCAAGATGGTAGATTCATTTACTCTTGACAGCCATTTTCTTCTCTTAACGAGAGCCCCATCCGCGCCACCTTACCACTGCCACTTTCCAAGGCCAGAATAGTCAACAAACTGCCCACCGTGCGTTTCCCTCGTCGCGACATCGATTTGCCCGACGACGCCCTTCGCGCTCTCCTCTGTGGAGATGGGAGGGAAGGCCTTCACGAGGGCGTCCATCCCGGGAACGAACTTCCACGCGGCCCGCGCCGCAGGCGTGTCCACGACGCCGGGGCTGATGGGGAAGACGACTGGAGGGTGGGTCAGTAGGGCGTGGGGGAGAGACTAGGCAGAGGGAGAGACTAGACAGGAAGAAAAATGTGTGGTGATCTTTTTGCCGTGCACTCACTCAAGTCAGGGAAATCGTGATGCAGCTTGCGCGCGACCCAGTTGAGCGCCGCCCTGGACGCGCCGTACGGGTACACCTGGACATCTATCTCTCCGGCGAGCGTGATGCTGCCGAGGCCGGTGGAGATGGCGACGAACTTGGGCGTCTTGCTCGCTTTCAGGAGCGAGTACGTCGACTGGAAGAGGACGAGGGGGCCGTTGACGTTGACCTGAGAGTGCGTGTCAGCCGAGCTCATTGAGTAGGTTGCGATGTTCAACTCACTTCGAAGTGCTTGACCATCTCTTCCTGTGGCACCTCGAGCGCGGGCGCGATACACTCGCTTATGCCCGCGTTCGCGATGACCACGTCCAGGCGCCCTGCCACCCGCTGAATCTCCTTCGCCGCCTCAAGGTTATTCTCCTTGTCCGCGGAGACGACCTTGATGACGCGAAAGCGGTCAGGGTGCGCTTTGGCCAGCGCTTGCAGGTCAGTCGCGCCGCTGGGGTTGCGCGCGCCGGCAAAGATGACGGTGTCGGGGCGCGAGGCGAGGAGGGTGACGATGGCGAAGCCTGGGATTGAGGCAACGGTCAGCTTGCTAGGAATAGCATGGTGAAGAGGGAAGTACACGTACCAATACCACGGTTGGCACCGGTGACGAGGTAGACTGTCGATTGAGACATTTGGGGCAAACTTGAAGTTCGAGGCGGTAGTCCAGTTGGATAATATCCTCCATCCACCGTCCACCCCTCTCTTATACTACCTTCCCCCATACTCTCTCCTCTCATCCAGCACTACGAAGAAGGTCGGAATCATTCCGAGAAAGTCGCACCGTGGGCAACGTCTTGGTCAGCCTGCCGAGTCGCAGAACCGAGTCGGTGCCCCCTGCCCTCCTTGGAAGAAGTAAAACATCGAGTTCAACACCTCGGTCGAACATTTCTATGGACAACGCAGTCTCAGTGGATCTTCTGTTTGTGCTATGGAGTTCCAAGGACCTTCTATCGAGAGCCTACAGCTGAAAATGACGATGAAGACGAGAAAAAAGAATATGTGGCCAGATCTTGCTTCAAACGAGAGACGAAAAAACAGATGAACCCTGCCCGGATTGAACGGACGACCTTGTGGAACCGAGTTCGCCTTCGGCGTCTCTGGAATCACACGCGCTACCGCTGCGCCAAGGGTTCTTATGTGGGTGTCTAGAGGCAATGTACAGCTCTGGAATGCGCTTTTAACGAAGTCTGGAGGTGCAGAAATGCGTGAGCGGCGTTGGAAGTTTGGTTGTCGATGGTGGTGCTGGAAAAGGCTAATGGACAGCAGCCATCAAGTCGAAAAGGTTCCGCGGACAGCCACCGTGTTCTGTTCATGAAGTATGGGGCTGCATGTACGAGGCGACGACGCTGGCAACATTGTAGCACCAACAGAAACCATGTTATATCCATCGGCAAGAGAGGTGCTCTTCAACAGACTGGCAACCATCGTCTTAGCGTCACAAAGTACTACAAGCTATGTACGTTTACATTTGATTCGACTTCCAGAAGCTATACACCGTCCTTTCGTCCAGCTTATTGTTCGTGATGGAGTGCAAGGTGTCCGTTCAGTAGCCTCCTCCACCGCCGTACCCACCACCTCCGTACCCACCGCCTCCGTAGCCTCCCTCCCCACCACCATAACCTCCGCCGCCGTAACCGCCTTCACCACCTCCATATCCTCCCTCGCCTCCACCATGGTGCCGACCACCGTGATGACGACGACCTTCGCCTTCATCATCCAGGTTCAGGCGTTCGGCACCGAAGGTCTCGTCGCCGCCACCGTAGCCGCCACGGCGCTCCTCGCCCCCATAGCCTCCACCTCCACCGCCGTATCCACCGGACGAGCCGCCATAACCACCCTCGGCACCACCGTAGGAAGGCTGGTAGCCTCCGCCGCCGTATCCGCCGCGATCCTCGTCGCGACGGCCGCCGTAGCCACCGCCTCCTCCGTAGCTGCTCTCCTCGCGGCCACCTGCATATGAAGGCTGGTAGCCGCCAGACTCGCCGCCATAGCCGCCACCACCGCTACCGCCGTAGCTATCCTCGTCATGACGGCGGCCGTGGTGGCCACCCTCGTGGCGGCTCTCACCACCATAGCCGCCTCCGCTGCCGCCGTAGCCGCCGCTCTCCTCGCGACGCTCGCCACCATATCCACCGGTGCTACCGCCATAGCCGCCAGTACTCCCGCCATAGCCGCCGCTGCTTCCGTAGCTGTTGTCGTCCTCGCGACGGCTGCTACCGTACCCGCCGCCACCACCGCCGCTGTAGCTGTTGCCCTCGTCGTGACGACGGCCATGGTGGCCACCTTCGTGGCGGCTCTCTCCACCGTAGCCGCTGGACTCGTCGCGGCCGCCGTAGCCGCTCGACTCATCGCGGCCGCCGTAAGAGGGCTCGTAGCCACTGGAGCCGCCTCCGTAGCCGCCGCCGGTGCTGCCTCCGTAGCCGCCGTCATTGTCGTCGCGGCGGCTGGAGCCGTAGCTCTGCTCGTGGCGGCCGCCTCCGTACCCACCGCTGTTGTCGTCGTCACGACGGGAGGAGGAGTACGTGTTCTGCGACCCGTAGTTGTCGCCGCCGCCGCTGAAGTAACCTGCAATTGTCTGTCAGCATCATTCTCCCGTTGTCGTCCATGTGAATACTCACCGCCAGCACCGCCGTAGCTCTGCTGCTGAGAGCTCTGCTGCACCGAGCTGCGGCCACCGCCGTGGCCATGGCCGCCGCATCCACCGCCGGTGCCCTCGGAGCCGGGACGAATGTTCTTGCCCTCGCGGACGCTTTCCTTGGTCAGGAGCTGGATGATCTCGCGACCCTCCTCGCCAAGCCCACCGAACCAGCGCTCGAGCGTATCGAACATCTTACGCTGAATCTCCGAGTTGCCCGTAGCGTAGTACGGGTGGTGGAAGGCCTCCAGAATCTATACTCGCGTCAGCATTGACACCTACCATGTTTTGCAGGCACTCACCCTGTCAATGACCTGGTCCGGATCGCTGTTGTCCGCCCACGCCTGCACGATTTCATTGACCGTGTTCTCGACGACGACCTGGGCGATCTTGCCCGCGGGCTCGTTGAGGATGAGGTTGAAGTGGTCCTTGGAGAGCAAACTGTGCGAGGGGTCGGATGCGTTGGCGTCGTCGAAGACCTTGTACTGATCGTCGGAGTCGATGACGGCCTTGCTGCCCTCGCCGAGCACGCTGGTGACCTGCTCCATGATGGGCTATGGACGGATAGTCAGACGAAGTACGGGAGTAGCGAGAGTGCGGACCAACCGTGATGTAGGGCGCCAGAACGGTGTAGACGTCTGTACGGGTTGTCAGGAATATGTTGTATTCGCACAATGAACTCAACTCACAGGCGTTGAGGGCGTTGCTGAGCTGCTCGAGGAGCTCGTCTAGGCCCGGGATCTTCTCAATGGTCTCCGCGAAGTCGCGCATGAGGTCATCGCGCCAGATCAACAGCTCCTTGAACTGTTGCTGGACCTCCGGCGGGGCAATGTTGTCCGGGTCGAAGTTGTACGCCTCCGACTTTGCCTTCATCTCCTCACCCTTCTGCATCTTATCATCGCCGCCACCGCCGGAGATCTTCGAAATCAGACCCTTGATTACGTCGATATTCGCATTGTCCCCCTTCTTCGCGTCGTCCATCTTGTGGGTGATCTCCGTCACGCTCGACTGGCTCAGCTTGTCCGTCGCTTCGCCGAGCATCGAGTGCATGAAGTCCGCGCTGCCGAACGTGCCGGTGATGAGCGGCGGGACGCGCTCCCCGTTGGGCGCGTTGACGAGGACGTTGTCGCCGACGTGGCAGAAGACCTCTTCGTGGCCGAGCTTGCGCAGGCCGATCTCGCACCAGTTACTGTGCGCGAGGAGGTCCTCGAGGGTGTGCATGCCAGTGCCGAGGAGGCGGAAGGCCTCCCAGAGGTCCTCGTTGTCGTTGCCTTCGGCGCGGCGGCCACGCTCGATGCACTCGCGGAAGACGCGACGGATGAGAGCGGTGGAGGTATCCCAGCTCTCGCCTTCGGTGGCCATGTATTTCTAGTGTTCTCGTTAATATATGCGTCTCGTATACAACTGATGAAGATATACCTTCATGCCAGTACGCTCGTCAATCTCGAGCTCGCGTTCATCGACAGGCGGGCGCAGCTTCGGGTGGATCTGGCGAGCATCGCCCTCAGCCTCAGCGTAACCCCTTGAGACGAGTTAGCAAAGTTACGAACAGTGCACCGTGATGTCCATGACTCACTTGGGGTTGTCAATGTGCTCCGTCGGAAGGTAGACACCCAGACGGTCGGCAGTAACCTCGAACTCGCGCGTGGCATAGCCAAAGTCCTAAAAATCATTGAGAAACTGACGAAGAATTGCACGAAGGTCACGTACAACAAAGCCAAGGACGGAGACGACGAGGACAATGGTGTCGGCGGAGAGCTTGCTCAGACCAGCAATATCCATCGCCTGTGAACGATCTCAGATCGCGATTCCGGGGGAGGGACAAAGATGGATATACCTGCGAAAAGTCGCGCAGCCAGTTGCCCTGAAAGAGCGTCAGCGAGCTGTGGTATACATAGGCAAGTAGCCACTCACAAAGTAGACACGCTTCACATCCGTGCCAGAGAACTTCTGTCCGCCACTCGCTTCCTTCAAGACCTTCTTCGCAAAGCCAAGAATACCTCCGCCATGGCCGCCCGAGCTGTGACCGACCGCTTTCACCAGCTCAGAGAGCACGTTCTCGATATCACCATGACGAAATGCCTTGCCTAGCAGGGCGCAGGCCCACTGTCAGCCGCCTATTCTTGGTCTCGAGGGGGACCATATCGGACGTACCGTTGAGGTATGCGAAATCCGGGATGTCACCTGCGCCAAACGCGTATGTCTCGGCCGGGAGACACACGAGGATGACGGTTAGCAGTAGAAGAGTTGTTGTGAAAGTTAACATTCGGGGCTGGGTGAGGGGGAGAGGCAAGGGGGAATCGCTGGCGACCGCGTCCGCCGTTTCCTGGCAACATCGATTATCAGTGATGTCATCCTTTCGTGCGGCCAGGCGGAGACCGCAGCAGCGCTATGGCGGTGTGGACCCACAAAGGCATACAACAAGGGCTTTATAGCTTCGCATTCACACTCTAGTTCTAGGTGTCTACTTGGTCGGCTCTGCGTCGTCCACCGAGTCGTACAATTCCCCGATAATTCTCTTCTGCGCCTCCACCTTCGACTCGCCAGGTGCAGGTCCAATGGCGCGCACGACAACGTATTTCCTCCCCCATAGAATCTCTTCACCAACCTCTCCGAACTTCGACGCGTCATCCTTTGTCGTAGCGAAGACTTTATGTGAACCTGTAACCAAACCGCCCGCCTCCTGTGCAATGACAATACCCGCGCAGACATCCCATGGGTAGCACCCGATTTCCCTGTAGCTGGGTGAGCAGACGCGGACATGCAAAAGCAGTGACGCTTACCAGTACACATCCAACGACCCCCTGGCGACCAACGTGAAGTTGAGTGCAGCGCTGCCAAGGCTACGCAAGCTGTGGGCCATCTTGCCACCCTTGACGCCCGCCTCTGGGTTTCCGGCCAAACGATAGAAGGATGCGGACTTCTTCGCCAGGATCTCCTCAGAGCGATCAGCCCCCCATTCGATCCCTGTAGGCAATGATGAGAATACAGCGGTATGTAAGAACGCGTTTAACAAACCTAGGAGGCCCTGCGAGAGGGAGGTCAGAGGGCGTGGCTCGATTGTCAACGGTAGCCTCAGAGGCTGGTTGTTGATGCCCTCCGTGACGAAGGCACCCTGGCCAGTGATAGCGGTGTACTAATCAAGCCGTTAGTAGAGGGCCAATTAAGTGAGCAAAATGTACCGTACCAGATGGTCAAGGAATGGGTTGTAGATGACACCGAGCACGGGCTTCTTCTTGTAGATGAGGCCAAGGGATATGCAAACAAATGGGAAGCCGTGGATGAAATTCGTGGTTCCGTCTGGCGAAAGTTAGCTTCAGTCAAACGAAGTTCAGACTGAGTGCCTCACCGATGGGATCCACGCAAAACGTCGGCTTGTCCGACAGCGGTGGCCTCGATCCGGCAGCATAGGACTCCTCTCCCAGACTATCACAGCCATTCAGCATACAGCATACACCTCATCCGAACCCTCGCCACTCACAACTCGAAATCCGGGTACTTCCCCGCAATCTCCTTCTTCACCAGCTCCTCCACCTTCACGTCGTACTCCGTCACCAGGTCCACCGAGTTCTTCTTCTCGTTGATCTCCGACGCGGGCGCGTTGCGGATGGCCTGCGAGCCCGCGAGGATGACCTCGCCCGCGCGGCGCGCGAGGTTGGTGGTGAAGGCGAGGATGGTCTGGTAGTCGGCGATGGTAAGGTCGGTGGGCATGGTGGGTGGCGAATGTGATGGGTCAGACGTTGTTGTGTGCAATGCGGTGGGTGGGGGTTATGAAGGTGGGTGGTCAAGAGGGGGTTGTGGTGATCGATAAAGCGCGCGGACATATAAAGCCTCGGCGCCGTTCACGTCATAATTCCAGTTCGTGTCCCGCCATTCCAGTTCGCGTCGACGTATTCCAGTTCACGTCGGCGGAAATTGTGTCGCATCGCGCCGTATTCCAGTTCGCATCTGGTCGCATTCCAGTCCGCGTCGTCCTATTCCAGTTTTCTGCTCCCCATTCCAGTTCGCATCAACGTGTGGTCGTCCAGTATTCCCTTTTCTCGCTTCGTATTCCAGTTCGGGGACGGGGACGAGTGGACACGTTCGTGGAATGGGGTACGTTCGTGCTACACGAGCTCAGTCAGCGTACTGGATCGCCGGAGAAACAGCGCGCAGCGCACCACTGGGTCCGACATCATTGCTCCTTCTCCTGCCCTTCATCCACATCCGCAAGCTCATAGCCCACCCAGACCACTTCTGAGCAATCATCGCATGCTATCAGGTGCTTCCCCGCTTCCATTTCCGTCTCCGAGATCCGGTAGGCGCCTCCGCACCGGCAGGCGTACGTCCAGACGATGTCTTGGACATCCTCCCCGATCGCGTCGAACTCCTCTAGCGAGATGACCTGCGCGGGTCGAGGTCCACCATGTTGACTCTTCTTCCTCGCTAGGGACCGATCGTAGCGCTCCCGCCTGGTCGGGGATGAGAGCGTCTCGTAGGCTTCCTTAATTACGGAGACCGCGATCTGCTGACTCCCGGGACCGTGGGCCTTGTCGGGATGGTGCGTGAGGAGCGCGCGATGGTAGGCGTCCTTCAGCGCTACCGGGGACGCATTTCGGTGCACGGATAGCACCGCGTAGTAATCCACTAGCGCGTCGTCCGCCAGCCTGACGGAGAACAATGGGCGATCAGAGTAAAGAATAAAGGGCGCTATTTGTGGCGTCCATACAGGAGGGCACCTTTCAAGCGTCACCCTCGTCGAACCTCTACTACGCAGAATATGCTGCGGCTTCCTCAGGAGGATGGAAAGTCAGCCAGAGTCCCATGTATATCGTACAATTATCATCAATGCAGAAAACGCGCGTTTACATGACATCTATCACTGCCTGCAGAGCCGCATTGTCCAGGATCTCGAAGCCCTTCTCTGGTGTTACCTGTGCACAGAAGAGTAAATAAACCTGCATGTAAGGATAGCTTTGGTCGAGTCGACGCACCTGCGCGACCTGCACGTTGTTCTGATCCAGCTTCTCCTCCATAACCTGCTTCAAGACACGCAAGGTCAAGATTCTTGCCTCCTGCAGCGTCATTTGCTGCGGCAGGGGTTCAGCGTCATGAAGTAACAGAAGATGGGACGGACGCACCTTATGCCATTTGTCCTGTAGCTCGGACTGTGCTGCCTCAGAGCCAGATCCGATAGCCTTGGCGTCGTACCGCACGAACGTCCCTGATGGGTCGGTATGGAACCTGGGAACATCTTCGTCAGTATATGCATCTCCCAAGATCTCTGGCACACGCACAATTGCGGCCCCAACTCATCAATCCCCGCAATAAGCAGCGCCACGCCGAACGGCCTGCTCATCATCGCTTCCTCATCGTGCACACTCTCCCCGAACCTCAGGGCCAGATCGCACACCGCCTGCGTGCAACTCTCGACCTTGATCCGCTCGTCGTACACGAACGCGTGGTTCTGCGCGGTCACCCGCGCGTGGTCGACCATCGTGCGCGCGTCCGCGGTGAGCCCGGAGACGGCGCAGCCGAGGTGGCGATCGATCTCCATTATCTTTTCGATGGAGGAGGCTTCGAGGAGGGGGGATTGTACGCGCTTCTCGACAGCGATGACGACGCCCTCGGGGGTCTTGACGCCGACGGTGGTAGAGCCGAGCTGGGCGGACGTTTAGAAGGAGTGATGTATAATTGGTTGGTCTTGAAGTACCTTGATTGCCTCAATGGCGTACTCGACTAGTGCTCAGGTCATTGGGAGGAAGTATGAGTATTGAATGATCGCGCACCTTGGAACAAACGCCCCTCTGGAGAGAAGGTGTTGACACCGCGGTCTGCGAGATCGGAATGAGACTCTGTTTGCCCTATTGAGAGTAATGCGCACCGTATTCAGAGCGTGTCAAGAACATGGTGAACGATGAAGGACGCGAGAAGGTGAGCGACCAATGTGAGCTTGCGTGCGCGCGACGCGCGTCAAGGCATCGTGAGAAGATACTGCCGAAAGGACGGGCCGGACATCCGCTCATTGTTCTCAACGTCCATGTTCGACCTATTCTATCCTGTCTTCCACGTTCATGGCGCGCTCAGGATCACTGACCACCATCAATAATGCACGGGCCCATCTCACAGCATATAAAAGGCTCTGAAGTGCTGATACTTTTACCACACCTCCCCTTCCGGAGTTGCCGCTTACCGATGTCTGCAACGATCGACAAGCTGCCCACAGAAATTCTGTTCTACATATCCGAGTGGTACTCTGTTTGCGTTGCTCCTCTTTCGACTTTCAGCCTCTCCGCTCCGTATGATGAGGACTCTGTACTGCGCGTCGGCCCTGGCATCCACGGGCGCCTGCCAATTTGTGGCGCGAGCGTCCTGCGAGCCGTTTCACGAAGGTGGTGCGTTTTGGCTGACGCATCCTCGTCACTCTGGGCGACGATCTTCCTATACCACCCATCGGACTTTGGGATCCAGCAACTCACCAAGTATCTCGACCGCGCTGGTCAACGTCCCATGACGCTTCACTTTACCGAAGAACTATGCAGCAAGGCCCCTGTCGCCTCGATCCAGTCCCTGGTCTCGATCCTGGCAGATGAACGCTATATCCTGCGCTGGAAGGAGCTGGAAATGTCCTTTCAACACTCGCAGCCAGAAGTGTCTCTCGAAGCTTTCGCACACTTCTTCTCAGCAGCCCGATCCCCGACCAGCCTCGAACGCTTTGCCCTTCGAATTGGGTCCCTTGTCCCATATATGTTGGAAGAATGTCATACCAATGCTCTCAGGGCCATCTGGACAACAGCACTTACCCGCGCACCCAATCTGAAGGCAATTGACTGCACTGGTGCCTTCCCCCTCCTGCCCCCCGTCCCGACTAACTCTTTGCGGCGTCTGCGGCATATAGTGACCGATTGCAACGTCGATGATGACTCCTCTCCGTTGAGAAATTTAATGGCCCTGCTGACAGCCTGTCCAGAGCTTGAGGTACTCGACATCGTTGATCTTGTAGAGGATTCAGCCGCGTACGACAAGGGGTCTGCCATCGCGCCCGTGGTCAACAAACACCTCCACACCTTCCGCGCACGCGCATGCTGGATACCTCCTGTCTTTGCATCCCTCGTGCGTATGCCCTCCCTCAGACGCCTCGATCTCGTCGATGAGTGCGTAATTGAGAGCAAGACATTGTGTGAATGGTTGTATTTCTCGCACGCGCGCCTAGAAATGTTGCACTTGGAAGAAACGGAGGGTGTGGACGGTCCCAGTCTGGGGAAAGCTGTGAACCTTGTTGACGTTGATATTCTGAAGGACTTGCGCGTGCTGTGTATCACAGTCCCATGGTGGGACAGACACTTACCCAAGCCAATTCTCGGGCTTTACATCGATGCCTGCCGTTCCAAGTCTGTCACCGGGTATCTTGACTTCGAGCAGGCTGTTGATGCATACCTGACAGGGACGCATCAAAGCCATGAGTGATACCGTACCTCCATTCGGATGCAATGGTTGCATGAAATTGCACATCGGGTGACGACTCTCAGGGAAACCAGAGGGCTGTATGAATCCCATAATCATATGAAGGCAGTCAGAGCGGAGCCAGCTGAGAGGAAGGGTCCGGGGAAGGAGGCAGCTTGCGCAGATGGACTCAAGTCGACAGTGCTTGTAGCAATTCCCAATATATCGACCGCGACGTCGCGACGTCGCGTACAAGCATGGATAGTATGGCACAAATGACAATATATTGTCTCCAAATCCTAAAGGAATATAAGCCGTGCGAGCTCGAACAGCACTGCGGAACGTCGTTAGCTTCCTTCCCCAGTCCATAGTTCCAAGCCACGCACCTCCCCCCATGACAACAAAGATGATAATGCCCAGTGTCCATGTCGATACAGGGCTCTTTTTCGCGAGCTTATCCTGCCTGGAAGCGTGTGTGGGCTTCTTCCCTGAACGCGCTGCAGCTGCGAACTTCGCGTTCCGCTGACGGATTTCGAATTCGGTGGGCTGGGTAGGGAATCAGAAACGAGTTTTGGGGAGAGATACAGTTTCCCTTACCATGATGAGGGGGAAGTACACGGGAAACGAATGGACAGGTGCGTGCGAGCTGGGATGGAGTGCTGAAGTGAAGGTGCGCTAACGTGGCGGCGCGTGTTCGCGTTCTGGCCTACCGGGCCGGATATTCCGGTGCTGGATCTCGGCCCGATGCCTCCGCTCCGAGGATTGACTTTCGACCAGCGATCATGGGGAAATCTTCGAAGGCGGGAAAGGGCCTCAATTCGGCTCTTCAGGCCCAGCAGTCGCGTTTGCAGAAGAAACAGCAAGCGGAGAAAGCTGCACAGGTCGCTGAGCAGCGCAGTAAGACGCAGAAGAAGGGCGGTGGAGGCGCGATCAAGAGCAAGGGGAAGGGGAAGGCGCCAGCGCGGCGTCCGACGATCCCCTTCCGCGCGACGGATACGATTTTGCTCATTGGGGAGGGCAACTTTTCTTTCGCGAGAGCACTGGTCGTAGACGCGCCGGGGGACCTCGCGCAGTTACCCTCAAGCAACATTACCGCAACGGCGTACGACTCGGAGGAGGAATGCTACGCCAAGTACCCAGATGCAGAAGCGATCGTGTCCGACTTGCGCGAGCGGGGCGTGCATGTCTTTTTTGGTGTCGACGCAACGCGTCTGGACAAGACCTCTGGACTGAAGAATAAGAAGTGGGACAAGATCGTCTGGAACTTTCCCCATGCTGGTGCGTGTGCTTTACGCGTTTCCTGATCGCGGCTGACACTGGGTTGAGATGGTAGGTAAAGGCATCACAGACCAGGATAGAAATATCTTGTCGAATCAGACCTTGATACTGGGCTTCTTGCGCTCGGCGGGGAAGCTGCTGCGCCCGGGACCAGCGCCGCAGGTGCATACGGCTCGGAAGAAAAAGAAAACGGAGGACGATGAAGAGGATGAGGCACCTGCGTCCGAAGACGAGGACATGGATGGCGACTCCTCCGACCCATCAGCTACACGGGGGACCGTGCTCATCACGCTGCGAAACGTCGTACCGTACACCCTATGGTCAGTCGTACACCACCTTCCGTTGAACTTGCGACTGACCTGGGTTTAGGGACGTGCCACGATTAGCGAAGACTCCGCCGCCCCCAGCTAGCTCGTCTATGCCACCGAATCCATCATATACGTTGCTACGATCCTTCACCTTCTATCGGTCCACATGGAAAGGCTACGAGCATCGGATGACCAAGGGTGAGCGCGCTCACGGCTCGGGGAAGACAGGCGAAGGAGGCGAGGACAGGACATGGGAGTTTTACCTGCGAGACTGACCATTTGCTTTCCCACTCTGTATGCTTCGCATGTAAAGTATTGACGCGCCACTGCAACGGGACGTTAGATCTCCACAATTTGCACCGTCTATTTCTCTGCAAGGGATGTATGTCACGGTCACGGTTCGACTGGCAAATCCGGACCGGGATCGGTGATGGCATGCAACGGGGCGAGCGAGTGACCGATTGCTGTAATCTTGCCTTCTACACTCGTACAGAATCGAGCGACATAGCTGCCCCTTCAGCTCATCTTTCACGATGCCTCCACAACGAACGACAGCGGCCGAGTCTTCGACTAGCCCTGGTGCGCCCTATGCCCTGGCGCTGCTCTCCGAGTACACGCACACCCTCGACTGCCTCCCCCTCGACATCTCTCGCAACTTCGCGGACCTCCGCGAGCTCGACGCCGTCCTCTCCTCCTCCATGAACTCCCTCACGTCCAAGGTACAGCGCCTGACCGCCATGATCGAGGCCGGCCCCTCCACTTCCAAGGCCGATCGCCTCTACCTCCTCTCCGATATCGCTGAGGAGGCGAAGCGCCTGAAGCTCGGCGGCGAGGACAAGATCCGCGTCGCGTGCCAGGCAGCGGACAACCTGGCGGCCCACAAGCAGCACCTGCGCATGCTGGCCGAGCACATCCCGGACTTCGATGCCAGGCGGCTGGTGCGGCGCACGACGTTCCCGCATGTGACGAAGAAGCGGTTCCTGCCGCCCGATATGATGAATGGGCGGAGGAGGGCACGCGCGGGGCTGGGGGTGATCATGGATGTGACGGGGGAGCCGACGGTGAAGCGGCCGGCGAAGAAGGTGGTGCGGGACGACGACTATGAGGCGCGGTCGCCGAAGAAGGGGGACGCGAAGGCGCGGGCGAAGACGTTGAAGAGGTGCGCGGCAAGAAGTATCCGAATATTGGCTTTTCTGACGCTCGATTGCAGTCAACGTGCCGTCTCGCCGACTGACTCTCTCGTGTCTGTCACATCGCACCCTCCCCCTCCCCCAGTCCCGATCACGAACTCTCGGTCCGCAGGGCCCAAGAACGGGAACTCCAGCCGCCGTGTAGCGCGCAACAGTGCGCGCGACGCATCTGTCCAGCCTACGGACAAGACGCCAAGTCGCCCACCTTTCCCTTTCGTGTCCTCGCACCCCTCTATCCGGCCGGATGGTCCTATACGCTCACCGCTATCGCAAGCAGGGTTCCCGGCCAGCCCTGCACCGAATGCTAGTCACGACGAAGCCGAAGAAGGCGCCACGGACGAGGACAAGAAGGTCTATTGCTACTGTCAGCAGATCAGCTGGGGGGAGATGATCGGATGCGAGAATGAAGAAGACTGTCCAAGGCAATGGGTGAGCATGCTCGTAAAATACCGCTTGATTATAGGCTCATGGACCATGCAGTTCCACTTATCGTGCGTAGGCTTGTCCGAGGTGCCGACGGGGGACTGGTGGTGCAAGGAGTGCAAAGCGCAAGCTCCTGTAAAACGGAATCGGCCCGCGAAGAAGAGGAACGGCAGGGCGAGATGAAGGTGCTTGATCCGAACGCGTTTCCTGCCTGTCTGTACGCCATACTCATGTTGTACCCCTGTATTATTGCTCGCTGTATAATATCTGCCCGCGCGGCTTGACGAAATTTGGATCGACTAACCTGTTGCAGACGAGTTGGCGCTCCGAGGAATGGGGTGTATACAGTACGCGACGCACAAGCGAGTAGACCTATGCCGAAGGACCAACCTCCTGCTCCTCCAAGCTCTTCTGCAACCCCTGCAACGTCCGATGCAACTTCCCTCCGCTCGCCTCGCTGAGAACCATCGCAAGCTGGCTTGCTGGCGCCGAGAGCAAGCCGATGAGCTGCGCCTGTAGTGTGCGCAGCGGCGGCAGCTGGGAGACCTCCTTCAACCGTGGCGCAGCGAGCATCTGGCCGTCTATCATCGCGCCCAGCAGCCTGATCTCCGGTATGCGGATTGGACGCTGGCGCTTCGCCCTCCTTCCTGGTGTCGCGGGGTCTGCGTTCTTCGCGGCCTCCTCCGCCTTCAGCTCCTCCGGGGTCTTGGGTGGTTTCGGGGGGAAGTTGCGGTCGAGCGCGCGCATGACAGCGCTCAACTCTGGCGGGTCGAGGGATGCGAGGGAGAGTACGCCAACGGGGCCAGAGACACCCTCCGTGATCTGCTGCACGGTGTCGAGGTTGAGGTTGGGGTAGTCTCGCAGAGCCGCGCCGAAGATGCTCGAGCGCACGGCGGTGAACGTTGGCGTCGGACGTGGCGGAACGTCCGGCGCAGGCTTGTGCACGCGGCGCGAGGCCTCGATGATGTCCTGGCGCAACTTGACGAGCTTGTCCGCGCGGAACTCGAGGAAGTTGAGGACGAGGAGGGGCGACGTGTGGGAGGCGGCGAGCATCTCGGTGTACCACTGGAACTGGTCTGCCTTTTTGCCGCTGAAGGTGCGGCCGGGCATGGGGTACTTTGGCGGCGCGACGGAGATGGCCATCCCGCGCGTCTGCGTCCAGCTCAGCCGGCTGCACGACGCCTGCGCGGCGCGACACGCTCCCTGCATTTTCGCGCGTAACGGTGAACGGAGGTGCGTTGCGGTCAGCTCGAAATTCCGGCCGATCTCCCTCGGCGCACATCGGGCCGGCGGAACGTGCTTCGGCAACTGCCGTCATCGCTTGTTCTCAACCACCACCTCGCACCTGGACTCTTAGCCTGTTTGCCGACTCTCGCTTCCGCATGCATTCGGTTTCGCTTAATCATGTCTCTCCAAGTCAACAAACCATTCTCTGCCTGGCGAGACTATGTCTGACTCTGGCTTCTTTGAACTGCCCTTGGACGCTCACTACTTGCTCTCAAATACTCGAAGAGGACTAGTTGACGTCGTCAAAGACATGGCGTGTTCGTCATAGATACTTCATGCTCATGAACAATAAATACGTAGTCCGTCTCATCTACCCCGTGAATCCCTCAGCAAGTCCCCTCGTTGTCGATGTCGACGTGCTTGCCGTCGGGGACGTCGTCCGTGTTGTAGTTGTACCTAGCCCGAGGTGAGTCTTATGGTCTTCACAACGACGATAACTGCTGAGCTTACCAGATGTAATGCCCGTTGAAAGAGTAGCCGTAGTTGATACGGATGCGGTCGCACTATGGTACCGTCAGCATCGAGTCTGAGTCAGCTGTGCAAAGCGCTTACCGTCGTCTCGAGATGGCAGCCGTCTGCGCCGCCGCCTGGCGGGCAGTTGATGAGGTTCTGCGGGTTCGTCGGGTCCGTCACGTCGCGCTTCTCAGCGTTGGTGACCGCGGCGGCGGCGAAGCCGAAGAAGAGGGCGGGGGCGACAGCGAGGGAGAAGCGCATCGTGGCTGAGAGGGTTGGTGTGAGGTGATGAGTGTCGTTGGGCGGTAGCGAGTACTGAAGATATGAGGTTTCTTTCCTCAGCTTTTATACGAGCACGTTCGACCTTTGCTCGCTTACCAGAGACAAGGCATGGTAAGCATGAGTCGGTACGGCTATGTTGGCTCCATAAAGCGCTCACTGCTTGCCACAGCACAAGACGGTCAGCTGGATAGTTCGCTTCATCCTCGTCGATTGCCCAAACCCGAGGAGTACGGACGGATTTGTCTCTCGACGACAAATGGAGGGTGCGTCGAACGCCAAGGCCTGCTGCACGCCTGCCTGCAACGTGATCGTGGTGGAGCCCATCCTTTCCAGCGAGCGATTTGTGGCGGCGTCGCGCACCGCTCGCTCGAATAGGGATCAATATCTTCAAGTCGGAATGAAGTTTCATGCGCTTCCCGTGACGAAGGGAGTATTTGCGCCTGTTTGTCACCTCCTTCTGTGTCCAGTGTGCTCGCTGAATGACCAGACATTGCCGGCTCTGCCACAATGGAAGTACCAGCGCAAATTACCTCCAATGAAACTCCCTCGCCCGTTCAAAAGGCTCCACAGTCCCCAACACAGCTGTCCGAGTTCTTCGGCCTCGCCTGCAGCAAGCGGGCGCTGACTGGTGAGCGCCTTGGCTGACGAAGAGCACTGTCGCGCCTACAGGCCTCTCCTTCCCTCATATAAAAGGACGCCACTTTCGCTTCCTTACCTTCTCCATCAGCCTCGGACACCAGACCAGCAGCCTCACGCACTCTTACCTTCAGCAACCTTTTCACGACCGCAATGCGCGCCTTCACCCCCATTGCCGCTCTCGTGTCCCTCGCTGCCTTCGCCGCCGCGATCCGCAACCCGGACAACCCCCAGGACCCCATCAACTGCCCGCCCAGCGGCGGCGCGGACCTGTGCTCGAAGGAGACTTCGGTGAGTGGACTTTGTGGCAACTCCTGGGTTTTGTGGCCCTACTCTGTCGCCGTTCGCTGACTTGTCCTTTCTTAGTGCAACAACCGCATCCGTATCAACTACGGTCAGACCGAGAAGGGACACTACATCTGGTACTTGTGCGTGCATTTCTAGCAGCTCTCGCTTTCTCGTATACTAACGAGTTATCCAGAAACGACTACGACCCGAACAACCTCCCTCAGGGTATCACCATTACCACGGACACCGTTGGGACGTGCTGAACGACCCGATATGATTGCTGCGAGGTGGAGGATAGGATTACGAAGTGGACCTCTCGGATGACGACCTATTTATCTATGCGGTTCGTTGAAGCCGGTGATATGATGCAATTTTTGGCCTTTTCTCGACAAACTTTCTGGCTTGAATTTCCCATTCCTGAAGTACCGTATCTCTATTCGATTGCCGGTGTTGTTGAGGAAAGTCCATAAGATCGGCATCTGCCGCACGTCCTTTGATGGCGCCAGATCAAATGTGACTCTTGTCCCATTCTGTCACCACAGCGAGTGCAGCCCATGCCTGTAAGCGGCGAAGACCGTTGAAAAATCGAGGAATCCATGAACGAAGCTTCTCAGCGTACTACGCAGACTGAGCAGAACACGCATAGTGACTCTCCGAAGAGAATTGCGTCGCGGAAAATATAGAGTATACTCGCATACATCCCTCGTTCTTACTGCAGCCTCCCTCTGACCCCACTTCCCCCGCCGTTACTGATGGAGAGCACCATTTGTCTCCTCCTAATTTCCTCGGCCCTTTAGCAAGTACCCTGGTTGTCGATCTCGATGCGCTTGCCGTCGGGCACCGAGTTGATGTTGTAGTTGTACCTGCACGATCCCGAGGTGAGCAGCCCAGCTCAGCGCGGCTTCGGGCAAGCATCGTTCGCAACTCACCAGATGTAGTGCCCGTTGAAAGAGTAGCCGTAGTTGATGCGGATGCGGTCGCACTGTGTGGGCGTTAACACTGGACTCTACATGCGACGAGACTCGAAGAAGTGCTCACCCTCGTCTCGAGATGGCAGCCGTCGGCACCGCCGCCGGGCGGGCAGTTGATGAGGTTCTGCGGGTTGGTGGGGTCGGTGACGAGCGCCTCGAGCTCGGTGGCGTTCTTGGCGACGGCGAGGCCGCTGAGGAAGGCGAGGGCGATGGCGAACGAGAAGCGCATCTTGTCGACGGTTTGGGTGAGTTGGTAAGTGCCGGTGAGTGTTGTTGGACTTGCAAAGAATGCTGAAGCTGACCTCCTTTCGCCTTAGCTTATATACTGATTCTGATTGGCCTTGTTTGTTGGTGAGTTCATGTTCGTGCTGACGATGCTGACCAGACCGGGGTGCAGGTGCGTCGTTTCCCCCTTCTTCTTTGAAATGAAGCGCGAACTCCTCGGCAGCTAGGTCTCGGAAATGACGGGCACATCCTCGCGAAGCATTCATTATGCGATGAAGAAGGCGACCAGTACGGGGATGACTTCGTGCGAGGCAATGCCTGACCATGCGAGGCGCGACGCTTGACTCTCGCCGAAGCACAGTATGAGTCTGACACTAAAGGACTCCTCCCGCTTGCTGACGGTTTAGAGAGCACGAGGAGTGGTCAGGTGCCTTTTATGGCCACCCATCTGTCCAATAATAGTTCCTCTTGGATACCTTCCTTCAAGCCGCTAACGGTAGGATTTCTTTGGCTGATGAGATATTCTAGTTGCCGCCATAGGCGTTTTCACGCCGCTCATGAGTCGATAGACTTGGTCAGCGGGGACAAGAAGATGCCCGATGTTGCAGGCCTTCGCTGAAGGGCTTTTGCCGTCTCATGCCCGACGCACTTACCCGGGGCCCTATATGCCAGTAAGGTCTCATATGCTAGCCACTGAGCAGCTGAGTATCGAGATTCGAGATAGGAATCGGCGTGCCTGTCAGGGATCCTCGACGAGAACTGCATCGGGCGTGTAAGCACTGGGTAAGCAGCCCGTGAACCCCGATCTCGCTTCCCGATAATGACGGCTCGATCAGGAAGACGGTTAGCCGTTCGTGCGCCTGCTGGACAACATTGAGAAACAATGGGCATATAAGAGCTGGTCTGGGATTCACCTCTACAGCAGCTTTTTGCAGCATCTTCGCCTTCGCCTTCGACTACGCAACTCGACATGCGTTCTTTCACTACCATCTCCTTCGCCCTGCTCTCTCTCGCTGGCTTCGCAACTGCGATCCGCAACCCCAACAACCCTGCGGACCCCATCAACTGCCCTCCCAGCGGCGGCGCAGACAAGTGCTCGAAGGAGACCACTGTGAGTGCTTTGTCTCGAGACATAGCAGCGTCGTAATATCCCCCAGTGCAACAATCGCATTCGTCTCAACTATGGCTCGCGCCAGCAGGGGCACTACATCTGGTACCTGTGAGTGCTGCGCTGTTTACCTCGTTGACTAGAGACTTACTAGATTGTAGGAACGACTACGATCCGAACAACCTTCCGCAGGGCATCATCATCACGACGGATACTGTGGGCACCTGTTAAGGAGAGGAGCAGAGACTGCCTATGTCGAGGCAGCATATGTAGTCGAAGGAGGCCGCTAACGTTGGTTTTCAGTACCAATGAAATTCTGTTGGGGTGATTGAGGGCGTAGTGCGAAGAGTGATTTGAGTTTGTCTTCCTCGGCACCTGCCGGAGTCGGGCCGCCTCCCTGACGAGCGCAGCTCGCGCGTTCACCTCTCCTATAATCGTAGCCATCGCGATTCGTTTCTGTGATACTGTGGCCTCTCGATCGTCAGTTGCATTCGACGTCAAGCAAGGATCGGCATTTGCCGATCGTCCTTAGGGCCTTGGCTTCGGACTCAAAAGCGGCGCTCATGTTTGGACCGCGGCCACCCTTTACCCTAAATGCTGAGGCATCGTCGCCCAGTCACTGCATATAGTGACTAGTGCTCGGCCTTATAAGGCTCATAGCAGACACGGCGTAGAAATACAGCAAATACTGCCACAGGAAAGGGTAGTACAAAAAGACGAAGAGCGGACAGCGCGTAAACTAGAACCATAAATCATATAAATAAGCATGCAATTGTCCTGGATCGCACAGCGATGATGAAGTCGTAGGTACGGAGGTCGTAGTCGTGGAAGTGTCCGTGATGTCATGGCCGTACGGCTGCGCTCAGAGCAGCAGCGATGGCGAAGTAGCTCTCGGCAGAGGGCAGAGGGTGCGAGCGGCGTGGCGCAGCTGTCATACAAGGTAACAGCGCAGTCTACGCCTTCGCGCTCTTCGAGCGTTTGGGCCACATGGAGGTCGTGAGCGACGACGACGAACGCGAGCGCCCCGTGGACGCGGACGACGGCGTCGAGCCCGTCGCCAGTGCGGCGTACATGGTATACATCTCGCGCGGCGGCTGGTGGAAGGGGCTGAACGCGTGTGGCGAGGTCGTGCCCGAGGGGAACAGGCCGATCGAGGGGAAGTTGGTCATGATGGCGGATGAGGTGGAATGGGAGGATTGGGTAGGGTGTTGAGTGTCGACGGGATTAGGCTCAAGCGCGGATGATGGTGGGGCGCGAGCACGGGTGAGTCGAGCAGAGTGGGATGAGTTTATGCAGAGACCAGGTCGACGAGACGAGTTGGCTTCGGGTGATTCAAGAAAAGCGGGCGCGGCGAGGAAAGAATGTCGTGGGCGGGCGGCGGCGGTTATGCGCGCCGAGAGTGTTGAGAGGAAGTAACAAAAGAAGAGTGAGAAGAAGAGACGCGCAGCCTGGCGCTTAGATAGAACTACAATGCACGAGGGTGGTGCGAGAGGAAAGGCAGTGGGGGGAGAGCGTTAGAGGACAGGCACTTTAATAAAGCCAGGGAGTACAGTGCGGAGTAATCGTGCCATACAATAAGGAGTACTTTTTATTGTGCGGAAGAGCTGCTTGACAGGCGGATCTGGGACGTATATCGGCGCAGCATCACGCTCTTCGGGTGGGCTCGACCAGAGAACAATAAGCTAGTCACCTGAGTTCGTCCTAGTTCGTCGAAAACAAGAGAATTGGGGTGTACACGAGGGATGTAAGAGCGCATGGCTCTTGGCGCCCGCTTGCAAGTATGCGTCGTCGCGCAAAGACAAGACCGATAACTTCCTGATGAAGGAAGGAGGAGAAAGCCATGCAAGAATCAAACATGTCAACAGAAGTTCAAAAACGTGCTTCCGGTCCGATGTGCCGTTGCTCCCACGCCCCTAAGACGCGATCGCGCGCGTGTATTCCACTTGTCTTCATCCCTCAATAGCGCTCTGCATACCTGGATCACAATGTCAGAATTTCTTCCATATCCATATGTCTGAAAACGGAATCTTATGGCTTCCTCAGGGATGAAGAAGATGAATTCTTGTACGGACCTTCCACGACAAGTGCGCCTGGTAAGCAGCGTTTCCACCCTGGGTTCGGTTCAGTGAGCCTCATGAAGTGCCCCTCTTCCTTGTCTCTTCTTTCGGCATAATAAAACGTCCTGACCGATGCTATGATATGCTTACTCAATGCTTACAGCCCCACCACCGTGAGTGAAGTCCACAAAGAAGTATCTCAGACGCTGAAGCCGTCCCAGTGCCGCACCTGCAAGCGCCGCTCCCAGCAACAATGTCGTTGCGAAGCTCGAAGCGGAGGCAGATGCTCAAGAAGAAGCCACTCCAGGACTCGACGGAACGCCAGGACTGGACGCGCCACAGCAAGATGCGCAAGAAGCACAGTCCCGCGAGGACAGTGACGAGGAGATGGACAGCGAGGACGAGGATGTGCGTTGAGATTCTTCTGCAATTGCATTCATACTGACTACGTGCAGGATGTAGAAATCATCATGGAAGCGCCGGTGCCACGGTCGCTGGATCTGAGGTGTGTTCGCTCCATCTTCATTCGAGGCAGCAATTAACGACATTTACCAGACAACAAAACCGAGGAAGGTCATACGTGAACCCAGCTGCCAACAGGAGCAGTACGTCTCCACAGACAACCTCTACTTCCTTTGTTCTTTTGTTGAAGCCCCACAGCACCCACAGGCCAGAATCCCTCCCTCACCACCGAGTACCAACCCATACAACGCGGGGCCACCACACCATCCACTCAGCCCCCTGCCCCTCAACCGATCCCTCAATCATCATCTACACCCGCACCCTCCGCAAGCGCCCAACCAACCGCTACCACCCCCGCGCAGCCCAAAGACGAACCTAAAGATGACGGCGTTGACCCGAACACACTTCCCCCTGCCACCCGAGCTGACTCCCAGCCCGAAATCGACCCCGGCGCAGTCGGCATCTTCGAGGGCCGCCCCATCATCGACCTCGACCTCGCCGCGCTCGCCGACAAGCCCTGGCGCCGCCCGGGCGCGGACCTCTCCGACTGGTTCAACTACGGCTTCGACGAGATCAGCTGGGAGGCGTACTGCTACCGCCGGCGCGACCTCGGCGAGCTCGCGGACGTGCTCAAGGCGAACGTGCTCAACTTCAGCGGCATGCCCGAGGACCAGCTCACGCAGCTGCCGCCGGAGGTCCGGCAGATGGTCATGACGGGGACGAACGCGCTCATGAACAACGCGGCCGCGGGCGGGGGCATGATGCCGAACGCGGGGATGATGATGGACATGGGCGGGATGATGGATATGGGGATGGGAGGCGGGGGTATGGGAGGGATGGGCGGTGGGGGCATGGGCGGTATGGGCGGCATGCCGATGGACCAGCAGCAGCAGCAGGGCGCGGCGCCGAAGCAGGAGTTCGAGGGCATGGAGGGCGGCATGGGATACGGGATGGGGATGGGCATGGGCGAGTACGGCATGCAGGACCAGCAGCAGATGCAGCAGCAGATGGGCGGGCAGATGACGCCCCAGATGACGGGGCAGATGAACCCGCAGATGCAGCAGCAAATGGGTGGGCAGATGCCTTTCCAGGGTATGGAGGGCCCGTCCCAGAGTCCGCCAGTACCAGCCGCAGGGCGTGGGGGACCGCCGCCTTTCCGCGGACGTGGATCGTTGCGCGGACGCGGAGGGTTCGCGGGTCGCGGGCGTGGTGCTCATGGTGCGCGATCCTTATTTCTTCATTCTCTAATGCACAACTGGCTAAGATCGCACATCAGTGCCAACACCTCCCGTCCGCTCAACCTCGCCTTTGCCACCCAACGTCCCAACCGGCCCCCGCAACCAAAACAAGTACAAAGACCGGGACAACAACGCCCAGTCTGTCGACGGCCTCGATTATGGCGGCGGCGCCTCCGCCCGCACGCAAAGTCGCGAGCCAGACGAGAGGGCGTAAGTCACCCAACATCATGTCTGCGTACACCTGTATTAATTTTCGCAAGTTACAGGAAGCGCCGAGCGTCCCCGAACTACGACGACTCTCGCAGCTCTTCCAAGAGGCGGTAGACTCACTGTAATTGCTTGTGCTGTACCTTACACCCGATGTCATCTTGGTGCCCTGCAAGCCTGATCTTCGCCTGGTCAACTAAGCTCCCACGACGCTGCCTATGAACCCGTTGCTCGAATAACCAGGATCAGTTGGTAAATTACAGATTGCCAATGCGTGGTGAAAGCAACTATGCGGATCATAAATAAGGTAGACCGATGGCAGAGAAGAGAGGAGAAGAAAAAAGAGACGAGCTATGTATGCGCCGGAAGAGCGAGCTATGCGACTATTGCTAGTAACGACCGATGATGATTTGTCCACCGTTGAGAGTTTGTCCAAGCGGGGAGCGTAAGGAGCGAGGGAGCGAGTACGACTGCGACGGTTGTGTGGGTGTATGGGTGTATGGGGCGACGATGTGTACGGGTGTACGGATGCGATGGTGAGTGTACGAGGCGGTGGTGTGGGCGGGTACATTCATGTGTATGCAACAGACAGCGGGTTGCAGGAGGAAGGTGAGGATGAGATGCGTGCGGCGGGGATGAGGAGCGCGGACACGGGAGGATATTTTGGGTGGAGCGGCATGCAGGGATGAGGGAAGCACTACTATCCAGAGGACTGCGATTAGTATAAGTGGATAATGATACGGCGGACGTGGTCGTCGTGTCTCGTGGCAGCGGGTCGTCAAGTCGTCAACAGAAAGGGCAAGGGGAAAGACAGGATCAGGTCGCAAAGGATCCTCGCCTATAGCAGCGCGGTCGCGTCCTTGCCCTCCTTGACCAGGCCCGCCCACGTCCGCCTCCACTCCGCCATGCTCTGTCGCAGCTTTGTGTCCGCGAGCATCTTGGACATCCAGTTCAGCAGCGCGTCCTCGTCCTCGGGGACGAAAAACGAAGAGAGTAGCGAGAGGATGCTTTCGAAGGAAGCCCCGGGCGCGACGATGTGATCCCGGAATACGCGCACGACGGCTGCAGCAAGAATCACCCACACGTCACGCCCCTCTAGCAGCCAGCAGTCCCAAAGGCGGAGCACCGTCTGGAAGGGGAGGCTGGTGACGAAGAGGGTGATGTACCATTTGGTGGCGTAGGCGGTCGTGCCAACGCCCTTGTCGCGGAGCGCGGCGTAGACGTCGGGCATGGTGGTCTGCATGATGCGCTCCTGGACGTAGATAGCCTCGAGCAGGCCAGGGAAGCCGGGCGCGAACATGGAGTGCAACGAGTACGCAGGTGACGAGTGCATGAAACAAAGCAGGGTGTAGACGGTGGATGGAGGGAGGTGGAGGAGTAGTGTTGATGCTATGGGGCCCATGCCTTGAACGTAGCCACATGTATCGCAGTACAGCGAGAATGAGTGGAGGACGTGGAACAGTGCTCTTTGACTGGGGAGTGTGTTAGGCTTTGGACTAGCACTACTTGCAGACACACGTACCCAAAGCCATATCGTGTCTTGAACATAACGTGTCCACCAATCGTCCTTGGCACATCCAAATCGATCTGAATGTCGTAGGACGACGGCTGCTCGAGCTTCTCCAGGTAAACCGACTGCAATCTCTTCATCTCGGCCTCCACCTGCCGCTCGCCCCCGAACCCAGGATGACCTTCGCCCAGACCAGCCTTGCATACAGCCCTCCGCACGAGAATGACCCAAGTCGCGCTTCTCCACCGATCAGGGACACCCTTGTACACGCGCCGCTTCAGCTTCTTCTCGGAGACGCCCTCGCGAATGCCCCAGGTCTCGATGTTCCCGCCCTCGTCGCGTGTGAGCGGGACGACCATACGACCCCATTTCTCTAGCCGAGGCACCTCCTTCGTCAAGGGCTGCGGGGGTGGTAATGATGACAGTGAGGGTGGTGCTGGAGGCGGGGGTGCGTTGTTGTTCTTCGAGGCAGCAGCGAAGGCCGATGGTGCGGAGCCCGCATCCACGGTCGCGGGCGCGATCATCTTCAGTGGTTGCGATAGTGGCGCCGCAGGCATCTTGACGAGCCGCTCGTGCGCACCCGATTCATAGAAGCCATACCGGTCGAGCGTCTGCAGGACGGCGCGCTCCTTGTCATCGAGATCCTTCTTCTTCTCGTCGACGTCAGCGATCGCCTGCGCGGCGTCCATCTGACTGTTGCGACTGCTGCCTACACGCGCACGTGTGCGCTCGACACCCTCAACGAAGCCGTCGCCCTTCACGCCACAAAGATCGAGCAGCGCGTACGTATGTCGTACGTGGAACGCGTCCGGGTCCTCGTTCGGGTGCGGCGTTGGCGTCTTCAGGGGGCCTGAGTGCGTGAGCGAGGCGACGCTCCGGGAGAGGTTGGTCATGGCGCTCAGTGAGTGCTTGCGCGTGATGGTGGGCATGCGGGCGGCTGAATGGGGGGAGTTGGGTGCGGATGAGGAGGTCATGGAGCTCGTGCTCGGCTGGTGTGGCGACAGAAGTTCATTGGAAGGTCGAGGGGAGGGTGTGAATGACGATTCGAGCGTCGAGCCGGTGTGTGTCGGTACGGGGGACTGCTCCTCCGCAGCCGAGTTCACTGCATCGTCTGACGATGACCGTATCGTGACCTGCGGGACGAAGCCGTTCCGCTGCTGGCGCCCGTACGACGTCGGTTCCACTGAGAGCGATCCATCGGCGGAGACCATGGCCTTCGTCGACACCTCAACGACTCCATCGTATACGTCGTCCGAGTGCATACTGAGCTCGCTGATTCTGTTGCTGAGCCGCTTCGTGTACGATATCCGTGGGTTATCCGCGGACCCTGCGCCGTCCGCGTCGCCGTCTTTGCCCTCGCCGTACATGGAGTAGATGGAGAATATGGTCGTCTCAGACGATGTGGGTGCGTGATACTGGTAGGAGGAGCGGGAGGAGCGCGCGGACGCGACGGTGACCGTTGTTCGTGGGGATACCGACGACGAGCGCGGCGGGAACTTTTCGACGTCGTACGGGGTCGGCGGGACGAGAACAACTGAGGGAGCGGCCATACGGCTCAGCCGGCGCCGACGACGATGGTGGGGGGAGGAGGCAAGGAATAAAGGCGGCGGAAGCGGAGGTAAACGAGAAGGCACTCGGGTGGCGAAGTGCCGATTCCAAGTCGAGGACGCTGTGTGACGCTGTTCTGCCTTATATGCCGCTGGAACAAAGGGGCAGGCTGCAGAGAACAAAGCAGAGACAGCGACGCTCGCGAAGAATGGCGGAGCAAAGCAAAGGAATGATCCAGCGCGCCTCGAGGTCAATTGTCTCAATTACTTCATACGCCCGGCCCGAGGTTGCTCTCCGGTCTGCGCACTCACGCTCAGACCGTTTCGAGGCTCACAACAGCCCGAAAAGCACCACGAAAGAATCGCAACCGGGTTGCGAGGGTGCTGCTACCACAATTAGACTCCCCGACGGCCGCATGCCACGTCTTTTCCTCGACATTGGACTTGTCGAAATGAAGCCATCGAACGTCAAGTTGGAAGTACACACCCAGAAAAGGGTAGAGTGGCAGGAAGTAGGACAGGAAGTAGTAATCGCGGTAGCGAAGTAAAGCCAGAGTTCCGTCATGCTACATGTGCAAGGAAGCCTCCAAGACCCAACAGTCAGTCCAAAAGTATTATACAAACATTCCAAGCTAAAGCTCGGGCTGCTACCAAGACGCACCCTGGCCAACACCGAGAGATGGAATTATACCAAGTGGATCCTCGTCCAAGCGCGCCTAGTCGGATAGTTCAGCAGCTAGATCCTCGTCATCCAACAACCCCGACGCGTATGCCTGCCAGCAAGTCAGCCAGCGTCGACGCGTCAACCGCACGCCACCCACCTCAAGCTCCTGACTGGAAAGCTCGACAGCAGCCACCTTGCACGCCGTCCGCGGCGGATCAGGCGAGTTGATCTCGTTCAGCAGCTCCTCCTCATCGTCCACGAAGCAGCCCTCAAAGTCCGCTATGTTCACCTCCTCGGGCGACACCATCTTCCCCGGCGACAGCACTTGCCTCGTCGGCGTCTGCGGCGCGCGCATTGGCGTCTCGGGCGCCTTCGCCAACGTTGGCGAGTCCCACGCCTGGTGCTGCCCGCTACTGCGCCGCTGCCCACTCGAATCCACGCGTTGGAACTTCGTCCGCGAGTCCGGGGTACCCGGCGTCCCCGCAACCTCTACCGGCGCGCGCCTCTTCTCGGCGATCTTCTCTTCCACCGCAGCGATTCGCGCGCGCACATCGCGCTCCAGTTGCTCCCAGTTGCGCTCGCCTTCGACGGGATTGCTATACCCTGCCACGGCGAGCCGGTCCGCACCTTCGTTGCCGGGGACGCCGGAGTGCCCTCGTACGTGCTCAAGGCGGACCTTGTGCCCGAGGCGGGAGCGGAACTCGAGAAGGCTGTCGATATACTTGATGAGACCGACATTGAGCACGGGTTCGCCGTTGGCTTTGCGCCAACCGCGATTTCGCCAGTTGGGGATCCAATCGCGGAAGCCTGAGGTGGATGAGCGAGGGAATACCATGGAAATGGAGGAGACCTACACTGGATGGAGTACTTGGAGTCAGTCATGATCTTGAGTGGTCTGTCTCGTTTGTAGGGGAATGTTTCGAGGACGCGGGCTATGGCCTGCACATTCGTTAGCATCTTAGGATGACGAGCATAAATACAGCACTCACGATGAGCTCAGCACGATTGTTGGTTTGGTCCCCAGGACATCTTTCCGACATATTCCTGTAGCACCCAGTCATTAAGCGCCCCCGCGAACTATAACTCCTCGCGCACCTCTCATCACCCACCCCATACCACACGCCCACACCCGCCAGGGAGCCCGGTCTCCCATTCCCCGAGCACGCCCCATCCGTGTAGACCACATCCCACTCGCCCTCACTCCCAGTCTCCGCCTGCATCTCCGACGCCGGCCGCTTCCCCACCGCTTTCGAGGTGCTCGGAGCCGCTGCATTCGGTGTGCTCGGCATCACCGCAGGCTTGAACTTGCTGGGTCCCGGCGTTTGCACAATAGGTGATGCTGAAGCGGGGGCTGGAGTGGCAGGCCCACCGCCGGGACCGTACTGAACGAATTTCTCCGCCTCAGCGCGGGAGAAGAACGCCCTGTAGCGCGCTCCCGGGAAGTTCTTGACTTGAACCTCGCAGTCCGTCCTGAGGGGAAATGCATCTCAGCTAATCATTCCTGCGCGTGTAGACTACACCGCGACGCACCACGTCTCGAATACGCCAGTTTGGGATCCCTTGTGCACCGCGTAGAACTTGGTCCGCTTCGACATCTGAATCTGATCGACGAGTATGGTGGTGCTGGCTTGCGTCTTCTCGTCTTCTATAAGAGTCCCTTGATAGACGGTTGTGTTGCTGCTATATACACGGGAGATATGAGGCGGGCGCAGAGCGCGCCAGATGCGTATCGCGGCGGCCACGATGATGGGAGAGGATAAGCGCGCGAGTCGCGCTGGGGAATCGGAACCGCTCAATTCACGAGTGATCACGGGATCTCGGCAGGTTCCGACGAAGTTGAACTTCGGCCTCCACTCATTCGACTGGTTACGGCGTTCGTATCCTGATCTCGAGATCCTCCAAAATATTTGTGCAGCACGTTCATGATAACAACTTCATCTGACTATATATGCCCACTGCACAATCTATAGCGGCTTCTGCCCGACTCCTTAACAGGTTCCTACGGTGTCCGTCGTGATGATGATGCCCTGCGGGAGGTTGTTCGGGTCGTAGTTGTTCCTACCATGAGAGTAAGTCTCTCGTCAACAAACGAAGTAAGCAGCGCAGTACTCACAAGTACCAGATGTAGTGCCCCTGCTGGCGCGACCCATAGTTGATACGGATGCGATTGTTGCACTGAGAATTGGTTCAGCAATCACAATCATGATTATTTTTCCGACTGTCGCACTCACCCTGGTCTCCTTCGAGCACTTGTCTGCGCCGCCGCTGGGAGGGCAGTTGATGGGGTCCGCGGGGTTGTTGGGGTTGCGAATCGCAGCTGCGAAACCAGCGAGGGAGAGCAAGGCGAGGGAGATGGCGGTGAAAGCATGCATGTCGAGTTCAGCAGCTAACGGCGGGAATGCTGTAGCTAGCTGCTCTGTTGGCGAGGTCCAGGTCAGCTTTTATATGCCTATTGTTTTGCAATGTTGTACAACAGGCGCACAAACCGCGAAACGAATGTTTAATCAGGCCGCCATTATCGGGCAGTGGGATCGGGGTTCACGGGCTGCTTACCCAGTGCTCACACCCCCCGATGCAGTTCTCATCGAGGATCCCTGACAGAGACGCCGATTCCTATCTCGATCCTCAATACTCAGGTGCTCGCTGACTGGAATACTATGAGACCTTGCTGGCATATAGGACCCCGGGTAAGTGCATCGGGCATGAGACGGAAGAGCCTCTGCGCCGAAAGCCTTCGACATCGGGCGCCTATTTCTTCCCTTCTGACCAGGTCTGTGGGTCGGTGAGCGGCGTGAAGACGCCCATGGCGGCAGCTAGAAGTGCTGATCTGTCGGATATTCTCGCCATTAGCTGAGAAGGTATCCAAGGGGATCTAACGTCGGACAGATGGGTGGCCATAAGACGCACCTGACTACTCCTCGAGACCTCGATATTGTGGACAGGGAATGAGTCCTGGGGAGTTCGACACACTCTATGCTCTGGTGCAAGTCAAGCACTGCATCTCACATACTTAAACAGCGCCTTGTACGAAGTCATCCCCGTCCTCGTCGCGTTCTTCATCGCGTAATCGGTTGTCCTCGAGGATGCGCCCCTCATTTCCGAGCTCTAGACGCCGAGGAGATCATACTTTATTCAAAAGAGGAAGGTGGAAACAGCGCACCTACACCCTGGTCCAGTCAGCATTGTCAGCACCAACATCGACTCACAAGCAAACAGGACCAAAAGGATCGAATATAAAAGCCGAGGGGGCTGCAGGTCGGCTTCAGCATCTACTTCAGCCAAATAGCACTCGCTACCGTTGCCCATCTCACCTGAACACCATGCGTCTTTCCATTGCCGTCTTCGTCGCCTTCCTCAGCGGTCTTCATCACCAAAAACACCCCCGCGGCCAAGCCGCTTGAGACCGTTTGAAAATTTGGCAGCTCCTGAAGGCGCTTGAACACTCTTGAGCCTGCTTGAGCCCACTTGAAAGTGCTTGAGGATTTTGGGTCCCATGTCAAGTGTACTCAAGAGGACTGATGGATCTTTGACTACTCACAAGCACCTTCAATCATGGTCTGACTTATTATATTGCATTGGCTCTAAGTACAGTAACCACAAGTAAATAAGGAATTAGTAGAGCATACTCAAGAGGGAAGGGAAGACAGTGGGCCTTCTGTGATAATACAAGTGAATTAACATATTATTACTCTAGAGAGAACTGCATGAGAGCAAGGAGTGAGACCACGCAAACGGGAGAGGCGAGGGCGGCAACAACGGCCGCGCCACTGGACGAGGCGAAGGTCGGCGGGTCGGGCCGGCCTTCCAAAAATCACGTGACTGGCCGGAAATGTTCCGCCCGCAGTCACTTTTCGTCTTGTCTTCGTTGATCACCACTTGTCCGCTCGACGCGCGTCAGCCGCCAGGCCGCGCGCTGTCCTTAGCTCACATCCTCTCGACATTGCTACCGCCTCCACCGCTGCCACCTCTGCTTCGCCACGGCTGACGCGCCCAATGACGCGTCACCAAGGCGACCGCCAATGCAGGTCGCATGCCGGCCACATCGCTGTTGCCGTCATCCCCCGTCCTCACCACCATCCACGTCTACACTGCCGCGCGTCTTCTGGGCGCAGGTGCTATATTCACGCCCACCTCAGCTGCCGCGCGCGCGAGGGCCGATCGCCGGGTGACGTGGCGTGTCCAGGTCGACGCGTGTGTCTACGCGAGAAGTTCGGTACGTCCGGCCTGGCTGGGCTTGCATACACCCGCTGACCGGCCATACACTGTTTCGTCACGCGCGGGCGTGCGAGGACTGGGTGAGCGGGTCGCCGCGCGTGCAGCGGCTCGGGACGGAGCGGAGAGATGCCCGGCAACGCGCAGGACAGCGCGGGGCACGACGTCCGCTCAAGTGTGCCACCCGGCGAGTGCCATGCATCCTGGGCATTTACCTGGGGTGTGCGCCTCGACGGCAGGCGCGCGCGCGCGCGGCCTCGGCGCAAGCTCGGCATTTGCCGAGTGGCGAGCTTTTGAGCCCGCGCCAGCATACGATACGAGGAGCATCGCAGGTACGTGTTCGAGTTCAGGACGTGCTGATGGGTGCGGAAGGTGCAGGCGAGACGTTGAGAGCCTGAGCGGCCCAGACAGGCATTGCGGCATTGGGATGCGCGTGACGACGAGGGTGGGGCGGGCGGTGGATGCGTGGATGAGCGCGGGAATGTGCGCAACTGATGCGCAGTTACCTGGGACATGCTGGATGTGGCGGGACGTGCGCGCGACGGTTCGGGAAGGCAGTCGTCGCAACCACGTGCTGCGATGCTGGGGAGGGAGTGCTCGGGGAGACCTAGCAATGTAGTTCTTTAGCATAGTATGGATTGTCAATTAGTGACTGATCAATAAGAAGCAAATTTAGTGACCTGCCAAGTGAATGTAGTGATTGTGAAAAGTCAGATTTGAAGCAGCTTGACAGTGCTTGGCTGAACTCAAGCCAACTCAAGCGGGTTCAAGGATGAGTCAAGTGTCTTGAGAGTGTTTGATATCAGGCAATAACTTTTGAAGCTCTTGAGTGTTTGAGACGCTTGAGCCCGCTTGAGCCCAGCTGAGTCTGCTTCCAGCCCCGGACCACTTTTCCTGATGTTGTCGCCGCCGAGAACGCCACCGAGCTCGAGGCGCTCGTCACCGACCCCACCAACCCGCAGAACCTCATCAACTGCCCGCCTGGCGGCGGCGCGGACGGCTGCCATCTCGAGACGAGGGTGAGTTTCCCGTGATGAATACACGCCGAAGTCAGCGTTGATGCCCCACAGTGCGACCGCATCCGCATCAACTACGGCTACAGGTTCAATGGACACTACATCTGGTAAGTTGTGGACGCTCGGTCTCGCTGGAGTTTCTTGCTCACCTCGAGGTCGTGTAGGTACAACTACAACATCAACTCGGTGCCCGACGGCAAGCGCATCGAGATCGACAACCAGGGGACTTGTTGAGAGGCTGAAGTGCCGAGGAATCCGTTGAGGAGCTGGACGGAGCCGACATCGAGCAATGTCGTGAGGTGGAAAGGATGTCGACGAAGTGCTTCAGATTGCGGAATCGAAAGATATACATATTCTTTGAGGTGCAGATACTGGTGGATCAATGAGAGAGGATCCGCGCGCGCTCATCCCGTATTCATGAGCAAACGAAACAACCAGTCGTCGACTCTTTCGAGCTCCTCAGCGCTCACGCAGAATTGTTACCCAGGCCGCCGTGACAGAGCGGGACAGGTCACATTTGTTTCCGATTCAGATCTCATTCGCCGGCCATCAGAGAGCGTGCGGCATATGCCGATTTCATGAGCGTTGACCCATGAATACTGTACTCCAGAAATGCAGAGTCATCACAAACGAGTCAATGAAGTAGAGGGCAGATCTTTCGACACAATAGCGCCTCAAAGTACAAGCATAAATATCAGGTCACCATCTGAGGCCCGCTTCGTAATCCCATCGACCTCCTCTCAGCCATCATATCAAGCCTCTCAGCAGGTCCCAACAGTGTCGGTGGTAATGGTGATACCCTGAGGAAGGTTGTTGGGGTCATAGTCGTTCCTGGATAGGCCATGAGCATACAAGGAAACCGAGAACCGTCAAGAGCAAGTGTACGCACAAGTACCAGATGTAGTGTCCCTTCTCGGTCTGGCCGTAGTTGATACGGATGCGGTTGTTGCACTGAAGGGCGTCGAGTCAGTCAAGAAGACCCATGCATCCCACAAGAAGTCACGGAAATTGCCACAAAGTCCACTCACCGAAGTCTCCTTCGAGCACAGGTCCGCGCCGCCACTGGGCGGGCAGTTGATGGGGTCCTGAGGGTTGTCCGGGTTGCGGATCGCGGCGGCGAAGGCAGCGAGGGACACGAGAGCGGCGATGGGGGTGAAGGCGCGCATTGTGGTCGTGAAAAGGTTGCTGAGGGTAAGAGTGTGGATGGGACTGCTGGTCTGGAGTCCGAGGCTGATGCAAAAGGTAGGGAAGCGAGACTAGCGTCCTTTTATATGAGGGAAGCCTGTGGGCGCAGCGGTGCTCTTCGTCAGCCAAGACGCTCACCAGTCAGCGCCCGCTTGCTGGAGGCGAGGCCGCTGAGCTCGGACAGCTGTGTTGGGGACTGTGGAGCCTCTTGAACGCGCGAGGGAGTTTCATTGGAGGTAATTTGCGCTGGGCCTTCCATTGTGGCAGAGTCAGCTCTGTCTGAGCATTCAACGAGCGCACTGAACACAAAAGGAGGTAACAAACAATAGTAAATAATCTCCTCATGAAACTTCATTCCGACATAGGATATCGATCCCTGTTCAAGCGAGCGGTGCGCAACGCCACCAATCGCTCGCTGCGAAGCACGAGCTCCACAACGATCACGTTACAGGCAGGCGTGTTGTAGGCCTTGGCGTTCGACGCGCCCTCCATGCGTCGTCGAGAGACAAATGCGTCCGTACTCCTCGGGTTTGGGCAGTTGACGAGGATCAAGCGAGCTATCCAGCTGACCCTCTCATGCTGTGGCGAGCAGTGAGCGCTCTGTGGAGCCAACATAGCCGTGCCGACTCATGCTTACCATGCCTTGACGCGAGTGAGCGAGCAAAGGTTGGACGAGCTGGTATAAAAGCTGAGCAGAGAAGTCTCATATCTTCAGCACTCACTTCCGTCCCCCGACGACACTCACCACCTCATATTGATCCTCTCAGTCACGATGCGCTTGTCCCTCGCTGTCGCCCCCGCCCTCTTCTTCGGCTTCGCTGCCGCCGCGGTCACCAACGCTGAGAAGCGCGACGTGACGGACCCGACGAACCCGCAGAACCTCATCAACTGCCCGCCAGGCGGTGGCGCAGACGGCTGCCACCTCGAGACGACGGTAAGCGGTTTGCAGGAGGTGTTCAGAGGCAATGCTAACGACGCATTAGTGCGACCGCATCCGTATCAACTACGGCTACTCATTCAACGGGCACTACATCTGGTAAGCTTCGCGCTCTTGATTGATTCTAAGCGTCGCAGACTCACCTCTCGCCAGGTACAACTACAACACGGACGATGTGCCCGATGGCAAGCACGTCGACATCGACAACGAGGGGACTTGCTGAAGGACTCACGAGGTGCACGAGATGGACCGTATTTATATTGCTGCACAAGCGAGATGTATTTAAGATGAATGCATGATGTCTTCATCGATGTTGACGAGTCGTGAGCGAGGCAGAGAAGTCAAGTTCAAGGAAGGTGGTCATGGTGGTCGGCAGCGAGAGATCAGTACTTCCTCGCCAGCTTCATGAAGGAAGTTGGCTTAGGAAAGTCGAAGTCGAAGTTCGTCGACACGGGAGTTGGAAGGTCCGTGGGCCAGGGAATGGGTTCCTCGCTCTCGATGAGGGGCCTCTCGGGCGACGCGGCACCCTCCTCCGGGACGCTTCTGACCGGCAACCCCGCCCCCGCCACTATTCCACCAACACCACCAGCGACACCTCCAACCACGGGCAAGCCGCCTACCACGTCGGTGGGCCCACCCGCGCCGCCTCCAAGTCCGCTGGTGACACCCCCAAGCCCGGCGGTGACGCCGCCGAGAACACCTGTAACGCCTCCAAGTCCGCCGCCACCAAGCTGACGCTTGCCAGCAACGGCTGGCAGCCCCGCTCCTCCAGCAGCGCCCTCGACACTGCTAACTATACCGCCAGCAACGGGAAGGCTGGCGACCACGCCAGTGAGACCGCTTGCGCCCCCAACCGTGCCGATGATACCGTCCAGCTGACGCTTGGCAGCCACGGTTGCAGGAGCGTCATGTTCGGCAGCCGAGCGCGCCTCAGCCTCGCCCTCGGCGGGCTGCGTCTCGGGAACGACGTCCAGTGCTGACGGCGACGAGGCTCCTCCAAGTCCGCCGGTGATCCCACCCAAGATAGGGTCGACGATAGGAAGACCACCAAGGAGTTGCCGCTCCGCAATGACCTCAATCTCGCGCTTGAGGGGAACGGCAGGGACGAGGCCCTCGACCGCGCCAGCGGCACCCGCAACCGCACCGACGGCCCCTGCCACCTCTGTGACAGAGCCAGCAACGGCGGTGACCTCGCCAGTCACGGCGTCGATTTGGCGTTTGCCGATGACGGCGTGCCCGCAGGTAGACAGAGAGCGGTTGCAGTAATCGAAGGCTTCTACAACGAGACCCCCGTCGTTCACCTATAGGAAAGGGAGTGAGTCATTACAATGAACAAGCGCTAGGAAGGACGCACGTCGTATGGGCAGGCATATTCATTGGCCCGTTGAGAAGCACTGCTAGAGTAGCTGGTAATAGGGTCAATTACTTGGCAAGGGCGAGCTTTGAGGTTACGACGTACGTGCAGAGCACATTCCCGCGGTGCACTTCCGCATCGGCGAGATGGCCGCCGCGCACATCACGCTGAGGGCAATCATGAGTGCCGCAGACGCGGCCGTGAACACCGACCGAGACGGCAGCGACATAAGCAAGGAGGTAGAGGACTTTGCTGCCAGACATGATGTTGTTCTGAGGGCCTCGGTATGGAGGTGTTGGGGAGAGCCCCAAGAGCGTGGGCGGTCTTATAGTTGTCGCTGTACCGTCAGAAGCAAATCTAGGCCAGCTGAACCGAGCAGAATGCACGCGGGAGGCTGCGCCTCTGTCGAACTAAGGTGGCGGTGGGGAGGTTCTCGGTATCATGTAGTCAACACTTGACCGACAGGAGGCGTACTTCCTCTTCGCATCAGCGCGGTAGTTCCTAAGGAAGTTCATTGACTTGAGGCTACTATTCGCGAAGAGAGGTAAATCAGACTATACAGCTCCAACTGTACGTTGATGGGGCGAAGATAGCCTGGTCTTTTGCAGCTAGTCCTGTTCAAAAGGATCGTAGAATGAGCAGGGCCCTGAATTTGAGCTGGAGAAACGAATAGATCGGCAGGCCACCAATCAGCATGGCGGTGAGAGACAACGTGGAGGGAGATCGCGACTGCCTCTTGCAGATATATCGGAGAATGCCGAGGGCATCTGCCCCGCCGCGGAATATTCGGCGATGTCTTCCCTGCAGTCAAATCAGTGAGAATACTCAACCCATTCTACCCATCTGTACATTCAATACATGCAAGACTAATCTCGTGGCCAAAGCCAGCAGATTTCACAGTCAACAACCCTTTCCACAAATCCGCGGTTCAGCCCCAGCCTAAGGCGAGTATGTATCGAGCCATTTGAGGCATGAGGAGGTATATAAAGCGACATGAAGCCGGTTTGTAGAACAATAGACATTCACAGATTAGAGGACATCCTCATAATCGAAGGGATCCACCCTTTCTCGCTCGTCGTCCTTGAGTCCTGGCGGGATTGACATGGAATGTACGAAGGCAGTCAATGCCTGCGCCGCGTGGTTGTCCTCGAATCCCATATCATCGCATACACAGCGTACGATCCTCTCGACCTGGCTGGCGAACCTGCACGCTCTGACCTGGTTTATTTCGCCAGAATTTGAAGCGCGTTCCCTATCCTGTACACCCTGTTCATTGAAAGGACAGGATGGAGAACCTGTAGGCACTCACATATAATAAAGACATGGTACCACCGTATGTTATGGGGTCCTTGAAGTCGCGAAAATGCGGGTCAACCTCGAGACAGGCGAACATGGCCTCAAACCGCATAGCTGAGTCCAGCCTGTCGATGTAGTAAGGCCTGAGCTGAAAGCTCGCTGAGTAAATGTCCTTGCACATGATCACGATCCGACTCACTGCATACTTCGTATCAACTGTGAGGGCAAGATTGAGGTGTAGTTGAAAATTCTTGGGTAGTTCTTCGAGCAGCCACTCGAGGGTGAAGCCAAGCTCCATGAACCACGTTTGACGGTTCTTCAGGCCCGCCGAGCCGCACATCAATTCCTCGAAAGGTTTCGGTAACCGTCTCCTCCGTGCGTCCTCGAAGACTCTGTAGTGCTTGTACCAGTAGCCCGAGAGCGCGCGCATGAGCTGATGACTGGTCTGCGTGAATGCCTTGTCTGCATTGACAGTGGCGTCGCTGGTAACTCCATCGGTAATGTGTTTGGCTCGCCAGGCACAACACGGGTCGACAAAGCGAGTCCATTGGACGCTAAGCGCGAGCACTGCATTTAGCTGGAAGCCGTCGATCACGTTGTGCGATGATAGGGCGGTCGCTTGATCCTGAAAATACAGCAGCCACAGCATCACGTCCCGAGCGTCAGTTAGTAGTGCATAGGGTGCCGGAGTACGACGATTGATTTTAGCCATTTCGGGAGAGCGGTGGAACGGTGGGCGGCTGAGAGCGAGGGTTGGCCTGTCTTTGAACGAGGCTACTAAATAGTCATGCCTTTGTGTTCAAAGCGCTGGTCCAATCGGACAGAGCATAGCATGCACCTTTGAATGTAACGGTTGCCGTTTGTGACCTGCTCCGGTAGCGCACCTGCATTTGACTCAAGCGAGCCGTGCGCGGTCCTAGCACCGTGAATTTGGCGCCCTGCGACGCGTATCTGCATCGATTTATCCAAAGAAGGTCTACACCTTCGCCGTGGGTGTACTTCATCGACGATGCCACGATTGTCGAGCTATCTTGCAGCGTATATTGACCCTAATGAGTGGCAATGGTAAACAAAGGACAACGAACAAAAGCGCCACTTAATTCATTGACCCTCCGCGCGACACATGCATTGTACTGCGGTGGCCATCGCAGGCCTTTGCTCATATAAACACCGAAGGCCGCGAGCAGCGCCACACCACTCTCACCTTTCGTCTTCGATGGCCTCCTCCCCGACGTCCGAAGTGCAGCGCTTCTTTGCCTTTCCTCCGGGTACTAACAGCGCGACCGCGGCAGACGACATTGAGGCCTACGGAGAAAATGTGGCGATCATAAACGAGTGGCAACGCCGCCACTTTCAGCCTCGGATCGACAGGTTGAAGCCTCCCACGGACGGTGCTTGGATAATCGACCGCTACTTTGCACGAGAAGTCCTTTGTCTATCGCGTGACTGGTATCTCTTTGACTGCGTCGTCTGCGAAGACGAACTCCCGCCTTTGACGCAGGAAGCCTTCGAGGAGAGGGGCCGTTCGCTCCTCGAGAAGCTGGGCGAATACTGGAAGCGGTACTCGCGTGGCATGGAGACATGGAGGACGAGATGGACTTTTGATTTCACTGTCGACGACGAGACCGAACATAAACTGAGGATGTGGTGTCTTGTCGAGAGGCTAGACATGTATCAGTTGAAGAAGATCCTCACGGACGAGGAAGAGACTAGCCTGTGGCGCGTTTTTCGCATGGGTTTGTTCCACTGCGTTCAGGGAAGATGGGTGAGTGCGTATGTTCCCGCGTGTCTTTGTCACTCACCTCGCTCGCGTTCTAGCCCTCGAGATATTTCCGAGAAATGCAACATTGGGAATATCGTTTTCTCGCCATGTCCCGGTGTTTGTGGCCCGATATGCTCCACCTCGGGTACATCGGGGATCCAGTGACGCTAGGCGGTGCGATGGCCTGCTATAACGTATGTGTCCTCCAACCTGCGACAAACCGCTAACAAGAGTCTTTTCAGATGAATCAGTACAAGATGGATGACTCTCACCAACGCCTCGCGTACTACGCAGACAATGTGTCGAACATCTTCCAGTTCGTCAACAAGCACGCATGGGAGCCTGTCGAAGCCAAAGCGTCACAGGCGATTAGCGCCTTCCTGATCTACACTACAGAGAGCCAAGTAGAGTGATACGTTGAAGGGCATAAGACTTAAACAGTTTGTGAACAGGATACCATGACAAAGCGGTTGCGTGACGTACCCTATACGCATGTCCATCGACAAGTGCGATTTGATGGCAACATGGCCAAGAGCGGAGGCGGGTCATAGCGCCGGATTTGAATGTATGGTATACCATTGAAGGATAAACTGCATGCGATGAGACAGGGCCCCAGCTCTTACCGTTCATGGCTATGCGTAAGTTGTAATCAGCAAGGTGGTCCAAGCACCAGGAGAAAGCGAACACACGCCTTTGTCGGACACAGTCCTTGTGTTTGTGTCGTCGGAGTTCAACATGCGTGATACGTGGGCTTGCCTATATATCTGGCACTAGAGACAGATCAACGGTGCAGTCGTCTCTGCTCCTCGCGCGAACCATCCTGCAACGATGGACGGTGACTTCCTGCCCGCGCGCCCACAGTATGTCATCTCGGCGGCTGACACTGACAAGCGCGTCACCGACGTGGCGCATTACAACGAGTGGATGGACTATCTGGCCCCTCGGCTCCAGCAGTTCAGGAATCAACGTTACGCCTGCGATAACCTTGCGCTGCGCGATCTCCTCCAGCTCGTGCATGACTTGGCCGTTTTCTCAAACGAGGACCGAGGCGACGAACTTCCGAAGGAGCTCTGGGAGCACTATAGCCATCTCCAGTACGGGATAGTCGTGAGGCTCACCGAGTTCTGGAGAAGGTATTACCTAGGGATGGAGAAGCCAATAGCGAGTAAACTCTGGAATTATCGTCTCGACGACGATACCGAGGAAACGATGGCAGCATGGCTCTGGAGCGCGAACGTCGACCCGAAGCATTTGAAGGCAAGACTTGTCACCGACGCAGTGGGCGAAAGAAACTGGGAGTTCTTCCGAACCGCTTTATGGCATTGCGTGTCAAAGGAGGGCATCAGATTCGTCAGTGATACCATACTCGCATTTCTTGACAGCACACTTACCTCTCTCTAATAGCCCAGTCCAAAGTTTCGGAAGCTTTCACTGTGGCAATATCGCTTCTCGCTGTCGAACTGCTTGAATCCCGAAGATCCAGGCTGGGATCATATATCCGATCCAGTAACATTGGGAGGCGCTTATGCTGAGCACACCGTAAGTTTACGATGATTCTGAAAGCACAACATAGTCTGACGACGATGCCCAGAAGCCTGAATTCCTGGAGTCAGCTAATGCAGCACGCCGTTTGGGTTACCTAGAAGAAGCCGTGAATTTCTTCATCCGGTACGCCGACGAGCACAAATGGGAGCCGGTAAAGTTCTCTGCAGTGCAGGCCATAGGCATATTCCTCGAGAAACTCCCATTCGAATTTAGTTATCCGGAGGACAAGCTGCCGTCTCAGATGAGGTGTCGCTAATATCTTCCATTACATTATACTGATCCAAATGAGCATGCACCGCTGACGCATTACTGATCACCTACCATGCTATGTTACAGACATAATCACTGGTCATTCAGCTCGTCACGAGAGTGCAATCCCAACATCAGCTGCGAAAGAGATGGTGATGGTCCAAAGCAAGGTTAGTGGCGTGAGAAACGGGGCTATCTGCCCCTGATCCTGGTCGTGTCCGCCCGCTATGGCCAAGGGAGTGCCAGGTCCTCGCCACTGTAGATCACGATAATTGAGAATACATTGAATACACTGCACCTGCGGTGCGATATCATTAGTGAATCTGCTACCGACTAAGTAGTGTACCCAGGCGAATAGACTTTACACACCACGGAGGTATATACGCAGTCCGTGGAAGGGCAGCGACGCTGCAGCGCGCACACAAGGAAAGGAAGGACGAAAGCGCGTGCGCGAGGGGATAGTAATAAGTAGTACAGAGTCCGTCCACTATTGCCGCCGTATACACGAGTACATCACCGGGCGTACGCGCTCGGCGGGCCCTCGTCCTTGTGTTTCTTCCTCCCCAGGCTCCGCAAGGGGGCCGTCAGGCTCAACTTCCGCGTCGCGCGCTTGAAGCCGGAACCCGAGCTGCTTGTCGTCGAGGTGCTCGTCGCGCCCACGCTCGCATGACTGTGCGCCGGGCCTACGAGCGGGGCAGTGGCATCCTGCGAGCGCGCTGTCTCGCTCGACGCAGCGCGGATGTCCAGCACCAAATCATCCGGGAAAGCGTGCCCATTGGTGTGCGTGTGGTGATTATGAGGTAGGGATGGCACAGGAGGAAGAGGTCGGTCCAGCTCGCGGTGCTTCGTGCCTGCTCCGCCGGCGGTCGCTGGTCTTCTCGGCGATTCGCCAGGCGGCGGGCCCTTCGACTTGTCCTTGTGCTTCAAGGGCTTCAAGTTGGACAGCGACTGCTTGTGGAACGTGCGCGACGGCGACTCAGGCGAGGTAGGGGGTGAAACGAGCGACGACATGCGCGGTGGCGGCTGGTGAGTATATACAGGTGGTGGTGGATTATGATTACGTTCCCGGTCCCTTTGCGAGGAGCCGGAGGACAGGCTGTGTTGCCCAGATAGCGAGCCCGCCGAAGAGGTCGCTGACCGCATGGCGTTGCCCCCAGCTTGAGGCATCTCGGAGGGTGACTTCGACCGCTTACCCGCCCCCAACGCGTCAAAGGCACTCTCGTCCATAAAGCCCGCGTCGGACCCTCGCCTTGTCTTCGCTCGTGGAGCAGCATTCCAGAACCAGTTGGACGAGTTGGGCGGGGTTTCCGAGCTTGGCAGGGTAGCATACGCCGTCTCTGGCCGCTTCTGCTTCTCTTCGCCTGGCTGGTGACTCCGGCGCTTGCCAAACCACGTACTTGTCTTTCGCGTCGGCTCCTTCAGGACATGCTCCTTATGCTTGCCATTCTCCAGCTTTGTTGGCGGGCGAGGCTGGGGCTGGGGCGAGGTGGGCGTGTTGTCGACCTTCGTGAGGGTCGGCAAGGCCGCAGTCTGCGACTCCAGAGCATGCGAGTCAACCGTCTCTTCCTCCTCGTCGCCCTCGTCCTCGTGCGCGGTTTCCCGAGAAGGCGACATGGCAGGTACTGGCGGCGGAGGTGGTGGTACGCCGGCATCAGCTAACGAGGGTCGCCGGACAACTCCAGTGCTCGTACTTGGCCGCGGCTGACTAGACGGCGCTCGCCGCAGCGTGCTGAACAAGCCCTTGCCCTTACTCGTCGACGGCCTCGTAGGTGTCTCCGGCACTGGCGAGCTGGGCGGCTTGTCCTCGCTCGCAGAGGGAATCATGATATCCACAGGGGCTATCCGCGTCGGTTTCGCACGGTCAGGCGCGGATGGAGGCTGCGACTGCACGGGCGTCAATGGGAACGCCGGGTCGCTCACGTCCGACTCGCTCGACTCCATGAGCCCAGGCGGCAGCGCGGGAGTTGCATTGAGTGATGAGGAGGGTATATCGCTCGTCGAGTTGTAGCGGGAGATGGGGGCGGAGATGGGAGACGGACTGTGCCGCTGGATGCCGAGCGCCTCAAGGTTGATGTCCGCGGCTTGATAATACAAGACGTAAGCGGACCCAGCGCTTGAGTCGCCGTAGTATTTGGGTATTTCGGACTCCGAGATTGGATAGACGTTGTCATCGTCGAAAACCAACCAGGTGCCGAGGGTCTTGATTATTGAGATGTAATGACCGTGGTGCGGACCACTGCATGGCTATCAGATAGATCACCTCGAGATAGAACGGGGGTACTCACGCGCCAATGTGAACGACGATAGCGAATAAATTAAACAAGCGGTCGGGCTCGTCCATGTCGTCCACGGTGTTGAATAATCGCAGTTCGAAGGGAAAGGCGACCCTGTAAGCAAGCTTGACATACTTTTGTTGGTCTTCTTGGTACTTGAACCGCTTGAGGTGGAGTGCCAAAACATTTGGTAGCTTCTTGATCTTCATCCTGCCGTGCTCATCAGCGTGAGTCGAGAGCGCTTACGAGGCAGACACACCGTTTCTCCGCTTCTTGCAGTTCGCAGCACGAGTCACAGAAGAACTTGTTCTTTTGGCAGAGCATCTCGCTAGCACTGAACTGCCGAAGACACGCAGTTACGCTGGAGTTTTGCTCGATGTCTATGGACAAGTCGAGGAAACACTCGTCACGTGATGATACCTGAAAGGCACGGCATCAGCAGGGACGTTGAAGTGTCGATGGGGGTGGCGCACCGTCTCGCATGTTAGGCACCGGGTCTCGCTCGTGAGGACGCCCTCGAAGAGTCGGTGAACTAGCGTGGCATCTTCAGGTGGTGTTCCCGAATTTGTGCTGGCGGTATTGGTAAGGACGGTGGGCGCTAGTGTCGCTACGGAATTCGACACTTGGCAAATGGATTAGTCTTGGCGACACGCGTAAAGAAAAAGAAAGCCGCGCACAATCGTCCGCGCCCGGCTGCGCGCGCGCCTGCTGCTCAACCTCCTCGACTATCTTGTTGAGGAGATAGTTCAAGAATTCGTGCGCATCTTGGTGCATGGTCGACCGGAAGAGCTCGTTCATCTCCTTGAGTTTGTCGATGAAGGCGCGCGGGGCGACCGTGCCCTTCTCCGCCGGGTTCGTCGAGATGTGGAGGAAGAGGGAGCGTAGGGCGGAGAAGAGCGTCGGAGGGTTGGAGGGGATGGTGTAGACTACTGGGGACGACGACGACGCCGACTGGAGGGCGCCATGCGATTGCGGGGGCGTGCCGTCGGCGGGTGCGGGACCTGATACCGATCCTTTGCGCTCTGGCTTGCGACGGATGAAGGCGAGAGGCGGCGGCGGGGATGCATTTGGGAGCAGCCGGGGGGTGTGCGGTGCTGAGGGGTCGTGCGCCTGGATCATGAGATCCCGGAAGGGTGTGCAGAAGTAGAGCGCCTGTATAACCGAGTTGGCATAGCTGCGGGTGCGTCAGTTCACAGTGGGCTTCGTCGGGGGCGCCTTCGTACCAAGTGTTGCCAAACTAGCAGATAAAGTCAGTAAGAGCGATAGGAGAGTAGACTGCTGCGCACATTCTCGAGTCCGAATTTGCGGGCATCTGCAGAGGGCCCTGCGGCGACGATGCCGGGCTTGGGGTCCCCTTGGTTTGCAGACTGTTGTGCACCAAATATCCATTTCCCTCTTGCCATAACGAGGCCAGCAGTGGGCCCGGACGCTCGAGGATGTTGAGGGCTCCAGAGAGGGCGAGCTGGACGTCGGCGATGATGGCGAGGGCGAAGCCTCGTCAGTGGTCGCTGTGCCTGATTCCGCGTGACAGTCACATGTTTTATTCCCGGCCCGGTGTTGAAGTTCAACTAATTCCTTTGACAAGCCTGGGCGCTCATAGGGTCGGCTGCTCCCCTTGTGCGACGTGTGTCTCCAAACCCACTCGGTGTCGGACAGCACTTGCTTAGCGAGACGCACACAGGGCAGACATTATTTCTCCATTTCCGATCGGGCACAAGACACGCGGCGGTCACTAAATTGCCTCCCTCCTTCCGCTCACGCCCAGGCCCGACGCGATCTGTACTCGGCCCGAGTGGGTAGATTTTTCATTATTGAGTGGCATGCTCGCGAATGATTACTTTGGTCAAGTAGCTCACAGTCTGAGCAAATACCTGGGCAGATCTAGGGTTTCTACACGCGTATCTACAAGGCGTAAGCTGGGAGTAAGAAGACCGACGGCATCGCACCCTTTTCAACAGGGGAAGATTACGTGGTCTGTGGGCGGGAGCCGACCCTCAGGCGCGCCTTGCCAGCCCACCGACGCGCCAGAGTCGTACTGGCGCACTACCCGACTTCACAGGCGCGCGACTCATCGCGCCACCTCCCCTCATCACGCCAACCACCGCCCCCTCATCGCGTCATCCTCCGTACCCACACCGCGTCGCCCACTCTGATAACACCATTCCCCTTTGGAACGCCATTGCATCCCACGCACGGCTTCATCTTGAGCTTCGGGTGCAGGCCCGTGCGGAACTTGAGCAGCACCTTGTACGGCACGGCCTTGTCGCGCTCGCCGGTTTCCGGGGAGACGTTGGGGAGCTGGGTAAGGAAGGTTAGCTCGGGTAGTGAAGGCGGGGATCGAGGTAGGGGTAAGGTGATAAAAATAGGCAGGGGGGAGGTAGGGGGATGGTGTTGTGAAAGGTAGGGAAGGAAGAAAGGCGAAGCTGCTCACCAAACATCGCGTGCACTTGGAGACGAGCGTAATTCCTGGCGCAGAAGGCTCCCCGATCGCAATCTCCTCCCAAAAGTCCTCCTCGAACGGCCCCGCGCCTTTGAACACAATGTTCGGGCGGAATCTGACAACAGCAAATTAGTCGCACGTTCGCGATTCCCTTCGCTCAGCCGACCTCACCTCTCCACCGCCAACTTGGCCTCCTTCCACCGCGGGTCGATCCCCTGCGACCCCACATTCTCCCTCAACTCCCGCTCTATATCGTCCAGCCCCTCCTCACTCAACACCAGCAACGGGTACCCGTCCTGGAACACGCAGCTGCCCTTCAGGTTCGGGAACGCGTCCGTCGGGGCGAGCAGCCGCGGGTTCGGACCCTTCATCACAAGGAGGACGTCGCGCTCGAAGTAGTCGGAGAGGATGGCGGAGGGGGAGCGCCCGCCCTCGCCCGCGGCCTCGCAGACGTAGCTGTCGACGAGATCGCCCCAGAGCTTGATGTCAGAGATGCGCACCCAGGAGGCGAGGGTGGAGTCGGAGGGATTTGCGGGGACGGCGAAGGGCTCGCAGGGGGAGTCGGAGGGGAAGGAGACGCGGAGGAGCCCGGTGGCGTCGGGGAGAGTGGGCGTAATGAGGACCATCTGAAGGTGAGAGATGAGCGTGGCGAGGACGTGAAGGGGTGAGAGGGGTGGGTAGAGGGTTGGTGAGGAGTGCAGGGGAAGGCAGAGGGCGAGGGCGAGGGCGAGAGGGGGAAGAGGGGGATAACGCACCTTCGCGACTTCACGCGCCGTGATGACTTGGTGGGTGTCTGTGTCGACTATACACCATTTTCGGTCGTTCTGGGGAGGAGATGCGTGAGCTGGATTGCAGGAGAGTCGTAGGGAAGGGAAGGGGGTTGCTGTAGCTTGTAAACGTGATGCGCACCTCTATCCCCTCCGGCGTATACCGCGCGGACGCTACAGAAGTCCCTCGACAGCTCTGTACTGCGCGTTAGCTACCATGACACGCGATATAGGACTGCCCACACACCTTGATCGGGTGAACCAGCAACTTGGTTACCTCCACCCGCCCATACCCGTAGTTGTTCGCCTTGCTCCTTCCGCCTGTAGCTCGTGTCACATCCCCCTCCTTCCATCGTCAGATAAGATACACATACCCGATCGCCGTCTGTACAGCGACGCCAGCGGTACGAGTGCTAAGAGGACCGCCAGTCCTACGGACAGTGGGGAGGCAAGGGCGGCGTCCTGCACTGCTGCAAAAGTGCTGGTAAATGTTGAATTGGGGTGCGTAATAGTGTCCATGGTCGATGGGAAGACGCAAGGAAGACGCAGTGGGATTAGAAAGAGAGGGGGAGCATTCGGAAAAGACGTGGGATGACTCGCAGGGTGTGGAAATTCGCGGGCGGCAGCCGCACGCGTTATTGAATGCGCGCCGCCGCTGGTCACGGTGGTTGAATGTTATCAATGCACGCAGAACACAGAGCGCTGCAAAGCGTTGGATTCGGAGGAACGTTTTGCGGTGCCCATGGAGGGAGAAGCAAAGGACAACATCTGCGCCACCGACCCGGACTCGACATCAAGATGCATTCCAGATACAAGTACATCCCTTCATCGCGCCGACGATCTCGCGCTTCCTTGTATTTTGGTTTTCCCTGGCTGCTATTCCCATACTCCACTGCCTGACTGTCCCTCAGCCCGTCCGCAGAATGAGATGTACGCCGCTATCCGTGCTGATCACATCGCTCATCTGCCCGACCTCGAGGCCATACGTCGTGTCTTCGAATGGCTTCTGCATCTGCCCGCGCGAGAACCACCCAAGGTCCCCGCCGTGCGCGTGCGAAGAGCAGTCGGAGTGCGCTTGAGCGAGCTCAGCGAACTTGTCGGGGTTGCCGCCAATCTGGGCTTGGTAGCCGCGCAGGATTTCGATCGCCTCTTCCTTGGAGCGGGTAATGGTAGGCTGAGAGGCAGGCGATGAGGAGCGTAAGGTGGACAAACACGACAGCTAAGCCAGCGACGCGTGAATACTAGCACACGCACCTCCTTCCAGCTTGACGGGCGGCGGCTGTCGCGGTGCTTCACCAACAGATGGCTTGCGCGAACCCTGCTCGGCTCGCCTCCGCCACCAGTAAGATATTGAGCGCCTGGTAAGTTCTCAATCTGCTCCTTCGTGAGCCCCGCGGGTGGCTCCCAGCTCGACTGGCTAGTGGCGGGATCATAGAAGTAGGGCACGCCCTTCGATTTGGACATGCGGACCTCCCAGCCAGACTGCGCAAGTGTAGTGTGAGCTATCGGGCACACCTGGGGGCAGGTTGCGCACCATGGTGGTTATCTGACGCCCTAAGTCGGTGGCTAGTGCGAGGTGATTGGCGTGGACGACGTCGAGCGTCGCGCCTTGATGTCGCGGAGTTTGCCGAATCGTCTCAAAAAGGAAAGCATTGTATTTTGAAACATGTGCCTTTTGCCATCACCCTTCTCGTTTTGCGACAACCTCACGATTAGAAGTTAAACCCCGATACTCGCTGTTGCCACCTTTCCTGTATTCTACAATGCATCACAGGTATCTACATTTGTATGAAGTCCGCTCGCATTCGTTCACAGTGATGACCTGTCCAGATAGACACAGATCGCCTGCACAGCGCTCGACTCCGATTTCCTCCAGCGATTGTAGACATGGTCGCACAGGAAAAACATGCTTTGACCGAGGCACCAGAATACACACTCGAAATCTTGCTGGTTCAGCGCATCTTCCAATGCATACCGCTGGAAACATTGTCAGCGTGACGTTCAAAACTTAGTCTCAAAGGACAGCTCACATAGTGACTTTCGACAGCTCCTGCCAAAGTGACAGCATCCTGGATATGCCCTAGCTCTTCGAAAGCGGGGCCCGAGCAGCGCTTCATGAACTCGAAACGGTCTTCCCAATCGGCCATCTTGCGGAAACTAGCAGAAGGCTAAATGTGAGGTCAACACATAGCTCAGCGCACCTTGTCATTGAGACTCACCCATGACTTTTTCCTGCGCAGATGGAGGCACAAACCTTTCTCAAAAATCTGCCAGAACACCGGATATTCACCGTCGCGGGTGAGCCGCTGCTGGAACGCCGGCTCATCCATCTTCAACTTGGTGAACCAGTCCATCATCTGCACCATATCTTTGGGGGTAATCGTCACCCAAAGGTCGCCTGGTTTCTCCATCGCCGCGCTGTACCGGGACCAGTATTCGCCAATTCTCTCCCGCAACTCGACGGTCCTTGCGCGCAGCGTCTCGTAAGATTGCGCAGGAAGATCGAGCTGCCTCATCGATGTGGTGAACCGATCCCAATCGCCCGAGAGCTCGAGCACCTCGCGCGCTTGGATGTTATCGCAGACGGCCATCCGCTTGGCCAGCCGTTTGACCTGTGGCCTGAAGTGGCATTCTAGCCACTCGTCGAAGATGGCAACGTTGGAGTCTACTGCTCCCGCCCGAGCGTTGTCGAAGTTCGGAGGCAAGGAGAGGAATTGCTGTTGGGTGATCATTGTCGAAGGTGAGGCGAGGTCGGTCGTGAATGGGTCATTCGCCTTGCTCAGACTGCAGACTAAATATGTGTCGGTGTCGTGGGCGTGCCTTGCTTTTGTCGACGTTGGGCATGTACAGGTCAAAGCCGCTGGTCACAAAGTCCACAGCACACAAAAGAGTCACAAACAAGAGAACAAACCGGTTGCCACAAACTCATGCCACGGGGTTCGTAGGGGCATTCTTGGCGAGGGCAGGAGTCTTGTGCTATGCATCGCAGTAATCGGCATTGCATGGCCCTGGATCGAAAATAGTGATACACCTCACGTAGGAACCACCGTTTAGATAACTTTTCCCGAGGAAACACAAATTGGGCATAGCCCAGCTTTACACCGCTGAAGAGCGCGAGGAGGTCATAAGGGTCGTGAAATAATATAGTGCATAATGCATAGAGATGGCAGGCGATAGCCAGGTGCAGGATGAAAGGTAAGCATACGGGCATACAAGGAGTGGGCAGATGCGTGTACAAAAAAGGACCGTGCTGACGATGAGCATAGGAAATGAAAAGCATACGATCGTAAGTAGGAAGATAGATGGTGCACAAAAGATGGCAAATGACAGAGCAACCCACTCTGAATCAACACAGAAAGCCGGAGCTACGATCCCACCTCCCGAAGCGCGAGTCCGGTTGGGCAGCGGAGCTGAGGTCCAGGATGTCGATGTAGTGTTTGCCTGGCGCGATCACACAGAGCCGGCCGATGCACTCGTCCCAAGCCATGTGCGACACGCCCTGCGCCATGTCGAAGGCGACGGACGAAGGTATCCTCTCCAGCGGTGCCTCGAGATCGACGTTCATAGCATCCCGCTGGTCGACGAGCTTGTCATCCCACCAGGTCTGGATGTGCGCGGCGTCGTAGTCGGCGGGGTACTGCAGCTTCTGCGTCGTCCCGCGGACGATAGCGCGCACCGCAGGCGCGGCCTCTCGACCATCTCCCGCGACCTCGTAGGCGAGTGGTCGATATGCGCCGGGGAGGACGTAGCGCAGCCCCGCACTGGGATCAGCCGCGACGTACTTTGACTGCAGTTGCATCCCGTCGAAGCTCCACGTCCACTCCGGCAGGCGTGCGGCGTCTGCTGCATCCATGCCGTCGTTGATAAGCGCGTCGCGGTCGAGCAAGCTCGGGAAGATGGTCTCGTGGCGCAGTGCCGGACGCGTAGTCCCATCTGGTTGCCTCTGCAAGAACTGCAGGAACAGTCCCACTGGACGCGGTGGCGCGCCATCCTGCCTCAGCCTTGGCCAGTCCCCGGGTGTAGGCGCATAGTCCGACTCCGAGACCCATGCCCGCAGCGGCACATCGTCCTGCGCCTCGCTGAGCTTGAAGTTCTCGGCACAGAATGTCTCGCCGTCGCCGCCGACGGACGTGGGGTAGAAGATCTCGGCGACGACGTCGTGCTTCGCACGCTTCTCGAGGAGGTCGAGCGGGTTGTAAGAGGTAGTGCGAGTGGTGGAGGGAACCCATTCTTCGTCGATCTTGATAGTGCGGATAGTGAGGAAGAGGGACTGGGCACCGAAGCAACGCCAGGTGAGGACTTCGTAACGCTGAGAGAAGCATGAGACGAGGCCAGGGACAGCAGCCAGGTTCTACTCACCTCAGGAGGAATGTCAGGGTCGCCCTCAAGCGTGAAACGCATGCCACGAAGGTCGTCGAGGGAGAGACAGTGTATCCTATCAGGATTGTACGCCCACCCGAGGAACGGTTGCCCGCCCTCTTGGAAGATGTTGGGCTGAATGAACTTGTACTTGCTCCACCGATGGCAGATGCGGGTGCACGCCTTGTCTGACCCATGGTGCTCGGCTGTATTGACGTACTGCATCGAGCCGGGCACAATCCACGGGTCGACCAGCTCCTCCAGGGCTTCGACGTCGATGAAGACGCACGTAAGATGATACAGGAAGGGCGCAGCCGGATCTTCGATGTCGCGGCCTGGTACATAGTCCGTCGCCTTCATGCTAGCAACCAGTCAGCTCCAAAGAAGAAGGACACCACACTCTGGCACGCCATGACCACTCACAAGTTCTCCTTCAACTTCTTGTCCCCACTGACCGTCTTCCGCAACGTCCGCTGCTGATACGCCAAGATGATGCCCATCTTCCCCTTCCACGGCGCGTATCTCGCCACCAAATTGTACGCATCTGCCTGCACCCCCATATCAATCCTCGCCAACAGCACATGCCCCCGCCTTGGATGGTCCATCCCATACACCGAGATATTCGCTCGGCGGCGACTAGCATCGTTTGTCGCCGCCAGCATGAACTTCCCGCCTGGCAGGAGCGTCGTCTCGCTTGGGATGTAGTGCGCGGTATCGATTTGGGATGAGGCACAGACGCGCGGGGCTGTGCGCGTCCAGTTGTCGGCGAGGGAGACGGCACGGGTGACGGCGTGCTCGGCTTCGTGGCGACCGGCGAGGGAGAGGTAGCGCACGGAGGGGCGGATGGGTGGAACGAGGAGATTGAGCTCGGGGAGGAAGCGGCGCCAAATGGAAGGCTCGTGGGTGAGGTGGAAGAACCACTTGTTTACCTGGGGGTTCGAGGTAACAGAAGAAATGATCAGTCGAGGCCCATGAAGGAGGAACGTGGCACGCACCCTACGCAGCCGCATAATATCCTGGATATTGAGGAGCGGGAAGACAAACTCGACCATGATATCGAAAGGAATGCAAGTCAAGTCAGCCGAGGGCTTGCGACCCCACAGCAGCGACAGCGGAGAGAACCTGCGGATAGCCTGCATATCGTGCAGCGGATTGCGAAGGTAAGATAAATTGCGAGGCTGGTCTTGAGGATGTCCGCCGATCTCTGCGGAGAAAGAAGGGAAAACCCTGCTTGAGAACCCACCAGACCCGCCGACATAAGTACCCTAGTGTCCATTCATCCAAATCGAGCAACAACTCCACCCTTGGCCGAATTCGTCAACAAGGGCAACCATATATGGTAGTCACGTGGTCCATAAGCGAACCCGCACCTCGACACGCGCCTTGCCTTGAGTACTTGTACGTCGCTTTACAACGTGGAAGACGGTGAGAAATGTCGTTCGAAGCTTGTTTGAAGTAATACAGGTTCTTCAATTTTCTTGTACATATCTACTCAAATATAGTAGGTACGATTAGAACTTGAACACCTGGAGGATAGATTAGCGCAAAGTCATGGTCGATACTGAAAGTGCTTGCCTGCTCAGGGGTGTAGTTGAGCTCCTTGAGGACACCGGAGAGTTCACCTTGCGCGTAGCCGGCCTTCTTGCCAGCAAGCGAAGCGACCTGACCAGGCGGGCCGCACACAAGCACCTTGACCTTCTCGCCAAGAGTCGCAGGCGCGACGTGTTGCTTGATGAGCTCCGCGTTCACGTAGCCAGTCGGGCCCTTCCAACCCTCGCTCGGCTTGTCGAGGGTGTAGACGGCCTTGAAGGTGTTCGGGTACTTCTTCTCCCACTCGTCAAACTGCTCCTTGAGGAGGATATCCTTCTCGGTGACGTTGGCGAAAATGAGCGTGAAGCGCGTCTTGTTCTCCTTGTTCTTGAGCGCGTACTCGAGGATCTGGTGCATGGGGGTGCTGGGGAGGCGTGAGTCGAGGGAAGGGAAGGGGAGGTGGTGGTACGTACATGCCGCTACCGCCAGCAATCATGGCGACCTCATCGAACTGGTTGACTGCTGAGGTGTGAGGCGGGTTCAGTGCAGTCCAGTCCCCCACTCACTCTGCCACGGGATCTTCATGATGGGACCCTTGATACCCAGCTTGTCGCCCTCCTGTCGGCGCGTAAGTGCAGGCACAGAACCCTCGGTCTGCGACGCGTACCTTCATCTCAAAGATGTGCTTCGACATCTTGCCAGTGTCGTACTTCTTGATCAGGATCGACAGCTCGCCCTGCTTGTCCGAGGGCGTGATCGGGGTGTACGGGCGGATGACGGGCTTGCCCTTGTCGTCCAGGAGCGTGTCCGACTTTGTGACCACGCACGACGCGACGGGGAGCATCGAGGACTGGTTGTCCGGGAGCTCGAAGACGAAGGTGGAGGTGTTGTGGTTGTAGGGGATGACCTTCTTCAGCTTGAAGTCGATGAAGTTGTCCGGGTCGAGCGGGCTCTTCTCCTGCTTGGGGACCGGCGCCGCGTCCTCGCGGTAGAGCGTGTAGTAGGCGCCGGCGCCAGCCAGACCGGCCAGGGCGAAGTAGAGGGGCGCATTCGACGCCTTCTTGGGAGTCTCGGGTGCGGTCGACGCGAACCGACGGGCTCCGAAGCGCGCAGATTGGGACTGCGACTGTCAGCTAGGCTCGTTCTCTCGTCCTCGCTCAACTCACAAGGGGCCGAATGGCAGAGGTCGCCCTGAGGAAGGTCGCAGACATGGCTGGCGGGTCTGAGAGTGTGGGTCCGGGAACGGGCGGGAGAGCGAACTTCGCACCCCGCTTTATAAATGACGACAAAGTGCGAAGGGCGAAGGGATCATTGCGCTCGAGCGTGTCTTGCGCGTATGAGGCGAAGCGACGACCGGGTTGGGGCAGAAACCAAGCAACACCGTCTCGATCTGCATCCCGCCGGGCGCCCAGAAGCCCTCACGTTCCCCAGGCTGACGTCGACTGGCATGGGAACGGGACGCGCTGTCAGAGATCACCGATCGTGGGGGAACAGCAGCGCCATCGCCACGTGGTCGCGCCTCATCACACTCAAGTCACACATCACACAGCTCGTCCTCAACCACCGTCCTCGTTTGCTCGCTACACGTTCCCCAGCCCCGCCGCCTGCCCCTCCGCCCTTGGGACCGTTCGGCAATTGCCGAATCGCCCGTTTTTCGCGCGGGCAGGAGCTCCACCTCCCCTTTGCGCGCGCGAGCGGAGCGAGCGCTTAAGCTACGCGATTTTCGCTATGTTACGTGGCTACTTTCGCTCTCACAGCACCGTCCTCTCCCCCTCTCCTCCCCCTCCCTCCCTCCTCCTCCCCCTTCCTCTCCTCCCTTTGCGGCGGGTGGGAGGGGCTCGGGGGAGGCGAGATGTTAGCAATATCGGTAGAGCTAAGGCCACGTACCGCGCTTGCGCGGCAACCCGGCGCCATTCTGCGCTCTGAATTGGCTGATTCTGCGCTGACCACGTCGCTGACTCACAACAGGTAAGCGGTCTCGCCACTAGACTCACGATGAGTAGCCGCGACTCCGCGCTCGCGCGGGGACCCAACACGATTTTTCGACGTCGAGATGGCCATTTCGTGAGTCTCGGAGGCGACACGAAGGGGCGTGAGGGAGTCTTGACGTCGTCGAAGGGAGCTCGGGCGTCGCCGAGGGCCCCAGCGCTGATACGCGTCCGCCCTCGCAGTCTGCTACGGGTGAGCACGCTGGCGGCGACGTAACCAACTCACCTTGATCAGCGAGATTCCTAACGACTCGACAACCCCAGTCGTCGGAAAGCGCCACCGTGGATGTTGATAGCACGGGGACTTGCAGATGTCGCGCAGGGACGAGGCGATGGTGTCGGGGGACAAGGCGATGGAGCGCAGGGACGAGGCGTTGGTGCGCGGGAGCTTGGCGATTTTGCAGGCAAGGGGACGGGCCGGTGCGGATGACCTGAATGCCACTGGTAAGCTCTCTTGCGGGGAAGGGGACGGCGATAAACTCACGTTGACTAGGTAATCTTGTCGGGCGTGATCCCGGTGTCACAGGAGGCTGGGCCTTGCCGTCGTCCCCTTGTACGATCTGCAAGACGCTGACTGTCGCCTCGTCCTGGCGGGAGGCGGAACAGTCGACGGAGACGCGATCCACACTCCTCCCGCTCGCTGCAGAGAGGTGAGTGGGTGCAGATGGATGGTACTGGATGCACTTACCCGGGTGCGCCACCAACGCCGCGGTCAGCCTATCGCCGGCGATCCACGCCTCGATCTTGCTCATCTGAGGCGTCGTGCGACCCGTACGTCGTCCCAAGTCGGTGTCAGAGCGCGTGGCGAGCGCTTCGTGGGTGGATCGCGTCCGTGGCGTCTTCGAGGCGGGACAGTACCCGGGGTCTGCGGGGCCGTCCTCGATGCTTTTGGGGAGGTTTTCGAAGTCTTCGGAGTGGTTTTCGATGCCCTCGGGACGAGTAAGTACTCACAGCACACACTGTAAGCTCGAGTCAGTGAACATAGTACTTTTGCACGTACCCTCGGCCTGGGAATGAAGGAAACACCGTGCAAGCCAGGGAAGCTCATCTCGTGCATCCAGACGCGACGCACGTACCTCGAGTCTCATCCTGATCCCGCTCGTTAGGCTGCCTCGTCGGCCGCGCTCCGTTACTCTTGGACCGCCGCGCTCGCGAAGAAGGTCAGCGCTCAACTCGGAAATTAATGTGAGTCCACGTACCTTGTTGGCAAGCTAATCTTGCCGTCGTGCCCTAGGCACAACTCTCTGCGCGCGCACCCTTCATCTCTCGAGCTCTGGGGGCTCATCCTGCTTCTCTCGTGTCTCGGGCGCTCTCGCTGGTCTCTGACTCCCTGACTCGGGTTCCTGGCTCTCGCTCGCCTCCGGTCTCTTCAGTGCTTGCCCAGCCGCTCCCGCATGTTGCTCGCTCGCCTCCGTCGCTATCGAAGGTATCCCGGTGTTGCTATTGATCAACGAGGTGTTGTACTTGCTGATTTTGCCTCACTTAGATTGGGCAGTTACTGATAGTACCCACAGGTCTGCAGTTGTCGAGAGCAAACAGCAACGTAGCCAGGAAGGGTAGCAAGCAGGAGGAAGTAAAGGATAAAGCTGTAGAGGTATGGAAGGAAGCCAGGTGCTGTAATGAGATGCACGAGGCAGGTGTGATCGCCGCTGTGGCGTGTGATGGGACTGGACCCTGATCTCGATTCCATCAATTCAGCATCTCTGACCGCGCACAGGATTACCTCTAAGGGAACCACTCGGAGCTCGGTAGAAATACCTGCCGCTGACAGGTAATCTTGCGAGTTGAAGCTCGAGACTTGAGATGAGACAAGCAATTGCAAAGCAGCTTAGGGTACAGGAGTACAAGCTCAGGTGGTAGGATACAGTGATGAAAGGAACATAGTGGGAGTACAAGACGTGTGCCATCGCACGATACAGGCTCGGATGGACAGCACGAACAGCGAGCAAGTCGAGTAGCTCAAGCTCGAGAAGCCAACTCGTGAGCAAGGTGATGAGCACTACATCCAAGGCTTCAAAAACTCCGTACTCAGCTGCAAAAGATCCGGCGACGCTTATAGATGATGCCTTGAGCGCCCGGAGGTCGTACGACGTGGTCGGGAAAAATAGGTGAACGGCGGCGGCGAGATTCGAAACCGCCCGGACAAGCCGCGCCGATGAGCCGTGGCGTCGAATCCGGCAAATCGCGGCGGACGCAGAGCGGTAAGCGGACGCGTCGACGTCTCTTGTCCCCCTCGCCCATCGTCCCCACTCGCCAATCCAAGTCACCGACCACTTTAGATATGCCTACCTACCTCACTTAAGACGCTATTAAGGACAACTTGTAGCACATACACCATGAGAATCCGGGCAGTATATCTTTTGAGCAGTTCCCCCGCCGTCGAGATCAGACCGGCGGCAACACGAGCGCAACACATCCTCGACAAAGGCTTGACCTCAAAGGAGAAAACTGAAAGGTACGTGCAAGATGCACGCACGACGGCCCTCACGAGCGTCACTGATGCGACGTGGGACCGCTTGAGCCGGCGGGATCGAGGTCGCGAGGAGTGACTAGGAAGCACCGACGGGCTTCTGTTGCCTGAGCGCGACTACAACCGACCTGCAAGGAACCCAGCAAGTCGTTCATGTGACTGTGATGAGGGTGCAGCCGCTCTCACGCGTCGACAATAGCAGACCAGCTCAGCGGCGCGCAATTCCCCCAGCAGCTCGCGGCAGACCGCTTTGCGATCTGACCTTGCGGCGCGTCCAAAATGAAAGGCAAGTCATTCCCCCTTCATTTCAACACCATACCTACGACTGTCGAGCACCCAAGAACAATGAGAAGTACGCTTACCGCCTTATTGCCAGGAATCGCTCCGGCCCCAATCTTCTACCGCTCGACAGCAATAGTCGAGCTCCAACTCAGTGAAACACGGAGGTTCGGGGTCATCCGGTACGGCGATACTCTGACGCGGGAGGAGTGGGCTTCGAGAGCGGGAATGCAGTTTTGGCCGGAAGCGCAGATCAGCGCTTCACGGCTGCATGCTTGCAATATAGCAAAGCGAGAGTGGGCGAAAGTGGTATGCAGAGTGAGTATGACTCGCAAGGGACGCTGGCGGCGCACGAGACAAAGTCTGTCCGGCTTTCGCGCTCGTTCTCGCGGGTGGCTGAATGCCTGCCTTTTGCGGCAGGCCATCAGTTCGACTTTCTGAACCCCAACTCACGAACCCTCAGCCTGAGCGGAGTCAAAGATGGTGAATTTAACGACTGTCGGACCTTATGTCAAGACTTCCTACCCGTTAGCTTACGGTGAGTGGCTCGTAAACGGCTAGATACGCTAGACGGCGGATTTCCTGACTTTGCCAAGCAGCACCGTCTTCACCCCGGCGGCCACGCACTCGGGACAGCCTACCCCTAACCCCTAGGATCAAGCATACTGCCTCTATGTCGCTCTCTCCCTCCGCAACATCTGTATAACTGGTTTGCAAACGCCGCTCCTACCGCCCAGCCTTGCGTCCAAACTTCCACTGGCGCGGAGGCGATTTCTCGACACCGATCACTCAGGGTCCCATCATTTGTCATAATCAGACACGCGGAAGCTTGGGCGCCGGCTCCCTGAATTCGAAGGGAAGCGCGGAAGGTGCGCCGCTGGGGCTGAGCAGGACGAGGGCGAGCGGCAAGGAATATCCGGATTACAGCGGAGCGGAATCGCTTAGCGCGGCGATGGGGCATCAAGGGGGAGACGCGGCAAAGTCTGACAAGTCCGTGCGCTTGGTGGATTCGTATAAAGAGCGGGGTGAGTCGACTGGTTTCCTCACTTCCCCTTCCTCCTCTACTTCTCTCCTCTCCTCCTCTCCTCCTTCACCCCTCCGCTCCTTATCTCATTGACTTAATTCTCTATCCCTCTCTTTACACCTCTCCACCTGACTCTCCTTCTGAATCTCTTGACGAAGCGCCCGACTTCGGGACTTCATCGGGTCCATTGTGCTCGAGTTATCGTCCCAGTTCGTGATTTCCCAGTAGGACATGTCTCTTACTGACGAGCGAGACACATGCTGAGCATCTCCTGCTCCCATTGCTCGACGCTCCGCCCAGCGGTGACGGTAAGACCGCATTTCATATCGCTTTGCATCATTGAGTTCTGTCTCCAGCTTTTACCTTCAATGCTAGAGACTTCGAGGTGAGTAGCGTTAGTCTTCTTTGTCACTGTCGCGCTTTCCTGACCTTTCCCATCCCAGTGAACATCGTCCGCTGGGCCCGAGAGCCTCGGAATATTATTGATTCTCTATCTATCACCTTGACCGCGTCCAACAAGCACAAGCGCACCCTCCCGAGTCGCCCATGGAGTGTGCACCCCTCCGTCGACGGCCCCCTAGACTCGCTTGCATATTACCGACCTTCCCTTACCCTGTTGCGCAGTCAGCAAGAGCGTCAGCCAGGCGACGAGGACAGGTAAGTCGAGGATTCAGTCTTGATTCATTCACTTCATTCGCCACCAGCGACATTTCACCGACGGCGCCAGCGCCCACACTCTCACCATCCACTCGTCTTCTCCCATAGCCATCCGCCTCATCAATCGGCAAGCCAGCGACCACCCAACGAGCGGATCGCCCCACGCATTCCGTGAGTCTATACAGTCCATTACGACACGTGTCGCTGACCGTCCTTGCTTCCCACCCCCATCTTTTGACTACACCAACACGCAGCACGACTTAAAGGAACGAGCTGGCCATACTGCCGTTCCAATCCCTGAAGATTCAGTGAGTTTATGTCTTTGCTACCTTCGCTGCGCCCTTATTTACTTGCCCTTGTACGCAGGACTGAGCACGTCGATTGCGGATGGCAGGCGAATTCTGCTTCGCTGCTGCCTGCTCGCGGTAGGATTCACGGGCAGAGGTATTCAGAACCGCAGGTGCGTCTGTTTCTGATCAATCGCGCTTTACTGACTGCTGCTCAGATCTATTTGGATGCGACAATTCTGACCGATAGGCAAGAGCGCGAACGCGTAGCTACACGAAATCCCCGCCATCGCTCCCTACACGACGACGCTGACGCCGCCGCCTCCGTCGTATAGCCGTCGGACTAACTGTCCCTTCAGCAAGTGCGATGCGACGACGGGACACGGTCTTGAACGACAACTTTACGCGGCCCAAAAACCGCCGGAGGCCTGCGCGGGGCTACTAGGGCGAGTGATTCGTCCTTACCAAGGCGTAATATGAGCTGACTTTGCACGCAACACCAGTAACGCGGACGAGGACGCTTGATCAGGTCGCTGAGGCCAATTTTGAGGTGAGTCCTAGCCGTCTTTTATCTCGCGCCTACTGACCCTGAGCACAGGCTTCTGCGGCCAGCCCGAGCCGCCGGAGGCATGCGCGTCGTCCCTAAGATGGGTAATGCGGAAAATTGGCATGTACTTGTTCGTCATGATTTACGGCGCTAGCTGACCTTTTTCCCGCTCACCATCAAGTTCTGGAGGTGCCACGGGCGCCAGCGCGGCGTTTGGAGGGATATCTACCTCATAACTTGTCTCGGTAGCGAACCCGACGAAGTTCTCGGGGTCATTGAGGTGCGTAAATACGTGTACGCTGTCTGCACGACGAAGTACCGACTGACCGTCTATTTAGGGACTTTCTGAGACTCCCGAGCCGCCGGAGGCACGCGCGGGGCTACTACAGCGAAGGACGCGATATCATGGTACGTGTCATGCCGCGTAGCGGCGCAAGCACGCGGAGATCCGAGTCGAGATAACTACGCCTTGTCGTAGAGATACAAGACGCAGCTGCCGATGCGATGGGCTGACTCGCGAGAGGCTGGTCACACAATGGGTGACCGACCGCTTCGTGACACGAGTAAGCTACAGTCCGCCTTCTATGCGCACCGACTCGCTGAACCCGATCGCAGGTCCGTTACGCTGTCTCCACGCCCCTCCCCTTTTGCTCTGGGGAGGGGAGACCATGCCGGTCCGTCACGCTGTGCACCGCGCTCGCTGCGGCCCATAAATTGGTAGATTCATGTTGACTGACCGCTCGAGGAGGTAAAATACATCGATTCTGGCCCGTTCAGGCATCGTGCATACGTTGCAGACGCCATGCAAGCCGGTCGTCCGGGCCTTTCAGTAAGTCAAAGTGTATCATCTCGATTTGAGTTCGAGAAACTCACGCACCCCTTTCAGAATCCACTTTTAACAATAGCCCACCGCAATCTGAATGTCGAGCACATCGTTCAGGACTACATCTCGAGGTACGTTCTCGCCCGAACCTGCCCTCAACTCATTTCTAACACGCTTATCCCTGCAGAATCGCCTCAAACTTCTCATTCGATTGAGATGAGGCGCCTTCCGGCTTAAGCACGCGTGGCAGGAACGTAAGCAGTCGATGGATACTCAATGAACGTTTGTGATGCTGCATGGGACGCCGTGCAGCCCCGCCCACTCCCTGCTCGCCGCGCTCCTAGCGTTTTCACGGGACTTTTGATTTACTCACCAAAATTCGAACTCGGCGAGTTCTACTTCGACTCCAATGAGCGTGATGAGACTGACCGTTTAGCAGGCTTGCTGAGGCGCGTACGAGGCTAGATATACCCCACTACGCACGCCGAAGGGCTTTTCGGGGGATGGAGGCTCGCATGAGCTAGAGACGGTGTAAGGTAGTTCATTCGCTTGTAATGACTTCTCGTAGCTGTTCAGGTACCTGAATACATGAAAGATACATAGTATGATGCATAAAGTACCCATCCTCGCCGTGAAAAACCCGCGCGTGGTCGGGAAAGTCATGCCGAGCGCCACCTTTAGTAAATCTCGACAATTCCACAAGGTAAGCCCCTCGCATTCTGTGACCACAAACCGCTGTTCTGACCTTCTTTCGTGCTTGTATAGGTCCATTCTCATACGTCGTCCATCGCCCGGTCACGCGGAGTCGTCGGAATCAAGGTGAGTACTCGACTTCGTACACTTCCCACCTTCCCACCCCCTCCCCCACGTACCCATTCCCTTCTCTTTCTCGTGCTCATACCCTCGCCTTCCAATTCCACTTGAGTACCTCAATGACCTTGTATCATCATCTCTGCCTACGACATCAACTGCTATGCGCTTGTACTTGACCACCTCCCCCCTCCCTTTCGACAACTACCCTCCCCCAGCACCCCACCCTCGTCGTACCTGCCCCTTCTCGGCGCGCTCGTTGCCGCCCTGTCATCCTCCACCGTTTGACGACCTTCCCCCGTCGCCTTCGCGGCCTTCTCTCGGCGCTTCCTCGCCCCCCTCCCTTTTGCCAACTACCCTCCCCCATCACCTCACCCTCGTCGTAGGCACCCATTCCCAGCTCGCCCACGATCGCACTGCCATCCCTCATCGTCGACTAACGCCCCTTGGTCGTCTCCGAGGTCCCTACCCTCGCCTTCACCACCTTCTCCTCGTGCTCCCCCAACCCCTCCTCAGCAACTGCCCTCCCCTATCACCCATTCCTTACATCGCTCATCGTCCCTATACCATTCCCCATCATCTGGTCGCCTCCCAACGTCTCCTTCGAGTCCCCTACCCTCGCCTTAGCCACCTTCTCCTCGTGCACCCCACCCCCTACTCCTCGGCAACTGCCCTCCCCCATCACCCATTCCTCACCGTGCTCCCTCATTCCAGACTTGCCCACACTCGCAATCCACTTCTCAATCGCCGAGCCACCCTCCGTCATCGCCTCCGAGCCCCTTCCCTTTGTCCTCACCCCCTTCTCCTTCCCTACCCCACCCTCCCCCACCTTCTCCTCCCCCTCCCTCGTTCTCTCCGAATTTGACGACGTCGCTTATCGTCTCGCAGATGCTCAACAGAAAGCTCGGCCATCGACGCGAGTCGACGGGTGTCACGGCGCTCTTCGAAGTGGAGGGGGAGGGGAGGGGGGGAGGAGGGAGGGATGAAGTCCCTCGCACCGTTAAGGTGCGCTTCGTCGGACACTTGAGCGTCAACGCGTCCGACGCTGCTTCCTCGTACATGAGCTGCGACGTAATTAGCATGCGCCGCGTCGTCTGTTGTAGGGAGGGGAGCGGGTTCCTCGTGAGGGGGGAGGAGGGAGGGGGGCGTACCTACCGAAAAACCCGGTCTTCCTGAGTCTCGAGCGTCGTCGGAGGGGTCATTAGGTGAGTCGTTCGTCGTGCTGTGACTTCGCTTTGTTGAGTTTTGCATGCAGGAGGCGAAGGGGAGGGCGGGGAGGTGCACCTCATGCCACCGAGATCACGCTTTTGCCGACTCCTCGACGTTGGGGGCATCTCGTCGCCCCCGGTTTCGCATGCGCGGACGCACGGTGAGGTGCGGATGGGGTTTGGAGGGTGTATTCGGGTGGGGGAGGGGGCGTAGTAGGCAGGGGAAGGGTGTAGGCGGCGAAAAGGGGAGGGAGAAGGCCGCCCCCGCGAATCCTGGCGTGCGGTAGATCGACGGAGGGCCCTCGTCTCGTAGGTCAAAGACGCGCCGCGGGTGGGGCTTGCATGCGCGTCTCGCGTCGTGAGTTGGGGGGCTGCTCGTTGTGAGTTGAAGGCCGAGCGAAGGGGGTTGTAGGCCGCGCGACTTGCTCGACGCGCCGGTGCGGGTGCCGCGTGGTTAGCTCGTCCTCGCGGCGCCTCGAGTGCCCGTACCTACGTTGCTTGCAACGCAACGCGAAGGGCGGCCTTGAAGGGGGCGAGGTGCAGATTCTTCGATTCTCGGCTACATATCTACGTGGTAGGTACGACTAGAACTTGAACACCTAGAGATGTGTTAGCGCGAGACCGACGCCGAGTAGCAGCCACTCTCACCTGCTCGGGGGTGTAGTTGAGCTCCTTCAACACGCCCGAAAGCTCGCCCTGCGCGTAGCCGGCCTTCTTGCCAGCAAGCGAAGCTACCTGACCAGGCGGGCCGCACACAAGCACCTTGACCTTCTCGCCAAGAGTCGCAGGCGCGACGTGTTGCTTGATGAGCTCCGCGTTCACGTAGCCAGTCGGACCCTTCCAGCCCTCGCTCGGCTTGTCGAGGGTGTAGACGGCCTTGAAGGTGTTCGGGTACTTCTTCTCCCACTCGTCGAACTGCTCCTTGAGGAGGATGTCCTTCTCGGTGACGTTGGCGAAGATGAGCGTGAAGCGCGTCTTGTTCTCCTTGTTCTTGAGCGCGTACTCGAGGATCTGATGCATGGGGGTGCTGGGGAGGCATGAGTCGAGGGACGGGAAGGGGAGGTGGTGGTACGTACATGCCGCTACCGCCAGCAATCATGGCGACCTCATCGAACTGGTTGACTGCTGAGGTGTGAGGCGGGTTCAGTGCAGTCCAGTCCCCCACTCACTCTGCCACGGGATCTTCATGATGGGACCCTTGATACCCAGCTTGTCGCCCTCCTGTCGGCGCGTAAGTGCAGGCACAGAACCCTCGGTCTGCGACGCGTACCTTCATCTCAAAGATGTGCTTCGACATCTTGCCAGTGTCGTACTTCTTGATCAGGATCGACAGCTCGCCCTGCTTGTCCGAGGGCGTGATCGGGGTGTACGGGCGGATGACGGGCTTGCCCTTGTCGTCCAGGAGCGTGTCCGACTTTGTGACCACGCACGACGCGACGGGGAGCATCGAGGACTGGTTGTCCGGGAGCTCGAAGACGAAGGTGGAGGTGTTGTGGTTGTAGGGGATGACCTTCTTCAGCTTGAAGTCGATGAAGTTGTCCGGGTCGAGCGGGCTCTTCTCCTGCTTGGGGACCGGCGCCGCGTCCTCGCGGTAGAGCGTGTAGTAGGCGCCGGCGCCAGCCAGACCGGCCAGGGCGAAGTAGAGGGGCGCATTCGACGCCTTCTTGGGAGTCTCGGGTGCGGTCGACGCGAACCGACGGGCTCCGAAGCGCGCAGATTGGGACTGCGACTGTCAGCTAGGCTCGTTCTCTCGTCCTCGCTCAACTCACAAGGGGCCGAATGGCAGAGGTCGCCCTGAGGAAGGTCGCAGACATGGCTGGCGGGTCTGAGAGTGTGGGTCCGGGAACGGGCGGGAGAGCGAACTTCGCACCCCGCTTTATAAATGACGACAAAGTGCGAAGGGCGAAGGGATCATTGCGCTCGAGCGTGTCTTGCGCGTATGAGGCGAAGCGACGACCGGGTTGGGGCAGAAACCAAGCAACACCGTCTCGATCTGCATCCCGCCGGGCGCCCAGAAGCCCTCACGTTCCCCAGGCTGACGTCGACTGGCATGGGAACGGGACGCGCTGTCAGAGATCACCGATCGTGGGGGAACAGCAGCGCCATCGCCACGTGGTCGCGCCTCATCACACTCAAGTCACACATCACACAGCTCGTCCTCAACCACCGTCCTCGTTTGCTCGCTACACGTTCCCCAGCCCCGCCGCCTGCCCCTCCGCCCTTGGGACCGTTCGGCAATTGCCGAATCGCCCGTTTTTCGCGCGGGCAGGAGCTCCACCTCCCCTTTGCGCGCGCGAGCGGAGCGAGCGCTTAAGCTACGCGATTTTCGCTATGTTACGTGGCTACTTTCGCTCTCACAGCACCGTCCTCTCCCCCTCTCCTCCCCCTCCCTCCCTCCTCCTCCCCCTTCCTCTCCTCCCTTTGCGGCGGGTGGGAGGGGCTCGGGGGAGGCGAGATGTTAGCAATATCGGTAGAGCTAAGGCCACGTACCGCGCTTGCGCGGCAACCCGGCGCCATTCTGCGCTCTGAATTGGCTGATTCTGCGCTGACCACGTCGCTGACTCACAACAGGTAAGCGGTCTCGCCACTAGACTCACGATGAGTAGCCGCGACTCCGCGCTCGCGCGGGGACCCAACACGATTTTTCGACGTCGAGATGGCCATTTCGTGAGTCTCGGAGGCGACACGAAGGGGCGTGAGGGAGTCTTGACGTCGTCGAAGGGAGCTCGGGCGTCGCCGAGGGCCCCAGCGCTGATACGCGTCCGCCCTCGCAGTCTGGTACGGGTGAGCACGCTGGCGGCGACGTAACCAACTCACCTTGATCAGCGAGATTCCTAACGACTCGACAACCCCGGTCGTCGGCAAGCGCCACCGTGGATGTTGATAGCACGGGGACTTGCTGATGTCGCGCGGGGACGAGGCGATGGTGTCGGGGGACAAGGCGATGGTGCGCAGGGACGAGGCGATGGTGCGCGGGAGCTTGCCGATCTTGCAGGCGAGGGGACGGGCAGGTGCGGATGACCTGAATGCCACTGGTAAGCTCTCTTGCGGGGAAGGAGACGGCGATAAACTCACGTTGACTAGGTAATCTTGTCGGGCGTGATCCCGGTGTCGCCATCGTCGTCGCAGGAGGCTGGGCCTTGCCGTCGTCCTCGCGCGCGGCCTTGTACAATCTGCGAGACGCCGACTGTCGCCTCGTGCTGGCGGGAGGCGGAACAGTCGACGGAGACGCGATCCGCACTCCTCCCGCTCGCTGCAGAGAGGTGAGTGGGTGCAGATGGATGGTACTGGATGCACTTACCCGGGTACGCCACCGACGCCGCGGTCAGCCTATCGCCGGCGATCCACGCCTCGATCTTGCTCATCCGAGGTGTTGTGCGACCCGTACGTCGTCCCAAGTCGGTGTCAGAGCGCGTGGCGAGCGCTTCGTGGGTGGATCGCGTCCGTGGCGTCTTCGAGGCGGGACAGTACCCGGGGTCTGCGGGGCCGTCCTCGACGCTTTTGGGGAGGTTTTCAAAGTATTCGGTGCGATTTTCGATGTCTTCGGAGTGGTTTTCGATGCCCTCGGGACGAGTAAGTACTCATAGTACACACTGTAAGCTCGAGTCAGTGAACATAGTACTTTTGCACGTACCCTCGGCCTGGGAATGAAGGAAACACCGTGCAAGCCAGGTAAGCTCATCTCGTGCATCAGACGCGACGCACGTACCTCGAGTCTCATCCTGATCCCGCTCGTTAGGCTGCCTCGTCGGCCGCGCTCCGTTACTCTTGGACCGCCGCGCTCGCAAAGAAGGTCAGTGCTCACCTCGGAGATTAATGTGAGTCCACGTACCTTGTTGGCGAGCTAATCTTGCCGTCGTGCACTAGGCACGACTCTCTGCGCGCGCACCCTCCATCTCTCGAGCTCGGGGGGCTCATCCTGCTTCTCTCGGGTCTCGGGCGCTCTCGCTGGTCTCTGACTCCCGGACTCGGGTTCCTGGCTCTCGCTCGCCTCGGGTCTCTTCAGTGCTTGCCCAGCCACTCCCGCATGTCGTTCGCTCGCCTCCGTCGCTCTCGAAGGTGTCCCGGTGTTGCTATTGATCAACGAGGTGTTGTACTTGCTGATTTCGCCTTGCTTAGATTGGGCAGTTACTGATAGTACCCACAGGTCTGCAGTCGTCGAGAGCAAGCAGCAATGTAGCCAGGAAGGGCAAGCAGGATGAAGTAAAGGATAAAGCTGTAGAGGTATGGAAGGAAGCCAGGTGCTGTAATGAGATGCACGAGGCAGGTGTGATCGCCGCTGTGGCGTGTGATGGGACTGGACCCTGATCTCGATTCCATCAATTCAGCATCTCTGACCGCGCACAGGATTACCTCTAAGGGAACCACTCGGAGCTCGGTAGAAATACCTGCCGCTGACGGGTAATCTTGAGGAGCGAGTTGAAGCTCGAGACTTGAGACGAGACAAGCAATTGCAAAGCAGCTTAGGGTACAGGAGTACAAGCTCAGGTGGTAGGATACAGTGATGAAAGGAACATAGTGGGAGTACAAGACGCGTGCCATCGCACGATACAGGCTCAGATGGACAGCACGAACAGCGAGCAAGTCGAGTAGCTCAAGCTCGAGAAGCCAATTCGTGAGCAAGGTGATGAGCACTACATCCAAGGCTTCAAAAATTCCGTACTCAGCTGCAAACGATCCGGCGACGCTTATAGAGGATGCCTTGAGCGCCCGGAGGTCGTACGACGTGGTCGGGAAAAATAGGTGAGCGGCGGCGGCGAGATTCGAAACCGCCCGGACAAGCCGCGCCGATGAGCCGTGGCGTCGAATCCGGCAAATCGCGGCGGACGCAAAGCGGTAAGCGGACGCGTCGACGTCTCTTGTCCCCCTCGCCCATCGTCCCCACACGCCAACCCAAGTCACCGACCACTTTAGATACGCCTACCTACCGCACTTACGACGCTATTAAGGACAACTCGTAGCGCATACACCATGAGAATCCGGGCAGTACATCTTTTGAGCAGTTCCCCCGCCGTCGAGATCAGACCGGCGGCAATACGAGCGCAATACATCCTCGACAAAGGCTTGACCTCAAAGGAGAAAATGGAAAAGGTACGTGCAAGATGCACGCACGACGGCCCTCACGAGCGTCACTGATGCGACGGGGGACCGCTTGAGCCGGCGGGATCGAGGTCGCGAGGAGTGACTAGGAAGCACCGACGGGCTTCTGTTGCCTGAGCGCGACTACAACCGACCTGCAAGGAACCCAGCAAGTCGTTCATGTGACTGTGATGAGGGTGCAGCCGCTCTCACGCGTCGACAATAGCAGGCCAGCTCAGCGGCGCGCAATTCCCCCAGCAGCTCGCGGCAGACCGCTTTGCGATTTGACCTTGCGGCGCGTCCAAAATGAAAGGCAAGTCATTCCCCCTTCATTTCAACACCATACCTACGACTGTCGAGCACCCAAGAACAATGAGAAGTACGCTTACCGCCTTATTGCCAGGAATCGCTCCGGCCCCAATCTTCTACCGCTCGACAGCGATAGTCGAGCTCCAACTCAGTGAAACACGGAGGTTCGGGGTGCGGTGATACTCTGACGCGGGGGGAGTGGGCTTCGAGAGCGGGAATGCAGTTTTGGCCGGAAGCGCAGATCAGCGCTTCACGGCTGCATGCTTGCAATATAGCAAAGCGAGAGTGGACGAAAGTGGTATGCAGAGTGAGTATGACTCGCAAGGGACGCTGGCGGCGCACGAGACAAAGTCCGTCCGGCTTTCGCGCTCGTTCTCGCGGGTGGCTGAATGCCTGCCTTTTGCGGCAGGCCATCAGTTCGACTTTCTGAACCCCAACTCACGAACCCTCAGCCTGAGCGGAGTCAAAGAAGGTGAATTCAACGACTGTCGGACCTTATGTCAAGACTTCCTACCCGTTAGCTTACGGTGAGTGGCTCGTAAACGGCTAGATACGCTAGACGGCGCATTTCCTGACTTTGCCGAGCAGCACCGTCTTCACCTCGGCGGCCACGCACTCGGGACAGCCTGACCCTAACCCCTAGGATCAAGAATACTGCCTCTATGTCGCTCTCTCCCTCCGCAACATCTGTATAATTGGTTTGCAAACGCCGCTCCTACCGCCCAGCCTCGCGTCCAAACTTCCACTGGCGCGGAGGCGATTTCTCGACACCGATCACTCAGGGTCCCATCATTTGTCATGATCAGACACGCGGAAGCCTGGGCGCCGGCTCCCTGAATTCGAAGGGAAGCGCGGAAGGTGCGCCGTTGGGGCTGAGCAGGACGAGGGTGAGCGGCAAGGAATATCCGGATTACAGCGGAGCGGAATCGCTTAGCGCGGCGATGGGGCATCAAGGGGGAGACGCGGCAAGTCTGACAAGTCCGTGCGCATGGTGGATTCGTATAAAGAGCGGGGTGAGTCGACTGGTTTCCTCACTTCCCCTTCCTCCTCTACTTCTCTCCTCTCCTCCTCTCCTCCTTCACCCCTCCGCTCCTTATCTCATTGAATTTGATCTCTATCCCTCTCTTTACACCTCTCCACTTGACTCTCCTTCTGAATCTCTTGACGAAGCGCCCGACTTCGGGACTTCATCGGGTCCATTGTGCTCGAGTTATCGTCCCAGTTCGTGATTTCCCAGTAGGACATGTCTCTTACTAACGAGAGAGACACAGGCTGAGTATCTCCTGCTCCCATTGCTCGACGCTCCGCCCAGCGGTCACGGTAAGACCGCATTTCATATCGCTTTGCATCATTGAGTTCTGTCTCCAGCTTTTACCTTCAATGCTAGAGACTTCGAGGTGAGTAGCGTTAGTCTCCTTTGTCACTGTCGCGCTTTTCGAACCTTTCTCATTCCAGTGAACATCGCCCGCTGGGCCCGAGAGCCTCGGAATATTGTGAGGTTATTGATTCTCTATCTATCACCTTGACCGCGTCCAACAAGCACAAGCGCACCCAGCCGGACGGTTACGCTCCCGACTCGCCCATGGCGTGTGCACCCCTCCGTCGACGGCCCCCTAGACTCGCTTGCATATTACCGACCTTCCCTTACCCTGTTGCGCAGTCAGCAAGAGCGTCAGCCAGGCGACGAGGACAGGTAAGTCGAGGATTCAGTCTCGATTCATTCACTTCATTTGCCACCAGCGACATTGCACCGACGGCGCCAGCGCCCACACTCTCACCATCCACTCGTCTTCTCCAATAGCCATCCGCCTCATCAATCGGCAAGCCAGCGACCACCCAACGAGCGAGCGGATTGCCCCACGCATTCCGTGAGTCTATACAGTCCATTACGACACGTGTCGCTGACCGTCCTTGCTTCCCAACCCCATGTTTTCGACTACACCAACACGCAGCACGACTTAAAGGGACGAGCTGGCCATACTGCCGTTCCAATCCTTGAAGATTCAGTGAGTTTATGTCTTTGCTACCTTCGCTGCCTTATTCACTTGCCCTTGTACGCAGGACTGAGCACGTCGATTGCGGATGGCAGGCGAATTCTGGTTCGCTGCTGCCTGCTCGCTGTAGGATTAACGGGCAGAGGTATTCAGGACCGCAGGTGCGTCTGTTTCTGATCAATCACGCTTTACTGACTGCTGCTCAAATCTATCTGGATGCGACAATCCTGACCGATAGGCAAGAGCGCGAACGCGTAGCTACACGAAATCCCCGCCATCGCTCCCTACACGACGACGCTGACGCCGCCGCCGCCTCCGTCGTATAGCCGTCGGACTAACTGTCCCTTCAGCAAGTGCGATGCGACGACGGGACACGGTCTTGAACAACGACTTTACGCGGCCCAAAAACCGCCGGAGGCCTGCGCGGGGCTACTAGGGCGAGTGATTCGTCCTTACCAAGGCGTAATATGAGCTGACTTTGCACGCAACACCAGTAACGCGGACGAGGACGCTTGATCAGGTCGCTGAGGCCAATTTTGAGGTGAGTCCTAGTCGTCTTTTATCTCGCGCGTACTGACCCTGAGCACAGGCTTCTGCGGCCAGCCCAAGCCGCCGGAGGCATGCGCGTCGTCCCTAAGATGGGTAATGCGGAAGATTGGTATGTACCCGTTCGTCATGATCTACGGCGCTAGCTGACCTTTTTCCCGCTCACCATCAAGTTCTGGAGGTGCCACGGGCGCCCGCGCGGCGTTTGGAGGGATATCTACCTCCCAACTTGCCTCAGTAGCGAACCCGACGAAGTTCTCGGGGTCATTGAGGTGCGTAAATACGTGTACGCTGTCTGCACGGCGAAGTACCGACTGACCGTCTATTTAGGGACTTTCTGGAACTGCCGAGCCACCGGAGGCACGCGCGGGGCTACTACAGCGAAGGACGCGATATCATGGTACGTGTCATGCCGCGGAGCGGTGCAAGCACGCGGAGATACGAGACGCAGCTGCCGATGCGATGGGCTGACTCGCGCGACCAGGACGAGAGGCTGAGCACACAATGGATTACCGACCGCTTCGTGACACGAGTAAGCTACAGTCCGCCTTCTATGCGCACCGACTCGCTGAACCCGATCGCAGGTCCGTTACGCTGTCTCCACGCGCCTCCCCTTTCGCTCTGGGGAGGGGAGACCATGCCGGTCCGTCACGCTGTGCACCGCGCTCGCTGCGGCCCATAAATTGGTAGATCCATGTTGACTGACCGCTCGAGGAGGTAAAATACATCGGTTCTGGCCCGTTCAGGCATCGTGCATACGTCGCAGACGCCATGCAAGCCGGTCTTCCGGGCCTTTCAGTAAGTTAAAGTGTATCATCTCGATTTGAGCTCGAGAAACTCACGCACCCCTTTCAGAATCCGCTTTTAACAATAGCCCACCGCAATCTGAATGTCAAGCACATCGTTGAGGACTACATCTCGAGGTACGTACTCGCCCGAACCTGCCCTCAACTCATTTCTAACACGCTTATCCCTGCAGGATCGCCTCAAACTTCTCATTTGATTGAGATGAGGCGCCTTCTGGCTTATGCACGCGTCGCAGGAACGTAGGCAGTCGATGGATACTCAATAAACGTTTGTGATGCTGCATGGGACGCCGTGCAGCCCCGCCCACTCCCTGCTCGCCGCGCTCCTAGCGTTTTCACGGGACTTTTGATTTACTCACCAAAATTCGAACTCGGCGAGTTCTACCTCAACTGCAATGAGCGTGATGAGACTGACCGTTTAACAGGCTTGCTGAGGCGCGTACGAGGCTAGATATACCCCACTACTCACGCCGAAGGGCTTTTCGGGGGATGGAGGCTCGCATGAGCTAGAGACGATGTAAGGTAGTTCATTCGCTTGTAATGACTTCTCTTAGCTGTTCAGGTACCTGAATACATGAAAGATACATAGTATGATACATAAAGTACCCATCCTCGCCGTGAAAAACCCGCGCGTGGTCGGGAAAGTCATGCCGAGCGCCACCTTTAGTAAATTTCGACAATTCCCCAAGGTAAGCCCCTCGCATTCTGTGACCACAAACCGCTTTTCTGACCTTCTTTCGTGCCTGTATAGGTCCATTCTCATGCGTCGTCCATCGCCCGGTCACGCGGAGTCGTCGGAATCAAGGTGAGTACTCGACTTCGTACACTTCCCACCTTGCCACCCCCTCCCCCACGTATCCATTCCCTTCTCTTTCTCGTGCTCATACCCTCGCCTTCCAATTCCACTTGAGTATTTCAATGAACTTGTATCATCATCTCTGCCTACGACATCAACTGCTATGCACTTGTACTTGACCACCTTCCCCCTCCCTTTCGACAACTACCCTCCCCCAGCACCCCACCCTCGTCGTACCTGCCCCTTCTCGGCGCGCTCGTTGTCGCCCTGCCATCCCCCACCGTTTGACAACCTTCCCCCGTCGCCTTCGCCACCTTCTCTCGGCGCTTCCTCGCCCCCCTCCCTTTCGCCAACTACCCTCCCCCATCACCTCACCCTCGTCGTAGGCACCCATTCCCAGCTCGCCCACGATTGCACTGCCATCCCTCATCGTCGACTAACGCTCCTTCGTCGTCTCCGAGGACCCTACCCTCGCCTTCACCACCTTCTCCTCGTGCTCCCCCAACCCCTCCTCAGCAACTGCCCTCCCCTATCACCCATTCCTTACATCGCTCATCGTCCCTATACCATTCCCCATCATCTGGCCGCCTCCCAACGTCTCCTCCGAGTCCCCTACCCTCGCCTTAGCCACCTTCTCCTCGTGCACCCCACCCCCTACTTCTCGGCAACTGCCCTCCCCCATCACCCATCACCCATCGTACCCATCCATTCCCAGCTGTCCCATCGTCGCTCTACCATTCCCCGTCTCCCACGACCATCCGCAATCCCCTCCGAGGCCCTTCCCTTCGACTTCACCCCCTTCTCCTCCCCTCCCTCTCTATCTCTCACTCTCTCCGTGTCGCTGATAGTCTCGCAGATGGCCCTCTGGTGTCGTGATTTTCTATGCGAAGCTGCGCCGCCTTCGACGAGATCCTCGGCGCTCTTCGAAGCGATGGGGAGGGGGGCTGGCCTATGCGAGTGGGGGAGGGGGAGGGGCGTTCTCGAGGTGCGCTTCGTCGGTGGCCTGAGCGTCGACGCGTACGATGCCGTGTCGTCGCGCATGAGCTGCGACGTAGTCCGAGTCCTCGTGAGTTGCGTCTTCGGGCGTGGGTGGCCGAGAGGTGGGGGGAGGAGGGGAATCTTCGCGAAGGGGGACGAGGGAGGGGGGATTACTTGGCCTTAAACTCAATCTTCGCGACCTCGAGCGCCGTCGCTATGTTCGTTGAGTGAGTTCCCCGTCGTGCTATGACTTTGTTCTGCTGACTCGCACACGCAGGATGCGAGGGGGAGGGTGGGGAGGTGCATCTTTGTCTCCCCGAGATCATGCCTTCGCCGTCCTCTCGATGTCGGGGGCATCTCGTCGCCCCCGGTTTCGCATGCGCGGACGCACGGTGAGGTGCGGCTGGGGTTTGGACGGTGTATTCGGGTGGGGGAGGGGGCGTAGTAGGCAGGGGAAGGGTGTAGGCGGCGAAAAGGGGAGGGAGAAGGCCGCCCCCGCGAATCCTGGCGTGCGGTAGATCGACGGAGGGCCCTCGTCTCGTAGGTCAACGATGCGCCGCGGGTGGGGCGTGCATGCGCGTCTCGCGTCGTGAGTTGGGGGGCTGCTCGTTCTGAGTTGAAGGCCGAGCGAAGGGTGTTGTAGGCCGCGCGACTTGCTCGACGCGCCGGTGCGGGTGCTGCGTGGTTAGCTCGTCCTCGCGGCGCCTCGAGTACCCGTACCTACGTCGCTTGCAACGCGAAGGGCGGCCTTGAAGGGGGCGAGGTACAGATTCTTCAATTCTCGGCTACATATCTACGTGGTAGGTACGACTAGAACTTGAACACCTAGAGATGTGTTAGCGCGAGACCGACGCCCGAGTAGCAGCCACTCTCACCTGCTCGGGGGTGTAGTTGAGCTCCTTCAACACGCCCGAAAGCTCGCCCTGCGCGTAGCCGGCCTTCTTGCCAGCGAGCGAGGCGACCTGACCAGGCGGGCCGCACACGAGCACCTTGACCTTCTCGCCAAGAGTCGCAGGCGCGACGTGTTGCTTGATGAGCTCCGCGTTCACGTAGCCGGTCGGACCCTTCCAGCCCTCGCTTGGCTTGTCGAGGGTGTAGACGGCCTTGAAGGTGTTCGGGTACTTCTTCTCCCACTCGTCGAACTGCTCCTTGAGGAGGATGTCCTTCTCGGTGACGTTGGCGAAGATGAGCGTGAAGCGCGTCTTGTTCTCCTTGTTCTTGAGCGCGTACTCGAGGATCTGGTGCATGGGGGTGCTGGGGAGGCGTGAGTCGAGGGAAGGGAAGGGGAGGTGGTGGTACGTACATGCCGCTTCCGCCAGCAATCATAGCAACCTCATCGAACTGATTGACTGCGGAGGTGTGAGGCGGGTTCAGTGCAGTCCAGTCCCCCACTCACTCTGCCACGGGATCTTCATGATGGGACCCTTGATACCCAGCTTGTCGCCCTCCTGTCGGCGCGTGAGTGCAGGCACAGAACGCCCGGTCTGCGACGCGTACCTTCATCTCAAAGATGTGCTTCGACATCTTGCCAGTGTCGTACTTCTTGATCAGGATCGACAGCTCGCCCTGCTTGTCCGAGGGCGTGATCGGGGTGTACGGGCGGATGACAGGCTTGCCCTTGTCGTCCAGGAGCGTGTCCGACTTTGTGACCACGCACGACGCGACGGGGAGCATCGAGGACTGGTTGTCCGGGAGCTCGAAGACGAAGGTGGAGGTGTTGTGGTTGTAAGGGATGACCTTCTTCAGCTTGAAGTCGATGAAGTTGTCCGGGTCGAGCGGGCTCTTCTCCTGCTTGGGGACCGGCGCCGCGTCCTCGCGGTAGAGCGTGTAGTAGGCGCCGGCGCCAGCCAGACCGGCCAGGGCGAAGTAGAGGGGCGCATTCGACGCCTTCTTGGGAGTCTCGGGTGCGGTCGACGCGAACCGACGGGCTCCGAAGCGCGCAGATTGGGACTGCGACTGTCAGCTGGGCTCGTTCTCCCGTCCTCGCTCAACTCACAAGGGGCCGAATGGCAGAGGTCGCCCTGAGGAAGGTCGCAGACATGGCTGGCGGGTCTGAGTGCGGGAACGGGTGGGAGAGCGAACTTCGCACCCCGCTTCATAAATGACGACAAAGTGCGAAGGGCGAAGGGATCATTGCGCTCGAGCGTGTCTTGCGCGTATGAGGCGAAGCGACGACCGGGTTTGGGCAGAAACCAAGCAACGCGCTCTCGATCTGCATCCCGCCGGGCGCCCAGAAACCCTCACGTTCCCAACTCCCGGCCCACCAGGCTGACGTCGACTGGACGCGCTGTCAGAGATCACCGATCGTGGGGGAACAGCAGCAAGCAGCAGCGCCACGTGGTCGCGCCTCATCACACTCAAGTCACACATCACACAGCTCGTCCTCAACCACCGTCCTCGTTTGCTCGCTACACGTTCCCCAACCCCGCCGCCTGCCCCTCCGCCCTTGGGACCGTTCGGCAATTGCCGAATCGCCCGTTTTTCGCGCGGGCAGGAGCTCCACCTCCCCTTTGCGCGCGCGAGCGGAGCGAGCGCTTAAGCTACGCGATTTTCGCTATTTTACGTGGCTACTTTCGCTCTCACAGCACCGTCCTCTCCCCCTCTCCCCCTCTCCCCCTCTCCTCCCCCTCTCCTCCCCCTCCCTCCCTCCTCCTCCCCCTTTCTCCCCTCCCTTTGCGGCGGGTGGGAGGGGCTCGGGGGAGGCGAGATGTTAGCAATATCGGTAGAGCCAAGGCCACGTACCGCGCTTGCGCGGCGACCCGGCGCCATCCTGCGCTCTGAATTGGCTCATTCTGCGCTGACCACGTCGCTGACTCACGACAGGTAAGCGGTCTCGCCTCTAGACTCACGACGAGTAGCCGCGACTCCGCGCTCGCGCGGGGACCCAACGCGATTTTTCGACGTCGAGATGGCCATTTCGTCAGTCTCGGAGGCGACGCGAAGGGGCGTGAGGGAGTCTTGACGTCGTCGAAGAGAGCCCGGGCGTCGCCGAGGGCCCCAGCGCTGATACGCGTCCGCCCTCGCAGTCTGGTACGGGTGAGCACGCTGGCGGCGACGTAACCAACTCACCTTGATCAGCGAGATTCCTAACGACTCGACAACCCCGGTCGTCGGCAAGCGCCACCGTGGATGTTGATAGCACGGGGACTTGCTGATGTCGCGCGGGGACGAGGCGATGGTGTCGGGGGACAAGGCGATGGTGCGCAGGGACGAGGCGATGGTGCGCGGGAGCTTGCCGATCTTGCAGGCGAGGGGACGGGCAGGTGCGGATGACCTGAATGCCACTGGTAAGCTCTCTTGCGGGGAAGGAGACGGCGATAAACTCACGTTGACTAGGTAATCTTGTCGGGCGTGATCCCGGTGTCGCCATCGTCGTCGCAGGAGGCTGGGCCTTGCCGTCGTCCTCGCGCGCGGCCTTGTACAATCTGCGAGACGCCGACTGTCGCCTCGTGCTGGCGGGAGGCGGAACAGTCGACGGAGACGCGATCCGCACTCCTCCCGCTCGCTGCAGAGAGGTGAGTGGGTGCAGATGGATGGTACTGGATGCACTTACCCGGGTACGCCACCGACGCCGCGGTCAGCCTATCGCCGGCGATCCACGCCTCGATCTTGCTCATCCGAGGTGTTGTGCGACCCGTACGTCGTCCCAAGTCGGTGTCAGAGCGCGTGGCGAGCGCTTCGTGGGTGGATCGCGTCCGTGGCGTCTTCGAGGCGGGACAGTACCCGGGGTCTGCGGGGCCGTCCTCGACGCTTTTGGGGAGGTTTTCAAAGTATTCGGTGCGATTTTCGATGTCTTCGGAGTGGTTTTCGATGCCCTCGGGACGAGTAAGTACTCATAGTACACACTGTAAGCTCGAGTCAGTGAACATAGTACTTTTGCACGTACCCTCGGCCTGGGAATGAAGGAAACACCGTGCAAGCCAGGTAAGCTCATCTCGTGCATCAGACGCGACGCACGTACCTCGAGTCTCATCCTGATCCCGCTCGTTAGGCTGCCTCGTCGGCCGCGCTCCGTTACTCTTGGACCGCCGCGCTCGCAAAGAAGGTCAGTGCTCACCTCGGAGATTAATGTGAGTCCACGTACCTTGTTGGCGAGCTAATCTTGCCGTCGTGCACTAGGCACGACTCTCTGCGCGCGCACCCTCCATCTCTCGAGCTCGGGGGGCTCATCCTGCTTCTCTCGGGTCTCGGGCGCTCTCGCTGGTCTCTGACTCCCGGACTCGGGTTCCTGGCTCTCGCTCGCCTCGGGTCTCTTCAGTGCTTGCCCAGCCACTCCCGCATGTCGTTCGCTCGCCTCCGTCGCTCTCGAAGGTGTCCCGGTGTTGCTATTGATCAACGAGGTGTTGTACTTGCTGATTTCGCCTTGCTTAGATTGGGCAGTTACTGATAGTACCCACAGGTCTGCAGTCGTCGAGAGCAAGCAGCAATGTAGCCAGGAAGGGCAAGCAGGATGAAGTAAAGGATAAAGCTGTAGAGGTATGGAAGGAAGCCAGGTGCTGTAATGAGATGCACGAGGCAGGTGTGATCGCCGCTGTGGCGTGTGATGGGACTGGACCCTGATCTCGATTCCATCAATTCAGCATCTCTGACCGCGCACAGGATTACCTCTAAGGGAACCACTCGGAGCTCGGTAGAAATACCTGCCGCTGACGGGTAATCTTGAGGAGCGAGTTGAAGCTCGAGACTTGAGACGAGACAAGCAATTGCAAAGCAGCTTAGGGTACAGGAGTACAAGCTCAGGTGGTAGGATACAGTGATGAAAGGAACATAGTGGGAGTACAAGACGCGTGCCATCGCACGATACAGGCTCAGATGGACAGCACGAACAGCGAGCAAGTCGAGTAGCTCAAGCTCGAGAAGCCAATTCGTGAGCAAGGTGATGAGCACTACATCCAAGGCTTCAAAAATTCCGTACTCAGCTGCAAACGATCCGGCGACGCTTATAGAGGATGCCTTGAGCGCCCGGAGGTCGTACGACGTGGTCGGGAAAAATAGGTGAGCGGCGGCGGCGAGATTCGAAACCGCCCGGACAAGCCGCGCCGATGAGCCGTGGCGTCGAATCCGGCAAATCGCGGCGGACGCAAAGCGGTAAGCGGACGCGTCGACGTCTCTTGTCCCCCTCTCGTCCCCACTCGCCAACCCAAGTCACCGACCACTTTAGATATGCCTACCTACCGCACTTACGACGCTATCAAGGACAACTCGTAGCGCATACACCATGAGAATCCGGGCAGTATATCTTTTGAGCAGTTCCCCCGCCGTCGAGATCAGACCGGCGGCAACACGAGCGCAACACATCCTCGACAAAGGCTTGACCTGAAAGGAGAAAACGGAAAGGTACGTGCAAGATGCACGCACGACGGACTACAACCGACCTGCAAGGAACCCACCAAGTCGTTCATGTGACTGTGATGAGGGTGCAGCCGCTCTCACGCGTCGACAATAGCAGACCAGCTCAGCGGCGCGCAATTCCCCCAGCAGCTCGCGGCAGACCGCTTTGCGATCTGACCTTGCGGCGCGTCCAAAATGAAAGGCAAGTCATTCCCCCTTCATTTCAACACCATACCTACGACTGTCGAGCACCCAAGAACAATGAGAAGTACGCTTACCGCCTTATTGCCAGGAATCGCTCCGGCCCCAATCTTCTACCGCTCGACAGCGATAGTCGAGCTCCAACTCAGTGAAACACGGAGGTTCGGGGTCATCCGGTACGGCGATACTCTGACGCGGGAGGAGTGGGCTTCGAGAGCGGGAATGCAGTTTTGGCCGGAAGCGCAGATCAGCGCTTCACGGCTGCATGCTTGCAATATAGCAAAGCGAGAGTGGACGAAAGTGGTATGCAGAGTGAGTATGACTCGCAAGGGACGCTGGCGGCGCACGAGACAAAGTCCGTCCGGCTTTCGCGCTCGTTCTCGCGGGTGGCTGAATGCCTGCCTTTTGCGGCAGGCCATCAGTTCGACTTTCTGAACCCCAACTCACGAACCCTCAGCCTGAGCGGAGTCAAAGAAGGTGAATTCAACGACTGTCGGACCTTATGTCAAGACTTCCTACCCGTTAGCTTACGGTGAGTGGCTCGTAAACGGCTAGATACGCTAGACGGCGCATTTCCTGACTTTGCCGAGCAGCACCGTCTTCACCTCGGCGGCCACGCACTCGGGACAGCCTGACCCTAACCCCTAGGATCAAGAATACTGCCTCTATGTCGCTCTCTCCCTCCGCAACATCTGTATAATTGGTTTGCAAACGCCGCTCCTACCGCCCAGCCTCGCGTCCAAACTTCCACTGGCGCGGAGGCGATTTCTCGACACCGATCACTCAGGGTCCCATCATTTGTCATGATCAGACACGCGGAAGCCTGGGCGCCGGCTCCCTGAATTCGAAGGGAAGCGCGGAAGGTGCGCCGTTGGGGCTGAGCAGGACGAGGGTGAGCGGCAAGGAATATCCGGATTACAGCGGAGCGGAATCGCTTAGCGCGGCGATGGGGCATCAAGGGGGAGACGCGGCAAGTCTGACAAGTCCGTGCGCATGGTGGATTCGTATAAAGAGCGGGGTGAGTCGACTGGTTTCCTCACTTCCCCTTCCTCCTCTACTTCTCTCCTCTCCTCCTCTCCTCCTTCACCCCTCCGCTCCTTATCTCATTGAATTTGATCTCTATCCCTCTCTTTACACCTCTCCACTTGACTCTCCTTCTGAATCTCTTGACGAAGCGCCCGACTTCGGGACTTCATCGGGTCCATTGTGCTCGAGTTATCGTCCCAGTTCGTGATTTCCCAGTAGGACATGTCTCTTACTAACGAGAGAGACACAGGCTGAGTATCTCCTGCTCCCATTGCTCGACGCTCCGCCCAGCGGTCACGGTAAGACCGCATTTCATATCGCTTTGCATCATTGAGTTCTGTCTCCAGCTTTTACCTTCAATGCTAGAGACTTCGAGGTGAGTAGCGTTAGTCTCCTTTGTCACTGTCGCGCTTTTCGAACCTTTCTCATTCCAGTGAACATCGCCCGCTGGGCCCGAGAGCCTCGGAATATTGTGAGGTTATTGATTCTCTATCTATCACCTTGACCGCGTCCAACAAGCACAAGCGCACCCAGCCGGACGGTTACGCTCCCGACTCGCCCATGGCGTGTGCACCCCTCCGTCGACGGCCCCCTAGACTCGCTTGCATATTACCGACCTTCCCTTACCCTGTTGCGCAGTCAGCAAGAGCGTCAGCCAGGCGACGAGGACAGGTAAGTCGAGGATTCAGTCTCGATTCATTCACTTCATTTGCCACCAGCGACATTGCACCGACGGCGCCAGCGCCCACACTCTCACCATCCACTCGTCTTCTCCAATAGCCATCCGCCTCATCAATCGGCAAGCCAGCGACCACCCAACGAGCGAGCGGATTGCCCCACGCATTCCGTGAGTCTATACAGTCCATTACGACACGTGTCGCTGACCGTCCTTGCTTCCCAACCCCATGTTTTCGACTACACCAACACGCAGCACGACTTAAAGGGACGAGCTGGCCATACTGCCGTTCCAATCCTTGAAGATTCAGTGAGTTTATGTCTTTGCTACCTTCGCTGCCTTATTCACTTGCCCTTGTACGCAGGACTGAGCACGTCGATTGCGGATGGCAGGCGAATTCTGGTTCGCTGCTGCCTGCTCGCTGTAGGATTAACGGGCAGAGGTATTCAGGACCGCAGGTGCGTCTGTTTCTGATCAATCACGCTTTACTGACTGCTGCTCAAATCTATCTGGATGCGACAATCCTGACCGATAGGCAAGAGCGCGAACGCGTAGCTACACGAAATCCCCGCCATCGCTCCCTACACGACGACGCTGACGCCGCCGCCGCCTCCGTCGTATAGCCGTCGGACTAACTGTCCCTTCAGCAAGTGCGATGCGACGACGGGACACGGTCTTGAACAACGACTTTACGCGGCCCAAAAACCGCCGGAGGCCTGCGCGGGGCTACTAGGGCGAGTGATTCGTCCTTACCAAGGCGTAATATGAGCTGACTTTGCACGCAACACCAGTAACGCGGACGAGGACGCTTGATCAGGTCGCTGAGGCCAATTTTGAGGTGAGTCCTAGTCGTCTTTTATCTCGCGCGTACTGACCCTGAGCACAGGCTTCTGCGGCCAGCCCAAGCCGCCGGAGGCATGCGCGTCGTCCCTAAGATGGGTAATGCGGAAGATTGGTATGTACCCGTTCGTCATGATCTACGGCGCTAGCTGACCTTTTTCCCGCTCACCATCAAGTTCTGGAGGTGCCACGGGCGCCCGCGCGGCGTTTGGAGGGATATCTACCTCCCAACTTGCCTCAGTAGCGAACCCGACGAAGTTCTCGGGGTCATTGAGGTGCGTAAATACGTGTACGCTGTCTGCACGGCGAAGTACCGACTGACCGTCTATTTAGGGACTTTCTGGAACTGCCGAGCCACCGGAGGCACGCGCGGGGCTACTACAGCGAAGGACGCGATATCATGGTACGTGTCATGCCGCGGAGCGGTGCAAGCACGCGGAGATACGAGACGCAGCTGCCGATGCGATGGGCTGACTCGCGCGACCAGGACGAGAGGCTGAGCACACAATGGATTACCGACCGCTTCGTGACACGAGTAAGCTACAGTCCGCCTTCTATGCGCACCGACTCGCTGAACCCGATCGCAGGTCCGTTACGCTGTCTCCACGCGCCTCCCCTTTCGCTCTGGGGAGGGGAGACCATGCCGGTCCGTCACGCTGTGCACCGCGCTCGCTGCGGCCCATAAATTGGTAGATCCATGTTGACTGACCGCTCGAGGAGGTAAAATACATCGGTTCTGGCCCGTTCAGGCATCGTGCATACGTCGCAGACGCCATGCAAGCCGGTCTTCCGGGCCTTTCAGTAAGTTAAAGTGTATCATCTCGATTTGAGCTCGAGAAACTCACGCACCCCTTTCAGAATCCGCTTTTAACAATAGCCCACCGCAATCTGAATGTCAAGCACATCGTTGAGGACTACATCTCGAGGTACGTACTCGCCCGAACCTGCCCTCAACTCATTTCTAACACGCTTATCCCTGCAGGATCGCCTCAAACTTCTCATTTGATTGAGATGAGGCGCCTTCTGGCTTATGCACGCGTCGCAGGAACGTAGGCAGTCGATGGATACTCAATAAACGTTTGTGATGCTGCATGGGACGCCGTGCAGCCCCGCCCACTCCCTGCTCGCCGCGCTCCTAGCGTTTTCACGGGACTTTTGATTTACTCACCAAAATTCGAACTCGGCGAGTTCTACCTCAACTGCAATGAGCGTGATGAGACTGACCGTTTAACAGGCTTGCTGAGGCGCGTACGAGGCTAGATATACCCCACTACTCACGCCGAAGGGCTTTTCGGGGGATGGAGGCTCGCATGAGCTAGAGACGATGTAAGGTAGTTCATTCGCTTGTAATGACTTCTCTTAGCTGTTCAGGTACCTGAATACATGAAAGATACATAGTATGATACATAAAGTACCCATCCTCGCCGTGAAAAACCCGCGCGTGGTCGGGAAAGTCATGCCGAGCGCCACCTTTAGTAAATTTCGACAATTCCCCAAGGTAAGCCCCTCGCATTCTGTGACCACAAACCGCTTTTCTGACCTTCTTTCGTGCCTGTATAGGTCCATTCTCATGCGTCGTCCATCGCCCGGTCACGCGGAGTCGTCGGAATCAAGGTGAGTACTCGACTTCGTACACTTCCCACCTTGCCACCCCCTCCCCCACGTATCCATTCCCTTCTCTTTCTCGTGCTCATACCCTCGCCTTCCAATTCCACTTGAGTATTTCAATGAACTTGTATCATCATCTCTGCCTACGACATCAACTGCTATGCACTTGTACTTGACCACCTTCCCCCTCCCTTTCGACAACTACCCTCCCCCAGCACCCCACCCTCGTCGTACCTGCCCCTTCTCGGCGCGCTCGTTGTCGCCCTGCCATCCCCCACCGTTTGACAACCTTCCCCCGTCGCCTTCGCCACCTTCTCTCGGCGCTTCCTCGCCCCCCTCCCTTTCGCCAACTACCCTCCCCCATCACCTCACCCTCGTCGTAGGCACCCATTCCCAGCTCGCCCACGATTGCACTGCCATCCCTCATCGTCGACTAACGCTCCTTCGTCGTCTCCGAGGACCCTACCCTCGCCTTCACCACCTTCTCCTCGTGCTCCCCCAACCCCTCCTCAGCAACTGCCCTCCCCTATCACCCATTCCTTACATCGCTCATCGTCCCTATACCATTCCCCATCATCTGGCCGCCTCCCAACGTCTCCTCCGAGTCCCCTACCCTCGCCTTAGCCACCTTCTCCTCGTGCACCCCACCCCCTACTTCTCGGCAACTGCCCTCCCCCATCACCCATCACCCATCGTACCCATCCATTCCCAGCTGTCCCATCGTCGCTCTACCATTCCCCGTCTCCCACGACCATCCGCAATCCCCTCCGAGGCCCTTCCCTTCGACTTCACCCCCTTCTCCTCCCCTCCCTCTCTATCTCTCACTCTCTCCGTGTCGCTGATAGTCTCGCAGATGGCCCTCTGGTGTCGTGATTTTCTATGCGAAGCTGCGCCGCCTTCGACGAGATCCTCGGTGCTCTTCGAAGCGATGGGGAGGGGGGCTGGCCTATGCGAGTGGGGGAGGGGGAGGGGCGTTCTCGAGGTGCGCTTCGTCGGTGGCCTGAGCGTCGACGCGTACGATGCCGTGTCGTCGCGCATGAGCTGCGACGTAGTCCGAGTCCTCGTGAGTTGCGTCTTCGGGCGCGGGTGGCCGACAGGTGGGGGGAGGAGGGGGATCTTCGCGAAGGGGGACGAGGGAGGGGGGATTACTTGGCCTTGAACTCGATCTTCGCAACCTCGAGCGCCGTCGCTATGTTCGTTAAGTGAGTTCCCCGTCGTGCTATGACTTCGTTCTGCTGACTCGCACACGCAGGATGCGAGGGAGAGGGTGGGGAGGTGCATCTTTGTCTCCCCGAGATCATGCCTTCGCCGTCCTCTCGATGTCGGGGGCATCTCGTCGCCCCCGGTGTCGCATGCGCGGACGCACGGTGATGTGCGGATGGAATTTGGAGGGTGTATTCGGATGGGGGAGGGGACGTAGTAGGCAGGGGAAGGGTGTGGGCGGCGAAAAGGGGAGGGAGAAGGCTGCCCCCGCGAATCCTGGCGTGCGGTAGATCGACGGAGGGCCCTCGTCTCGTAGGTCAAAGACGCGCCGCGGGTGGGGCGTGCATGCGCGTCTCGCGTCGTCAGTTGGGGGGCTGCTCGTTGTGAGTTGGAGGCCGAGCGAAGGGTGTAGTAGGCCGCGCGACTTGCTCGACGCGCCGGTGCGGGTGCTGCGTGGTTAGCTCGTCCTCGCGGCGCCTCGAGTGCCCGTACCTACGTCGCTTGCAACGCGAAGGGCGGCCTTGAAGGGGGCGAGGTACAGATTCTTCAATTCTCGGCTACATATCTACGTGATAGGTACGACTAGAACTTGAACACCTAGAGATGTGTTAGCGCGAGACCGATGCCCGAGTAGCAGCCACTCTCACCTGCTCAGGGGTGTAGTTGAGCTCCTTCAACACGCCCGAAAGCTCGCCCTGCGCGTAGCCGGCCTTCTTGCCAGCGAGGGAAGCGACCTGACCAGGCGGGCCGCACACAAGCACCTTGACCTTCTCGCCAAGAGTCGCAGGCGCGACGTGTTGCTTGATGAGCTCCGCGTTCACGTAGCCAGTCGGACCCTTCCAGCCCTCGCTCGGCTTGTCGAGGGTGTAGACGGCCTTGAAGGTGTTCGGGTACTTCTTCTCCCACTCGTCGAACTGCTCCTTGAGGAGGATGTCCTTCTCGGTGACGTTGGCGAAGATGAGCGTGAAGCGCGTCTTGTTCTCCTTGTTCTTGAGCGCGTACTCGAGGATCTGGTGCATGGGGGTGCTGGGGAGGCGTGAGTCGAGGGAAGGGAAGGGGAGGGGGTGGTACGTACATGCCGCTACCGCCAGCAATCATGGCGACCTCATCGAACTGGTTGACTGCGAGGGTGTGAGGCGGGTTCAGTGCAGTCTAGTCCCCCACTCACTCTGCCACGGGATCTTCATGATGGGACCCTTGATACCCAGCTTGTCGCCCTCCTGTCGGCGCGTAAGTGCAGGCACAGAACGCCCGGTCTGCGACGCGTACCTTCATCTCAAAGATGTGCTTGGACATCTTGCCAGTGTCGTACTTCTTGATCAGGATCGACAGCTCGCCCTGCTTGTCCGAGGGCGTGATCGGGGTGTACGGGCGGATGACAGGCTTGCCCTTGTCGTCCAGGAGCGTGTCCGACTTTGTGACCACGCACGACGCGACGGGGAGCATCGAGGACTGGTTGTCCGGGAGCTCGAAGACGAAGGTGGAGGTGTTGTGGTTGTAAGGGATGACCTTCTTCAGCTTGAAGTCGATGAAGTTGTCCGGGTCGAGCGGGCTCTTCTCCTGCTTGGGGACCGGCGCAGCGTCTTCGCGGTAGAGCGTGTAGTAGGCGCCGGCGCCGGCCAGACCGGCCAGGGCGAAGTAGAGGGGCGCATTCGACGCCTTCTTGTGAGTCTCGGGTGCGGTCGACGCGAACCGACGGGCTCCGAAGCGCGCAGATTGGGACTGCGACTGTCAGCTGGGCTCGTTCTCCCGCTCTCGCTCGACTCACAAGGGGCCGAATGGCAGAGGTCGCCCTGAGGAACGTCGCGGACATGGCTGGCGAGTCTGAGTGCGGGAATGCGCGGGAGAGCGAACTTCGCACCCCGCTTCATAAATGACGACAAAGTGCGAAGGGCGAAGGGATCATTGCGCTCGAGCGTGTCTTGCGCGTATGAGGCGAAGCGACGACCGGGTTTGGGCAGAAACCAAGCAACGCGCTCTCGATCTGCATCCCGCCGGGCGCCCAGAAACCCTCACGTTCCCAACTCCCGGCCCACCAGGCTGACGTCGACTGGACGCGCTGTCAGAGATCACCGATCGTGGGGGAACAGCAGCAAGCAGCAGCGCCACGTGGTCGCGCCTCATCACACTCAAGTCACACATCACACAGCTCGTCCTCAACCACCGTCCTCGTTTGCTCGCTACACGTTCCCCAACCCCGCCGCCTGCCCCTCCGCCCTTGGGACCGTTCGGCAATTGCCGAATCGCCCGTTTTTCGCGCGGGCAGGAGCTCCACCTCCCCTTTGCGCGCGCGAGCGGAGCGAGCGCTTAAGCTACGCGATTTTCGCTATTTTACGTGGCTACTTTCGCTCTCACAGCACCGTCCTCTCCCCCTCTCCCCCTCTCCCCCTCTCCTCCCCCTCTCCTCCCCCTCCCTCCCTCCTCCTCCCCCTTTCTCCCCTCCCTTTGCGGCGGGTGGGAGGGGCTCGGGGGAGGCGAGATGTTAGCAATATCGGTAGAGCCAAGGCCACGTACCGCGCTTGCGCGGCGACCCGGCGCCATCCTGCGCTCTGAATTGGCTCATTCTGCGCTGACCACGTCGCTGACTCACGACAGGTAAGCGGTCTCGCCTCTAGACTCACGACGAGTAGCCGCGACTCCGCGCTCGCGCGGGGACCCAACGCGATTTTTCGACGTCGAGATGGCCATTTCGTCAGTCTCGGAGGCGACGCGAAGGGGCGTGAGGGAGTCTTGATGTCGTCGAAGGGAGCTCGGGCGTCGCCGAGGGCCCCAGCGCTGATACGCGGGAGCTTGGCGATTTTGCAGGCGAGGGGACGGGCAGGTGCGGATGACCTGAATGCCACTGGTAAGCTCTCTTGCGGGGAAGGAGACGGCGATAAACTCACGTTGACTAAATAATCTTGTGGGGCGTGATCCCGGTGTCGCAGGAGGCTGGGCCTTGCCGTCGTCCTCGCGGGCGGCCTTGTACGATCTGCGAGATGCCGACTGCCGCCTCGTCCTGGTGGGAGGCGGAACAGTCGACGGAGACGCGATCCGCACTCCTCCCGCTCGCTGCAGAGAGGTGAGTGGGTGCAGATGGATGGTACTGGATGCACTTACCCGGGTGCGCCACCGACGCCGCGGTCAGCCTATCGCCGGCGATCCACGCCTCGATCTTGCTCATCCGAGGTGTCGTGCGACCTGTACGTCGTCCCAAGTCGGTGTCAGAGCGCGTGGCGAGCGCTTCGTGGGTGGATCGCGTCCGTGGCGTCTTCGAGGCGGGACGGTACCCGGGGTCTGCGGGGCCGTCCTCGACGCTTTTGGGGAGGTTTTCGAAGTATTCGGTGCGGTTTTCGATGTCTTCGGTGCGGTTTTCGATGTCTTCGGAGTGGTTTTCGACGTCCTCGGGACGAGTAAGTACTCATAGTACACACTGTAAGCTCGAGTCAGTGAACATAGTACTTTTGCACGTACCCTCGGCCTGGGAATGAAGGAAACACCGTGCAAGCCAGGTAAGCTCATCTCGTGCATCAGATGCGACGCACGTACCTCGAGTCTCATCCTGATCCCGCTCGTTAGGCTGCCTCGTCGGCCGCGCTCCGTTACTCTTGGACCGCCGCACTCGCAAAGAAGGTCAGCGCTCAACTCGGAGATTAATGTGAGTCCACGTACCTTGTTTGCGAGCTAATCTTGCCGTTGTGCACTAGGCACGACTCTCTGCGCGCGCACCCTCCATCTCTCGAGCTCTGGGGGCTCGGGTTCTCGGGTGCTCTTGCTAGTCTCTGACTCCCGGACTTGGGATCCTGGCTCTCGCTCGCCTCGGGTCTCTTCAGTGCTTGCCCAGCCACTCCCGCATGTCGCGCGCTCGCCTCCGTCGCTCTCAAAGGTGTCCCGGTGTTGCTATTGATCAACGAGGTGTCGTACTTGCTGATTTTGCCTTGCTTAGATTGGGCAGTTACTGATAGTAACCACAGGTCTGCAGTCGCCGAGAGCAAGCAGCAACGTAGCCAGGAAGTGTAGCAAGCAGGAGGAAGTAGAGGATAAAGCTGTAGAGGTATGGAAGGAAGCCAGGTGCTGTAATGAGATGCACGAGGCAGGTGTGATCGCCGCTGTGGCGTGTGATGGGACTGGACCCTGATCTCGATTCCATCAATTCAGCATCTCTGACCGTGCACAGAATTACCTCTAAGGGCACCACCCTCCGCTCGGAGCTCGGTAGAAATACCTGCCGTTGACGGGTAATCTTGAGGAGCGAGTTGAAGCTCGAGACTTGAGACGAGACAAGCAATTGCAAAGCAGCTTAGGGTACAGGAGTACAAGCTCAGGTGGTAGGATACAGTCATAAAAGGAACATAGTGGGAGTACAAGACGCGTGCCATCGCGCGATACAGGCTCAGATGGACAGCACGAACAGCGAGCAAGTCGAGTGGCTCAAGCTTGAGAAGCCAACTCGTGAGCAAGGTGATGAGCACTACATCCAAGGCTTCAAAAATTCCGTACTCAGCTGCAAAAGATCCGGCGACGCTTATAGATAATGCCTTGAGCCCCCGGAGGTCGTACGACGTGGTCGGGAAAAATAGGTGAATGGCGGCGGCGAGATTCGAAACCGCCCGGACAAGCCGCGCCGATGAGCCGTGGCGTCGAATTCGGCAAATCGCGGCGGACGCAAAGCGGTAAGCGGACGCGTCGACGTCTCTTGTCCCCCTCGCCCATCGTCCCCACACGCCAACCCAAGTCACCGACCACTTTAGATACGCCTACCTACCGCACTTACGACGCTATTAAGGACAACTCGTAGCGCATACACCATGAGAATCCGGGCAGTACATCTTTTGAGCAGTTCCCCCGCCGTCGAGATCAGACCGGCGGCAATACGAGCGCAATACATCCTCGACAAAGGCTTGACCTCAAAGGAGAAAATGGAAAAGGTACGTGCAAGATGCACGCACGACGGCCCTCACGAGCGTCACTGATGCGACGGGGGACCGCTTGAGCCGGCGGGATCGAGGTCGCGAGGAGTGACTAGGAAGCACCGACGGGCTTCTGTTGCCTGAGCGCGACTACAACCGACCTGCAAGGAACCCAGCAAGTCGTTCATGTGACTGTGATGAGGGTGCAGCCGCTCTCACGCGTCGACAATAGCAGGCCAGCTCAGCGGCGCGCAATTCCCCCAGCAGCTCGCGGCAGACCGCTTTGCGATTTGACCTTGCGGCGCGTCCAAAATGAAAGGCAAGTCATTCCCCCTTCATTTCAACACCATACCTACGACTGTCGAGCACCCAAGAACAATGAGAAGTACGCTTACCGCCTTATTGCCAGGAATCGCTCCGGCCCCAATCTTCTACCGCTCGACAGCGATAGTCGAGCTCCAACTCAGTGAAACACGGAGGTTCGGGGTGCGGTGATACTCTGACGCGGGGGGAGTGGGCTTCGAGAGCGGGAATGCAGTTTTGGCCGGAAGCGCAGATCAGCGCTTCACGGCTGCATGCTTGCAATATAGCAAAGCGAGAGTGGACGAAAGTGGTATGCAGAGTGAGTATGACTCGCAAGGGACGCTGGCGGCGCACGAGACAAAGTCCGTCCGGCTTTCGCGCTCGTTCTCGCGGGTGGCTGAATGCCTGCCTTTTGCGGCAGGCCATCAGTTCGACTTTCTGAACCCCAACTCACGAACCCTCAGCCTGAGCGGAGTCAAAGAAGGTGAATTCAACGACTGTCGGACCTTATGTCAAGACTTCCTACCCGTTAGCTTACGGTGAGTGGCTCGTAAACGGCTAGATACGCTAGACGGCGCATTTCCTGACTTTGCCAAGCAACACCGTCTTCACCTCGGCGGCCACGCACTCGGGACAGCCTACCCCTAACCCCTAGGATCAAGAATACTGCCTCTATGTCGCTCTCTCCCTCCGCAACATCTGTATATTTGGTTTGCAAACGCCACTCCTACCGCCCAGCCTCGCGTCCAAACTTCCACTGGCGCGGAGGCGATTTCTCGACACCGATCACTCAGGGTCCCATCATTTGTCATGATCAGACACGCGGAAGCCTGGGCGCCGGCTCCCTGAATTCGAAGGGAAGCGCGGAAGGTGCGCCGTTGGGGCTGAGCAGGACGAGGGCGAGCGGCAAGGAATATCCGGATTACAGCGGAGCGGAATTGCTTAGCGCGGCGATGGGGCATCAAGGGGGAGATGCGGCAAAGTCTGACAAGTCCGTGCGCTTGGTGGATTCGTATAAAGAGCGGGGTGAGTCGACTGGTTTCCTCACTTCCCCTTCCTCCTCTCCTCCTCTCCTCTCCTCCTCTCCTCCTTCACGCCTCCGCTCCTTATCTCATTGACTTTAATCTCTATCCCTCTCTTTACACCTCTCCACTTGACTCTCCTTCTGAATCTCTTGACGAAGCGCCCGACTTTGGGAGTTCATCGGGTCCATTGTGCTCGAGTTATCGTCCCAGTTCGTGATTTCCCAGTAGGACATGTCTCTTTCTAACGAGCGAGACACAGGCTGAGTGTCTCCTGCTCCCATTGCTCGACGCTCCGCCCAGCGGTCACGGTAAGACCGCATTTCATATCGCTTTGCATCATTGAGTTCTGTCTCCAGCTTTTACCTTCAATGCTAGAGACTTCGAGGTGAGTAGCGTTAGTCTCCTTTGTCACTGTCGCGCTTTTCTGACCTTTCCCATCCCAGTGAACATCGTCCGCTGGGTCCGAGAGCCTCGGAATTTTGTGAGGTTATTGATTCTCTTGACCGCGTCCAACAAGCACAAGCGCACCCAGCCGGACGGTCACGCTCCCGACTCGCCCATCGAGCGTGCACCCCTCCGTCGACGGCCCCCTAGACTCGCTTGCATATTACCGACCTTCCCTTACCCTGTTGCGCAGTCAGCAAGAGCGTCAGCCAGGCGACGAGGACAGGTAAGTCGAGGATTCAGTCTTGATTCATTCACTTCATTTGCCACCAGCGACATTGCACCGACGGCGCCAGCGCCCACACTCTCACCACCCACTCGTCTTCTCCAATAGCCATCCGCCTCATCAATCGGCAAGCCAGCGACCACCCAACGAGCGGATCGCCCCACGCATTCCGTGAGTCTATACAGTCCATTACGACACGTGTCGCTGACCGTCCTTGCTTCCCACCCCCATCTTTTCGACTACACCAACACGCAGCACGACTTGAAGGGACGAGCTGGCCATACTGCCGTTCCAATCCCTGAAGATTCAGTGAGTTTATGTCTTTGCTACCTTCGCTGCGCCCTTATTCACTTGCCTTTGTACGCAGGACTGAGCACGTCGATTGCGGATGGCAGGCGAATTCTGGTTCGCTGCTGCCTGCTCGCGGTAGGATTAACGGGCAGAGGTATTCAGGACCGCAGGTGCGTCTGTTTCTGATCAATCGCGCTTTACTGACTGCTGCTCAGATCTATTTGGATGCGACAATCCTGACCGATAGGCAAGAGCGCGAACGCGTAGCTACACGAAATCCCCGCCATCGCTCCCTACACGACGACGTTGACGCTGCCGCCTCCGTCGTATAGCCGTCGGACCAACTGTCCCTTCAGCAAGTGCGATGCGACGACGGGACACACGGTCTTGAACGACAACTTTACGCGGCCCAAAAACCGCCGGAGGCCTGCGCGGGGCTACTAGGGCGAGTGATTCGTCCTTACCAAGGCGTAATATGAGCTGACTTTGCACGCAACACCAGTAACGCGGACGAGGACGCTTGATCAGGTCGCTGAGGCCAATTTTGAGGTGAGTCCTAGCCGTCTTTTATCTCGCGCCTACTGACCCTGAGCACAGGCTTCTGCGGCCAGCCCAAGCCGCCGGAGGCATGCGCGTCGTCCCTAAGATGGGTAATGCGGAAAATTGGTATGTACTCGGTCGTCATGATTTACGGCGCTAGCTGACCTTTTTCCCGCTCACCATCAAGTTCTGGAGGTGCCACGGGCGCCCGCGCGGCGTTTGGAGGGATATCTACCTCCCAACTTGTCTCAGTAGCGAACCCGACGAAGTTCTCGGGGTCATTGAGGTGCGTAAATACGTGTACGCTGTCTGCACGACGAAGTACCGACTGACCGTCTATTTAGGGACTTTCTGAGACTCCCGAGCCGCCGGAGGCACGCGCGGGGCTACTACAGCGAAGGACGCGATATCATGGTACGTGTCATGCCGCGGAGCGGTGCAAGCACGCGGAGATACGAGACGCAGCTGCCGATGCGATGGGCTGACTCGCGCGACCAGGACGAGAGGCTGAGCACACAATGGATTACCGACCGCTTCGTGACACGAGTAAGCTACAGTCCGCCTTCTATGCGCACCGACTCGCTGAACCCGATCGCAGGTCCGTTACGCTGTCTCCACGCGCCTCCCCTTTCGCTCTGGGGAGGGGAGACCATGCCGGTCCGTCACGCTGTGCACCGCGCTCGCTGCGGCCCATAAATTGGTAGATTCATGTTGACTGACCGCTCGAGGAGGTAAAATACATCGATTCTGGCCCGTTCAGGCATCGTGCATACGTTGCAGACGCCATGCAAGCCGGTCTTCCGGGCCTTTCAGTAAGTCCAAGTGTATCATCTCGATTTGAGCTCGAGAAACTCACGCACCCCTTTCAGAATCCGCTTTTAACAATAGCCCACCGCAATCTGAATGCCGAGCACATCGTTTAGGACTACATCTCGAGGTACGTACTCGCCCGAACCTGCCCTCAACTCATTTCTAACACGCTTATCCCTGCAGAATCGCCTCAAACTTCTCATTCGATTGAGATGAGGCGCCTTCTAGCTTAAGCACGTGTCGCAGGAACGTAAGCAGTCGATGGATACTCAATAAACGTTTGTGATGCTGCATGGGACGCCGTGCAGCCCCGCCCACTCCCTGCTCGCCGCGCTCCTAGCGTTTTCACGGGACTTTTGATTTACTCACCAAAATTCGAACTCGGCGAGTTTTACTTCGACTGCAATGAGCGTGATGGGACTGACCGTTTAACAGGCTTGCTGAGGCGCGTACGAGGCTAGATATACCCCACTACTCACGCCGAAGGGCTTTTCGGGGGATGGAGGCTCGCATGAGCTAGAGACGGTGTAAGGTAGTTCATTCGCTTGTAATGACTTCTCGTAGCTGTTCAGGTACCTGAATACATGAAAGATACATAGTATGATACATAAAGTACCCATCCTCGCCGTGAAGAACCCGCGCCTGGTCGGGAAAGTCATGCCGAGCGCCACCTTTAGTAAATCTCGACAATTCCCCAAGGTAAGCCCCTCGCATTCTGTGACCACAAACCGCTTTTCTGACCTTCTTTCGTGCCTGTATAGGTCCATTCTCATACGTCGTCCATCGCCCGGTCACGCGGAGTCGTCGGAATCAACGTGAGTACTCAACTTTGTACACTTCTCACCTTGTCACCCCTCCCCTTCGCACTGATTCCCTTCTCACCTCCATGCTCATACCCTCGCCTTCCAATTCCACTTGAGTACCTCAATGAACTTGTATCATCATCTCTGCCTACGACATCAACTGCTATGCACTTGTACTTGACCCCCTCCTCCCTCCCTTTCGACAACTACCCTCCCCCAGCACCCCACCCTCGTCGTACCTACCCCTTCTCGGCGCGCTCGTTGTCGCCCTGCCATTCCCCACCGTTTGACAACCTTCCCCCATCGCCTTTGCCGCATTCTCTCGGCGCTTCCTCGCCCCCCTCCCTTTCGCCAACTACCCTCCCCCATCACCTCACTCTCGTCGTAGGCACCCATTCCCAGCTCGCCCACGATCGCACTGCCATCCCTCATCGTCGACTAACGCTCCTTGGTCGTCTCCAAGGTCCCCACCCTCGCCTTCACCACCTTCTCCTCGTGCTCCCCCAACCCCTCCTCAGCAACTGCCCTCCCCTATCACCCATTCCTTACATCGCTCATCGTCCCTATACTATTCCCCATCATCTGGCCGCCTCCCAACGTCTCCTCCGAGTCCCCTACCCTCGCCTTAGCCACCTTCTCCTCGTGCACCCCACCCCCTACTCCTCGGCAACTGCCCTCCCCCATCCCCCATCACCCATCGTACCCACCCATTCCCAGCTGTCCCATCGTCGCTCTACCATTCCCCGTCTCCCGCGACCCTCCGCAATCCCCTCCGAGGCCCTTCCCTTCGACTTCACCCCCTTCTCCTCCCCTCCCTCTCTATCTCTCGCTCTCTCCGTGTCCGACGACGTCGCTGATAGTCTCGCAGATGGCCCTCTGGTGTCGTGATTTTCTATGCGAAGCTGCGCCGCCTTCGACGAGATCCTCGGTGCTCTTCGAAGCGATGGGGAGGGGGGCTGGCCTATGCGAGTGGGGGAGGGGGAGGGGCGTTCTCGAGGTGCGCTTCGTCGGTGGCCTGAGCGTCGACGCGTACGATGCCGTGTCGTCGCGCATGAGCTGCGACGTAGTCCGAGTCCTCGTGAGTTGCGTCTTCGGGCGCGGGTGGCCGACAGGTGGGGGGAGGAGGGGGATCTTCGCGAAGGGGGACGAGGGAGGGGGGATTACTTGGCCTTGAACTCGATCTTCGCAACCTCGAGCGCCGTCGCTATGTTCGTTAAGTGAGTTCCCCGTCGTGCTATGACTTCGTTCTGCTGACTCGCACACGCAGGATGCGAGGGAGAGGGTGGGGAGGTGCATCTTTGTCTCCCCGAGATCATGCCTTCGCCGTCCTCTCGATGTCGGGGGCATCTCGTCGCCCCCGGTGTCGCATGCGCGGACGCACGGTGATGTGCGGATGGAATTTGGAGGGTGTATTCGGATGGGGGAGGGGACGTAGTAGGCAGGGGAAGGGTGTGGGCGGCGAAAAGGGGAGGGAGAAGGCTGCCCCCGCGAATCCTGGCGTGCGGTAGATCGACGGAGGGCCCTCGTCTCGTAGGTCAAAGACGCGCCGCGGGTGGGGCGTGCATGCGCGTCTCGCGTCGTCAGTTGGGGGGCTGCTCGTTGTGAGTTGGAGGCCGAGCGAAGGGTGTAGTAGGCCGCGCGACTTGCTCGACGCGCCGGTGCGGGTGCTGCGTGGTTAGCTCGTCCTCGCGGCGCCTCGAGTGCCCGTACCTACGTCGCTTGCAACGCGAAGGGCGGCCTTGAAGGGGGCGAGGTACAGATTCTTCAATTCTCGGCTACATATCTACGTGATAGGTACGACTAGAACTTGAACACCTAGAGATGTGTTAGCGCGAGACCGATGCCCGAGTAGCAGCCACTCTCACCTGCTCAGGGGTGTAGTTGAGCTCCTTCAACACGCCCGAAAGCTCGCCCTGCGCGTAGCCGGCCTTCTTGCCAGCGAGGGAAGCGACCTGACCAGGCGGGCCGCACACAAGCACCTTGACCTTCTCGCCAAGAGTCGCAGGCGCGACGTGTTGCTTGATGAGCTCCGCGTTCACGTAGCCAGTCGGACCCTTCCAGCCCTCGCTCGGCTTGTCGAGGGTGTAGACGGCCTTGAAGGTGTTCGGGTACTTCTTCTCCCACTCGTCGAACTGCTCCTTGAGGAGGATGTCCTTCTCGGTGACGTTGGCGAAGATGAGCGTGAAGCGCGTCTTGTTCTCCTTGTTCTTGAGCGCGTACTCGAGGATCTGGTGCATGGGGGTGCTGGGGAGGCGTGAGTCGAGGGAAGGGAAGGGGAGGGGGTGGTACGTACATGCCGCTACCGCCAGCAATCATGGCGACCTCATCGAACTGGTTGACTGCGAGGGTGTGAGGCGGGTTCAGTGCAGTCTAGTCCCCCACTCACTCTGCCACGGGATCTTCATGATGGGACCCTTGATACCCAGCTTGTCGCCCTCCTGTCGGCGCGTAAGTGCAGGCACAGAACGCCCGGTCTGCGACGCGTACCTTCATCTCAAAGATGTGCTTGGACATCTTGCCAGTGTCGTACTTCTTGATCAGGATCGACAGCTCGCCCTGCTTGTCCGAGGGCGTGATCGGGGTGTACGGGCGGATGACAGGCTTGCCCTTGTCGTCCAGGAGCGTGTCCGACTTTGTGACCACGCACGACGCGACGGGGAGCATCGAGGACTGGTTGTCCGGGAGCTCGAAGACGAAGGTGGAGGTGTTGTGGTTGTAAGGGATGACCTTCTTCAGCTTGAAGTCGATGAAGTTGTCCGGGTCGAGCGGGCTCTTCTCCTGCTTGGGGACCGGCGCAGCGTCTTCGCGGTAGAGCGTGTAGTAGGCGCCGGCGCCGGCCAGACCGGCCAGGGCGAAGTAGAGGGGCGCATTCGACGCCTTCTTGTGAGTCTCGGGTGCGGTCGACGCGAACCGACGGGCTCCGAAGCGCGCAGATTGGGACTGCGACTGTCAGCTGGGCTCGTTCTCCCGCTCTCGCTCGACTCACAAGGGGCCGAATGGCAGAGGTCGCCCTGAGGAACGTCGCGGACATGGCTGGCGAGTCTGAGTGCGGGAATGCGCGGGAGAGCGAACTTCGCACCCCGCTTCATAAATGACGACAAAGTGCGATTTGCTAAGCGCGTATTGCGCTCGAATACTATTTACCCGGCGTCCTGCCGTCTAGCGCCGTGTTCATGTAGCGGAGAGCACTGCAAGTTGTCCTCACGCCGTCCTCCTCGCTATGGCCGCCGTCGACGCCCGCGAAGAGGAGGGGGAAGGGGTCGTGCACGGTGGGTCGCCCATGACGTCATTCATGCCGGCCGGCATCGATGGACGTCCGGATTTGGGCAGAAACCAAACAAAGCCGTCTCGATCTGCATCCCGCCAGGCGCTCAGAAACCCTCACCTTCCCAACTCCCGGCCCACCAGGCCGACTACCACTTCGCTTCTTCTCTCCTACCACCATCATCCCAGTCTGAAGCATCATGTCCTTCATCAAGCTCAGCATATTCGGCACCAATTTTGAGGTCAATGAGTCCCTGTCGTCACCCTGTACCCTCCCTGAGATTATGTGCAGGTCACCACGCGTTATGTCGACCTACAGCCAGTGGGAATGGGTGAGTACATTGTACTATGGGCTCTCGTACTCCACGCCCTTTCAGTTTGCTGATAAGCCCGCTTACAGGCGCCTTTGGGCTCGTCTGGTATGTCCAGATGCAGAGATCAGTCGCGCACCCATCCTCACCTCCCTGCCACCCAGTTCCGCAAAGGACCAGCTCTCCGGCTCCTCTGTCGCGATCAAGAAGATCATGAAGCCCTTCAACACCCCTGTCCTCGCGAAGCGCACTTACCGAGAGCTCAAGCTCCTCAAGCACATCCAGCACGAAAACGTGCGCTGCACTCCCACCCATCTCCCGTGCGATGCGTCCTGATGCCCAGCCTCCAGATCATCAGCCTGCTCGATGTGTTCATCTCGCCGCTAGAGGACTTGTGCGTCGCCCTTGTCCACGTCGTCATCACCCTAATTAATAACCGCATGCGTGCGCCAGGTACTTCGTGACCGAGCTCCTTGGCACGGACTTGCACCGGCTGCTCACCTCAAGACCGCTCGAGAAGCAGTTCATCCAGTACTTCCTGTACCAGATTCTGGTGCGTGGGCACGGCGTTGTCAGATGGCTATCTGCTAACGCGCCGTTCAGCGCGGTCTCAAATACGTACACTCGGCGGGCGTCGTTCATCGCGATCTCGTGCGTAATGAAACCCTCTACCTCCACGACCGCCTTACACCCTATGCAGAAGCCGAGCAACATTCTCATAAACGAGAATTGTGACTTGAAGGTGGGTATCCGACCGTGCGCACTTACCACAAGCTGACGACCTGCAGATCTGTGATTTCGGCCTCGCACGAATCCAAGACCCGCAAATGACTGGCTACGTTTCGACGCGATACTACCGCGCTCCTGAAATCATGTTGACCTGGCAAAAATACGACGTCGCGGTTGACATCTGGAGTACCGGTTGCATCTTTGCAGAGATGCTCGAGGGCAAGCCATTGTTCCCGGGCAAGGATCGTACGTGCATCTTCCCCTTCCCCACGATCCCCACTTACCTATCGCCAGACGTCAACCAGTTCTCTATCATCACCGAGTTGCTGGGTACGCCGCCGGATGATGTCATTGAGACTATCTGCAGCGAGAACGTGAGCGCGCGCCACCCTGTATTGAGAACGGCTGACTGATCGTACCTTCAGACTCTTCGGTTCGTACAATCGCTCCCGAAGCGCGAGCGGCAACCGTTCAGCCAGAAGCTGCGGTGTAATGACCCGGAGGCGCTCGACCTCCTCGAGAAGATGCTTGTGTTCGACCCGAAGAAGCGCATCGACGCGACCGAGTCGCTCGCACACCCCTATGTGTCGCTCTACCACGACCCGACGGACGAGCCGGTCGCGGAGGAGAAGTTCGACTGGAGCTTCAACGACGCAGATCTGCCAGTAGATACGTGGAAGGTCATGATGTACAGTGAGATTTTGGGTACGCATCTCATGTTCGCGCCATCGACTCCTTCACTCACCCTCTTGCGCAGACTTTCACACCCCAGGCGCCGAGGAGGGCGACCTCGTGGCCAAGGGCGCGCTCGCCGGCCCCGACTACGCGGCAGAAGAGGAGGGCGCGGCACCCGTCGCAGCGGCGGAGTAGATCTATCATTATTCTCCGGTAATGCACGAACCACGGACTTTCTCTCTCGCCCCTTTCTATCCCCCGCCAGCGCTTGGTTCCCCTTTTCTTGTTCGCCTCTGCCGCCCGCCCTCGCCTTTCTTCCCCTCCTTGCGCGCGCTGTTATCGTAGAGCGTGTACGTGTCGTGTCGTATGTACAATGGTTGGTTACCCAAATCTTCTGCGCGCGTTGCTCCTGGGTCGCGTGCGCCTTCCATGTTCATGACCATGCCCATCCGCGTTGTCTATTCTCGTTGCGCCGCTTTCACTTTCTCGTTGCGCTGTGTTTTCTCTCCCGTCGCTTCTTCCGCCAATCCATCTCCTCTGTCATATACGATACGAGCCGTTCTAAGTATTCCTACATGTCATTACTAGCACTTGCCTCCTCCTCTTTGCAGATGTATATCCCACCGGGGGTTCTCACCGATGTAACTCAACAACAGTGTCATCCTCTCACCGCCAAATACACGACATGGCGCCAATGCATAATGTACAATCAATGATTTATGTAGCTATACGGAGTGTGGACGAGTGGGATCTGAAGATAGGGTCGGTAGACACACAGGAGTGAGATGAAGGTTAGTTGACAGCCAGTAAGGCCAGGTAAACAGGAGGCGAGGATAGGAAAATCAACCTCACATGCACGTGACCGTGACTCTTCTTTACGGCAATTGCCGAGTGGGTTCGATACGTGTGGCGGGCGCTTCTGCTCTTACCACCACCAGGCGCTACCTCTCAAACCCAATGAGCAGTGACAACCTCTGATATCTATCGGATTTCTGCATATACAGCGCTTCTAAGGATATACGACCATGCCGCTGAAGAGTCACAGGACGGCCTTCGAGGTTTGCTTTCCCGGGGAGACGCAGATCCCGGAGTCGCAAGTCGCGTCGGGATCTGGATCAAGGAAGCGACCTGGAGGGCCTTTGGATCACGGAAGGGTAGGATTTGTACTTGTTACATATATGCAGAGTTGCTAATCTGGATTCTACCTCCAGAGACGGACGCAGCGAAGTGAGTTGGCGCCTATGGTCCTGTTTCAGTTTAGTGCTGATAATTCGTCTCAATAGCGGGGCCTGTCTTCTACGAGCACGCGGACGGCACACCGAGTGAAGCAACAGGCTTTGAGCTTGAGGGAGAAGTCCGCGCGCCGGGCGATAAGGTCAAGCCTATCCGAACGCTGTCGGGTTTCTGCGTGTACGACCCAGCCAAGCGGTCGCAGCTGGCCTCACTCGCGACTGTTACCGAGGCTGAAGATGAAGATGAGGAGCAAGACACAGGACTGATGGCTGCGGGCTGGGTTCGCGCGGTCGCGGATGTGGACGAGGATGAGGGGCAGGACGATGACGAAGAAGACCAGCAAGGCGTATACGCTGAAATTGGACCGCTTCAGAGCACCTTCTACGAGGCCAAGCGACGCGATGGGTGAGAGCTTCGTCCCCTTTTTCGATGGGAATACTTACGTCACGCATCTCAGGCTGTTCTTTGTTCAAACAGAACAGGCATGGTACATCCTTACCGACCCGTCTGACGACTACCGCGACTTATACCTGGATGAGTTCTACCTACAGAGATTCTGCGCGCAGCTCGTCATCTCGAGGGCTCTCGAGGATCCGGGCCTGAGCTGGAATACGCTGAAGAGCACGATTGGGTCACTCCAAGCCCTTGATCAGCGACTACGAGTGGAGGATGTGCTAAACGCTGTAAGTGTGCAGTATAACTATTATTCGCAGCGGACACCGAGATTATTCCTCAGAAAGGTCATATACAGGCGGCCGTATGCAATCTCGACGCCAGTGACTTTAGAGAAGCCCTCGGTGCTAGGCTGATCACCGACCTCATCCCGAACGCAGGTCAGTTGCAGCGCCGTGAGACCGCTCGGAGACCCAGCCGATGGGACAACGAGCGCAACTTGGATCTCGCCGTTCTGCGGCCGGAGAATCAGACGACGACCTCCGTCATCCCGCTCATCGCGCAGCTCGCAGAGGGCCGCCTCACCGAGCCCGTCAACATCATAGGAAGACGCGGTGACCGGGGCGGCCTACCGGATGATGCTTTCTTTGAGCGCCATCATGAGCGCGAGATGCAGCTGATACAGATGTTGAGGAGGCAGTCTGCGCAGAAGTATTTCCGGTTTGAAGGAAATCGCGCAGATCCGCGGCCGAAGTCCCTCGTGATCGAGGATAGAGCAGGGAAGACTAGGTACTCTGTAGGTCTTCCATGATCGACTTCGGATGCGCTCTTCTAACGTTCAAGCAGGTCGGTGACACTGTCATTTTGATGAAGTACGAGAGCCTGCCGGAGATCCAACCTGGACACCATCTCTGCGATCTCTTCTGGTTTGCGACTATCGTGTACATCGACCGAACGTCGGAGCAAGTCCACATACGCTGGTTCGAAGCAGCGCCTTCGTCATGGCTAGACGAGATCGCGCATCCGCAAGAGCTATTCCTCACGGCGCTGTGCGACCCGAAGGGCCCGCGCGAGATTCTGGGACGCATTGAAGTTCACTGGAACGAATCCTCGGCACCAGTTGGCGAATTCTTCTGTAGGTGAGCCGCTGCGAGTTTCTCTTACCTCTCGTCACCTTACAAATGTCACGTAGGTATAATTTTGACAAGAACGTTGCATGCCTCACAACCGTAGAGCGCCCAACGTTGGAAGGGACCGACTGCACCGCGTGCCAGGCATTCCTTGACAAAGAAGCCGAAGCGGACGTGTACCCTCGCCGCTTCCGCAACAAGCAGCTATTCATCGAATTTGGCGGCCATGCGTACCACAAGTATGATTACTGCTTATACCGCGCGAAGGATGGACCAGCTCTAATTGGGCAGATCCGCCACTTCGAGGAGGCGGGGCATGGAGATACGATGCACGTACGGATACGGCCTTTAGGGCGATTCGGTGAGATCGTCGACCTTCCGCAACTTGAGTTGCGAGATGAGGTACGTCCTTCAGACCCATTCTACCTTTTTCTAATCAACTCCCAGCGACATCTTTGCCTGACCACCGAAGCCTCCATAACCCTTGACGCTACGAATCTCGTTCATCCATGCATGGTAGCTCACGCCGACCAAGCGCAGGCTATACCCGGCTGGCTAGACGACCCATATCATTTCTACGTCAAATATACCCTCCCTAATCGCAAATCGCGCTGGAATCAGCGTACCCCCCTGGCCAAACCCGAGGATGTCCCTGCCTGCAAAGTCTGCGTAGACGCCGCTGCCGCTACGTACAAGGCCGTCGAGCGCCCCTTCAACAGACACCTCGAGAAGCGCAAGCTCCGTGTCCTCGATGTCTTCGGCGGCGTCGGGGCCTTCAGTATGGGCCTTGCAGATGGCAGTCGCTGCATGAAGCTTACGCATCTGATCGAGAAGTCTCCATCGGCGGCGAAGACAGTCATCGCAAATTTCTCTGGAGTGCAGGTGTATAATCAGTGCGCGAATACGGTTCTGGAGTATATGGTCAAACGCCATGATAAGGTTACGTTACCAAGTGGTGATCCAGTACCGGCGCCCATGCAGATCTACGACGCCAATATCGCTTGCCCGCCTCCTATCAAACCGGGGGACATCGACGTTGTCGTGGCTGGTTTTCCATGGTGAGTGAGCCTAGCTCAGTCCTTCTGATTCTCATGAGGGTTGCAGTCAATCACACTCCTTGCTCAATCGTTTCCGCCGGATTGGCGACAAAAAGAACAACCTAATATGGAACGCCCTGTCCTGGGTCGGATTCCTCAAGCCGAAGTTCGTGTTCTTTGAGAATGTACCCGGGTTTTTGCAGTACAACCTGCTGCCTCGCCAAGTCAGCGCAAACCGACTTGAGGGCGGAATAGAAAAAGGCGGCCTGAAGCTATGCGTCCGCGCGCTTGCGGAGATGGGGTAAGTATTCGACCTCTTCAGATTCATCCTGCTGCTCACAAATCCACGTAAGATACCAACTGCGCTTCTGTCTCATGCAAGCCGGACATTATGGCGCACCCCAACACCGTGTTCGCTTCTTCGTCGTTGCCGCGAAGCAGGGCGTTCCTCTTCCAGACTTGCCTCAGCCGACGCACGACTTCACAACTATCGCGAAGCAATACGAGAGGCTGACCCTCGTCCTATCCAAGAACACGGACACGACCATTCGACCGATCAATACGCAGAATGGAGTAGCACCCTTCAAGGCAGTCACTGTTGCGGACGCTATCGACGATCTGAAGCGCTTTCACTGGTGACCAATTTCCATTGACCCTTGTCTGCGGCGGGTTAACTCTTTTCAGGAAACATCCGAAGCGACCGTCACCAAACGACGGCGCACCAATGGTGGCTTGTAATTCGCACTCTTTCTGGGGGTACGAGGGCGCCGATCTCTACGACCACGTCGAGACCACGAGTTTCCAGAGGGCTGCGCGCTGCAAACCCTCGCAGAATCTGCAGCATTTTACGAGGCGGCTACCGCTGCCAAATGTCGAGCGGTCTGTCGTTATATTTCTTGTGACGTGTGCGATGAATATTGCTGACTCATTTCCGCCAGAGTATTGGCAATCCCCAAGGGCGGCGACTCCCGACGTACGTGCGACATGATCTTTGCGGTCTTGAGGCTTACAACGCTCTCCAGACCTCCCCCGAGACTTACATTACTTTACCCCGTCGAATCCCATCTCCGCAACCGGTCGCGGTGGTTACAAGACTGGTAAGTATCGCGCTGGTTGGCAAACGCGGCCTGACTCAACGTTTATAGTCTACTACGGACGTCTCCACCCAGACGGCTTCTTCCCAGCGATCACAACGAACATCGGGCCCACGGCGAAGCAAGGGCGCGTCTTGCATTACTCAGTGCGTTCGCTGCTACACTATGGCTTTCGCAGGTTGCTCAAATGTTCCTTGTAGTGCGGCAGAATCGTTACCGTTCGTGAACTAGCTCGAGCTCAGGGCTTTCCGGATTGGTTCATATTCGAAAGGCTCGAAGAGGACGACATCCTGACGGTGAGCGATTGAATACATGGAAAACGCAATGCATTGACAGGATTTCATCTAGATACATCGACAAATAGGCAACGCAGTCCCTCTGCCGCTGGGCCGGGCGCTTGGTCGCGAGCTCCGGCGAGCGGCGATGGATGACTGGAGGAGAGAACAAGAGCGCAGAATGGCGAACGAGCAAGTCATCGACCTCACTGGTGAAGCTGCGTGATAAGAATGCTCACTCAGCTTCTTTCCTGCGGCGGACCTCCTCGAGTTGCCGCTCTGATCACCCTGTTAGCTTCGAGCTGCTCCAACCAATATACTATCACAAAACTCACCTTGCCATTCTTTCGAGGGTTCAAGTATCTCACCGGGCTGATAGTCCTTATTGTAAAAGCCGATGTCAGTCCAGAAGCTGTCCAGCAGGAGCCTCGCGCCCGACATCTCTGTGTCGTCGACATAGCTGCACGCAGGTGAGTGATTGAGCGGTAAGCAATGCATGCACATACGACTTCTCTTCATCACCAAATCCGACGAACTAAGCCGGTCAGTGAGGCGGCTTAAGTACTAGCAGTCAACGCCGGGTCTGACCTTGATGAGATACTCCTTTGCGATTGGAAACACAATTATTGAACCGCTTTTGAATAGTGGCAACGATGCTCACCCATCCACTATTGTCGGCTTTGACTCGCGGGTGCACAATCGTTTCTGTATAAGTAGCCATTAGACCATAGCTTGAGAACGAGACTTCGAACTCACCAATTTCGGAGTAGTACCAGAACTCATCGTCTGAATCATGCGTGGTGAAAGTGGCGGACATTGTGGCGTGCAGATAGCAGACGGAGACAAGCGAGGGATGAGGCATCACGTCATCTCATCTCACTTATAAACCCGGCAATGACGATCCCACGCGCAAGGCTGACCGGCGCCGGGTCCCGGAAGTTCTATTGTTCTCTTCATGGGGCAGAATCCGAAGATCAGCTGGTGTGGGTCGAAACCGATGCACCGCGCACGAAATACCGCATAGATCCTCAATTATACCGATACTGCCTTGACTTACGACGATGACAATAGCAGGCAATTGAATCGAGCCTGGCTTATCGATGTGGCTCCGGTTCGCAAGCCTGTGCGTGTCGGCAAACAATCACTGACCAAACCATGCACGTGTGCCTATGTTTTCTAGATGCATGTCAAAGCCACATCTCAATTTGGAACAATGGCGGCGGTCACAAACGGGCTTGTGGCGTGAGAAACTGTGATGGGCCGTACTTGTTTGTGACGGTACGTTTATGACCGACAAAGACTCTGGTACCGTGGATGCCTACTCGCAAGGCATGGTCATAATCACTACCTCAAGCAGTATTTAGTTGGAGAGCCAGGCAGAGAAAGATGTCTCCTCACCAAACCACCTAATCGCCCTCGTCCCATCTCTGACTATGTTCGAGGCCGAGCAATTCTTCACCTTCCCACCGGGGTCTCCCAGCGCTTCAAGGGCGTACAAGGACAGTCAAAGCAAGGACCTCGCCGTATTCAGCCAGTGGATGCTCTACTTCGAGCCTCGTGTCAAGTTGCTAAACCAGCGCATAACCGTCTGCGACAACTTGCAAGCGCGCCAGGCGCTCGAGCTTTCGCAAGACTGGGCCAGATTCGAGGACGCGATGAAACAGCTTAAGCTTTCTCGTCAATCCGAGCAGCGCCTGCACGAAGGGGCGCTCGTGCTGCTGAGAACGCTGTGCCAATATTGGTCCAACTACCACAACGCGTTCGAGAAGCGTGGCCCGGACGTGCTCCTCTCGCCAATCCTGCGAGCTGATATGCCGAATATGATTGGCTGGTTTAGTAACCTGAGAATCGACGCTATCGTCTTTGAGGGGCACCTCACGCGAGGCGGAAGATACCCGAAGTACTTGGAGGTGTTCCGACACGCCTTGTGCCATCGCGTTCGCAACAAGGAGGAATTGGTGAGTTTCGTGGGCCTGAAAGGCAGGCGAGGAAGACGCTAACCTGATACTCAGCCCAGCGCACGCTTCCGCGAGATAGCTGCTTGGAAAAACCGCTTCTCCTTCATGGCACGTTGCCTCCTGCCCGATATCAATGATGCAGGGTATATGAGAGATATGAGAGATCCAGTAACGATAGGAGGAGCTGTTGGAGAACATGTCGTGAGTTTGCATTAGTTGTTGCGACGTTCGAACATCATACCGACCACTACTAGATGAAGGACTTTTTTGACGCTTATACCGCGCAGAAGACCGAAGCCATGGTCTCGTACCTCGTCAACAGCACGACGATGATCATCGACCACTGCGCTCGCTTGGGCATGCCCGACGCTAGCGCCGTGCAAGCAGTCTGGGCGTTCATAGATAGGCTCAGCATTTGAATAGATGGAAATAACGAGTCAATACTTGTAGATTTTCCATGAAGAAAAAAGGACGCGTCGTGGGGACGCGGATCGTATCCCTCGGTACAGAACCCGAGTTTGTTTGTTCGGAAGCAATACACTGTGACGGCGAAATCGGCATCGGGAGTTGAAGTTGATGTCCGCACTGCCGTGGTCAAAGCCATCGGAGGCCCTGCGCAAATCCACTTGAGGGGTAATTGTATAATCACTGTGATTGGAGGCATTGTGACCCGCACCTGGACGAACGTCGGAGTGCTCGAACATCGTTGACCCTGTACAAAGTCGACCTCGACAAACGCGGCCATGCCCCGCACCGTCAGGTATATCTAGTCGGCGAGCGAGAGGGGGAAAATGTCAACTCACCACCGACGACCACCTATTCCCCCTCGCCTCACTTCCCAACATGCTCAAGCAGAAAGACTTCCTCACCTATCCTCCCGGTACCCGCATCGCTCCAGAGGAGGCTGACGAGGATACGAAGAGGCTCGCCGTCTTTGGCGAGTGGCAGCGGTTCTACTTCGAACCAGCTCTCGAGAAGCTAGGAACCAACGGCTTCTCCAGAAGAGCAGCGCGGAGAGTGCTGCACCTTTCGTACGATTTTTTGCAGTTCGAGGAGGTGATGAAGCGGCAGAGGTTCTACCTCCCTTTGCAGGCGGAGCAGCAGCTGCGCGATACGACCATCCAGATGTTGACCGTCGCGGGCAAGTACTGGGCCGACTACTACAACAAGCTGGAGAGGGGCTGTCTGGAAGGGCCATTGGTCGCTATAGGACCAGATGACATGCCTGCAGCGTTGGGCCGGTTTACCAAAATGAAGCTCGACGCATTCACTTTGTGGGCGCGCCTGACGCTAGCTGCAAGATACCCAAGATACTGGCTGATTCTCCGAATAGCGTTGTTCCATTACTTCCGCGATGAAGGGATTTGGGTAAGTGTTGTGGGAGGCAAACGAGATAATGAAGATGCTGACCCGTATTGCAGCCTTCTGCAAACTTCCGCGACGTGCATCGTTGGAGGGACCGCTTCTACGTTATGGAGCGCTGCCTTTGGCCCGACTTTAGGAACCACAAATTTATGAAGGACCCCGTCACTAAAGGAGGAGCTGTTGGACGACATAATGTGAGTTTGCGGTATCTTCGGTCATGAGCATGATTCTTACGGCGTATAGGCGAAGCTATTCTCCAAAGCGTGCGCCATGCTCGACACCGAGGCCATCATTTCGTGCCTTGTTAGCAACGTTACTTCGCTCGTCGATGACTGCCCGTGCTGGGCAGAAATTGACGATGCTGGCGCCGTGCAAGCAGTCTGGGCATTCTTGGAGATGCTCAATCCGCGATTTTAAAGCTGCCAGCCAGATTTCTGCGTTCCTAGAAACGCTCGCGATCGGAAGTGACAGGCCTTGCAAGCGGATAGGTACCTGTATTTATTCTGTAGATGCGGCAGGACCGCTGTTCATATTTATCGACGTTCCCTGAGTGTTTCTATCATGTGGTAACAGAGGGGACCATCGTAGGTCTGAGAACGACAGAGCGAGCAGCAACCACGCTTGTAGAGTCCGCTGGTGGGTGGTGGCGAGATGGGAGTTGGTAGCGTGGGAACTTTCTAAGACAGATCATCTATCGCCGCTCGGCATTTGCCGGGAGGGAGTATATCCTCCCAGACCATTATCGACGAATCGCTTCCTATCCTCTCTCGTGCATATACCGTGCTCCGGAGTCTCCATGCTTGAGCCAGCCCTTCTGTGCTCACGAGTGCTGCGACCAACAGCTGGTTGCTGAGTGCTCTCGAAGGCATTGAATGGACGCATCTGGGCGCGTTGGTTCTTGTGACACCTCTCACCCTTCTCCCACGAAGAAGAAAACAAGATGACCCACCGGAACTCAGCGGATCTTCCGACTTGTACCTCTCTACGGCTCCCTCTCGCAGGAAGCTATCTGGGAACAGCGGGCGCGCAAGCCTCCGTCATGATCATAGTTTCGGTCCACGCGCTCACGTCCGGTCCAGAAGGACTTCGTTCCCGTATCCGTCGAACAGACGATCCTCAAACAGCGTCCCGTGCCCGTCCGTTGCGCGGCTATACTCGACACGCGCTGACGCGGGCTCATGGGGCCGAAAGGCACCGATGAATTGTTGCAGTTGCACAACCCTTCTCCGCGCAGCGAGAACTCCTGATTTGCCTCTGATTTGCCATGGTTCCCTCAAGGCTTGTCTTCGACCTCCATCGTCTCTTCCTTACCTTCGGGGAGCGCATAGCAAATGAGGACCATTCTCTGCGTACTCTTGCTGGCGGCTGCGAGCGTTCTGGCGCAGTTCGACGGCCTGCCTAATTGCGCCGACGATTGCGCCGATCATGCTATTTCCGTATCCGGGTGCAGGTCGAGGTGCGTTTTTCGCGTTGCGCGCGCGAGTCGTACTGATTTCCTGCAGAGTCGACCTCGAATGCCTCTGCACGTCGGAGTCCTTCTCGTCCGAGACGGAGCAGTGCGCTGTGCATGCGTGCACGATTACCGAGCAGAGCATCGTCCGAGCCCTCCTGGACCGCCTTTGTGCCGCCGGTGCGTCATTTTCCGAGCTCCGGGGAGCTCAAACGAGGGGCTGACGCATCGTCAGCCACATCCTCGTCGTCCTCGTCATCGTCTAGTAGCTCACAGACGTCGACAGCGACGACCTCGAGCGGCTCGCAAACCGAGTCAAGCACTTCGTCGGAATCCGAGGCTCCCAGCACGACCGCCACGACCCCTACGACTACGCGCGCAGCCACCACAACGCGCAACACCGTCACCGCCGGCACGACCACCTTCACGTCTACCGCCCCCGACACGACCGTCACCCGCACCTCCGTGCACACCAGTGTAATTTCCGAGAATCCCACGAGCGCGAGCGAGGAAGGAAACCAGAACTCGCCGACCGCAACGAGAACCGCGACGAGCACGCTCACCAGTCATGCTACGATCACCGGCGCCGCCGAGGCCTCCAGCAGTCCCAAGACGAGCGCAAGCAGCACTAGTACGGTGAAGATGACGATCACCTCTGGCGTCTCGTCCGCTCGTGGTGCCGCTTCGCCCACCGGTGCTGACTTTGATGGGGCATTGCTGTCCATTGGTGGGCGTGCAGTGGCCCCAATCATCTCTGTTCTGGTCATTTTCCTCCTGTATGATCTTTGAGAACGTTGCACGACGAATTTGTTAGATGAGTGGACTAAGACTTTTCGCGTCTGTACTTATGTGTGTATTTCTGCTCATCTTGGGACTTCTTTCTATCTTGTTACGACCGTGATATCGTATGTGTGTAGTGTAAGCGTCGGTACTTGATGAATAACGTGATTATGCGTGTTACTGCAGAAGACGAGCGTACAGCCACCTGGAAAATCCAGGAAGAAATGCTTCCGCGCAACAATTCAATGACCTGGACCATGTTCGGCAAATGCCGGGCATTGTTCCCAGTTGGTGGCATCCGGCGAATGCGCCTTCAGAGTCACTGCGCAGCCGGTTCCCCCACATGGCTGGCTATGGCCATGCACGCAATATGAGCTCTTCGTTCTCGGCTAACAAGCTGGGGCAGATCTTGGTCATAGCCATCAAGACGACATAAACACCTCCCTATATATCCCCTCAAGATGTGGCAACGAGCTTTTCCTCACTTTCGAGTCCTCTTCCATTCCTCATGAGTATTCAGGCGCACACCGCTGGCGACTTCTACCAGCTCCCGCGCCAGCAGGGCCGCATCAGCCCCGAAGCCCAAGCCGATGTCGAGCGCTATGGGCCATATGTGGCGATCTACAACGAGTGGCAGCGGGCCCATTTTCAGCCTGCTATACATCGACTCAAGCAACGCCTGAGCGTCGTCGATGGCAGGCAGGTGCGCGAGGTTCTGGTTTTGTCCCAAGAGTGGGCCCTTTTCGAGAGTGTGGCCATGCGCCACCTCAAGCTCACGCCGAACTTGCGCGCGCACCTGCTCAGTACCACCAAAAAGCTTCTCGACATGGTCGGCAAGTACTGGGGCAACTACTATGCTGCTGTGGAAAGGCGCTCGCCAAAGGAACTCCAGAACTCGCCGTATCTCCTGCGTGACCCAGTGCTCGAGGGGCTCGTCAAGGACTGGTTCAAGAAGGTCAAAATCGACAGGCGCGCGCTGCGAGACGGCATCGTCAACTCCAGTGCTGAGAGGGGGCAACGTTACTGGGATATCTTCCGCGCCGGCCTGCTTCGAAAGCTGACAGCCACCGAGAGAGCAAAGCTAGTATGTGGCATATGATTATTGACGGCCTTTCCATCCACTGATTCACAGCGACAGCCAACCCAGCGCTTTCGCGAGATCCCAGACTGGAAAGCGCGCTTCCAACTGATGGCCAGGAGCTTCCAAGCAGACGTCGAAATGGCGCCCTTCATCGTGGACCCCATCACTCTAGGAGGAGCTATCGCGTATCGCAACGTCAGCTACACTGCAGTTGCTACGAGAAAGCCCTGACCTGACCTCATCTGCAGAGCGCAGCTTTCTACACCGACGGTCGCAGCAACCAATTGCAGTACATGGTCGACTGCATTTACGAGATCCTGGACCACATCTTGACGTGGCTTGGCATGGCGGAATCCTGCGGTGAGGAAGCCATTTGTGCCTTCCTCGAGGTCCATAATCTCTAGGGAAAAGTATAGTGATGGTCACGGGTAATGAGATGGAATAGCTTGACACGCACCGAGAATATTCATTGCTCAAGGTTCTTGCTTGCACACACTCTGGTAAGTGGAACACGAGAAATCGAGAATAAATAAGGATACTACAGACGCTTGGAAGCATGTTGAATAAAGTACAATGCGCATGATGGTCAGTCCCAGATGATCAGAGATTCTACAAATCGGCCGGCGACTATGGCGCGCTGGTCAAGATAGTTCATATAGTCGAACGATTCTATTATACCGCGCGCTTGACGGTATCGACGACCTCGGCACCCTTCCGAGCGAAGACGAGCTGCAGACTGTCAGATGATGGTCAAAGGAATGGAGAACACGACTCACCAAGTACGGATTCGCCGTATCTCCCGTTGTATCCGCGAACACCTCGCTCTTGTCCACCACGGTGACGTCCGAGTCGTTGTACTTGAACCACTGCTCAGGCTGCCCAGGCAAGTTCCGCGAATAGAAGAAGTAGTGACCCCACGACGGGCTGTTTCCGCGGTGAATGAACACGCTCGTGAGCTCGTACGCGACCTCGTGGTCGTCCGCCCACAGCGCCTCGAGCTCGGTCTTGAGCGCAACGATCTTCTTCTGCAGGCTGTCCATTTCTAGCTGGACGAATTCCTGCTCAGCGCGAAGTGCATTGATGAGCTGGGCATCGGCTTCTGGAAGCTCAATAGCCTCTTGGCGCGAGAGGAAGCTGATGGTCGAGCCGAGGGTGTTGTAGTATGGTGCGCCACCCTGGGTCCGGTGAGCCTCTAGTAGCCCTCGGAAGTGTCGGGTTTACACACCTTTCCTTGCTTGAGCAACCGCCATCGATCCCGACAGGACGTGAGCTCATGCTGTATCGCCTTGGACCTCATCTTCTTCTGCGGATCGCCACCGTCTAGGTAACGGTCCAAGTAGATCGTCTCGTGGAACTTGACATAAGCCTGGTTCTTATACGGCTGAAGTGTCTCGCGGTTAAATTGTACACGCTGTCGAAGTTCGTTAGTACGAAGTGTTTACCCCAAAACGTACTACGTACCTGGAGTTGTACTTGCAGCAACGGCGGGACATCCACAAGCTCAACCTCCATGCGACTCTTCTTGCCTTCGAACTCGACCGTGTCGTAGAAGTATCCACTGAGGCCGTCGTAAATGTCCGTGCCGTCCTCTGTCACGTTCAAAGGCAAATGCGAGAACAGATCTTCCTTCTCGTGTATGGAGCTTCGGGAGGATGCGTTCTCTGGTGATGCCACGATTCGCTGGCGTAGCTTGCCGTAAAAGAGGCTGAAGTAGTTGTGAGTCTCGGTTTTAACGGACAAGCGCCTATCGCGACGTACCGCTTGACCACACTCGTCTTGTCGATGTCTTGTGAAGACTCTGGCCCGCCAGAGCCATCAAAGCGCAACAAGGCCGTCTCGATCTGAAACATGCAGTTGTCCATGCACTCCGCAACATCGTGCTGGCGACCTACACAGGTCTGTGAGCACTACATGACACGAGCCTGTACCAACTAAACGCACCGAACATCATCTCGTCATCCCTTGGCACAATAGGCGCCATGGGCTGCTCGAGGGCAGTCGACTTCGTCTCTGCGTGGGGCGTCGCCGTCCGCATGCTGACATCGCCATCCTGGTCCTTCACCTCCGACGTCTTCCGTGCATGTCGCGGGGATACCGGCGGCGACGGAACCATCACATACCCTTCTTCCTCCCGCACAGGCGTGTCCTCGTCCATCGCGCTGGCTGTTGTTGCCCGACCCAGCTTGCGTGGTCGCTTGCCTAGTACGGTGCCTCCTGGACTGCGCGTGCCCTCTTCAGGGCTTCCATACCGCGCTCCGGGAGACGCGGAATCTTCTACTAGGGTAGCGTCGGTGTCGTTCGACGACGCCGTACCGCCGCGCTCAACCTCGTCTTCCTCTTCGTCCTTGGAAGTGACTAAAGCGAGCTTCGCAAGTTCGATCGTCGGCGTGATGGCCGGGTTGTTGTCGTGCTCGAGCTGGTGGAACAAGGCTGCGAGCTGGCTAATGACTACGTCAAGGTATTCAGAAAGGAGTTACGACGCGGGATGTTGCAACTTACACTTTCGCGACCGCACGATCTCTCGCCGGGTGACCAGTCTACCGCCAACGCGATGCTTCTTCAGTTGGTCGTCCGTCATCTTGTCGTCCGCCAACGTCTTTGCATCTGCCTGGAACATGGGTCGCACGGCTTCTCGCAAGTCCTTGATGGTGTAGAAGTACTAGACCGAAAGGTGAGTACATCATCGAGCAAGGACGGTACCACAGCGCACCTGCAGGAGGGAGTTGAGATAGCAGGTATTGGTGAGCTGGTTCAGACCTCTAGGGAGGTCTGGGCGGATCGGCGCGCGTATATAGCCCGCTACAGCGTCTTCAGTCAGGATTGATGATGAGAAAAAGAGGACTCACGATCAACACCGGTGCGAGCGAACTGCCGCAAACGCTCGCTGTCGCGAACGTCTGCGATCGTGACGATGGCCTCCCGCATCTTCTCCACCTCATGCGGACGTTCCTCAAGCTATCCTCTCGTCGATCATTGCCCACGACGCGAACGAAAAGCTCACTCACCCGCATATTGAAGACCGTGATCACCATCTCATCCTCCGTATCCTCCGGTATCTCGAGCAGCTTGTACGCCCGATCCGCCGTCATCATCGACTTGCTGTACTCCCACATGCCATGCAGGGCCACGCTCCCCCGCGCCTCCGCCACAATCCTGAACGCCTCATTCGCCTCCCTCAGCTTGTTTGCGCCGTCGATCGTATCGTGCATGGCCTCCTTAACGCGCGCACGCCACGCATTGGCGACGAACTCGTCGTCAATCTCATTATCGTAGTCGACGCGTAGTGAACCTTCCGGACCGAAGCCCAGCTGCGCGACGGCGCGCTCGAGGTCAGCTTGCGTAAAGCGGTTGCGGGAGTTCTCTATCGCGAGGAGTTCCTGTAGTTGTTGGGGAACGTCTTCGCCGAGGGTGGACATGAGCTGGACGATGGTGGCCAGGTAGGTGTAGTAGAGCATGGTATTTGCGGGATCGCAGCGGCACTGGGCGAGGTAGCCGAAAGCGAGGAGCTCTGCAGAAGTCTGTTAACAAGAAAGAGGATGTCTGCTTGAGGTGCCATACCTGGTGAGTACGATCTGTAAGTCAAGCCCAAGCCCTGCCAGACCCCGGGTGGCAACATATCCGTCTCCGAAGCTTGAACCATCTTCTGGCTGAGAAGATTGCGAGGGACTACAACTCATAAGCTCCATGCCGAGGTCGTATTAACCATAAGCTTACTTTGGTCAACGTGCGCCCCAATAGCAGTCTGATACATCTCTCGAACGCCCTCCAGGTTAACGTGGACCGAATAATTCCGCTTCCCGTCGAGTGCTTCGGCTGTATGCAACATCAGTACCTCATCCACTGGCCCACGGAGGTGCGTACGATTGAGCTTTCTGTAGATGTATAGCCAAGAGCTGATCTCGACCCAAACGCGAAGTAAGCGTTGACGATTGATCTTCCCGTGCGGAGTGTTGGAGTCGATCTCGGGAGGTCGTAGATGCATTTCGTTCTTCGACGATTCCTCGTTGAAACCCATGAGGGAGAATATCTCCTTGCTGCAAAGGTCAGAATCATATATATGCAGAAGATGAAGGATGACGAACACAGCAGGGCCATATCCGAGCTTCTTCTGGAAGGCAGTCCCGTCTGTACGCAGGGGCTTATGCTTGCCTTTGAAGACATGGTTTTCGATAGCGCTGTACGGATGTCAATGATCGTCGAAACTGAAGATGAAGTGAACCAACAGCAATATTGTCTCCACGGCCTGGTGTGCTGATTGCTTCGGCAATGTGCCAGGTGGTGGGTTTGCCATCTTGTCTTCGAGGAACTGCGCCCACGTGTCGCGAGGTATGATCCCTGGGATCAGCCCGCTCGCCACTACGTATAACTGACATTGGCAACAGATGTACAGATCGAAGAGCCGGCCCTCTTCCTCGTCACTGTCTTCCAACTCGTCTTCTTTGAGCTTCTTCGGGTCGAAGCCGTCCGGAAGTATAGCCCCACCGCGCCTGCGCTGCTTCTCGGGGCTGGCCTCCCATAGGTCGCGCAGAAATGGCGGAGTGAGCTTGCGAGAGTCGATCGCGTTCTGGTAACGATGAAAGTGGTGCGTCTTGTTCATCGGCTCGAACATCTCTTTCTTCTCTGCGACGCAGTCTGTGGTCGTTCGCCGCCGATCTTGGTGAGGGAGTGGGTGATCCGACTTGAAAGAGCGCGCAAGTGGAGGGGCGACAGACGAATTCTTCCAGAGTAGAATAACCCAGCCGTTCTCGCGAGGGCAATAGTAGGCATTGGGATGCGGAACCGCCATACGAACCTCCTCTTCAGAGGAAACGGTCATCGAGTCGGGAGCAGGAGAAGGTCGACGGGGCGGACTCGATGTGCTTGCGGTGGGCTCTTGAGGCTCCGATAAGGTGCGAGGTAGGTTGGCCGCCACACTGTAGAGTGTGTGCTCATGATAGTGCATCTCCTCTGCTACGAGGGGTGGTAGCATGCCCGGGCCTGGGTACGATCCCTTCGACATCTTCTCGCGGTTCCACCACTCGTTCTCCGCCTCAAAGTCGCGACCATCGATGGGTACGACAGACGCGTGCTTGACCTCGGTCTCGTACGTCGTGGGGCCGCCCCAGTTCGGTGTGGTATCCCAGCTGCTTCCACCTCCTCCCCAGGACTCCTCCCAAGGGTTCGGACCAGCAGCAGCAGCCGCAGCAGAGAGGTTCCACTGGTCGGGTGGAAGCTCATCATTGTCCGGCACCAGCTCGGGCTCGCGGAAGGGTGGTGTACTGTACGCGGGTGGTGGGGAGTTCACGGGTGGTGAGAAGACGGTGGTACTCGACCCGACGTTCTTGGGGCGCGATGGGAGGGGGGGAGGGCCCGCTGACTGCTTTTCGCCATAGAAAGATGATGGGGGTACGCCCGACGATACTGCCGTCACCGGCGTATTGGGCCGCTGAGCAGGTGGTTGCGCTCCCGGGGTCGGCAGCGGCCTGCGCGGCTTCGGTACGCCATTGTCTCTGTGATCCATCCTGACTCTGACGCGTCAGCCTCGGTGTCGGTGCCAAAGACACTGCACGCGCACCCCAAGCGCTGGTGATCTCAGTCCTGATTCCTTTCCAAAGCCCGTCTCCTTATGTTCTCTCGCGATCTTGCGCCGCGCCGCGTATGTCCGTCCAAAGTGACAGCACAAAGTCAGAGTCTGAGATGAGAAATGGAGCAAGCAAGCCGCCGAGCTGACGAGCGCGACTTCAAAGCCTCAGCGCCAGATCCACCGGCGTCCACGCATCACGTAACGGACGACTCCGGGAAACAAAACCAAACATCATCACGTGCAAGTTCAACTTGTAACTTCATCGCCACAGCCCCTCGGAGAACGCAACTCAGGGCAAAGCTGTGTTCCGCATGTTGCACCTAGCACACCGATCAAGCTGGCATGACTTTTCCCAAGTCGAATCGTCTGTCGTTGAACAATCTACGCTACTCACGCATCTACCTCCATCTTCGCAGCCTCCGGCGCAGGCTCAGTTGCACTCGTAGGAGCACTGACCGTGTCAAGTGCGGGAGGAGCAGAGTCAGAAGCTGCAGTAGCTGGAGGCGAGCCTGAGCTCGATGTAGGCGCCGCAGCCCGTGGCATCGGACTCGCCGTCCCTGCCTCTTCCTCCTTTCCTGCCGCCTCCGCCTTCTCTTTCTCTTTCTGGCGTTGGGTGATGATGTGCCTCTCCCACTCCTCCACCTCGTTCTTGCACGGCGCAGCTTGCGCACCAGCGAAGGAGCAGTAGAGGGACGTCCGCACAGCGCGGAGCCCGAGCCAGTTCCATCGTTCTTTTGCCTGTGAGCCAGGCGTCAGTTGGTCGTTCGAGCTGTACGCTGCGCGTGCACGTACCTGCTCAGCTTTGTTGATGAACGAATCATTAATTGGCGGTGGTGGCGGCGGTGCTTTCTTGTCTGCTGGCGCTGGTTCAGGCTTCGGAGCGTCCGCAGCTTCTTGCTTGACTTCCTCGCCTTCCGCAGCCGGAGCGGGAGGCGGTGGCGGCGAGGCGGGCTTTGGCTTGGGCCTGCTGCGCTCCAGCTGTGCCATGCGCAGGTCGATCTTCTTCTGCTCAGCCTGAGCCTTCCTCACCCAGCCCTGCAGCTCATCTTCTGGTGATGTCTCCTCGCGGTCCCTAAAGGTATCATCAGCTCGCAGTCCCTGAGTCCCAACGGCGCAGTACGTACTCATCTGGCTCCCGCAACGCAAGGCTAGAGATGTCGTGATATCCAGTCCCCCACACCTCAGACAGAGGGGCCGTGCCCAGAGGGTGAGGCCAGGGTTTTGGTGGCTCCCTCATCTTCTCCCTTGCCTCCTCCGTCGCCTTCCCTAGCGACCATACCCTTCTCTCTCCCACCTCCTCGCTCCAGGGCTCCTTGTCGAACTTGGGCAAGCATGTCGCCGCCTTCCACGCCACCCAGTTCCGCTCCCGCTCCAGGATGACTGACACCGTATCCGCAAACAGCCGCCCATTCGGCGTCGTCTGCTTCAGCTCCTCCATCGCCTTCCTTGCCGTATCCACCACCCACCGCTCGTTCTCGCCCTCGAGCGTAAAGTCCATCTGCACGCTTCGATTGTTCCCCGCATACAGCACCTTCGCATTCGGCGTGAACGTCAGCAGGTGGTTCAGCAGCACGAGCAGCTGAAACAGGAACTGCCGCCGGAACTGCGTATCCGCGATCTCGAGGTCGAGCAGCTCCGGGCTTGTGAGGTACTTGGCGAAGAAGTACTCGGCCGAGTTGGCGTCCGCGGTCGTGTCGGGCTCGCGCTTGCGCTTCGTGCCCGAGCTCACGCCGGAGCGGCTGCCCATCATGGCGCGCTCCTTCGCGGTGGCTTCCTTGATGACGGGTAGGATCTTGTTCACGCCCTCCTTGAACCTCGTCATCAACTCCGGGTCGGTGCCAAACAGGGGAGGGCGGGAGAAGGGAAGTTGGAGGGACCAGAAGGTTTGGTAGAGGTCTACGCGGTGTTGTCAGCCCATGATGAGGCGCGGGTAGGAAATTGACTTACCCATCTTCTCTGCGCTGATCTTGTTGGCTTTCGACGCGTCCTCGTCCACCTGCATCGCATCCGCCTCCTTCGTCTCAGTCGCCTGAGGGTTCTCCTCGCTATCCTCCATCTTCACATCACCCCCCTCATCCTTCTTCTCGTCCTCCTTTGCCTTCCAGCCGACACCTTCCCACATCGGACCATACTCTCCCCGCAAGTTCACGCCCGACCGCTCGCTCAACGGGAAGATATCACTGAGGAACGTCATAATTCTGCCACAGAACTCTGTCGCGCCTGTCTTCGACAGCCGCTTTAGTAGTGCATTGAGCATGCGAAGGAGCGCCAGCGAGTTCTTGTTCGTGCCTTTCCCCTGGTTGGGGACGAGGGGGACGATGCGCTTGTAGCGAGATTGCAGCCAGGTGAAGAAGACAGCGCATGACTGCACGGTCTGCGTCTCGAGCACGTCCGCTACCACGGCCAGGGGGGCTCCGGGATCGCAGAGGTCTGGGGAAGTGAGGGTGATGAGCTTGGCGCTTATGGCTAGCAAACGCGCCACGCACCGAGTTCGGCAAAGGTCAGCACGAGATCGAGTCGCAGTTGCAAATGGTCGTAGTAGTCTGTCTCAGGGTCCTTCAAGGCCTCCGCTTCCGTGGCCTGCAGAGTAATTCGCGCATGAGAACAGGCGCGCTTCATGGCATTGACGCTACGCACCGCAAGCCTGAAGATATCCTGCCTGAGAAGAATTTCCCATCGTCCTCTCCGGTTGTCCAAGGTTCCCTCCCCGCTAGTAGCGTCTATAGCGCGCTTTACGACCTCGGTAATCTTCTCTGCGTCGACTGGAGGTGGGGGCAACTCGTTCAAGACGAGTTCCTGTAGATGCCTGCGTCCGATCATGGTGTGTCGTCAAAGATACCAAGTGAGAGGTGTTTTCGTGTGCGCGAAGCACACAAGAGACTCTTCCGAGCCTGAATGTGATGAGAGCGCGTGCAGACGCGCTGTAGTGGTGAAGAACAAGGACCTGCCTGAATTTGCCAACGTTTGCCACGTTCTCTTTTCGGCCCGCGTCTCCGGTCACAATAAGTCCTTCCTAATCCGGCAGCCTATCATTGCCTCCTGCCGTCATCACGCCGCTGCCATGGGCCAGGACGCACAGCGCCCCGATGGCGAAGCCTTCCAGCCTACCACACAAACTGGAGCAACCACTATGACCAGCGAGATTGCTGTACTCGCCGCCATGATCACCAGCACGACATCTGCATCGGAGAGCTCTCTCACGGAGCAGGATCTCGCGCGACTGCTCTCGCAGCTGGACGACGCGAATGGCATGGCGAAGGGGATGGAGAGCAAGCTTGACTCCATGCTGGAGCAGCTTGATGACTTGCTCGGCGTCTTGGAGCCAGCGACGGAGGGTAACTCGAAGACCTAGGTCGTGTGCCACTTGGTTGCTTCGATGTCACGGGTTTGACCACGCTCGCGTACGAGTGAGTCTCTCGCTGTATACCGGATTTACGGCTTGCTGAATCTTTCTCTAGGATTACTAGAACTAGTAGTATCGGATTTACTTCCTTTTTTGCCGTGACTTCGCAATGAGGAATACGAATCTCTCTCGGGTTTAGTGAAAGAAGGAACTACTTTGCAACTATCTGGCGCACACTTGCAGAGAACAATACGATCCTCAACGACCCTGGTTACCGCAATTTTGGATTACGGAGAGCGTCGTGTTTAGAGCACTGACCAGCCGTGTTCCGCTTCGAGTGCGCAGCTGCCATTCACTGACATGAATATGCATCTAGATCTATGTTCTATCCCACTCTTCATCGGTAACTGCCTCCATCACATCATCGCGCAGAAGACGCATACGGCCTGCTCCGCTGCCGAATCCGCCATGTCCAACATATCCCGCACGAAGCTAGTCGTCATGAAAGCAGCCATAATGAAATTGTCCAGCTTGTCCTTCGACTTCATTATCGCCAAGTCCTGTCTGATGGTAAGAAACTTCGACACATCGATGTAAGAGGAGCACGAACTTGAACTGCCTCGACGCCGAGCGCCCCACCCGCCGTGATGGGGTCCCGCAGACATTCGGCCTCCTTGCCCTCCTCGCCCTCCTTCACGATTTCCCTCATCAAAGACATTATTGTGAACCGTGTTTTCCATTCTGGAAATTCACGGAATGCTTTTGTCGGCTATCGCGACTGTGAGTTCGCAAGTTTTCTTTCCACACATGGGTTCCACTCACCACAGACAACTCGTTCATGCGACCATTGGGCCCGCCAGATGCCACAAATCGCGCCACACCCGCTAGGAAGATGGGCCACTCGCGTTTAAACATCTCCCGGTATTCTGCATGCCTGCCTTTGCCTTTCATAGTGCCCGAAAGGGCCTTCGACCTGATCCGCTCGTAGTCGATATTCTTGGAGGCGAGCCACTTCTTGACCTTGTCCTGGGAGGCCTTGTTGAGGCGCTCCCAGGCAAAGGGCGACTGCTCGATGCCCTTCGCCTCGATATACTCGTCCGAGTGGCGATACCAAGCCGCCCAGAACCTGCCGAGCAGTTTGAGCAGGGCCTTCTCGTATTCCCTGAAGTGTCGTAGCTGCGCGTCTGGCAGCACGAGCTCCCCCCTTAGGACCAGGACGACGGCCCTGAACGTCTCCCAATTGGCGGAGAGCGCAAGGACCTCGCGGACGTCTTCGTCACTGGGGTGGCCAGCATCGACCAGCTCCTGCAGCCGCGAGGCACCTGGTTTGAAGAGCTCGCGCATCCACTCATTGTAGACTGCGGCGGCTTTGCCGTCGCGCAGGTAGTCTGCCTGGGCCTGGGCGGACATCCCCGACGAGGTGGACGAGTCGCGCACAGGGTAGGTGAGGAAGTCGGATGCGGTACGAGTGCTTGCCATGTTGAATGAGCGAGAGTGGGGAGATTGGATGGTCGGCTCAGGCAGCGCTCGTCGCCTTAAGTAGTACAAACGAGCGCCTGTGTGTGTGTGTTCCTGGTTCATGAGCAGGTCAAAGCCAGCCTTTGATACTTTGTTGTTGGGATACCTCAAAACCCTTCTTGTCTCCTGCTCTCATCTTCTCCCACGAGTGGCACTCGCTCTACACCCCAAGTCTCTAGTGTTATGCGCTCCTCGACCCCAGTTCCGGCGTCTCCGAGGGCGGAAGCGCCCTCGCAGGCCCCGACGGCGGCGATGACCCCTGTGCCACCCTCGACGCCGGGGTCGAGTGGCGGGCCGGACGGCCCGCCACTCGATCAATGCGTCGACGAGATCATCCACATCGTGCAAACGTACTGGAAGACGACGGCGAAGGACAAGATCCCCAAACGTGACCGGGCGTGCCAGCTCCTCGCCCGGCTCAAAACATCGCTGGGATCGGGTGGCAGTCCCGCCACTCGCGCCGCCACCGCTTGCCCTGCCGATCAGGCGCCGCCCCCTCTGTCTGCACCACCCACCCCTCATCTACCCGCCCTCGAGGCGTTGCTCGCAACTTTTCGGGACGACATCCTTCGAGAGGTCGGGTCACGGCTGGATGCGCAGCAAGCCACCACGCTTGCTGCCTCGGCTGGGCCGGCACTGTCCCCTGCTCCCGGGCTCCCCATCCTCCCTTCCCCCCTCCGACCTCCGACGCGCAAGCCGAGCGAGGTTGTCGTCAACCTTCCCCGAGCCAAGAAGAGCGCCCTGTCGCGCTCGGTCCCCCCTGCCGAACTCGCCACCCGAGTCGAATCTGCCTTTGCCTCCAGCAAGGTAGAGGAGCTAGTGGCGATCAAGGTTCGGGGAGTGGCCTGGCGCGCTAACGGCAGCTTGATCATCACGGCGAGGTCGAACGAAGACGCAGCGATAATCCTTCAACATGCTGACGCGTGGCTGAACATGCTGGAGGAGGGATGTGAAGTGGCCAAGACGCGAGTCAAGGTCCAGGCGGATGGGGTGCCCGTGGCGGCGGTAGATGTGCGGAATCCCGCGACTAGGAAGACGTTGTTCCGGATGAATGAATCCACGTTTGGTGGCCGCGAAGATGCGCTGGGTGGAGTCGGATGGCTGCATGGCGAGAAATTGCCAGCAGGTAAGACGCACTCGACCCTCGTATTGACTGTGGACAATATCGACGTTGCGGATCAACTCATCTACGACGGCTTGTCTGTTGGCGGGCTGGTGTGCCCCGTGAGGAAGTGGTTCCCGTCCCTCCTACAGTGCTTTAACTGTCAGCAACCTGGCCATGAGGCCAAAGCGTGCCCTCACCGCCGAGATCCCTCCAAGCGCCGGTGTTTCCGTTGTGGTGGTGTTCACTCCTCGCGAGAGTGTGTGTGCCCCAGCTCTACCAAGTGCAGTGACCTGCGCTCCTGCAGGCATATCAAGCCGGTATGCGCTAATTGCGGTGGTCCCCACAAGGCCATCGACAAGGTGTGCCCGGTCCTGCAGCGGGCGCGCGCGCAGCTGTGGTCCCGCTTGGACAACGGATCCCCCTACTACAACCCTCAGTTCACCCCCGCGGGCTTCGCGGGACGGTGCTAAATGGACACCCCTTCTGCGGAACGGGGGCTTCGCGTCAAGAGCCTGAACTGCCGCAAGCAGAGGGAGGTCGTCATCTCCCTCTTGAACGACACGAAGCCGGAGGACTTCGACGTGCTGTGCCTCCAGGAGGTGCCCATGTCGGTGGACTCGCAGTTATCGTATCGCTCCGCTCATTGGCACCTCATCCTCCCGACGATTCCGCGGCCCGATCGCCTCTCAATGTGGTATCGGAGCGCAATCTTCATCAACACTCGTATCCCCTCAGACTCGTATCGCCAGCTCCCAATTGCCTCACGAGATCTCACGGCTATTTCTTTTTCTCTTTTTGATCGACAATTCACCTTATATTCTGTTTACAATCCACCCAGCTCCGACGCTACCATCACTTCCCTCTACACCCACCTCAAGACTCTCGGCAACGACCCGTCGGTTTTGCTAGTGGGTGACTTCAACAAGCACCATTCCTTGTGGTCAGGCCACTCTATCTCCAAGCAGACGACGCGCTCGAATACCGACGAAATTCTCAAGCTTCTCTCTTCCTTTGACCTGGTCTCGTGTACTCCCCCGGGGATGCCCACGTACATGTCCTCTGGGCGCCGCCCCTCAACTCTTGACTTGGTCTTCGCATCCCACGACTTGGCTGATGACCTTGTCAGGTGCGCCACAGGAGCATGTCACGGCTCTGATCACCTCTCTGTAGACGCGCACCTTCAGCTCGCTGTTCCCACCACCGACTCTGCACCCCGTTTCAAGTGGCGGGACGTCGACTGGGATGACTTTGCTGGCACAGTGGACGATGAGCTTCGCAGGCGAGGAGTGTATCAGGACGTGGAGGGTATGGAGACCGCCGAAGGCGTGGATGCGGTGGTGGGGAAGGTGTCGGAATCCATGGTGGCAGCGGCTGACAAGGTTGTCCCGCGTGCACGACCGTCACCATACTCGAAGCGGTGGTGGACAAAGGAACTCACAGACCAGCTGCGCAAACTGAAAGCCCTCAAGAACAGAGCCACCAAGCGATCTGCTACGGCGGCGGAAAGGGCGGCTGTCGGCCCGGCTCAGCGCGCGTACCATGCTGCCATCCGACGGCAGCAGCGACGGCATTGGAAGGAGTGGTTGGAGGAGGCGACTGAGGCGACAGTGTGGCAGGCAAACAAATACGCGGCGCATCACGCTGAGTCCACCACACCCTCACGCATCCCCGATCTCACTCGTGCTGATGGCTCGAAGGCGTCGTCCACTGGAGAGAAAAGTGAGGTACTCATGGATCAATTCTTCCCAGCGCCACCGCCAGCACGGGTCGATGACATCGCCGACGCGGTGTACCCTGATGTTGGCGATGCCCCGCCAATTGTGGAGGAAGAGGTCCTGACCGCCTTGCGCGATCTGCGCCCCTACAAGGCCCCCGGCCCGAACCAGATCCCGAATGTCGCCCTTCAGCGCTGTGCGGGGGTGCTCTCTGGACCTCTCCTGCGCATCTTCAACGCGTCCCTGCGCCTCTCCCACCACCCGGCTGAATGGAAGGTCTTCACTACCATCACGCTCCGGAAGCCAGGGAAGCCTGACTACTCCGTCCCCAAGGCGTATCGGCCTATCGCGCTAGAGGATACCGCGAGCAAGGTCTTGGAATCGGTCATTGCAAAGCGCCTTGTCTTCCTTGTGGAGTCGGGCGCTGTTCGCTTCCCCAAGAACGCCTTCGGAGGGCGCCCTGGCCGGACCACCACCGACGCGCTCCTTTTCCTGGTCGACCGCATCAAGGCGGCGTGGCGGCAGCACAAAGTCGTTACTGTGGTCTTCAAGGACATCTCTCAGGCATTCCCCTCTGTCAATCACGCGCGCCTCCTTCATAACCTCCGCATGCGAGGGGTCCCCCCCAATCTGGTCCAGTGGATAGCTGCCTTCTTGAGCGGCAGGACGACCAAGCTCCGTTTTGACGACTTTGAGTCCGATCCAATTCCTGCCAGCACGGGTGTGCCACAGGGCTCCCCACTCTCGCCCATCCTCTACCTCCTGTACGCTGCTGACCTCCTGGACATCACGGAGCGGCTGGCTGACAAGGACACTTTCTCGGCGGGTTACATTGATGATACCATGTTCGCGGTCGCTTCAAAGAGCATCGCAGAGAACCTCCGCAAGCTCGGCTACCTCATGGGGGAAGCTCTCGCCTGGTCAGACACGCACGCATGCCGCTTCGACATCAGCAAGTATCAAATGGTCCACTTCACGAAAAATGAGAAGAAGTACACGGAGGAGCAGGGGGCGGAGGCGACCTTGCTCATCCGGGGTACTCCCGTTCGACCGTCGGAATCTGCCAAGTACCTAGGGGTGATTCTGGACCGCCACCTCCGATTTCACGAACAAGTCGATGCCGCAGTTGCCAAGGGCACCGCTACCGTTCTCGCCATCTCCCGTCTCACCCGACCGACCTTTGGGCTCGCGCACAAGCACGTCAGGCAGCTCTACCGCGCCGTCGCAGTCCCGCGGATGGAATATGGGCTGGTGGTGTGGTATAATCCAGTCCGTGCGCGCAGCAGCGGGAAGGGGCGGCAGGGGTCGGTGGGGCTATCCAACCGCTTGGGCAAAGTCCAGCGACTAGCAGCGTGCATCATCACGGGCGCTTTCCGCACCACGGCCACGGATGTACTGACCTACCATGCTGACCTCCTTCCGGTACATGTTCGCCTTAACTATGCGGCTTTCAACGCAGCGCTACGTCTGTGTACCCTCCCCATTCCTCACCCCCTCAACAAGCCGACCACCCGTTGCCAGAAACACTATGTTCGGCTCCACCGCTCCCCACTGCACGAGCTGTTCAACGCATTCCCGCAGCTCCGCGACTTGGAAGTCATTGACTCCACCCCTCCAGACCCCTCGCAGCCCGTCCCCTTCACTACGTACATCTCGGATGAGGGCAAAGATGGTGCTGCAGAAGGGGTGGAGCAGCAGGTCGCAGAGGGTGGGGTGTGCGTTTTCTCCGACGGCTCTGGGTACAAGGGCGGGATTGGCGCCGCCGCGGTTGCTAGGCTTGGGCAGGGTCGCGTGCTGTCTCGTCAAGTCCACCTCGGGAGCGACCGCGACCACATCGTGTACGGCGGCGAGCTTGCTGGTGCGGTTCTCGCACTGGACATAATCGCATCGGTACCGCGGCTGACGCGCGCCACTATCTTCATTGACAACACCTCTGCGATCCGGGCGCTCCCGAGGCGTGCTGCGCGAACCGGCCAGCACCTCGTGAAGCTCTTCAATTCCCGCCTCGCAAGTCTGCGCAGGCAGCGTAGGACCCTCACCATCGGGGTTCAGTGGTCCCCAGGCCACCACAACATCTGGGGCAATGAGCTAGCAGACGAGCTCGCCAAAGCGGCTGCTGAGGGGACGACGAGGGATCTGCCGGACTCCCTCCAGCATCTGCGTGCTCTTCCGCGGAGTGTGGCGGCAGTACGGCAGCAGTACAGGAAGTCGATTCAGGCCGAGCGGACCGCGTGGTGGGCTGCGTCCAAGCATGGACGCAGGATACGGCGCTTTGACAAAACGCCCCCCGGTCCGAAGGTCCTGCGCCTGTACAAGGACCTCCCAAGACGGTCGTGTAGCCTGCTGACCCAGCTACGAAGCGGGCATGTTGGCCTTTTTGCGTACCTAGCGCGGGTCCGGGCTGTGGACTCGGCACTGTGCACGACGTGCGGGACCGAGGAGACGGTGGACCACTATCTCTTCGAGTGTCGGCGATACAAGGACGCACGTCATCGTCTCCGGGTCGCAGTTGGAGGTCGACGGCTGGATCGCGCGTGCGTGCTCGGCGAGGTCAAGAATCGGGCGGCACTTCTGGCCTTCGTGCAGGAGACGGGCAGGCTAGCTGCCTATGCGGAACGCGCATCATCGGGCTAAAATCGGGTCGCTGGTCTTCGAGTTTGGGTATTCTCCCTTCACTTTCCTTTCCCCCAGATTATCTCTCCTCTATTTATCTTTTACTTCTTACTTTTATCTCCGGGGACTTGATCCTCGTTACGCTTCTCTCAGCCGTCTCGCGCGGTGGGGGCACGCCAAACCCATGCTGTGCATTTGTTCCCTTCATGTCATAGATTACCACCCACATAGCTACATCTCGCATCATCACACCCCTACCGGGTGCGATGGGGTAGCCACGTAGGCCGACCACGGCGTTAGAGCTACCGTAAACCTCAGAGCATATCTATCTATCTATCTATCTATCTGTTGTTGGGATTGCAGCTTATTGTTCAGCGAGCAATCGACGTTGTGTATGTTCTTTTCAATTATCAATACTATTATGTGCACAAACCCTCGGGTCACAAGACTCGTGAATTCCCGAAAAGGACCGTGCATACGCCAATGCGTCGCTTCCTGGACAAACAGTCACTGAGAACATACAGCTCGAAGTAGTATTCGGAAGCTTTCGACACAGGTTTGTGAGAACGACAAACTCAGAATTCACTTGGGCATGCGCAAACGCATCAACAACGGGCCGTGCCGCCAAAGGTTATGCTCCTGAACACAATGGGTCAACCACGTGTACAGTCCCAACATACACACTGACCTTGTAAGACCCGTCGAATTCCTCAGAGCTGAAGCTCTCCGCGAAGTCAGCGTCGAAGGAGCGGACCAATTTGGCAGCGAGAAGTCTGGAGAATCGTCAGAATACTGTAGGGCTAAGATCGATCATCGCACTCACTTCATGTTATACAGTGCCACAGGCTTTCCCAAACAAATCCCGATACCGCTAGAGAACGGTATGAAAGCTTCGGGATTGTGGACAAGGCCGGAACGCTCGCCCAGCCATCGCTCAGGCATGAACGTGTCCGGGTCAGAAAAGTTATCCGCTAAGCCCATCGTCAGTAAGTCGCATCTGTGCCCCGCGTCTGTCTACTCACCGGATCTATGCATGGCGTAGATAGGACAGGCCACGACCGTCTCCTTCGGAATATAATGACCGAGTATCGTATAGTCCGCCGCCCCGCTCGTCCTCGGTGGTCCGGCTGCCACAGGCGGCACCATACGAAGCGCCTCCTGCACGCAAGCATCGAGATACGGCAGTCGCATAAGCGTATCGTAGTCCGGGTCCAGGTCGCCGAACGCGTCGAGGATCTCCGCGCGCAGACGGGCGAGGACGGCGCGGTCTGCAAAGACGTAGCGAAAGAAGGTCGTCGCGCACTCGCTGACTGTGTCCCAGCCGGCGACGATGAGGAATGACGCGTCCGCTGCGGCTTCAGCTTCGGTGATCTTGTACTCGCCAGGCTCGGTGTTTTGCTGAAAGGACATCAAGATTATGCTGCATCATCGACGTAGTGTTACCAACGTACGAGGATGCTGAGGATATCCGCGTGCACGCCAGCCTGCTTCTGACGCGTCTCCTCGACTTTCTTTCCAGTGAGCTGGGACAGGATTAGTGTAAGCCTCCAAGTGTAACCAAAAAGGAACGTACGCGCTGGAATACAGCTATCGGGCCGGGCGTTGGGGCCAGCCTAAGGATATCCCGCATGTACGGGACTTGTCCAAGGACTTCGTGGGCGTCAGAGCCTTGGGTGTGTGGCCATTCAAGCAAAGCTCACCACCGACGACGAGAACTCCCATCAAGATCTGCGCGATGTCCGCCTGATTTTTCTCACTAATATCAAGGGACTCACAATATCGGTCCAACCTTCCTCGTCTCTTCCGGCCGCCAGCTTTTCAAAGCCACCAGAGAAGGACATATCCCCCATATTATCGCTGTGCATGTCGCGTTAGAACGAACCAGGACCGTTGGCGCGCAGGACAACGTACATGCCCCACATTGAGATCCAATGCGAGAGGTCGATGGTCTCGCCGTCTTCAGACTTCTTGGCGAGGATCTCGATGAGTTGCGCAGTACGCGCCTGCATATTGTCAGGACGGTTGTTATCACATTCATGAGAGCACATACTTCGGCCATAGGGCGAAACCGCTTGATATTCTCGCTCGAGAAGGCCCTGTGCCACGCCTTGAAAAGCGTTAAGCTGGCGGTGACAGCAAGGCTACACCAACGTACAGGCAAGCGTTCCAGGTATCTCTCCTTATTGGGAATATTGGTGAGGGCGTCCGCGTCTGACGGGGCCCCCTGATACGATGGGCCGCGATACATCTGCGCGTATATCGGACGGATGGCGGCAGGCTCATTCACAGAGAGCTCGTTGGGTCCGATTCTAACCCACGGCCCATAGCGCGCATGTAGACTGCGTATGTTGATAATTGTGGATAGCCCGGCACGAAGAGCACTCACTCTTTGATTAAAAGGTGCCTCGTGCCGCGAGCCACATAGTACGCCATATACCATTTTGTTATCTTCGCAAGAGGTGGACCAGGGTAAGTCGCGAGAGGATGAAAGGGGCAGAGGCGATATGCAACAACAGATGCGCTAAGAGAGGCCAAGTAGAGCGCACAAATCGCTAAAGTGCATCCGAGAGCGACATGCAGGGTGTTCCCGCCGTTGAGCAGGTACGCGACTACGCCTACATTCCCTGCAACGACGAGGGCGAGGAACCCTTGCACATTCAACTCACTACGCTTGAAGATAGCATAGTGACTAAGCTGTTTGTTTGTGAGCTAAAAGTTGCGCGAGGACGGCGAAACTCACGAGAGCAGCCAGCGCAATATTGAGGTAGACGGGGAAGACCATGGCGGGTTGAAACAGGGCGTAAGGGCGGAATTGATCTGTCCTACCTACTGATATACCGCCCTGTGCACCTCTCTTCCGCCGCTGCTTTGCAAGTGCATTATTGATGGGGCCATTCAGAGCGCCCATGTGTGTATTCTGTAGCTTCCTCGTCTATGAAGAAGACCTTCGACGCGGCAGTCGAGGCGCAATGCTTGTGATCATCATGACGAACATCGGATGCCATTGAGCAAGATTCACGTCCCCGTAGGACTACACTGCCAGCGAGATATACGAAAGAGTCAGGTCAAACGGTGAAAGAGGGTGATGGCAGGAGGCAGGTGTAGATGAGGGCGCGCGGCGTTTGCCGACTCCGCCGGAGTATCGGGCCGCGGCGCTTGGAAAGCTTCCGCTCAGGCAAAACTTCGACTTAGGCGCCAACGGTCACCGTCGTTCGCTGTGATGCTCCCATGGCTTGCCGTCTGTCGACGTGCTGCCCTCAGACCTGTCTTTGACTCGCCCTATGCCCTGAAGTCGGCCTTCGTCAATGTCGCTCGCTCACGGAGAACATACGCGACCGCGGCACCCCCGCTGGAGAACATACGGAACATTGCTATCATTGCACACGGTGCGCCTGCTTTGTATACTTTCATAGGTCTTTTTCTGATACTAGGGCACAGTCGATCACGGAAAGACCACTCTTGTAGACCAGCTCCTCCGCTGCGGAACAACATGGGAGCAAGCGGATGCGGGGACGGACCGGGTCATGGATTCAAACACTCTGGAGCGCGAGCGTGGCATTACTATCCTTTCCAAGACGACTTCAATCACCTACGTTACCGAGAAGACGAAGTCCCCCATCCTCGTCAACATCGTCGACACGCCCGGACATGCGGATTTCGGTGGGGAAGTCGAGCGGATCATGAGCATGGTGGATGGTGTCGTACTGCTGGTGGACGCGACGGAGGGACCCATGACACAGACCCGATTCGTGCTGGACAAGGCTATCAAGCGTGGGATCAAGTATGTGTCGCTGTGCATCTTGTAGAGCCATTCCTGACCACGTTACAGGGTCGCGGTCGTGCTGAACAAGGCTGACCGCCCGTCATCTCGCCCCGACCAAGTAGAAGCGGACCTCTTCGACCTCTTTGCTACCCTGGAAGCCTCCGACGAGCAGATCGAGTACCCAGTCCTGTACTCCTCTGCCAAGGAGGGCTGGGTCACTAGCTCGTTCCCCGTCGAGGAGAAGAAGCCCATGTCCCACCTACTGGAAACCGTCATCGACTACCTCCCCGCACCAACCCACCTCGACCGCTCAGGACCCTTCTCCATGCTCATCGTCCAGATTGAGGCGGACTCGTACGTCGGCAACATGTTCCTTGGGCGCGTTCAGTCTGGTACGGTCAGCGTTGGCGACACGCTTTGGGCTCTGGACAGCGAGACTGGGCAGAAGGTCGGCGAAGGCAAGGTCAAGAAGCTCATGACGAGCATGGGTGGAATGCAGAAGGTTGAGCGCGACTCGGCCGCTGCGGGCGAGATTGTCAGCATCGCCGGTATCAAGGGCGGCGCGGTCAATGTCACGCTGGTGCACCCCGAAGGTTGGGGAGCGGAAGGTCCCAAGGCTATCGAGGTATGCCTCCTCCACGTCTACTCACAGTTCGTAGCTGACGATCTGCAGACGACACCTATCGATCCACCGACCATCTCTACGATCATCTACCCCAACGACGGTCCCCTCGCTGGTCAAGACGGCTCCAAGCTCACGTCGCAAGTCATCAAGGAGCGAATTTACAAGGAGGCTGAGACCAACGTCGCGCTCAAGGTCCTTCCTGGTCCCACCTCCGAGGCAATCGAGCTTCGCGGACGTGGTGTTCTCCACCTCGGTATCCTCTTCGAGACCCTCCGCCGCGAAGGCTTCGAGTTCCTTATCGGCCCGCCCAAGCCCGTCCTCCTCCCCGACCCCGACAACAAGGGCGGCTGGCTCGAGCCCGTCGAGCGCTGCGAGGTCGTCATGCGCGAGGAAGCCTCCGGCACCGTCATCCAGCAGCTCACCATGCGCAAGGGCGAGATGGTCTCCTACCACTCCGGCGGGGAGGCAGGCTTGTCCGACGGCTGGGTCAAGGTCGTCATCGACATCCCCGCGCGCGGCCTCATCGGTTACATGGCCGGCGAGTTTAAGAACGACGTCCGCGGCGAGGGCACGCTCAACCACACCTTCCTCAAGTACGCGCCGCACTTCGGGCCGTTCGGCACCTCGCGCAACGGCTCGCTCATCTCGATGGCGGCGGGCGAGTCGAGCGGGTATGCGATGCAGCCGCTGCAGGCGCGCGGCATCCTCTTTATCCACCCGCAGACCGCGGTCTACCCCGGCATGGTTATTGGGGAATGCAACCGCGCAGGCAGCGACCTCTACCTGAACCCCTGCATCAAGAAGCAGCTCACGAACATCCGCGCGGCAGGCGCCGACGAGAAGATCGTTTTGAGCGCGCCGCGCGTTATGGGCTTGGAGGAGCTCGTCGCATATATGAACGAGGACGAGATGGTCGAGGCAACACCGAGCACTGTCCGCTTGCGCAAGCGGATCCTCGACCCGAAGACGCGCGAACGGATGAAGAACCAGAAGGGCGCCTTCTAGGGCGGAGCATCTACACTATACGCATCTATCATTATTACTTACGCATAGTACTATCCTACTAATACACTCAACCCCGACTTCTGCACATGGACCCTTGGCGGGAGGTGAGCCAGTGGCCAGCCGGTGGCAATATGTGACATGTAAGTTGTGACAACGTGTTTGCCACTTTATGGTTGACCTATTCGAACTCGCACCGGACAGCGATCACAAAAGCATGGCCAAAGCACGGTTGAAGGCGCGCATCTTATGTCTTTTGGTGCTCGAATTCAATGAGTATGTGCTGCTGTACCGTGGTCATGATCGTGGCGCCGACCCGACGCATGTTCTGGCCCAAGCAGGCGCCATGGCCATAACTACCCACGCCGGTGCAAAGACCACTGGCAGGCTCGGGCCCATATATAGGTAAGTGTCCCATGCTATAATCACCCTCCCCCATCTACCTCCCCCCTTCTCGCCATGGTCGTATGCCACCCCGAGCCCTTCCAGGTTCGCCGTCCTCGCTCCAGATACGCCTTCCGCGTCTTCCCCCAGTCATCCCCGTCCTCCTCCTCTGAGCTGCCCGCCTCCGCCAACGAGGACCTCAAGACGCTCGGCAGAGAAGCCGCCGTCTACAACGAGTGGATGCGCTACCTCTTCCGCCCTGCCCTCGCCCAGCTCGACCAGCTCGGCCTCACCGACCACGACGCGTACACAGTCTTCGTCCTCACGGCCGAGTGGCACGCCTTCTGCGCAGTCGTCCACTTTGACTTCAGTCTGCCGTACAATCTGGAAGACGCGTTCTACAAGGTCGAAGTGCACAGGTTCTCCGAAGCCTTCGCGAACTTCTGGCTCCGCTACTACACGAATGTTGAGGGATTCAGCAAGCCGAAGTCGGTCAAGAATCTGCCCACGACTCACCACAGACGCGTTAGGGAATGGTTCGCAGCTCATGACATGGACTTTGATGGGCTCCGCTCTGTATTCGAGGGGCAGAGCACCAATGCGATTCCGCCTGACTGGGGTATCGTATTCGCCACTGCTCAAGACGCTAAACACTACTGGAATATCTTGCTCGCGGGTCTGATGCAACATCTGTCGAGCAATGGTGAATCAAGGGTGAGTGGACCAGCAATATTCTTTAAGACGTGACTGAGCTAGCTGCACAGCCAACCGCATCCTACCTGCAGATACCTGGGGCGATGGTGCGCTTCTCCTTCTGGCCCGACTTCGCATTCATGGTGCAGACAGACATGTCTGAACTGATCCGTGACCCCGTCACCTTCGGCGGAACCTGGGCAATCGACGTCTTGAAGGTGTGTAGCCGTCGCAAGCATATCAGTCCATGATGGATTGACCATCCTGCAGAAGCGAGTGATGCAAAGGACGGCGAACCTCGATATGGACGAAAACCCGACGACGCTCTTCATGCAGAACATCTTCCACGTCATCTATAAGACCCTCTCCAAGATCAGCAGCGACGAATTTTGGGCAGTTCATGCGGTATCTGCGTTCATCGAGCTGTCCTACCAGGATAGTCGAGCGAGCAGTTCCGTTGCAGACTTACGTGCAGGCAATTGATCTCGTGCAAACACTCAAACTATGGATGCGCCTCACCCTATCACTGTCAGTGTTTGGGCTTGTTGAATCGTGCGCTGGGCAAGATGTCTACGGCGAAACTACATGTGTGACTGTCACGGTTGAAGTTTTCAGTCCAGCATCGTCAGGTGGAGTCAAGCAAACGTACATCGAATAAGGTTGCCTTGCTCATCGCGCGCATGCATCACAAGCGACAGGATGATACATAGAATAAATTATGTCAACCATCTACGTTTCTACACACGGCTCTACGTCCACTGCCAGTGTAGCTCATCGGACTGCGCGTCTATCATACATCATTGACATTCAGTTCGTAATAAAGAGCAACCATATACTAGTGATGTGTGGTAAGAGCTGGGCACTCGAGAGGAGTGCCAGCTCTACCTAGAGTAGTAGGAAAGAGGAGAGAAAAGATGGAGGAATATTAGTGTCCTACAAGGCCCTCATGGTGAGCGGCCAACATGTTTGTCTTCTTCCTGTCCTTTTCCGTAATCCATCGCAGCGACTGCCAGCAGGCGCGCCTCGCCGCCGCTGCGGTCTGATGCGCTGATGGCGCTCACTGCTGCGCCTCCTTCTCCGCCGCGTCCGCGTACCCGTTCGGATTCTTGCTCTGCCAGTTCCAGAGGTCGCGGCACATCGTCTCGAGCGACTGCGGCGCCTTGAACCCGAGCTCCTTCTCCGCGAGCGTGGGGTCCGCGGTCAGGTTGGGCACGTCGCCGCGCCGCCTGCCGATGACCTCCGTCTTGTAGTCGAAGCCCGTCGCCTTGCGCATCGCCTCGACCATCTGGTACACGCTCATGCCGTGGCCCTTGCCGAGGTTGTACTCCTTGTAGCGGATCTCGGCGTTGGGCGGGAAGACGGTAGAGCCCTCTGAGAGGGCGTCGAGCGCGAGCTGATGGCCAGCGGCGAGGTCGACGACGTGGATGTAGTCGCGGACACAGGTGCCGTCCTCGGTCGGATAGTCGTCGCCAAAGACCTGGAGCACGGGCGGAAGACGACCGACGGCCATCTGGGCGAGGATGGGGAGGAGGTTAAGAGGCTTGCCGACAGGGTCTTCGCCGATCAAGCCAGAGGGATGTGCGCCACCGGGGCTGGGAAGCTGTCAGTGGTTGTGTGAAGGGTCAAGGGATTGATCGCTCACTTGAAGTAACGGAGTGATAGCGCCTGCCAACGCTTCGGCTCCGCAGCACAAACGTCCTTGATGATGTTCTCGCAGACGATCTTGGTGTTGCCATAGGGGCTGAGCGCTTGCATGCGGGTGGTTTCGGGAATCGGGATGTCGGGAGGAATGCCATAGACAGTGGCAGAGGAGGAGTAGACAATGCGCGTGCAGTCAAACTCGTCCATGAGGCGCATGAGGTTGATCGTGCCGGCGACATTGTTGTGATAGTACGTGAGCGGGATCTCGGTTGACTCGCCTACTGCCTTCCAGGCCTGGGGTCGCGGTTAGCATGCAGTGAGACGCGAAGGGGTAGGGTGCTGCGTACAGCGATGTGGATCACGCCCCATATGCCGCCCTTCCCATACTTCTCAAAGACCTTGCGCACGGCGGCCTCATTCGTGAGGTCCGCCTCGTAGTAGTCGATCTTGGTAGAGTCAAGGTCCTGCGCGCTGGGGTTTGGGGGCAATTCGTCGCGCGCGATCTTCTCAAGGCGTCTGTACGCCTCGGGGTGGGAGTTGTGGTAGTTGTCGATGGAGATGACCTTGTACCGGCGCGTCTTCTGCAGGACATAGACGACATGCGAGCCTAGGGGAAAGAGTGAGCGACCGCAGCAGCCATGGATAAGCGCGCCACGCACCAATGTAGCCCGCACCGCCGGACACTAGTACATTCTGCGGGGCTCGTCAGCGCCAGCGACGAGAAGGATAGCATTGGGCGCGCACCTTGAGAGGAGTAGCAGCCATTTGTTCGTTGGCGTGGGGGGTTTCTGAGCGGGCCGACTGCATACTGTCGCACTTTTATAAGTCAGAGTCCCAATGGTCCGTCTCCGCACCATCGATCGCCCGGATCACATCCAGCCGCCACCCATGCCCCGAAAAGGCAAGTCAGCCGACCCCGCGCGCGTCACCGTACATGTGCTCCCCCTCACAGCTCACTCGAGAGTGCTCGAGAAACGGCGCACGCAAGCCGCCGCGCCGAGGTACCCATCGGCGGGCGCACCATCGATCATGGTCTACGCTACCCGACTCTATATTTCTATACCGGCCCCGCCCTCCCCACGGGTCCCCGCAACGCGGTCCGCGCGCCACCGCTCGGTGTACGCCAATGAGCGACTGGCTATAGCGACTCGAGATGCGCTAGATAGGCAGCCTCCGCAGAGCAGCCAGGGAAAGCCCGAGCCCCAGTGGCACCAGCGACCGTGTCTCGCCATCGGCGCGGACACCCTAGGCACCGCCAACACCCTCATGACGGCAACGACCAGCGCGAGCAGGTGGCACGAACGGGAATTCGGAGCAACGAACGGGAATAGAGCCTCTGCGGAACGGGAATAGGAAGCGGCAACCGGCCAAACAAACGGGAATTGCGACCAAACAAACGGGAATTCAGGACCAAACAAACGGGAATTCGAGCCAAACAAACGGGAATTCTAAAGTTCGGGGCGCATGAAGGTGCCTGCGGAACGGGAATTCGAAAGGTACGGATGATGCAAGCTCTCCATTGTGTCGCAGGGGCACCGAGCGAACGTTCGAAGGTCTGGCGCGACCGCCGGGCCGTCTATTGTTCGACGCGCCACTGGCAGTCTGCGACTCGGGCGGGGGAGTGGGATGATCCACCATTCGATGTCATTCGAGCCCGTACTCGCCCGAGATATGGATGGATGCGGCTGTGAGTAGACCTTCGGACTTATGCGAGAACATCGACCAACTAATACTCCGCCTCGTCGATAAGGCTCAAGGGCAATAAAGGGGGGTGGACTTCGCCAACCGAGCGCGCTGTAGGAGAGGAAGCGCGTTAGTCCAAGATCCCGGACGCGTATTGTGAACTCACGCTTGGACGGCTCAATCTCGATATCCACCTTCTTCATCGACAAAGCCTTCACGAGTCCCTGCGGTCTCTCCAGGCAGGAGTATACCGCTGATCCTGCGTTGAGGACAAGCACTTTGACTGACCTGAGCGCACGGGGTGCGTGCTCGCCGTCAAGTAAGTCCGCTAACTGCGCCAGTATGGAAGCGGATGTGACAAGACGCAGCTGTGGGTCGAAGTGGATGGCTACGTGCGTGACATTGGGCGCAATAGTGAAAATAAGCGCAAGCAGCGTTGATAAAGCAGTCCTTTGATCTGCGCCTCTCAGAAGCAGGTCTACGTCGCGCAAGGCGAGAAGACGCAGTTGAGGCAGCGAGATCGCCTTCTCCTTCATCCCTGGGAAGAGCGCGCGGACTAGGAAGTTGTTCGTTTAGACGCAAGGTGAAAAACGCAGTGAATCCCACACCTTCCATCCTGCAACCGAGCTCCAAGCTCTGCAGCGAGTCTGCGCACCGAGAGACCATATTGAAGGCTGCTACCCGGGAATGCCATGCTTCGGCGCGATCTCGTTGGCTGACTATGTATACATTCAGTCGGAGGCTGCGCAGACGACTATCCGTGAGCAAGCACTTTTCATTTGTGAAAAACCGCAGGAAGTCAGTGCCCTTCAAGAACACGGTAAGGCTCGCGAGTCCAGCCGGCTGCTGGATATGCTGTCCTTCCCAGCTGTCAGGGAGCGTCCAGCTTAGGCGTAGGTCGCGCAATTGAGGAGGAAGCGCTAGGCTTGCCGTTGAATGTGGGGAAATGATGGTAAGGCCAATCGTCACGGAACGCAGCGATGGGCGCGCCGTCGCCTCTATAAAAGCAGTATGCGTTTCCCTGTTAAGCTTGGTGATTTTAGGGTATGTTGCATGTATATGCAGTTCTTCCACACGCTGAGCCCTGTCAAGGATCCCAGCAAGCACTTCCTTCTCCCACACCCACGGACCATCGAATGTTTCCACGAAACGAAGGACGTGCACGTAAGCGCGGAGATGTGGATAGTCTCGTAGAGCGTGGCCAAGGCATACAGCAGTGTTGACATCCTCCACAAGGATATCACGGAAGAGGAGCGCCTGACTTATGTAGTAGAGAGACCTATGAGCAAGCGCGCAGGTCGCCAGCGATGGGATATCGCGATCGGCGTATAGATGGCCCAGGATGCCGTCTAAGAGCTCATGAGGGAGTTTCGCCTCTTTTGACATGATGCGTCGGAGGCCGCGAGCTGCTCGACGCGATAGCTTAATGCTCGTAGAGTATGAGATGATGCGAGGAGGCAAGCGGGCTCTGCGCGGGTCCGGCAAGTCAGCACGCGCCGTTCGGCGATAGCCGAACTTCAATACGACGGACCAACATGTGACCCTCGACCTAGTAAGCCGGCCACGGAGGCGACGAAGGCAGTCTGGCATGGTAATGAGAAAGAGACAGACTGTCCTGACGCAGTCTACAAGACCGGTCAATATACATCCTGGCCCCGTACTCGCGAGAACTCGACAGGAATTTTGGCAACGCGCAGCGTGCATACATCAAATTGTTATAAGAGAACCCAATCATCACTCATCTAAAAGGTCAAGAGATAGCAATGGCGGTTCCACGTCACGATATGCTAAGAGTGTAGCGATCAATGGTCATCAACCAAAAAGTGCATGAAATGTACTCACTGAACGTAGGCCCAATCGTCACATCTACCTTCTCCGCCAGTGGAGCTAGTACGCCTCGCTTCAAGTCGCCCAGATCCTTCAACTTGTCCTCCTCGAACGGGTGGCATCCCGAGAGAGTAAAGCTGATAGACCGAAGTGTGCTGGGTGCGTTGTCGCCAGTGAGAATACCTCTCACTGGCGCAAGTATCCTAGATAGGAGAGAAAGCGGATGCCTGTTCATCGTTACTTGAATGGCAATGTCGGTGACGCCAGGGGTAAGGGCGAGGAGTTGTTGCAGCCAGTCAAGACTGCCGAAGGTATCGATGTAGGTCATGCTGATGTCACGTAGGGCGAGCAGCCTCAGGCGAGGAAGTTTGCCCCGAATGTGCATATGCCGGATGAGGAAGTCCACTATCGTGGCGTTTAGTACGAACAGGCCAAGGTCGGCAACGGTTTTGCTCACTGCTTCCCAGGCACGCGAGTTCAAGACTTTGCAGCGTCTTTGAGCAATGCATCACGATGTCAGCGGCATCTTCCTGCCACCCATGGCTCGAGTCTATCTCGAGGCGCAAGCTCCGCAGATTATCGATCCCGAACATGTGGTTGCTCTCCCTCCAGCAGAATAGCGAGAATATCATGAAGTTCGACCCGCTCAGGGACAACGTGAGATCGGTCAGTTCAACCGGCGCCGAAGTTTGCGGGACCACCACGTCCTGCAATAGCATCCAGGACAAACGCAGATCGCGTATATGCGAGAGGTGCTTGAAGAATATCATGGGGAGGGCGATGATGCACGCGAGACTGAGCGTACGCAATGAGGGCCGCACTATCGCCTTCGAGAGGGCGACGCGCGTCTCTTCGGTGAGCGCGCCATAGTATACGGAGGAGGGGTGGAGGTACAGCTCCCGCACTTCGGGCGTCTTGTCGAGTATCCCGGCGAGTGATTCATCTCGATAGATCCACTGATTGCCGCGCTCGAGCTCCTCCACGCAGAGGCTATGCACGTAGGCGCCGAGGTGAGGACGATCTTGCAGTGTGCGAAGCAGACATGAGGCGGAGGCGGGTCCGCGTATTGTTACGTCGCGGAAGAGGAGGATCTGGCTCGTTTGGCAGAGGGACCTGTGAGCGAGCGCGCAGGTCGCCAATGACCGAGTGTCGCCAGAAGCGTATATGCAGCCAACGATCGCATCCTTGAGCTCCTGCGGAAGCCTTTCATTCTCTGACATGTAGAGGGTTTACGGAGAGCACGGTTCAATGAGTGCAAGCCTCCGGCCAGCCTGAAGAATTTGGCCAGATGAGAGGAAAAGTCAAGCCGGTTTCACGCACGTGGTCTGCATTGCGTGTCCGTCGGCAATAGCCGAAGCGTAAACCACCAATGAGAAATTGGCCATACAGCACGTCGCAAGGGAATTGAGATAATCGCCTCTATCGCGAGTACAGATTCAGAAGCCCAATCTACCTCCTGCTGAGAAATACTCATTTCAGGCAGCGAATCAAGAGACAATCATAGTTACTCGTTCAGTAGATCTAGGGAGAGCAGCGGTGGTTGGACGAGGCCATGCGCTTAAGAGGACATCAGACGAATTCAGAACAGCTGAAGTCAATGCGGACTCACACAACGACCTGGTAATCTTCACATCCACGGCGTTTGATCGGAAGACATCCAGCGTCCATTCCAGATCCTCCAGATCCTGCTGATCATATTCATACGACGCGTCATGTAGGCTCCGGGATATGATCCTGAGTGATTTAAGAGAGGGGGTAGCGTGATTGCCGACTAGCACTTTTGCCAGCCGTTCAATCAAGACGGTCAAGCAGAACAGTCGAGGGATCGGCCGCTGGACCTCCACGGCGATATGCGTGACGTTCGGTGCATCGGCAAGCAAGCGGGAGAGCCAAACCCAGTGCCTCGAGTCGAAGCGCGTAATCGAAACGTGGCGGAGGGCCAGCAGTCTCAGCCGAGGAAGAGGAATATGTAGATTCCAGTCTTCGGGTTCATCCGCTTCGGGGAGCGCGGTCAGCGTGCTGCACGACCATCTCAGTGCATAGATGACGCCTCACCTGACATAGAGCACCCTAATTCTAAGCTTTCCAAGGTATTTGCGCATGGAGCGATCAAGTCAGGGATGCCGACTTGCCATCGCATACCGTACATGAGCAGGCTCAAGCTACGAAGACGATCGACCGAGAATATCTGGCCACGTCCCCTGCGAATACTGTACCTACGTGTATGGAAGCAACCGCCCCTCAGGTGTGACATTCCGCAAGGGAGGCAACCAGAGGCCCTGGAAGCGGCCCGGCGTCAGCCGGGCCGCCAAAAATGGGAATTTCGACCGAAAATTACCTTTTTTGGAAGGATCTCCGGCCCCCAAAGTCGTTGTGACCTGTGACATGGGCAACGCAACCAAGGGGTTGTGACGTGGGACGGTTGCCTCCATACACGTAGGTACAGTACACTCCACGAAGTTATCAAAAAATATTCCATTCACGTCCAGGGTGAGGTCATATAACCGGATCGGGGAGCTCGACCAGTCAATGAACTCGATGCCCTCCTCGTGGAAGTGAACGTCTGATAGCCGTAGATCCCAAAGTCGAGGCATGTCGGCGAAAATGATCCAAGGCAGGTTTATGACACATGCAAGGCTGAATACCCGCATCGAAGACCGGGAGATCGCCCTCAGTAGCGCGCCACGTAGTGTATATGGGAGCAAGCCGTATGCAACAGGAAATGGGTGGAAGTATAGCTCCTGGATGGCGCGAACGCTGTTGAATATTCCGGCGATCTCCTCAAACTCAACGATCCATTGTATCTCGTCCGAATCCTCGACACCGAGCACACGCACGTGCTCACCGAGGCGGGGATTTTCTACCAGAGATCGGAGCAGACGAGTAGCGGACAGTGGTCCATGGAGAGAGATATCACGAAAGAGATAAATTTGGCTGGCCGAATAGAGCGATCGGTGAGCCAGCGCGCAAGACGCCAACGACTGGATATCGCCGGCGGCGTACAGTTGGTGTAGGACCGCTTCTTTGAGCTCCTGCGGAAGCCTTTCATCGTCCGACATGGCCACCGCTCAAATTTGTCGTGGACTCTATCGTGACGCGCGGACAGATGGCCACCTCCAAGTAAGATGAAAGGAAGAGGCAGGCCAGGTTTGCGCACGTGGATCTCGGTAGGTGACAAACGCCTCCGTCGGTGATAGCCGAACAACAATGTTCAACTTTGCCTCCGCAGTGGCAGTATGCCGGACAAAGGAGAGCGTCGTCGGACCAACGAACGCGGCCAATCACTTTGCACTGTGTCGTCTACTGGAATAGGCAAGTATGCGCTATGTCGGTGACGAACCAGCTGTGGCTTTGTGCAGATATCGGCCATAAGGCCCCTAATTCATATCAACTCTCCGGCCATATAAGGAGGTCGATCCTGGTCGATTGCTGCACAGTGATCAACTCGTCCTCGCCCTCACACTCGCTGTATCCTCAAATCTCAACATGAAGCGCACCCTGGTTCCGAACCTCACGAAATTCCCTCCTAACCGCTTGGTCATCGGCAGCCCCAACGTCCTCCGCGATGCCGCCGTCTTCCGAGCTTGGATTGATTATTTCAGAAAAAAGTACAATAAGGTGGTAGCTGCAGGAATCAGGCCCGAACACGACATCAATGTGCATCTCGCTCCATGGTTCCTCGCGATCAACCACGACTGGCTTTGTTTCTCGAAGGCTGTTGTGGAGTCTGGCTTCTTCAAGGAATACCTACCCGAGGCGAGAGAATTCACTCTGATGCTCTATACTCTGGCAACAACGTTCTGGGAGGCCTATTATCGTGTTCACGAGCAAGTCCCTTCGCGACACGTCCACTCCAACTCGTCCTCGTACGCGTTTCTCGACAACCGAACCCAGTCGCTCATCGAGGCGTGGTTCCGAGAAGCGGGCCTCGACTATGCGCATATGCACCGGCTTTTCAACGCTCACAGCTACGACCAGCTGGACGGTATGGTCCACTTCGATCCCAGCACTGTCGTGTCCAGGGCACACGTGAGACCCAAGCGCTACTGGATGATATTCATAGCGGGGCTGGCCCATTTTCTGTGCGAAACTTCTGAATCGAAGGGTCTGGTGAGTTTTCACTGCTCACGCATCCGACTCCAACGCTCACCGCTTGCCACAGTCGCTTTTTCGAAAGAGATATCAAGATCATTGGCCAGCACGCTTCCTTATCGGGCCACAGGCGCAATCAATTTGGGGCGCCGACGATATCCGGGGGCCCGTCACCTTGGGAGGATACTTTGCATCTCATGTAGTGCGTCGTGAAAATCTCCAAGGCTGATTTGTTCTGACCTACCCATAGGAGACGAACTGCACGTACGCGAGTGGAAGCCTGGAGCGCGACTATCACATAGTCCGCTGCATCTTCTGGATGATCAACCACGTTGTCGACAAGCTAGGGATGGGAGACGCGCAAGCGGAGCAGGCTATCTCTGCCTTCGTTGGGACGCTCGTTGTGCCCAAGGTCACGGCGTAGAGGTTGCAGATTAGCTTACATCGTGACGAGACAAACAAGTAGTTTTGCAAGGAAAGCGAGGATTACATCTTCGGAATCGTTGGAAAGGGAAGAGCAAGCAAGGCAGACAGCCGCGGCCGTGGTGGTTGAGGACAAGAGACGCGGCGGCGGCGCGCGCCGATCGCCCCGGCATCGCGGCTTCACGGACCGCGATCCGCGCGCGCGTCAATGTCGCCATACTTAGCGTCGACGACCTTCGCAGACAGGTCACGGTGCACGACGAGCTTGTCAGCAACGAATGAGCTTACTCAAAGGAGGATTCCCCATAAGAACCGCGCTCGCTGCCCTCCCACGTTCCGTACCCCGCTACACGACGTGCATTCGCCTGTACACGACCGCCATGACGCTCCCCGAGACCATCGAAACCATCGCCATCCCGAAGGTGAGGTGATGAGGGGGGAGATCAGGGAGGGCGCTCATGAAGATGTACAGACTGGAGGTATCAAGCTGTTGGAGAAGGTTACGTTGCCGTTCCCCAAGGTCGAGCCCAACCATATTGTGGTGAAGGTGCGTGCGGTGTTCCCCCGTCCCCCGATGATCGCGCTCACAGATGGATTTAGGTTGAGTGGGGAGGTGTCAACTTCATTGATACCTACTTCCGGTGAACACATCGCCGTTCGCACAGACGCTATGTACTGACGATAATCCCACCAGTCAAGGCCTCTACCCGCTCAAGTCCTTCCCCGCCCCCATTGGCAAGGAAGCCACCGGAACCATCGTCCAACTCCCCACAGACGAGAAAGTCCTCAACGACCCCGCCTTCAAGAAGTTCAACTTCGCAGTCGGTAGCAAAATCGGCACAGTACGTCCTATCCGTCCTTGCACACATTCCCTCTAATCCCTTCAACCCAGGACGCCCTCGGCGCGCACGCCACCTACATCTCCATCCCCTGGACCAACGCCTACCCCGTCCCCGAGAGCATCGACACCAAGCTGGCGGCGGCCGCCCTCCTCCAGGCCCTCACCGCCGTCTCCTTCGTCGAGGAAGCCTACCCCGTACAGAAGGGCGACATCGTCCTCGTGCACACTGCCGCAGGCGGCCTCGGGCTACTCCTTGTACAGCTGATCAGGCATCTGGGCGCGACAGTGATTGGGACGACGTCGACGGCGGCGAAGGCGGCGATCGCGAAGGAGCATGGCGCGGACCATATGATCTTGTACAAGAGCGAGGATACGCTGCAGAGGGTGCTGGAGATTACGAATGGGGAGGGCGTGCATGCGGTGTTCGATGGTGTGGGGAAGGATACGTGAGTGTCTGACCATGGTATGAGAGTTCGTAAGCTGATGCGCTGTGCAGCTTCGAGACCTCCCTGGCCGCACTCAGGCGAAAGGGTACCTTGGTCGGCGTGGGCAATGCGTCTGGCGCTATCCCGCCCGTTTCCCCCCTTCGTCTCGCTGCCAAGAATATCAAGCTGCTTCGTCCGACGTGAGTCTTCTCTTCGCACTTTCTTTATCCTCATTGCTTACCTCAATTCCCCAGCATGAACAACTACGTCTTCACGCCAGAAGAGAAGCTCTACTACACCAACAAGGTCTGGGACTACGTCCAACAGGGCGTCCTCAAGATCAACATCTTCAAAGAGTACCCATTCTCGTCTGAGGGCGTCCGCGAGGCGCAGACGGAGCTGACGACCGGCAAGACCACCGGAAAGTTGTTGATCAAGATCGCAGCGTAAGGGTCAGGCTGCGTCGTGCTGACGATGAATCTACAAGGAAATGTATATTATGTGGTATAGTAGCGGAGCAGAAGGACACGATGCCCGGAGTATAATTTGTAGGACTGCATATGTGCGTCTGGCAATGCGCACGGGTTGGGTCCTCGCGGCTCCGAAGTTGAACATGGTACGTTATGTTGTGACAGTCACAGTTCGAATTCAAGCTGGTCGCCCCCGACATTGAACCACACAGCGTCAGATATCTCAGAATGGTATCAAATAGGATCGCAATTACTAAAAAGACAATGCATGACCGTACACAAGAGGACCAAGAGGATAAGGAAAGTGCTACAAGCTCCAGGCGAACCTGCTATGAAAGTACCACGAGACATGAATTATATACCACGAGGATCGGATAAATTACTTGTAGTTGTAGAAACCGCGGGACATGGGCACCATCAAGTCCTTGCTCTTGAGCATGCGCGCGAACCAGTCGCCAAAGACAAGACCCCAGAGGACGCCGAAGTAGGCAGCGCCGCCGGTCTGGTGAATTAGTCAGCTAGGATGTTCTGTAAAATGTGGCATGACGTTCCTTCCCAACCGTGACGAGGATAAGCTCGTAGCTGCCCTTGTACACCGCGGTCGGCTTGCGGCCCTCGAGCACGGCCTTGACGTTCTTCGCGACGACGGCAGCGTGCGCGGCGTTCTTCGCAGCCTGCTTCTGCTCTGCCCAGTCGATGATGTCGCCCGCGGCAAAGATGTCGTCGTGCGCGGCGGTCTGCAGTGTCGGGCGAACCTTGACGTAGTTCGCCTGGTTGAGGAAGTCCGCGGGGAGGAAAGAGGTGTTCGGCTTGCCACCGAAGGCGGGAATCTGGAAGGGTGAGTGAGCAGGGGGTTGAGTGAAAAGGCGAAGGTAGCACTTACGATGAGGTCGGTTTCAATAGTCTTGCCCTTCTTGGTGGTGATTGAGGTGACGGAGCCGGAGGGGATATCCTCGACCAAGTCGTTATAGATGATCTCGACGCCCTTCGCTGTCAGCCGCGACTCAAACGCCTTGCGGAACTTGGTCGGGTAAGTCGAGTTAAGGAGGGCCTCCTGCCCATGCACGATGGTGACCTTCGTCTTCTGTAGCGGAAGTCAGGCAAAGCCAGTCGAGTTCCAGGGAAAAGCACACTCACAGGGTAAAACTCCTTGATCTCGCCGGCAAACTCGACACCTACCGCGCCGCCGCCAACGATTGTAACGCTCTTCGCCTCCTTGATCTGCCCGCGCCAGTGCGCAAGGTGGTCGGGGATACGGTCCGGCTCCTCCGGGAAGTTGAACTCCTCCGGCCAAATGGAACCTGTTCCGAGCACGAGAACATCATACGCGACGCGCTCGCCGTCCGCAAGCACGACCTCCTTCTTGTCCGCCTCGACTCCGACGACCTTGCCCTGCTTCACGGAGCCAACTCCGTTCGGGAAGAGCTTGTCGAGCGGCACGAGCGCCGTCTTCTCGAGCTCGTCCGTAGAGGTGGTGAGCATGCGGACGGTGGCGGGGAGGAGGATGTGGAAGGGGCGGGGGTTGATGAGGACGATGGAGTAGCGCGAGGGGTCGAGCGTCTTCGCGAGGCCGGTGGCGACCTGCGAACCAACGCCAGAGCCGACGATCACAACGGTCTTCTTCTTCTGGTCGGTCTTCTTGTCAGACATGGTGGAGGAGGATGTACTGGGGAGGCTGGAGGAATATAGGCGGGTATTGTGGGTGCAAGGGGCGTCACTTCCAGGGTTTTATCCCTACGCGACCCACGACAATGACCAAGGCGTCTGCAGGGCGCGCGTCCTTTGCGTAAGCGCCCGTACGTCAGATTGATGGCTTCGGTTAAACGGCATCTGGCTGGGGCAATAGGATTCCTTCCACCTTTTCCGATGACTCTCTGCGCAGGACAATGGACTGGTGCTGAGAAGTCTGGCTTGGTCAACGTGGAGGACGACATGAGATGTCGATCGCGACGCCTTGAACTCATCAGATGGCCGGCCTAATTGGGATCGATCGTCTGCTGCTTGCCTCTTTCGGTACAATGATACGCTGCGCCTTGTTCTCACTTCCCATGGGCTGATCAGCATGCCGCAAACGCTGGAGGTCCTCGACCTCCCCACAGAGATTCTAGCGTATATCCTCATACAGGCCAATTTCGTGGACCCTGACGTGCCTTGGGTACTCAGCGAGACCTGCCGTAGGCTCCGTGCTGTCGCGCTCTCTGTGCCGGAGGCGTGGACACATGTGTACTTGCCTCCCACCACTTTCAATCAGCTGGCACCGAGCCTCAAATCAAAGGACGCGGACGATGCAGATCATGACTCTGATGAGGCGGACTCAGAAGTCAAGACCCCGCGCCCTCTCGCCCTATGGTTGGAACGTAACGGCCAGCGCCACTTTCATCTCAGTATCAGGCTCTGCGACTTGCCTAGTCGCCCTGATCGCATGATTACCGTGGCGCGCGAAATGCGCAATGTGAGTTCTATGTTCCTCGCGAATTCTGGGATTCTGACCAAGGTATCGAAGCATGGCTCTCGCCTACGTGGAATAGCCCTAGATGGAGAGAGTCCGTCCGTCGCTCTTGAGCTTCTGGCGATAGTCCTAGAGCGCGTGGATTCTCTTCCTCATAAACCCCAAGTCGACGTGCAGTTCAAGGCTGACGTCTTTTGGTCGAAAACTGGCCCACGAGACGTCGTGAACGGACTGGAGAAAATGGCAACAGCTCACGCAAGTGTTATCAACTCGATCCGTCTGGAGGGATTGGTGCCGCCCCCTGGGACCTTTCGTGACAAGCTTGAAGACCTGGCCGGGTTGGCAATCGACACAAAGTTCCTGCAGTGTGTCTTGCCCCATTGCCCGCGTCTCAAGCGATTGCACCCTGGGAGTTACGCATATGTCCATTATCGCAATGTATGGAAGCAGCAGTCCAGATATTCTTCCATCGGCTTCACGAACTGGTCTTATGGTGACGAGATCCCACCTGATGCCCTGGCGCTCGTCACTCTTCCCGCGATGGAGTACCTGGATGTCTGGCAGACTTGCCCCGAAGCAATCCTCCTACTAGGAATGCATATGCCCGCGCTGCGCACACTGAAATTGCGCTTCAGTATCCCCAGCATGTTCGAAGACGATCGAATGCGCCAAGTCGGACCCGCTTTCGCTCAGTTCGTCGAGCGTACGCCGCATCTGCGTGTCGTCGATCTTGACTCTGCCCCAATCTCCAAGGACACGCTATGCGTAGCCCTCTGCTCAATGCCCGTGCTCGTCGACCTGGGTCTCGAGGATATCCTCGTCACTGGTGGAGTGGTGGACGCGCTGGCAAAAGATGCGGCGTTGGCGCCGAACTTGGCCCATCTGCGGGTGCGCAAGTGCGACAACGTCACTGGCTCGAGCTTCATGCGGCTAGCCCTCGCGCGGTCCGTTCGTGCAGGCGGAATGTTGCGCAGAATCAGTGTGCACCTCTGCAAGAACGTTGCGTGCACGGATCTGGAACGCATGCGAAGGATACTAGACCATTGAAGATGAAGGTACTCACCACAGCCTGTCCACTTGTTCATTGTTCTGATATCTTCTCAGGCAGCTACGCACCTACTTTCGAGCCTTCGTCGTTGCCCCTGATTTAAGAACTATTTCTGACCCTATAGAACCGAATTAGATAGCCAGCGATCTGTAAACTGGTCATGGTGGTACACATATATGATACTCATACCAGCAGCTGGTTGGACAACGAGCACGACATGACGTCACAATGTCACCCAGCCCCATTGGGAACAAGGAAGCGCGCGAATAGCACGCCCAACGCGCAGTTCGTCGACTACGCGGCTTGTCTTCGTCCTTCACTGGCCCAAGTTTCCGGGCCCGCAATCATGTCGGAGTCCACGATGCTCATGTCTCTGCCCACGGAGACACTCACGGCCATCGTTCTGTTCGCTGTCGCCGTTGACATGGGCATACCATGGGTGCTGAGCGAGACCTGCCATAGGCTGCGCGCTATTGTGCTCTCCTTACCGCAGGCGTGGACGCGCGTGCACCTGGCCCCGGTCACCTTCTACGAGTCCAAGATTGGGCCCCCGCCTCCAGCTACTGAAGGCGAAGACGCAGACGATGACGTCGATTTGCCTGGATTGAGGCTTGCTCGACCTCTCGACCTATGGCTGCAACGCATGGGCGACAACCCATTCGAACTTCATATCGAGTTCTGCGATCTACCCAGTCGTGCTCTGCGCATAGGAAAGGTCGCGTCAGAAATTAGGAAGGTCCGTTCTTGAGGCGCGATCAGAGGTCATGTTCGAACTGACGGGCGATTCCAGCATGGTTCTCGTCTACGAGCAATCTCGGTCTCTGGAGAGAGCCCTGAACTATCTCTCGACATGCTCAACACCGTACTGCAACGCCTTTCCGAATTGCCCAATCCTCCTCAAGTTGACGTGCACTTTACTGCCTGGATCCTTTGTCGGAAAAACCCGTCGGACCTGGTCAGGGGCTGTGCAGGGGCTGTGCAGAGACTCGATCCTGACCAGGTCCTGGAGGACCCTGGAGGCGATCTCAGCTGAATTTCGGTGCCCTATAAGTCGGCACCCAGGTATCGTATCCGCATGAAAATGGTATCATTGGAATCCCAAGAAAAGTAGCTACACGGCTGTGTAGTTAATTATCTCCTAACATGGGTTTTGACGAAGTCAATTTACCTGTCCAGGGCCTGTGCAGGTTCGATCCTGAACAGGCAAGACGGAAAGTTCCGACATTAGGGACCAAGCCGACAACCGTACAGTTGCGGGGGAATTGGAGAACGTGATGGTCGGTAACGCTGCCGTCGTCCGCTCTCTCCATCTGGAAGGTCTCATTCCCCCTCCTGGAGTCAGCCGGGAGAAGCTCGATAGCCTTACTCTGCACGAGAAGATGTTGAACGTCGAATTCCTGGTCAAAGTCCTGCCTCGTTGCCCGCGACTGAAGGAGCTGCGCACAACCGACAAGCGTATCCCCTATCGTCACTCGACGCACATTATCAAGCAGGGCATGTTATCTGCTACCTGGTCCGACTTCTCCCGCGCAAGGTGGGATTATGGTGACCCGCTACAACCGGAGATGTTGCCCGCCTCGCTGACCGAGCTCGAGTATCTCGATATCGGCATCCAGCGATGGGTTGGGATTGCCTTTGCGCTGAAGCAGCTGCAACTGCCCGCGCTGCATACCCTCAAGATGCACTGCTACCTCGACGCGGAGCTGGCGATGAGCGGCTATATGAAGCACTTTGGGACCGATTTCGTCCGCTTCGTCGAGCGGACGCCGTCGCTGCGCACCCTCGACCTCAACGAAACGCCGATATCGAAGGGCGCGCTGTGCGATGCCCTCCGCAAGATGCCTGCGCTCGTCGAGCTGGGCCTCGGGGATCTCCTTGTCACCAACGGCTTTGTGGACGCTCTGGCGCAGGATAGGACGTTGGCGCCCCACCTGACCTATCTGCGGGTGTATAACTGCGAGAATGTTGCCGGCTCGAGCCTCGCCGGCCTGGCGCGCGCGAGGTCTACGCGCTCTGGCGGGAAGTTGCAGAGACTAGATGCGGACCTCTGCAAGCACGTTACGAACGCAGATATCAGCCGCATACGAGGGATGTTGGGTGGTTGAAGGCAGATGTGCGCTCTGCAGTCGACACCACCAGGTTTCAGGCCTCGGGTTCAACAGCCTCTGCCAAAATATCGTGGATGTCAGTTTCCACACGGCTCCGCTACTAGCTCGCTCACCCTCTCCTTCTAGACTGTCGCCTACTTGGTGCCACAAATATGATGATATGCGCGAGGGCTAGTCAGAAAGGGATTACAAACGTATAAATTCACGGAGTTGGTCAACTTGAACGCTGTTATGCGGGCGTAATTACGCGCATTCGAGGCCGCTGAAAATGTGTATAGAGGAAGCAATTCACCGAACTTCGATTTCGACGTGCTCACACTATTCACGGCCTTCTCGCGCCGCGCTACAGCACGCTGGAAGATAAGTAAAGTCTGATGGAGGTGATAGACGTTCCCTGTCCCTTGCAGCGAACATTCACTGGGCAAAATGACCGTTCTGGATGGCACAGGTTTGCTCAAGCCTCGAGGCTACTTTTAGAAGAAAAAGCGCGAACATGACAAAGGCGTGTGAACCTCAGGGTTGCCGAGAATATGTGGCGTCGGTGCCTGTCTTTACGACGACGTCAACCGTCAACCGCGCATTCCCGACGACGGCCACGACGACGAGCACGGCGCTGGCGTTCCGAGCCAGCTGACGGACCAGACGGCGACCGCCACCACACACGTTATACACCCTTTTTCTTCTTGATATCCGCGCTCACTTTACCCGCCCGTGATGCTTGCGCAGCAGCCGCCTCAGCCCCGCCAGTCGACATCCCGCGACGTCGACCCCGAGTACCGCATGTCGATGCCCAGAGGGTCGCCAGCCATGTCCTCCCCGATGAACGATGGGTCCGTGCGCTCAAGACGAGGCGTACCCGCACCCGAGCCTTTTAACGGGCAGGACGGCTACGATGAGGAACAGCCGCCAGAGCAGGACGACGAGGCTGATGATTTCTACAACGGCACCCCCGAGCACCAGGGCACACCCTCCATGTATGATCCCGGCTACGCAGCGCCGAGCGCGGCCAGCATCGCAGGCGGCCTCGCGCGGTCGACCGCGAACCAGTCCGTGCGCGCGCCGTCCCCGCCGCAAGGCCCGCTACTCGACCATTCCCATCTCAAACCCGGCAACCAGGCCGCGCTTCTCTCTCACGAGCGCACACTCGAGCTGTACCGCGCGAACGCGAAGAAGACGCAGGACCCTGATCTGCAGTTCGAGTTCGCCGTCTTCATGATCGACGCAAGCAAATCCCTCCCCATGCCCAATCCTACTGGTGGAAACCTGCTGGAGTACGAGAAGGCGCAGGAGAAGCGCGAGGACCTCATCAAGGAGGCGCTTGGCTTGCTCAAGCGCCTTGCCGATCGCGGACACCCAGCTTCCCAGTACTTCCTGGCCGACTGCTATGCGAACGGCATCGGCACCGTCCGCAACAAGCAGGACTTCGACCGCGCCTATCCGCTATTCGTCCTCGCTGCGAAGCATGGACACCCGGATGCGGCCTACCGCGCCGGCACCTGCTGCGAGAACGGCTGGGGATGCCGCCGCGAGTCCGCTAAAGCTGTCCAATTCTATCGCAAAGCCGCAATGGCCTCCCACCCAGGAGCATTATACCGACTCGGCATTGCAGAGCTCAACGGCGAGCTTGGGCTCAGCCGCAGCCCAAGAGAGGGTGTCAAATGGCTCAAACGCAGCGCCGAACACGCCACCGCCGAGTTCCCCCACGCCCTTCACGAGCTCGCCCTCCTTCATGAGCGCGGCATCGAAAACGTCGTCTTCGTCGACTACGAGTACTCGACCGAGCTGCTCGCTCAGGCCGCGGAGCTCGGCTACGCTCCCAGCGCCTATCGCCTCGGCGAGTGCTACGAGTATGGCAAGATGGGCTGCCCACAGGACCCGGCGCTCTCAATACATTACTATGTGCGTATAGCCTCAGCGCTCCGCACGCCGACTGACCGACTCCTTTAAGAATATCGCCGCACAACAGAATCATCGCGATGCGTGCTTTGCGCTGACAGCATGGTATCTCGTCGGATCGCCCGGAGTACTGCCCCAGTCGGACACGGAGGCTTTCCTGTGGGCAAAGAAGGCCGCGGAAGCTGGGTTGGGGAAGGCCATGTACGCCGTCGGGTATTTCCTCGAGGTCGGCATCGGCACGCCAGCGGACATGCAGCAGTACGTCTTTGCGCACTTGAACGTGTTCTCGAGCTTACGTCTTTCAGAGCATTGGCGTGGTACAAGAAGGCGGCCGAGCAGGGCGACAAGCGTGCGGCGCAACGTCTGAAGGGCTCAAGTCAGCCAGTCTACCAACCAGGTGGTCCCGGGAGCGTACTGCACCGCTCAGAAGGGGACAGCGCGTCGGTTGGGAAGGGCAAGGATGGCAAGGACTGCGTAATTATGTGAGGTCGGGTGATCACTACACGCACATTCATCCCGATCCGCTGCCTTTGTCCCTACCATCACAGTGTATCTTTATTCTCCTTTGCCCTCTCCACCACACCTTTCCTTTCTATAATGACAGATTCGACCCGGACATTTGTACGCGCACCTCTGATCTTTGCGGACCTGCAGCGCGCGTTGGGACCATACTCGTAGGCGCTACTTCGTGCATCATATAGAAGCTCATGTACATCTGTTACAATGGAATGCGACGTAGCGGCAAGCGTCTAATGGATGGACAGTGTTATCCTGCATAAGATTCCTCAGAAATCGCGAAAGCGATGACAAAAACGACGCAATGAGAAAATGGCCCGTACGGGGGTCGAACCCGCGACCTTGGCGTTATTAGCACCACGCTCTAACCAACTGAGCTAACCGGCCGATGGTCTGCTGTGATTGAGTAAGAGCGTGGGTGTGTCGCTAGCCAAATATCGACGATCCTTGTCCTCGGTGCACGTTCGACGTTGAGGCTTCAATCAGTCGGAGACTACCGCATAGCAGGTAACCGGGGCAGTATCTACACTAAATGTCTCAAATTAGGTTATCCAACACGACAACATGGTCAGAGTCTACACTCGTAACGCAGCAGTGCCCGGAAAAGGCTTCTAGACTACTGACGGCCGCTTCCCCACCGCCGGGGCATCGTCTCAGTTGCGAAGTAGACTCTCTGAAAGCACATTCAGCCACATCCCTCTGTTCAAGCTAGCATCAGCGCGGGCTTTGCATGTCTAAACGGCAACGTTCGATTAGGGCGCATTGATTGCAGTGACCTTCGTACCAACCGAAGGGCGACAACATCTCAGGGACAGACAGACCAAGACAGGCAGTGGTGAATGATGTCCTGTGGCAGGTTTGAAAGCGTTATTGCTGGGGCCATGGTCGCAGGAGGAAAGAAACGGTCTCGAGTCACGACACGCCGTCACGCAGATCCCACCCGGCACTTGCCGCCGTACGTTGAACAGCATCTTTACCCAGCGACTCGCTGCCCCGAGAAGCCTCGGATGAGCCTGTGGAATAGTATCTTCATTGTGCAAGGTCTCTTTCAGGGTCGTTATCTCCTGTCACCTATGATACACACAAGGAAGCGGATTCTGACGCCTCAGAATGTGCGCGAACAAAAAAGTGGTATATAGTGGAAGTCCAGGACCCACCGACCGCCTGACATCGCCCTACTTCTTCATCTCCAACACCCTCAGCGCCTTCGGAATATGCGACCCCTCATCCCTCAAAAACTCCACCACCTTATAATTGATCACCCGCGTCGCCCCCAACATGAAGAACCGCAAATGCGTCAACTGCGACTGCAGCTCCATCTCCCCGTACTCCTTCCGCATCGCGTTCTTCACTTTATCGTACTGCGCGGGCGTGATGGACGGGTAGCGCAAGCGCACGGGGTGCGCGTGGCCGACCCAGGCGACATTCATATTGTGCGCGGCCACGTCGCGGAGGGAGTGCGCGTCCTGGAGGGCGGGCTTGGAGGCTGGGGTGCCGCGGTAGGTGATGGGGCGCTGGGCGCCGAGGACGGTGGGTGGGGGGCGCGGGCGGGCAGGCATGGACATGGAGGAGGTCAGGCCGGGTGGGCTGAGCGCGCCGTCCGCCGCGCCATCCATCGACTGGGAGGGGTTCAGCTCGGGCGTCGCGCTACCGTCTTCTTCAGAGTCCAAGTCAGGGATGGACAGAGACGCCGGAAGAGGGTCGCGCTTCGGCGGCTGGATTTCCATGAGGTACCTATGGCACATCATGTCTATGGCGGTCTGTAAAGTGTATCAGTGGCCTGTCAGGCACACGGAACGAAGAAAACGTACTCGTATAATCTCTCCAGCCCTGAGCAGGAGGTCCAGGAAATTACTGAGCCGCGCCGCGGCAATATTGTCATTGATTATGCGCAGGACGAGCGAACGCTCATTCTCGGTCTTGAAGAAGGAATAGACGTCCATGTAGAAGCTAGAAAAGAGGTCAGGAGTTCCGAAGCACATATAGTCGAAGACATATACGTACCCGAGGACCTTCCCTATCGTATCCCCCATATCCTCAAGGTCGACCTCGTCCATGCGCTCCATATCCGCCTTCAAATTATCCAAGAACTCCGCGAACGCGCGAACTACAAAAAAGCCCGGGAGGCGGTTGACCTGCGCTGCGCGTCAGACCACGTCCTCATCGACGCATATACCCTGCTAATTACGCACCTTGCTCTCCCGCGCCTGCCGCCAGATCAACAGCAGCGCGCACTCCAGCTCATGCGTCGCCATCGGGCGGGCCTTATAGATCGCGGCTTGAATATCCTTGTTCTCCTTGTCTGCCAGCTCCGCCAGTGTCTCGTCGCCGACTGCCTGATGAACGATCGCCTCCGTCATATAGTACGTCGGGCTATGCGTCTTCAGCTCGCCGGGATCGGTGTCGGAGGAAGACGAAGAGGATGACGAAGAAGAGGGCGCGAGCGTCGACACCGCTGACGAGGACGCCTTCTCCGCCTCCGCATCCGTCTTGCTGCGGCGGAAGAAGCTGCTGGACGAGGACATGATGCGCGAGAGGGATAGAGTAGACGAGGACTTCGTAATGGAGGGCGCAGCTAGCTTTCCCTCCTTGGCGAGCTTCCGGGCAAGGGAAAGGGACGGCGCCATGGATGGAGGTACGCCGTCGACGGACGCGCTGTCTTCTGCCGACTGAGAAACAGCGATATCTGCGTTGCGCGAAGCGTTTGAGGCGGTGTTGTCGGTGAGCATCTGCTTACTGAACGACATGTGGATAGTCTGTGCTGGGTATATAGAATGTGGAGGGAGAGAACGAGAATCGGAAGCCCGACGTCGGGCTCTTATGCACTACCAGTCCGCTGCCTCCTAAAGAAGACCGGCTGCACCCCCGGCTGTCATGATAGTGATGCGTTCAGATCCTTCTTTCATTGTTGAACGATCAAGACATTTCGCCTCAGAAAGGTTCTCGGATTCCGTGAGACAAAAGGCAATGCAGGAAGCACAGAATGGCGGGAACGAAAGATGAACGTTGAACAAAAGGATTGACGCGTCGGGCGAATGTCGACGCGCACGTGGAAGCGCAAGTCCCGCTCAACGTGTGCAGTTCGACTTGAAGGTCCACTCCTGCCATTTTCCTCCCAAAAATCCATCATTAGCAGCGAGTATCAAGGAGTCATACAGGCTGCGGTATATGGGAATCGTAAAAGGTATAATATATGCCTATGTGTGTCGTACGAGAAGATCGAAGAGTCCATGGAATCCTGTGATATCCGAGTGTATGGCCCATCGCAGGTACAGATATCTGGAGGTCTAGGCAGCTACTGCAGCGACGGCTCACTGAGCGTCAGGTGCGGCAGTCTCCTCCGGCCGTGCGGGCGAGCCGTCGGTCGACTTGTTGTGGGCACCTTCGCCATGCTCAGCAGTCGCAGACCCTACGGGAGCCTTAGCGGGCTTCGAAGGCGCAGCGGACTCCACTTGGTGGTGCATGGGTACACTGTGCGAGGGGACCGGAGTGTTCGGCGGCGCACGGGAGTTTCCCTCGTCATCGGCCTTCCCAGGTGCATCCAGGTGCTCGTCAGCCGCGCGCGCTCGCTTGCTAGGAGGCTGGTCAGAGGCTGAGCCTTCCGAGGCTGCAGCGACTGGTATAGGCACGGGCGGCTGGACAGGAGCATCCGAAGGATTGACAGGCGGTTGGACAGGAAGGTTCGACGGACTGACTGGCGGTGCCGGCGGAGTAACAGGCAGGTTGGACGGGTTCAAGGGCGCCGGAGGGAGGTTCGACGGGTTGACGGGAGCAGGCGGGAGCTGAGAAGGGCCTGGCGGTTGTACCGGAGGAGACGGTAGCTGAGAGGGCATGGACGGTACCCCAGCAGCTGACATCATTTCCGACACAGATGCAACAGCAGCGCGCAGCTCGTCTAGGCGATCGTCGCTCTCCGCATCGTAGCTCCCATCGTCGTAGTCCTCCACGCTCGCGGCGCCGGCGGTGCCCTCCTTGCCACATAGCGCATCCGCGAGCGGTGTGAGGGGTAGCTTGCGCAGGATCCCACACACCGGAGCGGCGAGGCCCAGAGGACCAAGAAGGCCGGCGAGAAGGGCTGTACAGGCGTTAGTGAGTGGGTGTATGCGTCACAGCATGGTTGGTACGCACGTCCGCGGGCCATCAACTCGGTTCTCTGCTCTAGCTCATCTGGCGGCACCGCGCGTGCGGAGTTCAAAGACATATGCCGCGTATGGGCGGTGTGGAAGGACGAGCTGGGCGTCATCCCGCCGTGCTGGTTTTCGCCGGTGGGTGCGGCGAGGGCGCCGAGGCTGCCGGCCGACGACGAGACAGCGAGAGTGGCGATGAGAATGGAGGAGCTCGAGGGGATCTTCATCGTAGACTAGGCGGGTTGGTAAAATTAAGGATTAAAAGGATGTGGGCGTCTAGAAATGTGCGAGATGGAAGTTCGGGAAGAAAGCGAGGGAGGTGTTGTTGACGCGTCGCCACGGGCCTTTATAGTGGAATGCGTGCGCAAACAGCGGAGGTCCAGATCGGGCAGTATGACGAGCTTCGCTGTCGGGCGGGTGCGCACCGGGAAGGTGTTATTTGGCAGCACTTTGTTTCGACAGAAAGGTTAATGGAAGGGACTCCGCCCGATCCGGTGGTAGCCCGAGCCCATCTCGAGCAGATCTTCCTCATCGTCCAGTCGCGTTGGTCTTGAGAGCCCGGTGAACTCCTTCGCGCTGAGGACGGCATGCTCCCAGAGGTCACCGAAAAACTCGATGATGGTTGGGCCCATGCAGGTCGACGCGAGGCACCATAGAAGCGCGGCGGAGCTACCGCATATGTCAAGAAATGTCACTTACGGAAGAAGAACCGTCAAGGGCTACGCACAGGAAGATCGCGACGATGAAGAAGATGGGCATAAGCGCCTTGACGCTGTCGGTGCTTCCGCCGCTTGTCATGGTGATTCGGACAACGGATTATGCGGTGGAGGGGGGTCTTGAGCTCGCTGGTGCAGCGAGCGTAGAATGTGTGTGTGCTTGCTGAGAGTACTTGTGAGGGAGCTCAGCGACGAGAGCAAGACGCGTCGGGCCGGACGCGTTGCTGCTTAGCGCTCGGATTCCGGCCCGCACGGGACACACTTGCGGAGTCTTCCGAATGTTCCCACGCCCTGTTTTCCTCCGCTCACGCGATGTTCGACTTCACGAAAGCCACTCTGAAGCCCACAGCGCCCAGACCAACGTCTGCTTGCAACGGAATATATGCTCCTACAAACACCTCCGGAGCCCTCAGGCCAGACGTCCCGTTGGCAGTAGACTGAGTGCATCAACACGCCTCAGGGGACAGAGCTTCATCACCTCCTCGCCTGTTGAACCCCTGGTCCCTCTCCGAAAGGACAATGCCGATGCGCGACCTCACTGTCTTAAGCCAAGCATTTGCTCACCTCCCTGCTGTAGCGTGGACTCAGGCAATCCCTGTGCTCGAATGGAATACTCAGTCGCCTGACGACTCCATCCATACGGACACGGCGTTTTGTACTTCGCTTGCGCTTCTCTTGAACATTGGCCCTGTCCTGACAGATCGCTAGCCATCTGCCCAGTGTAAGCTGCATATGGACTTACATGAACGTAGTCCAGCCCAGACCTGCTCGAATCGTGTTATCTCTAACGATGAGCAGGTTCATCCCAGGCTCCTTCTCGTTCATGGGATCATGCGCAACTTACAGGAACAGTTCGCGGCCTTCCATCCAGTGTATTGGGGGATGGAAGACCTAGGCGGTAGATTGTATACGTAGATCAGAGTCGGTGATATTGTTATGAATTGCATTCCTCGTCTTTTCCTCCCTAGAGGAAGTGTAAGAACGAAGCCGCGTACCAGACCAGACGAACAAAGGGCGTCATCGAAACAGGCGAAATGCAATCAAGCCCTGGGCCAGCCTTCGAAGGGGCAGCCACATGGCAACGGCAGTAACCCGCACCGCGATAAATTGGGTCACCGCATTGCTTGTCATCGACCACCACATCTCCTGTCTTTGTCCTCGTCCCCGTTCACGTCTTTGAACGAATCCGCGCATCTCATCATCTCACGCCCATCGCGACGAACGCCAACACCGCGAACGAAAGGGATCTTGCCGGACGCACGGCTAGCTATACACCTTGTCTTGTGCGACGCGAATCGGCAGCAGAGAATACTACACATCTGAGCAGAGCGTGCTAACGAAGAATACGACATGGTGCGTGGATCCGATAGTGGCGTGCTCGGCATGGACTGAATGCGCGTCGTGCATGCAGGACACGCGCAACCAGGACCCCGAGGAGCTCTACGTCAAGCAGGACAGAATTGGTGCGTGTACCCATTCTTCCCATCCTGTACAGCTTCTGACGCTTGTCTTCTAGGCAAGGGCTCCTTTGGCGAGGTCTACAAAGGGTGCGGGTCCTCATCGACTCCTGCCAAGTCGGACACTCACCCTCCTTGCTCGGCTCAGCTACGACAAGCGCACCCAAAAGACAGTCGCGATCAAGATCATCGACCTTGAGAGCGCGGAGGACGAGATTGAGGATATCCAGCAGGAAATTCAGATCCTCTCGCAGCTGGACTCGCCCCATGTCACCAAGTGCGTCGCCCGTACACGCGATTGAACTCTCGCTGACGACCGCACAGATACCATGGCTCGTACTTGAAGGGCTCCAACCTATGGATTGTCATGGAGTGCGTCTTCCTATCCCCAAACCGCCGCGTCGCAGCGCGCTGACGACCTCACAGGTTCTGCTCGGGCGGGTCGTGCTCAGATCTGGTACCGATCTCGTCTCTGCGCGGCTGTCGCTCCCCCTCCTAACGCGCCTACAGATGAAACCCGGCGTCTTCCGCGAGGAGTACATTGCCATCATCCTCCGCGAGCTGTTGCGCGGTCTAGAGTACCTCCACACTGAGGGGAAATTGCACCGCGACATAAAGGGTACGCGTCGCGTGCAGACATCCGCGGAACCATTTCTCACGTGCCTCGGCAGCGGCGAACGTGTTGCTCTCCGCGGGTGGGGAGGTCAAGCTGGCCGATTTCGGCGTGTCGGGGCAGCTTTCGGGGACGCTATCGGCGAAGAAGAATACGTTCGTGGGGACGCCGTACTGGATGTCGCCTGAGGTCATCAAGCAAAGTGGATACGATCACAAGGCGGACATCTGGAGTTTGGGTATCACCGCCATTGAACTGGCGAAGGGCGAACCTCCGTATGCCGAACTCCATCCGATGAAGGTGTGTGGGGTAGCTATTGAGCGGCCCAGATGCTCATAGGCCCTCCCCTTAGGTCCTTTTCCTTATTCCGAAGAACCCTCCGCCGACTTTGGAGGGCAACTTCTCGAGATCATTCAGGGAGTTCGTGTCGTACTGTCTCCAGCGGGATCCTCGCGACGTACGTTTGACGGCGTACCCGGGATACCTCCCCAACTGACAACATGACAGCGACCATCTGCCAAGGAGCTGTTGAAGCACAAGTTCATCCGGATGGCGAAGAAGACGAGCTACCTGACTGAACTCATCGAACGGCACGAGCGATGGAAAGCCGAAGGCGGTGGCCGTGCAGAGGAAGACGAGCAGGATATGGTCAATGATCTGTGAGTCCACCCCCTGCGACTGGTCGTGTCCTGTCCCATAGCTTCTGTAGCCCACAGAGCGGTGATCCCGAAGACCTTTGGGACTTCGGTACCGTGCGCCATGTGAGCACCGTCGGCCGGTCACAGAGCAACATTCAAGTCTCTGGCCCTCCCTTAACATGGGAGAACGACGACAAACTATCGCGCGCGTCTGACTCTTCTTCCATCCGCGTCGCTACACAGCGCGGTGTCGGTGGCTCGACGTCTTCGCGAGCCTCGTCGACAACAGCGAAGGGCGATCTGCCGCCTTTGCCACCGCAGGCGCAGTCACGCAAGTTCGATACGCAGTCGACCGTGCGACATGCGCCGACGGCGGCAGCGAAGTCGGGGCATGCACCGAGAGAACCCTCGGATGAGTATGATGATTATGGAGATCAGTATGTGGACGATGAGGCGGTGGACAATTTGAACGGCAAGTTTTCGGGCGTGCAGTTGGAGGACGATGAGGTTGCGGACACGACGATGCTGGATTCGGTCATCTTGCCTGCGATAGCATCGGTGAGTCGGGCTGAACTAGTTTGTTTAGAAGACATCGTTAACACTCCACAGCTCTTCCCGCGCGTCGCATCGCAAGAAGCGCGGATAGCGTTGAGCGCTTTGCAGCGCGCATTCACGGAAGCGGAGCGCATCATCCCAGGAGTGACGCTCGAGTTCGTGAACGAGATCGTGGACTCTGTCGAGCACGTCGAGGACGATCGATGAGCGAATGCTGTATTACCCTCGGCTCATGGCATACATACTCTGTGCATGGGTTCGCCAGGATCTAATCGTTACCCATATACCTGGACCCTCCCTTGTTTTCGCGCAATCGTACACGCTCTTGGCAACATCTGCTCGCACCCATGTACTGTATCTCCGCTCTGTCCTGCAATGCAATACATTTGGCTGGAATGAATGAGGATGCGCTTTCATCCGGGCCCGTCCTTTGAAGTTCGTGGCCCGCACTTCGACGAGCGGCGCGGGTTGAACAGCCTGCCGGCAGTTGCCGTGTCGGTTTGGTTCCGCATTTCATTTCTTCGCCCCGTGTTTGCTACGGCGTCGAACGAGTCCTCTCCTTAGACACGAGAGATTGTGAGGTTGAACGCTTGCTCTAGCTTGGTGACGCTCTCTCTCAGGCCAGTGAGTTGCGCTCAGATCAGCACTCACGACTCATCGTCCGAAAGTCAGCCAGATTCATCGCCGTTGAATTGCAGATCCCTGCCCGGACCCTTCTTTCAGGAGCTGCTATTCTACGCATGCCCAGAATGGACACTGCATTGTGGCGCAGTCCTTCGGCCGCCAGATGATGGAAGCTTTTGTCGAAGAGTCGAATTTCAAATGACAACATAACCCCTTTGAGGATGTTTATTGTTCTCTTGCAGGTCATAGCGCTTCGCTGAGTTTGAATTGCTCGCGCTTACATAACCACCCAGGTCCGAGCAAATATAAGGCGCGAGCGCCCGCAGTTGAGCACCACCACCTTTCTTCCTCTGACCGCCACCATCCCCCACCGTCGCCACCCCCTTTCCCTACCCTTCGCCGCCGCTCCCCACCTTTTCTCTCTCTAACGTCCTCCATGTATCCGACTCCGACTTTTCCGACTACACCGACTCTCTCGGCGTCTACAAGAGACAATGACTAGCCAGCAAGATATATGGCAATGGCGTCGACTCTTGGACCCTAGGGACCTGGGAAATGTGGCAACGCGAACTGATAAGGTTTACCAAGGTGTGTGATCTTCCCATCATCTGGTCACCTCTCTGCTGACTCGTTGTACCCAGAAAGTGTGTTGCGCTCGTTGTCCATTATGTGGCATCATCTCATCGTCTCTCTTCAGCCAATGACAGCGCCTTCGCAGGCAATAGTCCGGGTATTCCCAAGTACGTCGCCTCATTCCTCACACACGCCACTGAACTCATCACACCAAAATCAGTGTGGCGCCGACTAGGCAATGGCGACAAGACGCAATGAGGGTATATCCCAATGAAACGACGCCGACACATCGACAACGTCGACAACGACCGGCGAGATGCTGTCAAGGTCCCCAGCTCTCAATTGCGCCACGGGCGGGGCGCGCCAAGGCTGCCTACGCTCTTTCGATGGGCACGTCGAGCTGGACTCTCGACGGGGCACAACCGAGGCAATCCGCTCGCAACAACAACTCAATTAAGTAGCTCCTGAGGACGGGGAGGCCAACCCGTCGGAGCGGCGTTTCTGTCCAGCCAGGGACGTTGCGCCCGGGCTGGGGTTTTCGTCCCCAGTCCACGCAGACTCGTAGGTGCCCTCATCGGGCGGTCGTCGCGATGCTCGACTCGGCCTTCGCGCTGTGGTTCTGCATTGTGGCGCGCTGTCTCGTTGAGGGCACCTACACCCCTCTTCCGGGTCCCGGGATGAACGTTGCCAATATGCGCAGTCGGGTACCGCGCCTTCGTGCGCGCGAACCCACGGCGGTGGCGCCCGCGGTCGTAGGGTCGGATATACATAATTTTTCACTGGCCGCCTCCTTCGGCGGCCCCTCCTTATTTTTTCAACCTAGCCGATATCCCACGTCTGTCGACGTTGTGGAGGGGCGGGTAGAATGAATGGGGACGGGGATCTTCTTCTGCATCGCCAGCCAGCAGAAGTCTATCATCATCAGAGAGTAAGCACATTGCCTATTGTCCATTGCATGCCACACATGTACATCTACGCCTGCGTATCCTTCTTCTTCTTCTTCGTTCCCGTCCCCTTCTTCTTCGTCCTCGTCACCTTGATGGGCTGAGGCGTGCTCGGCTCCGCCGCGTCGTCCTCCGGTACCTCATACTCTGCATACGGAGACATCGACGGAGGTCGCGGTGAATCAGCGAAGGCCCGACTGAGGAGCGGCGAACTACCCAAGGGCGATTGCGCTCTGCCACTTAGAGGTGTTGAGATACCCGTGGAGGATGGCCGTGAGGGTGGCTTCGCTCCCGGAGGCATCTCTCCTACGCGCTCGACGACGAAGGGCACAGGTGAGGGTGAAGGCGATTCTCGGTCATGACGCATCGACGGGAGGGTAGGATTGGGGGAGTCTAATGGCGAACATGGTATTTCAGAAATATGAACAGAATGATGTGAGATCAGTGCCGCACCTGGTAACAGCGAGGGCATTCCCTCGAGTTGTACAACTGGGATGGCGTCCACATCGTCGGGAGCGGGTGACTTTGTTGACGACTTGTCCATGATATAGTACGGGTCGTCCTTCAAGCGTTCCAGACGCTCGGCCTTCCTCTAAGAAAAGAATTCTGTCAGAACCTGCCTGGTTCGTAGCGGACGACAGACTCACCCGTTCCCTCTCAGCCCTCTCTTCTGGCGTTTCGGGCTGAACCTCCTCAATCGGGATCAGTGCGTCACCATTCGTAGCCTTGCCCTTCCCCTTCCCGTTCACGGCCTTCTCCTTGCCCTTATTACTGCTCCCGCCCTCTTTCTTGCTGCTCTTCTTCCCCGACTTTTTCGTCGGCTTTTCCTCTTCCATCTCCACCACCGGTGGCACGATCCACGCGTCCAGATCCAAACCCTCCGGCACCGGCACCGCAGCCTGCGCCTCCGCCGCAACCGGGTTGAGCTCGTGCTCAGTGAACAGCGGTCGAATCAAGTACAGGCTCTTCGGGAAATGCGGCTCCGCCGCCGCAGGCGCGCCAAACCCACCATCTTCCTCTGCCGCCGCGAACGCGTACGCGGACTCAGACTTGGGCGTGAACGAGCCCAGGTCCGCGCGAATAAATTGGAAGAGCTGCAGCGTCTCCGCGGCGCGCTCCTGCACCTCGACGTGCGGGCTGCTGGCGAGGTCGGTGGCGCGGGTGATGATGGTGTCGACGGTGGCTTGGAGCTCGGGCAGGTCGTCGTTGTCCCAGTTGGCGGCGAGCTCGGCGGCCCAGAAGCCGAAGATCTTGACGGCGGCTTGGATGTACATGGCCATGATGTCGGGTGGGAGGAGGGTGATTTCGGGTTGGAGAAGGTAGGGGATGAGCTTTTGCGGGTCCATCATTTCACTGAGGCCGAGTGTTAACCTCTGCGACTGGACAGGTCACGATCAGAACCACTCACTTGCAATACTCGCCACAGATCCACGCAGCCGCCCACAGCACCTCCGGACAACTCCCCTCCTCTTTCGCATTCCTCAACATCGTATCGTCCATCACGAGGCTCGCCATCAGCTTCACCCCATACCGCCGCACGGCCCTCACCCTCCCCACCACATCCACCAGCTGCGCGCACACCTCCGCGCCGATGCCCGACACGCCCGCGACGTTCGCGAGGTCGACGAGCACGGAGAGGTACCACTCGAAGTTGCCGACGTGCTCGTACATATTGGCGGAGCACATGCTGAGGATGCGCTGGCAGAGCACGAGGCGGTAGGCGGCGGACTGCGAGGGTGAGGCGAGGGTGGCGGGGCGGCCGGGGGCGGTGGATATTCGGGCGAGGGTTTGGGCGGCGGTGGGTTGGGTGGCAGTGACGCTTTCAGGGACGAGATGGGAGAGGATCTGTTGAACGATGGATTGGAGGTTGCTTTCGTCGGCCTGAGGGCGGGGATAAGCCAGTGTCGAATGAGGTGTAGATGTACGCTTACCATGGCGGAGACCAGATCCAATGCCCGCATTCGGATGCTGATGTCCTGGTCGTTGACGCTAGATAGGATGGTATCCTGGTATTCAGCGACGAGATGAGGGTGTGTAGGCACGATCTTGACCATCGCAAGAAGTGCGATATATTTCACTGCGCGAAAGTCAGCCTCAGAGCAAGCTTAGAAAATTCGACTGGACATACAATTCTGGTCAGGATCCTGGATGAACGCTGCCAACTTCGTGACGCATGTCCTTGCCAAGTTGTCGCCCGCATGTCCGCGCAGCATCCCACCAATGATACACGTATGCACACATTCATACAAAAGGGATATGGCGGGGGTGGTAGAGATGAGGTCAACGATCTGCGGTTGGAGCTTCTTGACCAGGCGGGGTTCGTATGGCATCATGCTCCCGAACTGGATGAATGATCAGTACGAGTATGGTAGGGCGAATAAGCGCCCTACGAGCTTGATGATCTTGATCAGCATCCAATTGTTGGATGAGGTCGTGAGGAGGTGGAAGAGCTGGGGCGCGAGGCTCAGATAGTCGGTGGGGCTCTTCCGTGCCAGTTCGCAGAGTACGTTGACTGTGGCGGCTACCACAGCTATATGTATAATCAGTATCCATGATACTCAGTAACTGTGTACCACGCACCTCCATCCGGATCCTCCAGCCGATCTTTGAGACGGGGCAACGCCGTCTGCGCCGCAGCGGGATACTGCTGAAGGACCTTGTACATGACCAAGACGGCGCGTTTCCGGATTTGCGGACGCGAGTGCGTGAGCATCGCAATTAGCTCAGGCGCGAGATCGCGTGAGAGCTCAGGGGTAGCGATATGGGATACGCCGTTAAGGGTGACGGCTACGTCTGCAGGCGTCGACGTCAGGTCCTGACGAATAATGTAACTGGGAGGTGCAATGTTGGCTGAGCGGGCGTACACACCTTCTTGAGGAGGTTTGTGGTGAGCATGAGCACATCCGTGTCCTTGTTAAAGGACTGGGTGGCTGCGAGGTACCCAACCGACTTGAGATGGAACCGAGGCGAGGACATAACCTCGACGACATGGAAGGAGGCCCAGCTCATGTCGTACCCAAGCATGTCAAGCTGTAGATGGTCAGATATCCATCCCCCGTGCATAGTTCAGCAACGCACGTATGTGAGCTTCAGCACGGCGCCCGCCTTAAGCTCCATGTCCTCCTCGCGCACTTCCCGCTTGATCTCCTCGACCGCCTTGTTGATGAACTTGCTCTCATCCTTCTTGTTTGCGCGTAGACCTCTGATGAGGTCCTGCAACGTCCGCTCCCACATTCTTGGATCTGTATAACGGCGACGACGACGTCGAGGACGTCGGTCGGGACGAGGAGCAGGGGACGCGGTATCCGGCCCGCCGGCATGCGTCACTCCTGATCCCTATCACGTGGTAGTTCAACTTGGATTAAACGCTCGTCTCCAGCTTGTCTCTTGCCTTCATGAACTCGCCCTTGGGTGCTAGAAAGCTCGATAGACACTCAAGAATATATCCCTCGGCAATACGTCTACATCTTGCCAGCGCACAAGGCTTTAGCGTTCTCAGACCGCTGGCCACGCCATCGGTCCAATTTCAGCAATGATCAGTCTGACTCGGGAGGCGGCGATCAACGACGGTGAGAGCAGATAGCGCAACAATCCCCTCTCGCGTCCTCCTCCCATCACTACCAGCCTCGTCGTCTCATCTGTGGCATGTCTCTCCCTGCCATCGCCGTCCTTGGCGCTGGGGCTATGGGCTCCAAGATCGCCCACCGCCTTCATACTTCCGGTACAGGCTCCATCCTCACCAACCTCGATGGCCGGTCCCCTGCTACCCGTCAGCGCGCTGCCCAGGCTGGTATGGTGGACGCGTCATACACAGACATCGTATCCCGGGCGACGCTTATCCTAAGCATCGTCCCCACCAAGGAAGCTTCAGGAGTGGCTGAGCTCGTCGCTTCTGCATACCGTTCTGCCGGGCTGACTCGCAAAGCTACGTTCGTGGACTGCAATGCGATGGGTCCGACGACGATGCGGGGTATCGCAAAGGTGTTCGATGGGACGAACATCGTTGTCATCGATGGTTCCATCATCGGCGTGCCGCCCTCTGATACTTTCAACCCCGGAATATATCTCTCAGCGGAAGAGAAAGACGAGCAAGATCTAGACGAGACCGTCGAATTACTGAAGAAGTATGGCTTGAATCCCTTCGCACTGAAGGGCCAAGACGCGTCCATCGGCGCGGCTAGCGCACTAAAGATGTCGCACTCGGCAAGTCCTTTCACAAAATGACGGCTGAAGCCGCCTCTCATTGGCTCTCCTATAGGGTATCGTCAAAGGCCTCATCGGCCTTTTCTACACGATGATCCTTGGTGAGCATCTTCGCATACACTCTACCTAGACAGCTGACCTCATTTACCTAGCCGCCGACCGCAACTCGCCCGCTACAACCACCGCTCTCCTCCACGCGCTCGAGCACTCACAACCCGCGCTCGTCGACCGCGCCATCGATCTGGTGCCCGCGAGCATCAGCAAAGCGTACCGGCATATTTACGAGATGAAGGAGGTCGGCGAGTTCGTCGGCGGGGCGCAGTCTTCAGAAAGTCCGTCCAACCGTGAAGGTGGTACTTCTGCGTCGGGTGAAGCAATTCCGCCTGCAGAAAACCAAAGCTCAATTCTCGGCCCCGAAGTGCAGCAGACGTTCCTGGGAATTGAGGCGCTCTATCGCGGGCTCGCGCGGGCGAACGAGGAGGGCAGCAAAGAGTGCGATGTGTTGAGGGACTTCGCGGAGGCGGCGAAGAAGTTGCGGAAGGAGGGCGGATAGTGAAGTGGTATCAGGCGACTTGGATATAGAATGTACGTTATTGAACTTTCGGCATGTGTGCATAGGCTCACTGACTATCTCAGAACACCTGTCGTTCCTCTTGAACATGTACACCTAATCTCACGGACATTGTGTTCCGAAGCTGGAGCTTTACACCCGTGAAGTCTTCTTATCGAACAGCGCTTGACTGGACGAGAATAGAGACACCCTTTCCAACAATGTGACCTCATTGAGAGTCATAGATGCGGCTATGAGCAGCGGCCTAGCCGATAGCGAGCGAAGTCGCCCTCGTGTATAAAGGGATGAGGTGTCGACGTTGTAAAGCTATCGTGACTGATCCTCAATCTCCATCATGGACCGTGACGCCAACGGATCAGCGCGACCTCAAGGAGACCAGTCACCTTCTGTTGCTCGTGAAGACACCGCTCTGCAACTGGGCGACTTCGCGATAGATGACCCTCGCCCCATGAAAGGTCCGTATCACGTGCTGCATCTTCCTGCCTTTAAGCTGACGAGACCCCAGTCGTCGTCATCGGCGCAGGCTACTCTGGTATCATCGCTGGTATACGGTGCGTGAGCTGGCGCGCACGAATTAACGTTGCGCTCACGGATCGCCCAGCTTTCGGCAGTATATCCAGAACCTCGACTTGACGATATACGAGGCCAACGCGGGGGTGGGTGGGACGTGGTACAGCAACAAATATCCTGGTCTTGCGTGCGATGGTGAGTGGGCACTGAGGGAAATTGATACTGATGAAATGACAACGTCGCCTTGCAGTCGCCAGTCACGCAGTACGTCGCTCATTGCGCACTAGCAGGCACTATCAGCGAGGCTGAACATACATTTTCCCCAGTATCAACCCACATTCGCACCCAATGTACGCATGTCCAGCGTCATTATGATTGGTCTATGGCTCACGCGTCGTCCGACAGCCCGACTGGTCTAAGTTCTACGTCTCCGGGCCCGAGATTCGCGCCCATGTCGAGTACATGGTCGACCACTGGAAGCTTAGACCGTTCATCAAGCTTCGCCATCGGCTGGTGCGCGCGGAATGGGACGATGAGAAGGGCAAGTGGATTCTTACTATCGGCGTCGAGCCGGAGCTGCCGGGCGTCAAGGAGGGGCAGACGGAACACGAAGAGGCGGTGCAGTTTCAAGACACTGCGGACGTGCTCTTCACCGGCTTTGGCCTGCTTAGTCGCTGGTCTTGGCCGGACATTGAGGGCCTGCAGGCGTTCAAGGGACCCGTAATTCACAGCGCACAGTGGGAGACGCCTGAAGGTGGGGATACATGGGAGGAGAGCGTACGAAACTGGGGAGAAAAGCGCGTCGGCGTCGTCGGTCTGGTCAGTGCTCGATTGACCTTACCTCGTGCACGCGACTCACCCCGCTCATCCAGGGCTCGTCTGCGATACAGATCGTCACAGCCTTGCAGCCTCGCGTTGGCAAACTCGTCAACCTCGCCCGTGGCAAGACCTGGATCTCGAATGCCTTCGGTGCTAGCACATTACAAGCTTTGGCGGGCACGAAAGATTGCGGCAATTGTAAGCTTCTCAATACTCGATATATATTGAACTGCTCATTTCTTTGACAGACGAATTCACAGCAGCCGACAAGGAGAGGCTTAGGAATCCAGAGGAATACCTGAACTTCAGACGCGAGATCGAATCGGCGATCAGTGTGAGTCGTATGTTTTTCTCTCGTATAGAACAGTATACGACCAAAAATTTCCAGGTAGCCTGGGTCGCGAAGATGCGCGGCTCCGAAGCGCATGTCGCGGGCATGCGAGAGCTACAGGAAATTACGAAAAGGAAGCTTGCCAAGAAGCCATGGATAGCTGACAGTCGTGCGTTCATTCGTCTCATCCCATCGAACACTATTGACCGACCGTCAGTGATACCCGAGTTCAGCCCTGGGTGTCGTCGACTCACTCCATGTCCTGGTTATCTGGAAGCGCTCTGCGAGGATAACGTGAGCAGCGACGCTGTCGAGGCAGGCACTACTTAAACCGGCACCCCAGGTCGATTTCGTATCGTCTCCGATCGCACGGGTAAACGAGAATGGTCTTGTCACCCAGGATGGCCAACAGATCGACCTCGACATCCTCATTTGCGCCACCGGCTACGACTCGTCGTGTCACCCTGGCATCCCCATCATCGGCAAAAACGGCGTCGACTTGAGGGACAAGTACACGCCGTACCCCAAGACGTACCTCTCGATGGCTGTCGACGGCTTCCCGAACTGGTTTCAGTCGCTTGGCCCCAACTCTGCTTCTGGATCGGGGTCGGTCATGAATACCATCGAGGCGCAAGTCATGTACGCGGTCAAGGCGACGCAGAAACTGCAGCTGGAGCGGCTGAAGAGCATGGACGCTAAGAAGGAAGCGGTTGACGACTTCGACGCGTATATAGAGGTGAAGTCATGCGGCTAGCTGACCTGACGTAGTCCTAGACTGATCTGCGGTACGCATAGGCGTTGTTCCCCAAGACGGTCTACAGCGAGCATTGCAAGTCGTGGTATAAGAATCGCAACACGGATGGCCGCATCTGGGGCTTATGGCCAGGCAAGTATATTCCAACTTTATTTGATCATGTATCTGACGCCGTTCTGAAGGGTCGACATTGCACATGCTTCGAGCGCTTGAGCGTCCTCGATGGGAGGACTACACTTATGAGCCACTGGAGAAGACGACCACTAATCGCTTTTTCTGGATGGGTAATGGGGCGACCGTGTCAGACATGGACCCTGTCGGTCATAAGGCCTTTTACCTGGATAAAATCGACGTCCCTCCAGGTGAGCATACGCTTCTCTCGAAGGCGCGGCTGCTCACGACGTGCCAAAGTACCCAAGTAGATGGGCTTGGGATGCCACATGCAGAACAGTACTGGTAGCCTCGTCCCCACCTGTCCGGTAGTTCGCCCTTGTATCGTATTGAACCCGATCAACTCGGACAATGCGCTTCCGATAAGTATTGCGCTACATGAATGGCAGTCGACCAAGCAGAACATTCGGCTCTGGGACCTTCTCCACAAACACCACTTGACCAGCTGCGAACACCCTCCATCGCGAACCCCTGTTCACGCCTGTAGCCATCGTGACCACGTCCAAAGGGCCTACTTGTACAAGGCCTGGGCCTCCTCCCCGCCCTTCAATACACTGAATCAGGTTGGAATCAGACGCAATAGAAGAGGAAGGGTGGGAGCCCGCAACTACTCCGGTTCGTATCATCAGGCGTGGTAGATGGGAACGAGCGGAAGTCCGACCCACCTATTGTGCTGCTATCACATATAAAGGGACAGGGCGTCAAGTGCAAGGAGTGAAGGTCGTTCATCAGTCGCCATCATGGGTAACAGAGAAGGCGTACCTCTGGCTTCCGTTGATCGCGAGGAAGCTGTCGCTGAAGACACGCCTTTCCAACTGGGCAATTTCGCCATCGACGACCCGCGTCCTATGAAAGGTCAGGGTCTGCTTAGCTCGAGGTCGCCGTTGGGCTGACACAAACCAGTGGTTGTCATTGGCGCAGGATATTCTGGGGTGATAGCAGGCATTCGGTGAGTCACTGACGCGCTGTCAAGGCTGTCGCTTTAGTCACCACGCTGGGATATAGCTTTCGTCAATATATTCCCAATCTTGACTTAACGATATATGATGCCAACGCGGGGGTCGGCGGGACCTGGTACAGCAATAAATATCCCGGTCTGGCGTGCGATAGTAAGTCAAGCAAGAACCTCCATTGTGCTGGTGCTCATAGTTCTTGCGTAGTTCCCAGCCATGTGGTACGTCCTACAGAGTATCAGAATCATCGTTGCACAAGTGCTGAATTCCTTCCGGTATCAACCCACCTTTGCGCCTAACGTACGTGGATATCTCTTTGGCCAAAATGCTTCTGATAAGCTCGGCCACATAGCCCAATTGGTCCAAATTCTACGTACCCGGTCCCGAGATCCGCGAGCACATCGAGAACATGGTAGAGAAGTGGAAGCTCATGCCGTATATCAAACTTCGCCATCGGCTCGTGCATGCGCAATGGGACGAGGCCAAAGGAAAGTGGATGCTCACCATCCGCGTCGTGCAGGAGCAGGCCGGCAAGGACAACGCCAAACCCGAGGATGCGATTGAGTTTCAGGACACCGCAGATGTGCTCTTCACCGGCTTTGGTATGCTCAGTCGCTGGTCCTGGCCTGACATAGAGGGTCTACGCACGTTCAAGGGGCCTGTAATCCACAGTGCGCAGTGGGAGACTGTTGATGGCGCGGAGACCTGGGAGGATAGCGTCAAGAACTGGGGCGACAAGCGTGTCGGCGTTATTGGCGTGGTCGGTGACCGATAAGCGTGACGCGTAGCAATTGGCTCACCTTGTTGCAGGGTTCGTCGGGCATACAGATTGTACCGGCGCTGCAACCTCGCGTTGGCAAGCTCGTCAACTTCGTCCGCGGCAAGACCTGGATCTCGGGCACTTTCGCTTCGAACACATTGCAAGCGTTAGCGGGAACCCAGGCTTGCGACAACTGTAAGCCTTCACAATCGGATGCTCAACAATCGCTTACCTTCCGTCATAGATGAGTTCACGCAAGCGGATAAGGAACGCTTCCAGGACCCAGTGCAATACATGCAGTTCAGACGCGGCATGGAGATGGAGAGCAATGTAAGCTATTATACGGAAGTGATGGCTGCGTGGGCTTCATCTATCGTATAGGCAGCCTATGCGGCGACTTTGCGAGGAAGCGAAGGCCAACTCGTGGGCCGCAAGGAGTTGAGAGAGATCATGGAAAGGAAGCTTGCGAAGAAGCCCTGGATAGCTAAGCATCGTCAGTTCGTCGCTTCGTCGCTCGGGTATGATGTACTTACCAAGCAATAGTAATACCCGAATTCGGCCTGGGTTGTCGCAGGCTCACGCCTGGTCCTGGTTATCTCGAGGCGTTGTGCGAGGATAACGTCCGCAAATATCCTTCAGAACCACTTATATTCCTCACGCTCGTCCCAGGTTGACTTCGTCGCGTCGCCGATCAAGCGTGTCACCGAGAACGGTGTCGTTACCGAGGATGGAACAGAGATAAACTTGGACATCCTGATCTGCGCCACGGGCTACGATACGTCTTTCCAGCTTGGGTTCCCTTTCATCGGCAAAGGCGGCGTCGACTTGAAGGATAAGTACACGCCGCATCCCAGGACTTATCTCGCTGTTGCAGTCGACGGCTTCCCGAATTGGTTCCAGTCTTTCGGTCCCAACTCAGGCGGCGGGTCGGGATCACTGACTGCCACTATCGAGGCGCAGATTGGGTACGCTGTGAAGGCGACGGCAAAGCTCCAGCGGGAGCGGCTGAAGAGCCTGGATGTCAAGAAAGAAGCAGTGGATGACTTCGATGAATACCTCGAGGTAAGGCTCACGAACACGCGGGAAGGTAGTGTCTAACTGCAGCTGCAGGCCTTCTTTCCGAATAGCGTGTTCAGTGAGACGTGTAAGTCATGGTACAAGAATGGCAAAGCCGAGGGCCGTATCTGGGCGCTGTGGCCAGGTAAGCCCCTGCATGATGAACCGTTGTGCGCCAGCTAAGTCTTCCCGCCGGGACGAAGGATCGACGCTCCACTTCGTGCGAGCTCTTGAGCACCCTCGCTGGGAAGACTTTTCGTATGAGCCCCTCGAGAAGATGGATCGAAATCGGTTTTATTGGCTTGGTAATGGCGCGACTGGAGCGGACATGGACCCTGCCGGTAACAAAGCCTTCTATCTGGATAACATCGATGTTCCTCCAGGTAAGTAGCCGCTCTTCGTAGAAAGAAAGTGCAGTGATCACGATCTTCGCTAGTGCCAGAGTGAGTCGTGGATCGTCGTTCACCTACCAAGAAGGGCGACCTTATCGGTAACCGTTCGACCCGGTCAGGTATAAGCATTCAAAGCTCGTGTACACGACAGTCGGCTGTAGATGGCGATACCTTACACTAGACCGCCACCTTGATACGATCTAGCGGCGCAATCCAGCCAAATGTTCTATCCATCTGTCACTCTCGTCTTTAGGGCGGACTAGACTGCGACGTAATACCGAGTATCGCACCGTGAGGCGAGGTATAAAGCTCAAAGGATAGCAAGCGCAAGGGTCCATCTTGCATCCTCATCATGCACACTGTCGCAAGTGCGCACGGTGCCTCGCCTAACCGAGATGGAGTCGCGCTCGCACAGAACAGCTCTGGCTTCCGTATGGGCAATTTTGCTGTTGATGAGCCTCGTCGCATGAAAGGTGACCTGCACCCGAGGGATTTTCGCTGTATGTGGAGACTGAGGACAGTGTAGTCGTTGTCATCGGCGCAGGATACTCTGGCATCATTGCCGGAATTCGGTACGCATGATCACTCAGAGTCAAGAGATCGAGGGTCGTACTTACCGTGTCTGGGAGTTTCCGCCAGCACATCCAGAATCTTGACCTCAAGATCTACGAAGCGAACGCGGGTGTCGGTGGGACCTGGTACACCCATAAATATCCGGGGCTTGCTTGTGACAGTGAGTGCCCCGTGAGGCGTTACCGTGGCCCCTTACTAACTACAGGACTTCCAAAGTCCCAGGTCATGCAGTACGTTTCTGATGCCCTATAGTCCCATTAGTTCGCAACTGAAGGGATACAGTATCAACCGACCTTTGATCATAATGTAAGTGTATTGCATGAGCATGAGTTGCACCATCTAACATGTTTTCAGCCGGACTGGTCTCAGTACTATGCCTCTGGGGCAGAAGTCGGCGCATACCTCGAGCACATTGTTGACAAGTGGAAGCTCATGCCCTACATCAAGCTTCGCCACCGCCTTGTTCGCGCGGAATGGTCAGATGAGTCAGGCAAGTGGTTACTCACGTTCCAAGGTCCCGACGGGGCCAAGATACGTGACGTCGCGGACGTGCTCTTCACGGCTGTCGGAATGTTGAGACGCTGGTCTTGGCCCGATATAAGTGGCCTGCGAGCATTTGGCGGGCCCGTGATACACAGCGCCCAATGGGAAACAGGCCTTGCAGATACGACCTGGGAGCAAAGCGTGAAAGGGTGGGCAAACAAAAGGGTTGGAGTGATAGGTACTGTAAGTGCGACTGTTCAGTCTGCGGGTTTCGCATGGCTAACTCCAAGTAGGGATCATCCGCGCTCCAGATTGTTCCAGCCCTGCAGCCTCACGTCGACAAACTCGTAAACTTCGCGCGTGGCAAGACCTGGGTGACGGGTTCCTTCGGCGCGAGCGTACTCCAGAACTTGACCGGTCAAGCGGCCTGCGACAACTGTGAGTGAATCTACTCGTCGTGTGACGGTCTTCCCGACTTGAGCCTGGTGCAGATACGTTCAGCGACGAAGACAAGCGCAAGTTTCATGACGCAGAAGAGTATCGCAAGTTCAGGCGCGACCTAGAAAGGGAGGTCAATGTAAGCTGGATCGCCTCTTGCTGTACTCCCTACTCACTACGCTTAAGAGTGCCTTCAAGATGGTGCTGCGAGACAGCGAAGTCCAAGTACAGATGCGCGAGCAGCTGACGGAGGTGACGAAGAAGCGATTGGAGAAGAAGCCGTGGATCGCTGACCATCGTGAGCAAGCATGCCGCGCAGTCGTGAGGGTGGTTCAGCACTGACTCGGCGGCAGTGATCCCCGAGTTCGGAGTCTCGTGTCGTAGGCCGACGCCAGGCCCCGGCTACCTGGAAGCTCTGTGCGAGGACAATGTTAGTCCCATTGCCTGCCATTCTACTATCCAGCTCACCTGAGGGGCAGGTCGACTTCGTGCCATTCGGCATCCAATGCGTCACCAAGGACGCTGTCATCACTGAAGATGGCCAGACGATTCCTCTCGATATCATTGTCTGTGCGACGGGTTACGACACCACCTGCAAGCTCGATTTCCCTCTCATCGGCAGAGGAGGCGTCGATCTCTCGGAGAAATACGAGCCGTATCCCCAAACGTACCTAGGTCTCACCGTCGACGGCTTCCCCAACTGGTTCCAGTCCTTCGGCCCCAACGGTGCTCCTGGCGCAGGATCGTTGGTCCTCGTCCTTGAGAAGCAGGTCGACTACGCAGTGAAGGCAACGGCGAAGCTGCAGCGCGAGCGTCTGAAGAGTATGGATGTCAAAAAGGAGGCGGTGAACGACTTCGACGAATATCTGGAGGTGGGTTCGGTTCATCAACAGTAGTGACGTGTGAACTTACCACATGTCAGGCATTCTTCCCGACAACAGTCTACGTCGACTCGTGCAAGTCGTGGTACAAAAATCGCGAAGCTAATGGTCGCATTCGCGCACTGTGGCCCGGTAAGAATAGGTTCCTCAGGGATCAAAAGCATCGAAAGCTGAGCGAAGCCGCGTTCAGGGTCTAGCTTGCATATCGTTCGCGCCCTCGAGCACCCTCGGTGGGAGGACTACTCGTACGAGCCACTCGATGGAACCCGCAACCGCTTCCACTGGTTCGGCCACGGCGGGACTGTCGCAGACATGGATCCCACCCGCGCTGACAGGGCATTCTATATGGATAACATCGACTATCCTCCTAGTAAGCAATCCTTCGCATCTTGACGATGGCGCGCACTCACAAGCATATTTAGTCCCCGAGTAAGCAGAGAGCTATCAAGGACGGACTTAGCACAGACAGAAACAAAGAAGTCCATAGATGCCTACCAGTTTTAATGTACATGACGCGCGAAGAGTTAGTGCTACAGTATACTGTCCGTGCAAGTCCACGTCTAAACCTCGTCCTCGCCTTGTCTATCAGATCATCCCATCATGCTGCGCAACTGCCCGATGCGCAGAGCTCGAAGGCCGCTGCGTCGAACGCGGCGGAGGCGGCGCCGGCGTGCGCACACCCCGCCGCTCCCTAGGCGGGGTTTGCGGCACGCCCCCGCTGCGGGTGGACCCCGGCGTTGTTGGCCTATACGCGCCAGGCGTGGTCGAGCCTGCCGACGACACTGGTGTCCTGCGCGAAGATGTCGGCACGGGTGACGATGTGTTCGACAATCCCCCTGGCATCGGACGAGGTGCGGCGACACTGCCCGACCTCGAGCGCGATGTGGGCGGTAGGGCTGGCACGTCGGGTACGTCGTCCGGCAATGTCATAGCTGATGTCGCCGGCGATCGGGTATTTGGCGTCGATGAAGGGGTGAGGGAAGCCTCAGAGCCTTTCGTGTGTCGCGCATGAAAGGCGAAGTGGGCTGGTATAGGTTTAACGCTGCCAGTTTCCCGAGGATGCTCAAGCAATAAATCATCGAAGAGGAATCGAAAGTCGAGACCGTATTCTTGCAATAGCTAGTTCAATGAGGTCAGCACCTATGCTGCGCGCACTAGGAGGGACATACCTTTCGACTTTGCGAGTACGTGATGGTCATGCACTCATCTACAACCTTTCGCTCGACGTCCGGGCTGTAGACCTGTTTCCTGAACGCCTCGGCGTAGCCCTCGATTTGGTGCCTCGCCCATTCGATGAACGCTGTCGGGAAAATCAAGACCTACGATGTAGTTTCTAGTGGTACGACGTACCGCTAGCCGCCTCATTGTCTTTGAAGCTCGCCAAGAACCAGTCTGCCGTATGCTTGATCGCAGTGAAGGTCACGACTGCGAGATCTCCAACATAGGCACCGACATGGCCCTCGAAGGGTATCTTGCGGACCAACGAACGCAACACCTGCGTGCGCATATTCAAGAAGGTCGACCGCGCAGCCGGGCCGGCCTCCAAGCGCAGAAGCCACGATATGAGGGCGATCACGGTAGACTTGCGGTTTGAGGGCATAGAAAGGGATTGAAGCAGCGCAGAAGTAAGCTGGGAAGACAGGATGGGTAGCTTCGTTGCCAACGAAGGCATCATGGACGACTTCGCCTTGCCTAGGTCTGGTCAGCTGGGAAGCATAACGGGTTTTAGAGAAGCTTACCTTGCTCAACCAATGTCACTGCCTTCTCCCATTCCCTCAGCGCGATGGCGACGGTCAACTCATCCGCCCATTCGCCCACCCATCGGCCGTCGCGTTCTGATTTGTCGTTCGCGGAAGACCCAACGTTCACACCAGCATTGCGCGCGAGGTCCGCCATCCAGTCGTTCATGGGTGGTAGGCGGTCGGGGTTAAAAGCCATGGATGACCGCTGTATGATGAAGAGTCAATGTGTAGCAACTTGGAAGACCAGTGTACGTACGTCTGCCCCAGTCCACATACTCTTTCGCCTCTCATGCTCGCCTTCCCGCTCCTTTCGCCTCTTATCCGCCAACTCCTCAGCAACTTGACGGAATTGGGACAGCAATGCCTTCTTGTCCGCTGGTGTATCCGTGCGGTAGACATTGGTTTCCTTGCCGTGTCGGATTTTGAACACGTTCGTCATAGCTAGAGGAAAGTGAGCTTCGTGCAGAGTGAATACACTGGGGAAACGCTTACTCGGGGAATCCTTCGTGTCGAGGACCATCATCTCGTTCAACGGCCAACATTTCTCCGCAACGAGCTTTCCCTCGCTGATGCTGCCTCCACGCGTCTCTGCAGCTGCTGTTCGTCGTCTCCGGCGTGCGACCAGGACAAGATCGTCCAGAATGACGAACTTGACCTTCCCCACGACCTTGTACGTTGCCGCATTCAGCGCCGCCACGCCATCCATCTCGTTCACGACGTGCCGTCCTGGTGTCGTCGGTGCAAACTTGGCAGAACCTTCGATCTGCGCGTGCAGTGCCTGCATCTGGTTGAAGTACATGATGCGCAGGTCCGCGACTGAGGATCGGCGGAAGGTGGACATGGTCGAGCCATTTGTGGAGGGGTCGGGGATGTGCAAAAGGGACGGCATTGACTTGTACTCCGAGAGGGACTCTTTGAGCTCCAGCATTTCGTTCTCAAGTGTAGATATTTCCTTCGAGATCTGCACAAACTCCGCGTAGCTGTACGTTGCATCAGTATATGCATTGTGCACACGAGCGAAACCACGCACTTGTTGAACACGTTCCGCTGCAGCTCGACCGCCATATCCCCCTGCGCGCGGCGCAAAGAAGACTGCAACGACTTGATCTCCGCCTCCGTCGAGTTCGCCAGCTTCGACTTGAGGTCTGCATCGACGATCAGCAACTACGCGGGCCGACACCCTCACCCTCCCAGCTTACAAGCATCCGCATCGAAGTTATCATCGTCCAAAATCTTCTTGTCGTCCTCCTTCGCCTGCTTCTCCTGCGCCGCCTTGTCCTTCGGCTCACGCACCAGTTCATCTTGCTCCCTGAACGCGCGCGGCGCGCCCATGCCCGCGGGCAGGCTGGGTACCGCGGGGATCCCTCCCACCGGTGTCGGCCCAGAGATCTCTGCATAGCGCATCGACATGCGCTTCTTGATCTTGTCGTCGACGCGCGACTTGCGGTCGCGGGGCACGGCAGGCTTGCCCAGCTTGGTACCCGAGCGCTGCGCTTTGCGCGGTGGCGCCTGCGACTTGCGGGTGCGCAGGGAGGACTGCATGGTGGGTATCCCGTTGGCAGAGGTATCGAGGAGGGTATAGGTACGAAGAGTACGTGGGTGATGGACGCGAGAGCAAGGGACCGAAATGGCAACTGTCGCCGCACGTGGGGTGGGTCTACAACTTCCGTCGCTGCTGGAGACGCGGTTCCTCCAGCGATTTGGCTACATTAAGTGTTTCGTGAAGTTCTATCCAGATACGCAGGTATATAAACAATCACTCGTCCACTATCCCTCGTCTTCCCAGCATCGGCCACTCCCCTGCAGGTGACGGACTCTCCGGCACCATCCCCGGCACCTGCCCATACCCAATCGTATCCTCCAGCAGCTCCTCCCCAAGCATCCGCAAGTTCCCATCCGGCCCAATCGACTGCCTAACATTGAGCGGACCTGCACGCGCCCCGAACAGCGTCGACGTATCCCCCCGCACACCCTCGTCCGACGAGGAGTCCGAGTCCGAATCGTCGTCCACGCTCGTTGCCCACTGCCGCGCGAAGGGGTGGACGGGCTGCGCGAGTGCATCCGGCGGCATCTCGTCGTCCATCGAATCTGATGACGAGCGCGAGGAGATCGAGTCAAAGGAGTCGTCGCCAGCATTGTTGGAGGCCATCATGAAGGCCGCGCCGGGCTGTACAGTCGCGTCGATGAGGTCGTCGTCATCCGAATCCGAGTCGTCGTCCACGCCGCGCCGCTGGAAGTTGAGCGGGATGGGCCCAGCGACATCCCCAAAGGACGTCTCGGCTTCTTCAAGTTCGTCTTGTGGCTCTTTTTGGGGCTGGTGTTGCTGCTGCTGCTGTTGATACGGCTGGTCGTCGTACGCCTCCATGCGCTGCATCATGCTCTCCAGACTTGTGTCGTTCGTCACGCTGGACTGCGACTCTTGCTGCTGGTGGTATCGCGACAGCGACGAGGGTACCGACGGCATCGAGCTCACACTCGTCTCCGTGCGGCTCTCGTACTGGTAGCTATATTGGTACCCGCGCTCCGCGCGCTGGACATCACTGACCAGATCGCGCGTAATCCTATCCACTGCCATCCTCCCCGGCGTTCTTCGCACTGAGCGCGGTGCGCGCGCAGGAGACATCAGGACGGGCGGCGACATCCCAGGTGGCAGGTCATCGTCGTCCGAGTCGTCATCGGCAGCAGTATAGGTTCGCTCGCCACGCCGTGGTATAGCCAGCCCGGCCTGTCCCAAGTCCACCACACCATTCCACTTCTGCGGCTCCGGATTCCGGCTTGTGAATGGGTTGAGGTGCGCAGGAATGGGCGTCTTGATCTTCTGTCGTGACCGCGATGGCGAGGCATACAAGCCAGGCGTCGTCGATTCCGGCATATATGTCTTGTTCCGGAGAATGCTTCGTAGTATTGGTTCTTCTCGCTCCTTCCCCTTGACAGAGGTAGGAATGAACGTCCGCTCCTGCGTCGCCGTAACATTCAAGCGCGAACGTTCGTCCTCCTCCGCCAAGCTACGCAAGTCCCGCGACATGCGCACCATCGGGGACTCCAGCGACGCAGCCCATGAACTATCCGTAGACTGTGTCGTATTGGCCATCTGCGCGCGCTGCCTCGCCGGAGTGGACGATACGGCGGCCTGCGCGGGAGCAAAGGACATCTCCGTCGACGCCATACTCTGATCGTATCGCGACTGCGGCGCCCTGGAGGTGGAGGGTTCATCGTACCCCTCTGACGGGGCCGGCGACTCTGGTACGGGAGGAGGCGCCGCAGAGGCCTCGGATTCAGCCTGTACGGATGGATCTTCGTGCACCGTCTCGTAGTCATCGTATGCCGGGATGCGAATCTGCGCAGCCTGCTCGTAGAACGAGGTCCAGAACTAGGTGGTTTAAAGTGTAAGTAAGTTTTATTGACTTCATTACAGCGAACGCAAACCCACCTTCGCAGCCTCCCTTGCCGGTTCGGTGGCGGTCCCGTACCGCTTGATCGCAGGTAGAATCTTGTTCATCAACAAGCTATGGATCGTAGCAAAGTTCTCGTCTATGTTCTGTTGGGTGCAGAAGTAGGAATGGGTCAGTAGGGGGCAAAGTCCTCAGGGGTTCGTAGAGCGCACCTGCAGCTTGAGTGTGATCAGCTGCTCGATTTGCTCGATCTGATCTGTTACGGAGGCTGTGGTGTCTAGTCCTGGGACGTCTATTGACGCCGGATTGGGGTTTGGCTTCCATCGGGGAGGGGGCTGGCGGATGGGTCTTCTTGGTGGTAGGTCCGCCATGTCGTTGTCGCGTGAGACGTTGTGTGTAGACGAGAGGTGGACAGTGGTTGTCAAGCAAGGTGCTGCGTTTCGCGGGACTTCGCGTTGCAAGGTAGAGCGCTGCGAAGCTCGCGTATATAGGGCTCTCAGAGATGGGGTGTATGAGAAGATGAGCGTTTAGAAGGCGCGTCCGGACGCGTCGAGACGTGACAGTTTACCAGTGACACATCGTGACAAGCATGAACGGAGGACCGGTCCGATCCCCAGGCTTGACGTTCTCCGCCATGTCCAACACGCACAAAGGCGACGACCCTCGCGATGCCTCATTAGAGACGCGTCAGTAGCATCAGCTCGAAGAAAACAGCAGCTTTTAACTATTTAATGTAGCTTTCAGGCTGCCTCATACATGGTATTCTGAGAACGGTGGTATGCAACGTTCGTTGCGCTCCTCTTTTATCATCGTTAACCCCCCTCAGACTTGTTCGGCCAGGCTGGCGTCATGCTTTCTGGTGCGCGAAGCCCCTCCTTCCAGCTTGCTCAATCTGACTTATCTCCCCCAGGCTTGATTGCCGTCACGCGCAACCCGTACGCCCCATCTCCCCTCTCCCTCCAGCTCCACCCCTAACTCCTCATCAGCTACCTCGGCTGGCCTATCGCTTTGCTCAGCTTGAACCAGTACCTTAACAGCCACCCAATGCGCACGAAGGAGGGCTCAAGCGGCTTGTCGAACGTTGTGTGCGTGTATCGCGCTCCCCCTCGTGATCTCCCCACTGACTCGCCCGCTCTACAGCCTGTGTGCCTGCGCCGTCATTGCGTCTTACGTCCCCATGTTCATGCTGCAAAAGGCCCCACAGACGCAGGCTGCTTAATACAAGACTGCGCGCTCCCCATAATGAAAAGCCCGAGTGTGTCGGTGTTGCCTCCGGAATTCCTGAACAAAGTCCAGCAAGTCGTCAAGCATCTACTCGTCGTCGCTAGTCACGAGCACCTTCTATCCAAGTCTGGTCCACGTCAATTACGCTGACCCCGTCATGCGTGAGATCCCGCGTACAGCGTAGCACACACATCACCCTTCGCGACGTCCATTGCGCGTACCTTCCTTCTCCCGCTTCCATCAGTGATAGGCAGTCCAGACAGGCAGAAAGCATCAACAAAGAACAAACTGTAACCAGTGTGCTATCGCAATGAGACCTGTACTATGTAGACAGCAGAACGTAGCCGAAAACAACACTTCGCCACGACGATGGCGAAGGGTAAGAGGAATAATGTATAGACTGACCCCAGCCGCCGCCTCAGCGCCCTGCCGGCGGGGTGGGCGGGCTTGGTCTGTACAATGTGTAGAAGGAAGGACGAATGTATGTGTGCATGAACAATGAATAATGGATTCGGACTGCGGGTGGTATGGGTGAGATGTTGATTCTGTTCACAGGAAGATCGACACATACGAGCAAGGAGACGCGTCGATCACATCTCTCGCGTCATGACTCGTTATTTCTTCAGGTAGAGGGGCTGCCTTCTACCAGTCGCTGCAGCCGGGGCAGCCAGCTGCTTCCAAAGTGTCGGGGATCTGGGGAAATAGACGTTGAGCTGAAGAAGTCCACTGCTCGCAGTTGATCACACACCGGTGCGGCAACAACCGAAGCGGCGACCATGAGCGCGACAGCAGCAAAGAGGCGTGCAAACTGCATGATTTCCGATACGCAGGCGCTGGACGGGGCTGACGAGGGTGCGGGGTGTAGATGCGGGTGTCGTTGGCTGGTCCGCGGTGGCAAACGGAGGGTGAAGAGGGACCTGCGATCGCGCGGGGGGGGAGTGTAAATGGGCCGCCCGCGCCAGGAACGCCGGGCACATGGTTTATGCAATCGAATTTGACGCTCCTGACGTCTTGTGCGCCGCCCCGATCCAGATAACGCGGCCTCTGGCAGATGCGCGTGCCGTTCCTGACCACGATGCGCCCTATACCGCCTCCGGGCCCATGGGCAGAGGCCCCGCGGGCCTCTAGCGCGGCGCGGGGCCCGCCGGTACGCTGCTCGCATCCCGTAGATCACCTCCGACGCGGAGAGCGCCACTCCTCGACGAGCGGGCGAGCGACGTCGCCGCTGTCGCGCCCTGACGGCGGCCAAGCGAACGACTGCGCAATCTGCGGCTGGCGCGCCCCCCGCGCTCGCGATCACGCGTTTTTCATTCAGATCGACTCCGGAACATCGCGCGTCGTGCCGACGAATCATACCGACCCCTTCGTCGGTACTTCCGGACGCGGCGGCCCAAGGTTCAAGGCGACTTGGAAGGGCTTGTTCCTTGCACCCACAACAGAAGAGCGATCCCCTTCGACAGCTGCAGTCCACCTCGAATTCATTGGATCCTGGTACGTCGTCCTAGTGCAGCGATAGTGGCGCAAGTCGCGACACCGACGTCCCGGGGAACGGTTGGCATTGATTCCGCTGCTGCTCAACTCTCCTAGAAACTTGATAGCGCATCCCAAGGCGAGATAGAGCTCCGCCATGTCGTCGCTTTCGTCTAGGAAGCGACGTCTTCTCAAGTGGCAAGAGTTGGCCTCCACTCGTCTCGTCCGTGGTCGGGCCACTCTGTCGACCTTCTTCGATGCACGCAAGCCGGTCTTTGTACCCCTTGAGGTCTCTCGACCTCCCCAGTATACGCACGCCGACAAACAGGCGACCCCGATGACGGACATTGGAGGAATCAATACGGACACTGCTGCTGGGCATATTTGAGGCGTAGGCACTCATTCGAATATCCACCCCGCGCCTTTCTCGGGCGTACCATTGGGCCTTCCACTTACTCACAAAGACCCTTTCGATTCGATCCTCGAGCGTATTTACGCAAGAGCGTGGCGAATCATTGGTGCTGCGGACCCCTCGACACCAACAGCGACCTTCTACAACGAATATGTGGCAAGCTCACCTTTCGTCTCTCACCTAGGGCGGGCGCATGCTGGAAATACCCTCACCGCGGACCTGACTTTTTCGCCCTTACTCTGGACACCTTGGATGTCCCTTCCCCTCAGGCTGGACTCGTCTTTCGGGGGTTATGTCGGCGTCGGCCGTATTACCTATATGGGTCGTGGACTTCATTCGTGTGCGTGTGCCTCGAAGATGCTCTAACCCTGGGCGACTGCAGCTTTCTTTGGTCGCGACCACTCTCGTCCGGCAGCGCATCTCACGCTGGAGGGAAAAGAACTTCAAGGCAGGTGGCGCGTCCATTTCCGCAAGTAACCTGTACCTCGTCGGTGGTCCCGTGAGCCCATTACTCTAGCGCGAGGTTATCACCGACTACTTGCAGCACCGGCCCTAGGCTTGTCTGGAAAGCCACGTTTGTCTGCGCCAATTACGATACACCTCCTCAACCACACCAAGGCATCTCGCGTTATTTTCCTCGGAGATGGCCACTTACATATCATCCAATACCAACCTCGGAAGGAGATACTTACGGATCGACAATCCTTCGATGCACAATCTGTCAAGCTTGTGATTGCAGGCATTCGTCTGATGGACAAAACACGTTCGAAATGCTCTACCGGACAAGATAAGCGCGCTCTCCAAATACAGTTTCCCTATCAGACACAGCAGATCGGCAGGCAAAATACGATAGGTCCATAGCCGATTCGGAGGCCTCTCGACCCACTGCCTCAACTTCAGGTATCAAGAGTCCCAATCAAGCACGGCTGCCCCGACTCTCCAGCGCATCCTTCAGGATTTCGTAGATCAGCAGGATCTGCTCGTCACGCTGCACCATCCCGGGCCTCTGGTCGCGCAATGAATCCACCTCCTGCGCCACCATATCGTTCTGCAGTGCCCCGGACAACTGCAGCGGCCCCAGCGGCGATGGCGCTGGTGCGAGCGATGGTGGCGTGGTGCGCGCCGGCGGACGCAGGACGCCGAACTTGCGGAGGAGGGAAGAGAGCGCGATGAAGGAGCCCGTGCGCCCGATGCCGGCGGAGCAGCCGGCTATAATGGGTGGGTCGGGGTCGGACGCGGCTTGCGGGGCAAGGGAGGTATCCCGGTTTGTCTCGTCGACGAGGCGAGCGAATTCGAGGAGGGATGCGCGATCCTTGGCTTCGGGAACACCGTGGTCAGGCCAGGTGGCATAGAGGAGGTGTTGGAAGATGATAGGCGCGGAGTTGCTATCACTCCCATACTCATCGCCGTTGGCTTGCTGCTGGGAGATGGGAGTGATAGAGATGATGCTCCTGACGCAGTTGGCCTGCTCGATCTGCTCGCTCTTGACTAGAGCTACCTTGAAGGATGGTAATTCGGTTTCAGGTTCTGGAGGGACAATGATGGTTTGGCCGACGACTTCTGGGAAGTATGGGTGCGCCTTTCGCCGACCGCCCTCCATGTTCTGTGTAAGCTGCACGACAGTGCGCACGCGCGTCGGGGGAAGGTCCTCGCGCTGCAGCACCCTAACCGGCTCGGTAATGAGACTGAGGAATGCATGCGAGGTGTTTGGTAAAGGCGCTTGGGCTGCGATCCACCACTTCCCGCCGAATTTCTCCAACACCCAGCTTGCATTCAAGTAACGCTGGCGTGAGGGGTCGTCGGCAGAGGGCGCGGTGACGCGCGTGCGATCGTAGGGTTCGAGTTGGATGTACCGATTATGTTGTTCATTGCATGGGTTGCACCCTACGGTCACGGCGTAGTATTCAAGCCTCTCGGGCTTGACCTCGAACGCCTGCGCAGAGTCCACCCAGATCGCCTCCATTGGAGTGAGCGGCTTGATAGATGGATCGCGCTCCCGCTCGGCGGCTTCACGCGACTGAGCGCGCGCAATGTCGCGGCTCAGCTCGCGCTCCATGAGAGCGCCAGTGACCTGCCTGAAGCCCTCGGGTGTCAATGCACGCCGGAGCCATGGTTGTGTCGAGGGCGGCATCGTAGTGGTGGAATGTTGAGATCGCTTGTTAACGTCGTCACCCATCGCGGGGACAAAAGGAGGCCTGCATATGGAAAGTAGCTGCTGCAGCCGCTTGGCTTTCCCCGTCATCGCGCCCGCTGTACTCCCCGATGGCGACGTCGCTGCTGACGAAGGACACGGTAATCAAGTGCGTACACGTCGTGCGCAGGTAGTACGTACAGCACGCTCACGATCGCGCCAGGGTCAGCTCGACGCTCGACAAGTCCGTGGGCAAGAAGAATCTTATCGATGGCAGTCCGGAGACGTGTTGGACATCTCAGCAGGTGTGTATAGAGTTCGATGCAGTAGACTGCGGCTCACACGGGCTCTAGGGCCTTCCCCAGTATGTCCAGGTGGTCTTTGATCGCCCGGCGAAACCAGAGACCATATCCCTCACCTTCCAAGGCGGCTTCGTGGGGAAAACTTGCATCGTGTCCGTCACGCAAGGAGGGTCTAGCGACTGGCAGGAGATGACACGCATCTACCCTGAAGACGTCAATCGGCAGCAGACCTTCCCCCTCTCCACCGATCTCGACTTGTCCCAAGGTGCCGAAAGGCTGAGGCTAACCTTCGATGAAAGCACCGACTTCTTCGGCCGCATCACTATCTACGACCTCAAGATACTAGGCTCCTTCGTGGCCGCCTAATCGCGTTCATCGTGCCGGTCCTTTCTTCACCGCGACGTCGCAAACCCGCCTGTCGACAGACTCTCGGGAAGCGCGCCACCGCAGTTGTCCGCCGCCGCCTTATCCGCCGTCAGCGTGATGGTGATATTCCCACCCAGCCGGAACGCATCGTAAAAATCAAGATGGCACCGCGAAGGTAACTCCTCCCCGTTGATCGCGACGCTCTCGACGTAGGCGGCGACACCATCAGGAATGGTCTGTGCAACGGACTTGGGATCGAAGTTGGCGACAGTGACCGTCGTGCTGACGTTGAGATACGCGTTGTGGATGGTGTACTTGGGCACGAAGGGCGAGAGGATCAGAAGCTCGGTGGTAGAGGGCACTGGGGAATAGGAGATGAGGCAAAGATAAGCGCGGGAGCCAGTCGTTGCATACCTGGATATAGGCCCAGAATGTGGAAGGTCAAGAGGGAGGACATGGCAGCCTGGTCGTCATTGCCAGGCAAGCCAGCGGGTGCTAGAAAAACGCGTCAGCTAAACCGCTCCAGCGATGTTGACGTATACCCACTGATGCCAAAATTCTCAAACACAACTTCACGGACGCGATCCACCGACTTCGTTGGGCGATCCGCATAGTGGTACCCTATGGGCGTCTGGAACGAAGGTTCGTTCTCTGCTAGGTAGTAGCCAGCCTCAAAGAAGTGGTCGAGGCGGTCGACGAAGGTTTCCTGCCACGAAGATCATGAATCTCGCCCGTAAAACCACCATCACAACGTACATTGCCACCCATGAGCTCGATGAGATACGCGGTGTCGTGCGGGACGAACCACGCATACTCCCACGACGAGGACTCGTAGAAGCCGTTGGTGTTGCCTACTCGAGCGTCAGGCGAGAAGGCGGATGTGCATAGCCAGCGTAACTCACCAGCAGTCAGCGAGCACTCCCGATTCGAGTTGTCATCCTTCAGCGAACAGTGGATGGGATCCGTGTAGTTGAAGTCGCCGTTAGGAAGGCGCTTCTGAGGGAAGCCCTTGAATCCATCGCTCTCCACGCTCGGGTCCCAGACGTTGCGGTACCACTTTGCAAGCATGCATCAGCATCTATATCTATAGGATATCGAGCAATGCGCACATAAGAGCGGTTCGTATATTCCGCCAAATCTTCGTCGTGTCCCAACAGCTGCGCCACCTGTCGGATCCCGAAGTCCTCGAATGCGTACTCGAGCGTGCGACTGCCCTCGCGCGTCTGACGCCCGACGCTGGACGTGTCGAGGACGCCGGCGGGCACGTAGCCGTATTGCCTATGAGAAAGGTACGAGTCAGTAGTAGGCTCATGACATGATTCTATTGCATCACGACCACTCACTTGTACACATTGATCTGCCTGCCGTAGATATTCCACTCCGGTGGGTTCTTCTCGCCATTTGTGAGTACAGCGGCGTAGAGCTCCTCGAGGTCGATGCCGAGCGCAGCCGCTTCGTTGTGGTAGTGCACGGCGAAGTGCGAGAGGATATTGTCGGCGGAGGAGCCACTGTAGGACGAGGTGGTCAGCGCCTATACACGGTGGCACACGCTTGTCAATGCGAGATAAGCAGGGAGCGCACCCTTGCGTCCAGCCTGGAAGGTTGTTTGCGCGAGTCTCCGGCAGCCATCCCTCTTTGCGCCAGCCATCGATGTAGGAGTCGACAATCTGGGCAAACTCGACAGGAGAGGTGAGGGCCATAAGAGGGTAGAAGGTGCGGTACTAAGAATAGAGAGGCGTCAGTAGCGTAACGTAGACCACGGCGAATGCGAGGCGTACAGTATCCCAACTAAAGTGCAACGTTAGATGGGTTTTGAATCATACTCGAGGCGCAGAACCTTACCTAGCATAGAACGAGTCGAAGTACTGTGATGTGGTGCCGACATACTTGCCCTGCGTCTCGCCAGTAGCATTGTTCTGTGGCCACTCCAGTACGCGTTTGTCTCCCAGGACGTAAACACTCACCGGAGTCAGGTTCGAACGATACAACGCCGAATACAGCATCTCCGTAACATTCGCAGGCGTGCCACCCACATCGATCTCGATGCGACTCAGCTTCTCGTTCCACAAACCCCTCGCCTCCGCCCACACGTCCTCGAAGCTCTTCTCCCCGATCTCCTCTTCCGCATTCGCGCACGCCTGCTCCGTCGATACGAAGGATACGCCCACGCGGATGGTGATTTCCTGTGCATCGCCAGAGTACGAGAACAATGCGCCGGATTCGTACTTGTCGCCAATCAGGGAGCGAGTGAAGTTCAGCTGCGTCTGTCCGAGGCCTTTGGCGTCAAGGCCGTAGGCGTTGGCCGTCCAGACGCCGTATTCGTCGAGGGTTTGGTTGTTGCCGGGGCCGAGGAGGTCGTAGCAGGCGAAGGCTTGGTAGTTGAAGGAGCCGGGGCCGAAGCTGCGTAGTGTGTCAGGGTTCCTTTTCCTATCAACGAAGGCATACATACCTCGACCCATAGCTGCCTCCAATCGTCACCCTTCCCTTCTCTGCATCGATATTCAACTGCCCCCCAGCAAATGACCCAGGCAAATCATTCGCCAAGTCAAGCACAAAATACGGCTTCGCGCCCTCCGGGAACGTGAACCTCTCCAAACCCGCCCGTCGCGTCGCCGTTGCCTCCATCTTGATCTCATTGCCGAGGGTGAGAGCGAAGTAGCCCGGCGCACCGTCGTCGGTGTCGTTCTTGCGGTAGCGCTCGCGCGCGGCGAGGCGGGTGGTGCAGGTGTCGAAGCCAGAGGGGCAGAGGAGGGGCATGATCTCGAAGTTGCCGTAGGTGCCGGAGGAGGAGCCTGTGCCGCTGTCGTGGAGGGGGCTGAGGCCGCGGACGCGCTCGGCGGGGTCGGTGATGTAGCCTCCAAGACATGAGTTTTCAATAAGTAGACGTGCAACCCATGATACACACCTGCGGGGGCGTAGCCCGTCATGTCGGTGGTGATCTTGGCCACGCCGAAGGGGACTGATGCGCCGGGGCTGATTCGCGTAAAAGCCTGATTGGGTGCATATTGACAAGACATCGCTCACCAGACATCGCCATAGTTGTCTACAGGGAACACTTCACTTCAGCAAGCACCGATGAATAACAAGAGCGTCACTCACCAGTTCCGATGAAAACATTAACGAAAGACGTGTAGTCGGGGTTCGTCTCGTTCGCCGCAGCCTCAATCGCGGCAGAGATACGTTCTTGCAGCTCGGGCGCGGGCTGGGCGTAAGTAAGGGATGGAAGGAAGGAGAGCGCGAGCCCCAGGAGAGCTGGGGAGATTGCCATCGTTCTGTCTGTGCCGCAGGAGAAAGGGAGAACCTGAAGCGACGAAGGGCGACTCCGCGCATATGGACCCTATATAGTGCCCTCGACGCGTCTTCGACGGGGCACATGCTACCGTGCGGATGATGTGAACCCTGTGATAAGCGCGATGCGGCGACGAGGCGGCCTGTCCCCTGTATACACTCGGAAGTACGGGGAGAGGGCAATAGTGTCTGAGTGTCGCCATTGATGACGAGGGAAAGCAGAAGAGAGCATCTGCGGCAACGTTCTTCCAGGTCCGAAGTCCGTGGACATGGCCACACCTGCGAGAGTCCGAGAGCAGTGCTATTAGGGTGCAAACGACAGATATTGAAGACCCAAGCTTGTCGTGTGAACCGGAGTTAGAAGCCCTTGACGGCCATCTACTGTTCCTTTTCGAAGAATCGCTTTATATTGGCGTCTAGACGCGGTCACATTGACCCTTCAGATTGCGGCAGTTTAGTAATTCGGATGTATACGTAGCAATAGGGAAGTCCCTTGCGGTTCATGTTGGCGGAGCAGGACAAGATATCGGGCAGCATCCGGAGAGCAGGACATGACCGTTGGAACCAAGGTGTCGGCCATACTCCGTAGCACGTGGAGCCGTGGATTCCGATTTGGGAACATGGCCGCGTCTTCGACCTTGTTCTCGGCGTGTCTTCGACGCTCGCCTATCCGGCCCTCAAGCAGAAAGCCCTCTGAGACGACGAGACTTACAATCAGAGGCTGCACTGAAGACCGACCGAAAGCTCTGCTGCCTTCCAGCGATCGCGTCGACCGCGTCCGATCAATTTGATTGCGCATGCCGCTTCTTGCCTTTGTCCGCCACCGCGCCTTTCGAGTCCACCTCTTCCCTCCCCTCATGGCCCGCCGCCCGCACTCCACCTCCCCCGAGCGACCGGCGAAGAGAATGAAGATGGACCGCCTCACGCCAGACGACTACCGCAACGGCATCTTTCTGGCACCCATGGTACGGTCCGGAGCCCGTGCGTTTCCCCAGCGAATTTGTAGACGCGGGCGCTTACTTCTCCACAGTCCCTACGCGCCTGTTCGCTCTCAAGCATGGCGCGTCCTTGGTGTGGGGGCCGGAGATTGTAGACAAAGCCATCCTGCACGCCGAGCGCGTCGTAGATCGTGCGTGACTCGTCTATCCCATTCCCCCTCTCACTAACGAGGCCTTGCAGCCGACACCGGCATCATATCCTACAATGGCAAATCTCGCTCCATCTACCAATGCTCCCCCGTCGAGAAGCCCTACCTCATCTACCAGATCGGCTCAGCCGACCCCGAGCTCGCCGTGCAAGCCGCCAAGGTCGTCATGCACGACGTCTCCGGCATCGACCTCAACTGCGGCTGCCCGAAGCCCTTCTCCACCCACGCAGGCATGGGCGCCGCACTTCTCTCCACGCCCGACCTCCTGTGCTCAATCCTTAGGGCTCTGAGGGAGGCCATGCCACCCGAAATCGCGGTCTCATGCAAGATTCGGCTGTTGTCGACGCAGGAGGAGACATTGGCGCTGGTCGGGAAGATCATCGAGACGGGCATCAGCGCGCTCACAGTGCACTGCCGCACGCGGAGCATGCGCGATCGCGACGCCGCGATGATCGAGCGGTTGAAAGAGATCGTAGATTTCGTTAAAGCGAGCGGAAAGGATATTGCGGTGGTGGAGAATGGGGACTGCAAGGGATACGAGGATGCGAAGCGGATACGGGAGATGACGGGTGAGTGGGGATGGGCTTCTCGATATACAAGTGCTAACGATCCCAGGCTGCGACTCGGTCATGATCGCGCGGGCGGCAGAGTCTAATCCTTCTTGCTTTTCCCCCACTCCCCTTGTCGATGTCGAGAAGACACTCTACCCTGCGTACATTCGTGTCGTACGTGCTCCTCCTTCCCTTCTACCCATTCCAACTCACCTTCCTCCCAGGCCAAATACGTCAACAATCCCTGGCCCTTGACAAAATTCTGCGTCGGCCAGTTCAAAGGCGCGCATATCGAGACATCGAAGAAGGGCACGGTCGATCTCCGTACACAGATCTCGAAGGCAAACAGTTATGACAAAGTCGAGGATATTGCAGGAGGGTGGACGGGCGAGGAGGACTACAAGGAAATAGTGCGCATCATAGAGTCGCGTCCTCCTAGGCGACCTCGGTTCGTGTCCGAGGAGCCCGCGGAGTCAGCGCCAGCGAACGACTCGGAGGCAGAGGCAGCCCGTACGGAGAAAGCAGGGCCCGTACCAACTGCCGAGCTCGCGGAGAACGGGACGCTCTTCCCTTTGCTAAACGTCGCAAGGGCAGATCTGGATCCCCTGCACACGCCGCCGAACACGCAGAACCCGGAGCCTCCGTCGATGGGTGTGCCTCCTACGTTCCCAGATCCTTCGACGATACCTGCGCTTTCAGGGCGCGATGCACCGACGCCTACGCCGGGTGGGGATGTTGGTGCGCCTTAGACATTGATATCTCTTGCTTGTTTATTCGTTACTACTATACATTCTTGTCCGTGCGTCGTCATGCGATAATTGCTTTGCTTGCTCATGAAATGCCTGAACTTATCCTTCGCCTTCAACCTTTCCTGACCCTCACTCAACTTCACCGGCTTACTCGTCTTCCTCAATGTCCACCAAATCCCTTCCCTCCTCCACCATCTCTCCCGCCTTACACCCGACGGCTTTGACCACCCCCGCCGCCCCCGCCCGCAGCACCGTCTCCGTCTTCATGCTCTCCAGCACCACCACCGCCTGCCCCTTCTTCACCCGCTCGCCAACCTTGACGCGCACCTCGACCACCACGCTCGGCGTGGGTGCCCTCAAGGCACCTTTCGTCGCCTGCGCGACATCGCCGGCGAGGGACTGCACCCACGCGGGGGCGCAGAGACCGAGCGTCGTCTTCCGGCCGTCAGAGAAGAGGTGGAGGCGGGCGGCGGAGGTCGAGGTGGGCGGGGCGGGCTGCGCGACGATGGTGGTCGTGCTGTGCGCGTTGTCGAGGGTCGTCGAGAGGGTGGTTGGGGAGAGGAGGCGGGCGGGGACGGAGTGGAAGTCGTGCGCGGGGGTGTCGGCGGAGGAGGAAACGGTGATGTCGAAGAAGCCGGGCGCGGTGGACCGGAGGGTGACAGTGGCGGTTGTGGAGTCGTCCGTTCGGAAGCTGATGGCGCGCTCGTAGGTGTCTCCGCCGAAGCGGCGGGATGTGAGGGAGGTCCATGGGGACGGTAGGGTAGCAGGGGAGGCCTCGGGCGCTGGGTGATCTCGCAGGGCAGTGAACAAGGCAGCCTTTGCGAGCAGTTCTGGCGATGGCGCTGCCGGCGGCGCAAACAGCTCATCAAAGTGTTTCTACAGTCCCATCAGCGTCCTCTGTCCTCGAGCGCACGAAAGTACCCACCTGAATAAACCCCGTCTCCACCTCCTCGTCAATGAACGCCCTATTGCCCGCCAATGTCCTCAAAAACTCCACATTCGTCGACACCCCTACCACATGGTACTCCTCCAGCGCCTTTCTCAATAACCGCAGCGCCTCCGTCCTATCCCGCCCATGCACCACCAGCTTCGCAATCATCGGGTCGTAGAACACCCCAATATGCGCCCCCTCCCCGAACCCGTGCTCCAGCCGCACACTCGGGGACACTGCGTCCAAGCTCGCTAGCCTCGCCGGCTCAAACTGGCCCTCCCGCCCGGGCGTGGCGCCGGGGAACGGAGTGGCGAAGGTGGCGGTCGGGGAGGGGGTGGAGAGGTAGAGGAGCTGCCCGGCGTCGGGGAGGAAGCTATTGCGCGGGTTCTCGGCGTAAATGCGCGCCTCGAAGGCGTGGCCGACGAGGGGGATGGCGGATTGGGTGAGGGGGAGGGGGTTGCCGGCTGCTACCTCGAGCTGCCACTCGACCAGGTCGAGCCCGGTGACCATCTCGGTGACGGGGTGCTCGACTTGGAGGCGGGTGTTCCTGGGTGGGTTGGATGAGTTAGATCGTGAGGTGCGATGGAACGAAGGATACAAACATACATCTCCATGAAGTAGAAGTCCTCCGTATCGTTGTCAAAGATGAACTCGACGGTGCCCGCGCCGCGGTAGTGGACGGCTTTCGCGGCAGCGACGGCCTTCTCGCTCAAGTCGGCGCGCAGCCTATCCGAAAGACCTGGTGCGGGTGCCTCCTCGATAATCTTCTGGTTCCTCCTCTGCACCGAGCAGTCACGCTCCCAAAGACTGACAGCATTCCCGGGCGAGTCAGCGAAGACCTGCACCTCGATGTGCCTCGGCCGCTGAATGTAGCGCTCGACGAGGACGGTGTCGTTCCCGAACGCCTTCTGGGACTCGCGCTTGGCTGACTCGAGCGCTTCGTAGAAGGCTTCGGCGGTAGGAATTGTCACGGTACGCATGCCTTTGCCTCCACCTCCGTGGATAGCCTTGATGAGGACGGGGAAACCTGTGGCGCGTTAGAATAGCGTAGGATGAGGATGTCTCAGGCGTACCAATCTTCTGCGCTTGTTGGAATAAGAATTCAGGATCTTGATTGTCGCCGTGGTATCCCGGTACGCAGGGAACGCTGGCGGCAGACATGATATTCTTCGACTCGCTATGGATCCGTCAGAGGGACGTCTCGTAGATACGATATGAAGCGTACCTCTTCGAGCCCATACTGACGATGGCGCTAGCAGGCGGGCCAATGAAGACAATGCCTTCGTTCTCAAGTGCCTCGGCGAACTGTGCATTCTCGCTCAGGAAACCATAGCTGAAGCCAGTGTGAGCGGAAAAAACTTTGACAAGTGCGCCAATGTACAATACCCTGGATGTACGGCCTGTGCACTACTTCTCTTGCAGACGTCGATAATCTTGTCCTTCCTCAACTACGCGTAATTGTCAGAGACGGAGTGGAATGACAAAGGCATGGGTCACACATAGCTATCTGCAGAAGGAGCGGGTCCTATGCAGTAAGCCTCGTCTGCCTGTGATAGATGAGCAAGAATGTTCGATAACATAAGGGTTGACGCGCCATCTGGACGTGTAGGGAATCCTTGTCAACTTCGCTGTACACCGCGACCGTCTTGATGCCCAGCTTTCGCGCAGTCCGCATCACGCGACATGCAATCTCTCCTCTAAGAAGCCGTTGAGTCTCTGAGCGGAAGTAGTGACATACTGCCGCACCTGTTCGCGACAAGTATCTTGTCGAAATGAGGTAATCTGGACGTGGAAGGTCGATCTGTACACCAGGTAAGTCAAGATCCGGACGCAGGATGGATGCGCACCTGGGATGGATGTCGCAAAGGAGCGCACTGCTCGTGCAGGCGGATGGACCGCAGAGCTGCGACTGACATTTGTACGCGGTACAGTCGCAACCTCTTCACGAACTGAAGGTCGCGCGGAAGCAAACCCCGCATTCCCCGTGGGGCGAACAAGGGAGAGGCGAAGAGTCTGTGAGAGCCTGTTCGAGCGCCGAGGAATCATGCTAGGCGTAGTCGTGCTTGATTTACAGGACGCAGACGCGTAAAACCCGAGGAGGATGAAGGCAAGAGACAACGTCGAGGAGAAGAAGATCCGAAGCCGCTGAACGTGTTTGCGGGGAATGGGCGCGCGGTCCGTGATCCGACGTTCGTCACTGCACGTGGAATATCCAACATCGGAGGTTTCCTTCCTCCCTCATCTCCTTCGACGTTATCTATCGACCGCGACGATCGCGCTTCACTTGGGTGCTCTCGTGATGTTGAGACAGCGGCAAAGTATAATCTGTACCTTGACAAACAACCCCGTGCCGCACGAAGACGCATGTAACCTCGCGTAGACGATGCGGTTGATTACTACATCGACACCTTCGAATGGACTTAACGGAACCCCGGTGCCAAGCTTGCGGATGACGACGCAATGGGCTCTCTACGCTTTTGTGCTCTACGGAGAAACAGAGAGGCTCAGCACATGCAGGCGAGCGTTGTCCCTGAACGAACCTCGCTGCCACACGTGTGGTGACCTTCGTACGCTGAGGGCTGACTGCAGCCCAAGAGCAATCTCATCATCCTTCATTTATATCTGCTTCTGGGCCTCTGTGAGCCGATCTCGTACGTTAGCGGTCGCTCTGCCAACCCGCTGTACAGATTCGCAGTGCTGCAGCATGTGCCATCCATCACGAAATCACCTTGCAGGGTATAAAGACTCCTCGAGTCGATCGCGATGACCTTCCAGGCGTCGCATGCTGTGAGTCAACATGCCAGCCTTTCATTCAGCCGTTTTGTGTCTCGCACTCTCTTTCTCGTCATTCCTTGCGAACGCGCAACCGGCGCCCGAGGTCCAGCAGCGCATTTCTCAGGCGATCGCAAATGCAGCCAATGAGACGAGCCCGGACTATACGTCTTTCGTTAATGTTTTTATCGGAACAGGTAGTGTCTAATTACTCTACTCCGCTGAGAATATTCAACATATCCCGTGCCAGACAACTTTGGCGATGTCTGGTATGTCCTGATTCCTGATTCCATGCATTCTTCTAATTGTGATACCCAGCCCTGGTGCTTCCGTTCCTTATGGCATGGCCAAAATCACCACCGATATGACAGGTTACTCGCCTTCTGGTTCGTTGAAATTCTTCCTACCGCCTCAATCGCTTGTCATCCCATCCCCTACCCAGGCTACATCACCGACGCCACCCAGTACATCCGCGGCCTCAGCCCCCTCCACGACAGCGGCACCGGCGCCTCAGGCGACTACGGCAACTTCGCCGTCATGCCCCTCCTCTGCCCTGACGGGTACACTACCTGCGCCACCAGCTGGAACAACCGCCAGCGCTACCGCAAGGCCAACACCGACGACGGCTCCCCGGGATACTTCGCTCTCACGCTCGACAACGAGATCAAGATGGAGGCGACGGCGACGAGGAGGGCGGGCTTGGAGAAGTTCACCTTCCCGGAGGGGGCGAAGCCGTACTTTCTGATTGATCTGGCGAACGATTTGACGCAAAGTTTTGCGGGTGGGGAGATGAGTATCGTTCCCGAGCAAGGGAGGGTGACGATTGGAGGGTGGTATGGTTCGAGGTCAGTTTGCCGCTCTAATTCGGCAACCCACGACTTACATCCTCGCTCAGCTTCGGTCCCGGCTCCTTCAATTACCAGACGTTTGCCTGCTACGACCTCTTGAACGGAGGAAACCAAACCCTTGACGAGTACGGCGTCTGGACGGCGAACAAGTAAGCTTCACCTTCCCCACAACTCCTCTCCGACATATTCTGACTTCCCTGCCCTTCCAGCTACGGCCTCGACGCCAAAGGCCTCGGCCAGACCCACCTCAACCTCACCCGCTCCCTCATCGGCGACCACTACGAATCCGGCGCCCTCTTCTCCTTCGCCACGCCCACCTCCACCTCCTCCCCTCCCCAAATCACCCTCCGCGTCGGCGTCTCCTTCGTCTCCGCCGCCCAAGCCTGCGCGAACGCCGAGTCCGAGGTCGGCAGCAGGTCGTTCGACGAGGTGTGGGCGGAGGCGCGCGAGTTGTGGAATGAGAAGCTGATGCGGATCGAAATTGATGTGGGCGGGACGCCGCCGAATGTGACGGAGATGCTGTATTCGTCGCTGTATAGGGCGAATCTGACGCCGGTGGGTATGAGGAGGGAGAGGGGTATGGGAGGCGGTGCTGATGGACTTCGTAGAACAATGCGACGGGCGAGACGCAGGGCAAGTATGCGGGCACGAGCTCGTATTACTTCGACTCGTTTTATGCTAGGTAAGTCTTCAATTACTCATGGTCTCAAATCAACTTACTATACCCAGCTGGGACACCGTACGCGCACCACTGCTATTGCCACAACATCTCCACTACTAACCCGACCTCAGTACCGTACCTTCTACCCGCTCATGACGCTCACCTCCGCCACCGAATACGCACAAATCGTTGACTCCTACATCGACGGTTGGCGCAAGGAAGGCTGGCTGCCCGAGACGCGCGCAAATAACCTGCCCGGGTGGACGCAAGGGTAATCGCTCTTCTCCCCGAACCCCGACACATGTACTTATACACTGAACGCTTACCAGCGGCTCCTCCGCGGACAACATCCTCTCCCACTTCGCCGTCCACTACCACAACGAGGCATCCGCGCTCGGCATCGATCTCGACGAGCTGTACTCTGCAGTGCTCACTGACGGCGAGGTCAATCCGCCAGAGTGGAATATCTATGGCAGGCAATCGAATGTGTACAAGTATGCTTCGGGTAAGAGGATTCGAATGGCACGCTTATGCCCTTGACAGGCAATACGGCTATATCCCTTATAACGTCCTCGACACGTCCAGCGTCGGTCGGCAGACGCGCGAGGCGAGTCGAACGCTCGAGTACGCCTTCGAAGATTTCGGCATCCGGCAGGTCGCGCAGCTCCTTGGGCATGCGGACGATGAGGACAGATACACAAACCGATCCTACGTGACTATCACTGCGTTGTGGTACTAATGCTACGCTGACATCACCCGCAAGTGGTACCGCAACGTCTGGGACTCGAGCGTCGAGAGCGATGGCTTTACTGGTAATTCATGGCAAATGGGCGTCCAAACCTCGTAGACTGACTCGAGACGTAGGCTTCCCGCAGAAGCGTTCCCCGGACGGCAGTTTCAGCTACACGGACCCCATCAACTGCTCGCCGAATGACTCGAACACGAGCCGACCGTGCTCTTTGACGGAAGGTGCGCGGTCCGGCTTTTCCTCTCTGCCACCAATTCTGACATCCAGTACGCAGACAACGTGAACGGCTTTTACGAGTCCTCAGCATGGGAGTATGCCTGGTTCGCGCCGCACGATACGGCGCATCTCATCGAGGCGATGGGAGGGAACGCACGTATTGTCCCCTTCTTTCGAAGCAGTCTTGTAATTGACCGGTGCTCGTCTAGGACACCTTCGTCAGCCGCCTTGACCACTTCTTTGATGCAGGATACTACCTGGCCGGCAACGAACCGTCTTTCCAGACGCCCATCGGCTACCACTACGCGGATCATCCGACGAAGTCGGTAGACCGCGTGCGCGAGGTGGTCTTCAAGAACTTTGGCATCAGTGAGCTGGATTGGATCGCTGGAGTCGATTTCCTTGCTAAAGCTGCTTAGCACCGGCGGGACTGCCTGGAAATGATGATCAAGCCGCTATGGCATCGCTGCTGACTTTCCACATCCTTGGCTTATATCCTGGTAAGCACCTCGAACTAGCACGTCTCCCTCGATGGCACTGACGTCGCTGCAGTTCCATCCACCACCCAGCTCCTCATTCTCTCACCCTTCGTTCCGAAGTACACGATTCACAATCCTTACCTCGGTATCAGCACGACAGTGACAGTCGTCGGCTACGACCAAGCATCCGTCGCGCAGACGATTCCGGATGGGGTGTCTGCGTACGTTGAGAGCGTCGCGATCAACGGGGAGACCCTCACATCGCGGTGCCACTTCGACTTCTACGACGCCTTCCGGCTGGGAGGCAATATCACCATAACGCTGACATCGGACAAGGCGGCGGCGGATAATTGCGGTGACGCAGTCCCGGAGAGCCTGTCGACTGGCGGTTTCTCAAGTACTCGTTGAATGACCGAAGTGCCTTTTCATGTGTAGTATCTAGCTTGTACAACGACCATGAAAAATTTCAACCATACTCATTCTACCCGCCTCTCTACTGCGTCGACAGACGTGAGATATCGGCTAGGTTGAAAAAATAAGGAGGGGCCGCCGAAGGAGGCGGCCATTGAAAAATTGGAGTTTTTGACCCTACGACCGCGGGCGCCACCGCCGTGGGTTCTCGTGCACGAAGGCGCGGTACCCGACTGCGCATACTGGCAACGTTTATCCCGGGACCCGGAAGAGGGGTGTAGGCGCCCTCAACGAGACAGCGCGCCACGATACAGAACCACAGCGCGAAGGCCGAGTTGAGCATCGCGACGACCGCCCGAGGAGGGCACCTACGAGTCTACGTGGACTGGGGACGAAAACCCCAGCCCGGGCGCATCGTCCCTGGCTGGACAGAAACGCCGCTCCGACGGGTTGGCCTCCCCGTCCTCAGGAGCTACTTAATTAGGTTTTTGTTGCGAGCGGATTGCCTCGGTTGTGCCCCGTCGAGAGTCCAGCTCGACGTGCCCATTGAAAGAGCGTAAGCAGCCTTGGCGCGCCCCGCCCGTGGCGCAATTGAGGGCTGGGAACCTTGACAGCGTCTCGCCCGTCGTCGTCGGTGTTGCCGATATTGGTGTCCTCACATTGGGATATACCCTCATTGCGTCTTGTCGCCATTGCCTAGTCGGCGCCACACTGATTTTGGTGTAATGAGTTCAGTGGCGTGTGTGAGGAATGAGGCGACGTACTTGGGAATGCCTGGATTATTGCCTGCGGAGGCGCTGTCATTGGCTAAGGACAGACGATGAGGTGATGCCACACAACGAACAGCAAACGCAACACACTTTCTGGGTACATCGAGTCAGCAGAGAGGTGACCAGATGATGGGCAGAGCACACACCTTGGTAAACCTCATCAGTTCGCGTTGCCACATTTCCTGGGTCCCCAGAGCCCGGAAGTCGACGCCATTGCCATATATCTTGCTGGCTAGTCATTGTCTCTTGTGGACGTCGAGAGGGTCGGTGTGGCCGGAAAAGTCGGAGTCGGATACATGGCGGACGTGAGGGAGAGAGTGGGGAACGGCGGCGAAGGAGAGGGGAAAGGGGGTGGCGACGGTGGGGGATGGTGGCGGTCAGAGGAAGAAAAATGATGGGGGTCAATTGCGGGCGCTCGCGCCTTTTATATGCACAGATCTGCGGATTTATGTAAGCGGCAGAATTCAAACTCAGCGAAGCGCTGTGACCTGCGCGAGAACAATAAACTCGCTTAACGGGGTTAGCTTGTGTTGATCATGTGAAATTCGATAGGGGCCAGCCACCAGCGGCCTTCCCTGGCTGTCCAAGCCGTTCTCGCATCTCCAGGTGAGAAAATACGACCGACAAATGGTAGTGATGACATTGAACTAACGGCGCCGCTGCCGCCTCGAGGGTGGTGGTCGCGGAGGAGAACCAACGCGGAATCAAATGGGGCACGTGGTATCGGCATCGGCCGCTGAGCAGTTCGATTCTCACGCAGCGCACGCAGCACGTCGCTCACCTGCCATCAATCGGTGGCTTGCCTTCTGGGTGTTTCTCCGCCCGTCCATATTTCCCAAGCGTTCCACGCAAAGTGAACATGTAAATCAAGCGGTAGACTCTACAACATGTTGTACATGACTCCAACCTCGCGTACCCATCCACATCTACACGATCATATCCATTGAGCCCGCTTCTCCGCTGCGTCGACGGACGTGAGATGCCAGCAAGGCTGAAAAGATATGAAAGAAAGAGGGGCCCGCGCACGTAGTCGGGCCGCAGATCACAAAATAGGCTAACCCGTGAGGCTATAGCGGACAGGCCGGCGCAACGTCGCGACGGGGTACGCAATGCACGATGGCCACGGTTTGGCGCCCGACAGCCGCGGCGACCATGTCCGGGTCTCAGCCCCAGCCCATGAGGGTGTAAATGACCGGCGCCGCGACGACGCCAGAGTGGGAACCAATGCTCGATGGCTGCGGTGTTGCACTCGACGACCGCCGGGACGTGACTCCGGGCACCTACGGTGGGTGGTGCAGGCTCGGCCGGAGCGCGAGCCCGCGAGGCGCCCCGTCCCTGGCCCGGACAGGACGCCGCCCCAGCGGGTAGACCAGACCCGCCTTCCGGGCTACTTAAGTCTGGGGCGGAATACCCAGCCGTGGAGGCATTAACGCATCTGAGGCCAGCCCGTCGATGCGCTCTCCTGATCAAGGAGCGCCTCCACAGCCAAGGCGCGCTCCGCCCCAAGCGCTTGGTGTCATCATTTCCTCAGATCTTTCCATGGGATGCGCCGGTTTCTCCTATATCGTTGTCCTTTCTCCTGTCGCCTGTGTATCCTGGCTTGGCGCCAATTAAGGCTCTGCTCGCGTACATCAGGCAAGAGAAGGTCGGTAGCAACGCGACAACGCACCTTTGTCTGTGTTTCCCTTTGAGTTCCTTTCTTGCTTGGACAACCCATCAGCGATAGCAGTCGAACGGTAAAGCAGCGCGAGCGCAATACTCACTAGAACGTAGCATACGTTAGTGGCAAGATATAGGTCGGGCATAGAGTACGCACGCTTTGTATTCCTACTTAAGCGCCGTCAGATGTGCGCGTCCTTGAGGTGTTGAACTGTGGTCCTTGTTGCCACATATCGCCATGGTCGATCGTCGTCCATTATCGTCGGGTTTCGAATTGTCCAAATCGCGCGCGTCGGGATCGAGAAGCTAGAGTGTGAGTGAGAAGGGAGCTCATGTCTTCGAAGTGCTGATGGTGGCATCGTGATCTTGACATCGGGCGAGCGGACGGCGGCGGCGGCGGTGGAGATGGCGGCGGCGGCGGAAGTGGAGATGGTGGTAGGGGGAAGGGAGAGGCGAAGAGCGACGGCGCCTATCGGATCCTTATATACAGTCCCAGCCGAGCCGTTATGTAATGCTGTGGTCGATTCGAACCCAGCGAATCCCTTGCGGCCGCCATGGGGGAACAATGGCGTTGCTGAATGGGGCAATGATCACCATGATCATCGGGGCTGCGAAGCGCAGATTTGCGGTCGGACGCCGGAGACGCTGCTCTCATTCTAGTCAGGACGTTTCTTCAAAAGATATACAAGGGAGTATGGTCAGCGTAGCGGACGAAAGGGGACGATGAGAGCACTGAGGACCAACACTTGCGACAGCTTGCTGGTTCACATGCTTATCGCCCCATTTCCCAGCATCAAAGACGAACAATTAGGTGATCAGTGACTCGACGGATACTGGCCGCGAAGCGCGCCGATGGCTTGTCGCCGGATCCGCGAATCTTGCCTTCCATGATGATGTAAGAACGCGTCGCTGTGAGTCTCGTCGACGCTGAAGCGCAGAAGCGAGGGTCTGGGGTTTCCAACCATGGTCGAGAGGAGGACTCGAGAATTGGCTTGACATCATGGTAGAGCAGGTGCTAACCGCCTAACACTCTTGGTCGTCATTGTGATGTTCGGTCGAAACCAAAAACTAGTCTCGTAAACCATCCTCCAGTAAACTGGAGTCTGGTGCAGTTCCTGGGGTAGGTCGCAGAGTCGGCGCGGAGTTTGAATTCGATTTTGAGGCCAACGTCCCGCGTTCGAACCCGCTCGAAATCAGAGGTCGCAGCGGGCGGTGGGCGGTCGGCATCGCTCGGCACGCCCAAAATTTCAAACTCCGCGCCCACTCCTTGACCTACCCTGTATATCGGGCCAGACTACGGCGGCGATGGAGGCCACGAACAGCTACGTGATGGAGGAACCAAAAACCGCGCACCGAGCAAACGGAGGCAATCGTGGGCCACGTGTATCCGGCATATGCCGTCTCATCGTTCGACCTGAGTTCAATCCGCCGTCGGCTCGAAAGAACAGGACGTGTAAGTGGAAGAGCGAAGAAGACATTTCAAGGGCATAGAGCGTCCCGTGAGTTATACAATTTTTTGGCATGTGACACTCAGGAGCAGCACGCGAAGGCTCGAGCTATCTACACGAACAAAGAAGCTACACCCCACAGGCCTCCGGTTTCCGGTGGGCATATTGAGAAGCGATACATCAGCGCGGGCCCGACAGGGCGTCAGACGAGAAACTCACCGAGATGATCATTGAAAAAGAAATCGAATGATGGAGTGAGAGGAAGGAGGAGCACGTAGAGCGAAAGGTAACGCGACGCAAGCATCCCACCCAACGGCGAGGAGCTGCGAAGCAAAGGGCCGGTGATGAGATAAAGAGAGGACGAAGGAAGAAGGAATGTGGATAAAGCAACTGCATGTTCAATCCCCAGGTTTTGCCTTTGGCTACTAACCGGAGAGTCCTGTGCTCGTCTGTCCATAGACCAACACCGGACACCACCTCCAACCCATTCGGTGCATGACGAGCATGACCCCCGAAGGTAGGTGCCCATGCGAGGGTTATTATGGAGCTCATATGAAGAGGTGGGAGGGGGAATAAAGGATTGGAAGAATATGGAGGTACGACGGGTGTTCGGGCTGCATTTATGGTTTTCGGACGCACACCAGCTGTGTGTCGCACTGCGACATCTTGCACCTGTTTGACATTGACAGCGCTAGCGCTGTACACGTTTGTCTGTGATGATGTTGCTCTTGTTTGGCTGCGACATGGCTGCGGAGTTTGCCGAACACAATGAACCACAAACAAACCATCGACCTTGGGCTAAAAGCTTCCGATTGCCTACAGATGCGACTTGCGCATGAAAATTCTGTGTGGAAAGAATTGACTAGGCATTTTAGACCGTCTCTCCGGTGCTGCTGTCAGGCCATGCGCCTGAAAACGATCCACACTGGCGTCGACACACGGCTGACGCTACAGCGATGTTCTTGTCTTTCCTCTTTCCAAACTTGACAGCCATTTCCCTTGATTGGTACTTGCACGAGTGGGACGAGGCGTTAAACCTCATGAAAGCCTACTGCGGCGAGTATTCTCATCATCGCCGGCGCTGCGAGACGTCTCCTTCATAAGCGCCTCACTCGAAGGCAAGGGTAGAGCCTGCGCCCAACGATCATAAATTTGCGGACGAGGAGGCAGCTTTCAATATATTACACAGTCTTTCGTGTGCTGTGGAAGATGGAAATTCGAAGAATAGCTAAGTATCACGTTCATCATTAGGCTAGGTGGTAGGCACGTAGTACTTACCATTCCGAGTAATCATCACGCACATAACGCGCTGTGTTACCCTACACGATGACTCAGACGCGCGTCTTTCTCCTTTCACCATCATTTCGAGCCACCTTTATCCTTTCAGCTTTCGGTAGGCAGAACCTGAATAGTGAACGTTGAAGACCGAGTCCGCGTACCCAACTGACGACCAGGGTATTCGATTCTCCTTGCGATGAACGGTTGTCTTGCGTTCGATATTCAGCACCTGATATGCCAAGAATACGATCTCAGTGGACGCGACCTCTGTCAACTGGCGCTGACCTCAAGATCTTGGCGGGATGCGGCCTTACCCAGGATATGGGCGGAATTGGACGCGATCACTCCTTTGCTGAAACTCCTGCCCGAGGACAAGTGGGATATGAAGCGACAACTACCTGATGTGCCCAAGCTATACTTCGTGCGTGCTCGGGATCGTCTCACTCTCGATTCTGGAACTGAGGCAGTCGTAGGCGTTGCGCCATCCGCTCGAACGTGCGGATTGGGATGCCGTATATGATCGTTCGCGCTTCGTCAAAGAGCTCTCGGTTCATGACACGCAAGAGGAAGATCTCCATGACTTATCCGCTCTCTTCTCTTTGTGCTCGCCTCCCGCGCCACTCTTTCCGCGCCTGGATCGTTTGAGGGTTGAGCTGACTGAAAGACGAAGCGTGCTCGACCTTTGGCCACTACTTGATCTCTTGCTCTCTCCCTCCCTTACTTCGGTGCATATTCGAGACCCACGTTCGAAACTTGCCGGGGAACTAGACCTGCCATCCCTTGCAAACCAGTGCCCACACATCGAGGACTTGGCCATCTGCACCACTCGCAAAAGCCACCCCGCTTATCACTCTGATCTGTCTGCGGCGATCGAGAAATGGGACAAGCTCGATACCATCGTTCTGTCCCTTTGTTCTCCGGACCTCCTACTACCGCTTTCCCTCCATCCTCATCTCCGACGGCTCGGCTTGATCGTGTCAACACAAGAAGCCCCTACAGACGGCAGGTGCCGCCTACCTGTTCTGCCCCCTGACTGCTTCCCGTCACTCACGTTCATCGTTTGGAGTGGTCTGACCTTGTTCGAGTTTGCTACATTCGCAAGCTTGGGGCACGTTCGGGCGATGGAGGTCATCTGCGTGAACCACCCGGGCGAGGCACCGCTCTCGACCGAGCTACAACTCGCCATGGACGCGATAGCCGCTTATTGCGACCCCGATGCCCTCGCGAAGATCATATTGAATCACGATACCGAGGTCAACGCCAGCGCCGACTACGCGCTCACTATGGAGCACATCCTGCCGCTGGCTGACTTCGCGAGCCTCCAGCACGTCAGTCTGGGAGTGACAACCGGGGCGCTCCTGAGCGACGAGGACTACGCGGAACTGCTGCCGTGCTGGCCGCACCTCGAGCACTTCGAGGTGGAAACAGGGGCTGACGCTCCCGCTGGCTGGGTGTCGCCCGCTACGCTGCTGGCGCTCAAGCACTTCGCACACTTTTGCCCCAAACTCAAAGAGCTCTGCCTTCCGCTCACAGCGCACGAGGTCCCCGAGTACGATGATATCGACGTTGTTGGGGACGATCACCCCTTGTGTAAACTCGACATCGGGCCCTCCTCGATATCGGCGCCCCTGCAAGAGGTGGCGGAGTTTCTGCGCTGCGCCTTTCCGAACCTGGGGAAGATTATCTGGACACACCGTAGGATAGGCGACGCTGTACAACTACACCCGCGACTTCGTGAGCTGGTGATGCTCATGTTGTGACGCTCATGTGGTGTCTGCGACGTCGCGCTATGCACCCTCTTGAAGTTGTAACCTGTTCGTCTATCCAAGCACGTCGCATTCGAGTTCACGCTAGGTTGGTCTCGATCGAGTTCGTCAAAGCATTGAGCATAGCAAATGCCAGATACTATAGTACAACAGGCCTATCGGCCGTACAAAACAACACATCATATCAGGTCGCTCGCCCCAAGGGGGGCGGGTCATTTCAACAAGTCATGATAGACCGTCATGTCGCATCCTCACCCCATCCCCGCTCACGCCACCTGTACCCCATCCACTCCTCACGCCGCGCTCTCCTTCCTCACCCCTCACGACGCGTTCTCCTTCCTCACCTCGCCCGGCTTCTCCGACATGTCCTCGTGGTGCACCTGGTCGAGCAGCGTCGGGCGCCACGTCGCCGACCGCCACGGCTTCACGTTCTCGCGGTACAGCTGGTCGACCTCCTCGAGCGTGAGGCCCTTGACCTCGGGGATGCAGAGCCAGACGTAGAAGAAGCTGGGGCGGGGGCGTTAGTTCGGGTGTTGATGAGGGTTTGGTGTGGGTGAAGGAGGAGAAGAGGGTACATATGACGAAGAGGCAAGACGCACCCAAAGACGAGCATGCCAAAGAAGATCAGGAGAATGAGCGGGCCGATGTCGTCCGCGATGCGCGGCGCGAAGAAGCTGAGGAGGAAGTTCCACAGCCAGTCTACACGAGTGTCAATACCATGCTCAGGAGCTCCCCCGAATCCCACTCACTCGTCGCACTCCCCAACGCGATCGCCTTCGGCCTCACCCGCAGCGGGAACGACTCGCCCAAATACACCCACGGCACCGGGCCCCAGAACACCGAAAAGCCGAGCACATGCAGCACGGCCATCGCAATCATCACCTCGCCGCCCATCTTCTCCGACTTGGTGAGGTCCTCCGGGAGCACGTCCGCGCCCGCGGCGACGTAGTGCCCGACGAGCGCGGCGATGAGCGCGGCGGCGGCCTCCCAGACGGAGCCGACGAGGAGGGAGCGGCGCCGGCCCCAGCGCTCGATGAGGATGAGCGCGGGGATGGTGCCGGCGACGGAGACGCCGCCGAGGATGCACTGGATGGCGTAGGGGGAGAGCGTGGTGCCGGCGGATTCGAAGAAGGTGTCGCCGTAGTAGTCTATGAAGGATAGTATATGGTTAGAGAGGACGATGAGGGGGAGAGAGAGGGGCCACGCACAGTAGAAGTTCTGGCCGTTGAGCTGCTGGATGAACTGGAGCATCATGCCGTTGATGGTGCGCTTCCAGAGGGCGTTGCGCGTCGAGAAGCACTCGAGCCAGGTCGCCTTGCCGCCCTCGTTCTCCGCGCGGATGCCGAACTCGAGCTCCTCGAGGTAGTCGAGCACCATGGGGTCGTCCTCCGACGCGTCGTTCATCATGGCGATGACGCGGCGGGCTTCGTCTGAGCGGCCTGTACCGATGAGGTGGCGGGGGCTGGATAGAGTTATAGTTAGATGTGGGTATATGCGCAGGAAATCATGGCAACGTACCTCTCGGGAAGGAAGAACATGCCAGAGATGAGGATAAGACCCCATAGCATCTGCAAGCCGACTGGTATCCTCCAACTGGCGCTGTTGCCGATGTCGTGCGTGCCCAGGTCGATAACGTAGCTGATAAAGATTCTGCCAAACTGTCAAAACCCTGCTTGCATTACAAGTGAGTAGAACGCCTTACCCCATAATAACCTGCAACTGGTACATGACCAGGAGGACACCGCGCATAGCTTTGGGTGCCGTTTCGCCATTATACAATGGAACGATGGCAGACATGGCGCCAACGCCGAGGCCAGCAATGAAGCGGCCGGCGCTGATCTGCGCGATGGACGTCTCCGTCCCGGTCTGGATGGCAGTCCCGATAGTGAAGATGGTGGACCAGAAGACGATGGAGTGCTTCCGCCCGAAGCGGTCCGCCGTGAAGGCCTGGCCTAGCGCACCGAAGAAAGTCCTGCGCCAAGGATGAGCGGGTGATGCAGGGGTGATGCAAGTGTGGTACGCACCCAGCAGATAGCAGGGAGGTGATGATACTTTGTCGCTCGCTGGAGAGCTCGTATTCGCCGTCCGCGTTGAGCTCGCCGAAGCGCTGGATGAAGTCGGGCATGATCAGGCATCCTGAGATGACACCGATGTCATAGCCGAACAGGAAACCGCCTGGCGAACGTTCAGAACACTGCGAACGATACAGGAATAGTGCGGGGACGTACCAAAAGCGACGAAGATGCCAAGGAGGATGGCCTTCGGATTGGTGGGTATGTCGACTGCCATCGTTGCGCGTCGGGCTCGAGCGAGAGGCGAAGACGGGGTATGCGGAGGTTCCCCAGGACTTTATAGCGGGGCGCCCCCAGGCGGCCCACGGGACTGATCGTAGCACCCCGCGGGGCGGCGAGCACATGCGCGGGGTGGGTGGGGCGGGCCGGGAGGTGAGAAATGGGTGGGAAGCATGTGCGAAGATCAAGGAACGGGCGACATGGTGGCCTGCGGGTGGAGCACGGGATGGGCTTTTCCAGCCGGCGGGAGGGCCGCGAGAGAGAAGGGAGAAGATGGGGGCGAGCGCCGAGCGACTCCGGCATCGATGGTGTCCGTATCCTCGCATAGAAAGGCGCTTCCTTGCATCCAGCCTGTTCTTGGGTGTCCGTGAGCTCCCTTCTGCATACAGTCCTGCAAAGTTTCCCGGAACCCAATCCATCGTTCAGCCGAGGCGAAATACCGGCCGCCGCGAACGACCTTGCCATTCGGTGATGGAGATTCAGAAAGCCAACCGTGGGAGTTCATTTGCGGACCTACGGACCGAGCTCTCCAACGTCACCGGAGCGCGTGCGTGACGTCAGCGCACAATGCTTTTGTTCCTTTTCCGTCCTGCGTCGACGTCACCTGCGCCCCTCCCCTTCCTCCGCGATTTCCTCCGAGCCGCTTCTTCTCGCCATCAGCACATGAGCGAGGACGATCAGCTAGTGAGGGCATGGGCGCTTATCTTGTGAGCCCAGAGCCCCTTCTCATGTTCACGGCTTTTCTCTGCTGCCTCTGCGCCGTCCTCCGCACCGTTGCCTCCTGGTTTGGCTTTACTTTGCGCGTAGGCCGTATCGGCTTCCTATCTATCGGGGACATCACGTACACCCATCGTAAATCCGCGCAGTACCGCATCGGGCACATCAGCTTCAGACCGCATGTCCCACACAGATATCATCCCTATTGGGGCGTCTTCACCCTCGAGGACTACGAAGCAAAGGACGACTTGTGCCACGTCTCGATCGGGCGCCTAACTACCACGCTCTGGTTCCTCCCCGCCTTCTTCGCCTCCACCCCCAACACCCTCGCCTCCGTCACCCTCGACGACTTCCGCGTGCGCGTCTGGACCTCGTCCCAAACCCCCACCTGGCTCGCGCGCCTCCGCTACAACGTCATCTCCACCGTCCTGCGCGGGGAGCACCTGCGCGTCGGATGCCTGCGGACGCAGATGAAGTTTGCCTCGCCCGCGGGGCAGCCCGACCGCGAGTTCGGGCGCGAGTTCAAGGCGCCGACGCTGCCTGGGCTTGGGAGGATGGAGATGCGCACGGCGGTGATGGCGCGCGGGTGGCATTTGAAGAATTGGCAGAGTCGGTTGTATATCTTCGAGACGGTGGATATGGTCTGGAGGACGGGGCTGGACGCGGAGTGGAGCTCGCTGGCGCTTGTGGCGCAGAGCTGCCATTGGCTGAGTACGCGGGATGCGTATAGAGGACGAGGATGGAGGTATGCTCTTTTCCGTTGACTTCAGTTCGGGCTCATGCTTACTACACCTCTCAGACCCCTCCTACAATGGACGCTCCTGCTGCCCTTGCAGCTATACAATTCACCAACGTCTGCCATGGACCTGTCCATCACACGCATGGACATCCTCTTCGACCAGTTCCACCTCCGCGACGCCGAACTCATTCACCAGACGGAAGACTGGGTGCGGACGGTGAACTCGGACGACTTGGGGCTGGGTACGTATCTATGGGACTCGGTAGCACGCATCGCTACGAGGTTGATTACTTGACGTTTGTTCCATCACATACTGTGTTTGTTCCCTCACATACTTTTGTTTGTTGTATTACCTTCATCATCATGTAGCCACAGACGATACACACTTAGCATAGCATTGTACCTTGCACGATCGGATACATAACGAACACACACGCATTGGACCGCTCATGTTTACCATCATTTCGATTCGACGCGCGCCACGTCTGTTGACCTCTATTTACACCCATGGGTCCACCCCTCGGCCGCTCGGCCGACATATCCGCGCATCGCCGCGGCGATGCGCGCGTCTGAACAGTGACCCAGAGCAGTCAAGTCATGTCGGCCGCTAACCCTCTCCTTCGTACCGTCGCGTTCGCTGGCTGTCGTCGTTCTCCCTTGCTGTCATCAATTCGTTTGAGATCTTCGACCCGACTAGCTGCCACAACTCGACCAGCATTTGCTCTTCCTCGACTAGCCTTCACTACTTCTCGACTAGCAATTGCTACTTCATTCACACGCAAAATGTCCTCCTCCACCCCCGTCAAGACGCACCCCTCGCTTTCTATCGTGGCCACGCCGAGTGCGTATTCGTGGGCCAGAACACCTCTGGGGATGACTCTAAATCGAATGTGACTGACTTCGAACTCGTTGTGCAGACGCCCCCGCCGCCATCGGGCCGTACGCGCAGGGCGTGAAGGTTGGGATGCTTGTGTTCGCCTCGGGTTGCATCCCCCTCGACCCCGCGACGGGGCAGATTGTTGAGGGCGGGATTGAGGCGCAGGCGCATCAGGCGCTGAAGAACCTGAAGGCGGTCGTGGAGGCGTCGGGCTCGGAGCTCGGGAAGGTGGTGAAGTGCACGGTGAGTCCAGTTCAAGCGTCGTCATTCCTTGGCGACCAGGCGTTATTTCCTGGCGACCAGGCATTCCTACAAAAAATCCCTTTGTGGACGAATGAAGTGCCATAGCTAAACACGCTCTCGCCAGGTCTTCATGAAGAACATGGACGACTTTGCCGCTGTGAACGGTATTTACGCGCGCTTCTTCGGCGAGCATAAGCCTGCGCGGTCTGCCGTTGAGGTTGCTCGTCTTCCGAGGGATGTCTTGGTCGAGATTGAGGCTATTGCGAGGTAGGAATATCACAGTGTGCTCTGTCCGTTATTGTTGCTGACTCTCTTTCAGCCTCTGACTCCCCTCAAGCCTCTAGAGTTGCTGCGAGCATGTGTGAAGTAACCAATGTAAAGTCAGTGTAGTTAGACATCAGTAACCTGATCTGAATGTCGAAGCATCAGGGAGATGAGAGCCTTGATGAGGAGTGCCGTCGCAAGAGAGCAGGATGGCATGTCCAGTAAAGACATGCTTAAAACCGGCAAAAAGAGTAGTAGCCCACCGCGAGGGTCGAACTCGCAGCCTTCAGATAATCTTTCCCGCCCTCTGGACTTCGTAAGAGTCTGACGCTCTATCCGATTGAGCTAGGCGGGCGATGGAAGCACAATAGACTTGCCCTTTATGTCAGCGCCACATGTCAAGCGTCACGCGCTGCTCGTCCTTCAAACATCACACGCCCACCGGGACGGTATTCCGCACCTCTTCCTTCTGACCGTCATGAAGTCCTTCACGAGACGACTCTCCTTCCTCGCACTCGCGGGCTCTGCCCTGGCACACGGAGGACACCATGATAGTCCAGGGCCGGAGAACGGCGAGACGATACAGGAATACGCCCAACGACACGTATGTGCTAGCATGACGCGTGAACTCCGCGTACTCACAATACACTAGATGTCCAAGGAGCACCATATGTAAGCTATGTCGCGTCTGGATAGGTCCAGCCAATCTCAACCCCGCCCAGCGACTCCTTTGACCTCCCCAGTTTCTTCCAGTTGCATGATCTCGACGGGTGCGTGCTATATCCCACTTCCCCACACTGCCATCTCACACCGCACCCCCAGCGACGGCGTCTGGAACCGCGGCGAGATAGAGGCCATCTACGGCGTGCACCACGTCTACTCGCAGAAGAAGTCCAAGGACGACGTCGAGCACCAGAAGAAGGCGGACACCATCGTCGAGACCGTACTGGCGAAGATGGACAAGAACAAGGATGGGGAGATCGCGCTGGAGGAGTTTGTGCTCGTCGGGCTGGACGGGCTGCCGAACTTTGATAACTTGGGCGCGGAGGGGCACCATTACGACGTGGAGAGCGGTGCGCTACGTGTTTGGTTGTGCGGGCGCTTGCTGACGTTGTTTGCTAGAGTTCTTCCTGCATCATGAAGGTGTGTAGCGCTCAAGCTCCCTTGTCATTGTGCGACCGTATTCCATGGCACTTATCAGCAACCTCCAACCTACTTCCTCGTCACCTCCCATACCACCCGCTCCACCACATACTAACAAACCCCAGAGGAATTCCACTCCACGCCCGAGACCCAAACCGACGAGTCCTACGTGCACGCCGAGGACATCGAGCACTTCCGCCACCACGAAGAGATCGAGCGCAAGGAGGCCGAGAAAGAAGCCAAGTACCAGGGCATCTCCGTCGACGAGGCGCTCGCGCAGCACGACCCCGACCAGCAGCCCCCGCCGCCCAAGGTCAACCGCGTGCCGCCGCCCGAGAAGCAGGACCCCGCGGTGCGGTTCGCGAACGCGAAGGGCGAGGCGGACCGGCTGGGCGAGTGGGGCGCGGGCGACGAGGGGTACAAGCCGCCGGTGAACCCGAGCGAGAAGATGAGGAAAAACTTGCCGTATAAGGTGCGTTGGGGTACTGGTGTGTGGTGGGTGTATGGATTATGAGGCTAATATGCAGTTCCAGTACAAGTTCCGTCGCAGCTGGGGCGATTTCTGATGGGCTTGGCAAGTCTCTTGCGCTGGACGCTGCAGCCTGCTCGATGGCAAGGCGGGACGAGGATGACGACGGGGACGTGCTCGGGATTTACGCATACGTTGATGACCTTCCTACTCATGTTGTATGCGCGTTCATTTGGATTGGCCGTGGGGCACATGTCTTATTCCGTGTAAATTATGCTCTGCGAGGTGGGAAAGTGTCCATGTCTAATCACCAAGACCCAAGTGAGGTCAGGTTTGCAGAGAGATGCGATACTAGGCTACATGAAGATGAGTAAACAACGAACAGGGGGTGCAACGAAGCCAAACGCCGCTGGTATATCACCACTACTGACTCCTACTTGACAACAAGTCCGCCTCATTGAGTGCCGTGCCCGTCAAACATATCCTCCATCAGGCTCTTCTGCACAGCCTCCCAGTCGATGGCGCCGTTGCTCGCATAGAGGCTCTCATACGACGCCATCGACACGTTTGAGAAGAAAGGCACCAAGTCGCGCACGCTTTCGATTTGCCGTATGTTGGCGAGGAATGGGCGTCGTAGAGGGCGGGAGGCATTGAAGGATGTGACGCCGGCGGGGCTGAAGAAACCGTTGCCGACGGAACCTGTTGTCGCGGCAGGTAGTGCGCCTGCGATCTCAGCGAGTTGGTCCATCATGGCTTCGGGGAAAGCGTCGTCGGGTCGGTAGACAGCGTCGACGGTGTCCGTGATGAACATCCATTCGTGGCTGGGATGCAGGTCAGCACGATAGTGCCAGCACCGAATGAGAAGACCCACATCTGGAACTCTTCCGTTTGCAAGGTGACGAGCAGATCGAGGCACTTGCAAGCGGCGAGGAGCAATGGTAGGTCGTCCGAACCGTCAGGTGGCAAGTTGAGCATCACTGACTCGAACAACCGGTACTGCGTGGCGAAGTGAGCATTGCGAACGCCATACGCTGTGCACACGTTGACTCACCAACTCGGTTAGCAGTACGGGCCAGAAGCTCGTCAAGTTGTGAGGCGACAGCCTGCACAACAAGACCCGGACGCAGAGGTACACTTCGCTCTGCACTATGGGCGCTGTTACGTTCTTGAGCGTCTCGACGAGCTTCTCCTGTATGGTTGGCAGCTGCGTGATGAAGCCGTTCTTGTCACCACAGAAGAGAGCGAAGGATAGTCGGCGCAGCTGTAGCGAGCGCAACAAGAGCTCGTACTCCTTGTTCGTAAAGATGTTCGCGGATGGTGCGACAGCGAGCTTGGCTGTAAGATGTTGTCAGTGATTGTATGAACCGTGAACGACGATGGAACTCACACAACAGCTCTGGGAACGCCGCCTTGTCTGAGTGGAAGAGCGACTTGACGATAGGCTTCCACTTCTCCGCTGTCTCGACCGAGGAGCTGAAGAAGCGATTGTCGTTGAACAGCTCCACAACCGGTGCGCGCCATAGCTTGAGTGCAGCTGGGATGTGCGACATTTCTTGTATGATCGCGATGATGGGGTCCTCGACTTCCATAGGCCTGGTGCTGTCAATGACTCGTGACCCATCTCCCCTTCGGCCGTACAAGACAAACAGACCTTGCTCTTCCCTTTGTGGCCGGGCTGACGATGTAGTACGTGATATTGTTGCAAGCACTGACGACCTTGTCGTTGTCCAGCAGATACCGGCGAAGGTTAGGAAGAGCGGTCGATGCGAGATATTGAGTGATCTTTCAAAAGAATGAGCGTCTGAAGGCAGGTACGAAGGCGTAGATATACCTCTACAATAAGCTCGTTAGGCGCTGTCACTTTGGTCATCTCATTGTTCAATGAAACTGTGCTAGCATTGGCTTTTTCGTCGATCTTCGCGTCTACTTAAAGTTAGTTATGGGTACCAGTGAGTGGGATACTGAGCGCATACCAGGTCGAGGTGACTCCCTGCCCGCGGTGCCCAAAGTGTCCTTCGTCGATCGCCGTATCCAGGAGCCCGAGTCGTACGAGCGGCCGACGTACATGACATTCGAGTCCAAGAGCTTGCCCAAGCAGTCTTGCAGCTCTTTGCGAACGCGGCGATCTTCCATCGCGGTCGTTTGCGTGAGCTTGTCCGCAAGTACCGTGATACACCTTGTACAGCTCGTCAGAATCGAGTGTCGAACTGAGGAGGATGCATACCTAAGGCCAGGGTAATGTTGAGGCTTGAACTCCTTGGAGCTACCCGTGATGTCCTTGACGAGCTGAACGTAGCGACCCCAAACCTGCAGCACCAGAGGACCTTCTAATCGTTCTAGGTACTGTTCGAGGAACTTGAATAAGACAGCGTCGGTACTAGGATTCATGAGCAAGCATGTCCGTTAGGATGGGAGAGCACTCACACCGCAGGGTTGCTCGCGGCTCTCCTTGCTTTGTCCGAAGCCATCGTGACGCGCGTAGCTATGCTATCGCAGATCATAGACACTACATTCTGTGCGCTAGTAAACAGGACGTCGACGAGCTCCATCGTGGGATCATCCGTTTCCTGAGCAGATGTTAGCCTCAGACGATGACAACACGGTCCTCAACTCACTCGTTCCCGCATCCAGCATTCGACAATCGACTCGAAGACCTCAACAGGGTAAACGCGGTACAGATGCTCTAGCACGCGTCGACAACGTAATCTTGTGCGAGTGTAGATGAGGGAGAGCGAGTCATCTGTCGACGATGGATGCTCAGGTTGCGACCAGACGAAGTTTGACCACAACTGATGAAGAACGCGAACTGCCTCGCGAAGGGCACGGTAGCCAGGTGATTGCGTCTGGATTATGCATGAGCGGGGGAACATGGGAGCGAACATTGATATACTGACCGTGAGCTGCTCGTCTGCACCAGCGTTCGCTGAATCCGAGCTGAAGACGCCAGAGACATAACCCAGAAGACCGCCGCCACTCTCCTGTGTCGGCTTCTCCGGCGACATCCCATCGTCCTCTGCTGAGTTGGGTTCCGACATGTAGGCCAAGCTCAGGAGCACCAAGCGCTCCAGTCCGTTCAGCAGCATGACGATTTCGGCGTCCGTCGACGAAGACAAGGCGTCAAAGGCGAAGTTCTTTCCCCTCGCAGCAGCATCCAGAACGTCGCGTATAGATCCGCTGAGTTGTCGGCACAGGCATTCGTTCAAAGGGTTGACGACAACTTGCAGCGCCGGCTGAAAAGCCGGCACCGCCATCAAGATGAAGTCGAGCCAATGCTGGAGGATAGGGCGATTGCTTGGCATGCTAATGCCGTCAACTAGCGTTTGGATGAACAGCGGGTTGACGGAATAGGCCGCGGTTTCCTCAGACTCCGTATGGCTCATCGCAGACATGCTTGCGTTGTAGTCCGTTCCGCGGCTGTGACCTTGTACTATCGATGGCGCTTTTCTAGGTTGCACGGGAGTGATTGCTGCAGAAACCAACGAATGAAGAAGATGCAATAGTTTGTTTTGCAAGTCGAGCCGGGAGGCATGCACGCAGAAGAACAACTTTCCAATGACGGCGGCCTCGACCACGCCAACAAACAAGGGGTCGATATCGCCTCTGGAAATGATGCCTTGTAGGAGATCCACGGCGGTCGACTGTATGGCAACGTTGAAGGTCTGCATCGATGGTATGAGGGACTTCTTGGGCTCCGCTTGCAATAGTCGCAGGAAGTTCTCGATAAGCACATCAGCGTACGAGGTATCCGCGTCACCCCCGCTCTTCTCCAGTCTTGCAATCAAGTCCGCATTAGGCGTACGCCTGACCGGCGTCGTCCGCACCGTCTTCGCGAAGCCTTGGCCTCCGAAGCGCATGACGCCGAGCAGGAGGTCGAGGAGATGCTGGATGTACCGCTGGTCGAAGGGCCGCTCGTACATGAAGCTTTGCAGCTCCTTTCCGTGGATCTTCGTCAGCGACGGGCTGCGACGGATGCCTGGGTCCAGAATATCGAACAGTATGGGATCGAGTACGCGCAGATACGACTTGAGGCTACAGCGCATCCACGTCTCGCCGATTCGCCGAAGGGAGGGGTCGTCGCTTTTGAGCGTCTCGAGGACGATCATCATGGGCACCTTGAAGCGGAATCCGGGTAGCAGGGAGTCGTCTATGCCATATTGTTAGAAAGAAAAGTGCTAGTACGGCATATACAACTTACCAGTCAAGCGCCATAGTATTCCGAAGGCTTCGTACGCCTCCTGCACATTCCTGTTTTGAGGCGAAGTCATCGTTTGCGCGATGATGGACTCGATGTGCGACCCAGGCGCGATCTCGTCGAGCGCCCAGATGAGGCTGACAGTCCGAACATGGTAAACCGCGCAATCGTTTCGCAGGTAGCGCAGCAGCTTCGACATCAGCTTGAACATGACTGGGCGCGAGTCGATGTTGATAGTGGGCTCCAATGTCTGCGCATGGCACAGCGACGCAATCAGGGTGACCGTCCGGTCGACTATGGTGAAGTTCGCTGACTGTAAGGAAGGTTAGTCGAGGTGCAGGGCATCGCAGGGTAGACCTAATGTCCCACCTCTTGCTCGAGGACGTGCAAGGCCACAGAAAGCCATTCGCCCGGGTTCCACGAAACCTTTGTCGGCCCAGAGAGGAACTCGAGGAGCTCGTCCAACATGAGCAGCATCCGCGAATATACCTCACGCGCCACCTCCGACGACGCCGATTTGGCCAAGTGCTCAGTCAGTGCCGTGAAGCTACCGAACACCGATGCGAACGGTGAGATGAACTCTGCTAATGTTTCGGGAACAGTGAACGCCGCTTGGGTGCCGTAGAAGGTGCATGCGTAGGTATATGGGCGTTCCGTAACGCTCGCTTCTTGCATAGTGTCGCCTAACTCAGGCCGGCTCAACAAGGAATTATGCGCAATATGCTGCATCATTTCTTCAAGGAGAAGCATTGCTTCGCGTACTGCCGGGGACGACGCCTTGCTGTGGTGCTCTTGCAGGTGTATCTGTAGCATCGTTAGCGCGACTTTTGGCCGACATATAAATCCGGCGTACATGTATAACGTCGACGATCGCGGCAAAGAAAATCGGCAAATGAATTCTTTGCATCTCCTCGTCCTGCGCGAACGACTTCAGGACGAAGACGGTGAGTTGAATGGCCTCAGTTTTCTTGCCGTCCCCGATTATCTCGGACGTGATGCTACCCAGTAGTTGCTTGCACAGAATCTGAGGCTCGACAGCCTCGTACAGCGTGCTTGCTGTCATGGCAATCTAAGGACGGCGTCAGCAAGCATTCCCAGAAACTGAACTGCATACTCACGTCACTCGACGGGTCGTGCGAGGCTTGCATCAACCGCTTCAGGTCCAGAAGAGCATCGTAGACGAGCGTCTCCGTAAGCGGCGCGCCGACCTCCCATTTGTCCAAGAGCGAGATGAAAATCTTGAATGGGCGTGACTCTGGGTATTCGCCAGAGGGCGCATCCATATCTTCTTTCAGCGTCTGTCGCAACAGCCCAAGCGCATGCTCCTTGTAGTGTGCAATCTGCGTCTCACTCTTCTCGTCCGAACCCAGAAGCCACGTATACAGCCTTCGGTTCAGAGCAAGGTCCCGACGCAGGACTACGGATACGGCCGCGCGCATGAGGATCGCTCGGTCTGCGGGCTGCGCGCGCGTAACGGCGACAGAGTCAATCTTCATGGACTGTAGCAGCAGGTCGAGGGCACCGCGGCGGACGAGGAGGTTGTCGTCTTCCAGCGCAGCGGCGAAAGCGCGAATCATCAGCCCTATATCACGACCAACGACGTGTGTCATGTCTTCCTGGGTATCGAATTTAGGGAGGCGGCGTGCGAGGAAGTTGAGAGACGTCCCGCGGGATGCGGGAGACGTGAGCATGACGAGCCATATGTTCTGAAAGAAGAATGAGGGGGAGACGGTCCCGGAGAGGCGATCAAGAAGGCTGATGACCTGCAAGACGTAAGTTCAGTGAGACGGATATGCGAGTATGGACGCACCTTCTCGAAGAACTCGCCTGTCTCCTCTTCCAAGCCAGGGAGGAGGGCTAAGATGAAGGATTTCGTGACGGGGCGAAGCGCGCCTTGAAGGGGGAGATAATGCACATCATAGAGGTTCAATAGTGTGGGCTACGCGATGATTAGCGGATGAATATAGGAGCAGGACTAGGCGCTTTACCTTGACTGAAGTTGCGGCGTATTCGAAGAAGGGGAACAAGCCCATGGACCAGAGAGGTAGATCGCGCCTCAGACCTTCAGACTGGGCATTCATTCAGTACGCTGCTTGCAGTATCTCCCTAGCACTCACTCCTAATACAGCCAGTATATGCGAATACACGTCCAGCGCGCGTTGGTGTACACCATTTGGGAGGGCGGGATTCAAACATTGCGCCAGACGCTTCGCCACGATCACCTTGCGGGGGATCTCCTTGAACTGGTTGTACGTTTGGAAGGTCTACGTATCCAGTTGGTCATCGTTCATGACAAAGGGTATAGCGACGCACCTTGAGCAGTTGCTTCAAGAACGCAATGCAGTCTGCCCACTCGTGCACATTATCGAATGAGTTCAGGCACTTGTCGACCTGCTGTGTGTACTTCTTGTACTTCGGGTCCGTCGCGAACGCCTGCTGCGCGACAACTGGGGTGAAGGGCATATTATTTGTGTGGACGCATTCGAGGATATGGATAGCGCTCGTCAGCACGCGGATGGGAATAATCAGTGTCAGGAGAAGACGGACCGCGCTCAGTCGTTCGCGCGGTCACCCACGCGGACCGCGTGCTGGCAGCGCCGGAGCCCGCGCCCACGACTTCCGAGAGCGTTGGGCCGGCTGACATGGAGGGAGGAGACAAGGAGGCCGCCATCGTCCGGCTCGGTGGCGACGCGCTGCGCTGTCTATGCCACGTGCGATGACTGTATTGTACAGGGACAGCCTTTACAGTCAAACTGCCAACTGGTGCGGGCGCGTATGTCTAGTTCTATGATCGCAGCAACCCGGCAGTACAGCGCAAGTGCAGTACAAGTATCGCAATGAGTCCGTGCAAAGTTCACGCAAGTATTATGTCCGTCCGTCAAACGAGCAGCTCACTCTCCCAAGAACCATCCCTAGACCTCCAGAACCGCGTTCTCCGAGTCGAAGGCCATTCCTCCATCTCCAGGACCTCGACCTCAGCGGGGTCAATGACCACCAAGCCCATGTTAGACTGCGCAGCGTGTTCTTCAACCTCCGAGCTATCCTCCAAACTGCTCGCCTCCTCCGCGGGGATCGACGAGCCAGGGAGGCGACGAGAGGCGAAGGACTTCCGCTGCCTTGCGTCCAGGCTGTGGTAGACCTCCTCTCTGAGCTTTTCCCAGTCAAATTCTTCGTCGGCCAGCGCCCGCAGACCACTGTTCGCCTCGGGTCGACGTATAGCGAACGCATAGTGCGGATATAGCGTGTCTTGGGGTGTGGGAAGGATTGCAACTGTCCCGGCGATATGATACTGCTCTCCTGCATCGGGGAGGTGCCAGCTGAGTCGAATTCTGGGGTGCGCCAGCAGATGTGCGAGCTTCGGGGTCCGCATGTCGACTGGAGCGACCAAGACAGGGTGCGAGGGATAAGTTGCGGCAGAGACGAAGGAATGGAAGAAGAAAGAGCGAATGTACGGCCTGCTGGGGTCCGAGGCATCTAAGGAGGAGAGCTGCAGCATCCTGTTCGCCACGCTGGGAGATTTGCTGAGCGTATGGGCGATCGAGGTCTTCCACTGGGGTGCCTCCATGGTGGCGAGGTCGGATGCTCTCTGCTCTATCACCCCCTGCCCCGTACTATGGCCAACTACTCACGGCGTCGTGGTAGGGGGTTGTAGGTAAAGACAGACCAGGATTCGATGAATCGCCAGGATTTCATATAGCGCTAGCGCCGGTTAGTGTGCGCCTCGCCATAGATAAGTACCAACCAGTGACCCCAGCCACGGCGAAGACACAGACATCGAACAGAGTTGTCGCCCCAGAGTCCGAGATAGGCCCTTGAGCGGAGGGGAACGCATTCCAGCGACATGTCGGTGAACAAATGTGGTTTGGTGCCAACCAGCAACGTTGACCTCGTACTTTTCGGCTTCTACCAGTTTACTCGGTTTCCAACCGCTTTTCCGTTCCAGGATGCCGAAGTCTGGCAGGAGAAGAGAACATATGGCGTCTGTTACAGATCTAGAGCTGTCGTAGCTTGAATAAGCACAGAATGGGCCAAGGAAAAGTCCGAAATCGAATGAACGGAAGCCACATCTCCGCTTCCTCGAATTCCCGCGAGCTGTCAGCACCGCTCACAACTTGCCTCTGCACATCATGGACGCCCCGACAATTTCCACGCTCCGTGAGGAGCAGACGCCTCCGCCCCCAACCCCGTCGTCAGGAGCGTCGCGCGGGGGTCCCACCCGCATTAGGCTGCTCATGAAGGACGAGGGCGCACCCGAAGTGAAAAAGGAACAGGGCAGCGACGTGGAGGACGAAGAGGAGGACCAAATGATAGATGAACTTGCGGACGACGACGAGCCCATGGCACCCGTTCCGGCGGCGGCGTCTGCTTCGGCCAAGCGCAAGGCGCCAGCCAAACCTAAGGCGCCACGGAAGGATACTAGCAAGGAAAAGATTGTCATTCCGCCAGGTGTGTACTCCATGAGCCTTCGCGTCGCAGACTGACCTGATAATTGCTGCAGTTCCTCAACCTATCGAACCTCCTGTCGTTCAGACCCCTCCAGTGGAAGTCCCTCCCCCAATTCCCATGCACGAGTCCCCACCCAAAACTGTCCCCGCCAAACGCAAGCCTGCTGCCAAGAAGCCGGCTGCAGCGAATGGGAAGACCAAGGCAAAGCGAGCCAGGTACGTCGACCTTTGCCCGATTCGACAAGACCAACCGCTTATTCTTCCAAAGGACGTCCAAAGCGGCTTCGCACAGAGGAGACGACACAGACCGCGCAAGCGAAGGTGACTTTACTGCAACCCTTCTTGCTCTTACGCTGACATGCTTTAGCTGGGTATACCGCAACCGCCGCCTCCTCTCCCGGGAACACCATGTACTCTGGCCACACTCCCGAACCCGACTATGTCCCCACGCTGAGCCACCCCCACACCATGTCCGCGCCGCCTCAGCCGATACCCCACCAGCATCCGATCCACCCGCCAGTACCACCCGAGACCGTCGAACCTTTGGGCCCCATACCCATATATCCACTCCCTACCAAGCCGTTCCCCGTCATGCCCCCGCCAAAGATGGGCTCTGGCTTCGCGCCCGTCATTCCTCTGGACAAGACGTCACGCAAGGTGCGCCACTGGCGTATCGCTCAACGCGAGATCAAAGGCATTGCGGGAGGGCGCTGGTTCGCACGAGCTTGGACCGGCGAGAAGCGATCCGAGCTCGCAGACAAGCCCGCGCCAGCTGCAGGCTCTGCGTCCGTATCTGCAGCGCAGACTCGCGCCGGGTCTCAGGCGCGCGGAGCTGGGGCCTCGCTGTCGCGTTCTAGCACCAGCGCGTCTGCGCCACTTCCCATGCCTATGCCTATGCACCTTCCCGTGCCCGGGTTCATGGCGACAATCCCCGCGACCTCGTTGGCTGCATCGGTGTCTACGTCTGTCTCGCGCTCGTCGTCGGCAGTTCCCGAGGGCTCTGCATCGACGTCTACGGCGCTGACCATGACACGGCAGCCGTCGAAGATGCGTATCGCGCAGATGGCGCCTGGGTCGGAGCGGAGCCCCTCTTCGTCGGTGCCTCCCCCGGATCAAGATGCGGAGATGACTGCAGCGTAAATGCCGAATATGTCTTCTCGTCGCTCTCCCACACATCCTGCACTCTTTCACCGAAATTCAACTTGCCGTCCCTTCCTTTGCTTCCGGTCAACCACTTACTTTGTGCGCCATACAAGGTCCGAGATGCGCCAGTACGGTCTCTCCCTTCTCTCATGTACCACTGGGACATATACCGACGTTTGTATGCGCTTCCGTAGCTGATCTATACGAACCCATGTTGTCTTGTCTGTCACTTGCGCGAGTGTTAGGCGTATGGGGACGCCTAAGAGAGGGCCGACGCCTTATTCGTCGACTACCCAATTGGGGTTCTACGAAGCTGCCATCTGACCTTGACTGTACCCAGCCCGGAGGATTATCGGCCCAACATCGCGCACTCACTCTCGCCCTCAGAACTCGACGCGCCCATCCCAGCCGACTATATAACCAACCAAGTCGCGTTTCTCCGGGGTTGCTTCATACCACCATGAGCAAAGCATCGATCACTCGCCCCCTCACCGACTGGTCCTTTACGCAGGTTGGCGGTGGAGAGGGAACGAAGGACGGAGAATGGTTGCAATGCTCGCAGTTTCCAACGACGGTTCATGTAGAGCTACTCAAGCTCAAGCGTATCCCGGATCCTGTGAGTGCTTGCAGTATATCGCACGATCAAAAACTTATCGGGCTGCGTCAGTTCCTTGGATTGCATGAATGGGACGTGCAATGTCGGTATAAAGTCACAGTATCAAAGGTCTGTACTCAACGATTATAGGGATCGGCGAGACGCAATGGTCATTCAAGACCAACTTCTCGGTCTCCAAAGACGAGTTATCCCCGTCCAACGTAGACTTGGTCTTCGATGGGCTTGATACCTTCGTGAACGTCTCCTTGGTATGCTAAACTCATCTATCACCATCTCGAACGCATGCTCATGCATTAGCCAGAACGGAGAGCACATTCTAAAGTAAGTCGCCTTCGTTCTGCGCGCTTCTTATCTCTGACTGAGATTCAGAGCGAACAACCAATTCCTATCTCACCGAGTTCCCGTCAAGTCGCTGCTGAAGCAGGGCGATAATGAGCTCGTCCTCACTTTTGACAGCGCATTTGTCCATGGGCGTGAGCTCGAGAAGAAGCACGGCAAGCTCGGTCTTTGGAATGGCGACTCCAGCCGCCTGCATGTCCGCAAGGCGCAATACAAGTACGTGCACGCCCTGCCATCACTTATCAACCCCCGGATATCCCTCCTTTCTATCGTGTCGCTGTCTATGACGCTGACATTGTTGTGGCAGCTATGGCTGGGACTGGGGTCCAGTTCTCATGACTGTCGGTCCATGGAAGCCCATCAGCATCCATACCTACGAAGCTCGCATCGCCGACCTCGACATCCGATCCCGAGTCGAGCAGGACTTCTCCGTGAAGATGCCTGTATCATTCACAGTCGCCAACTTCACCTTTCCTCTCACCGCGAAGATCGCCTTGAAGGACCCGTCTGGCAAGATCGTCTCCTGGGCGAACCTCCCTGTGCAGTCTGAAACCCGCCAGGCCGACTTGTCATTCGCAGCGGGCAAGCTGGAGCTGTGGTATCCGGTGGGATATGGCGCGCAGCCGCTGTACACCTTCGAACTACAGCTTCTGGACGAGAACAACGACGTGCTGGATAGCAAGGAGCAGCGCGTCGCTTTCCGCCGCGTCCAGGTCGTGCAGGAGAAGCTCGTGGACCAGCCAGGGTTGACGTTCTTGTTCGAGATCAACAACATACGGATATTCTGTGGAGGTGCGTGCAAAGTAGTTTGCTATATCGACTCGCGCTCACAATTGTCAGGCTCCAATTGGATCCCTGCCGATTCCTTCCTGACGACGTACGTTGGTCCTTTGCCTTTCGCCAAGCTATAAACCAGTCAACATTAATCAGGATCACGCCCGATCGCTACAAGGCATGGTTGAAGCTGCTCATTGAAGGCAATCAGAATATGATTCGAGTATGGGGCGGCGGTGTCTACGAGGCAGACGTCTTCTATGACACATGCGATGGTCAGTACCATCGTTCCTTCTGTACTTTTCTGTTTTGACACGGCCGCAGAGCTTGGCAGTAAGCTTCTTCTCAGCTCAGAAATGCCCTCGTCTCACTCGTGCCAGTCCTCGTGTGGCAGGACTTTATGTTCGGTTGCGGCCAGTACCCCGCTTATGACTCTTTCCTCGACTCTGTGCAAGAGGAAGCAGAACAGAACGTCAAGCGGCTTCGTCACCACCCATCCCTCGTCATCTTCGGTACGCAGTCCACCGTCTTTCCTGTCTTTCATTTCTGACGCAGCAATCACATAGCTGGCAACAACGAAGACTACCAAATTGCCGAGTCGATGAAGCTCGACCTCGACTACTCGGACGAAACGTCAGACTTCCGCGAGACCAACTTCCCGGCACGCTATATCTACGAGCGCACATTGCCCTCGGTTGTAGAAAGGCTGTCGGACGTCTACTACCATCGATCTTCGCCTTACAGTGGACAGGGCAAGCCTACGACGGACAAGACGCTCGGTGATCTGCACCAGTGTAAGTCGACAAGCGTTCGTCTCGCGTCGCGTATATCAACTACTTCTCAGGGAACGTCTGGCACGGCACCCAGGAGCCCTGGCACAACTGGGACATCCTCGCTGGTCGCTTCGTGTCTGAGTTTGGCATGTAAGCAGCACACTTCAGCAGAGAAGACCCTCTTGTTAACGTGCACTGTAGGGAGGGATATCCGAACATTCGCACCGTGGACTATTGGCTTGGTGGGGACGTGTCGGAGCGTCACCCTCAGTCCAGAGTCGTCGCCAACCACAATAAGGCGGACGGCTACGAGCGCCGACTGGAGCTCTACCTGGTTGAGAACTTCAAGCATGCGTTCGATATGGACAGGTAGCACCAAAATTCCTCTCCAGAGTATGTCGCTGACGCGTACTGTTCACAGCTACGTCTACTACACTCAGATCATGCAGGCTGAGACGCTTGCGTCCGCGTACCGGCTGTGGAGGCGCAACTGGAAAGGCCCCGGTCGCCAGTACACTTCCGGCGCGCTCGTCTGGCAAATCAACGACTGCTGGCCGACCTGCTCCTGGGCCATCGTCGACTACTTCCTCCGTCCCAAGCCCGCCTACTTCACCATCGCCCGCGAGCTCCGCCCCTTCACCGTCGGCATGACCCGCAAGGAAGTTACCGCCTACAAGGACGACACGTCCGCCGCCTTCCTCACCATCACCACTGTCCTCGAGATCTGGGGCACCAACAGCACGTTGACGGAGCGGAAGGCTACGCTGGAAGTGCAAGAGTTCGACCTACAGAGCGACTGGACGGAGAAGTGGGAGAAGGAAGTAGTGCTGGCGCCCAATGCGAGTACGGAGCTGTACAAGGGCGATGTCAAAGGGCAACCCGTGCGCACTAAGAAGAGCGAGGTGCCGAAGGATATCATCGTGTCGGCGCGCCTTTTGGACGCGGACGGTACGGTTCTTAGCCGTTATGCTAACTGGTAAGGCACTACTGCCCTTCTTGGACTTCAACTCAATATTTGTTCAGGCCCGAGCCGTTCAAGTTCATCAAGTTCCCACCAGTGGAGGCGGTCGGACTGAACATTAGCGTCGCCGAGGACGGAGAGACCGTGTCCCTGTCTGTCAAGAAACCCGTCAAGGGCGTCATTCTCGACGTCGATGGAGACGACGTCAAGTGGAGTGACCAAGCGTTGGACTTGGTACCAGGCGATGCTCAACAAGTGAGAGCCGCGGGGCTGAATAGCAGGAAGATCAAAGCAAGATTCCTTGGTGACGGATCCGCGTAAACCTTCGCTGAGTGTATTTTGGATGTCTCGGAATTAGATTTGTATGATTATATGAGCTTGGACTCGTCTGCGCTTTTGCTTCTTCATGCGACGTTATTCTCGGAGGTAACACCTACCGGAAAAGGAAATGGTGGCAAATTGAGCCACGTGCCTACCGTGACCCAAAGCGCTCGTGTGGCGTGACGCCTCGCGTCAACTGTACACGAGTTTGCCGCGCTCATCAGGCTAAAGGTCGAAAGTTGAGGGCTAGGTCCATCGAGAGGTACATTGCCGACTATGCAGCGGGACCTAAACTGACAGAAATGCACCAGATGTTCGAGATACCAGAGCTCCTGCAAGCTATCTGCCGGGTTGGAGAGCTGCGCCGTCACGACATCTATCAATTCATCCAAGTGTGTCGTTTCTGGCACGATGCCGCCATATCCATGATCTGGGAGGACCTCAGCAGTCTGGTACCTCTCCTTCGCTTGCTGCCCGAGGATGCTTGGCAGCTAGAACAGAGGAAGTTGCGTTTAGGCAGAAGCATGCAAGCTTTCGTTAGTGGGCAAAACATCGAGTTTTGTGCAGTTCACTGAAGTTTTACCAGGTCTTGCGCCGTCCTCTATCTGAGGCGGACTGGGAAAAAGTACCCCAGCGCTCGTGCTTCGTCAGATATCTCACCGTTCGTGAGCTTATGGACAAGCGTATGTTGTCGGAGCAGACGCTGGAGCGTTTACTGCAGAGTCCGCCGCCGTCCGATCTCTTTCCCCACCTTCGATGCCTCAGGTTCGAGGTCGCGATGCCGACAACGCACGACAAACCCTTGCTGGCCATGCTCTTGTCACCGACAATTACCTCATTGATCGTGTCGTCGAGCGATGAGGAGCTCGTCAGTGACTATGAACCCATTGCTCGCCGCTGTCCTGACATCCGGACGCTCATCGTCAATGAGTCATCCATGGACGACATCATGGCTCCTATATCGTCGTTCGACATCGCCAACGCCATCTCAAGATGGTCGGGGCTGCAGACGATCACACTTCGTATTGGCCCATGGCATCCTAGCCTTGTGATGCAGCTCGCGCGCCTGCGCAATCTCTCTGAGCTCACACTCTGGATCCACGAGGATGACGGCGAGAACCCCAACGCCGGCGAGCCTATGTCACTAGACGAGCCTGCCTCGCGCTTCGTGTCCCTCAGGAAGCTGACGCTCGGCGGTGCACCTGTGCGCTGTGCGATTAGCTTCCTAGAACTGCTGGATGGGTCGCCTATCGAAGCTATATCCCTGGCTCCAGTCTTGCTAAAGCACTCCCTCGATAGTTTTCAGCGGCTGCTCAACCTTATGCGGGACCACTGCTCCGCAGACACGATGCGCTCGCTGCAAATCTACTTCGACAAGGAGGATGACGAGGCGCATTGGATACGCACGCCGCTGCAGATGCAGAGCATACGGGCCCTCTCACGCTTCCGTAATATGGAGGTTCTGTGTCTGCAGGCCACCTTCGGCGTCGCTCTGACAGATGCTGACTACGCCGAAGCTGTCGGCTGGTGGTCAAAGCTCACCTCCTTCAATGTCGATACCAGATCGCTGGCATTGATCACTGGCGAAGTTCCCGGCACCCCAGCTACCCTGCAGACGTTGATTCACTTTGCGCGCTCGTGCCCGTCTCTACAGACCCTCGAGCTTCCACTTCACGTGACAGATGTACCGCCGGTGGATCTGGAGCTGTATCGGATGAGGGCACGCAACCATCCTCTTCGATACTTATTTGTTGGCGATTCGCCTATCGCGGAGACGGACAATGCCGCACTACTGCTCAGCAGAATATTCCCCGCATTGGAACCCGCTGACCTGGCATACGACGACGAGCCTGAATGGAGCGAAGGGTGGCGCGATGTCTCTGAGAGCCTCCGTTTGCTCGCTCGGGTTCGAGCATTGGAAGATGCTGATCACAGTACAATGGAGGTAGATTGAGAAGGAAATAACAGCACGTGGATGTCTTGAATACAAGCAGGCGTCCAATGCCAACTTCTCCATCGAGCTACCTTTCATGACTTGTCACTTATTTGCTAACTTTTACACGGTGGTGTGACGGCGAACACGAAACTAAACTTGCCTGTTCTGGACATTCTCCGTTTTGCTTCCGTTCTTCGCGTTTCATACACTGTTTCTTATCATGAATTATACGCCTCGAAGTATGCATAATGTCCGGAAGGAAGTAATACAGCAGTCGCATTTAAGATCTGGTACTCAGGGAGCGTTAGACTCGTTGACTGGTCTACCTTGTTGGCGCGCGGTAAGAGATCCCGCTTCTTCTGAAACACAAAGCCTGCCTTTTTAGGACTTGTCATCGTCAACCACATCCCCTTTTCACTTACATTAATCATGTCGGATCAGCTTAGCTTGCAGTCGAGAATCAAGGTAAACATACTCTTCTTGACCTCGTACATAGCTCTGATGGGCGAGATAGATGCGGGATGGGCGGGGGATCCCGGTAGTTGGGTTCGGTACGCATATGGAGGTTCAGAAGGGGGGTGTACATCTAACGGTACGCAGGAACCTACGAGATGGATGGAAGAGAAGCGTACGAAGCTGTGACCGCCGCACTCGAGGTAGGTGCTCTATCTATGCGGACACGGGACCTGCGCTGACGCAACCGATTCCCCTTTAGACCGGGTACCGCCACATCGTGAGCCTTCCCATGCACCCGGCGCCGGGAGATCATATCTAACGGTCCTCTTCTCCTTGATAGGACTCTGCCGAGTGGTACGAGAACGAGCGCGAGGTCGGCCAGGCTATCCGCGACTTCTGCAAGAAGCACAACGTTCCGCGCGAGGAGATCTTCTACACCTCGAAGCTCAAGCTCAACAACGGGTACGCGGGTGTGAAGGCGGCGATCAAGCGCTCGCTCGATGCGTGCGGACTTGGGTATATCGACTTGTACCTTATCCATGGACCGATAGGCGGCCCGCAGGCGAGGAAGGAGAGCTGGCAGGCTATCTGCGATGTGCAGAAGGAGGACGGGACACTGAAGACGTGTGGGATTAGCACGTACGGCGTCAAGCATATCCGTGAGATGGAGGAGTACGGGCTACCGATGCCTGTCGTGCATCAGGTGATTGTCTCCCGAACAAGCATACTCTGAATCTCCGGCTGATCTGAAGCAGATCGACCTGCACCCGTTCCAGACGAGGCAGGCTATCGTTCACGAGTCGAAGAAGCATGGTATGACTATGGAGGTATGGCTTTATGCCTTGCATGATCGGCTCAAGTAACTCACCTTGGTTCTCGCAGGCTTGGGCTCCGCTCGTTCGCGCTATGCGCTTCGATCACTGGGCGATCAGCAGGGTGGCGAAGAAATACAATAAGTCGCCCGCGCAGGTGCTTTTGCGCTACTCTTTGCAGAAGGTATGCGCCTTCATATACGATTGGACTACTACTGAGTGTACTAGGGCTACGTTCCGCTGCCCAAGACGGTCAGCAAGGAGCGGATGGTGTCCAACGCCGACATCTTCGACTTCGAGTTGTCCGAAATCGAGATGGCGGACTTCGACGGATTGGACGAAGGTGATGGGTAGACCTTCGAGCTCAAAACTTTGACTTACTGTGTTGTTTCAGGCCTGGTCACCGACTGGGACCCGACGACGGTGCCTTAGACTAGGGGCCTACGAGTAAAATCCAGCGTACGCAATCCGTGTTCATTGAGGATACGGAAACCCCAAAATGTAGATCGTACAAAGGCAATGTAAAACAACACAGTCGATCGGGAATGACACCGCGCGCGACGAGTAATCCTCAGCTTCGAAGTACTGTAGTGCTCAAAGGTGCAGCGGGCTGCCCTCGGCTAAAGTGTACTGTGGTTCGCATCATAGGCTCGCCGCGCACGGTGCGCTAGACGAGGCAAGGCCCGCCCAACGTCTCGAGTGCGTGTATCCCCCCAGAAAAGAATAGTATCCCCCAGTAAAAACACAGACGCGGCCCACGCGCCATAAGAGCCCCCGTAAACACATAAAGCAGTCATAGACCGCTGGGGGGCCGAGGAAGAGCAACCAACGACGGAGAAAGGGGACGAGTCTCGACCGGGATGGCTCACTGGGATAACGAACCCACGTTCCGTCGTCGGCCGCGCGATCTTCTGCACCCCGCGTAGCGAGGAGCTGAAGTACGGGGCGCCGCGGATAGATGCGTGCAGTTCAGTCCGTTGGCCGCGCTGAGCATCGACACCGGCAGAACCTTCGCACCTCACGCAGCGACCCCAATGCTTGCGCACCTACGCTACAATCCCCCAGTAAACACGAGCCGAGCCCTCAGTATACCCAAAGACAGGATGGAGATCCCGTCGCAGCGAGGAGGCGAGGCCAACGGCACGGCGGATCATGAGCGTAGAGTTCAGTCTCGTTGGCCGTGCTAAGCAGCGACACCGGCAGAACCTCGCAGTTCGCACCGCAGCTGGCAGCGCTCGCGCTCCTGCGCTGAAAACCCTCAGAATACCCAAAAGCCCCCAGTAAACACAAGACAGGACCGAAGTCCAGTCGTAGCGAGGATGACCGGTCGTCAAGCGGCGAAGGGAGTGTTGAGCGAGCCTCGACGCGATGCGCAACGCGCCACCGGTATGAGGACCCCGGACCCTCGACTCGACCTTGCGAACCGCCCAACTCGCAGCCATCCTGCGCTACAGGAAGGCGCCGTGACCTCGCGGCCACGACGCCCGGTCATGCCACCCGAACAGATGACATGGCGGCGACCCCGAAGGGCCGCCGTCGGTGCCCCATCGCGGCGGCACCGTGCATGCTACCCTCGACTTGTGCTTCGTGGCTTGCGCGTCAACACCTAAGCCGAGGGTATTCCACGATGACGAGCTCCCAACGCGCCGCCGCTGGGGGTATCTTGGGTCGCCACCGCGTCATGCTGAGGGGTTACCAGCTACCCCGCGGCGCTCAGGTTGTCGGTGTCATCATCCCCAGGGTATATGTCGATGCTAGGGCAGACGTTAGATGGGCGCGGGAATGAGGGATGGGCGACGCACTCTTTCTCTGTATCCTCCTTTGTTTCTCCGTTGGCTTTTCTGTGTGCGAGAGAAGGTAAGCGGAGTGAAGATCGATAGACGCCGGCCACCCACTCTATGGATCGTATTCTTGAAGTCGGGGCTCAGGCATTTTTCAGCCTGAGTAGGTGCGGCAATGAGCAAATGGGTAAATGGACAGAGCTGTGGCGACGCACCAGTTTTGCCCTGCAGCACGCGAAATCTTTTTCTTTCATTTTCTTTGCTTGCTGTCCTCTGTCCCCTGTTGCTTGTCCCTGTCCATTGTCTTCTTCCTCAACCATTTTTTCTTTGTCGTCGTCATCATTTTTATCTGCGAGCATTGATCAATAAGCGCCGTTAGATGACGAGCGCGCCACACACCTGGTGAGCGCGAAGAACGCAGTGGCATTAGTGGCGACGATGAGGAGGAGCAAGTGGCATCACACATCTGTATCTTTTCCCTGTTTGTCGGTGCGCGTAGCACGGAAGTCGTCAGCGACAGCTGCCCATAAACAAACTAGAGACGACACTCCCCGCGGCCTCATGGGCCATGCCACAAAAGGCGCCCGGGCGTCGGTGGCGACGGCGGGCAGGCGGGCGGACTCAACTTGGCGTCCATGGTGGTGGTTGGGAAGAGAGAGCGGTAGCGAGTCACAAGCACAGGTCTGCGCCTTATGTAAGGGGCCCGAATCAGATTCAAACTCAGCGAAGCGCCGGGCCCGTGCGAAGAACAATGGGGGCCCGACCGTGGGAACACCGCAGCGGGCCCAGCGCCCCGGCTGTGATCCCATGGCCAAACGGTGTCGCCTACATTCTGGTATGCTCAGAGATGTACTGAAAGAGAAGGCCTGTATGGAGGAGAGAGGTGGCCCTCGGGCAGCCATCCATTGCCACAGCTGAAGTGCGGCGCACGGAACCAACCGAAGCCTCATGGCAGTCACGTGATATTGGCCAAAGCGGTCACATGCTGTTCTATAAACGACGTCATGGAAACCTCTGACAGGTGAAGCGCAAGATGATGATGTGTTTGCAAGTGATAGAGCCTATGTATCTACCGTAAATTCGTAAGGATCGATCGTATTAACAGCGTTAGATAGATCTTGACCATATATCTAGAAGTCAGACGCGCCGCACGTCTTATTCCATGCGCTATCGCCCCAAGAGATGGTCGTGCTGAACCCGTTTGCGGCGACAAAGGCATCGAGTGCGCAAGAGCCATACGTTCTGTCCTCTTCTGAGTCGGCGCAAGTCGACAAAGGGAATGGCGAGTCATTCAGGATGAGCCTAACTTGCGGCCCATCGAAGCTGGTCAAGGCACATGAGTTTCGGCAGCAGACAAGCGCAAACAGAGGCCACTCACGAAGACTTGCAGGAGAATTTCTCCCAAACCATCTGCGCTGCGAAGGGTACCTGGTTGGAGGTCCTCCAATTCCGTTCAGCGGGCATAGCCGTCGTTGAGAGCGGAGGAGCGTCCCTTCAGCGAATCATAAGCGGCGTGCATCACATATGGACTCATGATACGCACTTCGCCAAACCCAGCGCAGTCAAGGCAAGGTCAATCGTCGTGTCGTGGCCGAACTCCAGATATAGTGGGACAGCATCGCCGCTAGCATTCGTGAACCTGTCGATGAGCTTGTTGACATAGAGCGAGCCGATCGTCGGGCCCATGGGGTTGGGCAGGTTATAACCAAAGGCCCCAGTCATAAGCAGGTCGAGCTCGTACTCGAACTGCGCCAGCTCCTCCTCCGTGAACACGTCGCACCAGGGCGAGACCTCGTACGCGGCGTAGTCGTAGGCGCAGGCGTAGAGTGCGCCGTGCGTGTCGTCGTCGGTCAGATTGAGGCCTGGCATAAGGTCGTTCAGGCGGGAGGTGATGTTGGGGAGGTATACTGCCCCCCATTCGTCGACGGGCTGAAGAGGAGGTTAGGAATGCAGGATCGTAGTGGAGAATGAGAGGCTTACAGCAACGCCGAAGCTGGTGTACGACCAGTTCGCGCAGGTATCCATGGGGGTAATCCACGATATCGTGACCTCATCCTCGGCGATGGTCTCGAATGCAGTGTCCTGCAATGTGAACCAATCCCTGCCGAAGTACCCCATGCTGAACCACTGAGCGGACTCGATGACCTGAGAAGGGTATTGAAACGCAGGACGAGCATCCCACAATTTTTTTAACATACCCGGTCCTGATCACCGGCGAGAACTGTGGTTGCGTTCAAGTCCGGGTACTTGAGCTTGAAACTAACGAGGTGTCAGAGAAGCCCTCCGAATATTGTCATACGACGTACGCGACACCATGATTGAAGAGTTGTCTGCGTCCGGGGGCGGTGAGGTTGTCGTGCCCAAGGGAAGTAGTGTAGCCATCCTTCAGGAAGAGCATGCTCTCAGGCAAATCGGCATTTTGCCTGTAGTCCACGACGTCAGTATATGGGTTGCAAGTGAGGCAAGCGGACGCACACATAATCATAGTTCGTCGCGAGCTTCTCCGTTAGGTTCACAATGTACCCGAGCTCGGAGCTCAGCGGCCAGCGGCTGCCATGCCTGCCCATCTGTACGGAGAGGATGCATCAGCCACCAACCGATCGCGCATCGCTCACCAACGCACCAGCATGACCTGATCGACAGTGCAGTCCTCGGGCAGCGTCTCGTTCAAGCCCTCGGGCACCGGCGCTTTGTGGTAGGGTGCCAAGTTGCCGAGGTTGTTTACGTTCGCCGCCAGCGTCGCCTGAGCGAGCGCCAGACCGCTGAGAAGGACGGAGAGCATGTCGAGCACGTCGAGGAGAGCGGTGAGCGCGTTGAATTGAGCAATGGCGCGTCAGAATGTGCAGGCGCAAGAGCCTATGACCGGAGGAGGCAAGAGACGCGCGAATGCCGTCCGCCGCTATATGAACCGTCGGCGTCTGACGCGCCGCCAAATTCAGGCGCCCCTGGACATGCGGTGGCGCACGTTCCGTCGGTGCCGGCCATGTGGGACGCACTTATCGCGGTCAGATTTCTCTTTTTGGTGCTCGGCCTGTCTGGGCAGTGCGATAAGCGGGTCGCTGCACTTCTGAGTATCTTCTATGTATTCTTGTGAAGGTACAATGGTGGATTCGGCGACTACATGAGCGTTCAGAACAACGGAGGGAAAGTATGGACATTGTGACATGTCGCGTTCGTGACAGCCCTCGCGCACGTGTCCAAATTTGCTTCCGCCTGTGCCGCCATCGTTTTCCGAACCGTGACGAGTGCAGCATCCGCGTCAACCCAGGTCTGTGCTCAGACCTATGGCTGAACCGTCTTATTAATCATGGGATGAGCATAGAGCCCTCCACATGAGCAGCCCAATCCAGATCCCCGAGCTGATACAAACCATCTTTCGCGCAAGCCGGGAGGACATTAGGCCTCGGCGGGATTTATGTCACTTCGCGCGAGTCTGCAGAGCTTGGCACGACGTTGCAATCCCTCTGATATGGGAAGAGCTCTTTGACCTGGCCCACTTGCTCCAGCGACTTCCCAGAACTGCGCGGACGGTCCACGTCACAGGAGCCTACCTCGGCCGACATGGAAACATCGGCATCGCCTTTCCTACTTTTGTAAGTAGGGCACCGGAGGATTTCCATTACTGTACTCATGGAAGGTGGACAGGACATTGCTCGCCCTCTAACCAAGGAGGACTGGGCCCCGGTGCTCGAACGGTCCCGCTTCATCAAACACTTCGGCTTCACAGAATTATTGTCGGAGCCGCGCAACTATTCCCCAGCTACCATCGATGCCATACTGCAGTGTCCATATCCCCTATTTCCCAACCTGCGATGGTTGAACATCAACATCCGCAATCCAACCGAGCAGCATACCGAGCTCGTACAATCATTTTTGAGCCCCACTGTAACGGCGCTGGTCGTCCAATCTCATTCTGCCAAAATACTGGGGAACTGTAACCTGCTTGCTCGCAGATGCCCTTCTCTCCGTCGTATCCAACTGGATGTGACGAATAGCGGTGTCACTTCTGTGCCCTCCATAGAGATAGCGGACGCAGTCGCGGCGTGGTCTAGCTTGCACAGCGTGGATCTCAAGATTGATGCTTGCCATCCGAACCTTCTGCCCTCGCTCGCGCGCAGTAACAGCCTAGTTTACCTCTCTCTCTGGTTCACTGATGGCGCCGGAGGGCCCCTATCGCTCAGTGAACCCGTCACCTCCAGTTTCACGGCTCTGCAAACATTGAAGCTCCGCAACGTGTCCGTGAGCCGGGTCTGTGGCATTCTCGCCGCGCTAGACGGCTCGCCCATCGAAACAATATGCCTCGCCCCCGTCCTCCTCCACCAGTCGCAGGACAACCTCCGCCGCGTCCTCTAGTCCATCCGCGCCCACTGTTCGCCCGGAACAATGCGCGAGGTGGAGATCTACTTCGAAGGCCTCGACGCCGCCACAGTCGACGGCGACCACTGGCTCCGCGCGCCGCTCGACATGCCCACCATGCGCATCCTCTCCGGCCTCCGCGAGCTCACCTCGCTCTGGCTGGACGTGACCCTGGGCAGCGCGCTCACCGACGGCGACTACGCGGAGCTCACGCGGTGGTGGCCGCACCTCCTCGGCTTCGACGTGAGCACCATATCGATGCTGCGCCTGTCGGAGGGGCAGGAGCAGACGCCCGCCACCCTGCACACCCTCGTCCACTTCGCGGACAACTGCCCGCACCTCGAGCGCCTCTCCGTGCCGCTCAGCACCGATCTCGATCTCGACGAGGGCCCGCACATAAATCGCAAAATGTACGGCAGGCGGACGCGAAAGCACCCGCTCGTGTCCCTCGATGTGGGCGACTCTCCCTTAGAGCCTGGGTCCGAAAACGACATCGTCTTGCTCCTGTGCAGTCTCTTCCCGGGCTTGCGGGACCCCGACTTCAGCATCCTGCGCTTTGAGGGGGATGAGCCTTGGAGCGCGGGGTGGCAGGGCGTCGAGAGCAGACTGAATTTGCTCCGCCAAATGGCTCGATACGAGGATATAGAACGTCGCTTGGAGGACGGGACCTTGGTCCTCGACGATAACTGACATGCGCACGATCGATACTCTCAGAGCACGCCCTGCTAGCCTTGTCTCTTCGCTCATGCAGCAAGACGCAGACGTACTATTAGGTATTACTATATACACGATGGCAGGAAGGAGGAACCGATAGCACAGATAAACTGACAGACAACCGAAAGAGAAGGTCGAAGGGATTCAGAGATGGACGATTACATGCGAGAACAGCGACTTGTAGAATATGGGTAAGACAGAAACGAGCGAAGACGTAAGAGATACACGAAGAAAGAGAGTGAAGGGTTCCAAGTGAATGAGGGAGCGCGGGAGAGAGAGAGGAAGGCGTGCGTAGATGGGAGGCGGTCGATCAGCAGGTAGATGAAAGAAACGAAGAGCATAGCTACGGAAAGATACCAATGGAAGGATGCGCCTACTAGCCGCCCAGAGAAGGCCTGGCGGTCCAGTGCTAAGGGAATCACTCTCGTGAGGCCGTCCACCCACCGCCGACAACCTCCCGCCATCTAGAGGTCGACAATAAAGAGATGCGCGGTATCATCACCACCGTTTATACGAGTCGCATATTCCGCAGGTTGCCCTTGATGATGATGTCGCGCACCGTCGATATGATCGTCGCCGTCCGTCTCGTGTCCGTCACGGACGTGAAGTGAACTTGAAAAGGGTGCTTAGCGATGTTAGGCCAAGGCGCGACGCACAAGCACTTACTGTAGAGCTCCCGCTCTTTATTGGGTGTGTAGGTTTGGTGCAGGGCGCCGAATTTATTGCGGAAGTCTACAAGTTAGTCTATCAGTCGACGTCACCTCGGATGACTGTGAACACATACATTTCGATACTGAATCATAGTCGTTTGGTCGGTCGCCATAGGATATCATATGTTGCCCAAGTTGTACGCCTGCGTCCAGCTTCGACTGAAAAAAGGCGTCAGCACCGCTCCATCCTCCACCCGTCGTCACCCGTGCCACATATCGGTATTTCGATAGCAGCTTTGGATAGCAAGTGCCTCCAAACTCGCCTACTCACCTGCAACAAATCACACTTGTTCAAAAACAGCACCAGGTTCACATGCCCCAGCAGCTTGTTCGACACCACCGACTTCCACAGCAGCAGTGAGTCCTCCATCCGATTCACGCGCGGGTCCTCCGTCAAGACCTGGTCGAAGGCGGATATAGGCGCGAGGAAGATGATCGCGTTGACTGGGATGAACATTTAGTCAAAGTTCCTACACCATCGGGACGAAGGGGATAATCGCAGACGAGAAGAGCCATACTCACCATCCTCAAAATACGGCGCCCACGCTTGTCGTTGATTCCGCGCACCACCGACGTCGTAGATCTTCCACTGCACGCCTTTGTTGTTGCCGTTCGCTACTGAGAACGTATGCTCCACGACGCCCATTGTCTTCAACCTTGCCTTCAGAACATCGGCTGAAGCGATTGGAGTCAGCCATCGCAGTTGGCATCATCACCAACGAAGCCTCACCATCCGTCGGGATGTACTTCTTCGCCGTTATTCGTGGTATTTCGTCCAAGTAGCTGCGCCAATCAGTATTGTTTTTATCCCAGCAACACCCACTCACAATCCACTGCTCTCCTCCAACCGCAACCGCCGCTCCTGCAACCGCTGCCTCACCCGCGGATCGCGCCACAGCTCCAACATCGCCGGCGCACACGCATGCAGCGCATGCACCGGATCGTCCGGGTCCTCCCACCACCCCTCAATCTCGCCCGTGTGCGCGCTCTTCGGGCTCTTGGACCGGTTCCCCAACGCGAACGCCTTCTTCCAGTTCGTCGACGTGTGCACCGCGACCTCCTTCTGCTTCCGCCCGGACCGCGTGTCCGCGGGGGACACGGGCAGCGACTGCGCGCGGTTGTCGGGGATGACGATCGTCGGGTTGGGCCGCGCGCCGTTCGCGGGGTTGCTGGGGGCGCTGTAGGAGGGTTGGATGGGGCCGAGGTGCGTGGGCTCGTCCTCGTCCGGTGCGGAGAGCGATCGCGTGAGGCGATCTTCTAGTGCGACCAGGGGTTCTAGCCGTTGCCGGTAGGCGTCGTAGTTCGGAACCTTCGTGCCGGATGTGGCTGAAGAAGGGTTGCTCTCAGTAGACCGAACTTCCATCGAGTCATCCGCGTCCTCATCGTACGCGTCCGAGATCGCGTCCAGAATTCTGCGAGGGGTAGATTATCAGTGCTACTCTTACGCGATAGGGAAATAAGCACACGACGCACCGACGCACAGAGCGCACGAGATTGAGATAGATGACCGCGCGCCATGCGATGCGCTCTTGGTGGAAGGCGGCTGGCGAGTGAAGAAGCTGGAACTCTGCGTAGGCGGAGTGAGCACATGGCAGGGTGAATGGATAGGCGCGCGCATATAGACGCGTCGCGTGCGCGAGCTGCGTGCTGATCAGCTTCGCGCGCGCGACGCCACACGCCAGCGCGATCGGGGGAGAGGAGGTGGGAGGGGGAGAAGGAGCGCGACCGCTACTCACGCTTGAGCGTCGTGCTCTTGCCGGACTCAGACTGGCCAAGGAGCAGGACGTGGACCTCGGCGCGCGCCTTCTTGCGCTCCATGCGCTCCTGACGGAGCATCTCGTCGATGTTGTCGCTGATTTTCTTCGCGTCGCACTCGGCGCGCAGGCGGGCCGCGCGCTCCGTGGGCGACTCGTTCTCTGGCGGGAGGAGGGCTGCTGCGAGCGGGTCTGACAGCGAGCGACGGCGGTTGGGCTCGATGCGCGGTTTCGCCATGGTCGTCGTCTGCGGCGGCGGGGACGGCGCTGGGTGGGGACAGAGGGGATGGCGGGCGGAAGCAAGAAGGACGGAGGCGCCGACTCGCGCGGCAGAACGCGAAAAGCGGGCTTGACGACTCGCGTGGCGCAGTCCACGTGCGCCGACCGCTTTCCCCGAAGTTCAAGTTTCGTTGGCACGACGACGCGCCGCTCTCTTGTGCTCTCCTTCGTGCTTTCCGTGGGGGCGGTAAAGACGCTAGCTCTGACCCTTGTCCAGGTGGAAGACCTTCACACTGGCCAACTTCATTCGAAAATTTCGACAGCTACAGCGTCGGATGTTTGGTAACGGCACTTTCGGGACGGTGTTCGGTTGGCAGACTCGCCCGACGGAACCTTCCAAACGGTCATAAGCTTCCTCAGCGCTTCCGTCGGCGCTTGCCAGCTTGTGTCCGGCAGGCGACAGACCGACGTTAGAGACGCCAAGCTCGGCCCACGAGCCGGGTGGCGCGCGACTGGAACGCGAGAACAAGCTCTGCGGCGCTAGTGACCCAGACTTGCATGGAGATCGGCTGTCTATTCGCCTAATTTGTAGGTTAGCGATATTGGGCGCCCCTTCATTTTGTGCTGCGCACCGAGGGAGGCGAGACGGCGGTTTGAGGCCGTTGTGGCTTTGTTCCCCATTAGGAAGTGCTTCATGAGCGTTTATGGACATGTGTTTTATGGCCAGTGCTCGTGCGTCTTGCGTTCGCCTCACAGTCTTCGCACTGGTCAGCTAGGCATCATAATACTCTATCGTCTCCCTGCCCCCCTCCGAGACCAACGGACAGACGATCTTTGCGACTCGCACAAATTATTCTAGCTCCCTTCCAGCGCATGCGCACGCCCCGCGTACTTCTCGGGTCAATCCACAGCTAGAACTTGAGAAAATCTATCCGGCTCGAGGGACGCGTCAACAAGCTCGTCTGAGGCCCTGAGCGCGTCTTGTCGCCCTTGCGCGTGAGAAGAGTGACGACCGAGTAACCGCCGAGGCGGCGGGCGCCCTCGGCCACGCGGGAGAGATCAAGGGCCATAACGACGACGGGCGGAGGGACGGCCGTGGACCGGGGCTCTTTCCGTCGTTGGCTCGGACGACGAGCTGTGCTGTGCACCCTTCCCCCACCTTCGAGCTTAGGTCCGCGCCAACTTCTTCTACCTCAGAATGCGCCGGAGATGCTAGTCGTCTCCAGCATCGGCCGCTTCCTGCTTCTCTTCTTCACACTGCTGGCACTCGCCGCCTTTTCTTCTTCGATTCCGCTGCCTGGCGAGTCCGCGCGGTCGATGAGGCTGCCCGTCACCCGGCAGCTGCTCGCGCCCCGGCAGGGGGCAGGGCCCTCTGGCGATCCCGCGACCTCCTCCGACGCAGGTACGTGCGCGCTGCGCCCGCCGCGCTATCTCAGCTCATGCCACGACCATCAGCAGCATCAGACGGCGCGCTTGGATCGCTGCCGCCCGACGGCCCTGCTTCATCTGGCGCCCCTGCAACAGCCACAGACTCTTCAGCGTTCCCCACAGAGCCCCCTTCGTCTTCCCCTTCACCTTCGCTCGATGTAAATTCTACCCCGGCCAGCTCATCTCCATTCCCTTCCATGTCCTCTCCCTCGATCGACCCCTCGGCCCGCGTCGCAGAGTCAGATAGCGCGTCTGCGTCGTCAGATAGCGCTTCCGCGTCTGCTTCCTCCAGCCCCGCAGTCTCCGCGGCCTCCGTCTCCACGTACACAGACCAAGTCTCCGCGGCACGATCGGCCTCGACCGTTACAGACTCTGCGTTCTCGGCCACTCAGACAGACTCTGGCTTCAGCGGCAGTAGCTCATGCACGGACGCTAGCTGGTCTGCCGGGGCCTCGGACTCTGCACCGTCAGATTCAGGAGCCCCCTCTGATTTTACTGGCCCTTCAGTTCCAGCAGCTTCGTCGTCCCCTGCAGCTTCGTCCGATCCAGCGGCCTCGTCATCCCCGTCAGACCCTGCAGCCACCTCGTCAGATCCAGCCGTCACTCCCTCTGATGCAGCTGGTGTCCCCTCTGATGCAGCGAGCTCCCTTTCTGACCCCACCGCCCCATCCAGCTCTGATGCGGGCGCGTCGTTCACGTCATCCCCTGCACCCTCTTCTACTGATGCAGGATTCACCTCTGCGCCAGCAGACGGTGAATTCACGTCCTCTCCGGAACCCACATCCACCGACGCAGGCTTCACCTCCTCACCTGAGCCCACCTCTACCGATGACGGCGACGGCCGCGTCCCGCCCAGCGACATCAACACTGCGACTGGGGAGATCACAACCAGCGCAGGGGATGGAGAGCGGCGCATCCCGCCTACCGCGACGGAGGGTGGTGCGAGTGCGACGGACGGTGCAGCGGACGGCCAGCCGACGACCAGTGCGGAGGACGGCGAGCGTCGCATCCCTCCTGGGGATCAGACGGCTACGGACTCTGCGGCGGACCCCAACGCAACGCAACCACCTGACGGTGCGCGGCAAGGTGGCGATGGGTAAGTTCTCTCCTCACAAATCGTCCCATCGAGGCTGACACCACTCACAGTAACTCCAACGACGGTCAGAGACAGGGCGATAACGGCAATAACAACAACGGTAACGGTGATGGCAATGGCAACGACAACGGCAACGACTCCTCCAACGACGCTTCCACGACCTCCGACAGCAGCAGCGATGACCGCGAAGCAGAGACAACGTTCAGCTTTGGCGGCGCCGCAGGCGCGGACCCGACCGGGTCTACATCTTCTATCGACCCTGCCCCCTCGGACTCGTCTTCGTCTTCTCCTAGGTAAGCATTTCTCTTCATACCCAGAGAAAACAAGGAACTAACGCCTATTTAGCTCGACCTCCTCCCAGAAGACCGCCGCCATTGCCGGCGGCGTCGCAGGAGGCGTCGCCGTCCTCATCATCGTCGCCCTCGCCCTCCTCTACGCCCTCCGCCGCCGCCGGCGCGCCGGCTACACCCACGCCCGCACCTCCTCCTGGGGCAACGGCGGCGGCCTCGCCGCCGGCGGTGTCCTCAGCCGCGCCATCGGCTACGACAACGACCACACGCGCACCGAGTCTTACAGCTCGTCCGGCAGCAGCACGAGCTCGAACCCGCAGATGGAGGAGATCCCGAACTTCCTGCGCGGTGATAGCCCGTACAGCTCGCGGTCGGGCGCGAGTGGGCGTGGGTATGTGGGTGAGCCGTTGGTGATTCCGTATGTGCCGCCCACGATTACGAGCCCGAGTGTGGATGAGAGGAGGTTTTCGGATATGGCGCCGCCGCGGGCGATCGTGGCGTCGCCGATGGGCTCGCCAGGACCAGGTCGCTCGTCGCCTGCGCTCCGCTCGGTGTCGCCGCCGGGCCCGCCGCCCATCACTCCTCTGCCGCCCCCGCCTGCGTCCCCAGCAAGGGCGAATGGGTCTTCTGCCAAGTCCTCCCCTGCCCCTTCGGCTCAGTTCACCCCGCCCGCACCTCCCGCGCCGCAAGGTCTCAAGGGTAAACTGCAGCAGGTCCTGTCCACCAAGCCAAAGCCGCAGCTGAACCTCCTCGCCGCCGTCCCCCCTCAGCCAAGCACCTCGCAGGCACAGAACCCCTTCCTGTCCCCGCGCGACGCCGAGGACCCGTTCAAGTCGCCCGAGGATAGGCGCCCGCCCTCGCTCCCTGCGCCTTCGCCACGTCTCGACCTCTTGCACCTCTCCGGCGTGCAGGACATCGACCCCACGCAGGCGCATGCGCAGTGGAACATGGGCCCGCGCCGCCAGACCGAGCTGATCGTGCCCGAGTCGCGCCCGACGTCCAGCACGGCGCCGCACGACCGTAACAGCAGCGGCGGGCCGCCCGCGTCGCCGTCTGTGTACTCGAACTACTCGAAGTCGTCTCGGTCGCCGACTGCCCCGTCCGTCTCGGACGATCCCTTCTGGGCACCCGTACTTGACGCCAACCGCAGGCCTCTGTACCCGCAGAACCAGACGCGTTCGAGCCCCAATCCCAACCCCTTCGACGATAGCAACTCAACCGCTGGCCGGTCTAACTATAGCGGAAACTTCGGCTTCGCTGTCTGAAAGGACTATCCATATATATTGACGTGCATTCGTACCAGCCACTCTTGACTCCAGGAATTCACTGGCAGTGATAACTTATTTATGAACGGATACTGTAAATGCTAACTAAACTTTTGGGATATGAGGCCATGTATCAGCTTGGGCAAGATAACAGCAGGCCTCCCTGAGTGCGACAGATGCGGCGGCGATCTGCAAGTTCGTCAGTTCATATCTCGATGCAAAGAAGGCTGCACGTACGTTCTTGGGAAGGAATGGCTCGAAGTGGTGGCCTGGGATGTCCCAAACCTTCATGGGCGAGCCCACATGCGATTCCCATGCACCTACGATCTCCTGGTTGTCGTCTGAGCGGTCCGCGAGCCATAGGGGTACGCCCTTCGTCAGCGAAGGCGAGCTGAACCCATCACGACAGCGCAAGAAGGCCAGTCGAGGCTCCACCCGGTTCCGCGCAGGCTCGTATTCTGCCAGCAGTCGTGCGTTTCTGGCGAACTGGGCCTCAAGGAGTGGCCGCAATGTCTTTGCACCCACACCTCCATTCAATCCTATCGCCACTTCGATGACTTCCGGGGAAAGAGGAACATGCCCTGATGGACTAGGCGAGTCGATCAAGATGACGCCGCGCACGGCAACGCCCTGAGCAGCAAGTAGGCAAGCGGCCTCATAAGCGACGACACCGCCAAACGACCAACCTGACGAGCAAGGATGAAGGACATGAATATCGCGGTAAGCTGATGAACGTACCCCCAAGAATTACGGGAACAGTGAATGTCATGCCGATGAACTGGGCGTACGATGCAGCCATGTCCGTCAGCGATTGCGTCCCATTGCCTGTTGGACTCGGTATGCCCCAGATCTGACGATCCATCGGAGGCAGGCGCTCATAGTAGTCGATGAGACCGCTCCCATCGTGAATGAGGATCAAGGGATCTAGTTCGCCGGTAAAAGGTTGCTGTATCAGTCTCGGCTGCAGAGTCTCTGCGTTCGGACCCAGATTGCGCTGCGGGACACAGGTGTCCAGATACGCAGCGATCTGCCGTATTGTCCGGTGGGCGACGAAGAAGTCGACTGGGAGCTGAACGTTGCATCTGAGCTTGAAGAGGTGTCGTGCTTCGATCGACGTGAGCGAGTCTAGCCCATAGTCATGCAGGTCGGTATGATGGATAAGTCGCTCAGCAGGAATCCCTAGGACTTCGCCAATGATCGCAGCTACAGCGGCGCAGTCAGAGGTGGCGACTGCGGGCACGTTCGTCAGAGGTCGAGCTTCCAGTGGCATAGCGAGCGTCTTGTGCAGAGCCTGTAGCTTTACCTTGCGGAAGACGATGTCGGATACTTTGGCTACGAGTGTCGTGCTACCGTCCAGCAAGGCGTACGAGGTGGCGCAGGCAGTGCCATCATCGCGAACATCGATGATAGCGTACACTTGGAAGTCCTTGCCAAGCACGTCGAGCGCAGGTGCGATAACGACTTTGCCGATGTTGGTGCAGATGTAGACGTCGTCCTTGTCGCAGTTGACGTTGCAGAGAAACCCTGGGACATGGAGCATGGCGTCCAGAAAGATTGGATGAGCTGGAGCTGATGGCATCGAGTCGTCGTCGTCGATCTTCACGATTGCCACGGCAGTGAGACCGTCTGCCGCAATCCGAAGGGTCTCCACAGCCTGATATTGAGCCGAGTAGTTGACTACACGCGCAAAGAGCTTGTAAACGGACTCCTTGTCGAAGTTACGGCCGCCTGGGTCGCCTGTGATAGCCTTGAGCGAGAACCGTAGGATAGGTGAATGACGTTCGAAGGCAGCCAAGACGCGAGCAGGATCCTCGATGCGATACTCAGCGCTCGCGTGCAGAGTCTCGATGGCAAACGGCGAGGACGAGGAAACGCGCACGGTGCCTAGTTGTTGTTCCGAAGTGACGTCGACGACCACTTTCCGTTGTTCTTCGGGTTGCAGTACCAGAGCGCGCTGGAACTTGACGTCCCGGACGACGAAGACAGACGCAGAGGTGCCCTCTGACAAGGTCAGGGTCACAGCGGCGTAGATCTGTTCGAAGTAGAGTGAAGCAGGATACAATGGCCAGCTTCCAACCGTGTGTCCTTCGATCAAGGTCTTCAAGTCGCGTATGGGCACAGAGAATGTTGTTGGGCCTGCGGGACCTGCAGCTCGGCACATGTCCCGAAGCGTCGGGTGGGAGATCGAAGAAAGGCTGGACGGCACCGATATCGCGTCCTCGCGGAAAGGCACCCAATACCGATCCTTGGCGAAAGGATATGGGGGTAGGAAGGGTACGTTTCGCACGTGTGGCATGTCGGCGAAGACCGCGCGCCACCGCACAGGCGTGTTGGTCGTATATAGCTGGGATAGAGCCGCGGACATGGTTGACCACGGATCCTCCTTCCGCCTGAGCGATGCGAGACAAAGCGGCGTGGCACCACTGGTGCCAGCGCATGACCTGACCATCGGCAGCGACGTGGAGTGAGGTCCGAGCTCGATCCAAATTGCGTTCAAGTATGCAGCGCTGTGCAACAATCCGTGTATGTTGTCGTGAAATTGGACTGGCTCTCGACAGTGGCGCGAGAAGTAAGTCGAAGTGAAGGTGGTCGTATCGCCAGTCGGTACGATCGTTCCCAGGACGTTAGAGGCTATGGAAATAGAGGGCGGTTTGAGGGCAATGCCTTCGCAGACCTTGTCGAGATCGTCGACGATGGGTGTCATAGCCTGCGAATGGAACCCAAACGGCACTTCCAGCCGCACGCACGGTATTCCGCGAGCTTTCAATGTCGCTAGGAAGTCGCCAAGCAGCCGGACAGGCCCAGCGACTACGCACTCCGAGGGCCCGTTGTAGCAGGCGATGCTCAAACTGTCCGCGAAATCCAACTCGATAAGACTCTGAACGTCGATAGGCGGGTACTTGACGGCGACCATACCAGTGGTTGCGACATCGCAAGCAGTTGCCATCAGTCGAGCACGCTTGCCCACAATGTACAGCGCGTCCTCCCGTTTGAGGACTCCTGCTGCTACAAGAGCAACGTATTCACCCAGGCTACGAAGGCGTCAGCAACCACGTGAACAGGAGCCAAACAAGCACCCACCTATGCCCGACCACCGCATCAGGAACAATGCCCCACGACTTGTACATCTCCAGAAGCCCGCATTCCAGGACGAAGGTGGCGGCTTGATATGCCTCAGTTTCCGCACGAGGGGTCGTATCGTGAAGCGATCCAACGACGACATCCTTCGCGCCGGTGAGGCCCGAGCCTAAGAGTATGCGCTCGCAATCGTCGACAACGCGCCTGAAGACAGTCGACGTGCCGTATAGCTGCTTGCCCATGCCGAGGTACTGACCACCCTGGCCAGAAAACACGAAGATGGTCGGCTCCTTCGCATCGACGACGGGCCTGACCGACGCGCCCGAAAGTCGTGCGCATAGCTCCTCGCGAGAGCTCGCGTAAACAGCGAGCCGATGGTGATGGATCTGACTCCTAGCGGTCAAGGTGTACGCGATGTCGCTGAGCGAGATCGATCGGCTGGCGGGGTCACGAAGCCAGCGCAGCAGAGCGTCCCGACGTTCCTCGAGCTGTCCTTCTGTCTTAGCAGAGACGCCGAATATATGCGCCTTCCTGCCATCGACGTCCGCAGCGCCATCATCGGGCGAGACGTACTCTTCGAGTAGGAGCGTCGCGTTCGAGCCCGCGATGCCGAAGTTGTTGACGACCGCTACACGAGTCGCTCCTTCATCGACATCCCAATCCGTCGTGCGCGTACTGATCTCCATCCCGCTTCCCTCCATCGGCTCGATGCGCGGGTTGAGGATCTTCAACGAGATCTGCGGCGGCACCTTCTTGTGCTTGAACATCATGAGCACCTTCGCCACACCCGCGGCGCCCGACGCCGCCTCCAGATGCCCGATGTTCGCCTTGACAGACGTGACGCGCAGCTGTTGCCCAGTAGCGAAAACCTCACGAATGCTCTTCATCTCTGTCGGGTCGCCTGCCTGTGTGCCCGTGCCATGCGCCTCGACAACTCCGACGCGCGAGGACGACATTCCCGCCGTCGACATCAGGCGTCGGAAGAGCGCGGCCTGCGCGTCCGCGTGCGGATGCGTGATCGACGGCGCACGACCACTATGGTTGATCTCCACGCCGCGGATGATGCCTAAGATCGCGTCCTGCTCTGCGAGAGCGTCCGAAAGCTTTTTGAGAACGAACATTGCGCTGCCTTCCCCGCGACAATAGCCGTCTGCTGATACGTCGAAGGACTTACACTGGCCCGTATGACTCAGCATATGAGCGCGGTCGAGCCCAATGAACATCTGCATGAGTGTCAGAACATGCCAGGTATGACAAGGAGAAAGCGTACATCGGGACTGGTAATGATGTTCACGCCGCCAGCGAGGGCGGCGGTGCAGTCACCATTTGCAATGGCCCGGCATGCCGCGTGAATGGCTACCAAGGACGACGAGCATGCAGTATCGTATACGACAGAGGGCCCTCCGAGCTTGAGAGCGTAAGAAATACGACCACTCAGGAAGGACTGTAGCGTCCCTGGACGAGTCGTAAGCACAAAAGCCACCAAACTGCTCGAGATGGACCGACCAGAGCTATAGCAAACGTCGATTTCATGCCGCAGATTCTGGACGTAGTCATTCGTTGCAGCGCCGATGTAGCAGCCAAAGGTCTCTCGCAAAGAGGTCGGCGTAGCGTCCGGGATATATCCCGCGCTCTCGAGAGCTTCGTACGCCGTCTGAAGCAGTATCCGCTGCTGGGGGTCCATGCTGCGTGCCTCCCTAGGTGAGATGCCGAAGAAGGCTGCATCGAACTCATCCGCGCCGTCGATGAAGTTACCCATGCTGGCTCGCATCTTGCGGGTCGACGAGTTCGCGGCACCGGTGTAATTGGAGACCATGAACCGAGCTTCAGGGATCTGTGCGAAGGAGTCAGCGTTGTCGGCACAAATTGCTACCTGTTACAACGTACCGAAGAGACCATATTCATACCGTTCTCCAAGCTTGTCCAAAGCTCGTCTGGCGCACGAGCACCAGGTACGTGAACGGCCATACCGACGATGGCGATGGGTTCTTGTATAGGGTCCGGTGCTTGACCAGCGCTCTCGCAGATATCCACAAGTCGCGCTCTTTTGCCCAGACGACGCTTGATAGCGCGCGCCAGACCACCACCGGGGCCAACGTTGATAATTTCGACCTCGGATTCGGGCGGAATAGACAGCAGTTGCCGATCTACCGTCTCCAGCCAGTTGACAGGAAGTACGGTGATGGAGCGAAGGATAGCATCCATGGCGTCCTGCCGAGGGTCGTCGAGGACGTCCGAGGTCGCGGCGGAGCGTATAGGAATACGAAGAGCAGCGAAAGCAGGGAAATCGACCTCGCGAAGTCGCAGGTCTTGCAAAACTTCGTCGTGGAGGGCGGTCGCGTAGAGTGGAAAATGGTATAATGTTGACAGACCGGGGTCGTGAGTAGTGCAGTGGGAGGGTATATGGTGTTGCTTGAAGAAGAGGAGATCATCCGGATGGCCAGAAATAGTAATACACGTTGTGTCTGTGATAGCGGTGATGGAGAGCGAAGGAAGGTCCTAAGGCTCGATCAGTCAAGACACTATATTGCGACGTTGTGAGCTCACAGTGGCGCAGATCTCGAGCAGTCGGCGAGCTTTCGCGAGGGTAAGCCCGGCCACGACGAGACTCCACGGTAGAGACGGCGCGACGTCGTGCGAGGTTAGGAATTCCTGACGATAGCGATGTACACGATAACCGATCCAGAAAGCGATCTTGAAAGCGTCGACAACGTAGGTGATAAACGAGGGTATATTGCGGGCGGCGCTGAGCGCATACGCGGCAAGGATGCCAGATGAGAATGGGAGTATGACGGCGGGGCTATCGGTCGTCCGGTGTTTTGACGACTCTAGCCATTCGAGCAGAAGTAACGACTGGATGAGGCATGTTCGTGTCATGCTCAGGATGGCGTTGTGGACGTCGTTCCCAGCTGGTATAGCAAGCAGCGCATCTGCTGTCGAAAAGGCGTTCGTATGAATGTCGGGTGTATCCCAAGTGGACGTCGACAGGAGTTCCTCGCTGAATGCATCGTGACAAGCTGCGAGGAGGAGCCGGCCCGCAGACGTGCGCGCCACACCTTGTGCCCTCTGATGAAGCGAAGGAGAGTTGGCTGATGCTGCGCCTTGACCGCCGAGGATGATGAGCCGCATCATGAGTGTTGAGGAAGAGAGGCATCGACGCTGCCTTCGCCATGCCCGGCGATATACGACATGTGGTTATAACCTTTGTCGATCTGGGGTCCGAATTGACGATGCTCTCCCAACGCGACTAAGAGACGCCGGGCGGTCAGCTGAGGCAGGGATATACTTCCCGAGCTGTCGTCGGAAGAGATTGAGGGTATAAGCATACGCGACACGCTCTTGTTGCCGCCGGCTAGATACTACGATGCAGCTTTTCAACAACCGCAAATCGCGTGTCCTTAAGAGTCTAAGCAGCGTCGAGACCACGAATGAGCGCCTGATACGTCGCGCAGGATGATAGTTGGAAGCAAGGAGCGCTGAGCTTCCGAGTCGAGATTGGCGTTCTCGGCGATCCCCGGCGGGCTGACGGCCCATTGTTCCGCTCTGAGAAGCATATCGGAGGGCGGCAACTCCCGCGGGGAGCGAGGGTGATCGGCCATAAAAGAGCGGACAGGACCAGAACGAGGATAATCATTGCATGAACGTCGTTGTTTAACTCGTATCTCATTCCGCGCGCTCAGCGCATTCCTCGCAGCGTCTTCTATGCTCCTTATCTATCTTCGCTGCAAGGCGCAAGATCCCCACACCACTTTCCACCGTTTCCCAGGTTGCACTGCGCTGGTTGAGTTCATCATAAAAGATCCTTTCCAGGTTCGGAAAAACCCGCCAGAGAAGCATGGGCACGTCGAGGGTTGAGTCCACGGGAGAGTCTCCTACTGACAGGGTTTTGAGCGGGTGATTTTCATCTTGTTCGTGGTAGAGGTCGTCCGTCAGGGGTGGCGTGCAGTATACAGAGCAGGATATCTGGAGCGAGCGCAGATTGGGACATTTGAAGGCATAATGGAGAAGGGGAAGGACAGTCGCGGGCGTGATTATGTTCAACTGGTCGTCGGGCGTTTCCTCCACAATGAGCTTCGTGTTGAACATCAGCTCTTCCAGGCCTTCCCACCAGTTTGCGACCTCCTCATGATCATCATCTGTGAGCATCACACCCTCGGTAGCGTTGACAATGACCGTTGTCAAGTGGCAAAAGACGGAGAGCGGCCTGATATGGTCGAGCAAAAGCGGAGAGGCGACCATTTGCGGAAAGCTTTGTACTTCTATGACCCGCAAAGTTTCATGATCGCAGTGTTCGCTTATTGCTTGTAGTAGCTGCTGGACGCTGTCGGATGAGGTGGGAGGGGGATCTAGTGCGAATGACGCGGACTCCATTCGAGCGATACCCCATGACTGCACAAGGGTAGTGGCGAAGCCGACTGATACGCTTGCCAGACATATGCGCTGCAAAGAAGCAAAGTGCGGCCCTTCACAAGGTAAAAGAGGAACGGTTCCCTGGGTAGGGACGTCGCAGAAGGCAATGCCCAGCGTCCGGAGCGATTCGCGCTGCGAGAGGCACGCCACAAGAGCGGGGTCATAGCACACTGGCAGCTGCACCGATGTGAGGCGAGGCCAGCTATCGAGCGCCTTGACCATGTATCCGGTGTAGTCAGGGTCAAGGTATGGCCGTCGCTTCCACCTCCAGCGCTCGTTCAGCAAGTCGATGCGTTCGATGTGAGGGAAACGCTCGATGATAGTCCGCGGATCTCCTAAGATCATCGCAGGGTGCTCTGGTATGCACAGAGATGTCACGCTAGGGGAAGCAAGGATGTTGAAAAATCTCTGGTAGAGTGCCGTATCCTCCAAGTCCGTGACTCGAAGCTCTAGGCGGCGCAGGTTCGGGAGCAAGCACGACGGTGGGGGACACTGGAGGATTGCCTCAATGACAGGCTCGGTCAGCCGTATCGGTGGCTGCTTGCCAAGCTGTTGCAGGTCGCCGCCTTCGTACGACTTGACGTAGACAGATCGCTTGTACACCGGCGCCCAGTCCGCTGGTGCCAGCGCACGCGCAAACGACTATTGATGGCGCATGAGCTAGAGAAGTGGCGATTCAACAGTGCACATACGAATGCAACCCGTGGCCATGAAGCCGTATGATTGTCTGGCCTAAGGAATGCGTCTCCGGGCATCAGATGCAGCAGAGGACATAGATTCGGTATGTTCTCCCATATCACAGGAATAGCTACATCCCTCCAGTTTCTCGAAGTCAATGCCAGCTGGCAGACATCTCCCTTGCTCAGGTTGGCATCTCGACAGATCGCGGACTGGATCTCAGGGATGCGCAGCGGGTGCGTCATTTTTAAGACCGAGCGACTATGCTGTTGCCCAAGCAGGACTTGCTTCCCAGACTCGGGGAGGAGGAGCTTGAGTTTCTGGGTAGCAGATGATGGACGGGAAGAAGAAGGCAACGGACAAAGAAACGCCCCGATCAAGGCCAAAAAAGGCAGGCATTGCTACTTTGTCCCAAAGGGGGAACCTTAACGTTCAAGTTCGCCTTTGCCTGGTACTTACTGAGGTCAGGCCTTTCAGGGCACTGTAGACGTTCATCGAAGGCTTTAGTGTTTGCTTTACAGTTGTGAAAACAAGAAATTCGAATAAAAATGCAGCAAAGTAGGTATATACGAGGTCCAATACAGGGCGTATGCACACGTCCAAAATAAGGGCTCATCCACCTCACGAAGCCTCCACCGGTACAAACTTCCACGACACCAAGGGTATCCTATTCCCCCGGCATGTGAGCCCTGACGAGCCGAACTCGAAGGCATCCATGTCCACTTCCTCCTCAACGCGATTCGCTGGTGGCACAGCGTATTTCGGCGACTCCTTGCGAGCGGAGGCACCCTTGCGCTTGTTGGAGCGCTTCGGTCGTGACTCTGGAGGATGCGAGTCGGCGCCGTCGCCCTCAGGCTTCGACTCGCTCTCGCTGGTGGCTGGCTTGGGATCGCCGTTGGTGGATGGCTCTCCGACTGGATTGGTTTCGGGTAGCTCTCCAGGCTCCAACGACGCATCTTCCGTCGGTGCCGATGAGGAGTCCTCCTTCGACGCGGATTGCGGCCCATCGGCACCGTTCGTGGCCGACTGCTTCGCATCCGTGTCGGACGTGTTGGATTGTGATGAGCCGTCGACGACGAGAGCAAGGTCATATGTGCCCTGCTTCGCCGGGGTGAGGAGGTAGCGCTCCTTCGGCGTCTCCAGAATGACAGGTTGGCGCGACTCTTCGCTGCTCTCGTCACCATTGGACGAAGACACAGGCAGGTGCGCCATGTTCACGTCTAATGGCTCGAGACCATCGTCCTCGTTGAGCCTGCGGCGCTTCGTGGGAGGCTCGTCACGAGGAGGAAAGAGCGCGTCCCTCAGCTCGTCAGGATCGTACTTGTACCTGCGGCAGGTAAGCACTTGTACTGGGCAACTCTAACCACAACTTACCCAGCACAGAAGGCCTTGTTGTCCTTCCCGAACGTGAGCTTGACTGTGCGCATCTCCATGGCCCGCTTGTCCGCCTCCAAGTCGAACACAGTTGGCGGCCGCGGGCATTCGCCCTGCAATGACGCCTCCAAAGGTGGCAGGTGTATCTTCGGAATCGCGTTTGGTAGGGGACCTGGCCATGCTCGCTTGGGCTTGCGAGACCGAACGCTCTTGTGCGATGGTGGCGAGGGCGAAAGGTCAACTCGCCGCTCATTGTACTCCAAGATACGCTGCGTGCGGTTCTTCTGTCCAAGTGCGCGCGCGACACCCTATTAGACTGTCAGCCACGGTAATTGTTATCGGATGCTGCAGCCACGTACCTTGACGAACTCAACCTTCAGCAGCTCAATAGCGCTCCCATCGTGCCCTGTCCCCCATCCTGCGCTCGTCATCACTTCATCCTCGTCATCATCACTGTCCTCGTCCGACCACTCAGCCGGACGCGTGCCAAAGAATCTCTCGCCCGGCCCGCCAACAAAGCGGCCCACCAGCTCCTCCTTCCCATTCCCGCACGCCCCGCTAGCAGCACAACGCAGCACGCGAAGCTCGACGCGCATATCCCAGCCCTCGCGCCGCGCCTGGCGAGCCATGCTCCAGGTAGCCCATCCGGCGTGCACGGCGCAGCTGAAGAGATCCGAGTCGTCTGTGTATATGCGCCGCCGCCCGCGGGTGTCGCTGTCTTTGTTGCGTCGGCGACGCGACTCTTCGTATCCGGGTGGAGGAACGAGCCCGCCACCCCAGACGCGGATGCGCTTCGGACGCTCGGTCGGAAGATGCGCTGCGGGGATCAAGACGGTGGCGCGCGTCTCCGTATCGACCTCGACGGAGTCGGCTGCAGCCGCTGCTGCAGGATCGACGGGTGCCGCCTCCGCTCGCTTCTCCTTCTCATCTGCGCCAGGGGCAATGTCGAAGAAATACGGGAAGGGGACGCGGGGGTAGATGTGCGTGCCAAGGTGCACGGTCGTCTTCGCGCGCACCTCCTTCTCGCGGTCCCACTCCACCACGTCCAGCGCAATCTTCTCGGGGTACGTCTCGCGCGGGCGATCCACGTACACCGGCGGCTCGTACATCATGTTCATGAGCTCGCTTCGCCGCTCGCGCCTCTCGCGATCCCTGTCGCGCTCGTGGACTTCCCCGCGCGCCTTGCCCGGCTTGGACTTGCGGCGCTCCCGGTCCCGCTCGCGATCGCGCATCTCGCGCTCACGGGCGATCGGCTGCGGCGAGCCTGTCAACGAGACGGGCTCTTCCTGCACCCAGCCGGTGTGGAACTGGTTCTGGAAGGTCCGTAGGGGGTCACGGCTCATCGGGTCGCGGTTCATCTGCGCGTACTGGCCTGGCGGGGGAGCTGGGGGTGTCGGGTACATTGTCTGGGAAGGATGGTGTAGAGGGGGCAGGTTCGGGTGCCCCGGCATACGGTCGCGCATGTCGTGACCGTAGCCGATCATGCCAGGTGGGGGAGCGTTGGGTGCATGCGGCTGTAGGACTAAGAGCTCGCCCTGGACTTGCTCCCTTGTTTGGCGTAGCTGTTGAAGCGGGACGTTGCGAGCGCGCAACTCGTCTGCCTCGCGCTGCGCTTCGTCGTCCTCCACTGAGATGACCTCCCGTTCCTTCTTGCTGTGCTCGCGCTTGGAAGGCGCAGGGGGGCGCTTGCTCGATGATGGTGCGCCAGAATTCAGATTTGGGTTGATATTGGAGGTAGAATCGCGTCTCGAAGTGGGATGCTTGGGCATCATGTATACGGGGTCGTCTGGATTAATCGGAAAAATCAACAAGGGGGATTGGCAGATAGCCATGCACACGCACCCGGCTTTAGTGCCTTTCGCCGCTCCCGATCCCTTTCGCGCTCTATTCGTTCTCTTTCCCAATCCATCTGTGCCAGACGCGACCGGTCGCGCTGTTCGCGCTCGCGCTCCTGCTGGTCTCTTTCGATCATTTCTGCTGTGCTTATAGGCGGCCTCCCTGGTCCCCACCCAGGCAAATCCTGGCGTAACGAGGTGCTCATGGCCGGCGAACGATGTGGCTGCGCGGGCCCTTGTAACGGCTGAGACCGTCGTGGTGCTTGGCTCGATTGACCGGACACGGTCGGCGGCGGGCCCGGCGGCTGGCCGGGGCCGGTGATGGACTGGGCCGAAGTGCCGTGGAAGGGCGATGGTTCGGCGTATCCGCTAAGCATGGGACCCGACGAAGACGAGGAGCCTCCGAGCCCGATCGACATGGGGCGCTGACTCTGCACCGCGCCGGGGCCGAGGATGGAGGGAGGGTACATGGGTGCTGGGCCGGCGGACGACGGGGAAGACGCCGCGGCGTGCGAGGGGTGCATGTGGTATTCGCTAGGGTAGCCCATCGACGGAGGATGTGCTGCTGAGCCGCCCGGGAGCATGCCACTGCGTGGCCGGCCGCCTGGGAGCGCGTCGGTTGGAAGTGGCTGGTACGGCGGCCAGCCGGGGCCCGCGGTTTCGCGCATACCGCGGTAGCCCCCGTACGCGTCGCCAGGCATGATTGGTGGCCACTTGTCCCTCCTATCACCACTGTAGCGGTCGTACTTGTTCCAGCTATCGCGCTGTTGGTCGGGAGGCGGCTGGCGGTCGGGGACGTGGGGAAGCGGCTGGGCATCGCGCGTTTCGCGGTCGCGTTCTCTGTTCTGGTTTTGCCGGCGGGCCTTGTCGTCGGACGGGGTCTCCTGGAGGAGGTCGCCAATGTTCATGGCTGCTGTGTTGTGGATGTCGAGGACAAGGCGGAGAAGGACAAGGGCGAGGAGGAGGGAGAAAGGAAGACAGGTCGATCACACTTTGATGACGACACGTGGGGTGTCAAGCATTCAGTCCCGTTCCGATCACGTCAACAACCCCTTAGCCAGATTCGGCATTTTGCCAATTACCTCCGTTGATCTTGACCGTCGATGTCACCCGGCCTGTACGCCAGCGTCCACCTGCGACCTGTCCCCTGCGCGCTCATCATCCTCCGCCTGCTCGAAATATGCGTGCGGACGTTCTGCGCGTGCGGTCATAGGATACGGTTCGCCGCGCGAAGACACAGTTTACGGCGCGAAGCGCGTTATCAGCCACGAGTTTAGGAATGCGGAGGTGATGTATCGGATTCCCAGGGACCAGCCATGTCGCTTCTGTCAGCCGACGTCAGGGATTTGTGGCTGAAGGTGTCTCTCGACATGGTGATCTCTTGTGGCAAAATGTCGAAGTCCTTGTGGTACTGGGCGATAGACAATCATTACGACAGACAATTAGCGCTAGACGCATAGCAATGAAGGGCTCTGATACCTCTACGGCTATAAGGTGCGCTTAGAGGGCGCTAATCAACGGTGATCGATGTCCTCCCGCTTGTGGCGCTTGACCGACCCAAGTACGAGCTTTTGGGGAGGGGAAATGGCCGGGCGCTGGTCAATAAAAGGTGACGGGATCCATTAGCGCCATGTCGTGAGAGATATTGCAGATGAACTTCGAGGATAGAGCGGGGCCGCAGGTAAGGGGCGCTTGCGTGCGTACAGCAGCTAAATGGAGGTGCGCTCAAGGCTTGCGCGTGAGTAGCACCAACAGCTCTTCTACCGAAGCTATCAGGCTGATGGGCACGAAATACACCGAGATAGAGCGACTTTGTTGCGAGCCGCAAGTCGGCGTCCAGAAAGCAAGCACAGCATGCCTCTATGCAAACAATGTCTCTTTCAGTACCATTTGCTGTCTTGCAGCAAGGATATCTCGCAAGCCACATCAACATTGCAGCGAGAAGTACAGGATAATTTGTTACTGCTACGTGTCCCTGACTCACGCCAGACCCATGTCCTACCGCCCGTCAATATAGCGCAAATAAGCTGACGAGACACACAACTCACCTTCTCGATCATCTTCCGCGCGATGGGGTGGAAGGATACCTTCTGCTTCGCATACGCTTTCAAAGCCACGTCTTTGTCCGTTAAGTACACAGCCCGGAAGATGGGCCGGTTGAACTTCATGCGCCCCTTCACGCTGCCGTCCGGCTCGTCACCGATCACCCAGTTCACCGCCGCCTGCGCGTACGCACGCGCAGCCTCCGAGGACGGGTCCAGCAACGCGACGGCGTAGAAGCGCAAGCGAATCTCCGCGTTCGGCGTGCTCTCGAGACCGTATAGGGAGCCCAGGTGCCGCACGTGGGCGAGAGGCAGCGGAGGGAAGGTCTGCAAACGCTCGAGGAAGACAACCTTCTGGTTGGAGTCGAAGGTCTTGAGATCGTCGGCGGTGAAGTCGAGGGTGTCGACCTGGCTGGTGCGCGCTGCGTCCCACCGGCCCGCGAGCTTGTATGCCGCCTCTGCGAGAGAGCGGTCGTACTCCATTTGCACCGGCAGGTCCATGCCCTCGCCGTAGAACCACGCGTCCCAGTCGATGCTATCGAGCGCCGCGATCTTCTCATCCCCACCATGCTCACGGTAATACTTGTACAAATGCTCCTTCCACTGCGCCGTCGTGATGCTCTTGCCCGAGAACGTCTGCACGTAGTCGCGGATGTAGGGGAGGAAGACGTCGAGCCCGCCGAGGGTGCGCTCGAGGTGGAGGATGAGGTTCGCACCCTTGTCGTACGGGATGCTCGAGTACGCGTCGTCCGGGTCCTCGCCGAAGGCGAAGTCGATGACTAGGCGCTGGTATCGTGGCGTCTTCTCGTACTGGCGGAGGGCATCCTTCATCGCCTTCTCGCCGATCACGTAGGAGAAGCCGCGCGCGGCGGGCGAGTGGAGGACCTGCTGGAGAAGGCGCTCCATGTAGTTCGTCCAGCCCTCGTTCAGCCAGAAGTGCGAGGCGTGCGCGTGCGTGACGCCATTGCCGAAGAACGAGTGCGTCATCTCGTGCACGACAACGTCCACGAGCGTGCGGTCGCCGGCCAGCAGAGTCGGCGTCAGGAAGGACAAGCAGGCATTCTCCATTCCGCCGTAGGGGAAGGACGGCGGGAGCACGAGGAGGTCGTATACACCGAAGCGGTAGGGCCCGACAATGTCCTCTTCTGCGGCGAGGAACTTCGCCGTATCCTCGCAGAATTCCCAGTACGCGGCGTCGATGAGTTCAGGCTCGGCCCAGATACCAGTGGACCAGGGCTTTCCCTCGATAGCAGGGAAGGCGCGGTAGCGCACATTCCCGCACGCAATCGCGATGAGGTAGGAGGGTATAGGGACCGGCTAAATCGTGGGTGAGTATCAATCTACCCTGGAACGATGGCACTCACCTGCTTGTAAGTGTAGGTGACCTTTTCCTTGCCGATTTCCTTGCCACCGTGCGCCGGGCCGTCCGAGGGCGGGGATACGCGGATGGCTGACAAGAGAACAGGCAGGACGGAAGTTACATTGGCGGAGTACGTCTGTCATGATGTTGGTGAATATCAATCACTCATGTCTTGGGAGAAGACGTACGATCTTGACGGAGGGAGTGTCTGCGATATGATCAGTCAACAGTATGTGTGCTGAGATCGCAACCCACCTTGTACAGGAGCGAGAGCGCGGGCATAGATCGGCTGGCACTGGCTAAAGAGGTATGGGAATTGCTTGCCCTGCGTCTGCCTAGAAAGGGCCGTCAGTAAATCGACCTCTTGGAACAGGAAGGATATCCACGCACTCCTTGTCCAACCACTGCAGCGCCAGACACTGCTTTTGGGTCTTGTAGGTGATTTTGACCTTCACCAACGCGTTCACCTCGTACTTAATGGGGAAGGTGATGTGTAGCGCCGATCCCATGACATGGTGCTTGGGCTTGATTTCATACTGCGCGGGAGATGAGCATATGGCAGGGAGGGAGCTGTGACGGACTGACGATAGCATCGACACCGTCGACGGTCGCGCTCTCGATGTCGAGATCGAGGGTGTCGAAGCTGCGATCTTTCAGTCGTTAGCTCGCCTGAGACAAGGGAAGTACGCACATAACCTCCCCCACCCCATCCTTCAGCACGCGCACGTCGTGCGTCGACGATCCCGCCAGCACCTCATTCTCGAAGTCGACATCCCAGTCAAAGTGCACATGCTGGCTCGCAACCGCCAGATAGTTTGACTGCGTCGTCGGGTCCACGTCCGCGGTCGCCAGCGTCGTGATGCCTGCGCTCGCCATGCTCTTCGCTTGCTTGGTCCTGAGGGCGCTTAACGGGAAGGATGTGGTAGTCGGAAGCAAGGCGCGGCCGTGCCGGTATCGGGCGATCAGGAGGCGCGCAAATGCTCCATGTGGTGTCGCGCGCCGAGGTCCGAGTCGCGCGACCCACAGCCCGGGACTTGCGGCCGGGTCTTGAGGGAGGCGCCGCGGAAAGACGCGCAGCATGAGACTGGGACGGAGGCGCTGGTCGTCGTCGTGGTCAACGGGGGAGCTGCCGTCGCCGTCCGCGTCGGCGGCGGCGTGTCCGAGGGCGTCGAGATGTCGATTTGCCCGGTTTCGGGGCGGGCGCTTATCCCACGTGGGCCCGGATCAGAAGTGTCTGCGCCGCCATTCCCGCTGCTCGTCTTGCTCACCACGTTCGAGCATTCGAATACGGGGTCTGAATGCTCATCGGTCGTTTCATCTCCTTCTCAGAGGGTTTTGTGCACTGAAAGTGGAGAGGACATCCCAATTAACAAGGGGAGCAGGTCTATCTAACCCCAACGTTATGGAGCAGTACAAAGTCGAAAGCGGGTCTGCCAAGATCATCTGTGGATGGGATGACCGCACAGTCATACAACATACGCGGTACGAGACAGAAGACAAGGCAAGATGTTACCCAGGCTGACTTTCATCCAGTATTGAAGTGCTCCACTTCGGCCATTTTCGCTGATTATCCTGGTCACGGTTAACGGCAAGCCAGCTAGTGAGCAGGCAGCAATATACAAGCGGCCCACCCTCGTATCCAGCCTCGCGTTCCGGCGGCTGTATGGAGGCTCGAAAAGGAGGAGGCGGCTGCAGCAAGGCAGCAAGCGAACTTCTTCGGCGCCTATCCCCGGCGGGACGTCGTTCGCCCCCGCCCATGCACCTTCCGCGCTGAAGCAATGGAAGGATCAGTAGACCCAAATTGGACCGCGCAGACGAGCCGAGAGGCCTCCAGTCTCGGGCATGGCTGCAATGACGCCCTCTCTCCTCCTAATTGGAAGCCGGCATAGGCGGAGGGTGCGCAGGCGATCGTAGTCTTACCAAGGACCAGTCGTGACCACTACACGAGGCGGGACGGTGCTTGTCCGGCCTTCAAAGCGGTACGTGATACCTTGTTTCAACCGAACAAGGCGAACCTATGCTGATCCGAACCAAGGCAAGTGCAGGATGATGCGCGTCCTTTACGCGAAGGAAAGAGGCCGTATCTCTTCAGGGTCTCCCTCAGTCGATGCTGGGCAAGGGTCGACTAGCTCGGGACGTATACGCTCGCGAGCTGGACGCCGAGGAGGCCTCGAAGACGAACCGTGACCAGCTGCGTCAGGGATTTGCGATCACGTGCGCTGGAGTGCGCCTGTCGCGGGTCACTCGCATCTTTGTCACAGCGGCCCAGGGTACCCCAGGTAAACCCAAATTGACCGCTCATCGGCGCATATAACATGGTCGACGTCCGGTCGCCCCGTTCCCCACTCACGTCCCCTGTCCCCGCCCGCCATGTCTGAGTCCCCACCGCCGGGCTTGCGCGACCACATCTCCGAACACGACCATGCGTACCCACCAATGCGCCCCGAGTCCCTCGTCGAGGTTCTTGACGATCACCACGTCGACGTAGCGGACGCGGAGAAGAACTTCCACAACTTGGCACGCAAGCTCTCGCACAAGTCGCGGTCTCAGCGGACTCTGCACAACAATCATGACAGCACGACCACGGTTGGGGGCGACCCCGAGATGGGCAAAAGGGACGAAGACGAGGTCTTCGATCTGCGCGAGTACCTCACGTCCTCAAACGATGCGCAGCAGGCAGCTGGGATCAAGCACAAGGTGCGTCGTAAAGATTTTGGAGGTAGTTCAGTCGCTCATACTTCTCCCAGCATGTCGGTGTTACCTGGGAGAACCTGCGAGTAGATGTTGTCGGTGGCGTCAACAGCAAGGTCTACATCCCTACACTGCTTGGTGCGTACCGCATCCCCTACCTAATCATGTCGCTAAACTCGTATAGACGCCATCATTGGTTTCGTCCTGGCCCCTTTGATGTTCATCTGGAGCTTCATCCAACCTCTCTTCCCTGTTGCGAAGACTCAGTACAGGACTATCTTGCATGAGTGAGTATCCCATGCATTCATTCATAGCGCATATACTGACCTCGTTCAGGTCTTCTGGCGTTTTGAAGCCTGGCGAAATGTGTCTGGTACTCGGTGCTCCAGGTTCGTATGTATGCCATCGAACGCGTAATCTCTTACTGACATCTGATCAGGCTCTGGCTGCACTACCTTCCTCAAGGTCATTGCAAACGAGCGCGGCGAATACGCGAAAGTTTCGGGCGACGTTCGGTATGCCGGTATCGACGCTCACGAGATGGCGAAGCACTACAAGGGCGAAGTCGTGTACAACGAAGAAGGTGAGTAGTTCTCAATCTAGTTGAGCCCTGGTACTCATGCTTGCTCAGATGATGTCCATCTTCCGACCCTCACCGTTGGTCAGACCCTCGAGTTCGCGTTATCGACGAAGACCCCTGGCCCTACCGGCCGTCTTCCCGGTGTCTCGCGCCAGCAGTTCAACAACGAGGTCGAGGATATGCTCTTGAAGATGTTGAACATTCAGCACACGAAGAACACTTTGGTCGGCAACGAATTCGTCCGCGGCGTTTCCGGTGGCGAGCGCAAGCGTGTCAGCATCGCCGAGATGATGACCACTCGCGCCCGTGTACAGACCTACGATAACAGCACCCGCGGTCTCGACGCGTCGACGGCACTCGATTTCGCGAAGTCCCTGCGAGTCATGACGGACGTCCTGGGCCAGACCGTCTTCGTCTCGCTCTACCAGGCAGGCGAGGGTATCTACGAGCTCTTTGACAAGGTCATGGTCCTCGACAAGGGCCGCCAGGTCTACTTCGGTCCCCCGTCTGAGGCACGTCAATACTTCGAGCAGCTCGGCTACAAGTCGCTTCCTCGTCAGACCTCTGCGGACTACCTCACCGGCTGCACGGATCCCCACGAACGCCAGTTCGCTCCTGGACGCACCGCTGACGATATTCCCTCTACCCCGGAGGACCTCGAGCGCGCCTTCCTCGCCTCCAAGTATGCGTACGACATCAATCGCGAGCGCGAGGAGTACAACGAACACATGCAGATCGAGCGCACTGACCAGGAAGCCTTCCGCGCAGCCGTCCTCGCCGACAAGAAGAAGGGCGTGTCAAAGAAGAGCCCGTACACGCTCGGCTACTTCGGCCAGGTCATGGCGCTCACTAAGCGGCAGTTCTTCTTGCGGAAGCAGGACATGTTCCAACTGTTCACCAGCTATACGCTGTTTGCGGTTCTCGGTCTCATCGTCGGTGGCGCGTATTTCAACCAGCCCCTCACTTCGAATGGCGCGTTCACGCGTACATCGGTCGTCTTCGCCTCGCTGTTCAACATCTGCTTGGATGCCTTCGGTGAGATCCCGACCGCGATGATGGGCCGCCCGATCACCAGGAGGCAGACGAGCTACAGCATGTACCGCCCCTCTGCGCTGGCGCTGGCCAACACTATCGCCGACTTCCCGTTCTCTGCGTCGCGTCTGTTCTTGTTCAACGTGATCATCTACTTCATGTCGAACTTGGATCGCTCCGCGGGCGGCTTCTTCACCTACTACCTGATCAACCTCGTCGCCTACCTGGCGTTCCAGAGTTGCTTTAGGATGCAGGCGCTCATCTTCAAGAGCTTCGACGTGCGTGATTCCTTGAGTTGCTCGTCGATAACCCTGACAATCTCTTCCAGCATGCGTTCCGGGTTGCCGTCATTGTCCTGCCCATCATGCTCGAGTACTGTGGCTACTTCATCCCAGTCGATTCCATGCCCCGCTGGCTGTTCTGGATTCAGTACATCCACCCATTCTCGTACGCTTGGTCGGCGCTCATGGAGAACGAGTTCATGCGCGTGAACCTGGCTTGCGATGGCGATTACGTCGTTCCGAGGAACGGCAATGGGGTCACGAAGTACCCGTAAGTCTGTCGGTTCATCTCTAGCAACGTATGGCTCATTCGCGACACCAGTGACTCCTTGAGCGCGAACCAGGCTTGCACGCTGTACGGCTCGTCGGGTGGTGAGGCGATCGTCAGTGGCAAAGATTATATTAGCGCTGGCTACTTCCTGTCCCCGGCTGACTTGTGGAGGCGCAATTTCCTGGTCCTCGTCGGGTTCGCCTTGCTCTTCATCGGTCTGCAGGTCGTTATCATGGACTACTTCCCGGTATGTGGATAGTACAATATTCGTCCGAGACTTTTTACTAACCCTTCTCAGTCTTTCGATGTTCCATCCGCGGTCGCGATCTTCGCCAAGCCGGGCAAGGAAGAGAAGAAGCTCAACACGGTGCTTCAGGACAAGAAGGACGAGCTTATCTCCAAGACCGAAAGCATTCGCTCGGTCTCTGACCCGAGAGAAACATACCGCAAGACTTTCACGTGGGAGAATGTCAACTACACGGTCCCTGTCCCCGGTGGCACGCGCCGCATTCTGCACGACGTCTCTGGCTTCGTCAAGCCCGGCACGCTCACAGCGCTCATGGGCTCTAGCGGTGCAGGCAAGACGACGTGTCTCGATGTACTCGCTCAGCGTAAGAACATCGGCGTCATCACCGGTGATATCCTCGTCGACGGTCGCCCCCTCGCCCACGACTTCGCCCGCAAGACCGCGTATGGTAAGTGAACCTACCCGCCGCTGTGACGCTCGCGACTGATCGTTTCGCAGCTGAACAGATGGACGTGCACGAGCCAATGACGACGGTCCGCGAGGCCCTGCGCTTCTCCGCGTACCTCCGGCAGCCCGCAAATGTGCCCATTGAGGAGAAGAACGCATACGTCGAGGAGATCATCGAGTTGCTGGAGCTGCATGATCTGACGGAGGCGCTGGTGATGAGCCTGAGCGTCGAGGCGCGCAAGCGCTTGACGATCGGTGTTGAGCTGGCGTCGAAGCCGGAGCTGCTCCTTTTCCTGGACGAGCCGACGTCTGGTCTGGACGCTCAGTCTGCGTGGAACTTGGTGCGCTTCCTGCGCAAGCTCGCGGACCAGGGTCAGGCTATTTTGTGCACGATTCGTAAGTCTCGCTTTGGCTTGGTACAGGGATTGGCTGTTAATATTCCCATAGACCAGCCGTCCTCCCTCCTCTTTGAGAGCTTCGACCGCCTGCTTCTTCTCGAGCGCGGTGGCGAGACCGTCTACTTCGGTGACATCGGCGCTGACTCGCACATCCTCCGCGACTACTTCGCTCGTTATGGCGCCGTCTGCCCGCAGAACGTCAACCCGGCCGAGTACATGCTCGAGGCTATCGGTGCCGGCATCGCTCCCCGTGTCGGCGATCGCGACTGGAAGGACATTTGGCTGGAGTCGCCCGAGTACCGTTCGGTGCGCAAGGAGATCGACGATATTAAGGAGCGTGGTCTTGCTCGTCCGGACGATACCGACAAAAAGGCTTCGACGTATGCCACCTCGTTCTTCTACCAGCTCAAGGTCGTCTTCAAGCGGAATAACCTGGCCATCTGGCGCTCGGCGGATTACATTTTGTCGCGGTTGTTCACGTGCATCGCGATCTCGCTCATGATCACCCTCGGTTTCATCAACTTGGGCATCAGCGTGCGCGACATGCAGTACCGCGTCTTCTCTATGTAAGTAACCCGATATTCCTCTTGCGCAATTTGCTAAAGCTTTTCAGCTACTGGGTCATCATCATCCCGGCGTTCGTCATGTCGCAAATCGAGCCCCTGTTCATCTTCAACCGTCGCACCTTCGTCCGCGAGTCGTCCGCGCGCATCTACTCGCCATACGTTTTTGCGATAGGCCAGTTGCTGGGCGAGATCCCGTACTCAATCGCCTGCGGTATCGTCTACTGGCTGCTCATGGTTTACCCTCAAAACTTCGGCCAGGGCGCCGCTGGACTTGAGTAAGTCTTACTCACTCTCCTGTCAATGCATGTACTAACGAGGATCCAGTGGCACGGGCTTCCAGCTCCTTGTCGTCATGTTTATGATGCTCTTCGGAGTGTCCCTCGGCCAGTTCATCGCGTCGATCTCGCCCAATGTCGGTGTCGCGGTCCTCTTCAACCCCTGGTTGAACTTGGTGATGGGCACCTTCTGCGGTGTGACGATTCCGTATCCGGCCATGATCACCTTCTGGAAGTGCGTGTTCTTATGACTTCGGCCTGGACCTGAACTAACCTATCGTCAGGGTATGGCTGTACGAGCTCAACCCCTTCACGCGCACGATTGCCGCCATGGTGTCTACTGAACTCCACGGTTTGCCGGTGGTGTGCAAGGAGGAAGAGTTCTCGGTCTTCACCCCGCCCACTGGACAGTCCTGCGATCAATGGGCAGGCGACTTCGTGTCCGCATTCGGTGGCTACCTGGACAACCCGAATGCGACGAGCGACTGTCGGTACTGCCAGTATAAGGTCGGCGACGAGTACTTCGAGCCCTTGCACATGTCGTACGAGCACCGATGGCGAGACGCGTGCATCTTGCTCGCGTTCTTCGGCTTCAATGCCATCATGACGATTAGTGAGTCCTCTGCTCAGTGTCAGCCTATCATCATGCTGACCATTCGCCTGCAGTTGCTTCACGCTATCTGCGGTTCGCGAAGCGATAGTTCCGGACGGATGTTTCTCATGTTTGCATGACTCTCCGATGCTTATTTATTGGCTACCCTATCATCATTCCAGTCCAGTACGCAATGAAGTAATATAGCACATCCGACCCGTACCTATATATTCGTGACGACACTTTCATATCACTTGCTTGCAATGCTCAGACAGTCGCATGAACGTCTATGCTGATCTTCCACTGCGTATGCCGCCTGCAAAATTGGAAGGCTCCTCTCCACGACTGACCACCACCCCTCGTCGTATGATATTGGGTACCGAAGTGTTTCCAGGCGAGGGAAGGCCCTCGACAAGAAGATGGTCACCTCTGTCACCTTGTCCTCCTCTAGGTAGGCCTCCCATATATTAAGGAAATTGAGTGGATGGTTGCGCGCCCGCATATGGAAGACGTCCGGGGTCATCAGAGGCGGCTGTGAGATTGATCGACAATTCCTGCAAGTACGGGCAACCTCGCGCGTAGCTGAGGAGAGAGGGATAGGAGGCAAATGCCGATTCGCTAGAGTACCGAACGGTCAAGTGTAATTTCTGCAACCGCGGCCACCAGCTTGCTATGCGCGCATGGTCATCGTCCGTAAGGAAGGCGGCGTCCGTCATCAAGAACGTGACCTCGGCCAGGTTCCGAAAACCAGACAAGGGTTGGAGATGCCGCAGGCGAAGTAGTGGTGGCTCTTCCGGGCTCGCACTCGAGCCGTACGGCGGCCTCACTATCACTTTTCGCAGGTGAGACGGAGCGCATTTCTCCTGGATCGCCCGCAGTACGGTAACAGAATAACTGTCATGTCCGAAGACGCCTTGCAAATCGATAACCTCCATGTCTTTTGGTGCGTGCCATGACTGCACAATTGCAGCGATCAGGTCCAAGGATATGGACTCAAGCACCATCGTGCACAATGAAGGAAAGCTATTCGCATGGAACTGAGGAACCTGCAGCTGGTCGAAGTAGCCTTCTTGATGCACGTGCAGCGAAGATAGGCTCTCCAGATGCGACAAGGCGAGGATTGGGTTCGGGTCCCACGTCCAGTCATGCAGAGTCAGATGGACGCTCTCCAAATGGGACCATTGACCCAACGTGTCCATGAGAGCAGCATGCGCACCAAGGGCATCGCTTTCGCATCTGCACCAGATCGTGAGACTGTCCACGTTCGGGCAGGTCGCCGTCAGAGCCTTGACATCCACGAAGCAACACGCCTTCAGCTCCAATGTGGTGATGCTAGGCGAGAGTAAAATGCGATAAAAGGGAGTAAGGATCAGAGTATCGTCCACCAGATAGTCATGAGGATAGCAGCATAGCCGTCGTACATTTGGGAGAAGAAGAGAAGGAGGAGGCCGGTCGACAATGAACTGTGCGACCGTCGCACGAAACTGGATGCAGTTGTAGAACCCGTCTACATTGTGGAGATTCTTGACGAATTTTGATTTCGCAAGAACGGGGATCCAATCCTCGCGCTGCAACGTACGAGAGAAGTTCTGTAGAAGTGAGAGCATGCCATAACGGGGATAACCGTAGACGTACGAAGTATCTGTAACGATTCGTATCATCGTTGACGAGCTCCAGATGCCATGCGTCCTGAGGCATGAGCCGGAGAAGGGGGTCCAAGCCTGCGATGCTTTCCCAGAGCACAGACCCGACAATAAGGTGCAAGTACCTCGACACCCGTGATAGTCTGGAGATTTCCCCATAGTAAAGACATCGGCAGATCAAGTATAGGATCTCGGGGAGTTGAAGAGCTTCGTTCATTGCTCTGGCGCGGTCACCACGCGACCCCTCGGCTGACACCGCGATGTTTAGTCTCAGTATTTCTTCCTCATCTTCACAGAAGGACATCAAGAAGAAGCGAAGGACAAAATCGGGAAAATGAAGGGAACGAGATGAGCGCGTGAGAATTGAAGTGTGGGAAAACGGAAGCATACTAGAAATTGCCATATCGGGCAATTTTCTCCTTGGTTCATACGCTCATGCTATACGTTGGTTGCTGTTTGACCGATGCCTTACTTCCTGTCTTTCGCACCTATATCTCTGCGTACATTAATCTGCTCTCTATTCCTCCTGGTCGCCAAAGGCAGAAAGTCCTGCAAAGGTCCTGCATGTCAACGAAGGTCTCATTTCGCGGCGTCGTTCCGCGAAGGTCGGCGATTTAGTGGGCTCCCAATGGGCTCCTCCCGCGCTCGTAATTTTTTCTGTGCAAGTTATCCGTGTCGGTCAGGACCGAAGGCGCCCGCTTGTTGTTGAAATCGTCTGCCATTTTGCACAGCGGAAGCCTCTCAGTGCGGGACAGTGAACGGCACGATTTTCGGGAATTTCTGGCTCTTACCGAGGGACTTTCACAGTTCCGCATATTGTTGATGGTCCCCGGAAACGCTATTCTTTTCTTGCCGCGATCGTGTTCACCTAATGACAGGCACACGCTTCTGTCTTGCGCACCCGAGGCCCATCGCTCCGCTCGACGCATGCGCTTTAAGTAAAAGGTCTGAGACCTATGCCTCCCTCCGCGCCGAGCCAGGTACGTCTTCGCAAGATTCAGGCCCACCGACGCATCGCCCGCAAGCTTAACTACCCGACTTGACTCTCCGTCCCGCGAGACGTCTTGCCTTCATGAGGCATCCATCGCCGTCGTCGCCGAGAGGTATATAATCCGACCGATTTCTCCTCACTACTCAGCCCAGCCAGCTCCTTCAACTTACCGCCTTCATCCCACCTCCCTCAAGCTCAGCTCAACCATGTTCTCCGTTGCGCTCCTCGCTTTCCTCCCGGCTATCCTCGCCAAGCCCTACCCCCGTCAGGCGACGACGGCGGCAGACGGCACCGTCTACATCCACCCCAACGGCAACACCAACTTCTGCCTCGGCACCTACGGCGCGTACGACAGCGCGCCGGTCGACATCTTCGACTGCTCGACCAAGACGGCGGCTACGCCCTCGTGGGCCCTCGACAGCAGCCGTCGTACCTTCCAGCTCAACGGCACCAACTTCTGTCTCGATGCAGGCACCAACAGTGAGCATCTCTTTTTTGTACATTCTCCTTTCATCCGCTGACGCCCACGCAGTTGGTGACGGTGTTTCCATGAAGCTCTGGCAGTGCTACGACAACCTGCCCCAGCAGCAGTGGTCGTACAACTCTGGCGACCAGCACTTCTCGGTCTCCACCGGCGCCGAGTGCCTCGACCTCCGTGACGGCGCCCTCTACAACGGCGGCGCCACGCAGACGTGGGAGTGCAGCAGCCCGAACCCGAACCAGAAGTGGACGCTCACTACTGCTGGGTCCGGCACGGGCACCAGCAGCAGCGCGTCTTCGTCTGCGTCGGGCTCGTCTTCCGCCTCCGGCTCGTCTTCTGGCACGGCTTCGTCCGCTGCGCCGTCGCAGACCCCGACCCAGCAGGGCCAGGTCCTCCACCCGAACGGCAACAGCGCTAAGTGCCTCGATGTCCAGGGCAATGTTCAGGCCAACGGTACCCCGGTTGACATGTACGTCGCTCTCTTTCCTCGTATCGTCTATTTTATTGACAATTATTCAGCTACGACTGCAACGGCACAAGCGCTCAGCAGTGGGTTCTCAACCGCGGCACCACCGCCGTCCGCCTCGCCAACACGAACTTCTGCCTTGACGCTGGCACCAACAGTACGTCTCTTCATCATCGCGCTCTTGTTCATGACGCTGACCGCTGTCGCAGTTGGCAACGGTGTTGGCATGAAGCTCTGGCAGTGCTACTCCGGTCTCGCCCAGCAGACCTGGTACTACACCAACGACAACCGCATCGCCGTCCAGGGCTACGGGCAGTGCCTTGACCTTACCGGCGGCAGGCTCGATAACGGCAACATTGTCCAGAGCTGGACGTGCACCGACGGCAACACGAACCAGATCTGGAACTAAGCGCTAGACGTTTTGTAGAGTCATAGATTTCTAGTGCGGTGTCATGGACCGGAATATGTCTCTTGATCGGTTTCGTAGCGCATGGACATTAGTTTCGTACCTGTTACTTTTGTAAGGACTGTCATGTAACTTGCTCTGTCGTTGCCCCTGTACCAATGCAATCCTTTTCACGTCTCAATCGTTTGACCAAGCTTTCTTCAAAACAAAAGTCTGCAGACCTTCGACCTTTGCTCTTACCTTCAATTTCCTGACTTTCCCTTCGTCTGTGTGGAAGTTGAAGATCGTCCGTTCAACGTGTACGATGCGCACCGATGAGTTCTATCTGGAGCTCCTCACGCCCTGAGCCAGCTCATGCGAATGATTATCAGCCAGCACCCACCACTGTACCCCTCCTGGCGCCTTTGTAGGACTGTGGCTCAACAAGAAGATAGAATAGATTACTGGATATGCTACAATACAAACACTCAACCCAACAAATCCGCATGCCCCGACGCCGACAGCGCCAGCTGTGATGCTCATCAGCAAACACCGCATCATCCATTGAACGAGGCGCACTTACCACAAACTCATCGTCCAGGTATTTTGACACCGCAATCTGGTCGCCCAGACCCTTTCTCCTCCGCGTCTTCAATACCAAGTCCCGCGCGAGCGCCTGCCCCGATGCCGGCTCCAGCGGGCGCAACTTGATGCTCGTGTCCGTCGGGTCGCCGGGCACGATTGACCAGTGGTCGAAGATCTGCAAGCAGAAAGCCTGTCCCTGCGTCGCCGTCCGCAGGTCGGTCTCGAAGCCGTTGGCGTCGATGACAGGTATGAGCGCTTTGACGGTGTAGAGGGGGGATCCGGCTTTGGGGAGGTCTTGCGTGACGTGGCCACGTCGCCGGGCGAGAACGGTGTAGACGGCGGAGATGCAGTCGGCGGGGGCCTGCACTTCGACGAAATAGATGGGCTCCATGAGGCGAGGGGCGGCCATGAGGAAGGAGGAGTAGCAGACGCGGCGCGCTGTTGGGACAATCTGACCACCACCGCGGAAGATGGGTTCTGGTGCCAAGCTGGCGTCCAATATGCGGAACTTCACGTTGCGCATGGCTGTGAGGATGTCAAGTCAGGAGCGAGCATGGAGGCCAGGATGAAACTACCGACGTTCATCACATAGCGGTCCTTCTCGCGCACCCCACTGGAATCCCTGTTTGATGTGCTCCTTCACCGTACCAAGCATCTTCTTGTCGACCTGGGAAAGAATGATAAGCAAGGAGGGTACCACGGTGGACCACCTTAACTGACCTGCGAAGGCAGCGTGTCATCAAGCAAGATATTCGGACCGTTATCATCAGGGCCAAATGCCCATATTGACCGCGACGCCAACAAGTCCCACTGGTACTTCTCCTCGAAGAACTTGCCGCGCTCCTTCGCCGACATACGCATGTTGACCCGTCCCCGCTCGATGTCCTCCGCAATCCCCCTCTCCAACGGCTCCGCGATCATCGTCAACCGGTTCCTGTAGCCGTGGTCAACCCTCCAGACGCAGCATCAGATCACGTCTATTCACTTCTTATTCGGTGTATCCGCATAGCACTTCAACGCGCTCGTCTCCAGCACCGTCTCGCAGAACTTCGTCACCGGGTCCGACACCTTGATCTCAATCTCCGAGAACAACCGCCGCAAATCGTGCATCACTGAGTCCAGATACAACTCCCCCGTCCCAATGATCACATGCTCTCCGCTCTCCTCGACCTTCGTCGACAGCAGCGGGTAGCTCTTGTTCACACTTCTGAGCCCCGCGAGCATCTTCGGCAACTCGCTCGGCGCGATGGGCTCGATAGCGATCTTCAGCACGCTCTGCGTCATGTGCTTGATGGGGCGGAACGTGTACAGGTCGTCCTCGTAGTCGGCGGGCGCGATCGTGGCGGACTTGGAGATCGACGCGTCGACGCCGCCAAGGAGGACGAGGTTGCCGGGGCCGACCTCGTCGGTGGGGATGAAGTAGCGCGCTTCGCTAAGCCAGATGTCCTCAACGACCGCCTTCATCATGTCCTCCTCGTCCTCGGGGGAGTAGCCCTCGCCGAGGACCTTGACCTGCGTGCCCTTGCGAAGGGTGCCGGACAGGACGCGGGCGAAGGCACGGAAGGACTGTGCGTCGGTTGTGTGGTAAAGCTTGGCAACCTGAAGCATGAGAGGGCCGGAGGGGTCGGACTCCTTCATCGACTCGGCGAGCTGCGAGGTCTGAGGACCAGTGTAGGTAGCCTCGACCTGTGAGGGCAGTCAGCTTCTTTTTGGATAGCACCGAATACGCTTGAATCACCTTGTTCCGCGCATTCGTCACCGGGCTCGGTATATGCTCGACAATTACATCCACAAGCCCCGTCGACGGCCCGAAGAACTGATCCAAGACCACCTTCAACAACGGGCGCGCGTCCATCTTGAACATCACCGGCTTCAAGTGGATCCCCAGGCGCTCAAGCGTCGCCTTCAACTCCTCGCCCTCCTCCGTGAGCACGCAGTTGTACAGCTTGTAGAGCGGCTCGAGGACGAAGTGCACGAAGGAGCGTTGTTGGTCGGGGTCGGACTGCTTCTTCGAAAATTTGCGTTCCTCCTTGTTGAAGTAGATATCGCCCCAGAGGCGGTCGGCGAAAGCGTTCACGTCAAATTTGCCTACACGCTTGTGTCACAGTTTGTGGCAACGGAGCGAATAATACAAGCTTACCATAGGTGTCGGCGTACATCTGAGCAAACGAGCGCAAGGTAAAGCACCAGGCCATGTCAGTGCTCGCGAATGCGACGTTGCCATTTTCAGGGCTGAGACGCAGTTCGGGGTCCGGGTCGATAGCACTACATCATTGCCTGAGATGATGAATGAGTTGCTTGGGTTGGAAGACTTACCTGATGAAGGTGTTAATCTCCTCTATAGTGTGCTTGATCTTGTAGTAAGCATCCGCAGGTGGTAGGCGCAGCTCAAGGATTAATCTGTCGACTTTGTTGACGACGAGTGTGATTCTGATGCCCTCCTGAATGGCGTGACGTATGATGTTTTCGGCGGAGACCATGAGCTGCTCAAAAGGTCAACATGGTTTGGTAAGTGATAAGTAGGAATGCACTGACCCCTTCCACCACATCTACGAGCAGAACAACACCGTCCACCAGGCGCATAGAAGCCGCGACTTCGTCCAAGAAATTGACATGACCGGGTGTATCAATCAAGTGCACCAAATGCGACTTCCCCGCGGTCGTAGACAACACAAGCGACATGGGGCAAGACTTGATCGAAATTTCTCTATCCCGGGAAAGAACATGGGTGTCGGTGTACCTGGTCTGGTCAACATAAGCTTCCAACGCGGGTATATGGTACATGTTGACTGACCGGTTTGTCCGCATCCCAGGTCATTTTGTGTGTCTCGAACACGAGCATGTCCATGAGCGCGGTCTTCCCGTGGTGGAGGTGGCCCACCACCGCGACATTGCGAACCATCTCGGGGAAGGCGGTCAGGCTCAGGAGGAAGCTGAAAAGACCGCGTCAACAAGAGGGGGGAAGTATGAGCATGCTCATGCGCACGCTTTGTCAAACCGCGTCTCCGGCATGTCCTTCTCCTCGACCGTCCATTTGCGCACTTTAATGGGGGCGATGATGGGTTCGGTCAATGGCTGCGTATCTTCCTCCTGCACTAGCGTCTCCACGTCCGGGCCGTATACATCAGAGGCGGAGGGGTAGTACTGCTTATCCTCGTGAAGTACGACAGCGTTGTGTGTTGGCTCTGTTCACCTCATCCATAAGCGCACGGACGCGTCCATTGTTCGACACGCACCGTCAACCTGCATCAATGCGCCGCTGTCGTCTTGGTCCATCGCGTCGTGTTCGTATCCCTCCAGCGGTGCGGGAGCCGCCGCAGTTGGCTGCTGCTGCTGCTCTTGCATAACCTCATCCTCGTCGTCCGAGTCGAGGTCGCCGCCGATGTAGTTGCCAAACTCGTCATAGTCGTCGAAGGAGGACATGTCAGCGGTCTTCCGGGGTCAGTTCAGGGGAAGGGGACACGAGATGACGGGAAGACGAGAAAGCGTGTGGGGGACCGAGGAGAGGGGCAAACGCAAGACGCGTGCAAACTTTGGCGCGCTTGCTGACTTCGGCAAACGCCGACCGCGCGCGTCGATCCGACCACCATGACCACCTTGCCAGATGAGACGCTGAGGAAGGTGGGGGAGGCCACATTCTGATCAATATATTGCTCATATGCTGGCTAGATCCTCAACCAGATACAGCAGACGGCCGTCAGCTCGCAGCGCGCCTTCAACTTCGCCCAGCAGCAGATGGCGGCGAAGCAGCGCGAGCGGCGGATCGTGCAGCTCACGATCGACGAGCTGAGCCAACTAGATGATGACACGAAGATGTACAAGGGTGTGGGGAAGATGTGCGTATGATTGCTCTGTACTGCGTATCCTCGACTGACCCGATCGTAGGTTCCTCATGACACCAAGGAAAGAGATGGAGTCCGAGTTGAAGGCGCAGGAGAAGGAACTGGGGGACGACCTGAACAACCTCGCAAAGAAGTCAAAGTTCTTGGAGAAGCAGTTCAACGATGCGTCTGGTCAATTAAGAGATATCGTGCGTCTACTGGTCATCCTCCGCCATCAGCCCTTCCTGACCTTCCCCAGTTTAACAGCGCACCGAAGCAATAGTATACCCTGTAGCATCCATCTCAATCGTGTATCATAATCCATGTCCGCCGTGTCGGTCTGCAACGCCATTCTTCCTCCCCCCCCAAGTCGGATGCCTTTGGAATTAGATTATTATTATAAAGGAACTATTGCCGGTGCGACACTGCAACACCCTTAGAGAGCTCATATGATTCTAGGATACAACTGTCTATGCTATAACGGGTCCTTCCACACCTCCCGTCCAACAATATGGCCACACCCTGGCGTATGCTTCTCCAACGGAACACTGCCAGCCAGACAAACCACCGGCGCCACCCTATTCTCCAACGTAAAATCCGATGCATCCGCCTCCTCCAGCCCATTGAACCCCACCTCCGCCTCGTCCTCCTCCAACTCCTCCAACTCCTCGAAGTTGTGCCGCAATATTCGGTACCCGAGCGTCGAGGACCGGCGCATGCGCGTGCGCGCGGCCTCCATCTGCGCGACGCCCTCATTCCACCCGAGCTGGAAGTGCTCGCGGAAGGTGGCCTGCTTGTCCTCGGGGATGTCGCGCCCGGGAATCGCAGAAGACGTCGCGATCGAGAGCAACGGCGGCAGCGCAGGCAGGACGCGTACTTTTGGCACGATCCCGCGCAGCTCCTTCGGCAACACATGGCCCGCGGGCAAGGATGGCTTCCCGTCGTCCTTCTCGCGCAGCGAGATCGTCGCCGTCGCCAGGCCTTTCCGCCCCTTCCGCGCTCTCCTGCCCGGCTCCTTGCGTGGCTGGTCCGGGATGTCATACTTCTCGTACACGCCCTCCCGGCGCGCGACGTCCTCCTCGAGCCACGTCTTGAGCTTCTTCTCCCGCTGCCGCGCGCGGTTCACGCCCACCGTCGCGCACTGCTTCCCGAACTCGAACCAGTCCGAGTCGTGCATCTCTGCGCGCACAATTGCGCACGCGTCCAGGATGAGGTGCCGCAAACGAGTGAAGCGCGTGAGGATCAAGCCCACATCGGCCTCGAGCACATTGCAGGTGCTCAAGTCGAGGAGCTCGACCGACGGGAGGGCGTGCACGGACGAGGTGAGCGAGCGCGCGACCTGGCGGCCGGGGATGCGCAGGCGGAAGGAGGAGACGGTGGAGAGGTAGTCGGACTTGGCGAGCGCGGAGAGGTGGGGGTCGAGGCGGAAGAAGACGAGGGGTTGCGCGAACTTCTGCTTTCGTTGGATGTCGGGCGCCATAGGGTCTTGCACGATCGAGAGGGAGGGGAGTTTGCCTGAAGTCCATTTGGACAGTCGGAGGAGGGCCGAGTCGAAGTAGGCACCCTTGAGGAATTGATAGTAGTTCGCCTTCTGCACGCTGGGGGGGAAGTTAGCGAGAAGTAAGGATGTACAGGTCTGTTGTACGCACTAGGGCTTGAACCGAATCGAGAGGTATTCGAGCAGCGGAAGCTCATTATGGAACACTTCCTCGAGCTCCTCTGGGTTGAAGCTCGTTGGCCCGATGTACAATATGAGCGATACGAGGTTGGGGAGCAAGCGAATGAGATTGATGACCGCGATACCATCTATCGACCACGACGTGAGATACAGCGTGCGCGCCGACTTCCCCAGCTCTGGGTCCTTGCGTAGTCGCAGGTAAAGTTGTGTTGCCTGGTCTGGGCGCTTCAGACGTATATGTTTGAACATTAGGTCCTCCGGGATGGATACGAGCGAGTCGGCGATCTTGAGGGTGTAGACGGCGTGCTGGAGGTCATCGTCGGGCGTGTAGGTAAGGATCTGCTCAAGGAGCTCAGGGGGGAGGTCATGCAGACCGGCATATTGCATGAGAGGCGGGGAGAAGAAGATTTTGCCTCCACAGCTGCTGGAGTGACTGCTGACATCACCTTCTGAGTAAACAGTGCAATTCCGGAAAAGGCAAGAACATAGTTCGCCTCCAGATCGCCACAATCGGGGCAGGGTAGAGTAGGTACGGTTTCTCTTACCAAGCCGGATCAGACCAGAGCGAGAACGAGGCATATGAGCATAGGTTGTGAATGAAGTCACTGCTCGAGTTGCCCGATTCCCGCGAAGAAATTCCACATAAGGCGAGCCCTAGGCCTGACGAGCTGATTGTTACTGACCTGTTGTAAGTATGTGAGGTGAAAATTCCTTCACTCTGAGAGCCGTCAACAAATTCCGGTCCGCGTGAAAGTCCAGAAGGACGTCGGTAAGTACGACGGCAGAGAGCGTGACGTCACGCTGGACGCGATCACGAGTCGAACGCGTCGGTTAATTGCACCTTGCCCGGTCGCGTCCACCACCAACAATTCCACGACCCCAAACTGTTCTCTCGTGCATGAGACTCCCATCTCAGAGCTTATACACGCTGAAATGAGCCCAAGGGCAGCGGCAGCGACATCGCAACAGCCCTCATAGACAAGTCAATCTATGAGGTGTTGGGAGCAATCAAGTAGTCGGGAGTATCCCCTCTGTGGAGTCTTGTCTTGAGAGGAAGCGCTGACATTGCCCCATCCTTTTGGCGCGCATATATCCCAGTTTCACTAGATATGAAGCGGTCTTGTCAATGAAAGCAGATATTGCCATAAAAGCGGTATCCCAAGTTGTACAGTGGGTCTATCGACTTCTGAGCTTCCAGATTGGATTACAGAGCCGGATAGAGCAGTTCCAAAAAGCTGTGGGCTCATGACTACCAGAGCAGCAGTCGATTGACCAGACTCAGTCGCGCACTTGGCAAGGCCATGTCATCTCGTGATGAGTCTTGTGACTGCGTTCAACTTCGTGACACGAACAGTGACACTAGACGCGCGTTGTGGTGTGTTCACCGAGCTTTTTATGGACCATGGAGTCCGTTGTTGACCTCTTTGTAGCGATTAGCGGCTTCGAAGACGTCTAAGGACCTCTACTCGTACCTTCCATAACCTCGCCAGCCCATATACGCCGGGCACCACCCATACATTCCTCAGGCGCAATCCGTACTATCTTGCGACACACTCCCTGCAATGACAACCGGTGTCCCCCGCCTCGCTATCACTTCATAAACCTTGCCTGCCGCGACACCGTACCTCTCATTCGTCCCGACAGAGTTTCGGTGAGCCTCTTCGCTCTCTACATCCCCCTGCTCTAGTCAACAAACACTGCGGGCTTCACACACAAGCTATTCAGCTTCCACGCCCGGAAAAGCTGCGGGAGCGGCCATCGAAGGTGCTGGAACGTCTGCATCTAGGGCCGCAAGCGCGCCGGGGCACCGGACTAGAGGGCCACGTGGAGTTTCCGGGCTACGTGGCAAGGCGTGGCCAGCCAATATTTAGAGCTACGTGTCTTCAAACCCGCGTTCATTCACGGTTACCCTTCTACTTCACTTATCGTCCCGGTCCTTCGCTATGCGGAGCGCAGCGTTCTCGGTCCTCGCCGTCGCCGTCTGTGGCGTCGCAGCGCAGGAGAAGCCCGTCTTCAAGGTGCGAACGCGCGCTTACTTCCCGCGCAGCGCGCACGATGCTAACACCTGCGCATTAGCCCACGGAGATCAAGGCCCCCTTCATCGAGCAGTTCACCGACGAGTGGTCGTCGCGCTGGACTCCCTCGGAGGCGACCAAGAAGACCCCCGTCGGCGGCGAGACTTTCAGCTATGTCGGTGAATGGCAGGTAGAGGAGCCCTTGGTGTCTGTCATCGAGGGCGACCTCGGCCTCGTCGCGAAGACGAAGGCCGCGCACCACGCCATCTCTGCCCCCTTCGAGAAGGCCATCGACTTTTCGGAGAAGCCTCTTGTCGTCCAGTACGAGGTCAAGTACCAGAAGGGCGGCAACTGCGGTGGTGGCTACATCAAGCTCCTTGAGGATGGTTTCCAGACCAGCGGCAAGGAGTTTGACGACAAGACTCCCTGGACCATCATGTTTGGTCCTGACTTGACGTGCCCGGGCACCAAGGTGCGTGCTGTGTTCCCCCACGCTTTTGCGAGTACTCACGTGTCTCGCTTAGGTTCACTTCATCTTCCGCCACAAGAACCCCATCACTGGGGAGTACGAGGAGAAGCACCTGAAGACTCCCCCCAAGCCTACCATTGAGAAACTCACCAACTTGTACACGCTCATTCTCAAGTGCGTTCCCCTCCCTCAGCTATACGTTCGCGAAATCTGACGCGTCTTACAGCCCTGACAATACTTACGAAGTTCTCTTCAACGGCGAGAGCAAGTCCAGCGGTAGCCTCCTCGAGGACTTCAACCCCCCTGTCATGCCCCCCGCCGAGATCGACGACCCCGAGGACAAGAAGCCCGAAGACTGGGTCGACGCCAAGAAGATCCCCGATCCTGAGGCCACCAAGCCTGCGGACTGGGACGAGGACGCGCCATACGAGATTCCCGACGAGGATGCCGTCAAGCCCGAGGGCTGGCTCGATGACGAGCCCCAGTTCATCCCCGACCCCGACGCTGAGAAGCCAGAGGAGTGGGATGACGAGGAGGACGGTGACTGGATCGCGCCCACTGTCCCAAACCCCAAGTGCGCTGAGGCGCCGGGCTGCGGCGAGTGGAAGCGCCCGAACAAGGCGAACCCTGAGTACAAGGGCAAGTGGTACGCGCCGATGATCGACAACCCCGAGTACAAGGGCCCGTGGGCGCCGCGCAAGATCCCCAACCCGGACTACTTCGAGGACCTCGAGCCCGTCAAGTCGCTCAAGCCCATCGTGAGTGCGATTCGTGACCGTCTGTGACGTCCGCTGACCCCGCGCAGGGCGGCCTCGGCATCGAGCTCTGGACCATGACCGAGGACATCCTCTTCGACAACATCTACGTCGGCCACAGCATCGAGGACGCCAACGCCTTTAAGGCCGAGACCTTCGACGTCAAGAAGCCCCTCGAGGTCGCCGCGAAGAACAAGAAGGCCGAGGTTGACGACGACGAGGAGCTCACCTTTGGCGAGGACCCCATCGGCTTCATCCGCTACAAGGTCCTCGACTTCATCGACCTCGCGCGCCTCGACCCCGTCCTCGCGTTCAAGACGAGCCCCGAGACGGGCGCCGCCCTCGGTCTCGCTGCCATCACGTTCTTCGGCATGGTCGCTGCTCTCTTCGGCCTCGTTGGCGCCCAGCAGAAGCCGGTTGTTACCAAGGTGCGTGCGCGCGATGACGTGTTCTGCCTCCAACTCATCCCCCCTCTCCCAGTCCTCGAAGAAGACCGACGCTCCTTCACCCGACGACAAGGACAAGAAGGAGACCGCCCCGGTCGCCCCCGCAGGAGAGAAGAAGGAAGAGAAGTCGGGTGCCAAGAAGCGTGCTGGCAAGTAAAAACATTCTGGGTACATAGCACTATCGAAGGGTGCACAGCACTATCAAAGGGTGCACCGTGTCGCCGTGTTTTGCTATAGGTCGTCCTTCGGCCTATTGTTTGTATTTGTGCCGCGCCGCCCGGGCACGTCGGGTGTCGAGGGGGGCCGGCTTTGCACTTACTTGGGCTTACCTTTCAACGGTCGTTGCGCTTGGAATCTGGGATCACCACCTGGTAGCATACATAAGTTATTAGTCTACTGCAAAACATCTCATAAGCCACGGACTTGACCGAGACGCTTGGAAGTTTGAACAACAAAGACAAAGCATCAGAGTTACTTAATGAGGCAATTATGGCGCGGCGCACGATAACGATACGATGTTCACGTTCACGCTGGAGGTTTCCATAAGATTATATGTGCATATTCGCATAATAGCCTACGTCAAGTAAAATACACGGGTCAGCGGTCAAAAGTAAAGCTACAAGTCCAAGGGGCGGGCACAAAAAATAAGGTAGCCATGCGAAGAACATTAGTGGCGCGCGCACTAGGAGTAAAAGGCGGTAGACGTATGGAAACCATGAGCCCATGTGTGAGTGAAGGTATGAAGGTAGCCTCGAAAGCAAGAAACAAGCAAACACTATAGCGGAGACGCAGCAAAACCGATGGCGACACCCGCACGCCACCTGGCGTGCGAGCCCAAGTCTAAGTTGCGAGCTGAGCACCCCACCGACCTCTTCCATTACCACCACCATGTCCTTCCTTCCATCCTTCCATTTCATCCTCGTACCCCATACACCTCCACCTCCGCGGGCGATGGTGACCGCGCCCCTTCAGGCGGCGGCACGACCGGCACCGCGATGCACACCACCCTCCCAATCTTCTCCTTTGCCTTCCCCTGCAGGCTGTCCAGGTCGCGCACCGCCACGCCACGACGTTTAGCGAGCACGTTGTGCGTCGCCTTCAGCCGCAGGTACAGCGGGTTCTGCATGACCTTCACCCGTACCGTCGTGCACATACCCACACCGATGCTTGGTGGCACCGCTGCGAGCAGCTGACGGCGGAGGGGTGAGGGGTTGCGGCTCCCCAGCCCCTGGGGGTTGAAGGGGTTGAACGCGGTGGTCGCGCACTGCTGCAAGGCGGGCGGCGCGGGCGCGACGAGGGGGATCTCAATCGCGTCCCCGTCGTCGTCCGCCGCGAGGAAGTCACTTGCCTGATCCCACCCATCGCCTTCGACCTGCCGCCGTATGGTGACGTGTCGCGTGGGGAAGACGGTCGACACCTCCGCCTTGCTCGCGCGATAGCCCGGCGCCCGTACCGACCTCCCGCTCCGGCGCGTCGCACCCCCCTGCTTGCGCCGCGCCGGCTCGCTGAACTCGTACGGCGACGCCGTCGGGACGGAGGAGAAGAGCAACGCCCCTGCGTACGCCCGCTGGAAGTTCTGCGCGTAGGACAGGACCTGGGACACAAGACCTGCCTGCGCGTCGGGCTTGGTGCTGAAGGTCGAAGGCGCGACGTTGCCGTCCACGCGCGCCGCGGAGCGTGACTCCTGGGCCACGGCCGGTTCCGAGACTGGGAAGGGCAGCGGACTGTCGTGTATCGGCACCGGGATGAGATGGCTGCGGCGATGAGTCGGGCAATACCTGCGCGTGACTGCGATCTCCGCCGGCTCTGAGACTGTTGGCTTCAACAGCCAGCTCCCCAAGACCGACCTCCTCTTCGGCGGCGACGTGACCATTGGTGACGTCGCGGGTGTCGTCAACGCCGTCGACACGCTCGAGAACGATGAAGCCGATGAAAACGACAACCAGGAGCCCGAGCGCGACGGACCCGAGGATGTTGAAGACAGCGACCGGCCGGACGTGATGGACGACACGGACGACGACGACATCGACTTCTCGCAAGCTGGGCACGCGACACTTCCTCTCCTGCTCACCGCTGCCCCCTTCCCCTTCCATCTCTTCTCTGCCTCCGCTGCAACTACCTCCGCCTCCGTCAACAAACTCGTCAACAACTCCTTCTCTCGTCTCTCCTTCCTCGTAGGTGTCGCGTGGGGTGTGGAGGGTGAAGGCGAGGATCGTGTATGTGGCAATCGCTCTCTAGAATCGTGGGGGAATAGCTGACCCTGCATGCTCCTGACGACGTCCTTGAACGACACTACGACCTGCGACATCTCGGGGACAGGCTGATCCAGGGACATCGATAGCGACGACTTCTGGCGACTATGACTCGGTGCCGGCTGCAAGGGTGGGCAGTCGTAGAGCGTGGGCGATCGATGACGAGTCGGGGTCGGTGATGTTCTGGTCGGCGAGAGCTCCGCGTACGACACCACTGGTCGCTGCCGCCGGCGAAGATTCTGCTTGACCATGAGGATCCGCTCCGCCTCCAAGCGCCTCTCCTCAGCCTCCGACTCCAGGCGCCTCCTCTCGGCCATCTCGCGCTCAAATCGCGCGCGCTTCTGTTTGAGGAGCACGGCCTGACGGCTCTCCGCCATGGCTCTTCTGCCGTCCTCCCACACCTTCTCGCACACCTTCAAGCGCTCCTCGCGTGTTCGGGCTTTGATTGTGGCGGGCATAGTCGATGAGCTCGCCACGGCGCAAGGCGCGCTTATATCTTCGACTAGCCGGCCGTTGGGGACAAAGCAGAAGTCGAAATCTTCGTCCTTGACGGCCGCAATATCCGCTTCTGTTATGTCTCGGTAGCCCTTGAGTTTCAGTAGCAGTATCTTGGCCGTGTGCATGTCTTCGAGAGCATATGCGGTATGCACCCGGTCCGCAAGTGACACCGGATCAGTGTCAGCGTCCTCGGACGGGGTGGTCGGCGCGGATGGGGTGGGTGGCGTTGGTGGTGAATTGGGTCGTGATGCGGACAGGTGTGGTGGTGGTGAACATGATCGTGGTGCAGAGGGCAAGGGCTGACGCGTCGTGGCCTTGAAGGGCACGCTTGTCGGGAGCGCTCTGCACGTCTTGGCGGCTTCGGGGACGAGGACCCGCGCGCTCTGGTGTTGGTTCGTCGTCTCGCGCTTGTGCGCCACATAAGTGTGTTGTCGTTGTTGGTCGTGGCCAGTGGCGGTGGCTGAACGGCGCGCCTGGACCCGGCGCTCCTCTGAGGCCTTGCGGGCGACGGCGGCACGCGACACCTGGCGTGAGCGTCCGCGGGCCTGTATTCGCTGGGGCGGACCGGGTGGGGCGACGATGGGGAACGACGCAAGCATGTTGGTGAAGTTGGGGGGAGAAAGGGAAACAGGAGCGGTGCGATTGGGCTGTTATGTATAACATCACTGTAAGGAGATCTGCCTCGAGGCAATCAAGATTGCAGCGCACCTTAGCCTGTGCTATCCTCGTGTATCCGCCTCTAGCTGTGCTCAGCAGCGTCCGCAACGCCCGGGCATCGTAAGATTCGGGCTTGACGTCGATGGCGACGGTGACAAGCAGAATAGAGTGTCGTGCGAACCTTCGAGGCCAGTGATACCGAAAGCGTCACGTGCAGCGGAGACACCTCTTTATCGGCCACGCCGTCGGGGAACACGTCAGAAATCAGAGTGCGGAGGCGGTTTCTCCCCAAACACTGTTGTCGGAGGCCTCGTCGCGGTTGGGGATAGCCTGGGCGACGCGCCAGCGAGCTCCCCGCGCTGCTACATCATCTTCACGGCGGTGGGCAGTGTGCGTGGGACCGAGTACGCGCTTCCCGCTCCTCGGGATCTCATTCCCTTCTGCGGACAGGCTCCAGGCGTTTCGCCGCGACAATCGCGGATGCGCCTTGCAAACACATGGACTCATATCTCTATCTTCGCCTCGTTTACGCAGGATCTCCAACGGTGGGTGCGCTCGAAGTCCAGAGAACCCAACTACGACCTTGGCACTGGGAAAACTCCCGATGCCCTGGCCGCGGAGGCATGCTGTCTACGCCAGGACCCGAAATTTACCAACGAATATTCTACACCGAAATCCGCCCGCTGCACCATAGTCTGCTTTGCTGGCGTGTCTCTTACCTGCTCGCTTGAGGTCCCGAATTACAACCTCGAACGGTGTCGAAACCCCTGGCCCAGTACGTCCCGAAGGCTCTTACTCTGTGCTGACTCTTGCGCTTGATCTACTGGAGCTCGCCGTATCTCTATGGTTGCTCGTGGCACCTCATTCATCGCCCTGTGCTATTAAAACGAGCGGCGTCCGCCCATCTCACTGCAGATGTTGGCTACCGTACACACCCATACAGCCTGTATCAGCGTCCCCACGTCTACTCGTGCCACCTCGTCGCTGGCTTCCAGATGCGGCTGTCGGTAGCGTTTGCGACCAAACTCCACTTCGGCCTGTTGAACACTCGCCCAACCTTAGGCTTCACCGCTATTCATCTCGCACTGATCCTGATCCTGATCTGCTTGCTGCGTACGACGTCGCGACGGGCGCTATCCCGCCTTCGTACGCGCTTTCCCGCCGGACATGACCTGCCGATATGTGCGCTTTCGCGGCCACGCCTCACTCGTCCCTCAACGTCACCGATAAGGAGGTCAGTGAACAGCTAGAAGGAGGGCGTGTGCAAGACCCGGCGCTCGTTCCCACAATAAGTGGTCGTGCGATGTCGAAATGACGCGGCCTCTGGTTGTCTGCCGCCACCGCGTGCCCGACGGCTTTGACAGCGCTGGGTACACGACGCTGGACAATGACCAAGCCGCCGCCACCAGTGACCGATAATCACTGGAAAGTACCTATCTGAACCCCGAACGTCAACATGCCCTTATGCGCCCGCAACATCGACTACAACGTGTACGCCTCACTGTCTTGCCTCCTTATTGCCCTGAGCGATAGCTAATGATGATTGCTGGATGTAGCAGAGATTACAGATGCCTCAAGCGAAGTTGCAGCATGCGTCCTTGATGACCGGCGAGCTGGCCATCGCTAAGTCAAGCCTAAGTGGACCTTCCAGCAGCACCGTCGCGCGCGCAACAGCACAGCTGGTAGGCCGCGGCTTGACTCACTTAGATACCTATCGTTCCGAACATCTCGCTCGGAGCATGCTCGGAAGGCGCCTTTCGCCTAAGTGATTTTGTGACGCTCTCAAAGATGCGAGTTGTCGTCCTCCCGCGTAAGGCAAGTGCAGCCCCCTTCACCGTCAACCTCCAACTTCCTGTTCCATCGAACGCCCACACCCTTCTCCTCATCCGCTTCGGACGCTAGAGTGGTGATCTGTGGCAACCTCAGAGTTCGACGTTGTATGTACCCACTGAATGGTCAAAAGAGCAGAATGCCCTCAGCCGCGATGGTCTCACAAGAGTCAAGCTGTTCTCCGCCCACAGATGCGCGCCGCTCCAACGCCGCCGGCTGCTTCCACCCTCCAGCTTCCCCCGGACCGCCATCGAACTCCGTGCTCACGCGTCTGCCCCCCACCCGCGCTCCGAACGACAGCCCGCCACAAACGGTCGACCGCGACCACAAGACAAGCAGCTGCCTCCCCGTAACGCCGGCGTACCTCTGGGTAAGTTTCGATCGCGCATCTGCGCACTCACGCTGCGTCATGTAGCCGATAGCCGATCCCCTGCTGATGCCCTTCTGCGCGCCTTGGGCTGGCACGCCGCCGCGGGTGCCTTGCGTGCGGGGCGCCGCGTCCTGCCGCCCCGCGGGACGTCGATCACAAAGGCACTGCTTGGATGGGCTAGAATCAGGACATCCTCTGCGCGCACGCCGTCGCCTCGTTGCGCGCCACCCTGGCGATTTGTCTAGTGTGCCATGCTGGCGCGAAGGGCGTCTATCGAGCATCTAACCGCGCGTCTGACACTGTATCTGCCCGGACCTTCAAGTCGACCAGTCGTCAACATGACGAGGCTGCCGCAGATGGCTAGACCGCGCAGACAATTCGTCAGTTCGTCCTCGCATCTTGGCCCTCTTTTCTAGATGCTTCGTCGTTGCGCCTTCCCTCCATCGATTTTCTCTGGACCTGGATAGCGGTCAGCATGGGCCGCAGACATCGTCGTGCGCTATGGCGGCCCGGATCGACGACGCCAGCGGCGCCGTGCGATAATGACCGTGCACGCCGACATAGATGTCTTCCTCAACATGCGGGCGTCTTCCCAAGCCCATGGCCCGCCGATCCCGACAGCTGATAGACCTGCTTCTTCCGGTTTCCTATGTGCTCTCTACCCGGTGGCGGTTTCTTCGCGCGGTGGCGTGCTCCAGGGGACGCGGCGTGGTCACCCTTGATCTGCTTGGGGTCTCGCAGTCGCTCCCGGGACGGCGCTCCGGAGGTCAGCTATGTCGAGCGCGGTAAGTAGCGCAGATAATCGATGCATCGACGTGTAAATCGATACGCCATCATGAAGGGCCTGTGGAGACACATGAAGGAAACCCTTGAGCAGATATGAACTTCGTTTCGGCGAAGCTGCGCGATGCTATGAGGGGGAGGCCATGTTCGCGCTAGACTCTTGCCTAGTGCCTTCTGCGGTTGGATCATGAAGAGCGTGTCTTCCGCGTCTAGTGATTTCTGCGCTTCTGCGCGTACTTCATTATGACGATTGAGGTCGCTGCGTGCGAAGGGTGGTTCGAAGGTCGGATAGGCATGGCAAAGTTCTGCCCGGGTAGACAAAATCTATTTGCGGTCACGAGCTCAAGCGCGTATCTCGGCGTGGTCCTGCTGTCATTGTAATACCATTGTCAGGGATCTAACCCGTCCTTTCTACAGCGAGTGCTTCGTGCCTCAGTAATCAGCGTCGCCTGGCAAAGGGAGGGGAAGATGGCACTTTCTCCTAGGAATATGAAACATGCGACTGTCTTCGCCTGCTCAGTCTCTACTTGCCGTACTATAGAATCATGGCCTGTCCCGCAAGAGGTACTTAGGCATAAGTACTTTTCCGGATTTTTCTTGACTTATGTTGACATCGCGCTTATCGACCTCAGGCATTGAGAGGAGTCAAGAAAAAATCCCGGTAGCGTATACAGCCCTCCCAAGATTGACACGCTCTGATAAGTAACCACCTTTCTCAGACCAGCAGGCTGCATCGTAGCGTGAAGGAATTTTGCCCCGGAAGTGTTCACAAAGGCCCAGTCTCGAGTGCTCTCTTGCATATCTGCAGCGTTATGTGCATATGGCAGGGGGTAGAGGGAGTAAATCGACCACCTCCAAAGTTGAAAATGAGCTCTGCACGACCTGTGTATCTCCTCCGTAGGGACCATTCGTGGCATGAGCAAGAGGGCATTGTCCAAATCCGGCTTCCCATTGTCCCTATTCCCATTTAGGCAATGGCGCCTATCTTATCTTATCCGCCGATCACTGAGTGCGGAGAGGGCGGTCATGGCTGACACAATGCTGTCCCGTGCACCCATGGCGCCACAGCCGGCGACATGGACCTGGCAACAGAGTCTTGTCTCTCTCGCCACCATGTCTGAGCAGATTCAGCGACCACAAACGCCGAAGGACAAACCTGGGAAGGACGATCTGAAGCAATCTGCATCGACGGAGCGGATTGATGGTGCCGGAGGCAATCATCCGGAGGACAAGAATGCGTCGAGTACGCCGGACGTAACTGCGCCTGACGACAGCGCCTCCGGTGCAGCTGCTAAGCGTCCGCCTAACCCGACGCGCTTCTCGGCGCTTGCTACGGCGGTTGCGAGCTTTACTGGAACGCTCAGCAAGAATCTTAGCTTGAAGCGACAGCAGAAGCCGCCGATCGTGTTCCCTCCGCCCTCATGGAGCCTAGACGATCTGAAGAACGAGGGTGCGGGCACCGTCGTTACGCCTAGCGCGACACCTACCATCCCTGCCGCAGACGCTGGTGGTGCGCCGACTCCGGGAGGTGATCCAACCCCAGATTCCACTGCACCCATTGCACCTCCCCCAACGGACCAGCCTGTATCGGAGCCCGACCCATCGGAGGTGCAAGATGCACCTGAGCCTCAGACTCTCGCGCAGCGTATTCGTGCCATGATCGCTGTACTTCCGCCACCCTCGAGCAACCCCACCTCGCGCGCTGCGTCACCACCACCTCCAGGTGATGCAGCCAACCCAACATTGCAGCTCCCGAAGACGGACTCATCTGACGCGCCACCGATCCCCCTACTTGTCGGCGCGGACTCGAAGCTCATGAAGTGGCTCTCGTCCGAGGGCGTGATGACGGGCTCGATCAACAAGGGTAAGGAGAGCGTGTGGAGCGCGCTACAGCGGCTGAAGCAGCCGACGACGTACGGCGGTGCGACACAGACGGTGAATGCGGATGGTGAGGGAGGGGAGACGAGGAAGGATGGCGAAGCCAGCGCGCGCCCACGAGACGACGACGACAACGCGAGCTGCATGGTGTACGCGGACCTTCAGCCCAATCGTGACTCAGTACTTGAGCTCGCGGACGAAGAGCTGGAATACGTCGAGGATTCGGACGCGAGCCGGTCGGACACGCCTGGTCCAGAGCCAAAGGGCAAAGATGATGACACTGCGGCGCCAGAATCAGACACGAAGAAGGGAAAGGACAAGGCAAAGCACACCAAGGAGGTCCACGTCTGGGTGCCCAGCGCCGAGAAGCTATCCGTTGAGGCGCTCTGGTGGGGCTACCGCCTGTACCTCCCCCCGCCCGTCATGCAGGTCCTCGACGACTCGCGCATCGCCGCCGCGAAGAAGGGCGCGATGATCACTGCCGCGCTGAAGTGGGTGCTCGACCACATTCCTACGGGGATATTCCCGCCTGCGATTCGGCCGGCGATGACGATTCTGAAGCGGCTGACGCCGTATCTGAGCTATGTCGGTGTCTTCGTTGCGTGGAGTTGGGGCGCGATTAGCGCGAGGGATAATGGTGGGTGTTGTCGTTGTCGATGTCGGGGATAAGAGCTGACTGTCGAGCAGGGAACGGTGTGGTGCTGACGGCGACTTGGCTGTTGCCTGTAGCGCTGATTCCATCGCCCTGGGAGGAGCGGATGGGCGAGATGGGCATCGCTGACAAAGTCCCTGTCGCTGAAGAGGGCAAGGCGAAGGAAGCCGAGAAACCGAAAGAGGACGCGCCGTTCAAGAAGAAGAAGCGTGGACGGCGGGACAGTCTCACGAAATGGGAGGAAATCAAGAACAGGTTGCTCAGCTCGAAGCAATGAGTCGTTACCTCTCGCTCGATTTCTCGCGGCCACCTGCCTCCTTTGCTTGTATTAGATAACGACACTACGATAGGACTATACCCTGGAGATGAACTACTACTTTACGCATGCATCTACTAGTAGCGGACCCCGCGATGTATGGACCTTGAACGGAACACAGCAGCGACCCAGGTTGGACGCACAGGCCTTATTCCCGTTGGCGATGGACCTTCCCCCTTCCCGCTAGGCAGGACATGAGGTAGCAACCTGCGAACGAAACTGGAAATAATCGTAGCATCTGCCAACGGGAGGCGTCAATATCGACTTGGTTTGTCCGCCGAAAGAGGGAATTCCTCGTCGCCTGGCAACGAGAGACCAAGCTCGACCAAATAATCCGAAGATGGGAATTCCGCGTCCTAGAATGGGAATTTTTCCATCAGCGATCGAACCCAATCCATCACGAGAGCAATCGAGGACAAGGAGCAATCGACGCAGGTCCTCCTTTGTCGCCTTATATCAGGGCCCGCCATGGCCGCTCTCCATCACCACCGCACTTCGCCCCGAAGACCAGCGCCTCTCAGAGCCCTCTACTTCCCGCTTATAAGCACCTCAGCAACTCATCAGCAATGGCTCTCACTGCTATTCACAACGCCACCGTTCCCCGCCGCCACCGCGCTACCAAGTGCACGTACGCCCGCAAGGGGACCAACGAGCGCGTGAAGGCCTCTACCAAGCGCCGCATGCAGCCCAAGCTCGCGGTCGTCCAGTGCCAGGCCGGCGTGCCTGTGAAGGACGCCGCCTCCAAGTCCGCGGTCAAGCCTGTCGCCCTCCCGCGCACGCTCTACCGCCCCCAGTACCAGCCCATCTCTCAGGATGCGCTGAAGGCTGTCCTCCCCCAGTGCGAGGACATCTCTCCTGCCTTCGTGCAGGAGCAGCTTAATGCGAACGGTGCACAGTACGTCTCCGATCATTCCCTTCACTTGAGTTCTTAGCTGAGTTGTACTTCCAGGATGTGGAACACTGTTCGCAGCACCCGCGTGGCGATGCCCACTGGTGCCCAAGTCCCTCAGGAGCTCCCTGTCGTCGTCAACCACGCGTCGACCTCTGCCCCCACCCATATCATGGCTGTTCACGGCCCTGCCGGCTCTAACGGTGTCCGCCCTGTCATGCTCTACCCCGCTCACGCCACCATCTTGGCTGCCCACTGCGCGCGCCTCCCGGCCTTCACCCCCTCGCCCACCGACGTCGTCCCCGAGACCGTCCCGGCGTCCATGACCATGCCCGTCCGCCGCCTCTCCCTCCCCGCGCCCCACATGTTCGGCACCGTCCTCGAATACCTCTATGAGAAGGACGCGGAGGCCGTGCTCCAGTCTCTCCTCCCCGTCGCCCTCCCCAACCTTGAGGAGACCGCGGAGTTCCCGATGGTGGCCCTCGCCACCGCGATCGCGGGATTGGAGTCGCCCCAGGCGCTCCTCAAGGAGTGTATCCACCGCGTGCACGGCCTCTGGCTCGACGTCTGCGCTCTCGGCATCCACGACATGGCGCTGTACGCCACGATGGACCTCGCCTGGGAGACGCTTCTCATGGCCCTCGCCATCAGCACCCGCGAGACGACTTGCGCGCTCTGATCCATTCGTGCTTTGTATCCTGCTTTCCATGCTATCTCGCTTTCGGTCTGCATCGCATCGCATCTGCTATGGACTCGCGCATTCGTATCCTTATTCATATGTACCCCAGTTCTCAACCAACAATACTCTATGCTGTATGAATACCTACCTGTATACTTGTACTCTATGCGCCCTCAATGGCAACCTTTCTCGAGTCTCTCATTTGCGTGACATGGTTCAAGGATGCCTGAAGCCGGTTTAGTGTGGTCACCCGCCGCCAGTGAAACGTACCATGGCCTTCTCGGCCAACATTGGTCAAATGCAACGTACGGGACCGCACATGATATCCTCCGTGAACTCTTGCTTTCCATTGCTGCTCGGGCCCGGCAAGGGAAGGCGACCAAAGGACCTGATCTCGAACTGTGACAAGGAACAAGCATGATCAATGATGACCGGACCGCCAACCACTAGTCCCTTCTCGTGCGATCATCCTCTTCAGCTTGTCATTTGCCATATCACAGCCGCCCTATGTTCGCCCGAACCCAGCGTGCCGGTCATGTCGGATATGCCCTCCACATCTTGACAGAACAACAATCAGCCGACGGGCGTCAAATACAACACACTGCTCCTTGACCTCTGCCGTCATGGCTGGCGTACGCAAGGAAACTCATATGGGCTTGGGCCACGGCTACGGGCCGTGGTCGTACACCTCGATGAAGGAGCCGCAACTGAGCGCAGAGCTCGCGCGCGTCGCGGGCGCTAGTCTCGTGGGGGACACGTACTCGGTGTCCTTCCAGCCGTTCGCGTCCGCCGACAGCGAGAACGAGGACCGCTTCACGATCATAGATCTCAAGGTCCATGGTCGTCTCTGGCGCCTACGCGGGATCTTCGACGGTGCGTATCGCTACTTCCCCCGCGTCATCACGATCAGCTGAAGCGCGTACTCCCCCCAGGCCACAACGGTCCCCTCGTCTCCTCCTACATCGCCAATCACCTCCCCTCCCGATTGCACCGCGCGCTCTCTGCCACCCACAAGCACGACCCCGTCTCCATATCCCAGACGATCCGCACCATCGTCACGCAGCTCGATAAGTCGATTATCAGCTTCATCCAGGAGCTCTTCCCCTCACAAGCGTACATCACGCGCTTATCCGACGATGAGATACACAAAATCATCAGGGAGGACGCCCGGCACGGTAGTGGGAGCGATAGATTGATGCGTGGCATCCAGGGATCTACGTTACTGCTTTCCTTGGTCGATCCGGATGGGAAGAATCTCTGGGTAGCGAGCTTGGGGGATTGTCAAGCGGGTCCGTACGTACCTTGATTATGCTGCTCTGTGCTAACGTTCTGTAGTGCTCCTGTCGCGTATGGCGAATGGCACTTGGGAGTCTGCGTTACTCAGCTCATACCACAACGCGTCAAATCCTACTGAGATCGCGCGCTTACGCAAAGAACATCCTGGCGAAGAGCGCGACGTCGTCTCGAATAGCAGGGTGTTGGGTATGATTGCTGTTACGCGAAGTGAGTGTCATGTGCCCCCATCCCTCTGGAAGGTGCTGACGCTGCCCTTCAGGTATAGGCGATCTGCCATACAAACTGCCGGCGATATACACCTCACGAATCTTCCCCCGAATACACACCGACCACCCTCACGCGATGACCGCCCAGCAACAACACATTCTTCCCCTCCTCAAAACCCCTCCCTACCTCAGCAGCGACGCTGACGTCCGCCACGTCGACTTGACCGCGCGCAAAGCCACCTCGCATTACCTTATCCTTTACTCCGATGGGCTACTGGACCTGTACAACAATGAATCCCCTGCGAGCGTCGCCACGCGCGTTGTACAGGTCGTCACCCAAGCCATACGCTTCAAGAGCGATCTGGCACTCGCAGTGCTGATGGACGGGCTGGGGCACACGACGCCGAAGGCGGAGAGCCACCCGAAGATTGATATGGACAAGGTGTCGCGGATGATGACGGTGGAGATGACGGAGAAGTATATGGACGATACGACGGTGTTGGTGGAGAAGATTCGATGAAGAGAAGATACGATGAAGGGCTGAAACCCTCACGAGACGGACTCATCAGTATGATAGCTTCCGCACACACAGTACAATAGTAATCGATATAATCCGTATCTAGCACGTATCTAAACAGTCTAGCACAATATCACTGTACACCTGCTCATCTTCCAGCGATAGCCAGAGGACAACACACAGGATCCAAGACACCCCCGCCGACCTACAGTTTCTTCGTCTTCCTCTCCTTCGTCGTCAGCCTCCTCTTCGCATTCTTCATCTCCGCGTCAAACTGCTCCTTCGTCGCTTTCTTTTCCACCCGCCGTGCCTGCCTTTCCGCCTTCACCGCCGCCTTGCGCGCCTTCTTCTCCTCGGCAGTCTCGTTCTTAGGTCGGGCGATGGTTTGCCGGTGCGTGGCCTCGGTCTCGGTGTCAGAGCCAGACGACCCGTCGTCGAAAGGAGGTTTGGTGGGCCGGGAGTGAGGGGCGGATTTTGTGTTAGGGTTGGATGAGGGTGGGGTGACGATGGGGAGGCCGGTCTTGGGGTCGAGTGCTATGTGGGGGACGGCGGCCTTTTTTGTGCGGCGGGTGGCGGATTCGCGGGCGCGTATGAGGCGGGGATGGTTTTCGAGGTTGGAGTAGGTGGCTGGGTGGATAGTCAGCATTCGCCAGAGGGGAAGAACAAGAGACTGCAAACATACATAGGATAGACTCGCAATCCCACTGATCCTCCTTCTCGTCCTCCGAGTCCAACGAGAGCTCATTGTCGTTGGGATCGCGGTCGGGCGTCTCCCGCAAGTCCACTTCGCGCACGGTTCCCAATGCACGCCTGAACGTGTCCAGCTTCTCGACGCCGGTGTCACCCTCGAGTTTGTGCTGCATTTTACGCCCGAGGAGCTCGAAGTCATTCAAGAACTCGTCCATCATGTCTTCGAAGTCGGGCCGTGAGAGGATGAGATCGGGGACTTCGTCAATGTCGTCTTCATCTTCATCTTCGTCCTCGTCATCCTCGTCGTTATATTCTTTCGCCATGACCTAGGCGAGGCGTTATGTGAGCCAGAGAAAATACAAGTGGAGGGAAAGCGCACCTGATCATACTGAGAGTCGAGAGTTTGAAGGGTATCCGTACGATGAAGGGAGGAGCTGCTCATGCTGTAGCCAGACGCGTCGCTAGTACCCTTGCGTCGCCGCTTCTTGGCGCCAATGACCGACATGGCAGGTAGTGTACCAATCGTGTCACCCCCCTCCGATCGGAAGTCGTCAGTGCTCATGAGGTCGTCGTCGACGTCGGCCTGCTTCTGCGCCTTCTTGAAGCGAGAAAAGCGCTCCTCCCATCTAAGATCCTCCTCTGCTACATCCTCGTCCTCCTCCTGAGCAGCGGGAGTCTCTTCTTCGAGACCCTCCTCCGCGAACTCGAAATTGACCTCATCGGGGTCTGCGCGCTCGCCCTCCGCGACGAGCTCCCCGAAGAAGTCATCTTCAAGGTCGTCGTCTACGAAAGCATCGTCTTCCAGAGCCTCAAGAACCTGGCGAAGATGGGGGTCCATGTCGGGCTGGAAGCCAGCAAGACTCTCGGGAATAGCCTGCTGCGATTCATAGTTGCGAGGGAGTTCGGTGGTAGAGGCGAGGACACCCTCGGGCAGATCCTTAAGTTGGATCCCAATGTTGTCCTTGTCCTTGACCTTCTTCTTAGCAGCGGCGGGCGCTTCGATGAGGATGCTATCGACGCCTTCCTCCTCGACACCCGCCTGGCGGAGATGCTGCATGTAGTCGTACTCGGTGTCATCGTAGTAGATGCCGTAAAGCGCAGCCTCGCCGATGTTGGGGCGCTGGTTGGTCTCTGCAGGGGTGAGGATCTCCTCGAGCTCCGCGCGACTTTTGCCCTGTGCTGTATCAGTGCATTGTTCCCCCGATCGTGATTGCATACACACCTTCTTTTCATTCTCGCGCACAAAGGGCCTTAGAACATGCTGACTGGCATCGGGGTCGTGGATGAGGGGATCGCGCTGTGATCTGTGGACGAGCTGAAAGTGCTTCGCGCCCGGCTGGCGGTAGATGGACTTGGACTTGGGGGGCATGATGGCGGAGGAAAAACAATACGCCCACGCTAAGCGCCCACATTGTGCTTCCAGAAATGGAAATCCGGACACGCGGACGGCGTTACGCGTGCTGAGTCAGCAGGCGGTGTCACCTTGCTTTCAACCATCCACCGAATCAGCCAGCTCGACCTCAACGACGCCCGGACGCGCTTGGAGTCGACAGGATATCACTTCTAGACCACTGGGGACGCCGCTGTAGACGGGAAATCGGGCATGTCAACACACGCTTTGGCGCGCGAGGCGCATCGACGCGGGTTCACCATATGAGTACCATTCCTTCAGCAGCGCACGAATGGTCCTGACATCGTTTGCCGTTTCTACTAGTCACCAAAAAGTTGTCTTGGAGATTGACTTTGGGGGGATACTATGGGTTCGTGGCAAAGAAGGGCGCGTCGCAAACTGGTCGCTTATTCACACCCCAGGGCTACACGGAGCTCACCATCTATCCCACGACCAAGGACCTGAAGACGATTTACATGCACTCGAGGCAATGCAGTGCGTGCTCTGCGGCTTTGGTCGCGTATCGTGAACTGACGACGGACTTGCGTAGCCATCCAGAAAGTCACAGTCGGCGGCCACCAAGCGGAGTTCGTCCACAATGATTACATCGCCAACATTGCGCTCCAAGGAGAGAACTGCAACGATCCTCATCGGCACGCCGAGCTCAAGCGCAAGGTGTACTCTGCCTATCAAGACAGCGACGAAGGCGAGCTGTCAATTGCCATTCCCAGCCAAGTTTCTCTTCGCGCCTCAAGCGCCTCGATGCCCGGTACCCAGGGGACTACCAGTGCGTGGCAAAATTGTCCGAAAAAACTCATTTTGACTCCTCACATCGTAGCCGCCACACCTGAGCCGCACACCCCTGGGGGCGCCCACGCTCAAACCGCAACAGAATTCGCCCCCATCATTATCAACATAGCCTACTCGCTTCGTAATCCAGCGGACGGTTTCCAGTTCGTTCTGCCGTCCGACGCGCACCCATACGTAAGTAGCATACAGGCTGGTGCCTGTACTTCATTGACGATTTGTGGCCTCGTAGCGTGTTCCGCATTGCTATACCACCCCCTCTTCACCCGATGCCGCTCGATGCTGGGTTCCGTGCATCGACAACATGTGGGAGAAGTCCACTTGGGAGTTTGAGATCGTAGTGCCACGGTACTTGGAGGAGGTAGATCCAGACGAGGAGACTGGCGAGACCTCCGCGAGTCCAACAGTGGTTGTATGCAGTGGTGAGCTAATGGAACAGGTACGTGCGATTATCGTAAGTCCGGGTTGAGGCTAACGGTACCAGGTCGCCCACCCCCACAACTCGAACAAGGTCATCTATGTATTCTCGCAGCCTGTCCCGACGTCTGCGCAGCACATTGCTATCGCCGCTGGGCCGTTCCACGTCATGCCCATTGCTCCCGATGCGTCTGCAGACGATGCCACCGGAAGCACCCAGACGCCCATGCATGCCTTCTGCCTTCCCGGGCACGAGGCAATGCTGGCAGCGACCACATCTTCTCTGCGCTCCGCCATGAGCTTCTACTCCACGGAATGCGGCTCCTATCCGTTCGGCTCGTATAAGGTCGTCTTCGTGGACGAGATGCCAAAGCAGCGATTTGACAGCGCCACATTATCTTTGATCACGGTCGACTCCCTTCATGGCGAAGACGCCATCGAGCAGGCTTACGAAGCTCGTCATGTCCTGGCGATGGCGCTAGCCAGTCAGTGGATCGGCGTCAACATCCAGCCAAAGCAATTCTGCGATACCTGGCTGGTCAACGGTCTCGCGTTGTACATCGCCGGCCTGTTTATGAAGAAGCTACTCGGTACAAACGAATATCGCTTCCGGTTGAAGAAGGACATGCAGCGCATCCTACGAATGGACACTGGCGCTCAAAAGCCGATCTGCCAGCCTACGCACGTCGAACCTCCCGACGCCGCAGACCTCCCCTTCATCAACCTCAAGGCTCCCGTCGTCCTTCACATCCTTGACCGCAAGCTCGGCAAGTCGGGCACCTCACTCGGTCTGAGCCGTGTGCTCCCAAAGATCTTCCTCGCTGCCATGAGTGGGGAGATTCAAGAGAACGCGCTCTCGACGAGCTACTTCTTGCGCGTATGTCGGAAGGTCAGCGGGGTGGATGTGCGCGGGTTTGCGGAGCAGTGGATCTATGGGAGCGGCTGCCCGTCGTTTGCCTTCCAGGCGACGTTCAACCGGAAGAAGATGGCGGTGGAGATCACGATGCGGCAGGAGTGTCCTGCGTACAAGGCACACGAGGGGAACGCGTTTTCGATGGAGCAGTTCAAGCCTGCACCATTGTTCGAGGTGAGCTCGTCTTGCAACCGAGATGGTTCAAGTCCTGATGAGTGGTGAAGGGGCAAATGACGATCCGAATACACGAAGCGGATGGCACGCCCTACGAGCACGTCCTCGACATTCGCTCCAACTTCAAGCGCTACGACGTTCCATTCAACACCAAGTACAAGCGTGTGCGGCGAAATACGAAGCGCTACCTCGCTCGGCAAGCGGCTGCCCAAGCCGCAGCCGAGGGCGACGCGGACGCCGCCGAAGCCATGGGGCTCATCGACATGGGCTTCGGGCTGGAGATTTGGGAGAAGGAGGATGAGCGCGAGAATTGGAAGGTCGCGGACTGGACGGAGGAAGAGGAGCAGCAGATGAGTGGCGCGACGTACGAGTGGATCCGGATGGACGCCGATTTCGAGTGGATTGCATTCATCTCGTTCGACCAGCCCGACTTCATGTGGGTTAGTCAGTTGCAGAGGGACAGAGACGTTGTGGCGCAGCTGGAGGTGGGTTGACTTGGTACGACTTGGTGATGCGCGAAATGCTTATGGATCTCTGCAGGCGATTTATGCCCTTTCGAGGACACCGACGGCGATTGTGTCGAGCACCCTGACCAGGACGGTGCTCGTAACCAACTACTTCTATCGCATTCGGTGCGAGGCGGCTCTGGCGCTTGTACACGTACGTTACTCCTCCTCGAGTCTTGTAATTGACACTGACGAAGTATATAGTGCGCTGTTAGGCGTACGGAATTCTTGGGCTTGTTCCACCTTTTCAAGCTCTTCCTCCGTTACTGCTACGACACGGAGGACCCGAAGCAGGACTTGTTCAAGCACAGCTACGTGCCCAAGCCCAACGACTTCTCGGACATTGCCGAATACTTCGTGCGAAAGCACCTTGTCACGGCTATCGCTCGGGTGCGGTTTGAGAATGGGAAGACCCCGCCCGTTGTTCGCCAGTTCCTGATCGACCAGCTCAAGTTCAACGACAATACGACCAACGCGGTGAGTTGGCATGGGGTATGCTCGTCGGTATCCAGCTAAACAATGCATAGTACTCGGATGCCTTCTACATCTGCACGATCATCGACGGACTCGCGTGCGCAACCACGTCGACTGCGCCTCCGGAGCGCGGCGAGCTACTTCCCACGGAGGGTCGTGCGGAGCTCACCACGGAGGACGTCCACCTGCTCAATGAGGCGATGTCAGAGATCGAACGGTACCAGGAAATGGACAAGCTCATTCCCTCACCGCACAACGTCGTAACCGTGGCGGTCATCGAGTTCTATACGGTCCTAATGGTGGCGAACTACATCCCAAGCCACCCGTACAGGTTCTTCTTTTACACGCGGTAAGGTCTTTTTAAACTTCATCCTCTTCATTCGACTCACTCTCGTTCAGCGACGGCAATTACACGCAAGTGCGCATCGCCGCGTTTGACGCCCTGTTCTTGATGAAGTGGTTCAACCCGGAGATCATGGAATACCTCTTCTCGGTTATGCTTTACGATCCCTCCAGGGTGATCCGGCGGCATGTCGCGCGCAACTGTTGCACAAGCCTTGCGTTGCTCGTTCAGATGGGCGACCTCAAGTCCGGTGCGAAGGAGGCTGAGCAGTTGCTCATTGAAGAGGACGGCTCGATGGCGCAGGAAAGGATCAAGGAGGCGAGGAAGACCGAGATGGACACCATCTTCAAGATTCTGAGGAAGGATAGAGAAATCGGCAAGAACGAGACGTTGCGGCAGTTCCTCATCCCCCTCATAAGGTGAGCAACGTTCAACATCAGTATTCGTTAAACCGCTGACCCTCATTTCCTCAGCGCGCCGGAGTTGGACTATGAAGTTCGGTGGACTCTCCTCAAGTTGGCGGATCTCCTGATCAGGCCTCATGAGGAGATCTTCCAAGAGAAGATGCCGCAACTCAAGATACACCTTCCGCCGACTCCTGTTGTTGAGACGCCCCCGCCTTCCTCGGCATCAATTAGGATGAAGCCTCCTCGTCCGCCTGGCCGCTCCCAAGTTCCAGACAGCCCTGCTATTTCCTCGACACCCAAGTTGAGGCTTGCGCCACCCGCTCCTCCTACCCCGCGCACCGCAATGGAACCGCCCAAGCGTCCTCCCCCGCCTGCACGCCCCGCACCCGCACCCTCGCCATCGGCACCGGCACCGGCCGCGAAGGCGTCGAAGCCTAAGCATCATAAGCCTGCTCCGCCTCCGCCACCACCAGCAGGTCGTCCGAACAGGCAGAATGTGCGGCCCCAGAAGGCACAGACGAGCGGGATGGACATGAACGACTTGATCATGTGTCGAAACGCGTTGAAGAAGCTGAAGGTGCATAAGCGCGCGAAATTCTTCCTGAAGCCGGTCGACCCTGTGCGGGATCTTGCGCCGAAGTAAGTGGTCGAACAGCTCGTATTGCGGCCCTTGCTAACGGGGTTCCAGGTATATCGACATTATCAAGAACCCGATGGACCTTGCGACGATGGAGATCAAGCTCGAGCAAGGGCACTATGCGGATAGGAACGCATTCCGCAAGGACTTCGAACTCATGATCAGCAACGCGAAGACATTCAACCCTCCTGGGTCCTTGGTGCATATGGAGGCGATCAACTTTGAGACTTTCTTTGAGAAGCGTAAGCTCATTTCGGAATTGTTCGTTCTTATGCTAAGTCTCCCCTTAGACTGGGCAGCAATGACCAGAACACTCGAAGGCAGAGCCCAGGAGGCCGCTATGGCCAATCTCCGTGCCGACCAGGCCCCTCCTACCCCTGTGCCCCGCCCAGTGGTTGCCGGTCCTCGTAGGATATCAGCGCCTCGTCCACTATCTCCTGCACTCGCTGCCCCGGCGCCAGCCACGCCAGCAGAACCCAAACCTCGCCCAACCATCAAGCTCAAACTTGGTGGCTCGAGCAAGCCCGCGGCTGAGACCCCTGTCAAGAAGCCCACCAAGGCGAAGGCGAAAGCTCGCGTCGCTCCATCCGACGTTCCTACTGATCCACCACCGCCGTACGAGGACGATGGCACGGGCGACCTTCTGGAGGAGGTGCTCGCTGTCGAGCAGGAGCGCGAGCAACAACGGGAGCAAGAGAGGGAGCAGAGGCGAGAGCAGAAGCGCTCTGCACCTCCGGGCAAGCGGAAGAAGTCGCCGGATGCGCTTGACGAGGATGAGATTTTGGAGTTGGCATCGCCCGCGAAGAAGGAGCGACGTGCGCCGTCACCTGTGCCTGCTCCGGTATCGACGCCTCGTCCGACCATCAAGATCAAGCGCGAGAAGCCTCCTGCACCATCACCTCGTACCATCTCTGCTCCACGCCAAGTGCAGGCAGCGCCTGTACACGCTCCCGCGCCGGCTCCAGCTCCAGCACTACCCCCTCCAGCCCCCGTCCCAGTCGCCACTCCCTCCCGTCCCACACCAGCACCCCCTGCCACCCTCGCCGTCGCATCGCTCAAGGGCAAAGAGCGGCAAGTCTCTTCACATCCTCCATCACATCCTCCTTCTCGTGCTCCGTCAAGAGCAGCCTCGCATGCCACCGGGCCAGGTCCCTCTACCCCTAGTGGGCCGAGGACAACGGTGTATGCGGCGACGCCTATCAACGAGAAGAAATGCCGCGAGGTGCTCAAGACGCTTTCCAAGTCGGAGTTCTACCCCATCTTCGCCCAGCCCGTTGATCCCATACGCGATGGTTGTCCTACGTACGTTCTTCCTCTCGACGTCTGTCTTGTCTCTTACACCACTTCAGGTACTACACGGAAATCGAGCATCCTATGGACTTCTCGACGATGGGCAAGAAGCTCACGGAGGGCAAGTACCAGACGATGGAGGATTTTCGCAAGGACGTCGAGCTCATCTTCAAGAACTGCCGCAAGTTCAACCCGCCGTCGACGTTCCCGACGCAGTGCGCGGACAATGTCGAGGCGCTGTTCAAGAAGGAGTGGGCGAAGGCGATGGAGAAGAAGCTATCGTACTCGGAGAAGCGAGGGTTGCAGTCTGTCTTGCGGGACCTGAAGACCCATCCATCGTGCGTATGCGTAATGCACTTGACCGAGAACCTGGCTAACAAGTTCATAGATACTTTATCTTCGCCGAGCCTGTAGATCCCGACCTGCTGGGCGTCCCGACCTACTACAACATCATCCCGAAGGAGAAGGCGCGCGATCTGCGGACGATCCAACAGAAGCTCGAAGCGGACAAGTACGAAACTGTGCAGGCGTTCGAGGCGGACTTGGAACTCATGATCCAGAACGCGCTCACGTTCAACGGGGAGACGTCCGAGGTCGGGCAGGCGACGTTGCGCATGCGGGACGGCATACGGTCGGCGATGGCGAGCTTCCGGGCGAAGGGGACGAAGCGGAAGGACGGGGGAGAGAAGGGGAGCTCGCAGCCGGCGAAGAAGATGAAGATGTCTGCGTGAATGTTGTGTATTATAGTCAGCTATTAGCGTACATATAGTAATTTGGGACTGGACAGTTACAGTAGTGCTCGGTGGTTTAGAGATTGTCGAACGATCGCATTGTACTTAAGCACAGAGACGGATGTATGCCCGCGAACGAGGAATGTGCAAAGATAGTGTTATACATGGCCGCCTGGCGTAATGGCAACGCGTCTGACTACGATTGAGTAACATCAGGAGATTGCAGGTTCGACCCCTGCGGTGGTCATCAGCTTTCTTCCATATATCGTTTTGTCCTAAACGCGAATGAACATTTTTGGAGACCTTCAGGACAGTGGAGATCACTTCACGCGCGCGATGTGTGCAATTCAACTTTGTGGCAGTGGTTGCCGGAATGTGAGTGACGCGGGAGCTGTCACGCGAGCCGGAGGAGCTGCTCTTGCCTCCGTCGATCACTAGCCAGCCTGTTTTCGATGTCGTCCGCTCTGTTGCAACGGGTGCGCGCCCCGCCTGCGCTTCGCGCCGCACAGACGTCTGTGCGCCACTACGCCCGCGCCGAGCCCAACACCGGCGATCCCAAGAAGGAGCACATCCGCCGCGCGCTCTACCCCAGCACCATCCGCAACAAGCCCACGCCCACGGGCACCTACCGCCCCGACGTCGCCCGCGCCCTCCTCCGCGCCGTCCCTCACACGCACGCACACGAGGTCATCGAGCGCGCGTGGCTGCTGCACAAGCGGCACGTCCGCAAGGCGCGCGACGCGGAGCTCGCGCGCAAGTTCCGCTGCATGCAGGAGGCGATGGACGAGCTTGAGCGGATTGCGCCGCACCTACACCTCGAGGCGAACAAGCGGGAGGACCCGCGCGCGAGGAGCAAGGCAGAGATGGAGAGGCTGAAGGAGCTGTCGACGCCGCAGGCAAGGGCGCTGGACGCACGGATACGCGGCCTCTTCCCGCGCGAGCTCAAGGTTCCGACGGAAACGCCGTCTCGCACGGGGTGGAACTACGACTGGGAGCCGTTCCAGCGTCCGACATAGAGGTGCGTATACATGCTCGGCCTTCGATGCACGCAACTGAGAAAAGCAATACAGGCAGGGATGCGACGTTGCATGGATATACAGTACAGAGCAAGAGATTGGATAGCTACAATTACATCCACTGGCGCTCTTCTCTCATCGAGAATGGGTCTCCACTCATCATCATCTGCGCGCCCTCGTTCTGTCGTGCCGCGGTCTTGCCCACTACTGCGCCATGGACCGACTCCAGCGTCTCCGTCCACTTCTGTAGCGCAGCATACCGCTTCTTCTCGAGGCTTTGCCTGAAGAGCATGCGAGTAAGTACAAGTGCTTTTCAGAGGGGGGGAAGACATACTTCTTGTCGAGCTCCAACCGCATGCCAACCTGGTCGATGCGGCCATCCACCTTGCCCTCCAAGATCAGCCCTATCAGTAACTCCTCCACCTCCTCGACGTCCACGTTCAGTTGCTGTGCGCGACATGAGTATGCGTCGACGCAACTCATACCTTACCACATACCTTCGCCAAGAACACCAGCTCAAGACGCGTATACGGCTTGATGAGGTCGATCAAGTACTGCGTCCGCAAACTTCGCAAGAGCTCGCCAATGTACTGCTTGATGAACGAGTCGCCCATGATCGTTGCGGCGTTGTCTGCAAGCGGTTTAGGCTTCAGCAGGCCGTGCACGAACTGCCGTCAACGCACCTTTCAAGATCTTCTCCGCTGCGTGTACCTCTCGCCGCTGGTATGCATCGACCAGGTCCGTCATCGCCTTGATCTCGGGGTCGTTCTTGTACGGCTTCGTCTCCTGACTGTCGAAAGGGTTGACCTCCGCGCCCGTGAGCATGTTAGCCAGCACCAGGTACTTGAGGACCTGGATGCGTTGCAACGAGCCCGCCTCGTCGTAGTTCCGGAACGAGTCGAAGAAGTCCGAGTATGCCTTGCTCCATTGTCCTGCAAGTCGGTAAACCGTCAGTACGAGCCCATGCACCACAAATCGCGCAAACACGCACGCTCGCCCATCCACATCTTGCCCCCGCACTCCTTGATGACGCCCATAATCCGTGGATGCGGGATGGCAGAGCGCACGGCGTTCGTGGCGTTGTAGATCTCCTTCAGCTTCTTGAAGTTGCGCGTCTCGTTGTACATCTGGATCTCGAGGGCGTAGATCTCGAGCAGCTGGGTGCCGCGCTGCGACTGGTCGTCCTCGCCGCCCTGGGAGGCGTTGTGCAGATCGCGGATGAGCTGGGATGGGAGGTGGGGTGATCAGTTGCGTGAGTGAGTAGGATGGGACCTTTGAGACGCACTTTGGAGAGCCGACCGTACTCCTTCTTGTCGAGCCACAGCTTGGCCAGCTTGAGGTTCGTTTTGACGGATAGACGCTGTACAGAAGTAGCCTGTCAGCACTCGCTCTCATCCTCGCCACCATCCCTCATCCCTCCCGCTCCTCTCCCCCACACGCACCTCATTCTTCGCCTCAATCAACGCGTCCTTCGTCACATTGTAGAACTTCTCCAGAATATCGACCTCCACAGGCCCGCCCTTCCCGCCACCGACATAGTCCAGGATGCCGTTGATCGTCTTCTCCGAGTAGTTGCGCGTCACCGCGGACTTCGTGTACTTTAAGAGCTGCGAGTAGGTCTTCAGGGCCTCCTCCGGGCGGTGCAGAACAAGGAACAGGAGCTTGGTGCACTGTTTGAGGGCCTTGAAGCCCCTGTGATGTGAAGCATTGAATGTGAGTTGGACTCTCGCCACTAAGGTGAACGAGCACGCGCACCAGTCGCCCATCTCCTGCTCCTGGTCGACGATCGCGCGGAATTCCTTTAGTGCTTCTTCGGGGTCATCTTCCTTCTTTGCTGGTGGGGGGATGGGTTAGGCAAGCGGGTAGGGAAGGGAGGGTGGATCGCCACGCACACTTGGCGCGATAGTACATGTTCTCGACGTCCGCGGCGTCGGCGTCATTGTCGTCATCGCCATCGGAGTAGTCGAAGCCGTAGTCCTAGTATCCACTACGTTAGCATTCACTGACATAAGGAAATGGGCGTGATAATGCCATGCATCTGTGAATAGGCGCCCAAAGAACAAGGGCACGTACCTCGTCGTCGGATCCTTGCATGTAATCGGCATCATCGTCATCCATGGTGGGCGGTTAGTGGAAAATATGGATATGGACAGGGTCGAGGGTCAGTCGAAACGAGGAAGGAGGAGGGGAATGAGGCTGCGAGGTGGTGGGAGGCCGCGCCAAAGTCGAGGGCGCGCACGCCACAAACGCGACACGCATCTGCGCGCGCTTCGGCGATGGCCGAGAGGGTCCAACTTGAACATCATGACCGTCTCGTAAATCATCTGAGCACTAGAACTTATCATCCAATCCAGCGCGCTCACGAAGAGAAGGTTTTCGAAAGAAAATTAGTGAAGGCAATTGTAAGACGAAGAGGAGACGGAGGAATGTGAACTCGAGGAGGAGGAGAAGAAAGATCAGCGAGCGAGTGTTGCAGACGAGCAGACCATAGTCTGAAGGGAGCGTGAAAGGAATAGTCATATCGCGCACTAAGAAGAGACAATTGGGAAATCGGACATCGCGCGGGTATGACGAAAAGGTATGCAGGATATTGCATTGAAGGAGCGGATGGTAACTGGTACATGATACAATGCGACGACCCAGTCTAATGTCCAATAGATCCCAAGAAAAGTAATACATCGCTCAAATCTAAGCTGCAGCTTAGTTCCAGATCTGGTTGGTGTTGCCGTCCGTGCAGGTCCAGGTCTGCATGAGCTTGCCGTTGTCGAGGATGCCGCCGGTCAAGTCGAGGCACTGGCCCTTGCTCTCAACAGCGAGGCGGTTGTCGTCGGTGTAGTACCACGATTGCTGCGCGAGGCCGGTGTAGCACTGCCAGATCTTCATGCCCGCGCCGTTGGCGAAGCTCTCGCCGGCGTCGAGGCAGAAGTTCGTGCCCGCGAGCTTGACGGCGGTGCTGCCGCGGGAGAAGACCCACTGCTGCCCGCTCGAGCCGTTGCAGTCGTAGATGTCGACCGGCGTGCCGTTCGCCTGCACGTTGCCCTGGACGTCGAGGCACTTGCCGGTGTTGCCGTTCGGGTGGAGGGCCTGGCCGGTGCTCGAGGGCGGCGTCACGGGCGGAGTGGTGCTGGCCGACGGCGCGGTGACGGTCCACTTCTGGTTGGTGTTGGCGTCGCTGCACTGCCAGGTCTGGGTGGGCGCGCCGTTGCCGAGGACACCGTCGCGGAGGTCCAGGCACTCGGCGCCGGTGGCGACGGAGTAGTGCTGGGTGGCGGAGTTGTAGGTCCACTGCTGCTGGGGCAAGTTGTCGTAGCACTGCCAGATCTTCATGGAGACGCCATCGCCGACTGACCAAATCGTAAGAAGATGTCAAGGATGATGAATTCGTGCTACTCACTGTTGGAACCAGCGTCAAGGCACATCTGGGTTCCGTTGAGCTGGAAGCGCTTCTGGTCGTTGTTCAGAGTCCACGCCGGGGTGCTCGCCGACTTGACCGTGCAGTCAAAGATGTCGACGGCCGCGCCGTTGCTCGTGCCCGCGGCGCCGAGGCAGAAGTTGGTGTTGCCGTTCGGGTGGATGTAGACGGTGCTCCCCGACGCCGTCGTCGTCGTCTGACGCGGGAACGGCTTGGCGAGTGCGGCCGGGAGAAGGGCGAGGAGGACGATGGAGAACATGTTGATTGTTGGTTGGTGGTGGCGAAGCTTGGTGATGCGGCGAAGCTTGAGGGGCGCTGATGAGTGTGGCGAGTGCTGGAGGAGCTGAGGATGCTGGAGAAATGAGGCACTTTCGGCCGCCTTTTATACCTCGAGGCGACGATTCAGGTAGGCGAGATGTCTTGAAGGTGAGGTGAGTCATAGACGCGTTGCTAGGATGGCGGGCAGTGTAGAGATGCGAAAAGTATTCAGAGTGAACTGAGATATCGCAGGTAGCGACCGAAGTCTGAGACTACAGGCATGAGGGGCAGTGCGAGGCGAGATATTGGGCCAGACGCATCGTTTTCATTGGATAGCTTCAACGGAAGGCCAGAGACAATAGCACGAAGTGCGGACTAATATAGGGGATAGCCTAGCGATAGCGCTTGGCAAGAGGAAGAAGCGCAAGTTCGGATGCGAGAGCGCTAGATGTTTTGCAGCTGCAGGCGGTGGTTCAGACGAGGATTGGCGCATTTTGTATAGAATGCTGCCACACTCAACGGCGAACGGACAGTTGCCTGAATTTCTAATAATTTGGTTTTACACACAGCGGCGACGCATAGGTAGAGGTAGCGGGATGTCGACAAGATGATGGTCGCCGCTGAGAACGAGAGAACGGCCGAATTGCCAGAATGGGTAGGCATCGCTCCGGTGGACACACAACCAAATACGTCAACATACCCAGATGATACGCGAGTTCGAGGCCGACACGCAAGAAGATGATAATTCAAATCGTTTGCTTTGTACTAAGGAATCGTACAGTACATGAGTGTGGTAGGCACAAGAGTGTCAGTCATAAAGTAGGATGAGTTCACAATTGATACAAGTCCGTGAGTACAGTTCAGTAATGTCGAGCCGAAGTCCTGTCACCAGCACCTTGTCCAAAGAGAGCGCGTAAGTACAGCAAAAAGGGTCATAGTCATAACGTAAGGGGTGAATGGCGCCGCTTAGTACCAGATCTGGTTGGTGTTGCCGTCGGTGCAAGTCCAGGTCTGAACAATGTTGCCGTTGTTCGTCCTAGCGCCGGTAAGGTCAAGGCACTGGCCCTTGTTCTCGACAGCAATACGGTTGTCGTCGGTGTAGTACCAGGTCTGCTGGGCGAGTCCGTCGTAGCACTGCCAGATCTTCATGCCAACGCCGTTGCCAACTGCAAAGATAGTCAATGTCGTGTACAAGCAAACGCGAAAAAAAGGAAACTGACTGTTGGTGCCAGCGTCGAGGCAGTAGTTGGTGCCAGCGAGACGGACGGAAGTGTGACCGCGAGACAGGACCCACTGCTGCGCGCCGGTGCCGTTGCAGTCGTAGCTGAGGACGGCATCAACATCGAGTGCGCGAGAAAGGATGGTAAAGTGCTTACATCTCAACAGGGGTGCCGTTCGCCTGGACATTGCCCTGAACGTCGAGACACTTGCCCGTGTTACCGTTAGGGTGAAGCACCTGGCTATTCCCGGAGGGCGGGGGCGGGGTGGTTCCGCCACCATTGCCGCTGTCGGTCGGGGACGTCGTCCACTTCTGGTTCGTGTTGTAGGAGATGCACGACCAGGTCTGCGTGCCGGCGCCGTTGGTGAAGGCACCGTTAGTCAGGTCCAGACACTCGGCACCTAAGAGGACGTCAGAGGATGTAAAGGGGTAAAGGAAAAGACATACCGGGGCCGACGGAGAAGTGCTGGTCGCCAGTGTTGTACGTCCACTGCTGCTGAGGCAGGTTGTCGTAGCACTGCCAGACCTTGAGGGGTACGCCATCGCCGACTAAAGGAGGGTCAGCAGGTGGCGAGGAAGTAAGAGGAGCGACTCACTGTTCGTGCCGGCGTCGAGGCACACCTGAGTGCCGTTCAGCTGGAACAACTTCTTGTCGTTGTCGAGGATCCACGACGGGGTGCTGTCCGTCTTGGTCGTGCAGTCGACGATGGTCGTGGCAGCGCCATTGGCGTCACCAGTGGCACCGAGACAGAAGTTGGTGTTGCCCGTGGGGTGAACGTAGACGGGGGCGGGCATCGTGGTCGCCTGCCGGGCGATGGGGGTGGCGAGCACGGCCGGGAGGATCGTGAGGAAGTAGAGCGAGAACATCGCGAGCTGACGCTGAGAGGCGATGAAGTCAAGTGTGGGGTGGGGAAGAGCTTAATGAGCTGAGCTGGGGCAGCTCAACGAAAGGGGCGAGATTTTATACCCGTCTGGGGGATGACAATTTGGCGAGGGCGGCGTTCGTATGCCACAGGCGGCACTGGTGGCATGTCTCGCGGCCGAGCGAGGGTGGGCGAGGGTGACGCCGTATAGACTGGGGGTATGACGAGGCAGTGCGGGAGGGGATGTGGGTGCCTGCGCGGCATACTTGGAAGGTCTAAGACCATGCCAAAGTAACTGTAGGTGAATGTCAGGTGCAGGACGGGATATTAGCCGCGGCGGAGGATCTGCGCTCGGGATCGTCTGTCGTCAGGTGTAGAGGAGAGAGGGGGTAGCGAGGGTACAGCCAACCGAGTAGGTTGACTTTCGGAGCTTCAGAGAGGGCAACGCAGAACGAATTTTCTCGAGAAGAGGGCGCCGAAAAGGTGGTCGCCGACGACTTCGCCCCTCGAAAGCAGGTTCCAAAGGATCGTCAGCGGCCGGATCCAGGCTCAAAAGGGAGGGGATGCGGTAAGGGGTGGCCGCCTTTTTCGATAGAATCGCGGTCGACGATGCAGTCCTTCCGAGACCGGGGGCGGACTATGGATGTCACCTGACCGAGTTCGGCACGGCATTGCCCAGAGCGGCACCGCGACACGAGGCTCTGGATGGTATTCAGCGTCGCCAACAAAGACCCGCAGGGGACCTTTACGGTGGCAGGGGCGCCCGAGGACCGTCAGCTGACGGCGGTTGCATGCGGCTGGAGGTGATTCAGGACGACGTGCGAGTGAGACTGGACCTTAGTCGAGGAAATATCCGGTTCTCGATATTGCGCCGGCGGCGGGAACATCGCACGGTGCCATCGCTGTTCGAATACCGGTCTGGAAGACTTGCTCGGAAAGGCGACGTAAGGGTGTTGACGGTGTTCGCGCGGGAGTTGTCCGATGTAGGAAGACACGAACGCGATAGGAAAGTGGCGTAGTAGGTAGGTCGACGATGGGCTTGCGGAGCGTTGATCACGTCCTGAAATCCGGCGATGAACATTCCACATCGTCGTGCGGGCGGTACTTTTTGTACGTGGGACGTCTGCGCATTGGAGGAGGAAGTTCTTCGAGATGAACAGGAATGGCTCCTCGATAGCAGATCTGTGGAGATGAACGGACCAAATGACGACTGGGAGGATGCGGTAGCCTGCACTACGGTAATAGCGAAAGATGAGTGTCGAAAAGTGACAGTAATCCGTTTGCTTGAGGTAGCGACTGTCCTTCAGGGAAAGATCGTGACCTTCAAGTGATGCGTCCAACGAATTCTTGCCAGTAGGTTCACTAAGAGAGCTTCAGGAAAGGCTCCGTAATCAAGCACGGCTTGCGTGTTTCTTCGCCGTCCTCGTGTAGATGCTGCCCATAAGCGCGGAGTTGCAGATTGAATGGCTACTTCTCAAAGGCAAAAAGAGAAGTGTTGACGTGGAGAGAATATAGATCACGAGGCCGCAGATAATTGGAGGACGGATAAGCTGTGAGTTGCGCGTGGTGCTGAGGTGATGTCGTGTAGAGCGCAGGAGGAGAGCTAGCGACGAGGAATTGGTGCACCATACTCCCGGAAATGTAGTGAAGAAGGAAGACCAATATATTGTGTCCCATTTGCCAGGCAAACGCTGCGCAGAAGCTGCGGAATGACAGGAGAAATGTCCCGAAAAGGCAGGTTTTGTGGAGGGAGAAGAACAATGACATACGGAGATCAAACGCGCACGTGGCTTCGGCGCCAATTCGCTCGTAGCTTCGTGCACCGGTGCGACGCTTGATCCCGCCCATCATCATGGAGAATCCCCAGGTCTCCTCGCCAGTCCCGGGGCCGCTGGGGAGCCCCCAGCTCAGACCGAGGAGCAACACCAGAACGACGGACGACATCGCCAGCCTCACCTCGTTCAATCCATTCTCGGAGGAGGACGAGAACGACCAGTCGTCCTATACCCTCGTCACCTCGATCCTCTCGCGCATGAAGAACACGCTGGCTGCGCCGCTATCCTCTACCACGAACACGACACCTCCACCCGCAAGCGCTGGCAGCAACAATGGGAATAACGCGCCGAACGTGAACGAGCAGCGGCGCCCGTCAATGAACACACAATCCAGCAATTCCTCGAAGCAGTCCAACACAGAACGCCCAAATCTCTTGTTATCTACCAAATCATTCACCCCGGCCCCTCCTGCGGTGTCGCTCGGTGTCGCAGAGGTCCCCCTGTCCACGCTCGAGTACGAACGTTCGCCATCGCGCGTCGCCAATTTCTACTCGACACCCTTTCACGAATCGCCCGAGAGCGGCATCTTTGGCACATCTATCCCAGGCTTTCCCATCCAAGACGATGCGCGTAGCATCAAGACGTCGAATAGCCTACATCGCACGGGCTCTGTCTCCAAGGTCATCCGTCGAATACGCGGCGAAGGTGCGTCCTCAGTCAGATTGGCAGTATGCTCAGCTCACGCGTGGTGCAGGTCTTTCGAAAGACTACTGGATGGACGACGAGAACTGCAAGGAGTGCTACGATTGCAAGAGCGTGTTCACCGCTTGGCGAAGGAAGCATCACTGCAGGATATGTGGTGCGTGGCACGCGCGATTTGTACTTCCACACGATCTGACAACGCCTCAGGCCAGATATTCTGCTCGCGTTGCGCGTCCAACATCATCAAGGGCTCGCGCTTCGGCCATAACGGCATGGTGCGCGTGTGCAACCTCTGCGTGGAGAAGCTGGCGAAGGTGGACGACGATGACGACGACGACCGGCGATCCGTGGTCTCCTCCATGGCCAACTTTCCTGCACACCAGTTCGGCGACCCCAACATGACGTTTAGTCAGCACCCTCAATCCCCCTTTGCTGCATCACAGTTATTCGGACGGGATGAGCCCTTCAACCTGTACTCCATTGCAGAAACTAGGCGACCCATATCCGGATCTGATGACAGCGGCTTCAATTCACGACCATATACGCCGGAAGACATGCACGTGAACTTCACATGGGAACCTCTCCGCGATAGCAATCCAGCGCCCTTCAGACGCGACGTGACCGATGAGGATAACGTCGAGATTGAGGTTGAGGAAGGGAGCGGCAGCGTCTCACCCGCGGAGGGCGTCGACAGGGAGAAGGTCGCCTTCCCGACGGCCGATGATGGAAAGCTGAGCTCCATCCAGTTTCCTGTAGGCTCGCCGGATCGCCTCGATAGCCCGCTACCGAAAAGCAGGGTGCGTTCGCGTATGAACTCGGAGAATGACGTCGCGACGCCGTTCATTCGGAGTAGGGTACAGAGTCGCTTAGACAACCTCATCATGGCCGAGCCAGGGTGGAGGACGCGGAGGGAGAGCACGGCGTAAGTAGAATGCGTGTTTGTTCTTCGTGTCGACTAACTTGGGTTCTAGATATGCTCACGAGCTCAATCTGACCTCAATGATGCACCTGAAGGTCATGCTGCGCCAGATGTTGACCATCGAGCAAATACCGAATGTGCGCGAGTGGGAGGAGGTCCTGCTCAAGCTCGCTCTCCGCATCGCCCGCGAGCTTACGTTCACAACGCTGCCTCATCGTCAAGGCGAGGACATGGACGTCCGGCGCTACGTCAAGATCAAGAAGATCCCCGGCGGCGCGCCCAAGGACTCAGAATACGTCGACGGCGCGGTCATCACCAAGAACGTCGCGCACAAGGCGATGTCACGCTCGCAGCGGAACCCGCGTGTCATGCTCGTTACGTTCCCGCTCGAGTTCTCGCGCGTCGAGGGCCAGTACTTGCACTTCGGCCAGATTGTACGGCAGGAGAAGGAGTACTTGACCAACTTGGCGAGCCGGATCGCGGCACTGCGCCCCCACGTCGTTCTTGTTGAGAAGTCGGTGTCACGGATCGCGCTGGACGCGCTGGCTGCGCACAACATCGCCGTCGCGCGCGCGGTGAAGCCCTCGGCGATTCAGATGGTCGCTCGCATGACCCAGGGCGACGTCTTCTCGTCCATCGACAAGCTGGCCCTCGAGCCCCGCCTCGGGCATTGTGCGCGCTACCGCAGCCAGACGTTCGACCACCCCCTCATTCCTGGCCGCCGGAAGACGTACATGCGCTTCGAGGGCTGCCATCGGGATATGGGATGCACCCTCGTCCTGCGCGGCGCGGACAATGACACGTTGTGCAGGGTCAAGAAGGTCACCCGCTTCTTGACGTTCATCGTGCGCAATCTCAAGCTCGAGACGCATCTGTGGAAGGACTCGGTCATCACGATGCCGTCGCTGAATCCCGAGGCCGTACCTACCGCGTATTCGCGGAGTCAGGCGCCGCCTAACATCGCCGCTATGCTGGCGACTGCGACACATACGGGGACTACACCCTCTCGGACTGCCCCTCTTGTCGACCTACAGTCCACGGCGGTGACCTCGCCTGGCGGGTCGGGCGGGGACGAAGATCTCCCTGACGAGGACGCGGAGGAACTGAGGCTATCCCGCCGCATTGACCAGTCCTTGGAACCCTATCGCAAGACCTTCATCTCCGTCTCGGCCACACTACGCTTCCCGCCGCCGTACCCCATCCGCAAGATGAAGGAGCTGAACACGAAGACGCTCGAGGCGAAGCGCGCTTGGGAAGATGAAGTCATCCGGAGAGAAGAGATTGTGCAGTCTGCGCACCAGCACGAGATCACCATCACAGCGGACACCGCAGAGATGACTGCGAGCCCGCCGGCGATTCAGGAGGTGCATGAGCATGATGCGAGCGACCTCAATGCGCAGATTGAGGCCCTTCCCTCGCCGAACCTGGCACATACGCCGCGTCCGGATGATACGCCGTACTCGCCGCCACATAGCGCGGACAGCGGAGGATACTTTGGTCCCGGGCCTAATAGTGCCTCCACCTCAACCCTGTCGACGTCTACGAACAACAGGTCGACCATCACGGGTGGTATTATCGCAGAGCCGATGGAGCCTATGAAGACTGAGGCGGATATCGCACCCGAGAGCAGGTACAGCTACCTGAAGTGGCAGCATGAGGAAGCCCGGCGCGTCTGGGAGTGGTACTTGCGCAAGAACGCCGACGACTTCGTCGTTGAGAAGTACCAGTGCATCAGCATGCTGGAGTACACGGTGCCAATGGCCGACGTGAACGACCGGCCTTGCACGCCGCCGCAGTTCAAGTACATCACCTTCTACGGCGAGAACGACTGCACGCTCGGGCAATTCATCGACAAAGAGGTCCAAGAGACGGTGGTGAAGTTTCTTGACCCGAAGGCCGTCTGCGCGGGAAAGGGCTGCGATCAGCCACTCGCTAGGCACTGCAAAGTCTTCCTGCATAACGAGACCCGACTGGCCGTCGCGGTCGAGCAATGGGACGGCCAGATCATCGGTCACAACAACTTTTTCGCGATACCCGACCTCGTCACCACCTGGAGCGCGTGCAAAGTCTGCGGGTCCGCGACGCCGTTCATCCCGGTCTCGGAGGAGATGCTGCGGTACTCATTCGCGAAGTTCCTTGAGCTGCATTTCTATCCTGCGGATGTCCAGCTCGTGCAAGGCGCTGGGTGCCAGCACAATATCTACCAGCACCATATCCGCTACTTCGCACTGCATGGTATGACGGTCAGATTCCAGACAGACCCTATCACTCTCTACGAGGTCAACTTCCCTCCCTTCCGCATACGCGTCCGCCCTGAGACGCAGCTCGAGCTCAAGAACAAGGACTTCGAGAAGCTCCATCATCGCAACATGCTATGGTACTCTGCCCTCATCGACGATCTGCAGCTCATCAGTATGGACGCGGCGACTGGAGACGAGGAGAATGACGCGATCCTCCTTGCGCAGGTCAATGGCTTCATCTCTCGCGCAGAGGAGGAGCGAGAGGACATTAGCAGGCTGATCAACCGCATTTACCGGGACTCTGCTCCGACGGATACGCTCGCGCTGAACCAAGTGCACTCGTATCGGCAGGACAAGATCGTCGCGTGGCAAGCAGAGTTCGACAGGCTCCCCAAGCCGCGGACACCCAATGTGCCCGGCGATCGCAACAGCAAGCGCGGATCAACGTTTGGCACGGTCCGCGCGATGTGGCCGCGCAAGTATGGCGATTGGGGCGAGCAGTTGCATCTACCGTCAACCAGTGTATCGGAAGCTGAGGAGGGACCCTCGAAGACGCGAAGGGACACAGAGGACTCGTACACGTCTTCCGCTTCGGAGGCATCCGACAGCGAGTCCCAGGCAGAGCCTCACTATCCTCATCCTCCGTCGCTCCTCAGGCTCGAGCACGAGCCGAGCATTACGCCGATCACTGAGTCTCCCACTGTCGACAACACGTCGAGGCCCTCTCCCGAAGAGACACCTGGCGCGGACGCCGAGTCATCTCAAGCCGCCAACGCCGCTGAGAATCAGGAAGTAGTTGTGCAGGACGCGAAGTCAGATGTCGACGTTGGGAGCGATTCCACCATCGGGGCTGAGGAATTGACGACTACGAAACCTGGAAGTTCACAGGCACCGGCCCAGTCTGAGGTATGTGCTTTCACGTGACTTATCCGGCATATAGCGCTAACATACCCTTATCCAGGATAAGCCCAAGCCTGAGCTGCAGCCTGGACGCACTTCGCGACTGCCTCGAAAGACCGCTAAACAGCCGACGGTCGCAGAGCTGGTGAAGAAGTATTCTTATGCCCTACCAGTGGAAGGTATAGAGGACTTGGCGGAGACAGCTTTGGCTCCCCCACCCCCTCCCCCGCCTCCTAGGGTGATCGCTGCGTCTGAGAGCGAACAAGAGTACTTCGCACCGCGTGCCCCACGACATAGGCACCGAAGCAAGAGTCGCCCAAGGCAGAAGACGTTGTCCAAAAAGTCCTCTGTCTCCGACTTCGAGCACGGCTACGCCGCCAATGTTGCCAGAGGACATATGTCCCACCGCAAGCCCATTGGGCAGAAGTCTCGCTTCGCACAACCTATCGCTTCTTCTGCCTTTCAGTCCAGGGATTCCTCCAGACGCACATCTCCGGAGAAGGGTGCACGCGGCAAGGACGAGACGCGCAATCAGGGCACTATATCGCCTCCCAATCGGAACTTACAGCCATCGTCTGCGGCCAAGGGCAGGACTCCAAAGTCAGTCGGCGTTCGTCAGAAGGACAGAGTGCCCTCCGCGAAAGGCATGCAAGGCTTCCGCCGTCCCACAAGCAGCTCCGGAAACAAAGTCCATACGCTTACACGACAGTTTGAGCGCATGAGCCGCCACTCAGACAAGCCGCAGTACAGAGTCATTCGCCAGGGCAAGCGCGCACGACCGGTCGCTTCGTCGACAGCTACAGTGGAGGTGCTCGAGAGTGTTCAGGACGTGGTGAAGGACGACGACGAGAGCGACGGTTTCAACTCGTCCAGCGAGGCCGACGATGAAGGCGATGAGCAGGAGGACAACGAGCCTAGGAAGCAGCCTATCGAGGCCGAAGGTGGAGCAACTGAAGACTCTAAGCCTCCTGTGGACGACAAGGAAATCAAGAAGGATGGTGATGAGGCCGCGCAAGAGCCTCCTGCTGTGACCTTCCCGCAGCCGTCGACGAACGAGCCTGCCCAGCCACCTTCACCAAGGCCATTAACCGGGCCAGCTCCACCGCCAGGGCCCATCTCATTGCCACCGTCACCCTTCCTCTCGTCGTTCAAACCCAGCATGTCGCTCACTCCGCCGCCGCCTGACTTGGATATCGGACCACCAGGACAGGAGCGCACATCAATCCTGAAGGCGCTGACGGGACTCTGGCAACCTGGTCAGAGCATGCGAATCGAGGTGGAGGACCCTACAAGCGACCCAGAGCACATCTTCCGCGACTCGTCCATGGTCGTACGAACGGATGAACCGACCTCTATCATTGCACTGGCCCTGAAGCAAGTCATGTTCAAAGTCTTGTATAATCTCTCACTGACTCTATTCCCTTTAGCTCGCCGCAATACCGGGAAATGCTTGCCAAGTCGCGCGCAGAGAAGCGGACCGCTCGAGAAGCACGGGTGACCGAGAGCGGCGGCGAGGCATTCATGCCTGACGATCGCTCTGTCGCGGACTCTTCGTCAACGTGGGGCGTCGTCAACGTCGACTCGGCGGAGCTACCAGATCCAACGGAGGACATGAAAACACCGTCGTCGAAGCTGCCATGGGCTATCTGTCAGTTGTTGATCTTCACGGCCTACTAACGAGAACTGACGATATGTTCCAGCTTTCGAGAGTGGCGGCTTGACCATTAGCTGTACTGTCCTATACCCAGAGCAGTTCGATGCGTTACGCCGCACGTACGACTGCGAGAAGAGCATGATCGAGTCACTTGCGCGGTGCTTCAAGTGGGATGCTAGTGGTGGAAAGTCTGGTTCAGCCTTCCTGAAGACCAGAGGTGAATTGATATCTGTGCGAGGCCGATACCGATATGCTGATCGCCTTCTAGATGACCGCTTCATTGCCAAGGAGCTCTCTCGTCCTGAGATGGCAACGATGGAGACCTTCGCGCCAGCGTACTTTGACTACATGTCGTCCGCAGTCTCGGCTGACGTACGTTGTAAATTTCCAAAACATTACCGCAAAGCGCCTGATCAAGAACTTGTTTGCAGCGTCCAACACTGCTCGCCAAGGTTTTCGGCTGCTACAAGCTTACCTGGAAGAGGGCGGGAAAGGACAGGAATACGGGCAAGTCCTACAAGTCGACGCAGATGAACCTGCTCGTCATGGAGAACCTGTTCTACGACCGCCGGTTCTCGAAGATCTACGATCTGAAGGGTTCGACGCGGAACCGCCATGTTCAGTCGACAGGCAAGCTCAACGAGGTCCTCCTTGACGAGAACTTGATCGAGAGTGAGTGCATTCTGCCTTTCATTTTTCCAGGAATTCATTCCTCCCCAGCCATGCACGAGCGTCCCTTCTACGTCCGCGAGCACTCAAAGCGCATCCTTCGCGGCGCGCTCTTGCACGACACCCGCTTCCTCGCGGACATCAACGTCATGGACTACTCCCTCGTCTGCGGTGTCGACAGCGCCTCCGACGAGCTCGTCGTCGGCATCGTCGACTACATCCGCACCTACACCTGGGACAAGAAGCTCGAGAGCTGGGTGAAGGAGAGCGCGTTCCTCGGTGGAGGAGGCAGGGGCGAGCCGACGATCGTGACGCCGAGGCAGTACCGGTCGAGGTTCTTGGCCGCGATGGAGAGGTATTTCCCGATGGTGAGTCAGATAGTCATGGAGAGGCGAAGGCGGGTTACTGACGGTGAGGTGTAGGTTCCGGACCGCTGGATGAAGCAGAAAGACGCGGCAATCGAGCGGGAGGAGGATGCGAACATGACGGACACTGATTGGTAGATCGGCGAATAGGCGGGACTAACGACCTTGACGATTTCACTGTTCATGAATGAGGACTTGTGACTGGATTTCTTGCACGCACATGTACCATATGTATCTTAGCCTTACCACGAAGGTCGCCATGATAGCGACCGCCACCGCATTCGCGTTGTTGTATGATATATTGATGTTCAGCTACACTTCGCATTTGTTGACCAAAGCGCAGGCTGCCAGGCCTTCAGTTTGCCTTACGATGCAAGTGATGAAAGCTGAGGATCAAGGAAAGTGCAGCCGAACGCAAGTCAGTGCATAGTATGGGCTAGCAAAGGGTGCTAGAGAACGATATCGGCGACGCGCGTGTCTATTACATGAGGGGTGGGTAAGTCTAGTCCAAGCCGTCAATGGTCAGTGTTTCTAGTGCTGTCCGTGCGCCGCTCTCCGGGAGCGCAGCGAGCACCTCGCGTGCTTGCGCTGCGTAGTCGTGCGCTACATCCCGCGCGCGATCTCGACCGTCGTATTCTTCGACGTAGTCACGGGCCTGCAGAATTAATCTGTTAGCACCAAGCGACAGTCTGCTCTAAGGAGCGCTCACCATATCCAGGTCCGCCTCGTCCGCCAACCCCCGTTGGACGAGCGCGCCCATCTTCGGGTTGACCTTCCATGCGCACAGTAGCGGCGCGGTCACGTCGCTCCCGCCCGCCTCCCACTCCCGCACGTCCTCCATGATCTGCTGCGCAATGCCCATATTCCGCGCGAACGCGTACGCCACGTCCGGCAGCTGCCCTCTACACCCGCCGAGCACCACCGCCGCCCGCGCGCCCTTCGCCATCAGGCTCGCCCCGCCGAGGTATACGCGCCGGACGTACGACGCCCATGCTTCCGCCGGCGAGCTCGTCGCGACGCGCATCACCGTGCCCTCGACCGTGTTGGCGATCGCGGCCGCGATGAGCTCGACGGCTTCCGCCGCGCCCAGAGCTGCGAGCGCGGAGCTGGCGCGCCCGAGAAGGAAATCGCCGCCTAGAATTGCAAGCTTGTTCCCGTGCGCTGCCTCGCTGCCGGCTGCTACGCCCTCGTGAAGGACGCTCGCGGTGTGTATCATGGCGATGATCTGCGCAAGACGGACCTGTGTGGGAAGGAGGATGGGTGAAGCGGAAGGATCGAGGGTGGGTTGTGGGTGGGCGATGGTCGGTGGTGTCTGGAGGGGGAAGGGGCGCGCGAAGGACGCACGGTCGTCGCGCATGTGTGGGGCAGCATCGGTGACGAGGCTGGACTGCGTTAGCGGGCGGTCGAGCTCCGCAGCGCGCTCGAAGCCAGCCGCATTCACGACGTTCCGCCAATTCCGACCGAGACCGTTCGTAGCCTGAGCAAGCAAAAGGACAAGGAGGGGACGGAGCTGCTGCGCAGGTTGCGTCAGGAAGTCGCGCGCCGCGTCGTGGAGGCCAGGGTGTGCAGAGCCGAGCAGTCCAAGTAGGTTGTTGCGGATTAGGAGCAGCTCGGGCGAGAGCAGCGCGTAGGGATCCGGGCGGACGCGCGCTGTCGGGGCTGCCGACGCATGTGGGAGCGGAGGCGGTGGAGGGGGCGGAGCGGGCTGCTGGGCAACCTTTTGCGCGAGTGCGTGAACATGTCGTCTCGGGCGAGCGTGGGCCTCCTGCAGGTATATGCTCTCGACCGTCTCGCGGCGGCAGCACCGCGACCAGGCCCGCATCGTCGTCGTCGAGGGCGCCGTAGAGAGCGAGCGGGGCGGCGATGGGGGTTTGGGACAAGGAGCGGCGCACGGCGGCGGAGGTAGTGGCGCTTACGGGGCCTGCGGAAAAGGTGACGCACCCGGTTATGATCGACGCGCCCGTGTCCGGAACGCGATCGCGAATGTCCCACGGGCGGCGACGTCGTGCGCGGCGACGTGCAGGGACTCAGGGTACAACTTCAACCAAGATAGCTCTATCGTATACAGTACAGATGGAACGAGGCCTGCAAGATCCAATCACACTGTGTCTGACCGCTACTACCGCTGCGCCGTCGTTGGTGGAGGGGGCGACCTCGGCGCGATGAGGTGGTCGCGAAACTTGGATAGATTTCGCGCCAGATGCTGCGCAAGTACCCTCCCCTGTTGCCAGGTCAGAGCCGGCGCACCAGGGAGCGCTGTACGCACCTTGCTCTGCAGCTCTTCCCACGCCACGCTATCCGTCCCGTTCAATGCGAGCAACATCAGCGGTGCGCCCCTCCCTTCTGACCCTCCCTCAACGATGGGGATGACGATGATGCGTCCCAGCTAGGGGAACGATTCGCATATGTCCATCCAAGTTTTGCGAGATACAACGCACCTCACTATCGACCATGCCCTCGCCTCCCTCACCTTCAGCACCTTCCCCTTGTGTCTCCAGCCACACCTCGCCAGCGATACCCACGACGACACGTATCTCGTCTTTTGGACGCAGCGAGTCCGCAGCGTACGAGATCAACTGCCCAGCCGTAGTGAACAGAACTGCGCTATGCAGCGAAGGCGGGTCGAGGACCTGGGCGAGCAGGTTCTGCAACGCAGACAGGACGAGCATATTAGAGGGTCTGCTTCCAGTCCTGCTAGATGTGCGAGTGATGGGGGCTCCCGAGCGTCCGCGAGAGACGACAACGAGCGTGAGCAGTCCGGCTGGCAGTTGGGGACTTGGCGAATTAAGCGCCCAAGCTGGGGAAGCATGCATTCGGAACTTGCCGAAAGTTCACGTGAAGCTGGTTGAACTTTGCTCAAGACGACTATGGAGGGCTCACACTTTGTCAGTCAGCTAGTCAACTCTCATCAAGATCAACTACCGGTAAGATAGGTGCCGAGATACATACCGAATGGTCATCCTGGCAGACCTAATCTCAGTGAATGACAAAGGAACTTCGCAAACTCTAAGGCCATCTGACCTCTTCTCTCTCAGACACCCCCTGCCGCGCACACGTCCTAAGGCTCTCCTGCTCCCTCCTCTGACAACCGCCTTCTACTTGTTCAAAGTCTTTCTAGTGGCCTATCATCCTCCCAAACCCTTCCCTTCCCCAGCACAAACCGCCCTCCCACAATTGGCTTTCCCTTATGACGTCGCGCCCATAAGCAGGCACGTCCCATGTGATTCCTACCCCCATTTCACAGCCACCCCCGACCCGCGTTCCCGCCATGAAGCCTCCGGGCGGGGTTCATCCGGTCCCGGACCTTCACCCTCGTTGGCTGCCTCCCACACTCATGCGCAGCGACGTGCGCGAGTCTTATAGCTCACCAGGCGGTCACTCACAATAACCATGCTTGCGAGCCTTTCATCCCGCCTTCTCGATGTGCGGGTAGAATACCAGCGCGGCGCGGAGGAAGAAGAGGACTCGACGATCGTGAGTTTTTTCTCGATCTTGGTGTGGGGTACATATCTGAACTCGCCCCCCCCCTTCAGCTCGTCGATGTCGACGCGCTTCGTGCGCTGAGCCTACCAGACATCCTCCCTCCAGGCGTATCCGACACGCTTATCCCTGGCGTAGCGACGCGCTTCGCGGGCCTATGCACCCGGATCTACGGCGCGTTGGGGGATGATGTGTACACGCTCTCCCAGGCATTGTTAGCCTTGGAAGACGCAGGGGATGAGGAGGCTGAGGGAGAAGAGCCCCCGATATCCAAATCCTTGCGCGCCCCTCACCTCCCCCACCGTCGCCAGCGCCGCCGGATCGGCTTGCGGGTGAGTTTCTTACCTTTTCACCCTCACCTTCACCCCCTCTTATCCTTTCCTCATTTCTGGAACGCATGCTGAATTTCATCTTCAGCCCCGCCCTACCCACCTGCAAGACACCCTTCTCCTTCCCAGTCCTCGCCCCTGCGTCCCCTCCATCATTCTATCCCCTGCACCTCCTTTACCCTCACCCACCGCCTCCTGCACACCCTGGCAAGACGTCGCCTTCGGGTCGCGTTTGAGTGTTCCCGGACACCCTGCCTTCAACGCTGCACATCCGCCCTTGTTAGCACGACCGCTACCTGGCAGACCAGACGCCTGGGAATGGCGCGAAAGGGAAGGACGGTGGGTAGCGTTGCTGCCGGGTTTGGATGCGCAGACTGCGCGGGGGCTGTTCTCGCGGCCGATATCTGTCAGGCGGAAGGCAGTCAGGAGGAGGTGAGGAGGGTGTCCATGCAGCTTGCACCTGTAAAATATGGCGATGCTTCTGGTTGCCCACGTACTATCCTTCGTATACCTACGACATACCCGCTGCTGCTCCTACGAGCAGCACCACATGTACTACTATCGCACAGTCTATGCGCATCGAGCGTTCGCTGTTCACAGCCTGAGAGTCCGCTTCGGCTCGGATGGTCAGGGTCATGACGCGTCACCTTCTGTCTGTTGTACGTGGCGAAGCCACCCCATAACGCTCAGAGAAGACAGACACGGGAAGCTCGGAGCTCCTCCTCAGAGTACACCCCAATCATCGCTGCCCTCCATCCAGGCGCCGAGCAGTACCGGATTATTTCGTCAAGTTCATCTTGCGGCCAACTCGAACAATCCTCCCACGCGATATGCCGCGCGGCCGGAACACCCCGGCCCGATGCCGCCACTCCACCTGCGTGCGCGTGCGTGCCTGCGCCGCCGAGCGGCTAGCGCCTTGATCCACGACGACGACGAGCGCGATGTCGAAGCATTTCCAGTTCAAGCTTGTCCTGCTCGGTCAGTTATCCTGCTCCTTCAACCTCTCCCTACACTCGTATACTGACCCTCTCACCCGTTCAGGCGAGTCCGCGGTCGGCAAGTCGAGGTGCGCTGATGACATGACACCTCTCGGCTGGTGCTGTGCGGGGCTCGAGCGCTGACCTGAAGACTGCAGTCTTGTGTTGCGGTTCGTGAAGGACCAGTTCGATGACTACAGGGAGAGCACGATTGGCGGTGAGTGGATTCGGCTGGGGGAGTGTGGCGTATAATGAGAGCTGTGTGGACTGACGGGCGCCACCAGCTGCTTTCCTGACGCAGACGGTTACGCTGGACGATGGGACCACGGTGAAGTTCGAGATCTGGTGCGTGGGCGGTGAGGCAGATAGTGGGACACTCGGCTAAGCGGTCTGCAGGGATACTGCTGGTCAGGAGCGCTATAAGGTGAGTTTGGCCTCATTATCCCTCTATCCGATCGCACGCTGACCTTATTCCCAGTCTTTGGTATGCCCAAACCACATTGATTCGTGGCGCCCCTCCTCACATACCCTAGGCGCCCATGTACTACCGCAACGCCAACTGCGCCGTCGTCGTGTACGACATTACGCAGTCCACGTCGCTCGAGAAGGCACGGACGTGGATCCGCGAGCTGCAGCGGCAGGCGGACCCGTCCATCGTGATCGCGCTGTGCGGCAACAAGGCGGACCTCGCCGCGCGGCGGCAGGTGACGCAGGAGGAGGCGCAGAAGTACGCCGAGGAGGAGGGCCTCATGTGGGGCGAGACGAGCGCGAAGACGGGCGAGGGCGTCGCGGATATATTCACGGCGATTGGTGCGTGGCGAGGGCTTTGTGCGGTAGCGAGATGCTGATGGCTTTGTTGCAGCCAAGAAGCTGCCGTTGACTGCACCACCGTCTGCACGGAGCGGGGGCGCTGCTCGCGGCACAACTGCGGCACGAAACGGCGTTAACCTCACCAACCAGCAGAACAACACCGCGGCCGATGCCTGCAACTGTTAGATGACCCAACCTTTCGAGACTTGACTCCCTCCTTCCACCACCCGCTGTTGTCCTTGTACGATAGCCGGCACGTTTGTGTCCCGTCGGACTGCTGGGCTACTTTCATTTACCATATGTATGCGACGCGCTTCCCTACCTACATGACCTCAGTACGCTTAGCATGGTACTCGTTACGCCTCTTCCAATGCCGTAGACCATTGTTGTTTGTGTACGGGTGTGTCGGACGCACGGACGTTGCTGCATCCCGCCACGCCACGTGGCCAGTAGCGCTCCGCTCCAGGGCCGATCCGGAAATTTGCACGTTGCTCCCGACCTCTTCGTTCTCGCCGCGAATATTCATCGTGCTCTTCTCTCCGGGCGACCGTCAAGCCAGCGAATTCCTCTGAGCAGTCTCCAGTCCTCTGAGCGCCTAAAATCTGAGACGCAGCGCGCGTACGCATACAAAGCAAGCCTAACATGAATCGTCATCATCCCTACGGCGGCCATGACAACTTCAACCGGAGGGGAGGCGGGCAGGGACCCGGCCCCGACCGCTCACACTTTCGTCATGAAGGCAGAGGCAGGGGGAGGGGGCGTGGCCGCGGTGGTGGATATGGCGGTGGTGGCGGCAGCTTCGACGGTGGGATGAGCGGCCCGCCTCCTGGCGGCTACGATCATATGGGAGCGCCGCCGTACAGTGGCGGTTACGACGGACCCCCTCCCCCCATGCAAGCACCTTACCCACCGTATGGTGGTGCCTCAAATGGTTACGGACCCCCTCCGCCTGGGCCCCCTGGCTTCGGCGGACCTCCTCCCCCTCCTCCAGGCGGAGGCGGCTACGGGGATGGTCCCAGTGGCGGCTATGGAGGCGGTTACAATGAAGGTACGCTTGAATATCAGACTGAACTGCGAAATGCCAGATGAGAGCCGTCGGTCCTGGATGAGACGCGGGTAGCCCGATAAGCTATGCGCTGGCGTCATTTGTGCCTTCGGTGAAGCCGTGAGGGTCCGCGCATGTGAAGGCTTGAAGCATGAGTAGTCCGCCATGTCTTGAGGCCTTCAATGATGACGATGGGAAGCCCATGTACTTGGAATCAGGCACGCTCTCTTCATCGAGCGCACTGCAATCGCTCTGCTTTTCTGGCAACTCTATTAAGCTCAGATTCTTACGCTCGCGCATCTTCGCTGTTGCAGGACCGCCTCCGCCATTTCCGGACGATGATTTTGGCCGCCGTCCCCCGCCGCGCAAAGGTCACCACATAATACCTGAATCAGTCATTGAGGAGCGCATACAACGGGAGCGACCCTGCAGAACACTCTTCATCCGTAACATCAAGGCGAGTTAGCGAGTTTCCCGTGCTTGAGTGCTCCTCTACTGCACGGGGCTTGGTTTTTGCGTTACATGAGAGTTCTGGCTGACAGCGTGTGTGTTCAGTACGAAACCCCCAGCGAGCATGTACGCGGCCTCTTTGAGGAGCATGGGGATATCAAAACTTTCTTCGACTTGATATCGACACGAGGCATGGTATTCGTGACTTATGTGAGCTTCCCTCGCGTGGTTTTGTATTGAATGAGTGCACTGAGTGTTGATCAGTTCGACATCCGGGCGGCGGAGCGTGCGAGGGACCGACTGCAGGGCTCGGAAATCAGCGGGCGACCAGTAAGGCTATCCTGCCCTCCCGCGACGCGTTTGCCTCAAACTTCATACCTTGCAGATTGACGTACACTATTCGCTGCCTCGTGATGACGGGAATAAGAACGGCGAGCGTGACCAGGTACGGTCGAGTTGTGTGCCACAAAGTGGATTGCCTCAAATGTTGATTATCTATTCAGGCCATGCAGGGCACTGTCATCGTAATGCTGCGGAACTCCAGCCAGACCATCGACGACAACGAGGTGCGCCGCTTATTCACGCAGTTTGGCGACGTGAAGGACGTGCGACCAGCGCCTGCCCCCAAGTAAGTGCATAGACAGAACGTGAGAACAATCGAGCTGATCTTCGGCCAGCGCGCGATACGTCGAGTACTACGATACGCGCGCAGCGATTGATGCGCACGACCGGTTACGGAATCAGAACCTGCAGGACGGTGTGATGGATATCGAATTTGCTTGGGATCCCAACGACGAGTCGCCAAGAGGGCCAGGCGGCGGCGGCGGAGGTGGAGGTGGTGGACGGTGAGTTCAGTCCACAACCAATCTCAAATGTGGTCACTGATGCTCAACTAGTGAATGGGGTGGTGGACGAGGCGGAAGAGGCAAAGGTAACCGCAATCGCGGTCGGCACGGCGGTGGCGGTGGCGGAGGCCACGGTGACTACGACGATGGGTGGAGCGGCGGCGGGCCTCCTCGCCGCGACGAGTTTGGTCGTGAACGCCGGATGGACGAGTTCGACGGCCCCGGCGACCGCGGTGGTCCCAGTGGGCGTGGTCGCGGACGCGGCTATGGACCCAACCGCTATGGCGGACCTGACCGCTTCGACGGTCCGCCACCACCTGGTGGCTACGGTGGCCCCCCTCCTCCACCACCCGCACCGTACGGCGGTCCCACAATTCCTCCGCCAGGCAGCATGTACGGCGGCCCGCCACCCATGCCTCCGCCCACGAACCCGAACTTCATACAGCCGCCGCCCCCGGGCCCGCCCGCACCTCCCGCGGGCGACGACCGTTTGGAGCAAGCGCGCAAGGTGCAGCAGCTGCTCGCCGCGCTCAAGGCGCCCGGCACGCCCGCGACGCCGCCGATGGGCGCTGGCCCCGTGCCTCCTCCCCCTGCGCCGTTCGCAGGCTTCCCTCCACCTACGGCCATGGGCCAGCCCCCGATGGGCATGGCGCAAGTGCCGCCTGTTAACGGCCCCCCGCCACCTGGGGCCTTCGGCATGCCACCTCTGCAGGCGCCACCGACAAACAATGCGCAGACGCCGGCAGCGAACCCCGCGTTGGCGACTCTGCCGCCTAACATCATGGCTTTGCTGCAAGCAACGCAAGCGAGGGCGACGCCTCCGCCTCCACCTCCTCCAGGACCACTGGGCGCGCCGCCCTACGCGCCCCCTCCGCCATCAAGCAGTGCACCGAGCTACGCGCCTAATGCTGCTATGCTCTCGCCACCGCCCGCCAGTGCGGGTCTTCCGCCACCCCCTGGAGGAGCGCCTCCGGGTGGTTCGCCACCTGCAGCGAACCAAAGTTTCCAGCAACTGATGTCGTTTTTGGTACGTGGTCGCCCATGGCGTGCCCACTCGTTTCTTTTACTCATGCATCACTACAGCAGAGCCAAACTGCCAAGCGTTAAGAAACCATATCACGAAGTGTCAGAAAATCAAAGCACGAAGTGTTCAGCAGCCGAACTATGAAGCGCTAAGTATGAGTGAGGCATCCTTCAGGCCTGAATTCCAACTTCAAACCCCTCTTTTCTGATTTAGCCTCATGTCGTGCCCTATTCACGAACATTGCGCGATTTTTTGTGCCGTATATAACTTTCATTTTTGTCTTCAAGATTTTCAGAATGATGATGCCTATGTTCATAACCTCGCAAGCGAACGCCTGAGCCATGTTCACTCATAATTCGGGTAGAACCGCAAGATTCATTTTACTGGAAGAGAGTCCTCCAAGGGGAATTCTCCTGTAGTTGCGGGTTGCCAGCAAGTATCCTATACCGTTCAGCTTTGCCTTTGGTTCAGGACGATCCCATAGACCGTTTGCGAGTTGCGATTAGACGTCCGTGCGCCCAAATAGTATTGGGCATGACAGATAAGATACTAACCTCTCAAGCGTCTGCTATACGGATGCCAGGGCCGCTCTTCGAGCTCAGCATCACCTTCGCAATAGGGATGATGCGCTTGACCTCTCCGCCTGTCCGTCTCCGACCATCACCGTGCTCCTGGATGTGCCCTGTCGCACGCTTAACAGAGGCCATGAAGTGCTGGAAGTTGTTCACGACGTCCTCGGTGGGGAAGTGGAGCTGCATAACGAACTGTGTGAGTGCGAACAGCTGATAGGTCAAGGAAACCAACGGACCATCCCAATCGGCGCGCGAATGTTGCCTGCCTTGTCTGCCCTCCACTCGCTGGTACCTGCGAGCTTCTTGATGTACCCGGCAATATCGTCCGTAACAGTCCCGCGACGCTCAGACGGAAATAGACCGAGAGGACCCAGAATACGGCCAAGACGGGGGGTAATGGGCTTGATGAGGTCGGGCGTGCAAAGGATAGTGGTAGCGCGGATGCGGTTACTGGCAATCTAGGAAGGTAGGAAGATCAGCATCATGAAGGGACACAAGGTGTATGCAACGCACCCCCTCGATCAACTCCGTCCCGCCGACGATATGTGCACCGGCCTTGCGGGCCTCCTCTGCCTTCTTCCCCTCCGCGAAGACGAGGATTTTGTCCTCCTTGGGCGGCTTCGCTTCGCGCGGCAGACTGACACGGCCCTTCGGGACGGCCATACCGCTACCGAGCGTCGTCTTCACGAAGAGCTCATAGGAACAGTTGGGGGAGGCGACTTCGACGGCCTGCATGCACAGAGATATAACGTGGTTAGGTGAGTGAACGCAGAACAAGGTATAACCAAACGCACCCGGAGCACCTTGATCGCCTCCGCGAGGGGCAGCTTCTCCCGCTTCTCGTCCTCCTTGGCCGCGAGAGCTGCCTTGCGCCGCCGCTTGGCCTCCATGGCTTTCTTCCCCGGCACGCGGATCTTGGGCTTGTTCTGCTTCGCGAGCGCCGCAGGCGTCGTCGAGAAGGACCGGCATGGTAGGCTCTGGGGTAAACAGCATGAGCCATTGCCAATTTATGAGTAACGCGGATTGTGTTACTTGAGCTGCAAGCACTGCCGGGCGGGTGCACCGCTGGCAAAGGAGCGAGAGGGACGCCATCCTCGACGTCCGGACGCGTTTGGACTTGGTGCAGAGCGCGAAAGGGCGGTCCGCACGACGCCGGCGGCACTGATCAAAATTTGGTTCGCACGGTCTGGCGCGCGCGTTCGAGTCTCGCTCATTGACTCTGTCAAGAACAAACATGGAGGCGGGAGGTCCCATTATCGGTAAGTGCTGGCTAAGTAGTGTGTGTACGTTCTATGCTATATGATGCGTGCTTGAGATGAGGTGCAGCCAGATGAGGCGGGTTGATAGCAATGCGTGTATCGTTCGAAGGTCCTCGTCTTCCCCTCAATCCACCTCACCCATTAAATCCCTTTCCTCCTCCCTCCTCTGCGCCCGCCTCAGCTCTTTCCTCTCCAGCGCCCTTGCTCTATCCTCCCTCTTCTGCTTCTTCTTCAGCTCGTCCTCGATCGCCTCGTACGTCACCGGCTTCTTCATCCCCTTCACCTTGCGCTTCCCGATGTCCGCGCCCTTCACCTCGGGCTCGGCTTCCCCTTTGCCCTTGGGCGCCTGGAAGCGCTCCTGCGGGCGGTTCTTGGGCGGATGGGGGAACATGTCGCCCCACTCCGACTTGCGCGCGTCGTAGTAGGGCTGCTTGCCCTGGGATTTGGGGATTGTCATGCGGAGGATTTTGGCTGAGAGCAGAATGAGTTTGTGCTCAGGAGAGAGCTACATAAGAACGCACCTTCTGCCGTGCAAGCATCCAAGATGACATGCTTGCTCCGCTTCAGCGGCGGGAAGATCAGGCGCGGCCAGCTATACGCCTCATGCCTCAACGCCGCCTCCAGCGCTGACCCCGACAACGGCTCGCTAACCACATCGTCATCTTTTACCTCAGCCTCCTTCTCCGCACCATCCTTCCCGGTCTCTCCCGCCGCCACCAAGCGCTCATGCTCTACCTGCAGCATCAGCTCCTTCGGCACAACACTCGCTTCCGCCCGCTTCTCCAGCTCTCTCCTCCCCACCTCACCAATACGGCCGACCGACGTTGTCGCCCTTGCCGGCCTCGACCCGCGCCGGATGACGACGTACGAGTAGCCGATGTTCTCGTGGCCGAACTTGGTGTGCTTAGTGCGGCGGGTGAAGGAGGGGCGGTGGAGGCGCTGGGAAAATCCGCAGACAAGCTTGGTCGCGCCGGGGTGGTAGAGGGGGCAGGCGCCGTCATGGGGGCACTGTGAGAGGGTAAGGGATTGATCAAAAGGGTATGCGGGAGAGGAGACACACAGGTGCGATGACATGGGCGCCTCGCAAGGCGTATTCGGCGCTCTCAAGCTCTTCGAGTTCCTTGTTGCCCTGCCGGAGCAGCCAGTCGCGCGCCTCAGCGATTGCCTCAAAGCCATCCTTCGTATTGTGGTCGATTAAGACCTATGATTGTAGGTTAGCGAGCAGGCTCACAGAATGACAAGCTTCGCGTACCATCAACTCTGCGCCACTCTCCCACATTTGCTTGACTATCCTTCTCCGTGCCAGAGGGTTGGGTTGAGCAGCAAGTGCGAACGCTGACAGAGCCATCGCGTTATTGCGCTCGTTGCGTGGCAGGATGTCCTCTTCGTGGTAGGCCTTCTGCCAGTTGACATGGTCTTCTGACAGACCCATGTCTAAGAGATGTCAGAGCGTAATTGCCGGTGCGCCTCAGCCAAACTTACTCTTGAGCAGACGCTTGCCAATCATCCTCAAACCCTCTCGCTTCTCGATGCTTGTGTATGACGATATAGTAGAGTTTGAGATCTTGAGGTCGTTCAGGTCTGTGTCGTACGTCCCGTTTGGCAGTTTCTCTTGGAAGACGTGCATCGAGGCCCTATATTCACCCATGAGATAAATGTGACGCATATGATTGGTAGCCACATACCATATTCCACTCCCAGCACCAGAGCCCCATTCAAGGACCCGCTCGAGCCTAAAGTCGGGCTCTATTCGTTGCCGGAGATGACGGAGTACGGAAGCGATGGCAGCGTAGTGAGGGGGAAGGGCGACGGTGGCGAACGCGGTACCATCACCCTCAAGGTGGCGCATCCGCTGTTCTCTTGAGCCGTAGCTGACGTCGTAGTCCGCACTCCACGCAGAGTCCTCGCCGCCAACGTCCGTGCCAAAGAGCCTCAGCGCATCCTCACGCAATTTGTGCTTGTCTGCGTCTGCGATCGAGTTAGCTAATCCGCAAGCACTGGGAGGTATTGTGCACGCACCGGCCACCACCAGGTTGATCTCCCTCTGTAGCTCATTTGGGAGGACGAGAGAGCCTATCTTCTCGCTCCCAAAGAGCGCTGCAGGCGACTTGCGATGCATCCTCTCGTCCTCGAACTCCTCCTCCTCGAACGGCTCTACATCCACCACTGCCGCATCTTGGGGGAATACCTCCAGCTCCCGCTTCTTCGGCGCCGCGTACTTCTCTTTCGCCTTGTTGTTAATCAAGGAGATATCAACGTCGCGCAGGAGTGCCTGTAGGGTGGGATCGAGGTGCATGCGCGGGTTGGGTACGGATGCGGTGGCTGCAGCATTACTAGCGACTGCCGAGGTCGACAGGCCAGCCGCGAGGGTGGGGAGGCGCGCGCGCACCGCGGGAAGCGAGCTCAACGTCGGGCGCAGCATCGCGGAGGATATGAAGGGAGCAGGCAAGCCAGGAAGTACTGACTAAGTCCTGTGTGCAATCAGAGGGCGCGGGTTAGAGTTAGGCGCGCCTTCTCCGCAAATTGGTTGTTTTCAAATCGGGGACGCGGCCCGGAGCGCCGAACTCTACCTTCTGCGCTCATGTCGAAACACGCTGCTGAGGACGTTGCGGTGGTCGAGGACGCGGAGAGGCCAGCGAAGCGCGCGAAAGTTACAGAGAACGTGAATGGGGACCACGAGAGCGACGACGAAGACGAGCCAATCCAGGCAGAATCCGTTCCCGAGGAAGTAAAGGCGTCCGATCTATACCTTGACACGGTGCGTGTGCTACAATGTCTTTTAGGACGCGACTTACGCGTCCCCCCTTCCCTAGATCAACCGAGCAGTGCTAGACTTTGACTTTGAGAAAGTTTGCTCCGTGTCGTTGTCAGACATCAACGTCTATGGCTGCCTCGTCTGTGGCAAGTACTTTCAAGGACGAGGGCCGAAGTCGTACGCCTACGCGCACTCTATACATGAGGATCACCATGTCTTCATCAACCTTGAGACCACAAAGGTATGCATGCGGAATCCATCCTCATGTTGGCTGCTGAACCTACGCCAGGTCTACGTACTTCCAGACGGATACCCCGTCTCCGATCCCTCCTTGGAGGACATAGCATTCGTGTTGGCCCCATCTTTTACACCACAAGGCGTAAAAGCACTCTCAAGCCCAGCTGTACTCGCCAAGCAGTCCTTTGACCTCGGCCATAAACCATACATCCCTGGCTACATCGGTCTCAACAACATAAAGCACAACGACCACATGAACGTCATCATCCACTCCCTCCTGCACGTACCACCGCTCATGGATTACCTACTACTATCCAAGCCGAATGGGAAACAGACCGAACTCGTGCGGCGGTTTGCCGCGCTGGCGAAGAAGATCTGGAATCCCCGGCTGTTCAAGAGTCAAGTCAGCCCGCACGAGTTCTTGCAGGAAGTGAACAGAGCAAGCGGCGGAAAATTCAGATTGGAGCAAAAGGGTGATCCCGTCGAGTTCATCGGCTGGCTCCTCAACAGATTGCATAAGGACTTGGGTGGCACGAAAAAGCGGAACTCGAGTGAGTGACCGCGACTACAAGGATTTCCGAATTCATCATTGCCTTGCCTCCGTTTCCTATGTATCACCTCCACGGCTGACTCAATCCTCCGATAGGCGTCATCTTCTCCACCTTCCAAGGTGAACTGCGGCTCGAGACGCAGCAAGTGCTCGTGCGGCCGGACGCGGGGGAGAACGCGAAACCGGTCTTTGACCTTGACCGAGGTAAGTATCTCTGCTGTTGCCCTACCAACACCCTCGACTAACAATCGCGCGCGGCGACAGACATCAAGACCACAGTCTCACCGTTTCTGTTTCTGGCCGTCGACTTGCCCGCGCCACCGCTCTTTCAGGACTCGGTCGAAAAGAACATCATCCCGCAGGCGAGCATCTACTCCGTGTTGGCGAAGTACGACGGTCAGACGACGCAGGTGAGGACGATGGGTCCGGTGGCTGGCATTCCGGTGGCACTGACGCCGCATATTGTAGGAATATCTCGGCCAAGTCCGACGTTACAAGTGCCAACGCTTGCCACCCTACGTGATCTTGCACTACAAGCGGTTCACGAAGAACAACTTCGTAGAGGAGAAGAACCCAACGATCGTCAACTTCCCCTTGCGCGGCCTGGACTTGAAAGACAGTGCGTTTGAGGCCACCGCTCCGGCATGCCGTTGACTCACGTGTTCACTCTTTCCCCTCCAGTCGTCGACAACCCCGAGGCGCACCCGTCGACCACGTACGACCTCCTCGCAAACGTCACGCACGAGTCCGTCGCGGGCACGACGCGCGACAAGGAGAACACGGTCTGGAAGTGCCACGTACGCGCAGGGAGCGGCGGCGGCGACAACGAGAAGTGGTTCCTGATCCAGGACCTCATCGTCGAGGAGGTCCGAAAGGAGATGATCTTTCTCGGCGAGACGGTGCTCCAGATATGGGAGCGGCGCGCTCCCGCGCCCGCGTCTGCTTCGGCATCAGGGAAGGCTGCGGCGGGAGCGGGCGCCAATGGATCGAGTAGTAAGATGGATGTGGACAAGTAGGCCGGATTGGTAGAGCGGAGAGGTGTGATATTATTCTGACGCGGGCGTACTGCTGTGGCGACCTATCTACTCGAGATGCATCTGCAGTGCGACATGAGAAACTGATCCGCTGCGTGAGACTGCTTTTCGAAGCCTCGGGTGAAATGGCGCTTATTTGTTGAGTGGATGGGCGCAGGACTACCTCCGACCTTGTCTGCCGCGTAGGTAAATGAGATGCGAGCACGTCAAGACGATGCGAGGCACGGCCGCGCGTTTGAAGCCCCCGATTCAACATGCAAGGCTCGTTTCAGCTCAACAGACATTAGCTTGATTGCGGCGGGGTCGTCGTCGGGCCAGTCGCGTTCTCGTTCGCGGGCTCCGTGCCCTTCGTTCTGGCGCGTTTTTGCCAGTCGGGGGAGTTGTAGCTGCTGGATGTGGTGTAAGCATCTGTCACAGGACACAATTGAGAAGTAGATAGGAGACTTACGGCTCGCCAGACTGGACCTGCGACGCAGCTTGAGCTGCCGCAGGCTGAAAAATGTATATCCCGCTCACGACGCCTGACCATGGATCAGCGTTTTTTCGGAATGTTACCTCGGGACAGTGGCATTTTACCTAGCGCGGCAACTGCTAAGAGAGGCGTTATAGGCCGACGCATGCCGTTCAGAAAGGGTCAAGCCGAAGTCGAACTTGCGGTGGCGGTGCGGATGTCCTCCGACAACGTGCTGACAGTGACAGTGACAGGTTCAATTGCGTGTCACGTCACCACATTTGTTGAACTCAGACGCGACCACACAAAACTGACGCCAGAGATCCATACAAGTTCGTACATTCGTCGTGTGTTACATACTGGATAAACAGACTATACTACACTGATGCGTCCGATATGAGATGCTAAATAGCCAGGCTAATGTCCGGGTACCTCTGCCTGAAAGGACCTGAGATAAATAACGATCTGGAGTCGGCTTGTCCCTGTCGGGACGCTTCAAGGAAGATTGGGGTTCTAGCGGGGATGTTTCAGGAATTTCTCAGAAGGAGAAAGACGATATCCCGAACCTGAAGTGCCTGACGGGCCGCTTCCTCCTTTGCGACGGACTTCTGCGCCGCTACTCCAGTCCCAAGGGGTTGTCCGTCAACTATGGCAAGGTGAGCCCGAGTAGATGCAAGTGTTAGAGGACAAGTGGCGTACCCTTGCACTGAACGGTCCAGATACGCGCGTGAGAGGGGCCCGCACTGCTTTCCGAGTACGTGACCCGCGTGGTCTGCTGTCTCGTCTGAAAATCTGGGAAAGTGTCAGCATACGAAGCTTCTCGGGCAGGGAAGGATACGCGCAGTTGTTCAATCGCGTTACATAGTCTGCGACGATCAGCGGATTTTCTACTGCAGAGGAAGAAGGAGCAGACGCACTAGACATTGTGGCGGGATGGGTAAGGATAATGAGTCCGTAATCGGGCTAGCAGCCCGCCCTTTATATCCTGCGCCCACTGTCGTAAAACCCGAATTGATACAGTAAAGATGCAGCCATGTCCATGGGGCCGAGCCGGCGTATTATGCCAGAGCATATCCTCCCGCAGCCAGTTGTAACAAGCGAATCATTCGCACTCTATGATCAAAGTCTCGCCACCAGGTCAACGGGCCGACGACTAAGTGCACTGCCGCAGCTCACCTAGGCGATGGGCGAATACGTGCGCGCCACACGGAGTGATGCTTGAACAGATAGTTGAACGACCGCGGAGTCTCGATAGCCCACTAAGTGCGCTATCTGTAGGGCTGGGCTATCCGATGGTCCGAGTTGTTCTATGAGATCAACCGACACGAAAAGCGGATGCGGATGCGGCGGACCGTCAGCAGACCGCGAGAGAGACCTCGATATGCGAGTATCGACCCAGGCTTCCGGCGAGCAAAGCGTCTCAGGAGCTCAGCTTCGTCCCCCGGAGGCCGAGGGCGAAAGCGACCGCTCATCAATAAACACCCCGCATCCCTGTGGATTGCCAATCAGCTTTAAGCGAGACGAGGACACGACGTACCGTGGCGCGGAGTTGAAAGTATTGCGAATATGTGGGGGAAACCGCTGGCGCGAGGAAAATAGAGATACAATCGATTTTCAAGGAAAGGCTACAGGGGAAGGTCGGGGTACATCCTGCCACAGCACGCTGTGGAATAGATAGCTCGAATCTGGGGGACGACACGGATCGATGCGAGTGAAGAAGCAGTTAATGAATCGTGACGACGCTGAGCTCTAGGCGGGAACCCCAAGGGCAGCGAGGGCCTGCTTGGCGGCCTCAATCTTCGCAGTGTTCTTGTTAGGAGCCGAAGCAGTGCCCTTCGTCTCCCCGCGAACTGATAGGTCAGGTTCACAATTAGCAAAGAAATTCTTATCACGGGCTCGTGACTTACTGTTGCACTTGACGGTCCAAACAACAGTGCCGTTTGGACCGGGAGCCTGCCTCTCAGCCCAGCTCACAGCGGCATGCTGATTGAGGCCTTGGAAGTCTGCGCACGTGGCATGAGCAACGAAGATGCGGTCGAAAAGGCAAACGCGCACGGTTGTTGAGCTTTGCAATGGCGTCTGGGCAAGCACATCAGTAGTTTCCGCGGTCTTGCATGAGGTCACTTACCCATTGCACACGGTCTCGTTTGTCTGCAGAGGTCCCTTTGCCACCCAAGTTGCTTATATGTGATGGACGAGCCATCGCTGCGCGGCACATGCAGAGCAAGATGCTTGAACAAAGAGACCATGGACGCTATAGAAGTTCATGTCCGGTTCGCATAAGTCCAGCGAGATGGCGCGCAGGCGTTCCGAGTTGCCAACCGCAGACGCGAGGCGCAAGACGAACTTGTCTCTCGTGAAAGACTGGGGTGCCGTGGCAAGCATGGCGCATAGAAGAGCAAGGCGCAACCCAGCAGTGCGAGTGTGCGACGTAATCCACACCGAGAATCGCAGAGGAAGTGGGCTCAACTTTGAGGAGAGCTACGAGGATGGCGTCGGCAGGATCCATCTCGGTGAAGAAGCAGCGAGCGTGGATCCAGCAATGTGCAAGCCAGTGCGCCTCGGATCGTCCACGAGGACTCTATAAAAATATGACGATTTGTCGCAGGAACACCTGGAAGTAGCCAGTGGCAATTCGAATCTGCCAGCGTGCCGCCTTGCTTTCTGCTTCCTTGAGCTTACTGGATTAGATGTTGTTGAAGATGCTGGTCAGTCTGCGCTGCAAAAAAGTTAAGAAATAGAGGTAACTGGGGTTGAACCCGAGGTTTTGCCATCGACATCGTCTTCACATCGTCGTGGGAGGCAAGAAGGAGCGCGACCACGTGATAAACCAACAATGGACTTGCACTCCACGCGAAATTTCCTGACGGGGTTTCGCAGTAACATCAGGCCGGCGTTGTGGATGTCGCGGGCTTCTAAATCCCTGACCGCATCAGAATCGTACTGCCTGAGTGGACTGGCGAGATTGGCGATCTCAGCGGACGCCTTGGATCATTTTCCTTGCTCATGCCACCCTTTCCGATACTGTATGTCAATAGGGTAGAAAAGGCGAGAGTAATGCAATTAGACAGCATACTGACAAATCTAAGTGCAATATACAATTGTAAATATAAGCAATTAAGGGCATGACTCGAAGCCGGGGTAGTATAAAGCAGGCCAATGGCCACAGGCCGTCGAAAGCGTCAGGTCATCGACGCAGAACGGCTCAAGAGATCGAACCCTGATTGCGAAGAGCGTTTATGGCCTGACAGGCCGCCGCCTCGCGTGCGCTGTTTATACTGCTCCCCCTTCCAATGCCATAAACCTGGTTGTTGACTGGAGCGCATTAGCCGGTACCCAGCAGTGCAGTGACAATGAGTGAGCGTACGATAGATTGTTGACGTCCAGGTAAGGTTGTTGGGAGGGCCTGAGGTAATTTCCTCGTACCTCACGCTCATCTGCAAGCGAGGCGTGTACTTGTTGAGAGTGTGGCGATAGCCTACGACGGTGTTAGCCTTCGGAGAGACCAGGGAAATGAGCGGGCTGACTTGACATGGTGAGAAGGCGACGAAGGAGAGTACGATGAGATGGCTGGGACGTGACTCACTTTTTATACTTCTCCAGCGGGCTGCACAGCGCGAGTTGGTATGGAGAGCTCATAGTCTTTTACACCACAAGCTGTGTTTAACGACGTTGTCGGCGAGGTCAATTCACGCCCAAGCAGCGAATGGGACAATGGCAAGGACTTGGACCCGTTCGATGACTCACCTCAGATCCCCAGATCGTTTACATCCGCGAAGGGCGCCGCAGACAAGACACTGAGATGCACCGAATAAGCAGTGGGGAGCGTCGCGAAAATGGAGCACGACCACGGCGAGTTACGGCTCCGACGCAGTCGCTACCACTCTCATTGGATGGAGAAAAAAACGAGGCCGTAAACACAGGTTTCCATGGTGTTCGCTCGCGCGTAGAGGTCCAGGGATTTTCGTCCGGTAATTCAGCCACTCAACCTGGCGCTCCGGAGGCGACGCAGAACGTGCTTTCCTAGGACGCCCGTGTTCCGCGCGGACGGCAACCCGTGTTATCACCGCGGTCGACGCCGATGGGGGGTCGCTATGATCATCGCGCGGATCGCTCAGTTGACCGGCAGCCATGGACGATTGCCGATCGCAGTCAGCGCTGACAGCAACCGAGTCAAGGCCTGTACAAATTCTATCATCAGTTGGTCACCAGAGTGAGCTCCTTCCGAGATATGACGGTACTTTGCCAGTCCAAAGGACCGGCACGTACTTTGTACTGCTGTGCACACTGTGAGTTAAGCGCCGTGAGCGCTTACAATAGCAGCCGAGCATTATGTTGCATAGCCTGCCAGGAAAACGATATCAGCCGCAAAGACGTACACAAGGACAGACTCCCCACCCATCTACAGTAGCTGCGTGGGCAACGGGGCTTTGAGAGCACCGTCTTGACCGAGCCTTCACACCCAGTACGAAGTTGAACATGTCACGTGCCACTTGTGCGCCTCCCGTCAAGATTATCGCCCCAGATTCAGCCCGGTAAACAAGGACTGTGCATCTGGTCAAAAGGTGTACTGATATGCTTTTCGAAGGCGAGACGTATAGATCTTTGGCAGACAACGCATACCGGTGGTTTTTGGGAAGAGTACGGCCGCCGACGGAGATGAAAGACGAAAGCTGAGTGCTCTGGCAAGATGGCATGCGCGACACCGAGCGCATTGTCGGTTACCCACATCCCGGCGTCTTTCTCGAGTTCGACGCAGGCGCAGTTAGGAGGTTCGAAAACTGCGTCAGGGCAATAACCAGCGACTGTTGGCGCGTCAGCCTGCACGCGCTCGCCTTCAAGATGCCGCGGAAGAGGAGTGTTGGCCAGCATTACCAATGGCTCGGGCCTGGCCCACGAGCGAGTAACGCGTCCTCTCAACTTCGTCAAAAGAGATCAAGTCCCGGAGAAGATCCTGAACGGGAAGGACGGCTTCCTACGCGTTCATTCGCAGAGTCGATGCGAGACATTCATTGAGCTTACGCGGTGACAGCCCAAACGACGAAGTTTTGAGAGCATGGCTTCAAGGCTTCCCTCGCACTGAAGGTATACGCAAGTTTTCCCACCAGGGCCTCTGACAACGCCTAGACCAGTGTTGCGCGGACACGTGGAATTCCATTGTCTGTGACTGGCGTCACGGATGTCGGACAATGGCGCGTGACGGACAATTGTCCATCGCCGATTAAGGAAGGTGCGTTGTCCAACGGCGCCGCCAAGGCGCCGTCGCCGCATCCCGCGCATTTGACGGGTTTGTATAGGGCCCCCTTGTGTCGTGTAGCTAGGATACAGCCATATGTGCCGAGAAATGAAGCATAATAGCAATGAATGACCAAAAAAAACTCCGAAATAAGTCTAAGTCGTATTACATGCGGGGAACCAACCGCTCTTCCATGCCAGAGAACCCGAGTACATCTTCAACTGTCTCGTCAACATCAAATACATCCTCCTCGTCCTCTTCCCCTGCCGCATCCAAGTCCAGCAAGTTATGAAGTTCCAGTTCTTCATCAAGCGAGCGCTTGGCATCATTCTCGAGTAGCGTAGTCCAGCCCTTCTTTGTGAAATCGAAGAGGTCGCATATCGAGGTGACTGCGGAGTCGGACTGCCATGGCAAATCCTCGAAAGCGTCATCCTCATCATTCCTACCAGCCTGCTGGAACGCCTCCACCATGCTAGAGAACTGTCCCCCTCGATTCTGTCTGGAAGCCGTGATTGGGACATCATCATAGGGGAGCAGATCATCTGCAGCGTCAGGCGCTTCTGGAAGAAGGGGAGGACGAGGAGGTGGGGCTGCCAGGCCTCGATCTGCGCTCTCGTGCTGCTCGAAGTGCCGCTTCAGCCGAGGTTTTAGCTCCTTATCGCGGGTGTGCTCGTCCCGGATATGCATCTTGAGCTCGGCGAGCCTCTCCAAGGTGTCCTTTCCCAGGCGGTTGCGGCGCTTCGTGAGGATGTTCCCGAAAGTGCTGAAAAGTCGCTCGCATGACGCTGAATTTGCGGTCATCGAGTGGATGTGAAGAGCGAGTCGAACCAGAGGTGCTGGTGAGGACGTAGCCGATGTGAAGCCTTTCCAGATCACAGTCGGGTCTGGCAGGCGCCTCTGCGGAGTATGAGGTCAGCACCATTTCTATTGATTATGAATCGAAATACCTCGGCGAGAGCGTCGGCTCTCAGCGATTCCACGAAGTCAGGCAACGAAGCATAGAAATTTGCATTGTTGAGATAGGAAATGAGTTCGTTGTACAGGGAGGCGGGAGCGCTGTCACCTCCGAAGAAGCGGATGTAGAGTTTCTTGACGAGGGGATATATGTTGTTTGGGATGGTCATTCTGGAGCAAAACGGAGCGGTGCGATAGAATGGGTTGAGGATGATGGCGATGATGAAGACGATCTGGTCGCACTTCGACCAGCGGGTCTCGATGCTAGCAATGATCGCCTTTGACCCGTGCGCATCAGTCTCCTGCATCTTCTGGGAGTTATAGAGAATGACGAGGCGGCCGAGCGTGAGCAGAACAGAGTCCAGGGTGCAGTGCGTGGATTGAGTGATGTTTGAGGCGATAGCGAGAGGCTCGGTCATGACGGTCATTCTGGCGTTGTTTATGAGATGAGCACCACACGCATCGAATAGAGCGTACCGAAGGACATCGTGCCAGAACTCGCCGCTGTTGATAAGCGCTATCATCTTCTTCGCCTTCTCCTTCGCCTCTTTCTTGCCCTTGATAATACATGACTTCCCTCCTAGCTGCTCCGCGTCGTACTTGTCTTTTGCGATGACGTTCTCGATTACCTTGCGCAGCTGCAGCAGTCGGGAGAAGGCAAGATAGTGTGAGGTCCAACGCGTTAGACACGCACGGATGATGGTGAGTACGGTTGGAGGCGGAGGTTTTGCATCGAGCTGAAATTGACGGATGAGACCAAGGAGCAGGGACTTGCTTCGCAGCCAAGTGATGAGCTCTTCGGCCTGCGTCGAAGAAGCAGCAACATCGGAATCTGAGTCGAAGTAATCGCCAACTACAAGCTGGATCTATATTGTGTGAATATTGCGGGAAATCATGATAATCAAATAACTGACCTGGTGGGCGTAGCAGTCGGGGAGGACTAGCCCAGGAAAGCGTTTGGCCAATATACTGCGAGCCTTTCGGGACTCTCCTGATGCGTCCGTGCATATGGCTATGACATCAACACCATACTTCTCCTTACACTCCTTGACTGCTGCTTCGAGAAGCTCAGCTAGGTGCTCGGCGCTTCGGGGTTCAGATGTTCCATCATGGACACGAACAGTATAAACCTAACGGCACTTAATCATCAACATTTGAAGGGGCTTCATTTGACATACCTTCCCATCAACAGTGATCATAAAAGCGAGGAGGTATCGTCCATCGACCCCCGTCCAACCATCTTCCTGCAGTGTCCCTGACTTCCCTTGAGTTTCCGCACGCATTCGCTTATGAACACGGTCAATTGCCGCGGGAAGGAGCGAGCGCACGAGTTGGTGTCTCGATGGATTACGCGCGCCAGGAAGAAACATCGCTAGTCCGCGTATCCAGACCGGGTTGTCAACCCATGATAGTTGGAAGCCGCAGGACGCCGTGAGGTCGACAATCCATTCTTCGAACATCTCTTGCTCCTTTGGAGAGAACATGACCATGAATTTCTTCGGGTCGAAGAGAGGTGGCGGCGCAGGAGCCGGTGCGGGAATGGGCATGGGCACGGGTGGCAGTGGTAAGGTTGGGCCCTGCATATTGGGCATCGAAGTAGAGTGCTGAAGTCGGTTGTATGATGAATGAGCTAGAAAGGATGCCGCCGCTGCACCTGGCGTGAGAGGGGAGGGGGAATGCGAGAAGTCTGGGGCGTAATGATCACCACTAGACGCGCTAGACATGGCGCTAGGAGTGGGTGAAGCTGGGAAGACATGAGAAGCGCTGTCAGATGCGCCAGACATTGCGGCCGAAGTGACATTTGTTTGCGAGGGGACGGGCGAGTTAAGCGAAACAGTTGGGCCTAGCGAAGACACGGAGATCGGAGGAGGGGGCTGAGGCGCAGGCGCACAGAGAAAGCCTGAGGGCGCAAAGGAGGCGGCAGTGGGTTGCTGCGCGTCCTGCGCTTGAAGCTGCTGTCTCCGCATCTCGAGGTATTCATTCGAGCACTTCAGGCCTGTGGCCTTATCCTCGCCCGCTAGCATCCTCACCACTGATGATTGGTATGGACAGTGGAGGAGATGGTTGACGATCGTCGTGCGATCTGACCGGATCGAGCCATATCTTCCGACAGTGCTGCCGACAGAAGTCTTGCCCGCAGCGTTCAGAGTCCAAACTTGATGCTGGTCAGAATCAAGAGAGTATCAACCAATTTATGATCACGCACGCCAATGCTGGATCTCCTCCTCCGTCCGAGCTGTCTGGCGCGCACCACTGGCGACCTGGGTGACATCTGCTTGCTTCTCGATGGCTACGTGATGTGCTAAGCACTGCCGACAGTATATTCGCAATTTATTGCTTTGAAATAGTTCAGAGTCTCGTGTAGCTCCGGGCTTGTACCCAGGGGGGTCATGAAAGTATTGCCTCCAGTATATGCGATTGGACATGACGGCGACAGAGGTGGCGGACGAAGGGAACTTTGTATCACTGCCTATCTGAGAACCATCAATCGAAGTCGGCCGTCCTATTCTCTGTATTCCACAAAATGCGAAGCTTCTAGCAGCCCAGTGTGATAGAGGGGACATATACGATCTCATAAGTGAGCTTAGAATTCCTTAAATCATCAGCGCGCCTTCAATCGAGACACCACAAGCACGAGTGGCGCGCCAGCGGAGGCGTGTGAATTCGCCGGTAATTGCCGGTGCCCGCCCCCGGGTCCGTGGGACCAGCACGTGATGGACAAGACAATTGGAATCGCCAACGGAATTCCACGGGCGGAACATCAAACGGACATTGTCCACCGCCAAATTCCACTGTCCGCGCAACACTGGCCTAGACCGCGCGCCTTTGAGTGTTTGCACACGGAAGACGGTGAAGTGGACCCTGTACTTTCCGAAGCTAGGAGTTCCTTCCGAAAAGAGGTGGCGTCCGTAAGGGGAGTAATACTGTGGCAAACACCATAGACATTGTTGAGCAGCTCAAAGACACAGCAGCTGGGCAGTATAGTCGTCTGTCCCCACGAAACAGTTGAACTTGTGCAAGAGGTCCGAAGAGGCGCGTGCCACGTGCACCGGCGCGATTGCCATTTAGGGGCGAATTTGAAGCTCCGCCCCAAGTTGGATCACGCCGTCGTCCGCTCGTTCCTCCGTCGCCCAGACCGTCCTCGCCGCCGTTCGCGCTCGTTTCTCGTCGTCGTCACCGTCGTGGACGTTGGACGCTCTTTGCGACCGTCTTCTGTCCTCCCCATTCTTGTTAAGCAGCCAGGGCTCATCTCCGACGCTCTGCGTTAGCTCTCCTTTCGTACTGTCACAGTTTTCTACGGTCTTCAACTCGTGAGTGCCTTCATCTGCGGCAGGAAGCACCCAATGGACAATACAAACAGCTCGTACTCATAAGCGCCCCTCAAGCACTAGTCCAGTCGCTTATCATTTCCTTATTCCGCCGACATGTCGCAAAACCAAGGTGATATACAGGAGCGCATAGCCGCCGCCCGCCGCGAGGCGGAAAGCCTGAAGGAGAAGATCAGGGCAAAGAAGGAATCGTCGGCGGACACCAGCCGTGCGTAGCAGTCGCACGCAGATCAAGCGCACGTTGACTAATCACGTCGATACAGTGCGCGCCATGGCAGCCGAGGTCGACGCGTTGCCTCGCATCGTTATGCGTCCGCGACGGGCCCTGAGGGGGCATCTCGCCAAGATCTACGCGATGCACTGGGCCGCCGACCGGAGACACTTGGTGTCCGCCTCGCAAGATGGAAAGCTCATCGTCTGGGACGCGTACACTACGAACAAGGTTCACGCCATCCCGCTCCGCTCCAGCTGGGTCATGACCTGCGCATACTCCCCGTCCGGCAACTTCGTCGCCTGCGGTGGTCTCGACAACATCTGCTCCATTTACAACCTCCAAAACAAGGAAGGGAACAGTGTCAGGGGTGCTCGTGAGCTGAGCGCGCACTCTGGCTACTTGAGTTGCTGCCGCTTCCTCAACGACCGCCAAATCGTGACCAGCTCAGGTGACATGACCTGCATGCTCTGGGACATCGAAGCGGGTGTCCGCGTCGTGGAGTTCAGCGACCACACAGGAGACGTGATGAGGTGATTGTTCTGACTACATATGGTAACCAGGGTCTGACCGGAGTTTTCTCCAGCCTCTCCCTCGGCCCCAACCAGAACATCTTTGTGTCTGGCGCTTGCGACGCCACCGCGAAGATTTGGGACATCCGTAGCGGTCGCGCTACTCAGACCTTCACTGGCCATGAGTCCGACATCAACGCCGTACAGTACGTTGCCGTACTGTGATCCCTTCCGAATGCTACTAACGTTTCTTTTAGATTCTTCCCTAACGGCGACGCGTTTGCCACCGGCTCCGACGATGCTTCTTGCCGTCTCTTCGACCTCCGGGCCGACCGCGAGCTGAACACGTTCACTCACGACAACATCTTGTGCGGTATCACCTCCGTCGCTTTCTCCATCTCGGGTCGCATTCTCTTTGGTGGTTATGATGACTGGACTTGCAATGTTTGGGATACCCTTAAGGGCGAGCGTGTGGGTGTGTTGACAGGCCACGAAAACCGTGTCAGCTGCTTGGGTGTCAGCTCGGACGGCATGGCTCTCTGCACGGGTAGTTGGGATAGCACTCTCAGGGTACGTGTTCTGTCATCATCCATTCGATATATGCTGACCATTCTGTAGGTTTGGGCCTAAACTCCAAGCTGTTGTATATGTACACCTGGATGCCCACCCCTTTGATTTCCCGCCGTTGTAGAGATCCCCGCTGTCATCCGACTTTGGCGCAGTGGCCTGTCCGACTTGTATGAGATCTATACCCACCTGCGAGCCCCCATCCACGATGCAAGGACGCCTCGAGTCGGTCGTTACTCACTTTCTAAGCCCCTTCCACCTTGATCCCCCTACGTAACTTGTGTCTTATATATCCCGTCACTTTGACCTGTCTTTATGCTTCTCCTTTCTTCAGATGCTTCTGATTAACGTATATAGGGCCAATCCGTATCTCACTTATTCGGCGGAATATAGCATACGATAAACGCAGCTTGAGCTTATGGAGACTGGCAGTTCGACTTCGGACCTGAACTTGATAGCACGTGCATCATCATGGCCACGTCGCGGTTGACCGGAGGACGCGCCGAGCTTCCGGCGCGCATCTCACCGTCGACGTCGACGGGCAGCTCATTGCACGACTTGTTCCCCGCGTTCATCATAACAGTCGCTCGCAATGTCTGAGGATGATCGTGCCGCCAAGGCTGCGAGGGCAAAGGCATTGGTAGACGGTCATCTCGGCGGTAGTCTGAGCGCAACTGACGGGTTTCCCGACTTAGCTGGCCAAACGACAGAAACAGAAGAAGGGAGGCGCAGGCGCTGCGGGACTGATGAGCCCACCATCGAGGTCGACGACACCAGCTCTGTCCGAGCCTCCGGGAGAGGATGAGAAGCGGGACGTAGCTGATCTGTGCGTGAATAGCACCGTACCATGTTCCGCTCACTGACATCGGACCGCTTGTGGCGCGCAGGTTTGGAGGGAAGGATGATTCCGACTCCTCCTGGATTACCTCTATGCCCCGCGCACCGTCCCCGGCGTCCGGGCGCGCCGGGTCACCGGCCTCCACATCCCATTCCCCTCGGTCAAGCGCGGTCCTCAGTCCTTCCATATCCCATGAGAAGGAGCTAGCGCTGCAGCGGCATATCGCGTCATTGGAGGCCGAGAAGGATGGGCTGCTTGCTCAGCTCCGACGCTTTGAAGGAATAGACGCCCGTGAGTGGGTAGTTCCGATCACCCGTTCCCCCTCACTGACGCAAGTATGCCAGACTTAAAGCAGGTTGAGACGGCGTTATCTCAAGAGCGCGAGAGCAATCAGTCCCTGAGTGAACAAGTAAAGCGCTTGCAGGATGAGCGAGACAACGCGTCGCGTACAATCCAGGAGACGCGTACCGCTTTGGAGGCCCAACAATCACGCGCCGCCGCTCTCGAGAAGGACCTTCAATCCTCGCAGTCCGAGAAGGAGACACTATCTCAGAGCCTGGAGCGAACGAAAGCTCAGTACGATAATCAGCTTTCCGAGGAGCGGAAGAAGCTGCAAGCGGCCGAAGAGCGGCTCAAGCACGCGCAGAGTGAACAGGGCAAGTCTGCACGAGCCTACCAACAAACTTCGACCCAGCTCGACGAAGAGCGTGCGCGTGCTCGTACTCTCGAGAACAAGACCCAGCGACTGGAGGCGGAGATTACCGACATGAAGCAGAATAATCAGCAGACCATCAACCTTCTCGTTTCCGAGAAGGCGTCCCTCACGGCGGAACTCGAACGCCTCGAGGGGATCGAAGCTGGTGCGTCAGCAAATATTCTGCCGCCGCCGGGGAGGGTCTGAATTACTCTGCAGCTTCACATGAACTCCGTGAGGAACTTGAGCAAGAACGCCTTCGAGTAGCGTCCCTTTCGGAGGAAGTCCATACAGCGGATGAGCGCATACGAGATATCACAAGTGCACTCAGCACGTCGCAGGGCGCCGAGAAGGAGCTCGCGGACAGGTGTCGAGACCAGGTAATGTTCTTTATGCTAGTATGACATGCGCCCTTCTGACGTCGTCCACAGGAACGCCAGTTGCAATTGGCTCAGGCGTCAGTCGCTGAGCTTACGAAGGAGTCCAATCAGCACAAGCGGCGTGTGCGCGAATTGGAGGAACAGATTGAGGCCGATGACCGAGCCGAGCGTCTGGAGGAGTCTCTGAAGAATGCGCAGAACCGCGCCGACGAGCTGGAATTCCAGTTGACCAAATTGAAACAGGTATATCATCTTGTTCTTCATATCCATGGCCACGATAATTATAATCTACCCGTTAGACGCATTCCACCTTGAAGGCAGAGCGGGATGACCTCAGCACCAAGGTCCACACCGCCCAGCAGGCAGAGGCCGAGTGGAAATCGAAGCACGACGCCTTGCAGCAGCAGTTCGATGACGCGACGCAGCAGCTCGAAGAGAACGCCTCCCAAAGTCTTTCGCTGACTCAAGAGAAGGCGACGCTGCAGACCGAACTGGAAAGCATGCAGCAAGCCATCGTACAGCTTCAGGAACGCCTCACCCAGGCCGCTACCGAGCTCACTGCGTCCGCGCGCCAGCTGCAGGCTGCCCAGACCGAAGCCCGGAATGCCAACCGCCGGGCGGAGGAGGCAGAGAAGATGCAGCAAGACCTGCAGGCGGAAGGCACGTCGCTCATGCGCTCGCTTGACGAGATGCGGCCGAAGCTAGTCGAGCTGACTGGTGCGAAACTCGAGCTAGTGGACAAAATTGACAGCCTCGAGCGCGCCATCCACGCGAAGGAGGACACGATTTCGCAGCTGGAGGCGACGCTCGAAGATGTACGCGCTGAGCATTCGAAGGCCGCGAAGCAGCTCTCGGACGTCACTTCGACGAGGGAGAAGGAGGCAATGTCGACGCAGGAAATGAACGCTGAGCTGCAGCGCGGCTATACTCAGCTTCAGGAAGAGCTGGAGTCCGCGCTGGAGAGCGTGCGCACACTCGAGGCGGAGCGCGCTGTTAACCATCAGGAAGCTTCGCGTAGGCTCGCGGATATGAGTCTCTTGTCGCAATCTTCGCAGGAACTGCTGGAGGAGCTCGAGACGCTTCGGACAGAATTAGACGAGCGACGCAATGTTCAGGTGAGCCCGCTCTTTTCGCATCCCGTGCTCTGCACCCTGGCTCAATTCCCACCCAGCAGGAGGAACATGATATCTTCGCACGCGCACAGAACGAGCTGGAAGCCTTGCGTCAGGAAGTTGCGGCGAAGGACCAGGAATTGGAGCGTTTGCGTGATTCCCTTACCTCCCCCTCGGACGCCGTCGCCCCCAACTCGCTCGGCGACGAGGTGCTCGAGTCTGCCCGCCAACTTGACCTTTCTGCTGCCCATCAACGCATCCGCTCGCTCGAGGACGCGCTATACACCGCCGACGCGCGCTCCCACAACCTCCAACGACACATCGCCACCCTCGAGCAGCAGCTCGCCGGCCGCGCCGCCGTCGCCCACCGCGCCATATCCCCGCCCACCGCGCGCGCCTCCTTCTCCTCCAGCCGCGGCAACGCGCCCACGCTCTCCGTCATCTCCCCCCTCGACGAGGGCCTCAGCCCGGAGACGCGGCACAAGCGGCACGTCAGTCTCAGCATGCTCAAGGCGCGCATGGAGAGCGAGCGCGCTGCGGCGGCGGCGATAGACGGCGGCTCGCGCCCCGGCACGCCCTCGCAGCGGCGTGCGCACCGCCCGCAGTTCTTGGACGAGAACCACATCTTCTGGTGCAGCGCGTGCAAGGGGGATCTGGTCATTCTGTGAGCCTAGTACGACGAGGAGAACGGACCCGCGCATCGTTCGCGGGAGAAGGCCGACGTCTCCCGCGCGTCGCTCCCTACCTATTTATCCTATATACCGCTATGGACCTCTCGCATGTCTCTGGGACCTTGCCATCGATGCTATACCTCGCTTTTCGTCCTGGAAAAATTGAACGAACTGATCCTGATTTTCGACGTCGGCATGACGTCGCCTGTTCTTTCGCCTAAGACCGCCTTCGCGCACTTCCATAAAAATTGCACCGAGGTCAGCTGGCGACAGCCGTTGAACACAAGACTGAGCATGCCTTTAATTCACCCGGATTGGCTAGAAAAAGGCTGACGCAGACTGCACAAAAACTGCCTATTCTGGTAACCCGAGGACGGAAGCAATTTAGATGTTTCGGCATTTGCCGATTCCCTTGTTCTGCAACTTTATGGCCCTTGGGGTGTCGGCGCGCTTACGAGGCCTCCCCTTAGATGTGATTGGGTTTGCCTCCGCATGTTCTTCCGAGAGGATAAAGGTACGGAAATGATCGTGAGGGTTGGACAGGCGGGCTCATATAAACCCTCCTAGGCTTCTTTCCTTCCGGCAGGACCAGTCGACGAGTGGCACAAGAGTCCGACTTCAAGAGGGTTCAGTCAGTTGGTATAGAGGCGCAAGCACAGCTGCGAGCTCGACGAGCCGCATATTATATTCTTTGTTGGCCAGCCGAGGTAGATAGTAGTCAGTATCTCGGTCGGACACGCCAGTGAGTATCGTACAAACAGCTGGGAATTAGAGGAAAAACGTCCTGTACGGTACTTGTATGCAGGTGCAAGATGATGTATGTATGTATGCAAATTGGTGATGGACAAGATGATGGGACAAGCGACAGCAATTCGAAAGCAAGAGCCACTGACCATAATGGAGGTCGAGCGACAAGATAGGTGTACAACAGCAGGGATGGGCGACCCATTATGGGCATAGCAAGAAGCATCGGGAGGGAGAAAGGCGGCCGCAACTACGCGCGCGGCTGAGGGTGTTTCCTCGTCGCGTACACGTACTGACACCGGATGTAGATGGGTGTCCGCGCCTCCATGAGCTCCCGAATGGCGTTCTGCTCAATTTGATTGAGCAACGCCTCCGGCATGCCACTTCCGAGGAGCAGCGGCCGCCCAGAGCGCATGAACTCCTGCGTGCCCTCGTCAGTGTCGGCCGCAACGCGTGACTGAGAGTAGAGTGAGGACTCACCAGGATATCCTCCCGCATGCAAAGTCCCATCTGCCGCCAGAAGGGATCGCTCAAGAAGGGGGACGACGGTACCCAGAACTCGCGGTAGACGACGTTCTCGAAGCGCCGGTGTTCGCGTACCCAGTCATGTAGGTGGGTCGCAGCGTCGACGGCACCTCCTCGGTTCTTCGCCGCGTCGCGAAGGAAGGCCAACCACTGTGGCCACCAGGGAGCCCGGATATTTCCGTCGACGGACGGTTCTATACGTTTATGATGCTCGTCGTAACCACAGAAGTCGAACTCCATGATATCCAGCAGCCCCCCTGGCCGCAGGACGCGGCTGATGTGTTCGATTAGGCCGTGATAGTCTTTAATCTGGGTGGCACGGGCGTCGGTATTAGATACCGCAAGACGTGAGACACGTACCCCAGATGAGATGAGTCGGGCGTGTACGACGTTGAAGTCGCCGTAAAAGTGCTCGAGGCCGAGGTTGACATCGTCGACTTCGCTTCTGGATGATGGTGAGGAACGACGTGATGGGTGGCACAAATGATTCGTACCTGCAATTTGGTGGCATTGTACTGTAGGAATGTCAGGAACTGTCGACGACGGTCGACCAGAAGGACTCACGTCGATTGCATGGGAACGAGATCGACGGCAACACAGCTGCTATTCGGGTACTCGCGGGCGACCTCCATTATCCTAGATGCGGGTAAGACTTTGGCATGAATGCCGAGCTGGGCGCACGCACCAGCTACCACTTCCGCATCCAAGATCGAGGCAGGCCTTAGGCTCGCCAGGCGTGTTGTCCCGCATCACATCGTCGAAGGGGGGTGGATACTTGCCCATGATGACCTTGAACATCTCGTGCTGTTTATCTGCGCAGTCTAATTAGTAGACGATCGCGACCCTAGCGCGATCACGCACCTAGCCGCTCGTACTCCTCGTCGTCAGCAGGGAGAGAGTAGATGTCCGAGTAGTTGTTCAGCCCGCGCCCGTATTCGTGGCGATAAGCTTGCCGTCGGAGTGAGCTGGTCATGGACCAGACGGAGGGTGCGGGAGAGGCTGAGCGCATTGAAGCGTCATCCTGGGGGTGCGTGGTGTGGGAGGAAACGGAGCTGGGTCCCGCAGAGAAGGGGGGGAAGGAGGTGACGGACATGGCATCGTCCTCGCAGTCGTCGTCGGAGAGGTCCGACATGGGGCTAAGGTAGCGGATGGGCCGCCGTGTGGGCGGGCCTGCCGAGTCGACGGCGTCGGGGAGGAGCGACGAGGAGCGACCCCAGGCGCTCATGGTGGTGGACGGAGGCAAGAATAAATATCGACGAGCGCGAGGGCGCCAACGTTTATAATCAACTAAGCGGCGGACGAGATGCCTTCGACCGACCAACAGTGCTTCCGCCCCGATCGTGCTCTTGCCCCATTAGGAAGATCGGATATATCCCTTCCTCCCGTCGTCAACGTCCCCCACGCTCATCGTCCGGCCCCCGCGCGTTCATTATGCGCAATTTCGCGGTCTTGAAGCCGCCGGATGCTCCCCCAGGCGCAGGAGTACCTTGCTCGCCTCTGGAAATTGTCAGGAGCACCCAACGCCACAGCGTAATGTCTCTCCAGTCACTCGGCTCGCTCCGACATCAGGCGACATCGTCTTTTCCGCCGGTGCCGACTCCGTGCCAACAAATGCTGTCGGCGTTGCGAGTCGCATCTCATTTGTTGCGGCCCACGATGATGATAAGCACATGGCAACTTTATTGCTATTGTCCGAGTACGTACTTGCTCCTTCATCAGGTGCAAGCGCAAGTCCCGCTTTCAGATCCTCTCCGGCTTGACCTTGTTCTTGGCTGAGCCCGGTTTGTGACTCTGCCCCTAACTCTCGTCTCTTTTGCGCCTTCGTCCGCTCGGCGCAATTCAACGGAGGCATCGCGTCCAGCACAAATATCTACCGCCGCACCCTGCTCGGCCAACCTCGACCCCCCGAGTCTCGGTGTTCGAAGCAGCGAGGTGAGGTTTATGACCTCTTCCGCGGCGATGGTTTCCCTCTCCACCGCCGCCGATACCGCCTAAGCGCCGGCTCGCCTCGCCCTTGAGGTCAACTGAAAGCGCGTCCCTTCCGGGCCTTACTGAGCACGCGACGCGTTCTTCCCGCCCTGTACGTTCTCCTCCACCGCTATACGACACAGACCCTTCTCCCAATGCCCGCGCTACCTTCTCCCACTGCCACCTTCGCCTCATCGAACTCTCCGCTGGGTAGGTTGACTGTGAAATCTGCGCGCGCCCACGGCGACCCACTCGACCCGCGAGCTTCCCTGCGCGACTCCGGCGTCTGGAAGAAAGGCGCTCGCGCACGATGCTGGGCTTATGGACGCTCTTCCGGGGGTCTCCTGACACTTTCGGTAGTCTCAAAGCGCCGCATGGGGGGCTGCGCAGCGACAGCCTGAGCTATGACCCTCACCGTGCGGGCGAATCCCTCCGCTCCCATCGGCGTGCGCGATCCACTTCTCGCCTTCCTCGTCGTCTGCGACATCGCACAGTCGCATGCGCTCGCTTGCTTTAGCGAGGGAAACAATGTGCGTGGGCTGGGAGCGTGCGTCGTGCCGCGCGTTGCCGAATGGTGATGAGGGCATGCAGGCAGACTTGCCGGCGGGTCATTCAGAACGCCTTCGTCTGCCGATGGGGCGTGCTCTTCCTTTGCCGCATTGGTGCGCCCCATTGTCCTTCTCGAGACGGCAGCGCGACCGCCGAGGGGCATCAGGCTTCAGTAAATGGGCCCGGCCCGTTATTACCGCCTTTGCTGCATCGTGGCCTTCGTGAAGTCGGACCGTCCCGTCGAAGGCTCTCATGCGTGCGGGCCGTCTTTCAACGTCCAAGCACGGCGTCTTCCGGGTGCATTCATTTCAGTATTTGCTAGCATGAATTCTCCTTGCTCTTGGCCTTCCTTCACGAATTTCCCAATGCCACAATTTATCCTTCTTTGCGTCCTCGTCGGCAGAGTACTCGATATATTTTGCCGTATACTCGAGGCCTTCTCCATTCACTGCGCGGGTGCTGAGCGGCGACGCTAGGTAACTCTGGGTAGAAATGAGGGTACTCCGTCTGCAGACGTCGGCCTATATAGGCTTCTAGTACAGCGCGGAGTTGCTCGTTCTTATGAAGGCGACGGTGATTTCTCTGCTTCTCGAATGAAGTGTGTTTCTGTTCTGCACATCGCCGTAAAGCCGTCGACCACGACAAGGGAAGCTTCATAGAAACCCCAAAGTGAAGCTGTTGTGGGCGTCGCCTTGTAACGGAAGGTTGTCGGTGCCGAGGGTGGTGAGCGCTCTTCCGGATCGACATACTTCTGAAAGAAAAGAAGAAGGGAAGATATCAGCTGAAAACGGCAGAGCTGCGCTCAAGTAATCTCGCAATTGAGTAGCAAAGACGAGCGAAAATGCTGGAACGGCGGTGCAAGCTGGGATCTTCCGCCTATAGATTTGTACAAGCTATGGAAAGCAAACAAGGCGCAGCCGTTGGTTCCCAGTGAAACAATAGATGCGAATGCACGCTTACGCCGCCTGATAGAGAATAGACGTAAGTCGCGCTACGTCATTGATGCGCAAGAGCTTGCGTAGAGGGTAGAGCGGTAGATGAAGAGATGAGTATAACCTGACGCTGAGAAGTAGCCTGATGCTGTGAACCCATGTAAGCGCCACCACATCGTCGACGTACTAGGGACCGTCATCTGAGCGCGGCCCCTCGGACAGTGTATTCAGTGCGCGCAGTAGATGAAGCACTTCCTCTTCATCTCGTCACAAGCATAGAAAGACGAGAGAACAACAAGAAGAAGGCAGATGGCCAGAAGAGCACGAGACGAGAGTTAGGAACTCTATGCACGAGAGACCGTGGTATCCAGGCGTGCGAAGTCCGCGGTCGTCGCTACATGTGGGCCTTGGGCGTGAGATGGTCGCTTTGTCTGTGGGAAAGGTCACAGAGGCCATGAGAGCGCGGAGGAATGGTCCATTCGAGGCAGATCGGCGTATGCGAATCGGGCGAAATTATAGCTTCACAAGAGATTGGCTGGCAGATGCCAACATCCCTGTATGGTTCTCTCATGTTTGGAGCAAGACCTGGAGACAAGAGAGTACTTTTCAGCCCGCCAGAGTCTACGCAGGATGAGCGTAGGATGCAAGAGGGAAGCCGGGCCGGAGGCGGATCAATACACTTTGGTTCCGAGGCCAATGGTCACGTGCTAAAACCTCACCTCGTTCGAACCTCGACCTCGACCGCAACGCGGTCAGGCAAAAGCATCGTCATTAGAACTTCAGTACAAGGGAGTAGTAAGCCAGCCCCTTTAACTGGATGCAGGTTCTCTACTCGGGTATCAGGCGTCTGGCCGGGCCTGTCCTTTTTAGAATGGGCTATTCCACGATGTCGCCAATCTGTCTCGACTTTGCGCCCGAGGTGACGCTGAATTCCCGATATGAGATTGTCAAGGGACTTGGGCGCGGGACGCGCTCGACGGTATGGCTGGCGAACGATACGACAAGGTACGTCCAAGCACGACGAGTCAGTTTGTATCAAAGTCTTATTTACATACTCGGTCCAGTCCCGGCGCGCAGGTGGCCATAAAATGCCTCAGAAACGATGTCACGGCCGGCCAAGGGAGCGCAACCTACGAACTCGAAGTGCTAGAAGCTATTTGTAAGAAGACGGCAGCTACGCACAGCGAGACTGTCGGACCTTCCCGCGTGCTCCAGCTGCTCGACCATTTCGTGCTGGACAATGAGACGTCCGGCCAGCATTTATGTTTCGTCACCAAACCGCTCGGAATGAATTTGCTGGAAGTGCAGAAGGCGTTTCCGGGGCGGCGGATGCCTGTGCCTCTCGTCCAGCACGTGGTGAAGCAGCTCCTTGAGGGGCTTGCTTTCATTCATGATGATTGTCGGGTCGTGCATACGGGTAAGGTCGTCCGCTGAGTTATCTACTTCGACCTCCTTGACGCGCTTCCGCAGATATCAAGCAAGATAACATCATGTTCGACAATTTCGGCGATGAGAGCGGGGAATTATCCGACGCGGTCAACGTCGTCTTAGCCGACTTTGACACGGGTCAGTAGTCCGACTCGCTGTCCATCCTCTCCTTACTCACGCAGCTTTCAAGCCGTACCAGAACACGGAGACCGTAAACAATTAATCCAGCCGCAGGACCTTCGCGCCCCGGAAGTCCTCATGGGTTGCGACTGGGGTACGTCGGCGGATATTTGGAACATGGGCTGCATCGTACGTCTCAAGAACCTTCAATTTCCCTCGCGCCATTTGCTCCTCTCGCGGTACACGTCGCATATCCATCCCTCACTCCTTGTCTTTCCCTCGCTGCTTACTCCCCATCCCCACAGACCTTCGAACTCATCACCGGGTGCCGCCTCTTTCGACACGAACCACTAGAAAGCGACAAAGGCCACACCACCCCCGAACAAGGCCACTTCGCCATGATCGAGTCCTTCCTCGTCACTGACAGAAAAGACCTCGACGCGCGCATCCGCTTCTTGCAATATTTCAGCGATGGAGAGAACTTTGAGAAGTTTATTGATCGTGAACGTGAGTGCGGCTTCTAGAGATATTTGTGTAGTTCGACCTTGGACTTGTGTCGGTGGCTGACGTGCCACATTACAGGCGGCTACAATCTTCACGTCAGCTACGCCGACCAGGAGCCATTGGGCAAGATCCTTCGGGTCTACGACGTTTACGACGAGCAACTGGAGGACTTCTTGAGGTCCATGCTGCAAATTCATCCGGACGACCGCGCGTCTGCAAGGAAGCTCCTGAAGCACCCTTGGCTTTCCGCGTAGGTAGCCAGCTTTCCGCGCCGCAACCTCAGTTTGCGCTTCGCCACCTGGCTTTACACTCAGCTACCTGGATTACCGCATAGATCCTATACGTCGACCCCGGGCCCAAGCTACGTGCTCTCGCATATTCAACCCCCACTTACTCTTGTGTATACCAGCGCCCCCACTTCGATACCACACCATTACACCCTCACTGCATGATACCACCTCGCTGTATTGTCTTACCACCATCACTACAATCTCACTGTCACCGCTCTCCCCTCAATGATACAACAATTACATTCCATAAGGATATCCCTAGAGATATCGCTTCTTCGCCGCCACAAAATGTTTGCTCAGCGCCTCAAAACCGTCCTCGTTCGGAACCTTTGCTTTTGTTTCCGCCGCCTTCGCTTTCGTCGTCGCATCCTCCTTCTTCTCACCTCCTTCGCCGTCGCCTCTGGCGCCTTCGCGTTGGCGATGCGCAACTTCTCCGGCCCCTCAGTCTCCGTGCGCGAGACAAGAGTTGGTGGAAAGCGATACGGGCCGCGAAAGGCGTGCGAGGTTCGCGGCTGTCGCTACATGTGGGACTCGGGCGTGAGATGGTCGCCCCGTCCATGAGAGAGGTCACAGATGCCATGGGAGCGCGGGGGAATCGTTCATTCGAGGCACGGACACGAGGGAATTGGGTCGGAAGCGGATCAATACCTTTTGATCCCGGACTCGACGAGCACGTGCCGGACCTCACCTCGTTCAAACCTCGACGTTTTAACCCAGTATTACGCGAAATGGGACTCAGCTCATCGGTTTTACTAGATTCAGGTCCTCCACTCGGGCCTCAAGCATCTAATTTGGCCTGTGTCCATCTCCCTCTACAGCCTTCAGACCGCCTCAATGGTCGATACGACATCGTCGAGCGACTTGGCTCTGGGCAGCATTCCACTGTGTGGTTGGCGACAGATACGAGCGGGTACGTGCTGATACTTTTTCTCGGTGACCATCGGGGCTTCCCATGCTCTTCAGCCATGGTGTTCAGGTCGCCATCAAAGTGCTCACCAACGAGGTCACTGCACTGCAGGGCACCGTGGCTTACGAGCTTGACGTCCTGCAACGTATCCGAAAGGCGTCCCAGTCCTCAGTAGAGGTGGCTGGCTTCAAGCAAGTTCTGCAGCTTGTCGACCACTTCCGCGTAAACGGGCAGTATGGCGACCATCTTTGTCTCGTGACAAAGGTGCTCGGACAGGATCTTCTGAGCGTGCAGAGAGGTTACCCTGGCCGTCGCATCCCTGTACCCCTGGTCAAGCACATTGCTCGACACATGCTGCGAGCTCTTGCCTTCGTTCATGACACGTGCCACGTTGTGCATACTGGTCAGTTTGTCATGGGTACGTTCAAGTACTCGCGCTCTAAATGTTGCCGTTACAGACATCAAGCAGGACAACATTCTCTTCGATACGTATGGTATTTGCGCACCCGATCTGGTAGCGGCAGACGTGGTGCTGGCGGATTTTGACACAGGTCCGTCGTCGTGCTTTAATGTGGCCACCAAGGGCTTACATGTGCCGGTAGCCGTGCCCGAGGACGGGGATCACCAGCGTCTCATCCAACCAGAGGCTCTGCGTAGCCCTGAGGTAATCCTCGGCTGCTCATGGGGAGTCAAAGCAGACATATGGAATATGGGCTGCTTGGTACGTGACTAGGTTTTCGCACAAATATCGCCTATTCATTGCGCATAGATCTTCGAGTTACTCACGGGGAATCCCCTCTTCTCTCGCAAGCCTGCGCGGACGTCTACTGGCGAAAGTACTCCAGAGCAGGGTCACTTTGCAGCAATCTATGCTATTCTCGGCCAAGGTGAAGACTTCACGAAGCTGATCCAGTTCTTTTACTCGGGATCGAACTTTCACGAGTTCTTTGACATTCAAGGCAAGCGATGATGAACCCTGTGCACATTTATCTGCCTGACGAACCCTTCCAGAGTGTAAACGTCGCTACGCATTTGCCGACCAGCCGCTGGCGCAAGTTCTCGCCAGCTACAACGCTCATACGCCTGAGCTGGAAAGTTTTCTGAAGTCCATGCTCAGGATTCATCCTGACGATCGGTCTTCTGCGGCTGCACTGCTTCAGCATCCCTGGCTGCGTACCTGATCTCGTCTTTGGATCAGATGTATTGAGTGTTTGCTCAGTTCTGTTCGTGCGTGACATTCTCCGTACTTTCCGTAAACTGTACTATTTGGTTCCAAATGCGACGTTGCAAGAATCCAGCACGTTCACGATTCTGATGACGAGCAATTGGACGACTTGTTGAGGTCGGTGTTACAGACTTATACGATCGCGCGCCTGCGAGGGAGCTGCTGACGCACCCCTGGCTTTCCGCGTAGCTACCTGACTTTCCGCGCAGGAGCTCTGCATCGTCTACGAGATCCCAGCTATGTATTGCCGTATCATAACCCTCACTTCATGATGCCACACATTCGCAGCCCCGCTGCATTATATTAGCATCACTACTGCAATCGCATTGTCGTCGCTCAGGCTTTCCCCTTCTGACGGTCAAGATTCCGTCCCACCTATCGCTTCTTCAAGGCCGCGAAGCGCTTGCTCAACGCTTCGAAGTCGTCCTCGTCCGGAACCTTTGTCTTCGTCTCCGGCGGCTTCGCTTTCGTCGTCGCGTCCTCCTTCTTCTCACCCTCCTTCGCCTTCTCCTTAGCGATCCTCAGCTTCTCCGGCCCCTCGGCCTCCGTGGGCGGGATGGCCGGCAGACGCGGCGTCGACGAGCTTGACGAGGACCGGGTGCGCACGTCCGGGAGGTCGAGGTCTGCGAGGTCGTCGTCGGAAAGCTATAAAGAGCGCCGTAATATCAGCGTGTCGAACAATATGGGCGGAAGAGCCAAACGAGAATACCTTCACCCCTCCCTCATCATCGTCGTCATCGTCGCCCGGCTTGTCACTCACGGGCGGCGCCCACTCGACGGCGTACGCCTTTGCGATCTCGTGGAGGTAGCTGTCCACCAATTCGGCGGAGGGCATGAAGAGTTCGAGCTTTTTGACGACCTGGAAGAAGGGACGGGTCGAGATACAAGTCGGCCGCGACAATTGATGTAGCAGCCGCGGAAAAGGGCGTTGAGCGCGCCACTCACCCGCTCAGGAACACATCCATCCCGGTTCTCCATGACGGCGGCGGAGAATTCGCGCCCGTATTTGTGCATCAGTAAGTCGCGGAGGACGTGAAGTTCTGTAAACAATCTCTTTATTTATCCATGGCGGCAGTGAGCTTCGACAGTGGTGCACCTTTGAGCTCTGTTCTTGGCGCGGCATATATTATGCTATTTTGAATTTCAGTGCTAAGCAGCAAATCACGGACAATGTACGCACGCATGAACGCCTTCCGCAACTGCCGGGTCGGGCTCGCGGGTACTGGGAGGCGGTCAGTTGTCTTGAAGGAAAAGGGGATACGCAGGGAAGAGGATGGACGATACGGTATACACGTACTTCTGATCCAAAATCCCGAAACGAACGTGCACGAGCTCGCAGTAGAGCTCGAGCAGTTCGAGCAGTTCCATGTAGATGTCCTCATTGATTACTGCATCGCAGGTTAGCAAACCAAGCCAACACTGGAATGGGATAAGCGCGAAGGTGGTCGGCGAAGAAAGGATTGAATTGAGGTAAGAACGTCACCACTGGTGAGCAGTAGAGCTGGTAGAGCAAGCGTACCTGCTTCCGTCTTGATTCTTGCGGTCTCTACTTTGCCTCGCTCGAGTAATGTGGCGATGTCACGTCGCGTTGCCTTCGCCTGCGCTTCCTTCTTCTGCTGAAGACTGCGTAACCGCTGGACGGAGAGGCTATGAAGCGCCGATGAAACCGGAGATAGATAGTTGCACAAGATAAATGGAAGGAATGAAATGAGGTGAGAGGTAATTATCAGGATTTGTGCGACACCGTTTGAAAGAAATGAAAGGGATAGATGTATCAGCGGTGAAGGCTGTGAAGAGCGAGGGTTTCCGGCGTACCGCAATTGTACCTATTGCACCCGATGAGTAAGATACTTTCTGTCTGCGCTGATAAGACCTCACTTTTGCTTTCGCCGAGTTCCAGGGTGCCATCGTGTGCGAATCGAATGGTGGTGCGCGCCAACCTGCGAGTGGGGGAGCCAGGCACGGGATCCGGCTGATTCGGTCCGAGGTCCCATGACGCGTGTTCTCACGGTCACTCACCTTCGTTGCTTGACTTCAACCTTCATTCTGGTATGTCGGAGAGGTTACTCTGGTCTATTCATCTCATCGGGGCACCTCTGACGCACCTCTTACAGTGTACGGCACCTTGGTGGCGGGCATTACGCGACTACACAATGTCAACGAACGGATAGAATGTCCCCAGCACCCTTCCGCATGACAATGTCGCATCCTTTGCGGTTTTTCTCAGCGTGCGTGGGTCAATGCAACCTCAATCGATGCACCGCCCGCCAATACCCCATACGCTTATTAGATGCTCTTCTGTGACGCGGTACTCGTAGGAGCTGTGCGCAATCAATGCAAAACGGCGTACACCCGAGGCTTGGCTCTCCGTGCGTCGAGCGCAACTCCCTACCCGTGTTCTTTGTCACAAAAGCATAGTCAGTCGGGCTAAGACGCATTGGCGGTGCGTATTCTCACAGCTGTCCGCAGCCTTAGGGCTATATAGGACGGAATATTAGCGGGACACAGAAGTGACCCCTCGGGGGAATCGATGGCAGGCATATGTAAAATTGGGCCATCGTGTCGATTTTCTGCACCCTCGCTAGCAAAACTGCCTTCTCGAGCAGATTTCCGGATGCAATGGACGTAAAGAGCGTGTCTCGTCTGTGAGTGCGTACCTAATATCCTCGACCCGAAAAGGCAAAAAAGACCTGGATATACGCGGAAGATGCCGAAGGAGCCGCATGGGACAATGAGGTGGGCGTGAACTGCCTTGTATGCGCGCGTTCGCCTGATCGTTCACCTTCTAGTTCTGCCCGCGGTCCCGCCGCGCCCGCACCGCAGAGCCGCCGAAGCTTTCTCCATCACCGCGTGCTCAGGACACGCTGGACGACGTCGTAGGCCTCCCGTGCGTGCCTGGCAGCAGCGACGCGCGGCAACGAGCTGTCGCGCAGAACGGGGGTGCGCGACGGTCGTGACGGCGAGGACAGCGGTCTCGGCGCGCGATGGGGGGCGCGGCGGGTCGGAACCGGGATGGGGACGGTCACGGTCCAAACGATCTTTGAAATAGGCATGGGAGCATGCTCGCTTGATGCGAAGATCAATGGGCATCAAGAGCTTGATTTATGCTGGCGCCCGTTCCCCTCGTCGCGCACCCACGCTTCTTGCTTCCCCCCACGATGAGGCGACCCCAGTTCAGCGGTCTGCGCGTCGACGTGCATCCCTTCGCTATCGGAGCCGCGACCACGTCTCCCCCTACGTCCGCTACCTCCTCGTCCTCCAGCGGCGAGCTCTCCCATCCTTCACGCCCTACGTCAACTGCCCCGAGCACGCCCCCCGCACCCGCGATCGACCTCGACGTCCTCTGCCTCTACGACTTTGCCTCCGATGACCCCGATCACCTGTCCTTCCGCAAGAACGAGATCCTCTCCATCGTCAAACAGCTCGACACCGGCTGGTGGGCTGCTGTGCGCGCCGATAGCGATGCGAGCAAGGTCGGCTGGATCCCCGCCTCGTATGTCGCGCCCCTCTCGCGTCAGATGTCCCACCGCCTACGCGCCGTCCGTGCCGAGATTCGTGTGTATGAATACGAAGCCGAGCGCTTGTACGACTCCGCTCCCATCCAGCGGAACGAGGTCTTCTACGAGCCTTCTCCGCCGCCGAGTCGTCCGGTAAGTCTTGATCTCCGCATTCCACCGCTATAAGATAGAGAGCTGATTCTTGTCGTCATAAGGCTTCTTGCATGGGTGCTCGCCAGCGGAACCTCTCCTCGCCCGACATCTGCACCAGCGTGCGTCCCATGGACATGCAATCTCCCTCAACACCCGTCGCGCAGCCTAGCCCTCTCAGCTCCGTGCAAGAACCTGTGGCCGCGTGCACTCCATTGCGCCGCTCCGAGTCCACTCCCACCCAACGAGTTCGTCGCTCAGACGTAGGCAGCCTTTCGCGAATAAACAAGCTCGTGAGCGAGGGCACCCCCGCCTCCGCAACCGTGCGCTCTCGCTCGCACTCCAAGATCAAGCAGATAACCGGCTCCGAAGAGGCCTGCTTGACCTACCGCGCCCAGGCAGACACGCCCGCGTATCTCCGGCCTCGATACGCGGACGAAATCAGGTTGGAGCCTGACGGCTCTGTTCGCTGTGGCACGCTGCGCGCCCTCGTCGAGCGCCTGACGTTCGACACGCAGACGCGGGACCCGATAAGTGCGTGCTTTTTGGTGGCTAGCGGGCGTGGCGTGTCCTGACGTGTCTCTCGCGCAGAGCTTGAGCAAGAGCGGCGGTTCCGCACCGTTTTCTTCACTACATTCCGGACCTTTACGACAGCAGATGATTTATTCCGCATGCTAGCGGCCAGGTATTATATGGAGCCACCCGTCGAGTACGCAACGCACGCGGCGGCCATCCACGATTGGACGCAGAAGCTACTGCTCCCGACCCAAGGGCGCGTCCTCACCGTGCTCACGATCTGGCTGGAGGAGCACCGCTTACTCGAAGAGGAGCCTCACATCGCGGGCCGCCTTACAGACCTGCTGTCAACTATCACCACCCAACCACACGTATGGACGGCCAGGCTCATGCTGCAGAGCCTGGAGCGGCTCACATTCGCCCGGCCGCCGACCCGGGCCACAGCTCCCCCGCAGCGGTGGCGACGGAAGAGCCGGGACCACCGCGGCGACCTGCTCCGCCTCGAGCCGGCAGACGTCGCCGCGCAGCTGGCCGCGCACGAATACGAGCTGTACTCGCGCGTGACGCCGGATGCCTGCTTCACATTCGCGCGAGGCAAGCCCGCGCCGGAGCTCAGCGCGTTCTGCGCGACGCATGACGCCGTCGCGGCCCTTGTGAAGCGGAGCACGCTCGCATGCGATATTGCCGCGCGCCGTGCGAACGCTATTGACTTCTGGATCAAGGTCGCCGAGGTTCGTGCCTTTTTGGACTGCGTTGCTGCCGAGGATGTGGGGCTGACGATTATCTCAGAAGAGCCGTGGGCTGCACAACCTGTCCGCGCTGAGCGCGATTGCGAGCGCGCTCTCGAGCGTCGTGATCGCTCGCTTGTCGGAGACCTGGTCGCGGGTGACCCGACGCGCGCAACTGGACCAACTGTTACGACTCAATGATCCTGCCGGACGCTTCGCGGCATACCGCGCCCTTGCGGCAGACGCTGCTGCGAATAACGTCCCATGCGTCCCCTTCGCGGGAACTCACCTAACGGAACTCGTCCACATCGCCGACGCGTACTCGGACGGCGCCGACTGCGATGCCGACACCGCGCCCGCGCTGCCCAAGAGCCCCTCGCCGGGCAGCCCCAAGCCTGCCACGCCAACTTCCACCATCGCCGCCCCGCCCAGCCCCCGCTCTTCACCCTCCTCTTCCCCACCCGCTACGCAGGGAGCGGCCGTCCACGAGGCCGCGGACGCGACGCGGCGCATCTGCTTTCTGCAGCGCGCGCGTTGGCACGACGTCGTGCGCGTGCTGCTCGTGCATCAGCGGTCGGGGTACGAGGTTGCGGAGGACGAGGCGGTGCGGACGTTACTGCTGCAGCGCCTAAGAGAGGCGGGCGAGATGGGCGCGGACGCGCCGTGGTTCTGGGAGCGGAGCCAGGAGCTACAGCAGGGGAAGGATGGGAGGGAGGAGCCGTTCGCGCGCCTATCGAGCGGGACGAGATCTGCGGAGGTCCGTCCCTGCGTTGGCGCTTAGTCGACGATATGGGCGGCGCCTAGCGGTGGCAGGTGCACGACCTGCGGGATTTGGGTGTGCGCTTGTCTCTCGATATCGATACTACAGCAGACTCCTCGAAACCACATCTCTACACCATTATTTACGACACGGGACGATCTGGACGGCATTTACTGACTTGTTTTATACCTAACGCATATTGACGCTGTACGATGCGCTGTACATACCATGTACTGACGATATGGAGGTAGTATACGTTGTTGTACGCAGCCCTGAGACGAGGAGGAGTAGTAGAATGAAACGAACATTTGTATGCTGACGTCCTTGCCGGAATCATCAAACTGTGCTCAGCTTAGTGAGGGTCTAACACCTAGCTCGAAGGTTGCCACTGTTAGCGCGAGACCCTCACTCTTCTCCAGGTTTGCGCGTGAAAGCATGCAAGGTGACCTAGTTTGTGCAGCTATGATACAATGATGTCGGTGAGTCCATGAGTCGAATGCTACTTGAGACGTCTCGCCTAGCGCAGAGGACGGATGATGTAGTGAGGTAACTAGCGATTATGAGCAGTAATGAGAATATGGCATGCCGGGAATGCATGAGGTAGGGTACACGTCCGACGCGTCCGTGGTTTGGTAAAAATGCATGGCAGATGTCGCGGTAGGGCCATCCGGTGGTAGCGAGGCGGGTAGGTGGGTCCTGCGGGCCAGGTGTGGGGATTCCAGCGTCCCTGACTCCGTACTAGAAGCGGCAAGCTTGTCCAGGGAGATGATGGGTATAGTTCTTCTCGGGCGGGGATGGATGACCTGGCTTGCCCGGCGGTACTTCTCTTCTTCTTCGCTTATTTCTCCACTTGGTGCGTGAAGGTCTGCCGGCGAGTCGAAGCCGCGATACGGGTCGAAGGGCGAGTCCGCTGCGCCCTCCGGGCAGAGCAGAAACGGATCCTCGGTAGCCTGATATTGTGCTAGGCCGGGCCCCGCTGGGTCGGAAGCGCCGAGGCCAGCGGACCATGTAGGGAGCTGATGCGAGAAGGTAGCGTCGGCGGGCGGGATTCCCACGCCGCCACAGGACCCGCTGTCACTATAGCAGTAGGCTGTGGTCCATTCCGGCATCCCGGGCGCTATGCTGCCCGCCGAGGTGCAGGCTGATGAATTTTGCGCAAAGGAGGGTCCCGAGAGCGCGCAGTCGTCCCCGTATGCTGCAGAGGCACTTGAGTAGGCCTGCGCTGCGTAAAGCGATGCGACGTCAGGTGGTACGGAATCTGTGGCGCAGGTCGATAAGCAGTCTGTGGGCCACATAACATCGTCAGCACCACGGAGAACGTTCTGGGTGAGATACGCGTACCTGATTGTATGTACACGCCAACACAGTCGGGGCAACCGCAGGCAGGCGCTGTCGACGTCTCGCCACACATGTTCGACGGCCATGCGTCGTATTGGATGTTTGGAGGGTAGCAAGCGCCGTCAGGAGTCATGACCATAGGGGACGGGGCCAATGAGTCGGGCGAGTGCAGCTCGCCCTGATAAGACGAACTGCTAGAGAAATTTGCGGCGTCTGGAAGGAGCTCGAGCGCGCCCTCGCTGCCGCAATCGTAGGGATATATCCATGCCTGGCCATATGCGTCGTAGGAGACGTAAGCCTGTTGTGAGCCCGAAGTCATCACGGATGACAAGTAATGGCGGTGTCTAGGGGTAGGAAGGAGGCGAAGGACGGACAACGAGATGGCCAGCCAGGCTGTTTATATAGGTCGCCTTGTCCCGCAGTTGCCGTGATTCAGGGATCCAGTGAATCAATGTGGGCCGTCGGACAGGCCTTTGATGAGTGTCATGAGGTGGGGAAATAATGAATAGCAACGCCGGAGATGGATTCTTTCGCCCAGAAGAGAAGGCCAGTTGACACGCAGGGTAGCATTCTTTGTTTGATGGCTCTTGATATGGAGCCCGCCATGAGCCGCCATGCTGTTCAAAAAGGGTAAGGTTGAGGGTGAACAGACCAGGCTCGTGCCGTGGATGGCCAGAAACGGCGTAGCTCGTTTGTCCTTCCGGGCCTTCTATCGGTTGTCTGGAATTGAAAATTCCCCAGCCGGGGTGGCGAATCTTCGTTCCATACCGTCATCATGCTGCGCCGGCCGCTTGAGCGGTGCTCTGTTCGTGATTGCTCATCGCGCTTCTGACCTCCAAGCGCATGCTATCCCGGCGAAGCACCCGCCGAGGAGCGAGCTGTGGACTCTAGAAAGGCGCCGAGAAAGCAACGGGTACCGGTAAGCGTCTTTGAACGGTCCAAACAGGTCAGAGCATCCGCGCGAGAGGCACGTTCGGGCGGTTGACGTGTTGATCACAAGTGCCGTGCCTTCCTCATCACCGAAGTAAGACCAACTGTGGGAATCGGGCGATCATGTCGCCCGCGCCACATTCGCCTCCACGCCAGACATGCACCTACGGCCCGCGAGCCAAGTTACGTTCAAGAGCCCTTCTGCGGGCTTGACTTTCTCCCCGAAGCGCCGCAGCTCGCGCACGTCTCAGTGCAGTCAATCGGTGAACGAAGCCCTCCCCGAGGGAGCTATGCAGTGAATCTACCTCATCAACGAGGGTGGGTACGGGAGTAGCGCCCCAAGAAGCGCCTTTGTTGTTGCCTGCCTTCATCTCCAACATGAGGCGTGTGCGTGCATCTCCTATTCAGTCGGAATGATAGCGCTCACCCGGTCCACGCACCTGCCAGGGGACAAAGGCCATCGAGGGAGGGTCCAATTGCGTCGTGTATCGATGGGAACACGTGGTTGGACCAACGCTTCTGAGCGCCAGGCAGTGAGTCAAGGCCCGGTCAAGGCTGTCCAAACCATTGCCTTGACCGTCTCTTCTTCCTCTGGGCGCCCGCCAGAGACGACCCCCCGGGTAGAGATTACCATAAAACCCGCAGACAATAAATTATGCACGTACGGCAGAGCAAATACGACAGCAAACAAGGAGCGAACAATGGACGAGGGCGGAGATGGGCAGAGCGGGCGGCATAGCACGATGGCCCATGGGGAACCAGTGCTATCGATGGCCGCAGCCGCTCTCATACCCTGAATCTGTAGTCTCTGTGGTTCCCGTCCTGGAGCCTGAGGATCCTGAGCTATTGAGATGAAGATTGAGGCGCGCTACCCGCTCTTCGCGATACTTCGCTGCAGTATCGCTCCGTGCGAGCGTGAAAGGAGTGACGCCACCGGTCTTCGCGAGGTTCTCCAGGTCTATTGATATCGGCCGCTGGTTGCGGAACTCGACTGACCCCGCCTGCGCGAAGAGCCTATCCGTGTATACCAGCAGGACAACGTTCAAGCAGCCTGCCAGTCATGAGCGCACGGTCGAACAATAGAACCCGCGGCCAAGCGTACCAGTCAAGTTGAATAAGCAGTCGGCGACTGAACGTTGTTAGCCTTCGCCATCGCGTTCACTTGCACTCAAGCTATGCTCACAGATTTCCACCCAGAAGGGAGTATGATGGCCAGCGAACTTCATCAAGCGCCCTATTGATATGGGAAGTAAGATGGCCGAGTACAGCACCTACAGCAGTGTCAGCGCTACTTCCCCACCCGGGCGAGGCGCTGCTTACAGGATACCTGAGAAAACAACTCAACAATCGTAGCGCTAAACAGATATCGATAAGCGCTCACCACACCATGTTCTTCGCGATGGCGAACATCGCCGAACTTAAGAAGTCCCTGCCAATTGCAAGTTGCCAGCCCTGGCCCGATGGCACGGTGCGTACGCGGAACTTTCCCTGCGAGTAGATGATGTTGCCGCGCACGCGCAGGAGAACAGCGATGTAGAGGAGAAACCCGAGCCCCGCGGAACAGAATTCCTGAGATGAACATCGTCCCGATGCCCGATGATGAGTACGGGAAGCGCTCACAAGAAAATACTCGAGGAATATCTGCTCCAGGCGATATCGCGTCGTTATCCAGCACCTTCGTTGTGTGAAGTAAGATGGTGAATGGCTAGAGAGGAACATCCACGTACCACGCCCCAGAAATCCCAAAGTAAGGGCCCCGCTCGGCAGTCTCAATCACCGAAGGACCTACGAGCACGAAGATGACGACCACCGCCCACCCAATAAATAACGTCAGAAGAAGACCCAGTCGTGTCGAACCCACTCGTAGGAAAAGAAGATTAAATAGATGCATTGCAATCATGAAAGACCTGGCGAACGTTTAGGATACACGCAATGGTTCACCCATGTACCCACCATAGCGCGGTGGCAATATTGCCTGCCTGCTTGACGCCCCCTGCATTCCAAGTTAGATGACGCATGCTACAGAGGGGATGAAGACGCACCTTGCAAGGAGCAGTAATTCCCATATATAAGCCCCCCTCGTCCTACCCATCTGAAGTTCATCATCGTGCCCAATGACTGAATCGTGTTCGCGAAGAGCAAAGAGGAGAGGTAGGCGAAGATGTGGGTATTTCGGTAATTCTCATAGCGTAGCTTCCGTGCCTGTCAACGGACATGAAGACTATGCTGAGATGAGCAGATCGAGAGCGTACCGCGACGGCGTAGAGGATGCTCAGAATCGACGTGAGGGCGCAGACTGCGATGCACTGGTAAAGCATTCTTAGCTTCTGTGGAGAGAAGATGAATAGCAAGGACGCACCACCACACCATCCCGTTCTTGATGGGTATAGTAGGTCTCATTGTCGCTGTCTCGCAAAAGGAGAATTGCAGAGGGAAGGGCGGGCATCAATCGCAGGCTGCCTGCAGTTATGCAAGCAACCAGGCGGTTCTATAGATTAGAGGAATCTATTAGAAGTGTTTCAGCGTCGTCCCGAACCCAACACAAGAGAGACGCACCAAAGAGCGACGAGGTAGGAAGTCAGACGATCAGCAAGTTCATTGCATGAAGTAGGAAGGTAAGATACAGCAGGCTCGTCAGTAGATCGTCTTATAGGCCGCACGAGTACAGGGCGATCGCGCCTGTCACCAGGCGACGCGACACCGCCACTTTGAGAGACCCGGAGGGCCGCCAGCCGATGAGGAGGCTGGCACTGCTGCGCTGCGTCAGTGAGTTCCACATCCCAGGGACGAGCGTGCGGGCGCATAGCGCGTCAGTTGCGGGACCTTGATAGGTAGACGGTATCGTGGACGGTGGTGGGACTGCTGTCAACGGAGATGCGGTCAATAACGAGGCGTTTTGAGTGGGTTCCCGGGTCCGAGTATCGGTAACCTCAAGCAGCGAGCACAAATCCATCGAGCATCGAGAGAGCAGTGAAGAGCATAATTCGACCATCTAGGGGACTTTTCCCAACCTTGCACAAGAATGCCGAATATAAGATGCGACAGGGCAAAGCAGCTGCGTGTTATCATCAAGTCGCACGCTCGCGCATTGTATACCATCAGCTCGCCCACATGCCCTAGAGTATAGGCAATACGACCAGAACATGAAGGGTCTTCGAAGGTGTCCTAGCAGTGGTGACGACGGTTCAGAAAGAGATGCAATGTGACGTGACGGTTCGAGAGCGTGCGCCTTCCTCGTGACCCGGCGTGATCTAATTCCCACGGTTCAAGTGTCCAGGGGCGAGAGTGCGAAGCTCTGCCTTATCACGACGCCAGGGCTACGCAAAACAGGCGAACACCCTTGTGTTACGTGACAGTAGGCATACATGTAGCGAACAAGCTGGTCTGGCAAATGAGGTGCAGAACATGATATTGAAGTAAAGCTACATACCCACACTAGCCTACGATGAGTCGATGATATACCCCTCCTCCTCATCGTCACGACCCTGCGGTGAGTCGCTGTCTATGCGTACGGTGCCCATCCCTTCCCTTGATACCATGAGGTTTCCGCCGCCTCCTCCAGTATTCAACATGACGCCACCTGGTCCTCCACCATACCCGCGTTGGGCCGCCGCACCAAAAATTCCCGGCCTCCTTGCGCCTGGCATGGGCTGTGGTGCTCCACGACCGCCACCTTGAGATTGCAAGTCCATGGCGCGTTGCAGCGGTGCGCCTCCAGTGTTGTAGCCCTGCTGCGGCTGCTCCCAGTACGACGAGGGTGGACGTTGTAATTGGCCGCCGCCCTGCATCGGTCCACCCCCGTAGGCCCACGGACTTTGGGGTGGTGGAGCCCCGTACATGCGCGGGTCGCGGCGCGTCCGGGTGCTGGACGACCGCGGATAGCCGATCTCCAGCTGGAGGCGCGACATGTCGAGCGCAACCCCGGCGTCAGACATCGTTTTCGAGTCGATACCGAGAGCCTGTCGTAGCATGTCGTTCTCTGCGTTCAGGCGCGCGATCTCCACCTCGCGCTCAACCGCCCAGTCCGAAGAGGGCAGTGGCAGCGATTCGAGCTTCTGCACCAGCGAAAGCAGGTCTTCTTCATGCGGGGGTCGTGCGTCTGGGTCCTCGCCCGCAAGTGTTTGAATGAGGTTGCGTAGGTGGTATGACAGACGATGGAAGGAGCGCGCCATGTTGGTGTGTGCGGTGAGGTCGGTCGACTGCGATTGTTGTTCGCGGCTCGCCAGGAGGGTCTCGTAGTGGCGCGTTAGGGTGTGTTCGTGCTGCTGTGCCGCAATCTGGTACGTGTCAGCGACTAGCACTGGCGCGCGGGGGAGGGGAACTCACAGCGTGATTGCGGAACTTGTTCATGATTGTCTCTACGGTCGTCTCGTACTCTTTGAGCAGAGATGCAAGTTGCTTGTTCTCGTGTAGGAGCGTCTGGTTCTCGATGATGATCTGGGCGCTTGTCCGCTCGAGTTCAGACTCGAAGGTTTCTATACAAGATCAGCCCAAGCGCCTTGATTTTGAGAAGACGACTGACCCTTTGAGATGTCCGTGTTGAAGCGGCGCAAGCGCAGGTTGTGGCCAGCTTCCGCTGCTTCTGCCTGATGACTCTGAGCGCTCGGGAGAGGGAAATTGAAGTGGCGCACACCTTCAGCGCATCGACCTGGCTTTGGAGCGTGGCCGTGACATTTTGGTTTATGGCCAGCTGCTCGCTGAGCTGTGCGACGAGCTGCCAGACGCGCGCGAGCTCGTGGTCGTATCGGGCGTCCATGGAGGGTCTCCGCGACATGCAGAACGCAAACAAGAACCAACTAAGTTCGGAATCCAGAATCAGCTCGCAACGCCCATCATCCGCTTTTTCCGCAACCGCCATCATCAGATCCTCGTCGTCGCTCTGCATACATATTTTACTTTTCCGTCCGCAACACTCCTAGGCCTCACATCCCTCGCCGCCCCTCCTTATAACCATGTCGACCTCGCTCGCAGGGCTTTCCGCCTCCGTCACCCGCATCCTCTCCCTCACCGGCTTCCCCAAGGAGCTCAAGACGAAGGACATCCAGTCCGCTTTCTCTGAGTGGGACAACCAGGCGGGTGGCTTCAAGATCAAGTGGAAGGATGATACATCCCTCCTCATCGTCTTTAACGACGCCGCGGTCGGTATGTAAAACTCGCCACTTGCACTCGCAAGCACGCGCTCACCTGTCACCACGTCCATCAGCCAAGCGCGCGTATTTGCACACGCTCGCCTACCCGCCCGCAATCCTCTCCCCTCCCAACGGCCCGCCCGCGACGATCCGTCCGTACGACGGCCCCGACGCCCAGACTGTCATCCAGGCCGTCAACTCTCGCCACAACTCGAACCCCTCTCGCGCCCACAACGCGCGGAGCGCATCCATCTCTGTCTTTCCCAACGCGCGCGCCGGCCTCAACCTGAATGGAAACGGCAATGGCAACGGCAAGGGGAAGGCTCCCCCAGGCGGCGACCGTGACCGCGAGCCGTCTCCGACGCTCCCTAGCCTCCCCACCCACCCGACCCTCAACGCGCTTATCAGCGAGGCTGTTGCGAACCAGTCGCAGCAGAACGGCATCCACGCTGACCCGGCCATTCTCGCCACCAGCCTCAGCAGCTCGGAAAATGTGTCCGCCGGGCGCGGACCCAGCATCGGCGACCCTGGCAAGAGGATGCTCGGTGCAGCTCTGGGCATGCGCCACCCCAGCCTTGGTCCGCGCGTCGTAGGCGGTGGGCAAAACGGCAATGGCCCCGAGCCCATGGAGCAGATGCAGCGGGCGATGGGTGGTCTGGTCGTTGCGGAGTAATGGTCCGTATCTAGCGGCCTCTCGAGCGCATAATGTACTTACGCATCCGCATCCCAGTGCTTGTAGCAGCTGCTTCTTTCGTTTTCACTGTATGTATTCCCGCGGGACGGATAGCACCTGTCCCGGACAGGCTGCACTGATCTGCTCGCGTTGCTGTTCCCCGTGCCCATCGATAATGAGCTCCGGTATTGTACACCTCTCATACAAGTCAATCATTACAAGGATTTCCCTTTCTGTCCGTGACGCATACGCAGTGTATGATCCTCTTTCTTCTTTATGCTCTGCTTTCGTATCATGGCATCGATATTCAACGTGTATGCACGTAAGTTGTATATACGGTATGCCTTTGAATTCATGTTATGTGTCTCGAAGTCGAGAAAGCGCACAATGTACGTCCAGATCGGGCTGTATTATGCTCTCTGGACCAGCGTACAAACAGACAACCTAACGTATTATTATAGTGCGAACCTATTTGCTATGCGTGGGGAATCGCGTGGGATGAGGTATGTTTCCGCGTTCAAATTATTACACGACAGCTAGAATTGGAATCAGACCAGGGTCGTAGAGGACGACAGCGGGCTTACATATACACAGGGCATTATATTCGGCCGTAGCGACGACGACTGGTGGATGATCAGGCCAGAACAAGTAACGGAGGAGTAACGGAGGAGCAGCGCCACTTACAGAGAGAGGATAAAAGGGTGTCCATTATGCCCAATGCAACGCCGCATTGGAGCTGAAAAAGTCTGAAGCGGTTTCCATATGGGACAGAGGGTACTGAAAGATGCGTTCGCGCGTGAAAGACTGTTGAGGGCTGGAATGGTGGCGGGTGAGGACGGGAGACGGCGTCAGAAGGGGAGGAACGCCTGAGATAGAGTGCGAGGAGAGGAACGGTGGTGGCGAAGGAGGATACGCGAGAGTAGGAACGAAAACGGGAGGCGCAGAGATTCCTGGGAACGTTATATCAGTATCAGTGCGTCGACTGGCAAATTGACCAGACGTACGATTTCCACGAGCGTTGGTGGATAGAACAGGAGAAAGCGGAGCTTGAGATGCAGGCAGAACTTTCGTAGACAAAGCGGACGACTGAGAGGATAGGCGAAGTTTCTCGTTGTACAAGCGAGTTCGTTCGTCCATGTAGGACTTGTAGCTGCCGAGGCTCTCTTGCATACCCCTAGCAGGACCGACGGCGTTGCTGATCATATTGTATATGTTGTAGCGCTCTTCTTTGGAAAGGCTGGAACGACCATGAGACTCGGCCGTAGAGTCGAAAGATCCGGTAGTGAGAGATCCAGTTGAAGTAACCAAGGACGGCTGGTGTTCGGTAGTAGGCACGTCAGCCTCGGGGTCGAAGAGTGTCGAGATAGTCGAAAGATCGAAGTCCTCGGCAGCCGTGTCATCGACAGAAGCGGAGCTATCTTCCACGTAGCGACCATATTTGTCGAAGGGAAGGGCGATGTCAACGATAGCAGGCTTCGCAGAGCTGGACGAGTAGTCCGGAACAAGGACAGGTTCGGACCGCGTCGCAGCAAGGCGCTGCATGAGTGATGCAGGAGAGGCAGCCTCCATGCGGCCAGAGGCGTCAGAGAGGCGAGAGGGTACGGCGGTACGAGTCGGAAGTGGGCACGATGCCAAAGGAGCGGATGTGTTGTCTTTGCTGGACGTAGAAGACGGCGTAGAGTTCTTTGCAGAGGGGAAGGGCGTTGAGGCGTAGTGCCGCAGGGAGGGTCTAGGACCGACTTTGCGTCGCTTGTTCGGATCCGTGGACGGCGTCTGTGAGCGCCATGAGTCTCTGACGGAGCAATTGACGAGATGTATCACCGTTGTAGAAGCAGGGGGAGGGGTACCAGTAGCTGGTGCCGTCTTGGCAGCCGCCGCCTTCCTGCTCCTGACCAGGTTCTGATGCTTGTCCTCTTTTGAGACCCGTAATCCTTAAGCAAGATGAGTGCCTGGATAGCCTTCGCTCGATACCACATACCCCGAGAATGGAAGTAATCATAGATGTTCCGTCTGTCGACGCTGTACCTCTCTTGCATGGATTTACGGACTTCGAAGACGGGCATCTTCGCGCCCGGGAATATGTGCGCGTCCATCTCCTTTACTAAATCGAGAGGGAGCCGCTCGGCGAGCCGGTCAGGGTCGACGCGTCTCGTTTTGCAGCGTCCTTCCTCGTCGAAGCTGGGCTCGCAAGCGTCGGTGGGCTGACGCTGCCGCTTCTTCGTGCAAGAGTCGCCATTGATGGAAAGCGATGAGGATTCTGCAAAAGGAAGGGCATTCTCTTTGTCGAACGACATGAGGGGCGCGACGGAATGCGCAAGGAGAAAACCAAGAAGATGAAGGCAAGAAACAAGGGACCTAACGTGACAGATCCCAAAGTGACGGCGCATATAGTCACGTATGTCACGGTGTGACCAACCGTGACATGGCGTTGGCCGAGCGCAGGGAACGCCAGGCATGTACGCGCATTGGGGTACATCTAGTATACATTGAAGGGCTAGAAATACAGACTTGCAGCAAATACAACTGTTTCGCCTCGTCAGCACCCGTGAACGGGCTTGGTAACTGGACTCACTGTCGCGCTTGATCTTCATCTGGGATTCTTCCATTTTCTTGAACAACTCGGCGTCTCCTATGACTCTCGCTGCATCCCTCACTTCACGGCAGGTCTCATCGAGACGAGTGATAACCCTGACGATGGTTCCTTCGGCCACGTCTGTCAAGGCTGTGATCTGCTCGAACGGCTAAGAGAAAAATGTTAAGCGTGCGTCCGAGCGGGTCGGGAGAGGGCGCTCACCATGCCTTTGGCCCACTCGTACACCACCTCAACGAGCCCGAACTTGAGGTTGGAGCGGAAATCCTCTGCAGCGACCTTGTGGTAGTCTTGCACGGCTCCGACGCGGTCGCTGATGGCCATGATTGCCTCCATACCCTCTTTGAGCTTGGGTGGTATAGCAGGCTCTGCGTCCGTCTTCTCTTGGAACACAAAGCATGAGAGGAGGGCCACGACCTCTTCAGGATCATAGTTCGCAAGAGTGTTCTCGAGGATCAACTCCGTGAGCACAAGCTCGTTGGCTGAATTGATCTAGTAGCATCGTCAACGGCCTGGTGTACCAGATGATCGACCTTTCACTCACTTCGCAGGCCACGCGGCCCTTCAGCGATACTGTGCAGTTCTCGTCGATGAACTTCAAGTCCTTGAGAACCTCGATTCGTTGCTCGTAATCTGGAATTAGTTCCAGGTTCTGGTCGGAGATAGCAAGCTTGAGGTTGGCAATGTTGGCGCGCAGGACTTTCTCGGCGTGTATGGTCGTGTACTGAAGAGATTGTCAGCGAAGTGGCGATACAGTCACGACGTGACAGACATGGCGTCCGAAGTCAGGACAGTGTAAGCAAACACTGTCGCGCGAGCGCTCTACTAATCTTGTTCTCTCGCGCAGGATCTCTTGGAATTCCAGAGCGCGCATGCGCGACCAATCGATCTCTGGTATCTCTGGTGCGCTTGACCATTCTTCTACGAGCGCGCCTAGCTGGCCAATACCGTCCCGCATGCGCGAGATGAGATGACGGTCCACGATGGCATCGACCTCGACCTGCATGCGTTGTCAGTCGTACACTTTCCTGTACAATCAAGATAATCAGAACTTGCCTTGACTGTCCGCGCGGTGACAAGGGATATGCTAGTCAAGGGGACAGCGGAAAGCTCGTACACTGGATCGTCGTAAGCTAAAGAATTGGCCGCGGGAGGCCACGTTGGGGGGATTGCGTCCGGATTTATGTCTGCTGAGGATTCAGCGCCTGCGTCCGCGTATTGGTGGCCTTCACCCACCGAAGTCACCACTCTTCGTGGCCTGATCGACTAGTGCGAGGACGTAGTAAGTCTTGACCTTCGACAAGACACCATCATCGGAGGCCTGCACGGGAGCCTGCCGAAGGAGCGCAGCGATAGTGTTCTTCTTGAAATGCTGTTTTCCCATTAGTCTTAATTCGCTGCGATGGTGAATGTACCCACTCCGTCGTTTAGTACGACCACGCGCCCCGCTGACAGAAGACGCGCTCCCTGGGGATGGGATACCGCCATAGAGAGCAGCTTCTGGTTCATGTTGACGACATCGTTCATATCGTCGTAGTACGACTCTATGCTTGGGACGCAAATGTCACAGGCCAGCTTCTCGAGTCCGGCCAGCGTCTTCTCGCCCTTATTGATAAAGTGAGTTTGCAACGCAATGGACGTACCCATCCAGCTTACCTCTATTACCCTCTTCTGCTGCTCAGGAAGCAGTCGCTGTGAGGCATTCTCCGAGAAGCTTCGCTTGATCATTTCTTCCACTCGCAATGCCTCCACGCGCAGAAGGTTCAGGATCATGTTGTACGTCAACCTGAACTGGGAGATGAGCTTCCCGGGAGTACCCAACATCATCGTATGCAGCGCGGTTTGCTATCTCAATCATCAGTGACGAACAACGATGCGACTAAGATCGACGAACCTCGGGAAGGCTGTCGTTCGCTACGATGATTACGGTACCAGTAGGGTCAAGCCCACGACGGCCAGCACGCCCCGCCATCTGAGTGTACTCTCCTGGTAGGATATCACGGAAAGACCGTCCGTCGTGCTTGCGTATACCAGAAAACACTACGGATTTCGCGGGCATGTTCACTCCCTGAAGATTCATTCAGTGCTAATGACGACGTTGGGCAATCGAAGTTACCATGGCAAAGGTTTCAGTGGCAAAGAGCATCTTGACCAGACCACGGGCAAAAAGGATCTCCACGAGCTGCGCATCCTCGTGAGCACAGGGCATGTCTCTGGCACCCCACACTCACTTCCTTCACGATTGGCAGCAGACCTCCATGATGAACACCGATGCCCCGACTCAGCAGGTCTCGCATGCGGCTAATTTGTGGCAACTTCCTGTCCGGAGCTGACAGGACGGGTTAGCTAGCAACATGCTTTGACACAACAACGATGCACGCACCCTTCAAGCGAGAAAGCGCCTTCTCGATAGCTACGTGTACCTCACTCTTCTCCACGGACGTGCAAAGGTCCTGATTGGTAAGTGTCGACGCGTTTTCCTCACAGCGTTTCTTCGAGAGAGTAAAGACCACGACCGGCAAGAGATTGCGCTTGCGAAGGTTACCGAGAAGGTGGACGTAGAGGTTCTTATCCATATGGACGACGCGTCCTCCTGTAGAGCCTCCTCGGCCGCCTCTGGCAGGTGGTGCGGCACCGCGCCCGCCGCGAGCTGGCGGGCCACCACGCCCCCCTCGTTGACCCTGCGCGCCCCCTCTGGCGCCGACGCGCTGTACAGGAGGAAGTCCGGCAGCTTCGCGCTCCTTGTCCTGCTTGCGCCGCAAAGCCTCTCCAGCTTCCTTGTACCTGATCTGGACGTAAGAAAGCTATGCATGGGGATATAGACTCGCTTACCCAAGTGCGAGGAAGTTACGCTTCGCGTCCACAATTTTGAACAAGTCGCGTCCGGCGTAGAGATAATGCTCTAGGGGTACCGGTCGCTGGGCGGTTGAGATCACGTAGATGTCCTTCTTCTTCGTACGACTGTCAACATAACACGGCTCTTGTTAGCTCGTCGTAAGGTCGATGATCGCGTACATTACCCAACCCAGTCGGCGAATTCCTTGGTATTTGGCACCGTGGCGGACAGCAAGATGATGCTAACATGGTCAGGAAGCATGATGATGACCTCCTCCCAAACCACTCCGCGCTACATCGTACTCTATGAGCGATCTTTGTCCCTCCACGCAATCAAGAGGGACATACCTCAGCGTCGTTCACATAGTGCACCTCATCGAAGATCACGAACTCGACGTCTCGAATGAGGTCGGCGCCCTTGTACAGCATACTACGCAGAATCTCGGTTGTCATGATGAGGCAGTTCGCCTCCGGGTTGATTTGTACGTCGCCCGTCAGAATACCAACATTTTGAGAGGAGAACGTCTGCTTGAAGTCGCGATACTTTTGGTTCGACAACGCTTTTATGGGAGAGGTGTAGATGGCGCTGGGAATCATCAGCATGGAGTGAAGCGTAAGCCTTCAGATGTACCGTGTCATATGCTTTTCTGCGAGAGCAATCGCGTACTCGGCTACGACCGTCTTCCCTGCCGATGTATGCGCCGCCACGAATACTGAATCGCCCATCTCGAGATGATAGACGGCCTGCTTTTGGAACGTGTCCAGCTCGAACGGGTACTAACGTAGACAGTTAGATGAAGAGCCGAGCATGCAATCCGCGTTAGTCATACTTTGTGTGCCATCTCCGGAACCAGCTCATGAAAGTTGTTCAAAGGCTTGTTGACATCGATGACATGGGCCCAGTCGCGCTTTTGAATTTTGGTGCGCGGACGTTTGCGCTGTGAGGCCTTGATGGGGTTTAAGTTGGCACGCTGTAAGCTGGCGTCAGCATATAGGAGTCACGGTATTCCAGCGTTCTTACTGTCGTCGGTAGGAGCTCGTCGATTTCTGTACTACCGGCCACAGGAGCCTCCGCCTCAACATGGCCATTGGATGCCTCTGCCTGCAGATCCTCGGATCAGCACGTCTCTCAAGGAAGTAGGATCAGCACCTACCTCCCCACCATTTTCGGCGTCCTCAGAAGCGTATATACCCTCAAGCTCCTGTAGGACGTCGTCCTCCTCCGGATCTCCCGGGAGACGCAACCCGCGGCTGAGGCCAGGCGCGACGGTCCTCAGTTGCTTCTTTTCTTCCTCGCTAATGTCGCCTGTCCCTCTACTGATGACTGCATCCTCCAGTCCACCTGGCCAGAATGGTACATGCCCGGACTTTCCTCGAACAAAATTTGCGCTCGATGCTGGCGCACGCGTCATCGAGCTCGAGTTGAGAGCGGTCGCCGCTCGAGGGTTGGGCACCTACTAGTATTTGGAGATCAACTACGCATATATGTTATGACGCATACCTCGGTGTAGCCGGATACTCGCCCACTGAGGCCTGCACGGACGAAAGACAAAGAAGTAGGCGCCGGTGACGGCTGAAGATTCAACAAGGCAGGGATCTCCGGCTTCGTATCCCATGATCTGCTCCTCATGAGTACGCTAAACATGGTTATCGAGAAGTACAGACACTTGGTAAGTCGGAAGCCAGTGAGAAGGGAGCGTAGGGCGGGATAAAAGCAGCTTCTCTTCAATTTGCCGATGAACGTCCTCCTTGGAAGGGAGCCCTGCAAGGCCTAACTGTCCGAGGTAGGCATCGATGTTTTCCGGATCAGCTGATACCGCCTGCTCAATAAGCGCAGCATGCTCCTGTGGTTCCATAACGCCTGAGGATGGCGTGAAAGCGAGAAGTTGAACACTTTTCTTTGGCCCAGTTTGGCGCGGTCGGCGCTTGCAGCGCGCTCGTGACTTTCTTCTCACGCCACATCTGTCACGGTTCGTCGTCACAGCATTGGGTTAGGTGTTCGTCTGCACCGCAAATGAGAATTCCGTAACGATAACGCGTTAACGTACTCAATTGGCATGACATGGCCGCGTAGGCCCACAACAGTCGGCTACGTTACTACGCGATACCGTACATTGAGGGTGCACCCACAAGGGTAATCGACCGGATAGAATGAATGTGCGCGCAAGGCCTAAGGGCAGCATGATGTACAATAAGATAGGTTTGTCCGTAAGCAGACGTGAGTTAGATGACGGTAAATACGCAGTTCATTCCATTCAGGTAAGGCTCGACCGCTTCTTTTTGATGTGTCGAATCTTGCGCAGCAGCTCCTACGAGGACGGGTCAGTATGAATGAGGCTATCAATACTCGTAATAACGAAGACCACGTACCTCTGCTTCCTCTGCCTCGATGGCACCACGCTCCCGCTCGAACTCGAGCCCGTGCTCGATGCTGCTCAGTACTTCCTCGATGACCTCGCGGTGGTTGACGCCAAAGAACTGCGTCAACTTGGCCGCCTTGCGGCGGCGCCATTGGAAGTCGGTTACGTCTGGCCGCTCGAACTCGGAGACCGTAGGCGACAGCTCCACGCTCACAGGCAGCGAACGCCTCCGGTCCGACTTGCGAGAGCCGGCGGACGAGGTCGACGTCCGCTTGCCCGCCCCGGGCGGCGGCGTTTGCATATGGTCGTCCAAAAGGTACTGATGGAGCTCCGCAAGCGACGCCCTATCATCCTAAGGACAATGAACATCAGACGCGCATATAGCACGCAAGGGGATGAAACGCACCCTGTCCAATATGTCGTTGAGGGAGTTGATCGAGGCTTCATAGTTCGTGTACACGACCGAGTTGCGGGACGATTTGGGGATGAGATGCATACTCGATTCCGGCGTGCTGGGGCGGTAGACCTGGTCATCGGATCCTGGGTTACCAGAACGGTGTTTCATGTACGGCGAGCGATTAGGGTTGCGATGGCCTAGTGGCGGGGGAACAGTGTCAAACGGCGTCTTGGGTGTCTGGGCTTCGTGAATGACGCTGCCCGCAAGCTGCGTGCGGGGAGGGAAGGACGGGGAAGGCGAATGGCGCGTATGGTAGAGAGTCTGAGGTGGCGCGACGCCAAACACCTATGATCATCTAGGTCAGCGACTAGCTAGATGACACTGCGAGCTAACACACCTGCTGCATCTTGTGGGCTCGCCGCACGTTGATGGCCTTCTCCTCGTTATCCAGGTTCTCCCTAACGCGCTCGAATTGCTCATTCGATGATGATGGCGACATCGAGCTAGACGTGCTCTTGCGAGGCGCCTGCCAGGGCATAGATATCGAAGACTCGTTCGGGCTGTCGTCCGTAGGCGTAACGTGCGCCGAGGGATGGTCAGAACCAAGGACCAGACTCGGGGGAACACGCGACCCCAAGAAGCGATGGAGTTTCGCAAGGCGGTCACGTTTCCTCCTACGGTCTTCTTCCTCTAGGTCTTCGGCATACACCGTCTCCGCTATCGAGCGGATAGACGCGGGACGGTTGCGGGCTGTGTTCAAAGAAGCACCGGAAGCTGCAGCGTGGGACGGGCTATCAGCCTCGTCGTCTGATAGATCCATGAAGGATAGTCGGGACGTGGGTGTCTTCCCTCCGTCATGCAGCTCCCGGAGGAACTGAAAGTCGTCTGGGCTGAGTGGGGTCGAGTGCCGCCTGCCGTTGACAGTGAGATACTGGGTGCCCTCTGCGGCGGGCCAGTTGGGGGTTGTGGGCGTTTTCATGTCGTCCAATTCTTTGGTCGTAAGGGACATGGCGCCTCGCTGATGGCGAGGGGATAGTGGGGTATTGTTGAGGGTATCATGGGCCTTTTGCGCGACGGCAGGCTGGCCGAGTATCTTCTCCAGTTTCCGGTTCCTCCTGATCCTTTCCGCCCGTTCTTCCGGGGAGAGTAGGTTGGTGGTAGGGGGTAGCGTGTCCGTGTTTTCCTCGGGGCGCGTCGCCGACTTCGAGCGATGCTTACCGCGAGTCGCGACGGAGAGCCCGCGCTGGAAATTGGGTTTGGGTGTGGTCGGAAGCGGGGGCTTCGCGGACCGCGATCGCGATGGAGACGGGTCGGGCTTCGACCGCGTGTCGGGAGGAGGCGAGGGTGCGCGAGGTGCGGGTTCGTGCGACTGAGGGTTGAGCTCCAGGGTCGGAGAGGGACTGAAGTCTATAAAAGACTCGCCGCTGAGGCGGTTGGCCTGCTGCGGACGCTCGACATCGGTGGTCATGGCTGGGCGGGCGATGGGAGAGTCGATCACGAGAGGTGAGTAGAGTGGGCCGTCGTCTGTGATCAGGAAGGAGGCGCGTCCTGCCGTAAAAGAGAAGGTGGGAGAAGGAAAGGCAGCCGGGGCGTCGCTGGAGAAGGAACCGGACGGCAGGTTGAGAGATGGCGACGACTTATGGAGACTGGCGTGGGAAAGTGGTGGTCGCCTAGCTACTCCGCCGGCTGTGGCGGTGATCTCCAGAATTTCGAATTGCCGGCCCTCCTCCTCGTCGGCTGACTCGGTACCTTTCGAGTGGTTCTCCCCCGAGAGCGCCTTGTACTGCTCTGGGAAAAACCTCAGTCTTTCCCGACGCAAGAGCGGCTAAGTAACTCACTGCAGTGACTGGTCCCGGTCCCCTTCAATTTCAGCAGCTTCCCCTTCAAACGCGCGCGTTCGCGTAATTTGAGAGGCGTCTGTATCGTCGTATTCAACCCTTGCACGGGCTCGCTCTCCGTTTTGCGATGGCCCGACTGGCGCCACGTACACGAACCTCCCGCGCCCGATCCTACGCGTCGTTTGGGGGCCAGTTTCTCTGGCAACGACGTTGTCGGTACGTGCGTTGGTGTCCTCGGAGTTGTGGGTGATGCGCGGGTCGCTATAGGGGATGCTCGTGCGCGAGATGGGGGGCGGGGAGTGGAAGGGCTGTCAGCGCGCGCTTCTACCGAACTATTTCCCGTCGATGCGCCGGCAAGCGAGGAAGAGGGCGAGGGCCGCGGTCTGCGCAGGCGCTTGAGATCTTCCAGCGACGGGGCAGGGTTGATGAATGGGTTGTTGTCGGATGTGCTCGATATCGAGGCAGCAGGAGAGCGGATGAAGGTGCGGATGGTGCTCTGTGCGGAGGGTGGCGACATCGTCAGCCACTGGCTCGTATCTTTATGATATGCCGGGCTGTTAGGCGCTGTCGCTGGTCTTCGCCTCCGCGGGGGTGGGGGTAGACTGGTGTGGATGACCTCTTCCACCAAAGAGACAGCACTCCATGGCGCACTTAGATCCCCCCCAGCAATCGGCACCTCGACCGTCGTGAGCTGCCGGATCCGCTCATCGTGCTCGAGCAGCGCATCTAGGTTGGGGGAGATGGCGAGCGAGGTAGGGGCGTCGCTGACAGCTATAGCCGTCGACATCGCGCGTCGCCTCAATTGCGGTATAGGATGGGATAGGAAAGGAAGATCTGCGGGGCTCGGCAGGTCCACGAACGTGCCCGCTGCGCTGGCGTCACGCTCGTCGTGATCGGCGTTGCCAGCAGCAAGGTCAAGAGGGGGGGCGCGGCAAAAGCACGGGATGCAACGGAAGGCAGGCGTTAATCCTAATAGAATGGATGTAATGCGCTCTTCTGCGGGCCGAGCGGCGAGAACGCGTCAGTAACGATTCATCGATACGCGTGTGCCTGCCGCAGATACACGACAGGATAAGCGCGCGCTTCGCCACACTGCCTCAATACACAACACTTGCCTTTTCCGGCCATAACAACCGGAATCAAAATTAAACCGTCACGCGCGCCCGCAATTGCCGCCGCGACTCCGCATGAATCGGGATGGCTGAGGCGGACGGTGGCGCACTGTCATTTGTGGCCCGACTGTCGCAATGGATGTCGACACTGACTTGGCGGACGTCTCCGTACACATCGCTCTCACCAGCAACACTGCAGGACAAAACAATAGTGGTTGCCTCGGAAAAGTCCAAAAAGATGCTAGAAGTACATACTTGCGCTGCAAAACGAGAGGAAATGGAAGTGTGCATGGTATGCGATATGTATCATGTATCAGACTGCGCCTCCGTCTCTTCCATATGCCTCGGTAGACCATCCTTCGCAGGCGACGACGGTGGCGAGCCAGCGGTATCCGATTTTGTGGCACCGCCAGCCGCGTCGCCGTCTTCATGCGAGTGCACCCGATCCTTGCTCGCGATCGTCTTCAGCACCGCCTGCGCCGACGTCCCGGGCGAGTCAGCAGCGAGCTGCGACGGCGACAGAGGAGGCCTCGACAGCGATATCGACGTCCGGTTCTTCCTCTCCGGCAACGGAGGCGGCGACAGCGCGCGCGGCGGTCTCCTTCCAGGCTCCCCACCGTGCTGGTCCGACGTCCATCGCCTCCCCGACCCCTCGCCCCGCTCCTCCGACTCAGACGCGCTCGTGTTGGGCTCGCGCTCCGAGTGCACGTCACCCGCCTGCGCGGGGGCAGACGGGTTTTTCCACAGCCTATACACGCTCTGTATCGCCGGCTTCAGCTTGTTCTCCTGCTGCGTCGGCGTCTGCGGCTCGGGCGCGACGTAGCCCATCGACTGGATCTCGCCCTTGTGTTTCGCGTGTATGCCCGGGATGCTCATCGTCATCGCGCGCGGCTGGACGTGAATGGGCGCGGGTGGGGGCGCCTCGTCCTCCGAGTCGACTGTGGGGCGTTTGACGGGCGTGCCATGCGGGGAGACGCTCTTGCCGGCTGCGTTACTGGAAGAGGCATGGGAGCCGACGGAGGTGTTAGATGTAGTTCGGGCGAGGCCGCTGCCGCTCGCCTCGGCACTTGACGACAGCCTCTCCGAAAGTGGCGCGCGTTGCGGGATTGTAATGGGTGCAGAGCCGCCCGGTGTGGAGTCGTATCGGTCCCTCCTCCCTGCCACAGCCGCTCGAACATCCGCATAGCTATTCCTCTTACTCCCTGAGGGTATGCTCTCCGTTCGCAACCTCTCCGTAACCTGCCCTGGATCCGGAACCTCCTCGCTGTGCGCAGAGGTCGAGCTCGAGCTGATGGAGTCTTTCCTCCGCGACGCTGCCCACTTCACGCCCCAGGTCCGAACCGTCTGCATCGTCTCCTTCGCCGTAAGGCTTAATGACTCCTTGTTGCCCGCGCGCGACTTCAGTGTCGACAGGAAGGTCGAGGGACTGGGCGGTGGTTGGGGTGCATCGCTGCGCGGTGTAGGAATGTCCTGGTCCGACGCTGTCGCGGGCGTCTCGACCAGGTCGGGAGCATTGTTGCTGTGGGAAGAGGTAGACCGGCCACTAGGAGCAGGCGAGGGTCTCCGAATAGTCTGCTGCGAGTCCTTCCCGACGACCGAGGACCTGTCGGCAGAAAGCGACGCTTGTCTATCGGGAGTAGACTGAGAACGAGTGGACCCACTCCCAACCTCCGCTGGTCGACCCCGGTCGGTAGTTTCCTCTTCGGGCTCCTCCGGAACCGCATCGCTCGTTATGAGAGTAGGGATAGGTTCAGACGGCGCGCGGGCCCCAGCGAACCAGGTCTTCCGGCGGTCTGCTTTCGCCTCCTGCACCGTAGCGGACGGGCGTAAGGGCTCAGCCTTAGGCGGAGACGCCGACGTGGCGGTTTCAGACGTTGTTGTTATAGCGTCTGTGCTGAATGTCTGCTGCATCGGAGGGGCTGACGCAGGAGGGGCCGAGACAGGCGGGAGGCGGTCGTCTGAGGTGTCGATAGTAGGCGATTCGTCTTTCGGCAATGCGGTGGCAGGGTCGGAGGGCGCTGGTTGCCTCTTGAGTGTGCGAACCGCGTCTTCCCAGATCCCACCTCGGTGGAAGAAGGGCAGGCTGTCGAAGTAGGCGATGTCGTCCATGTTCGGCATGACTACCGATTCCTCGATCTGAGCACATATTTAGAACCGAATCTCGTAGTCGAGGGAGGGTTACTTACAATCTCCTTCAGCCGCGACTCGATCTGGCTCAAAATCATGGTCCAGGTGATTTGCCGGTCACTCACGATGGGCTCGACTTCGAGCACCATGCGAGGCGACTTAGTGAAGGCGTACCAGATGCGATTGGACGGTGGTCGCTTGACCTTGACCAGCATGTTGCCCTCAAGTTCCTTCAGCACAGCCGCAAGCATGAGCTTGACGGTGTAAGACCGGAAAGTCCCGATGTTGATTGTCGCAGTCGCCTCTACCGTTATTCTGACTTCGCCCTTGAACTGCAGGTGAACTTCCATAGACGCATCGCCCTCCCTCGTGAGCTCCTTCAACATCGGCTTGCTGAACATGGGCGGCCGATTGCCAACGGAGACCTCGGTCACGACGACGTCTGTGAGGAAACCTGGTCGCTTGACCTTGGAGAGCTTCTTCATCAGGCGACCGATGAGATAGTCCTCGAGAGTGCGCGTGCGGTAGTAGCTGAAGAATATGCGACCGATAAGAGCATTGAACCAGCGCATCGGAATGACATCTGGCTGCGCGTCGAGGGTGTCGACGAGGCGTTGCATGTCCGCGGGATCGTAGATGGGGCGTAGTGGGGAGAGGATGTTGGTTTGGGCAGGGTGGTCGGAGGCGTGCACGAGGGCGAGGTACCAGTCCTCCATTTCGACGTTGGAGCGGACGAAGATGAACCAAGGTGTGGATGGGTCGAGTGCTTCTTGCCGTGCGGCCTCCTTTGCTTGCTCTTCAGCCTCTAGGCGCTCGCGCTCCTTCTCATTCTTGCTGCTGGTGTCAGAGTCGGGGAGCTTCTCGTCGATGTTCTCCTTCTCCAGTGTCATTTGTCTTGCGAGACTGGGCATCCCCTCCTGTTGCGGTTTCGGCTTGAGGCAGATGGCGTTGCGCTTCGCAAACAGCTCGCCATCTAGTTGTCGCTCCGGGTAGACGACTACCTCATGACCACCGAGCTCGATCGCCGCCTCGCAGTCGTTCATCGTCTCGTCCTCGTATAGGTAAAGCACCTTCCCCTTCAGTGCGACATACCACATATCCTTCGGGCGCGACTTCTTGGGGTCCTTCGAATGGGAGTCGATGAACGTGCGCATGAGCGTCATGTAGCCCGCATCCTCGCCCGTCTCCTCGAAGGTGCGCCGCACGGTGAGCCACCCCTTCCGCGTCCGGGGCGCATCGTTCACCTCGAGTGGTTCATCAGCGGCGGCTGCAGCGACGTCATCGGGGTCGTGCTTCTCGAGGGAGTCCCTGCGCTTCTTCTGGGCGTCGAGGTCGCCTACGGGGACGGAGGTATAGACAGTGATGAATATGGCGGCGAGAACGAGGAGAGGAAGGAATGTGAGTCCGCCGAGCACGTAGGCGTAGACGATGGCTCTGATGGTCATTCTCCGGTTGAACGGATGGCGCTGACAAAGACGTGAGCAGAACAGTTAAGGCGCTGTGATTGCGGCGCACCGGTACAAGACCACGAAGGTCAGACTAGATGTTGTGGTCACCGGTCAAGGGGCGTCACCAGCTCCGAACAGCGCAAGTGGCAAAGCATGCGGGCATGGTCTCGGACACGTGTGGACACGACACCGGCAACCCGGGCCGAAAATAAGCGCCCAAGCGCGGTCTTGCGTCGCGATTCGTCACACTGCAGGTCACCCATCTTTTCAGTGATCCCTCTGGTCTTTGGCTCTAACGATGCTGAATAACTAGGGATGTGCGCATTCGAGAGTTTTGCTATTACATGGCAGCTGCCACCGTGAGGTCAATACGAGACGTAGAGTTGTGACCAGTGCCTGCAATTGGTGGCACCCAGCCAGCCAGACAGCACCTCCGACTTGCGCACGGTGATAGATGTACATTTCATTGTGAACAGATATGTTCACAGCAGGCTATCGAAAAGCATCCATTTGCCCTAGAAGGAGTGCTCCGTCGAGTCCTTGCCAATCGCCGAGGAGCTCGACGACCCTGAGGACACCGTCTGCAGGATGCCGTCGATGTAGTTGGCGCCGCTCCTGGAGAAAGTGAGCATCTGAAATAGCGCTTGCAGAAGATGATACTGACCACTTCTGGTGTGTCAAGACGTCACAGCCAATCTCCTTCTCCTTGCGCTGGATTAAGTTGACATACGCCAGCATCCCCTCGTCCTTGAATCGCTTCGAGAGCTCGGCTGAAGAAAATAGTTAGATTAGGATAGTCTGGGCGCATAGTCGGATATCTACCCGTCGTCACAGCGTTGCTGTGTAGGCCAGCCAGGGAGATGAGCTGCAGAACGAAGCTAGATCCTCAATCAGTAATTGTCAAACAAATGGTTGGCATTGACCTCACCCTTCCTTCGCGAGATCCCAAACGAAGCTCTTCAACTGCTCCTCTGCGCCAAATCGTCAACGGCTCATTAAACAGGCCTCCGTCCAACGTACCGGTAAATCCATGCCCCGCCCAATTGAAGCTCGGGCTCAAGTTATACACGAGCCACCTATCGTGATCGTCAGCTCCGCCGCGTCGAGAAGGAGCAGCCTAAAGCACTTACTTCCCCGGATGCGCCGCGCGAATCCGCCTCGCAAAGGACCGCGCTTGCTCTAGGTCCGGCTTCTTCGTCTCCAGCCAGATCATGTCTGCGTACGGCGCAAACTGGATGGAACGGCGAATGGCAGGCTCGATGCCACCGCGGAAGTGATGGTACCCTTCGCGGGTGCGAGGGGCTGGAATGCAAGAGAGTGAGTTAGTGAGTGGAAGTGCTGATGAGGGAGAACTGACCATCCCAGTCAAAGAAGACGGGCTTGCCAAGGATGTCGGCGGCAATGTCGCGCGCAACGGTGTTGGACTTGCCAGCAGACGAGGTCTTAAACACCTCGAGAGCACTGGCCTTGTCGGAAATATCTGACGCCGCGATGGCCTTCTCAACAGCTATATTATCCGTCAGCAATGATTACCTACTGAATCCTTCCATCCACTTACCCTCCCCGAAAGTGCACAGCTCATGCTCAAGCATCCAGGCGCTCTCTACATCGTTGATCTCCGGTCCGCTCGCGCCCCTCAGCTCCGCCTCCGCAATCGCCTCCGCCAGCGGGAGCCCAGGCTTCGTCGTGCCCAGGATGAACTCGTGGTCCGTCGCGTCAACAGTAGACGAGATGAGGGTCGCGCTCTCGGAGTCAGTGCGCGCGATGGTGAGCATGGTGGACTTGAGGAGATCGAGCTGGAAGCGGGCAGAGACGAGCCGAGAGGTGTGAGTGGAAGTAGGGACGAGGACTTTGCCGGCAAGATGGCCACACTAGAAGAACCGTCGTGAATGGGGGTCGTACAGATGATGAAAGTCTTTACCTTCTTGCCGCCGTGTAGTTGATCTTCGAAATGGACCGCGGACGCTCCCTGAATATTTGGGTGAGTGAATGATCTCGTTACTGCTGGACCGAACGTACAGATTCTGCGAACAGCTTTGTGAGCTTCATGACGGCGGACAGGCCTCCATGCCTGTAAGCACGTTAGCAATGTGATAAGGTATACATTGAGTTGCCTTACCCTGTGTCCGCGTCCGCGATGATGGGGCGAAGGTAGTCGATGTACTTCATTTTTGACCTCTGCTCGAGCGTCGCGGACATCCGCGCATCGAAGTGCTTGCGGTCATGCAGCTGTTGGGCCCTGAAGATCCTATGCACCTGGTTGGGCACTGTAGTATATGGGTAGTCCCTGCATGCTCAATCAGATCGTCAAGACCTCACGATCAATCGAAGGAACGCACCCAAAGTCCGGGCCCACTTCATTGTTCCCCGTGGTCAGCAAGCTGCTGCAGGCCCACCCCGAGATGTACACCACTTCCTGGTTGGCAGCCATCTGAGTCATCTGCACCGGGTCTACCGCGCCCATCGTGTGCACAGGTCGCCCTTCGTTAGCAGCCTCGGAGAGCAGGGCATGCAGCTTGTCCGCGAGGAGCGTGCCAGGCAGCGTCGTTGCAGGGAGCAAGCCCTGCTTCTTGGCCACGTCAACGGGCGTGTATGTTCTCTTGATCCCCTTGAATCGCGGCGAGCTGAAGAACTCTGATATTTCCTGCGTCCTGCTTTCCAGCAGTGCACTCTCCTCGTCCGCTGATGGAGGGCGTAGAGGGAGCGTCGACATGGTGCGGCCACGAAGGAAGGAGCTCGTCGCGCCGCGCTGAAGGGGCAGTCTCGAGAGTACGAACCTCATCCCGTATCGTACCGGCGAAGATGGTGGTGTGAATGAAGAGGTCCGTGTACGGTCGCACAGCGGGGTCCCGCGTCAATGATCACCTTCCCCGCACTCCGGTGAACCGGCCCAGTTGACCGGAGGCCTCGCGTGGCCACTATCAATGCCTCCGCTCCGTCCGGCCGCTGCCTTTGTCGTCCGCAACGTTGACGCGCGGCCAGATAACTTGCCTTTTTGCCATCTTCACTACCTTGCAACATGGCGGGGAAACGACCTATGCTGCACACAAGTCCGCGCAAGACTCGAGCAACCCAAGTAGAAGTGATCGACCTCTGCAGCGATTCTGAGGACGAAAATGCGGCACCTCCAGCGAAGCGGGCACGTCTCGAAAGCCCTGTCGTCGTCGAGGAGTTCGTACAAGGAAGCTCGAGGGGGAATGCTGCCTGCGCGCCGACGTACATTGGATCAGATGAGGAACTGGCTCGACGGTTGGCCGCGGAGTGGGGCGAGATAGAGGTTGAGGGGAATGACCTTGAAATGACCCCATCTCAACAAACTCGATTCGACTCGGACGAGGAACTAGCGCGTCGTCTGGCCGCGGAAGAGCTGAGCAATATATATGCAGCACCGCAGGATATTGATGCCACAGTGGACGCGGATGTTGGTACTTCGTCACGACCCCCTCGAGGTGTTTTTGAATGACGCTGTATATGTCAATTTTCTGACTCGTCCTCAGTAGAGACCAAGGAAAAGGACGTGCAGAGGACGGTTGGTGACACGGACGATCCGGAAGAAGCATTGCGAGTCTTTGCAGATACATTCACTCTTGCAAGGCCTTGCAGTCAGTGCGGAAAGGATGTCCCTTCGCCCCGCGGCCATGTGCGTATGTTATAGACCCAATAACGCGCACGCTCATGGTTTCAGCAGGTTGTTCTCAATGGAGATGCCAATCTGCCCCCAAGCCTCGGGTTGCTGCTACACGCCCCCTGTTCGTCATGCACCGCAAATCACTGCCGGGGTTGCTTCACGACAGTAAAATGTCCGAAGAATTGCAAGGGACCAGCAAAGTCGACGACCTGCACCGTCCATGTATGCTGCCCGGACGTCCGCGTCATAGCGCTGTTCGAAGCTTTGGGTAGCTTCGACCGTCAAATACTCAACGAGCGAAGTGCAGCAGAGGCCAGGGCAGCCGAGGCATCGAAAGGCAAGGGCAAACACGTGGGCTCAGTTGGTCCTGGAGGTACTGGCTACGGCACGGGTTCGCGCGGTGGCTACGACAGCTACATGTCCTACGGCTTGCTCTCTACCCGCTACAGTCGATACAACGCCCCGCAACCGCAGCGCCAAGAAAACAGGAATCAGGCCCTCGCAAAGCATTGGGACACCCTTACCGTCCGCGCCTTTCAAATCATCACGGACCTCCTTCCTGCGCCTTACTCCGCGGAACCTGCAGTATATGATATGCTCCCTCACGCAGCCACCGGCCATCTCATCGTTCTGTCCCTGCTTCCGGACGTACTAGCGTCTCTGCTGCGGAACGACTCTGTCACGGACTGGATTTCTCGCGTCGAGACGTATCGCGCGCTTCTAGCACTGCTCAAGCGTCTAGCGGACAGCGAACTCACAGCGCGCGTGCTAGTAGGGTCTCGCCGGGAGATGCGACTGAGCTGCGGGATAGAGCTATGGATGTGGAAGGACGGTGAGCTATTATGGGAGAAGAACGGCGACGACTTCTCGATGCTGCCGCCTCTATACGAGCATTTCAAGAAGCTCGCCAAGCAATGCTCCGCGTTCTCGACGGCGGTACAGCAGAAGAACGAGGAGCTGGACGACGACACCATCGCAGCTGTATCGTTGTGCGGCGACATCATGGCAGCGAAGGACGACGTCGATCGTGTTATGAAGATGCTTGAAAACAGTGGCGCGATGGTGAAGGAGAAGGCATCAGCATCGAAAGGGAAGGCACCGGAGAATTCAAAGGACGCGGTCGAGCGCCGGTACATCGAGATATGCGAAAGATTGGCGTTCCGGCACATCCCCCTCGACGACGCCAGCCGGGGGATCAGCAGCCGTGAGGGACTCAACTACAGCAACTACAACTACAACCAGCAAGTCCAACAAACTCAGCGCTCCACCCGCCGGAGTGGCGACACCCTGCACATCGCCCGGGAGCAAGCCGCGCTGTCGACCAGCCTTCCCCCGGGTATCTTCGTGCGCGTCGACGAGACGCGGAACGATGTTATGTATGTGGCGCGATCCTCCGTATTCTGTATAGCTCTTCGGCTGACCCCTCTTCCCCACAGCAAAGCCATGATCGCTGGCCCGGACGGCACGCCGTACGCCGGTGGGCTGTATGAGTTTGACATCTTCTTGCCCCTTGAATATCCCAGGGCGCCCCCGCTGGTCCATCTTCGGACGACAGGTCAGTAGTCCCAAACATGGACTCTCGTTTTCTGGAACTTCCTCTGACACAAGGGGCGCAGGTGGCGGGAAGGTGAGGTTTAACCCGAACTTGTACGAGAGCGGGAAGGTGGGTGTTCGGGACTTTGCTTATGTTTGTTCTCCGTCTCACGGCATGTTTAGGTGTGCCTGTCCCTTTTGGGGACTTGGCCCGGTTCGTAAGTGACATATTCTCCCACCAGTCAAGCCCCCGTGCTTACGAAACTTCTGCAGGGCGGAAGAGCAATGGCAGCCGTACAAGTCAACCCTCTTGCAAGTCTTTATCAGCATACAGAGCATGATCCTCATCGATGTACCCTACTTCAACGAGTGCGTCCAATGTTGGCTGGCACGCCGTCTTTCTCACAATCTCTTAGACCAGGAATGGGTGCCGCCAACCCTCGCAATCAGCGGAGCATCATGTATAATCGCAACGTCAACGTCGAGAACACGCGCCTGGCGATTGTCGGCTGGATGAAGAACGAACATCGATATGGAATATGGCGGGTGAGCTCTCCACTCTTTCTGATCATAATCTAGTCCCTCAAGGCGGTTTAGGATGTTATCAAGTCACACTTTCTGACCCGCAGGGACATCATCTATAAGCAGTACGTACGCTCATGCGCACACGTTGTACGCTAACTGGCTTTGCAGAATCAAGGAGTGGGCTGCCGCTGAGCCACGAATGAAAGCATACAGTCCCCAGTATTCGATGGACAGCCTCATGCTTGCGTATCCGTACCCCACCTACTCTTACTCAGGGCACAGGCGGCAAGCGAATGAGGTGCGCCAGGGTGGGCTCAATCTGGTCGCCGAGTTTGAACGAGCGGTGGGAGATCTGACATCTTGGGAGACCGACCAAGATGGTGATGATGACTGAGAGTCTTCCCCGTTCGGCGCACCTGCTCGCTTCTCTCGCGCCACCACATCTCTCCATCTCCTGGTCAGATCCCCGTGCAGGCTTGCTCCCACCTACCGAACAACAGACCTACCTTTACATAACGGCCCAATGATCATGCTTGTCCTTGTCCATCTTCGCGCGCTGACATTCTTCGAGGCAGTCAGGCGCGTATGTTCGATTCAAATAAGCTCCTGGGCAACACATTGCGTAGCGCGCTCTGTTATGCCCCGCATGTCATGCATGCGAAGGGCTACCGGCGGATAGAAGAGCAAGCGGCTACGAGCATGCTCGGTTCAGCGTGTACGGGACGCGCAAACGCCGAGCGGTACGTCCGAGTGAATATCGCTGGCCGATTGTCAATCTTGAATAGACTTCGCACCATTCCTTTTCTGCAGCCTACAGGCCCCGTCCGTTAGCCTGCCATGCCTTCTCTTCCGTGCTGAATTGATCAATGCCAACACCACGCAGGAAGCTTTGTCTATGCCGCGATCCCGGCGCTGCGAGGCGTACAGGGTATAAAGGGCGGAGGCGGCGGGACGGCTGGGCATATTGCTGCTCAACACCCTTCGACATGTCCTCCGCCATGATCGCCACCTCGTCGTCCGCGCTCGCATACGCGACACTCGCAGAGCTCTCCACGGAGATGCAGACCTTCGACGCCATCCTCGATAACACAGGCGCTTACCACACTTCACCTCCATCTCATCCAGCACTCCCAGTCGAGATCATGCTGCTCATTCGGGAGGAACTCCAGTCGTCGCTCGTGTACCGAGCTGCCGACGACGCCGTCCGAGCACTCGACACCTACGAAGCAGCCGTACGGCGGTCGCTCTGCGGCGATTGCCTGGCGTACAATCAAGACGTATTCGGCGACGACATCTGGCGGTGGAGGTGGTCGGGCCCGTGCGCGTGCAGGGCGGACCGAAGGAGGCGCCACACTCACCGCGAAACGCGGCCATTCCGCACCCTCGGGGACTGGCTCGAACACCACCTGTCCTCCCGCACTCCCGCGTCATCCATCCGCGAAGCCATGTCACTTGTCCTGGGAAGGCACGGCTGCCAGTCGTCTGCTCTGCTCCCCTCAGCCGCCTCCAGCGTAGGCACGCTCCCGGAGACATTCGTGATTACGGCTTCGCCGTCAGCTGTCGCGCGCTGCCAAGGCAGGATCGGCGAAGACACAGAGTGGTGCAGCGAGATCGTGCTGCGGAAGGCGAGAAGGGATCTCGGGCTGGCCGTTGCGGCGAGCTTGGACTTTGCATTGCAGAAGAAGATCGACGCGCCAGGAAACCCGATGACGAAGGAGCCTGTTCGACAACACTCCACGATTCTCCCTTCGTACGCGCTCAGTGCGGTGGCCGGCGGTTGCGCCGCCGTACTGACGCTACCCATCGTATCCATTGCATTCGTGGTGCTTGTGACATGTCACTACGTGCGCCCGTCTGGCGTTCGGGTATTCTGATGGATCAACATGGGTGTGGAGGTCCGTGTACGGTCGTTGGTGGCAGGAAAGGATACCAGGTTTCCGATGGAATTTCCACATAGGATAGGACAGAACCCAAAGGATACGGAATACTGTACGCACACGAGAATGTCACAAACGATGCATTCGTTCCATCGAACCGTGTAGTGAGGTCAATAGGCCAGCAGGGCTCTTCCCCTTCCGCGCAAGTCAGCCTGGTAGTAGCGACATGGCGCTCGTGTAACCATAGGTGACGGTCTGAGCCTATAAAAAACGCTTATGAGAGCACATACGAAGGACTTGGATACCCTCAGAGACGGCAGCTGCGTCCATTCATTCGAGATTTTGCGATGACGGCGAGCGCGAAAAGACGAAGTGATTTGTGGCGTCGCGATTTGGTCGTGTCGGTAAACACAAGTCAACTAACCGTCCACGTCGTCCCCGTCGTCCGCGACAAGCCCGCCTGCAGATATCCCCGGCCCCGCGACGGTCGCAATCCACCATGGCCTCCTTTGCGGTGTCCTTCACCTCCAAGAAGGAGGACGAAAGCGGGCTGAGCTCGTACTACAATAATAAGACGACCATCATCCAGGAAGCACGCGTCTTCAACGAATCTCCCATCAGCCCTCGCAAATGCAGAGCCCTCCTCACGCGCCTTGTCTATCTGCTCTACGTTGGGGAAACGTTTGGTAATGAGGAGGCTACGAACCTGTTCTTCGGGACGACGAAGCTGTTCCAGAACAAGGATGTGCGTATATGGATCTATGCAGATGGAAGTTATCTCATGAAGACTGTAGAGCGCGTTGAGACAGGCGGTCTACCTGGCAATCAAGGAGCTTGCTCCCTACGCGAATGATGTTATCATGGTCACCAGCAGTATCATGAAGGACATGTCCGCGCCAGCGGACGTCATCTACCGGCCCAATTCCATCCGCGCGCTCTGCCACATCATCGACGTGAGCGTGTACCTCCTCCCTTATGCTCATGTCCACTGAACATCCTGAAGCCATCCATGGCACAAGGTGTTGAGCGTTTCTTCAAAGCGCACATCGTCGATCGCAACCCCGCCATCTCGTCTGCCGCCCTCGTCTCCGCGTACCACCTCTACCCCCACGCCAAAGATGCGGTCAAGCGCTGGGTAAATGAAGCTCAAGAGGCTGTTAATGCCAAGTCCTCATCTAGCTTCTTTGGGTCTTCGTCTGGTGGCGGCTACCTCGGTTTTGGCGGCTCGTCAAGCGCGCAGCAAGGCCAGCAGCCGATCCAATCGACCAGCTACTCGCAGCAATACCACGCGCTCGGTCTTCTGTACCTCATCAGGCAACAAGATAGGATGGCAGTCACGAAGATGATCCAGCAGCTTGGTGGCGGCAAGTCTGGTGCTGGCACGACGCTCAAGAACCCGATGGCTCTCTGTATGCTGATTCGCTACGCGGCGAAGGTCATGGAGGAAGATCCCAAGTGCGTACTGACGCATTCGGAAGCCAACTGCATTTTGACAGCGTATCTAGTGTACAGCGCCAGATGTTCGATCTTCTGGAAGGCTGGCTTCGTCACAAGAGCGACATGGTCAACTTCGAGGCTGCCAGGGCAATCTGTGAGATGAAGAATGTCACCGCCGCACAACTCACGCGATCCATCTCCGGTACGTCCCCTCTGTGCGCGCCATTTTTGTGCTGACAGGAATTCACAGTCCTCCAACTGTTCCTCTCCTCCCCCAAGCCTGTCCTGAAATTCGCTGCTACTCGCACACTCGCTGCTTTGGCACTAACGCACCCAGCGAGCATCGCGACTTGCAATGTTGACCTCGAGGGCCTCATCGCTGATTCTAACCGCTCTGTCGCTACCTACGCCATCACGACCCTGCTCAAGGTATATGCGCTGCATCTTGCCCTCATCAGTCGAGCTAACCCTCTCGTAGACCGGCAACGAAGCCTCTGTCGACCGCCTCATCAAGCAGATCACCAACTTCATGACGGAGATCAGCGACGAGTTCAAGGTCATCATCGTCGACGCCATTCGCTCGCTCTGCCTCAAGTTCCCCGCCAAGCACGCGTCTATGCTCTCCTTCCTCTCCGGCGTCCTCCGCGACGAGGGCGGCTACGACTTCAAGCGCGCGGTCGTCGAGGCGATCTTCGACATGATCAAGTTCATCGGCGACTGTAAGGAGCAAGCGCTGTCCCACCTCTGCGAATTCATTGAGGACTGCGAGTTCACGAAGCTGTCTGTCCGGATATTGCACCTGCTGGGCATGGAGGGCCCGAAGTCACCGCAGCCGTCGAAGTACATCCGCTTCATCTACAACCGGGTGGTGCTAGAGAACGCGACGGTGCGGGCGGCGGCGGTGGCGAGCTTGGCGAAGTTTGGTGTCAACGCGCCGGATACGAAGCTACAGAAGAGTATCGCGGTTTTGCTGAACCGGTATGTGGTTTGGCTTTTTGTATGGGTGATGGTCTCTAACGCATCGTAGGTGTTTGGACGATGTCGATGATGAAGTTCGGGACCGGGCCGCGTTGTACTTGAACACCTTCAAGGAGACCACGCTAGCGCAGGCCTACGTCAAAGAGGGTATGTTCGCTGTTTTTACTAATTTCTCATGTTTGACGCTGATTATGATTGCAGAATCTGTGTTCTCTTTGGCTGCATTGGAAACGAAGCTTGTTTCGTATGTCAAGAACCCGAGCGCGGAGCCTTTGGACTTGTCGTCTGTCCCGAAGATCAGTCGCAAGCAGGCCGCACAGGAAGCTGCTCGTGCGTATGCTCGGAGACATTATCGTGCACTCGATGCTCATCGGCTTTGGCAGGTCCGAGCACCCTCGAGACCATTGGCGTTCCGACGACGCAAAAGACATCTGCGACGCCGCCACCGCCTTCAGCAGCCGAGAAGCAGTCTGCATACGCTCAGCAATTGGCAGAGGTCCCGGAGATCGCGTCGTTCGGTCAGGTCTTGGGCAGCAGCTCGACGCCAGCACAGCTTACCGAAAGCGAGACGGAGTACCAGGTGACTTGTGTCAAGCACATCTTTGCGGAGAACATCGTCTTCCAGGTATGTTGTAGTCAACTTCTTCGAAGAGTACGACGAGCTAAACACCCGCGTAGTTCAACGTCTCGAACACCCTTCCGGATACACTGCTCGAGAATGTCTCCGTGGTCATGCAGCCGCAATCCGAAGACACTGGCCTCACCGAGAAGTTCTTCATCCCCATACCGACGTTGGACGCTGCAAAGTCACCCGGCGTCGTCTACGTCGCCTTCGCGCGCGACGACCCGGAGTCGTACGCCATGGGCTCCTTTGCTTGCACGCTCAAGTTCGTCAGCAAGGAGGTCGATCCGTCGACTGGGGAGCCGGAAGAGGAGGGCTACGAGGACGAGTATCAGGTGGAGGAGATTGAGCTGAGCGCGTCGGACTACATCGTGCCCAGCTATGCGACGTTTGGCTCGGAGTGGGATAGGTTGAAGGGCGCGCCCAGCGTGACGGAGACGTTTGCGTTGTCGGCGATGGAGAGCTTGAAAGGTACGCTCAGTCCTTATTCTCATAACTCATGCGCTTATCGCACTTGCAGCTGCCTGCGACTCCATCATCGAGATCCTCGGCATGGAACCCTTGGGTGGTACGGAAGTCCCGTCGTCACCGAGCGTACACACCTTGCAATTGTCGGGCTTGCTCATCGGCGGTGGTGGCAAGATTCTTGTGCGCTGCCGGATGACCTTCTCGCGCGGGTCGGGCGTCACGCTCGAGCTGGGCGTGCGCGCGGAAAAGCAGGAGGCGTGCGACCTTGTCCTCGCCGCTGTGGGTGCATAGTGCGCCGTATTACTTGTTGTGATTCTGTAGAGCGCGTATATTATGTTTGGGATGGATGCAAATATTTCTGCTATGTGCGTGGGCGAGGGCCACAGCGCCCAAGAAGAGCAGCAGAGCACCTCCGAGTCGGAGTGTCACGTCACGTTGTGCGAACTGCAAGCTCGCCTCGAAATGAACTCGAACTTGAGAGAATATTTGGCCACGTGCGTCGCGATCAATGACGCGCTGCTCAGATTCTACCGCGCGACCGCGCCGTGGCGTCGCCCCTTGTACTTTGTCCTGAACCATCCTTCTCGACCTCCCTCGCCCACCCACAGGCACCCCCGGGATGAGTGAGCTCTCCCCAGACGTATCTGCCTCTGCTACGGCGGCGGCAGCGGACGTAAGCAGCCATCCCCTCGTTTCCCTCATCTCCGCCTGTTTCTGGGTGATCCGTGAGTGCATCGTTCGTTCCATCGAGACTGCAACTCACGCAAAGCAGTATGGGCGCTGTCATGGGTCAAGTCCCTCATAGGGATAGTCACCATCTCTGTCCCCCGCCTCGTATACCAGATCCTGTCGTACTCAATGACCCTCACGGTGCGTGATCGGCTGCGACGAATGTGCGTGAAGCTGACAAGGAACTACAGCTGAACTTTTGGTCGTTTGTCCTGATATTTGGGACATGCGCGGTCGCGCTGAACTACTTCATACGCTTCCGATACCTCAACGACTACATGCAGCTGAAGGAACCGCCGCTGGGCAAGCCCGATGTGAAGGAGCTTCACCCTGATGTGAACACAGGTGCGTGGTGTGTGAACCAGCCTGCGATCGTATGCTGATGAGCACTAGCGGACGAACCTGCAAACTTCCATAATTATCTGGACGACTTTTTGCAGGCCGTTCGCGTATTCGGCTTCCTGGAGAAACCTGTAAGCTTGCGCGCCACACTGCTCTCGTATGTCACTCACGCGCCGCAGGTCTTCCACGAGCTCGCCAGACATCTGCAAACTCGGCGTCTCATAGCAGGCGACAGCATCTCACTCGATCAAGATCGCAGCTTCTATTGCGTGGTGGACGGAACAGTCCAAGTCTTCGCCAAGTCCGACGACGAACATACTGCATCTGGAAGCGGCCAGTGGGATGACGAAGACATCAATGGCTACCATTTAATGAACGAAGTCACCAGCGGCGGCACGGTGTCAAGCTTGTTCACTATTCTCAGCCTTTTCACGGAGGATGTCAAAATCAGCTGGCAAGACGCAGACGAATCTCCCAAGCGCACACATCGCAGCCGGAAGAGCACCGATGAGCGTATACGCGTGAACTCTGATGTATCGTACTTCAATCTGGAAAGGCCGGCACTAGTGAGGACACCTCTATCGAACCCTGGCTTGCGGAGACGATCCTCGACTTCGTCGTCTGCTTCGACGGTGCAGCCGGAAGAGAGCCCAACTACTCCTGAGGATCTGAGGCGCACGGCGTCCCCTCCTCCACTATCCGAACGTTCCTACGCTCCTTCAACACCTGTTCATCATATACAAGGTCCAGTACAGATACATCGTGGCGTTGTCGCTCGCGCAACAGAGGATACGACCCTTGCTGTGATCCCCGCAGAGGCCTTCCGGCGTTTGACTAAGAAGTTCCCCAAGGCAACTGGGCACATCGTCCAAGGTAGACCTCGTTGCATGTAGACAAGCACTCTTGTTCACTTGCTTCAGTTATCCTCACTCGGTTTGCCCGTGTAACCTTCAACGCGGCGCACAAGTACCTTGGCCTAACCAGCGAAGTTCTACGAGCTGAGAAGTCGATCAATGACCTCGCCTGCCACCCACTGCCCCCGTCCTTCTACGAAGGCGGCGGCCTCCAACAACTCCGCCACCGCTTCGAAGTACCACCCAGCGGTTCGGACTCCGACAACGACTACTTCACCCACACCGGCGCCCGCACTCACTCGCCCAACCCCATGTCAACATACTCCCCGAACCCAATGTCGGCGCAGGAATCCTCAACGGACTCGGACGACTCGCACCCGGCCTTTATACGCACGGCGTCCTCCAGCACAGCTCGCCCCGGATCGCGCTCGTCGACAATCTCGTCACCCAACCTTACGAAGACCTCCGGGTCCCGAATGAATGTCCAGGCGGGCGATCTGCTCAGCAGCACGGCGAATACAAGCCGCTTGTTGCGACCGATTAACCGGACTGCAATGACCCCGAGGGTGCCTCTGCGTGCTGTGGTGGAACACCAGTCACCGGAGCGTGCGTTGGGCGAGGAGTTCAATCTGCGCGAGGAGGTTATGTCGTGCATTGCGAAGTCGATTGGCTTGTTACAACCGCCTATCAGTGGCAATGATTCCCTTGAGGGATCACCGAAGTTAAATCCATTCGAGCGCAGCAGGTCCCCAATGCCTAGCTCGTTTGGCTCATTGTCTTTGCTTGATCTGGGCGACGATGCCTCTTCCACCATGACCGGGGGGTCAGCATCAATCCAGTCCGGAAGCGGCATGAGCGGACTGGACAACGAAGTGGAGATCTTGTTCTTCCCCGCAGGCGCGACACTCACTAAAGCAGGCGATATCAGCACCGGTGCATCTTCTCATTTGAATCACTGTACGACCACTGCTGAGCTTGATACAGGTCTCTACTACGTTATCGAAGGCTTCCTGGACATCCTCTTGCCTCTGGAGAAGGAGAAGCAAAGAGCCTCTGACCGGCCTGGAGCAAAGAACCCTGGCAAAGGACCCAACAAGAAGCCTCACGACGACTCGGAGACGCACAAGTTCTTGTTCACTGTCAAGCCTGGTGGAATCGCCGGGTACCTCGCCTCCCTCAGCAACACTGCGTCATACGTCGATATCGTGGCAAAGACTGATACTTACGTTGGGTACCTTCCCGCGCAAGCTCTCGAGCGACTCCTTGAAAAGCGTCCTATCGTGCTACTTACCTTGGCTAAGCGCTTGATCTCGTTGCTGTCGCCCCTAGGTGTGTCTACTGTTGTACGCTACCTTCAAAAGCGGAAAGCTGAGTATTTTGCAGTCCTCCAAATCGATGCCTCCCTCGACTGGATGCAAGTCAACGCCGGCCAGATTATCTGGCGCCCCGAGGACGCCAGCGACTGCTTCTACATTGTCATCAACGGTCGCCTCCGTGCCATCACAGAAACCGAGAAAGGCGACGTCTCCATCGTCGGCGAGTACGGCCAGGGCGACGCTGTCGGTGAACTGGACGTCATCACAAGCTCCCCAAGGCAGAACACCCTGCATGCTATCCGCGACACCGAGCTCATCCGCATGCCGCAGACGCTGTTCAATGCGCTGTCTATGAGGTGCGTGGCTAAAAATAAAACAGCATCCTGCCAGAAATCGCTCAGCATGCTGTTTTTTCTTTTAGGGATCCGAGGACGACGCAACAGTGAGTTCGAGTACTGACCTTCACCTGACTTCATTGATGACCTTTGCGACCAGGATACTGCGCAAGATCGCCCTCCGAGTGCGCGATGAGGCCGAAGGCGGCAAAACGTCGCAGTCACGACCTCCCATGGAGGTCAAGTCCTCGAACGCCAACCTCAAGACCATCTGCATCCTACCCGTCTCGCGCGCCGTCCCCATCGACGTCTTCGCGCGCAAGCTGCAGACCGCTCTTGAGGGCATCGGGGCGTCGACTGTCTACCTCAACCAGGCGTCGGTAGCGAACCGCCTCGGCCGACATGTCTTCACGCGCATGGGCAAGTTGAAGGCGGCCGGATGGCTCGCGGACCAGGAACAGAGATATCGCACTGTCCTATACGTCGCCGACAGCCCCGTCAACAACTCGTGGACGCAAACATGTATACGGCAGGTGGGTGTCCATCGCAAGCCAAACAACTCAGTTTAGTACGTACTGTGCTAACAATGCACTGCTTAGGCGGATTGTGTCATGGTCGTTGGCATGGGGGACGATGCGTCGATCGGGGAGTACGAGCGCCTTCTGTTGTCGACGAAGACGACGGCGAAGAAGGAGCTAGTGCTTCTACATCCGGATCGCTCCGTGGCGCCCGGGTCGACGAGAGAGTGGCTGAAGGTAGGGATCCGGCGCAGATAGGGGGAACCTGCCAACTGATGTACTTTTCTACAGAACCGCCCTTGGATCCATCAGCACATTCACGTCGAACTGCCTGTGCGCTCCATCACGCCCGTCTCAACAGACCCAGAACTAACACCTTCCCAGGGCCTCGTCATCCCCATCACCAAGAGCACCGCGCACCTCCCCAAGGACCCCGACCCCATCATCGCGCTGAAGAACTTCAAGGACAAAGTCCAGAGCGAGCTCAAGAAATATAGGGGCACCGTCGGCGACGCGCGGCCACAGCGTCTGCCGCACGTAAACGATTTCTCGCGGCTGGCGCGCAGGATTTGTGGCAAGTCGATTGGGCTGGTGTTGGGTGGGGGTGGTGCCAGAGGGGTATCGCATCTGGTTAGTCCTGCGTGCTGTTTGGTGGCAGGTGATGGTGGATACTGATGCGTCGTGCTAGGGCCTGATCCGCGCGCTGGAAGAGTATGGGATTCCGGTGGATCATGTCGGTGGTACGCACTTTGTCGCTGTCGGACTGGATGCCGGCTGATAACGGGATTACAGGCACAAGTATCGGCGCCTTCATTGGCGGCCTATATGCACGCGAGGGCGACAGCCTTTCCTCCGCTGGCCGCGCCAAGCAGTTCAGCGGGCGCATGGGGAACATTTGGAGGATGCTCTCCGACGTCACGTACCCTATTGTTGCTTATACGACTGTCAGTATCCTTTTCTCCATCACCAGAGGGTCCATGTGCTGCAAACCATCTGCTAACCGTTCGTTCTCGTCTAGGGTCACGAATTCAACCGCGCGATCTACAAGTCCTTCTATGACCTGCACATTGAGGATATGTGGCTGCCGTTCTTCTGCAACACGACGAATATCACGACGTCGGGGATGGATATTCATGAGACGGGATATGCGTGGAGGTTTATTCGGGGGTCGATGACTTTGGTAGGATTGTTGCCTCCGTTGTGCGACAATGGGAACATGCATGTGGATGGAGGATATGGTAAGAGTAAGCGATGAATCGGTGCGATCGAAGCTGACAAGATGTGCAGTCGACAACTTGCCCGTCTCGACGATGTTTTCCATGGGCTCTAGTGCTGTCTTCGCGTGTGATGTCGGATCGGTATGTCTGGCTGACTTTTTGATGAAGATGAAGACGAAGGATAACCATACATAGATCGATGACAATTCGCCGAGGAACTTTGGCGACTCGGTGTCTGGCTGGTGGCTCTTCATCAATCGGTGGAATCCGTTCTCAGACGCTAGTCGGGTGCCCGCCATAACGGAGATCCAGAGTCGGCTGGCATAGTGCGTACTGTTCACCCATTATCGTGTCCTCTTGATTGACTTTGTATCAGTGTATCGAGCGTCAGGACGCTAGAAGAGGCCAAGGTCGCACCAGGATGCTTGTACATCGCCATGCCGGTGCAGGAGTATGGCACCTTGCAGTTCAGCAAGTTTGAGGAGCTGCAGAAGATTGGGTACGAGGCTGGCATGAAGGCACTGGCGAAGTGGGACGAGGAGGGCCGCCTTCCATCGCCGTTCATCGATGGCAAGCAGCAGTTCTCTTCGAGCAAAAAGCAAGGTCGGGCGGCGAGGAGAAACTCAATTTAGGGCTGCGGTTTTCAGGGACTATCTGTTTCCTGCTGTATATATTCGTATGTAAATTACTTCATCCATCACAATGCATCGTCAAGGGCCCTACAGCAAGCACCTCCGTTGATCAACTTGAACAATGGCAAAAACCACGTTGATGCTCACGTGATGAACGCGATCACTGGATCCGGACGCGTTGAATCCCGATCGACATCTTGACTCCTGTCGTGGTTTGCCATCATCGTTGAGCTGTACACTGCCGGCTGCGGCTACCTCCGTCGACTGTCCTTTCTTGGTCTAACCTCTTGCACCTACGATGCCACCCAAAGCACCGAAACGGAAGAGCGACGAGTTCGATGCCAGCGGCATCGTCACCAAGCGCCGGAAATCGGACAACACCATCGAGCAGTTCTTCAAGCCGCTGGTCCCGGTGTCGGCCCATGTAGATGTGGCGGAGAGCGGCAGTGTACAGCTCAACGAGGACCAGAGGCGAATACTATCCTTGGTTGTTGAGCAGGGGAAGAGCGTGTTCTTCACGGGGTCGGCTGGTGCGTTGTCCGAGCGGAAGGAGACAAGAGGCTGACCTTCGTCGAAGGCACTGGGAAGTCCCTGCTATTACGCGCGATCATAGCAGCCTTGAAGAAGAAATATGCGAAGAACCCCCATCATGTAGCGATCACGGCGAGCACAGGGATGGCTGCGTCCAATGTCGGAGGTGTGTGTTGCGATCTTCATCGTCATGTTCATGGACCCGACAACGATACAGGGACAACTCTACACTCCTGGGGTGCAATAGCACCTACTGTGTCGGACCTCGACAAGATCATCAGCTACGTCAGGACCGCGAAGCCAGCGCTGAAGCGATGGAAGGACACGAAGGTCTTGATCATCGACGAGAGTGCGTCGCCTTTCAATTCACCACACCGCACACCCGTACTGATGATGCAAAGTCTCCATGGTCGACGGAGTGCTCTTCCAGCTGCTGCACGATGTGGCAGTAGCGTTGCGCAGAAAGACCGATCGGCCATTCGGCGGCTTACAGGTCATTGTCACAGGGGACTTCTTCCAACTTCCGCCAGTGACCAAGGGCAGCCAAGAGCCGTTCTTCGCATTCGAATCGGATGCATGGAAGTCTACATTCGAGCACACTATCTGCTTGAAGACAGTCTATCGACAGAAGGACTCCGGTATGCTGTCTCCAGGAGTGTCATTGGTCTTGGGATATTCATGTCCTTTCTAGCCTTTGTTGACTTGCTCAACGATCTCCGACGCGGCAACGTACCTGAGGCCGCCATCAGGACCATGCACTCATTGTCTCGTCCATTGCCACCATCCGACATCGACCCCACCGACCTCTTCCCCATGCGAAACGACGTCGACAGGGCGAATAATTGCCGCCTGCACGCGCTCCCCGGCAAAGACTTTACCTTCCGCTCGTCGGACAGCGGGCAGGCGAAGGAGGAGCAGCGCGAGAAGATGCTGAGCAACCTCCCCGCGGTCAAGAATCTGCACTTGAAGCTCGGTGCGCAGGTCATGCTCATCAAGAACTTTGACGATACGCTGGTGAATGGTGTGGTGGGGAAGGTCATCGACTTCAAGCCCGTTGAGCAGGTGAAGAAGGAGAAGGGGGAGGGGGAGAGCTCGAGGGCGGGGACGCCGAAAGGCTCTAAGCCGCCCTCGGTGGGGTCCAAGCCGCCCTCCAAGGCCGCCGACAAAGAGAACATCGTCCCACCGAACACGATTGGCAAGCCCGCGGCACACAAAGCGGGCGCGCCACCCGAACTCTACCCCGTCGTCGAGTTCGCGACGACGAAGGGGAAGCGGACGATCACGGTGGCGCGGGAGGAGTTTAGGCATGAGGGGAATGACGGGACGCTCTTGGCAAGGAGGTTGCAGGTCCCTCTGATTCTCGCTTGGGCGATATCGATTCACAAGAGTCAAGGGCAAACGCTCCATCGGATGCGGGTAGACCTTGGCCGCGTATTTGAGCGAGGTGGGTTTGGGCGTTTTTCTTCTTTCGGATTCCGCCCTTCCCTTGCGGGATGACCTGTGTCCTTTTACCGAGGGATATTGCGCACTTCCTCGGTCGTTGTTGTTCTTCGTCAGATACTGATATTCTCTCAGGCCAGAGCTATGTCGCCCTATCGCGGGCCGCGAGCTTGGATGGACTGCAAGTATTGCGCTTCGATCCAAAGAAGGTGGGTAGACCTCGCTTAGTGGTACACATCCACTCATTCATTCGCCTACAGGTACGCGCGCACCCCAAGGTGATAGAGTGGCACAAGACCTTGGATGATGGGTCCTCTGAATGATCATGACGAATCTCGGGGACTTCTCGATGACGATGCTAGCCATCTTCCCCTCAAGAACCCATCGTAATCTACACTCAGAATAATCCTGTATACGGGTCCGGTGCAGTATAACGCCCCGGTACACCAGCAGTAGTCCTTGAATACACATGATACTATCAGGGCTTTGGATGCACCCGCCGGCAACGGAACGTTGGGGCATGGGGCGTTTACGTTCGTGATCAGCGGGAATGGCGGCGCTCCGTAAAATGTCGTCCGAGTTTCTAAGCGCCGGTCATGATCCCCACTTGCTCGCCACCATCGCATTCGTAGAATTCGCGACCATCTCATTCGCAGAATCGTAAGACGCGCGCGCGACTAGCATAATTCCCCTCGCCCGACTTGCGCATCACACACACGACTCATTCATCGACCCCCACGACCCGGCCGCGCCCAGACCCTCTCGCGATGCCCGACCCCTCCCTCCCCTCTGCCAAGTCGGTCATCCATGTCGACACGAGAGGCGCGGTGATCCTGACGGAAGAAAGCCCGGAGGTGCGTGCTCGGCGCAATCGAGTGCTACATCAGGGGCTTACGCGCATGCTTAGACGCGCGATAGCCGGGGGATATACCTCCCCAATCACGTCGAGCCCGTGTCGCACATAGCAGTCGATGTGAGTGGGCGTGCCCTCCGTGTGGACCTATGCTGATCGAGCAGGGAAGGTCGGCGGATCGCTCGCCAAGGTCGTGTACTTTACCCGCTCGCCGGATCCGCCCCCCTCCCCCCAGTCCGCGGCAGCGACGCAGGGGTCGACGACGCCGGGGGATATCTCAGACATCGCGACGCCCGTGAACGCCACCCCGCCCCGCACACCCTCGCCCCATGACGACTCGTCCCCCGCGTCCTCCAGCATGCTCCCCCGCAACGGCGCGCTCACCCCCCTCGCGCTCGACCCCGCGCACGACGCGGAGGAGCTCGACAGCCTCGGCGCGCTCCTCCGCCGCCGCGCGGCGACCACGCAGCACTTCCCCGGCGGCTCGCTCAACTTCGTGCGCTTCGAGACGTCGAACATCGGCGCGTGCGTCGAGTACCTGCAGGCGCTCATCTCGCACTCCGCGGAGCTCAACCGCGTGCCCATCGCGCAGATGCGCGCGAGCGTGAAGATCATGGCCACGGGCGGCGGCGCGCACAAGTTCTACGAGGTCTTCCGGCACGCGCTCGGCGTCGAGGTGCGCAAGGAGGACGAGATGGAGTGCCTCATCGAGGGGCTCAAGTTTATCACGATGATCCCGGACGAGGTGTACTACTTCTCGGACGAGGTCATCCGGCATGGGATGGCGGCGCATATGGCGGGGCCGCCACCGCCGGGCGAGCTGGAGAGACCGAGTCCGAACCCGCCAGAGTATGCGGTCACTTTTGCGCATCAGCCGACGCCACAGTTGCCGTGTTTGCTCGTCAACATCGGTTCTGGTGTATCTATCATCAAGGTTGATGAGGATGGCAAATTCGAGCGTGTCAGTGGGACTAGCTTGGGTGGTGGAACGCTATGGGGTCTACTCAGCTTGTTGACACCCGCGACAACCTTCGATGGTGGGCTGATCGAGGAATGTCATGGACGCTTGCTGACTATCCTCCAGAAATGTTGGCCTTCTCGCAAAAGGGTGATAACGCCTCGGTCGATATGCTCGTCGGAGACATCTATGGTCAAGATTACTCTCGGTTGGGCCTCAAGTCAACGACGATCGCGAGTTCGTTCGGAAAGGTTTTCAAGCACGGAGGCGTCGACAAGGGCAAGTTTAAGCCCGAAGACATCAGCAAGAGTCTCCTGTATGCCGTGTCGAATAACATTGGGCAGATTGCGTATGTCTGGACGTTAAACCGATGGAGTATGTGCTAACGTCAAACAGATATATGAATGCGGAAAAGTATAACTTGGATCGTATATACTTCGGTGGTTGCTTCATTCGAGGTGCGTCTGGGCTTGAGTGTCGTTCTTCCTCAAACCCTCACCCCAAATGCAGGTCACGCCGCTACGATCGCGACACTGTCGTACGCTATACGATTCTGGAGCAAGGGCACCAAGCGCGCATACTTCTTGCGACATGAAGGCTTCCTGTGAGTACCTCTTGATGACGATGTCGGCTAGCGCTCACAATGATACAGAGGTTCAATTGGGGCGTGGATCAAGAACATATCTAGCGAGGAGCAAGAGCAGTAGAGGATTCAATCACTTGTATCATACAGGACATCTTGGATATCCTACCTATACCTTACTCACATTGTAGTTGCCTACCTAATGCGACCATAGCCGTCTATTTGCGACGCCGCGCTATGCTACTAGTATCATGCGTGATCGATGCCATGCCTTGAGTGAGGATAGCCGGTATGCAGCGGCTAGTAGCACTCGACTTCTACCTCAGCTGTCATCTGAGTACTGACGTGGCACAACAGTCACTGATGCATACGAACCGCAGTTCGGTCGCGGCGGCTGCTTCCAGGCGATTCTGTGAATGCAGCGGCCTCACGGCCGTGTCTCAGGAAACCATTACCCCTGTGGCCGGTTGGGGTCATAATGGAATGATCATGGCCGGCAGCAACCGGCAGGGAAACAATGTAGACCCGTGGAGACGAGGGCGCTTAGCAAGGTGCTTTTCGTCGTGCTCAATGTCGTCGGTGCTGCCGCCGCCGACCATCCCGCCACCGTCGTCGGCGTCAGGGACAAGCAGCGAGGGGCAGATACCGAGGGCTACATGATGACATCAATCAGCGCTGACATTGTGGTCCGACTAATAAGGCAATCAATATAATGTCATTAGGGTTTTCATGCTGTGTGACTATCATTTGCATCGCTCTTTCGCTTTTGTCATTCTTTCCCAGTCTCTCATCTTGCCACCCCTCCACCCGTCGTCCAGCGCCTCCCACTGCCGCCGACGACAAGCCCGCTCTACAATACCTTCCAGATAATCAGCACCCATGTCGGCGCCCTCGGATGTTGTCCCTCACAGTCAGAAAAAGCCTCGTAACAGGCATTCCCCGTCACAGGTGGCCGCTCTCAAAGAGGTGTACGACAAAAATGACCACCCTCCCCTCGAGGACAGGACCCAACTCGCCCAGAAGCTCGGCATGTGCGTGTCTTTGTCCTATTGCCGACTCCCGGCTTCATCTTCCTCTCTTTGTGCCCCATGCGCCGTTTATCGCGTCCTTTATCGCCACTACATGTACTGATTCATCATGCAGGCAAATAAAAACCGTCAATGCCTGGTTTCAGAACCGTCGAGCCTCCTCCAGGAAGCGCACCCAGCGTGCTGAGGCACATACCGATCCATCTCGCTCTATCTCGGGCTCTCCACCGCCTCTTGACGAGGACGACCCACACCACACGTCCCAGGATCATTCACATTCGAGCCAACTACACTCCACATCCGATCAAGCCACGTCGCATACTGCCAAGTCAGACATGACGAGAAAGCCCCAGCGCAACCGGCCGACTCCCGAGCAACTCGACGAGCTTCGCAAGCTTTTCGAGACAACGCAGCACCCGTCGACGGAGCAGCGCACGCAATTGGCAGAGCGCATTGGAATGTGCGTTCAGCTTGCCTATTCGGTCCTACACCGCCTAACAACAGCTGTAGGAAGTATCAGACCATCACGAACTGGTTTCAAAATCAACGGTCTGTATACAAGAACAAACGTGCCCCCGGGAACCCCAACCTCCTCTGGGGCTCGAGCAGTCTCTCGACGACGGCGCCGGCTGTCAGTGCTCCGGCGCAGCCGCTGCCGCCTCCCAGCACACATCCGTCGCTAGGGCTCAGTGGTCCGCCGCCGCTATCGTCCATTAGCGCGCATCCCCGTCTACCATCACTGCCGATCTCACGTGGTGCTAGCCTCGAGCCGCACCATCTAGCTCACGGGTCGAAGCCGGAGGATAACCTATCGGATCGTGGCAGCATGCGCGCCTTCTCCGACGATGGTCATCTCCGTGATCGTAGCGACACGCCGCTATCGACTGCTCAGCACAGCGTCTCGTCGTTCGACCGGCTTCGGCCGTCGACGCCGCCCATCTCGACGTTCCATGGACAGTCGCCGAGCTTTGGACCTCAGCGCAACCTCACGCCGAGTCCTGCTCGCGTGAAGCGGGCGAACTCTTCGCCGCGACACGCGAAACCGACGTCGTCCTACCCACGAAACAGGCCAGAGCCTTCGCAGCTAGATGCACTGCGCAAGCTCTTCGCTGTTACGCAAACGCCGAGTGTCGAGCAGCGCACGCGTCTTGCCGATGATATCGGGATGGATTTGGCGAAGGTGACAAACTGGTTCAGGAACTCCAGGCAGACCTCTCGTCGACGCCAGGCAAAGGGTCTCCCCGACCCTCCGCCTCCCCCGTCCGACGGGAAAGAGGAGTCTGTGTCGGGCAGTGCTAAGCCAGGCCAGTCAGTCGCAGACGATGACGAAGTCATGGACGGGTCGGTGGAGGAGGATGTAGAAATGGACGACAGCAACAGTTCCCGCGGCACCCCGATGTCCACCGAGGACGAAAGCGATATGGAGCAGGATGTGCATCTGCCGCCTCTTGACATCACTTCGCGCCGTCTACCTCCACCGCTAGGGATGACAGGCCCTCGCGATGCGGATGGACCCATGATCGTCTCCCCGACGCCCATCGCGCACTTGCGGTCCAGGGCGTTTGGGCTGGGGCTCGACGTTCCCGAGCATGGACGCCAGATGATGGTCGACTATAAGGCGCAGGCAGCGTCCGGACTCCCCATGAGCCCGGTGCCCATCCTTCCATTGCCGACCCCCTCGATGCACGTTGCAGCACCACCGACGTCTCGCGGTCTGTATACGCCACCACCGCTGAAGCATGTCACGCCGCCTGCACACGGCCAGCCCATGTTGCCTTCCATTCGCCTCACTCCGCCTCTGAGGCAGACACCACCGCCGTACCCTCCGCAGGCTGCATACGCGCACGACAGGCCCTTCGACCTGCCGCTGCCGAAGGCGGATAGGATGAGTATCGACCAGTCGTGGGCGTCTGACGTTTCGATGAAAGATTCCAGGAGTAGCATTTCGTCGTCGGCTAGCGTACGCGTGGAGGATGCTATGCTGCTCCTCGACTTCTCCACGCGCAGCGTTGAGCTCGTCGCTCATTGACCTGTGCGTGCATCCTGTCATCTGCACTCACTTCCTCGCTCATACTCGTCGCAGAACTTCATTGATATCTTGCAAGCACGCAGGCGGTGCCCCTATGCGACATGTACCCTTCGTTATTCAATACCTGCAGCCCCTGTACTTACCTATGCCCTGTCTCCTCCGTGCGCGCCACCACCGTACGGACGGAACTTGCTTCGCGAAAACGCGAATGCCGAACTGACCCAAGAACCTCGAATAAAGTAGACCAAAGTGTTAATTTAGCTAACAGTACTATGACCAACCCCTCGACTCAATCGTGTTGTACAAATAAGTAGTAGCTTATTATATGTTTGCTGGCTTCCATTCAGCGAGGATCGGGGAGGGTCCCGCCACCGTCGCTAGTGGGAGGATACGTGGTGCAAAGGGCCCTTCTCGGCGAGTTCTTTCCACCGGGCGCCTTCTGTGGACGCACACATCCCGGACGGTCGCCTTACGTGACCAGTCCCATTCTGCCCCGTGCGTGATGATCTTCAGTCAGCTGGAGATGGGGGTAGGTTGGGGGTGGTACGACAAGACCCACTTGCTTTGTAAGCTGTGTCTGAATCTGTCTCCCTTGTTGGCAGACGAACAGGGAAAATGAAGGGGAGCCATAAATGCGCCGTCCGAGGTTCGCACCCAATGAGCGCGATGTTCAACGTCGGAGGCCCTGTGTCAATTGGCCAGATCGTGCTAGAGTCGAACACGCCTCGTGCGCACAGCGTGGTCGTTGACGGAACAGGCCACGTGCAATTATTTGCTCCGGTTAGCCATCAAAGCTCATGGCCGCTGTTGGTCAAACCGGCCAGGAGGCGGTTGCCCTTGTCCTCCTACTCTTCAGCCCCGTTTTCCCTGCGCCTCCTTGCCACACGCTTTCTCCAGTCCCGTTTTCCTCTGTAATCTGGTGAGTGTCGCGCCGAGCATCTTGTGGATCCGGCTTCTCTGGCGAGTTGTGGAGGCGGAGGAGTGGTGGCTCTTTGTGCTCTCTGAAGGCAATTCGCTCGCCTCATGGCCTGAGCGCGCTGCCTCGAGGCGGCGCTCAAGCCCTCTTGCCCTATGCCCCCGACCTTGGACGACCCTTCGCGACACGATCGATACGGCGCTGTGGGATGACTCGTCACAGAGCGCCTGAGCACGGTGGAGCGAGGTGTTACGTACCACCGCTCGTCCGCCACTCTCGCCGCCTATAAAGCATGAGCGCTTTTCAGCTTACTGACCACCCTCTTCACAGTAATCCCTAAAAACCCAACATGACCGACAACGCATCTCACAGGCTTGACCTCCGTGTCGGCGGCAAGTATAGACTTGGCAAAAAGATTGGCTCTGGCTCTTTCGGTGCGTGGCATGCGCGGCTTTCTGTGGCAAAGCGTACTGAGTGCATGCAGGTGATATTTACCTCGGTATCAACATCATCTCTGGCGAGGAAGTCGCCATCAAGCTCGAGTCCGTGAAGGCCAAGCACCCCCAGCTCGAATATGAGTCCAAGGTCCTGAAGACCCTCGCGGGCGGTGTTGGCGTACCCTTCGTGCGGTGGTTCGGCACTGAGTGCGATTACAACGCCATGGTTATCGATTTGCTCGGTCCTTCCCTCGAGGATCTCTTCAACTTCTGCAACCGGAAGTTCAGCCTCAAGACCGTCCTCCTCTTGGCCGATCAGCTCGTAAGTCGATATCCCAACCATGGTATATGCTATCCTCTGACCCTTTCCGAAGATCTCCCGCATCGAGTACGTGCACTCGCGCAACTTCATCCATCGCGACATCAAGCCCGACAACTTCCTGATGGGTATTGGCAAGCGCGGCAACCAGGTCAACGTCATTGATTTTGGTCTCGCTAAGAAGTTCCGCGACCCCAAGACGCACTTGCACATCCCGTACAGGGAGAACAAGAACTTGACGGGTACTGCTCGTTACACGTCCATCAACACGCACTTGGGTGTTGAGCAGGCTCGCCGCGATGACCTCGAGTCGCTCGCGTACGTCCTCATGTACTTCCTCCGTGGCGCGCTGCCGTGGCAGGGCCTCAAGGCTGCCACCAAGAAGCAGAAGTACGACCGCATCATGGAGAAGAAGATGACGACGCCCACCGACCTGCTCTGCCGTGGCTTCCCCAACGAGTTTGGCATCTTCCTCAACTACACTCGCGCGCTCCGCTTCGACGACAAGCCTGACTACTCGTACCTACGCAAGCTCTTCCGCGACCTCTTCGTGCGCGAGGGCTACCAGTACGACTACGTCTTCGACTGGAGCGTTCAGCGTGCCCAGGATGACGGCAGCGGCAAGAGTGGCACCCGCCGCAAGGTCGTCCAGGAGGATGACGAGCACCGCGCATCTGACCGCATGTGAGTGTGGCCCACGAAGACCTTCGGAACAATAGCTTACTAACCATTTGCAGGCTTCGCTCCCACACGCGCCAGGCTCAGCAGGCCCCGGGTGCCGTCGGCCAGCAGCGCGCCGGTCGTGGACGTGACGCCGACCTCTGGTAAATGAATAGAGTCCATTGCGCTTGGTGTTGAGAGGACGTCTGGATCTGGGGTTGTGTGTCGCTGTTTTCTTGCACGAAGATCAGCGCGCCCCGAGTGGCGACCAAGATAGTTTGGGGGCGGAGGGCAGGTGTTAGGGAAATCAGGCTTGGTCGCCGAGAGAGATCCGGAGGGGTCGAGAGAAATGGAGCGCGGGGATGCTGGGTTCTTCGCGAGTGGGATGCGGTCGGCGACGATGGGGCACGCCAGGCTCTGCCGTGTCATGCGTGCTCATCGTCATCACGGCTGTCCGCTCCCTTCCCGCCGCCACCGCCTAGGTCGTCGTCCGATGGCATCGCTTCGAGATGCTCTGCAGGACATGTAGACGACAATAACATACGCCACACCGCCTCCACTCGACAACGCACTCATTACTAGTCTGTGACTTCTATCCGCGTACGGACGCTTTTTCCTTTCTTTCTCATGCCGCATCGAATCATAGGTTCGGTGCTGCTGCTCTACCTCCATCCTCACATATCGCTCGCGCTCATCACACATCACCACTGCAGCGCGCCCGTACGCTATCTATATATTCAGCATCCCGCAGTTGCACTATACTGTCGCTGTCTTCACTGTGTTTATACTGTCTCGCTTATGTACATTTATGACCGACACTCCTTCCCATCCTCTTTCCGTTCACGACTCATACGTACCATCCACTTCCCGAGCATTTGTTGTCCTCTGATCCCCGACCCTTCGTACGACGAGGGGGCGAGTGGGGTTGGAGAGGGCGCCGCGACGAGGGCACGAAGGTGGAGCCCTGGAGAGGTTGTTCTGTTGCATACGTCCCGGGTTACTTGTTGTCGTCTCGGGTAATACAATGCAGCTGCGTTGAAGGATATTCTTGTGGACTGCCAGCGAGCGAGGAATCGCGCTAATCGACGGTGAGTGCGTGGTTGGGATTGGTTCCCATGCCTCGGGATCAGGCCGCCTCCGCTGCCCCTTCAGGCGAGAAATCACCGGGCTACGGCCGCGCTATCAATATTGTTGCCACCTGTTGATCTCGGTTCTCTCCCAGACCACCGTCGCCGTCGTCGTTGACCGCCGTCCACTCTTTCCTGCCCCTCTTTTTCTCCTAGGCGTCGACGCCGACTGCATCCCAGCATGGCGTACCGCCAGAACACCCAACCCCAGGATTATCACATCGACAGCTACTACGGGAACGAATACACCGCTGGCGGCGCCCCCGGCTACCCCCCTCCATCGAATGGAGGCTACAGCACCTACAACACCGGCCAACAAGGCTACGGACACGGCGGGCAGTACGCCCAGGGCCAGTACGAGCAGGACTGGGACTCCAAGTCCGCCAAGTCGTACCAGAGCAGCCATGTCGGCTCGCAGGCGCACCTCGCGCCGTACGAGATGAGCCAGGTCTCGTCGAACATCCCGCCCGTCCCCACCATGCCGTACCAGCCCGACTACCCGCCGGTGGGCCCACAGCACCCGAATCTGTACCACCAGAACAGCTACGGGTCGCACTACAACTCCGCGCGCGAGAAGATGCTCAAGCGCCGCTCCGTCCGCCAGGTCGAGCTCTTCCAGGGGAACCTTGTGCTGGACATGCAGGTCCCCTCGCATATTATACCCGGCGATAAGAAGAGCGATGAGGAGTTCTCGAAGATGCGCTATACGGCGGCGACGTGCGACCCGGATGATTTTATGAAGTCGCGTTATACGCTGCGGCAGTATCTGTCGGGGAGACACACGGAGCTCTTCATCGTGATGACCATGTATAACGAGGACGAGGTCCTGTTCGTGAAGACGATGAACGCGTGCGTGCTGGCTTCACTTCCTCGTCGAATTGTGCTAATGATATGATAGCGTGCTTAAGAACGTCGCACATCTCTGCAGCCGGAGCCGGTCAAAAATGTGGGGCGCGGAAGGTTGGAAGAAGGTCGTCGTCTGCGTAGTCTCCGATGGCCGTAACAAGGTCAACAAGCGCACCCTTCACGTCCTCAGTTTGGTTCGTATCAAGCAATCTCCGCGCTATCGCCCCGCTCATTGTTCCCAGATGGGCGTGTACCAGGAAGGTATCGCGAAGGACTCCGTCGCTGGCAAGGATGTCACGGCGCACATCTTCGAGTACACCTCGCAGGTCATGGTTACCGAGACCGGCGAGATCTCGCAGAACGCCTGCCCCGTGCAAATTCTGTTCTGCTTGAAAGAGCAGAACAAGAAGAAGCTCAACAGTCATCGCTGGTTTTTCAATGCCTTTGGCCCCCTGCTCAAGCCCAACGGTATGTCGAGTCGCTTTCGCTTGCTAACTTGCGCTCATATTCGTAGTCTGTGTCCTTCTCGATGTCGGTACTAAGCCCACCGGCACCTCGATCTACGAGCTCTGGAAAGGTACGCACACCTACTTGCTACACTCAACGGAAAGTCCTGACCGCACACAGCCTTCGACAAGCACGCTAATGTTGGCGGCGCATGCGGAGAGTGCGTTATCCCATTGATGATCTCTATTACACCAACATATCTGATATGCGCATTGCCTCCAGAATCTGCGTCGATACCGGTCGCGCGTGCAGCTTGCTGCTCACCAGTCCGCTTGCGGCGTCGCAGAACTTCGAGTACAAGATGTCCAATATCTTGGATAAACCGCTGGAGGTGCGTATCGTCGCGTCCCAGGATGTAATGCGGGTCTAATTTTGCCGTAGAGCGTATTCGGATATATTTCCGTGTTGCCAGGAGCGTTCAGTGCCTACCGGTACAAGGCATTGCAGAACGGCCCGGATGGCAAGGGGCCGTTGGCGTCGTACTTCAAGGGCGAGACCATGCACGGCGGTAACAGCAATGCTGGCTTGTTCGGTACGTCGCGAAATACATCTCGCAAGATTGTTGCTGAGAATAATCGCAGAGCGTAACATGTACCTCGCCGAGGATCGTATCCTGTGCTTCGAGATTGTCACCAAGAAGCACGAGGGCTGGGTGTAAGTGCAAGTACCATTGCACCACTCATCTACTGACCAGACTATAGACTGAAGTATGTCAAGAGCGCGAAGGCTGCCACCGATGTCCCGACAAGTGTACGTCTCTTTGGGTGTAAACTCTTCGAAGGGTTTAACCTCTTCTCCAGATCGCCGAGTTCATTTCCCAGCGTCGTCGTTGGCTCAACGGCTCCATGTTCGCCTCCGTTCACGCGACCTTCTTCTGGTGGCGCATCTGGACCTCCGGCCAGAACTTCTTCCGCAAGATCTTCCTCCAGCTCGAGTTCATCTACAACGCCGTTCAGCTTGTCTTCGCCTGGACGCAGCTCGCCAACTTCTACCTCGCGTTCTTCTTCTTGGTGTCCTCAGCGACGAAGGACTCGACGAACGACCCGTTCGGCTTCATGGCCACGGGTGCGGGGAAGACGGTGTTCGAGGTCATCTTGAAGCTGTACATTGCGCTGCTGTTTGTGGTACTCGTGTGTTCTTTAGGCAATCGGCCGCAGGTATGTGGATTTTGCCAGACGTGAAGGAGTGAAAGCTGATAGGTCGTTGTAGGGTTCGAAGTGGACGTATATCTTCTGCATCGTGCTCTTTGGGTTCTGTAACGTCATTACGCTGTGGTGCGCTGCGTATACCGTGTATCTGGCCGTGCCACACTCGGTTGCCGGCTGGTCAGACTTCCCCAAGTGCGTCTTGTGTTTGCTCAATCCGTCCTGCGCCTAACCTTCTCACCTTACAGCCTTATCTCCACGAACGCGACGTTCCGCGAAATTGTCATCTCACTGGCGGCTACTTATGGCCTGTACTTCACTTCGTCCTTCTTGCACTTTGAGCCGTGGCATATGTTCACGTGCTTCTTGCAATACCTCTTCCTCTTGCCGTCTTGTGAGTAGCGATGCCTTCTCATGGCGTCTGATGAATGCTGATGGTCCTTATAGACGTGAACATCCTAAGTGAGTACCAATTCATGGTTACAATCTGAACTTACTGACCGCGCTCTGAAGTGATGTACGCGATGTGCAATCTTCACGATGTCACCTGGTGAGCAATACTTCTCATACCGCAGAGCCTTGGAGGCTGACCGAATACTTAGGGGTACCAAAGGTGACAACGGTGCGAAGAAGGACCTTGGTGGCGCCAAGCGCATCAAGGGCGAAGATGGCAAGGAGGTTCTTGAAGTCGAGTTGGTGAGCATGAGGGATCTCATGCACGACGACCGTATAGCTAACCATGATTCTCCAGCCCACCACGCGAGAGGATGTTGACCAGCTTTGGTCTGCCGCGCGTGCTTCCCTGCGCAACAAGCCGCCCGAAGAAAAGGAGCACCGTGATGCTGCGACCAAGCAGTCTGACCATGACCGGAACAGCCGCACGAACGTGGTCTTGACATGGGTTGGATCAAACATGCGAGTGTCTTTATTGTTGGTCTGGTGATTGTAAGGCTGATCCGTGCTCTTCTAGGGTCATGATCGTCGTCTTCACATCGAACGCTTTCCTCGAGTGGGTGGACCGGCATGTCGTGGACACTGAGGACTCGACGTTCAACCCCTACTTGAGTTTCCTCTTCTGGGCCCTGTAAGTTGACATCCGTTGTCAATCTGTAGCATGCTAATCTACGTTTCCAGTGCCGGCCTCTCCGCTATCCGCTTCACGTTCTCCGTGCTATACCTCCTCTTGCGGCTATTCGGGCAATGATCAAACGAATAATCACCTTGCGTCCTACCTACCTCGCCCCGCGACCTCTTATCCTTGCAGCCCCCCTCCGTACCGATCCTTTTCCTTCTCCTCTCTTTCCCTCCGTCCTCTCTTGAACTTCGACTTCGACCTTCGACTTCACAGCCTAACTTATTCTTACGCGGAGCAGGAATGTTTAATGAGGGCTGTCGGTAGCACCGTTGCGCAGGATAAGGATGTTGTAATATCATTCGTTCGCTGTATAGATATCTGGATACCCCTCGAGAGATGGTCAGAAATGGCCGGAAGTGTGTTCACAAAGTGACGGCAAGTGTTGCTTCCTCCCTCAACGTCTCGCAAGTTCCGCCCTTCTCTTGTCCAGAAACACGTCTTCTGGCCGCCGGCTGACCGCAGTCAAGGTGTGCTGAGTACATGATGAGAAAACAGCTCATGCGGTTATGAGGCGTACGGGCGGGGTCAATTGTTTCTCACGCCTTTTGATTCGAACTTCGACGACGGGCAGCAGGCTGCAGACGACGTCGACGAGCTGGCTGAGTTCACTGCCACCCCGGCGTCGACGACGACCGTGCGCACCAGATAACACGCAATATGCCCATCCCCACCCTCGATACACCCATTCGCAATGTCCGCGCCCCGTCTGTACTTGCGACTATCGGTGTGCGGACACCCAACGCGGATGGCGTGTCCCCGTCAACGCCAGACTTCTTCAACTTGACCTTCTCGTCGCCAGCGCCGTCCCCAAGTCGTAGGCAAACTCCTCAGCAAGAAGAGAAGGAACAGGAGAAGGAGAAGGAGGAACAGCCCGAACCTCGGCATTGGCCTGCCCCGCGTTCCCCGCTTCCTCCTCATCGTCTCGCTAAGCTCGCCAATGCTCTCGGCGTGTCTACCCCGCTCCCGGCATTTGAGCTCTCTGGTTTCCCGTCGCCTTCACTCGCGCCGCCGTCCCCGATCATTCCGCCATCCCCCAGCGTCGCGCGTCCATCGACACCGACTCCAAATCCGCCGGTTGTCTCGCGGTTCTTCGTCCACGTTCTACCGCCGCGCTACCTGCCCCACCACTCCGACCCTCGTGCGCAGCCAGCCGACTACCTCGCGCCTCCACCAACGAACGCGTCCGGGTATCACGTCAAGTTCCGTCGCGGAGTCCTCGTAGGCGTGCAGCCGACGCTACCATCCCAGCTTGCTGCCATTGCGCGCGAGTACGGGCTCCCGAGTACGCGCGGCATTGTGCTCTACCTCGTCAACGCGGACGGGAATTCGACCGAGGAAGGGGACGGCTGCGGTCCCAGACTGACGGACGATGTATGGCGCACGCTCTGGGCGCGCGTCGTTCGGCTTGAGGAGGATCGTTTTCCTGAGGACAGCGACCGAACTCAGCAGTCGTTCCCTCGCTCACCCCTTGCACGGGCCGGCACCCCGCTCTCTTTTCGACACTCCCCTTATCCTTCGCAGCACCGACCTCTGCTTGCTAGCCCTTTCCTCACGTCGAACTTTCCCTCGTCGCCATCGTTCCCACCTCGCGATGGTGCACGCAGTGCTCCTCCGTACCAGCACTCGCCCTCACAGTCCTCAAGCTTCCCGGCTTCCGGGTCTTCTTCGCAACCCTCTCGCGAAGGCACGGCTTCCTCGACTTCAACCGAGAGTGATCTTGACACACCTGCAACATCAGCTGACCTCCATGACATGAGCTCAGCCGAAACGGTGGGCAAGCAGAACGTCGTTGATCTCACTGAGGGTGAGTGGATAGACCGGTGCCCCTGCTCTTAGTTCCTGATCATTACCCAGAGCCGTTATCTACCGAAGATGCTCAACTTCCTCGCGCTCTCTTGGCCCCTCTCAAGCTTCACGCCCGGGGTGGCGCGACACCGACGCAGCTATCATTCCTTCCCATCATCGCCCATGTTGAGTTTCATATCGATCCTCAACAAGCGACATGGTACAAGCCATGGGTCAGAAGCAGGTATGCCGATTCTATCCCCGCCGGGTTTCCGAGCTGAGATGAGGTGAACAGGAGACGAAACGCTTCATGGAAGGGCCAGGAGGATGATGGCTCGCGCAAGAACAGCTTGCCGGTGGTCCTCAGCCCCAATGAAGCATCTGATGACAAGGAGCGGAAAGGTAGCCTCCCTACCGTTTTGGACGGCTCCGAGGATGGCAAGAGTCGCCGGAAGCGCGCACCGCGCAATCTTCGTCTGCGCCCGCGGCAATCGTCCCGGTTGAAGCGACGATCCCTCCTCTCAGTCAACTCAGCAAAATCCGACTCGGCAGATGGCCGCGTCGAGTCTCCCGACCAGGATGACGACGCGTGGGAAGATGACCCCGAGTTTGACCCCGACATGGAATTCGATGACTTCTACGAACAGCTATGGGCACCGCGTCAAGGTGTGAGCATCCTTGTCGAGCAGCGGCGTGCAAAGGACGAGGCTCAGAGGAGGGCGGTGGAGGATGAGGACGATGAGGAGCGGCAGCGGGAGGACGAGCTTCGTGCGCAGCTTGAGCAAATGCGGCAACAGCTCAAGGATGCCTTGGAAGCCCAGCAGCGAGCGGAAGAGCGTGCAGGTGAGCTGGACGAATATGGGGAGGGCGAGGAGGGACGCGCGGGGCGCAAGGGCGCCCCGCCGGCGTTGCACCTGATTGGGAGCGCTTTCGGTGCCCTTGGGCCTCGTGAGTCTACAGTCCATTGTGCCCCTTGCCTCTCTACCCCTCCCCTACTTATCTTGGGTGATTCTAATCGTCGCTCTAGCTTCATCAGCGTCGTCTGGGGATCGCAAATCTGTTCAATTGTCGTATCTTAACGAAGACGAAGAGGGTGAGCAAGCACGGCCATACAGTGTTCGAAGCAGTATGCTGATGGCCTTTTTTTTAGGTCGTCGCCGTGTCGGTGTTGTATTCGATGAGCTTGACCTTGGCCTCGATGCAAGTGGTGACGTGAGTGTGAAAGAGGCCAACCAAGTGTATCTACGTACTGATCTGAGATACAGTATGAGGAGGCCGACGATGATGACCCCTATGATCGCCGCAAGAGCCAAATTATGATGAAGGCGAAGCTGGATGAGATTGAACGGGTGCGCTTTCTGGTCCTCACCGGCATGCTGAGTAGCCTTATGCTAACGTTGTCCTTCAGACTCTTCAGCAACTCTCGCCTAACAAGTTCAAGCATCATGAAGAATTACCCTATGATCCCGAATTCTCCAATGTGTCATCGTTGTCACCCAATATGATCCCTGGCGCGCCGAAGTATAATCGGGACGTCTTCCCGCCAACGCCCAAACTGGGACCAAGTATGGATCCTCCATTGTCGCCGCGGTCAACGTTAGTCTTTCCTGCCCCGCCCCTTGGTGTACATCACAATTGACGAGGCTTACAGGGACTCTGCTTGGCCTGCGGTCCCCTTCTCTGCGTTGGCTTCACCGAATGGGTCTCCCAGGGCAGAGGACGCGCACTTGTCACCTGACGCCTCGCAGAGTGGACTGCCAAGGCTGGCGGTCAACGGTGTTACTGCGTCCGCACCCCCAGGATTTGGGGAAAACAAGGCGAACGGAGCCGAGATCTCTGCAGAAACGGCAAAGCGGAGGAAGTTGCTTGAGGAGCAGGAATCTCTGTACCCCTCCAAGCGTCCAGATTCATCGGCGAGCAACGGGATCCCTAGGCCAAATTCCCACCGCAGCCAGTCGTCCTCGTCCTCTACGAACTCTGCGTACTATCCTCCGCCGAGGAAGAGCGATGACTCGCCCATCATCCCCTTGTCCCCTGATCCATTCGGTCGCTCTGACTTCTCTGGACCCGGCTCTGCGTATTGGGAGAATCCCGAGAGACAGCTCGGCAGCGGCAACACACCAATGGTCAGCATCGACGAGCGTATGGCTGGCGGCAATGGCGGTGACCCCGAGGTCAACTCGAGCCGCTTCTCTGCGGACTCCCTTAACGGCGACGAGAAACCGGCGAAGGCAGCACCTGCGAAGGAGAGCTCACAGCGGACAACCATGATGAGCGTGCGCGGTATCAGCAAGCTATGGCGGAAGAGCAACAAGGCGAGTGTGTCGCAGCCCGCACCGCCGATGCCACAGCAGCCTGTGGGTCGGGCGTCCAGTGCGAGTGCCTCGAACCCTAACGCTGGACGGGCCTCACCTGCGGCCAGTTTGGGGCGCTCTCCGAGTGCAGGGGCGACGTCGACCCTCAGCCAAGCGTCCTCGAGGGCAGCGACACCCGCTAGGCCAGAGCGGCCTTCGCAAGAACTTGTTGACCTTCCAGACGTACCGCCAGACCAGCTCGGGCGATATTCGACTTCGGGCCGTCCATCTGCGGAGCGTCCGTCGACGGAAAGTCTTGCGCCCCCCATGACCAAGATGATGATGCCCAATGGCCAACGCTCCGTTGATCTGCGCTTCGACCAGGAATCGCCGTATCCGACGGTGATCCCTCGTTCGCGTGCGGCGTCGAACGCGCCCCCTCCTGAAGACCCAAATGGTATGCGCAAATCAATACTCAAGTCCAAGGGTGGTAACGGTAGCATTAGTGAGGACCGCCGACAGCGCAGGCCCAGCCTCTCCTCCATCCGCCAATCTCTCATGAACTCGCCCCCGCCCGAGAGCATACCCCCGAGTCCTAAGCTTCCGGAGCAGTTTGCGGCGCACGCGCGGACGGCCAGCAACGCACATGTGCGCTCCGGCAGCAGGACGCACACTCGCGTAGAGAGCGGCGCGCACACCCGGACGCTCAGCGGCGCGACCTCACGCTCTGGGATGAGCACCGCGACGTCTCGTTCGCGCATGACGACACCGACAATCGACGAGGGGGGCGAGGCGCATGGATCTCCGGCGTAGGGAGCGGCACGCGGACGACGGACGGACCTGTGGCGCATAACTTATGAGTCGCTCCATCTTCTATCTATCGCTTGCATCCCCCCCACGCCGGGCGTCGTCGTAACTCGTTCGTAGCTATCCTTTATATCCCCGTCTCTTGCATATTGCATACTGCATACCTTGCTCTAACTATTGTCTGTGCTCTGATGATTCCCTCCCTTGACCTTGTGCCTAATTCTACGTGCACTCTTCGGAGTGTGATATGCCTTTCTAATTGAGATGGGTACGGTACTTATGAACCTCTCTTTCATAGGTCTTGCTAGACATATCGTTCATTTACGACTGTCCCTGGTGTCTATACATCTAAATGTAAGACATTGACGATATGTGTGGTGCGAACGCATATAAGTGCACCCGGGTGGGCAAAGCTCACGCCTCGCCGCTTGTTCCCTGCAAGTTCAATTTGCTGGCGGGGAATGCCGAGTCTCGTGATCGTGGATAACTACTCACCTGTAAATCGAACTTCTAAAGCCTCCGAGACCTTTGCCTCTTCCCACCGTCTGCTCTGCTCCTTCATACCTTTTTCTTGAGAATCTCTGAACAGCTGACCTCAGTAAACCATCACTCAGCAACTGTTTCCCTCGAACCCTTTAGCCCTGCCTCGACAGAGCGAGCACCGGCAGCTGTCCTCAGGTCTCATGTTCCTCTTTCTCAGGTCCAGATGATGTCAACTCTTCTCTGGCTATGTTTGGGTACACCTTCCAAAATATAGCAGCGTGGTGCTGCGCATGAAGATTCCATTCCTTCACCATGGTGGTATGCTCTTGCTTGCCTCAGTGACGCTCAAGGGCATCGCCAGAGCCTTCCTAGCTAGGACCTTGGAGTAGTTCAGCCCTCTTAGATCAGGCTCGGTGACCAACTATGAGCAATAAGCGGTCAATGCTTATCATCTCCGCTCGGGACCTCCCTTGACTGGGATCAAGCCTACATTGTCTACCAATGATCCTAACCTATTCAGTCACCTTATGCCTTTGCTGCCAAACCCTTCCATGATGCTGCCCAACTCTTCCATGGCGGAAGCCTCTTTGCGACCCTCATCATCACTGCGTCTAATTCTGCTATCTCACTCGCCCCATGCCCTGGTCCCTCTGTCCCTGCGCAATGTTCGTCGCAGCGAAGCCTGCGTCAGCGGTAGCCACCCCCGCTCCCATCCTCCGCCCTACCGCGCGTCTTTTGGCGGTCGGCTGGCCCCGCCTGCGCCTCCTTCCCCGCACCCGCCCGTTCTCGGTCTGATGGCACGCACAGACTGCTAACAGCCTTTGGTCAACATGCCCGTCCGGTCGCAAGGGAAATCCGGTTGGCGTGTGCTTTCGGCTCTCCCTATCTGTACCCTTCTCCCTGCCCCGCAGCCGGTTGCGCGACGTCTCTTATGACGCTCGGGGCCGGGAGCGCACCGGTTTCTGGGAGTGGGGAGGTATATAAGCGTCTCTCAGCAGGTGTTGACGGTTCCAACGCCCCAGTACTCACCCCTCGACCCGATACATCTACGACCACACACATCACTCACGACAACCATGGCCTCCCACGTCGTCATCCGCGCCCTCCCCTTTGCCACCAAGTTCCCCAAGCGCCACGCGAAGGACATCCTCGCGAGCGACCGCGCCCGCGCGAAGAAGCTCCTTCGCGGGTGCCAGCCGCACGGCCCGGCGGCGTTCAAGCATAGGACGACGTTGACGGCGGATCGGCAGAGCTTTGCGAAGACGGACTCCTCGGCGTCAGATGCTGATGATACGGTGCCGGTCACCGATGCGAGTGAGTATTAAATGGTCTGGATAGGATGGCTTGAATGTGCTAACACACTGTACAGCCGTCACATACACCTTGAGCGTCGGTGTGGGCAGCCCTGCTACGGACTATACGCTGCTCATCGATACCGGTAAGCTCTCATTTGCATCTCTGCAGGACAGCTCGAGCTCACCCGATTTCAGGTAGCTCGAACACCTGGGTCGGCGCCGACAAGAAGTACAAGGAGACGTCCACCAGCAAGAGCACGGGTCACAAATTCGTGAGTCCAGTCATTATTTCACCTTCGATGGGGACCATCGCTAACGAAGCTCGCTACAGAACGTCTCCTATGGCAGCGGCAAAGTCAGCGGCACGGAATGTAAGTTCACACCTTTGTTTCTCTTGTCATGGCTTCGCTGACCGTTTGCCTGTCTAGACACCGACCAAGTCACCCTCGGCGATGACCTCGTGATCAAGAGCCAGTCCATCGGCGTCGCTTCGAGCGCGCAGGGCTTCAACGACGTCGATGGCATCCTCGGTATCGGGCCCGTTGACCTGACGCAGGGCACCGTCGCCAGCACCTCCAGCGTGCCGACCGTGACCGACAACCTCTACAAGCAGGGCACGATCCCGACCGAGTCCATTGGCATCTTCTACCAGCCGACGACGTCGACGGAGGAGGTGGCGAACGGGGAGATGACGTTTGGGGGGACGGACGATGAGCGGTGCGTGATTTGTCGTGTTGTATCTTGCGCTCTCCAAATCGCCCACGTTATGATTGCTGAGTGAAGAAGACTGATTGTGCGCTCCCTAGCTTCACTGGCCAGATCACCTACACCCCCATCACGAGCACATCGCCTGCGAGCAACTACTGGGGCATCGACCAGACGGTCACATACGGCGAGTCGGGCACGACGCTGATGGACAACTTGGCGGGAATCGTGGATACGGGTGCGTATACAGCCAACACTCTCAACCGTCTTCCCCTTCAGACCGACGAGTATGCTAACGGGCCTGCGAAGGCACCACCCTCCTCCTGATCGCCTCGGACGCTTTCCAGAAGTACCAGAAGGCGACGGGGGCGACGCTCGACAAGTACGTTTGCATTTTGCTTTTCCTCGTGGGCGCGAGGTACTGACGCGACTGTAGTTCGACCGGCCTCCTCACCATCACCGAGGACCAGTACAATTCGCTGAAGAGCCTGTTCTTCAAGATCGGTGATGTGAGCATTTCTCGTTCTCTCATATTTCTCCGCTTGTCTTGTCGCTCTCCAGCCTCTTGAACCCAAACTGACCGCCTAACCCACAGACCACCTTCGAGTTCACCCCCAACGCGCAGATCTGGCCGCGCAAGCTCAACAGCCTCCTCGGCGGCGACGATAACAAGATCTACCTCGTCACGTCCGACATGGGGAGCGAGAGCGGGCAGGGGCTGGATTTCATCGACGGCTTCGCGTTCCTGCAGCGCTTCTACTCCGGTGAGCTGCGGTGCTGTGAAAAAGTGTCGCAATAGCTGACGCACCTGCAGTCTACGACACGACGAACAGCCGTGTCGGCCTCGCCAAGACGGAGTACACGAACGCGACGACCAACTAGGTCATACGGTGTTGTTGCTCTAGGGAGTCAGACATGGTATAAATGGACTCTAGGAAAAGAACTTCTGCTTTGTATATCTAGGATATCTTTGTACCGGACTCGGACATGTTTTGGAATGTATAACGTAGGCCCATGAGAGGATTTTGCTGTCTCCGCCGCCTTGTGTAAGCTGCGTGCATACCGCGCCTTCGCTCTCAAAGCCCAATCTATCTGGCTTCCGGGCCTCAAAGCGTCCCTTGCGTGCGCCTAAGTACCGAAGACAGCGCCGTTCTCAATGCCTCTTGGCCTCTCACGTCGGTGAATTGTTCAACTTGGAGTAGTCACATGACCGTGGGAGAACCTGGTGTTCGATACACAACACTCCGATCGGTAGATCCTGTAGTTCTCTCCTTCCGCAGGCCAGCGAAGATGGTCTCGCTCAGTCTCGCTGCCTGATTACAGGTTCTGTCCTGGATCTGTTACCAAAATCATAGATGTGAACTATATCTGTGGGGTCCGCAGATGCATTTGTACAGTACCGACGGTTTCCTTCCGACTCGGGACATTCAACGGCAATCGACGGGCTTCTGCGCTTCTACATCCTCATGTCGCCTCGCTGCGAGCTCGACTGATACGGTATCTACGTACGAGCATCTGTAGGAGGCGCGAGGCTAGGTGACGCCTTGAGGCTTGACGTTGTCGCAAGGGAAGTTCATTACTCATATGCCGCCATCTGGCCTGCTCCGACATGACTTTTCTGTCTCACTGAGATGCGCTGCGACGGATACGGCGATGAAAGTGACAGGAAGGGGAATTGTCCGGGCCCAAACCCGTGGCCACAAAGTGGTTGCACGGCAAGCATCCAGCGGAATCGGTGTCCCGAATCGGATGCTTTCGACACGTTTCTGGCGATGACTCGCTGTGACTGTACATCAGTAAGTGCCTTCCCACGAACTAATGTATTGCTCGTAAAAGGTAGAAGGGTTTCTGCGTATGGTTTCCAGCATGTTCGCGGTGTAAGGAGGCTGCGTGGCCCGCTGAAAGCCCAACGACAAGCAAACTCACAAAGAAGTTCATCTGGAAGGTCTAAGAGCGAACAAGGGCCCCACCACGCCCCCAGCCACCAGCTTACTGACCAGTAGACTCAAGCAGTCACCTCCAGTCAGCCTCGAGTGGGGCGGAGATTTGGTGGGAGGCGGCCGCCGACACGGCACCGGGCCCAACTGATGTGATCAAATAGCGATCGGATCTTTCTTTTCCCCGCACTCTTCACCGACCTGCCCCTCGCTGGTCGGGCACCTATCAGAGCGAGCTCATAGCCAGTGGACCCACATCTCCTACCCTCTCACTAATGTCATCGACGGCGAATCAAGTATAGATTACAAAAGAAAGAACCCCCGACCCGGACTCTTACTGTAACTCCAGTCGTTTACAAAGAGAAGCACGAATGCGCCGGTTGACACCCGCAGAATCGGGCTTGGCGGCAATCTTTGTAAGAAAATAAATTTAGGCTCATTTCGGGCGCCGCACCTCTTATAAGAAGGGAGGGGCTGGCAGGCGAGGACGCTGCACTCGCACGCACACTGCACGCTCCCTCGCCCTCACCCCGCTCTCGTACGTAGCACAAGTCGTCCATGTCGGACAGCCCGGCAGACGCGGTCACGCTCTACGACGAAATGCGCGCGACCGAGCACGAGCAGGCCGCCCCGCGTTCTGGGGACGGCGATGCGACAATAGAGATAGTCGACGACAGCCATGTCGACGTCGCCCAGGCGGAAAACCAGTTCCACATCCTGGAGCGGCGCATGACGCAGCACTCTACGAAGGATAAGGACCAGGACAGTGTGAAGACCGCCACAGTAGAAGGCAGCAACAGTGACGACCCGGAGAAGGGCAAGGTTGAACCGGAGGTTTTTGACCTCCGCGAGTATCTGAGCTCCTCGAACGACGCGAACGCGGCTGCGGGCATCAAGCACAAGGTTTGTTTCTCGTTTTCTGTGTTTGGTATCGAACTTCATCTGATCTTCTGCGGCAGCATGTCGGCGTCGTGTGGGAAGACCTCCAGGTGGACGTGCTTGGAGGCGCGGGAAGCAAGGTGAGTGGGCGAGGCCGGTCGAGTCCTTTCTTGGTTCTCAAACAGCTCTTCTTAGATCTATGTGCCTACTCTCGCAGGTAAGTAGGGGTGTATGATTTGTGGCGTCGTGGCTCACGAATTTCTTCAGACGCAATTATTGGATTCTTTCTGGCCCCCCTCTTCTGGATCATGCAGGCTATCAAGCCTTTCATGCCTCAGAAGAAGGAATACAAGACGATTCTGCACAGGTAATTGTACGAGACGTGCAGGCTTGGTTGGGTTGTTCATGCATCCCTTCAGGTCGTCTGGTGTCCTCAAGCCTGGCGAAATGTGCTTGGTTCTCGGCGCTCCTGGTTCTGGCTGCTCTACGTTTCTGAAGACCATCGCCAACGAGCGCGGTGAGTACGCCAGCGTCTCTGGCAACGTTCTCTACGCCGGCATCGACGCCAACGAGATGGCGAAGATGTACAAGGGCGAGGTCGTATACAATGAGGAGGGTAAGTGGGTCTTCCTTCGCTCTAATCGACCTCGAGCTCACATCCTGTAGATGACCGTCACATCCCCACTCTCACGGTTGGGCAAACTCTGCAATTCGCGCTTTCCACCAAGACGCCGGGTCCTGCGGGTCGCCAGCCGGGCGTCACGCGCAAGCAATTCGAAGAGGAGGTCCAGGATACGCTGCTCAAGATGCTCAACATCGCGCACACCAAGAACACGCTCGTCGGCGACGAGTTCGTGCGCGGTGTCTCTGGAGGCGAGCGCAAGCGTGTCAGCATCGCCGAGATGATGGCTACTCGCGCGCGCGTACAGTCTTGGGACAACTCCACTCGTGGCCTCGACGCCTCCACCGCGCTCGACTTCGCCAAGTCCCTGCGCGTCATGACGGACGTGCTCGGCCAGACGACGTTCGTGTCCCTCTACCAGGCCGGCGAGGGCATCTACCAGCTCTTCGACAAGGTCATGGTGCTCGATCACGGGCGGCAGGTCTTCCTCGGCCCGCCCTCCGAGGCGCGCGCTTACTTCGAGGGCCTCGGGTACAAGTCGCTCCCCCGCCAGAGCACGCCTGACTACCTCACCGGCTGCACCGACCCCAACGAGCGCCAGTTCGCCCCCGGCCGCTCCGCCGCGGACGTGCCCTCCACGCCCGAGGACCTCGAGGCCGCGTACCGCAACTCGAAGTTCGCGCGGGAGCTCGAGCGCGAGCGCGAGGACTACAAGCTGTACATGGTCACGGAGAAGGCGGACCAGGAGGCGTTCCGCGCCGCAGTCCTCGCGGACAAGAAGCGCGGCGTGTCGAAGAAGAGCCCGTATACGCTTGGGTACACCGGCCAGGTTATCGCGCTCACGAAGCGGCAATTCTTGCTGCGGATGCAGGATCGGTTCCAGCTTATCACCAGCTTCAGCCTGAACCTCATTCTGGCCATTGTCATCGGCGCGGCGTACATCAACCAGCCTTTGACCTCGGCGGGCGCCTTCACGAGGGGCAGCGTCATCTTCGCCGCGCTTCTGACGACCTGCTTGGACGCGTTCGGTGAGATCCCCGGTCAGATGCTCGGTCGCCCGATTCTGCGCAAACAGGTGCGTTCCCTATCGTGAACTGTGGAGGATGCTGGCTAACAGATTTTCAGACGAGCTACAGCATGTACCGCGCATCGGCGATCGCGCTCGCTAACACTTTGGCCGACCTGCCGTTCTCTGCTGTGCGCGTGTTGCTGTTCGACATCATCGTTTTCTTCATGTCCGGCCTCTCGCGCTCCGCGGGCAGCTTTTTCACGTACCATCTGTTCAACTACCTGGCCTACCTTTGCATGCAAGGTTTCTTCAGGACCTTCGGTCAGCTCTGCCGAAACTTCGATGTAAGTGCTGTCTCTGATGCGGCGACTTTGTTTTGACGTGTCCTCTCCAGCATGCTTTCCGTTTTGCGACGTTCTTCATCCCGAACGTCGTCCAATATGGCGGCTATATGCTTCCCGTCGACAACATGAAGCGCTGGCTCTTTTGGATTTACTACATCAACCCGGTGTGCGTACATTGGTTTCAAAAATTGCCTTCGCTTGCTCACAGCACGTAGTGGGTACGCCTGGTCAGGCTGCATGGAGAACGAGTTCATGCGCATTTCCATGAGTTGCGACGGCAACTATATCGTACCGCGCAACCCACCTGGCGAGAACATCTACCCGTAAGCTGTTTGCTGTAATCGCTCTATACTTGACTGACTCTTCTCTTCAGCGACGGTCTCGGTCCTAACCAGGCTTGCACGCTCTACGGCTCTAACGGCGGTCAGGACCGCATCAGTGGCGAGGCCTATATCAGCGCCGGCTATGACATCCACTCTGCCGACCTCTGGCGGCGCAATCTGCTTGTCCTCCTCGGCTTCCTCATCCTGTTCCAGGTCACTCAGGTTGTTGCGCTTGACTATTTCCCTGTAAGTTGCATACGCCTTTGTTACATCTGTCGCCACTAACATATGCATACCAGCGCTACGGTGCCGCCGTCTCGACCAGCATCTACGCAAAGCCCAGCAAGGAGGAGGAGAAGCTCAACGCCGCGCAGCAGGAGCGCAAGGCCAACCGCAATGCGCCCGAGGAGAAGTCGGACTCAAGCGCTTCATCGTCAAAGTGAGTCGGGGTTGTCAACTTAGAAAAAGACACCGCTGACCTCGTCCTCAGGGAGGTGTCGCGGCCGTACCGCAAGACCTTCACCTGGGAGAGGCTCAACTACACCGTCCCGGTTCCTGGCGGCACTCGGCGGTTGCTTCACGACGTGTACGGCTATGTCAAGCCCGGGACCCTCACGGCCCTGATGGGTGCCAGTGGTGCCGGAAAGACGACCTGCTTAGATGTTCTCGCTCAGCGCAAGAACATTGGTGTCATCCAGGGCGATATCCTTGTCGACGGCCGCCCTCTCACTTCGGACTTCGCCCGCAGTACGGCTTATGGTGTGTTTTTCGATTGCTTCGTATCGTTTAGACGCTCATCAATCCTGCAGCTGAGCAAATGGACGTCCACGAGGGTACCGCAACTGTCCGTGAGGCTTTGCGCTTCTCTGCGTACCTCCGTCAGCCGGCCGAGGTTTCAATCGAGGAGAAGAACGCCTACGTCGAGGAGATCATCGACCTCTTGGAGCTTCACGATCTCACGGAAGCGCTCGTCCTCAGCCTGAACGTCGAGGCCCGCAAGCGCCTGACCATCGGCGTCGAGCTGGCGAGCAAGCCCGAGTTGCTTCTCTTCTTGGACGAGCCTACCTCTGGTTTGGATGCTCAGTCGGCGTGGAACCTGGTCCGCTTCCTGCGCAAGCTGGCCGACCAGGGGCAGGCTATTCTCTGCACGATACGTACGGTGCCCCTCATTTACTTTGGCTGGTATATGTACTGACTCAATCACAGATCAACCGTCTGCCCTGCTCTTCGAGAGTTTTGACCGGCTTCTCTTGCTCGAGCGCGGTGGCGAGACTGTCTACTTCGGCGACATCGGGAAGGATTCGCACATCCTGCGCGACTACTTCGCCCGCCACGGCGCCGTCTGCCCGCCAAACGTCAACCCCGCCGAGTACATGCTCGACGCCATCGGCGCCGGTGTTCAGCCCCGTATCGGCGATCGCGACTGGAAGGACGTCTGGCTCGACTCGCCCGAGTGCGAGAAGGCCCGGCGCGAGATCGAGGAGATCAAGGCGACGGCTCTCGCCCGTCCAGTCGAGGAGCACAAGAAGATGAGCACTTGTACGTTCGAATTTGGACGCGGTTTGTTTGGCATCGATTGACGAGTCTTCAGATGCAACGTCGTTCTTCTACCAGTTGAAGACCGTGGTCCAGCGCAACAACATGGCCCTCTGGCGATCGCCAGACTACATCTTCACCCGGTTCTTCGTTTGCATCTTCATCTCGCTGTTTGTCTCGCTCTCGTTCCTCCAATTGGGTAACAGCGCGCGCGACCTTCAGTTCCGGGTGTTCTCTATGTAAGCTTCATATTGTCGTACTCGCCCGCATCACGTTGACCCTCTGCCAGTTTTTGGATCACCGTCCTGCCCGCTGTCGTCATGAACCAGATCGAGCCCATGTTCATTCTGAACCGCCGCATCTTTGTTCGCGAGGCGTCGTCGAGGATCTACTCTCCTTATGTCTTCGCCATTGGCCAGCTTCTCGGAGAGATTCCATATTCAATCATTTGTGGCATCCTCTACTGGGTCTTGATGGTGTACCCTCAGGGTTTCGGGCAAGGCGCGGCCGGTCTCAAGTAAGTCGCCCACCTCGAGTCCGGGTTTCGCAGGATACTAATGGTTTGACAGCGGCACGGGTTTCCAGCTCTTGGTCATCATCTTCATGATGCTCTTCGTGCGTCGATGCACATTACTGTGACCGTACGACCGTCTAACAGTCTTCGCAGGGTGTCTCGTTTGGGCAGTTCATTGCCGCCATCTCGCCCAACGTCCAGACCGCTGTGCTGTTCAATCCCTTCATCTCCTTAGTCTTGTCGACCTTCTGCGGTGTCACTATTCCGTACCCCACTATGATCTCGTTCTGGAGGTGCGTAGGTCTCCGAGTTGGTACATTATAGTCGCTCATCGTTTCGTAGGAGCTGGATTTACGAGCTCGACCCATTCACCCGCACGCTGGCGTCCATGGTCTCCACCGAGCTGCACGGCCTTGAGATCACTTGCAAGGCCGACGAATTTGCCGTCTTTAACCCGCCGGATGGTCAGTCCTGCGGTCAGTGGGCCGGCGCTTTCGTGCAGGCCTACGGTGGCTACATCGACAACCCCGACGCCACGGACGCGTGCAGGTACTGCCAGTATCGCGTCGGCGACGAGTTTTTCGTCCCGCTCAACATTCAGTACGACAACCGCTGGCGGGACGCGTGGATCCTGTTCGCGTATGTCATCTTCAACGCTCTGATTACGATTGGTGAGTCTGTTCTGCACGCAGGTCCGGGTTCTCATACTGACTGTACCTGCAGCTGCTTCTCGCTTCTTGCGCTACGCAAAGCGATGAGCGACGAACTTTACTTACTAACGACGATCCCTTCTGGGTTACGGTTTCTTTTGGGGAAGGTTCGATACAATCACTAGACATCATCGTTATCCTTAGACTACGCACTGCACGTACACTGTAGCCATATCCTGGTCTTTATTCATTGATCTTTAGAGTGGAAATGGTGTCCGTTCTGGAGGCATTCAGACAAATGGGGGGAACCTGGTCTTCAACCTTTGACTTCAGGCCTGCAGTATGCCAAAACTGACGGATCCAGTGACGCAGAAGAGAATGTCAAGCCCTGCTAGCTCAGTGGTAGAGCGTGTCACTAGTAAGCATCAGCTTCTATGACAAGGTCAGTCGTTCAAGTCGGCTGTGGGGCAAGTTGTCGGGATACACTTTTTGTAATCTCAGAGACTGAGAGGATTGAGGACCACAACAGGTGCCCGACGAACATTTTTTGCTGGTTTTCAGTCCCGGATTACATTCCACTTTTAGCAAGACGCACGCGCTGCTCGCGAGATAGTACTAGTACTACCTGCTATACTACATACACCGGAGCGACGGCAACGATGTCGTGTATTTCGACCAGCATGAGTCGAGATGCTTGGCCAAGTGCCGTAGCGGCTCACCATATTGTCGCCGTACACCAAGCCACGCGCCTACCACCACAGACCACTCATTTCCCTATGCACCCACGCATCACCACGACACCCACCCACGCAACACCCTTCGCCGCCCACCGCATAAGCCTCGGCAGTCACGCCTTCCGCCCCGATAGCCCACGCACCACGCCCTGCGAACCCCGCTCCCATTCTCGCAGAATCAAGCCCGCCATGTGCTCGCGCGCGCTTCCCCAGCGCAGCCAGGTGCATCGTCGGCGTGAAACGACGCGCTGCACGCGGGGTGGTCATTGGGCTTGGCGCGCGCGTGCGCGCTCGCTTCTTCGAGATGGTCCAGCCGGGTATGGCGATAGCGGGTGGCTGGGTATAAAGGGAGGGCGTGGTTGCGCAGGGGGAGGGCACAGCTCGTCGTCGACTGAACTTCGTCGCCATGCAGTCCTTCCTGGGTCTCGTCTTGCTCGCGCTCTCGGCCGTTGCGACCGCGATCCCCGTCGCGCGCTCCGAGTATGAGACGAATGTGGCGAACGGCCTGCGCCTCCTGCGCCTCGAGAAGGGCGCAGAGCCGGTGTGGAAGTCCGAGGACGAGAAGCACCAGTTGAAGGTCGACGGCAAGCACTTTGTGCGTGGGCTTATCAAGGTTTCTGTTAAGGACACGACGCTGACAATAAACATGCAGATGGACGTCACCGAGGTATACGAGCGGTCGCAGAAGCTCGCGGCGAAGAAGTCGAAGAAGGTCGCTGCGAAGAAGGCGAGCTGTAAGTGGACTGAATGCATTGAATAGTACTGTGTACTCACCTATTCTCAGACCCGGACATCTCCCACCAGGATACCGTCAAGCCTCTCCTCGAGAAGCTCACCACCGATGGGCTGAAGGGCTACCTGACCGACCTCACCGCCTTCAACAACCGCTACTACAAGGCGGACACCGGCAAGGATGCCAGCGACTTCATCTTCAACACCGCGAGCGACGTGCGTACACGGGCTCCCGTCCATTGAAAGCATTGAGCTGACCCCATCGCGCAGCTCGCTAGCGGCAAGGACGGCATCACGGTCAGCGCGTTCAACCACAGCTTCACGCAGTACAGCATCATCGCGCACATCGACGGCGAGTCCGACGGCCCGCTCACCATCCTCGGCGCGCACATGGACTCCATCAACCTGCGCGACGAGCGCAACGGCCGCGCGCCTGGTGCGGATGACGATGGTGAGGCTTGTTTTCTCGTGCGGCCGGTCAAGTTGCCCTTGCTCACAGGAATTATAGGCTCCGGCACGGTGAACCTCCTCGAGATCTTCCGCGTCCTGACGGAGGCCGACTACGCGCCGAAGACGCCCATCGAGTTCCAGTGGTACGCGGGTGAGGAGGCCGGCCTGCTTGGCTCGCAGGATATCGCGACGCAGTACGCCGAGGATGACAAGGAGGTGTACGCGATGTTGCAGCTTGACATGACCGCATAGTGAGTGGCTGCCGACCGTTGTGCAGAGGATGCCGCTGACGGCGTTCCTCAGCACTAAGCCCGGCCAAGACCCGCACGTCTCTTTTATGACCGACAATGTCGACACCGACCTGACCGCCTTCGAGGAGAAGCTCGTCGATGAGTACCTGTCCATCAGCTACAACGAGGGCGAGGTGAGCCTTCCCTGCTCCACCCCACTGCCATATCAAAGACTTACCTATCTCCTCAATTCAGTGTGGCTACGGCTGCTCCGACCACGCCAGCTGGAACGAGAACGGCTACCCGAGCTCGATGCCCTTCGAGACGACCTTCGGCTCCGATAACCCCAACATCCACAGCGCGGACGACACCGTGGACGTCGATGGCTTCTCGTTCGAGCAGTCGCTCGAGTTTGCGAAGCTGGGGCTGTCGTATATTGTCGAGCTTACGAGTGCTTGAGGTATATAAATTGTGAAGGGTTGATGCTGTATAGGGTGTAACAACAGATAAAAATGGAAGCACCTACCAGGGGTGAATGACATGCCTTGCTGGAGGGTGGATGAGTGAGGACATGGAAGCCATGATGATGCGTGCTTAAAGTATTCATTGATGGTAAGTCGTACGCGAGGGGGGGGGGAGGAAGTGAGGTACTGAGGATGATCATGAGCCCGCCTTCTTCTTGGCCTTGCGTGCTTTGAGCTCTTCTAGTCGGCGCTTCATCATAGCTACCTTCATGTCCGCTTCCTCCTGTGCGCGCTCCTCCTCAATCAACCTGTTCAGATGTCAGTAAGAAGGTGAAGGGACAAGCTACCGCAACTCACCGATCCATAATGATCTCCCGGTCTATGCGCTCGCGCTTCTGCTCTTCAGTCTCCTCGGGATCGTCTGGCGGCGCGCCCTCGTCAACCCGTTCTGCGATGACGGGTTCAGCTGCCTGCGGCATGCCCACGAGCGCGTCGTTATTGATTTGCGCCTCGGCGAAGACAGTAGCGCGTTCGTATTTGTCGTGATGGGCCTCTTCCGCATCCGCTGCAGTCTGCGCGACACTGGCCATGAACGCAGCATACTCCGCGGCGAGGGGATCGTCTGCGGCTGGTGCTTGCTGGTCTGCGGGCGGGCCGTCCACCTGCATTCCATCGCCATCTTCGTCGTCATCGTCTGCGGTGGAAGGGGGTAGTTGTCGATTGGGATCGGAGAAGAAGTCAGAGGGAAAGCCGCCAGCATTGTCGCCCTTCTGCCGTTTCGCGGGCGCCTCGTCGGGTTCGGATGTCTTCTTCCGCTTGCCATCCGCCTCCTCGTACTCGTCCTCATCTTCGTGCTCCTGCGCCTCCTCTGCAGCGCGTGCGGCCTCCGCCCGTGCTTGTTCCTCGCGTAGACGCGCGACAGCCGTCCGGTGCTTCTTGCTGCCGACGTGACCCTCCCACATGAACTCCTTCACGGGAATGTTGCATGCCTTGCATTGCAGTTGGTTGTTCGGGGTATATTGCGCGAGGGGGTGGGTAATTCGGGGAGCGGCCTGTTGTCGTTTCTGCTTGAGCAGCGCGCGCACGTCCGCCATGGCGTCACAGGTGAAGCTGGGTTGATTTTGTGGCGTCCGTTACGCGTATTTGTTCGATCGCGTGTCGCGTCGGGCGCAAAAAAATTCTTTTCTCATTCCTTCTTCACCGCGTGCATGTTCCCCTCGTCGTGGGCTGCGAATATCTGGACTGGTGAGTAGGGGTACCAAAGCACACGCTTTTCCTTCTCTGTAGGATGAATGCACCGAAGCAATAGGAAGTGCCGTCTGAAGCCATTGCGCTTTGTCGATTCTCGGTTCTCTGACTTTTCCTCAGTCTTCACCTCATTCTTCATGACCGCATACTAACCATACACCACAGATACCATGCTCCATAGCTCGTTGTCCCCGCACCTTCTTCCGTACACGAATCCTCCCGCATGTAACGCTACGCCACTGTACTCTGCTAATGATCAATCTATGGTCTTCATGCGCGCCGCGATCCTCATCCCAGCGCCCGTCTACCGGGCCCAGTACGTGGCATAGCCATCCTCGGTATCAGGAACTTTCGATGCCAACCGGCAAGTTCGTAGAGGTGCATCAGCTGGCCATCATGAGGCGGGCGTGGCGCCCTGCCCCTCACCATCCCGCCCGTCAACCAGAAGGTTAGTACAGATTCCACAGCACCTGTACTTGGCTTCGACTCCAAGCACTCGTTCAGTGCAGTTGCAGTCAACTGCAGTGCATCACAGCCAAGGGACACAGTGGCTCTTATCGATCCTATTACCGTGACATACTAGCAATGTGGGTGCCCCTGCGGAGTTCGCGCCAGTCATTCTGACCCCGGAAGATTGGCCAAACGGGGGGCCAGGGGGCCCGACAAGCGATTCCATTCAGCGATCCCATTGTTCTCGGGCTTCTGCCGGCCGGTCGGCCAAATCCATCACCGGTCCCCCCTCAAGCCGCTGATCTCTTTAACCAGCGCTGCCGAGGCACAGCTGTTCCCACAGCTCCTTGCTTTCCTACCCCCACCATCCCCCAGAAAGCAGCCCAGCACTCCCGCGCCGTCTGCCCGCCCGCTGACGCCCTCGCCACATTCGATACTCGCCACAGTCGTCCAAGAGACGACCTTCGCCCAATAAGGCTTCCCTTGTTCGGCGACGCCACACTTCGACGTTAAGCGCCGCGCTTCGTCGTCACCTTCCAGCCGCCACCTAAGTGTCTACATCCGTGAGTTCTTTAATGAGGCGCATTGACTCACGACTCACGCTTTCCTAGCTGTTCCTCTCAGTCGACGTGCCGCTCGCCGTCTGCTCTACCGGAACCCCCTCTTCTCCCCATCAGTCTCAGACCGCGTTTCAATCCCACTACCCACCCACTCATCACACAATGGCCCGTGCCGCTCACCGTTCTACTCGGTCCGACCGCGATCGTCCGAGGGCGCCCAAAAACCGCAAGCAGGAGACTCGCAAGAGCAAGGTCAACTTCTGGACGACACCCGTCCCTATGGGCATTAAGAAGCCCATCAGCGAAGGGAGCCCCTGCTTCGCCTTGTCTAAGTCGGAGCGCAAACTCAACGCCAAGGCTTGTCTTGTATGTTACCTGTTCTCATCCCGAGCCCGCGATTGACGCATCGCACAGAATGATCCTTACGCCCCGCACGTTGACATGAACAAGATGGGAGCGGTGACTGGCAGAGCATCGCTCGTCTTTGAAGTCACGGCCGACATCGACCTGTTCTACGAACGGCAGGAGAGGTTGGAGGCACGCAACGAAAGGCGCAGGCGCAAGTATCAGGCGCAGATGAACAAGCTCGCCCACAAGATATCCAACATCACTATCGCCGAGCCCAAGTCCGAGCTGGACAGCGAGGAGCTCCAGTATCCCATGTCCGATGAGGAGTGGGCGGCGCACTGCGCCTCGTCGGAGAGCGAGAGCACTTCAGACTGTGCAAGCTCATCCGACTCCAGCTCTGGCTCGGACTACTCCACACCATCGACGCCTCGCGAAGGCTCTGTCGAGCCCTCCGTCTCTGTCGCCGTGCAGGCCATCAACGATGTAAGCGCGGCGCTCGTCCGCTCACCCTACGCGATGCTCACGCCCCTCACAGCTGCACGTGGCCACACCCGAGGAGCGCCTGGTTCAGGATCTCAACGACAGCATCATGTCCATGGACCTCGCGCCTAAGCGCAAGTCTCCACCTCTGCCCTCCCGCAACCGCAAGGCTCGCCAGGCTTCCAAGCCTTACGACGCCAAGATGCGCCGCCATGCCCGCGTCGCTGAGGCCCGGCTCCCCGACGACACGCCCCTCCCCACGGCGGGTGACATCGCCGCCGCTACCGCCCATCTCAGGAGCGCCATCAAGCGCGCAAAGAGCGCCACTCACATCGCGGAAGATGCCTCTTACAATCTCGTTGCTATGGCGGGCATGGCCTACACTCGCCTGTATGGTGCGCCCCCGTCGAACAAGGACGATCTGCCTGAGGCGCTCGCGCCGGAGCAGGTGGTGCGCAAGGCGCGGTGGCTACAGGCGCAGGCGGAGCTCGCGAAGGAGCATGCCGGCAACCTGCTTTCGCGCTACTGCCTGGCGTGCCAGTACGCGGGCGTACCAGTGTCGGCAGAGCTGATGGACAGCGCGGAGGCCTCGATTGCTCTGTGAAAGGTCACACCCACCGGTGCCTCGACTTCTCTGTACAACGTGATCCGTTTCTGTTTCCCCTATGTCTTCCTGTCCTCTGCTTTCCTCTGATCTACTGCTGAATCTCATCTGTCTGCATCTTTACTACTAATGGATCGAATCCTCTGCTCTGCTCGTCGAACGTTTTCTGTATCTTACTTACCGTGTCTGTCTCCTCTACCTTCCGTGTCTGTTTTATACCTGCTTACCGTGCCCGTCCGTGTACGCTGCCTCGAAGGTGTTCTCTACTTATCTGCTATCTTGTTGTGTAAAATGGAATTCCCGCTGCTTTTGCGCGCTCTACTACTCGTTCTCTGAAACCTCCCTGCTCAGGTGTCTTGCAGCTTGGGAAAGGTGGGAAGATTGGGTGTTCGGTTCGAGCAGGCGATGCGTGACGCATGGTGCGATGTCACGCACCAACGTTCATGCAGACTCGAGTTGCATTCGGACCATCAAAGGTTCTCCCGCGACGCTCACCAGTGTCAGGCTGCTGCATATCTGTCTATCTCCCGCTAACTTCCTCTCGCTTTCTAGGATGGATGCTGGCAATGAAGACGCTCGTGCTGCGTCGTCCAGCGAACCCTCGGACCTCATACTCATGCTCAGGTCTGGCGCGAGTGCCTCGCCGGCTGCGAACGACAGGCTCGAGGACGAGATCGCGGCCATCCGAGCCAAAGCGAATGTCATTGCGGTACAGATAGAGCAGCTCCAGCGGGAACATGACGCGCTTCAGGAAGAGATTCAGCGTCGCGAGTCCCTGCTCAGGGCGCCTATCCGCCGCCTACCCGCAGAGCTGCTCACAGAAGTCTTTCTCTACCTCTGGCCTGACAGGCACGACGTAGTGTCTCTCTGGAAGACTTGGGTCAACCTCTACACCTATCTGGCGGCAGAAGAAGAGGAAGCCGCACCTCTGTTCCCGTCCTGGAATGTGTTCGCGCCCCCGCATGTATGCGCCTGGTGGCGTAAGATATCATTCTGCGCTCATGAAATGCGTCCAGCTATCGCGATCAGACTATCGTGGGCTGAGGGCGCTGCAAGCACGGTCAATCAGCGGGCGGGTCGATATCTTCGCGATGTCATTCACCCTTCTCTTGTCTTCTATACACCACACAATGGTAACAGCCTTTCGCTTTCGTCCTGGGGATGGAGCGATGTCGTCCAGCCGCTCATAGAATATGGGGCGGATTGCGAAGACCTCACTTTCGCCGTCTCTTGGCCAATCCTGAAGCGTATAGCCACTTCCTTGGAGCTACCGCGACTCAGGAAATTGTTTCTAAATATCAACAAATGCTACTTGGCCGGGGAAGACCGTCATTATGAGTACGCCTGGGAATCAAACACTCGTTGTCGATTCTTCGAGCGCTCTCCAGCCCTCACCCACCTCACAATCCGCGACTTTCGATCTGGGTTTGGCATGGGTCTACCCTTCGTCCTTCCTTGGAAGCAGCTAACAGAGCTGACACTATTCGGTGGGATGCCCCTGGTATATCAAGAATTTCTGCAGCACTGCTCCGCCTTGCAGATCATCCACTTCTATCCTGGCGACAATGACGGCTTCGCAGATCGGCGCCTTGTCGTGTGCTTGCCCCATTTGTGGAAGCTGGCGTCGTCCTGCCACATCCAATGCGTACCTGTCGGCACTATACAAACGCATCCTGGTTCTTAGACACTCTGGACGCACCATCCCTCACCGACCTCACAGTGTCTTTTGTACAAGGTCCGCCCCTACTTTCGCTGATCAAAAGGTCGCGCTGCGACCTCGCCTCTCTGTCACTCGCCTGCAATTCAACTGGAGAGACCGTAGGAATCGAGGAAATCTCGGAGCTCGTCGGTTTGGCACCCAACCTATCTTCCCTCAGTATCGAACACGCCCCTGTGTCCCAGAACCGTCGTAATTCGTGGTCGACAGAGCCAAAGCCGGATTATGAGGCATTCGTGGACGGTATAGTTGACCTGCTACCGCCCATTCCCCATGACGGCCCTGGATGGTGGTTCAGGGACGACGCTCGCATGCATTGCACCCCAAAGGCCTTCTCTTTGAGGTCCTTCAGTTGGTGTTGCAGAGAGCGCGACAAATCCGGCGCGCGCTATATGCTACTTGCCATGGCCTCGACTGCGACCTCGTTGTCCCGGAACAAAGTCCATCTCATGACGCCGTTGCGCCCCTACCAAGTCGAAAGCATCCGACAGGACGAGCACTTCTCGGAAGTCCTCGATATCTACGGGCTGGACGACTGTCTTCAACTCTACGAGGCCCTACCTCTCAAGCGACCCGAATCCCCTTATGATCTGTTTTCTCAGTACGTCCCTCACCTTCAGGTTGCGGGTGTATATGCTCATACACATACACCATGCAGGCGGGACGAGTGCATGCCCCCCGTGTTGCATTGAAGAACTGACCTGGTGAGGAGCATCGACATTGCCTCGGGGGCTTCTCACACCTTCAATGCACCACAGGGTTGTAACAAGCATGCAATTCCTAGTAGCTATAGAAGGCGCATCGCTCAGCAATGGCCTGTGGTAGTATGTAACACGGAGCGTTCACGCAGGACTGATGTCGAGGTCAATGTACGTACGAACGGGCAACGAGACCAAGCTCGCAGTGCGTGCGGGGCCAGACCAGGCTGGTGCGCAGCGCAGAGGCAATAAATAGTGGGTCCTGGGTACTCGAAGCGCGAGAGGGTGTGTGAACGAGCAAAGTCAAGGCGGACGGGGTGTAGTGGTGTGAGGCAGAGTAAAGTAGCGCGGGAGACAGACGAGACAGTACAGGCGAAGACGAAAGAGGGACTGGGATGTAATGGCGACAAAGTGAGGTATCGGGTGCGTGCGCACTTAGAAACCACCGGGCATGGAGAGCACGGGGTGTGCGAAGCCCGCGCGAGGGCGCGCGACGAGCTCGGCGGGGGCGCTGTGCCGCTTCCACCGCTGCTGGCGGTTCGGCGAGGCCGGCGCGTCCCTCGGTGCCTGGCCGCGCAACCCCTTGAGCATCTCGAGCCTGGGCTCGCGCGCCGTCGACCCGAGGTCCATCTCGATACGCGGTTCCGCCGGTGTCGGTGCGGGCTTGCGCAATTCACTCTCACCACCGCTCGGGGAACGACGGCGGAGGGTAGAGAGCATGTCGATGGACGCGCGCTCGCGCTGCTCGATCGGCTGCGTCGGTGAAGTGACCATGATCGAGGGCACGGGCGGCTTGGCCTGCGCGACGGGCGCGGTCACACGGATTTCTGGCACCGGTGCGCTGACGTTGCGGCGCAGGTTCGGACGCACGGGCTGCAAGAATGCGGGCAGGCGGCTGGGAGCAGCATTTTCCTTGGCACCTTTAGCGAGGCCCATGCGGCGGCTGATGTCGTCAAGCGAGGGCAGACGCGAGCGCTTCGCCGGCTTTGGCGTCTTCGGTTGTTCGTCTGAAATCGTCGTGCACTTGCTGCGGAAGTCCACCTGCTCGACCCATGGCTCGCGAGGGTACGTGAGGAAACCCGTCTCTTGGTTGCTGTCGTGGTTGAGTGCGTCAAAGAGGGCAAGCGGCGAGATCAGCCCTGGTGAGGGAAGCGTGTCTGGGCGACGTGTCAGTAATTTGGCCGCGGGCGGCGATTGGGCGGGATGACGCACAGTGGAAGATAGCGGGAGATTCAGGAGGCGTCTTGGGCGTTCCCGTCGCAGTAGGCGAGGGCGGGGCATTGATCTTGGACAGGAAGAGGGCGCGGCGTTCAACTGGGGAAGTATGAGCAAAAGTACAAGACATATCGCCACATACGCACGCTGCTTCTTGTGGTGCGCCTTGACCGCAATTTCCTTCCTCAGGTCGACCGTCTTCTCGCGCTTGGCGTTGCGTTCGCGCGAGGAGCGCAGCAGTGCCGCAAAACGGTCGGCCTCGAGTCCCCGGCCGCCCGCCTCAACCGACTCGGACGGACGGAGAGGCGAATGCTTGCGCGGGAGCGTGAGACCCTTGGGCGGGGGCGAGAGCAGGCTCGGGCGGTAGCCGTCGTCAAGGTCCTCCGCCGGCGCACCCCAGGGGAACGGCGAGTAGGGCTCGGGGGCGGGCGCCTCGTCGGGGGCGAAGGAAATGGAGATCTGGGGAACGTGCACGGCGTCGATCATCTCGTGAGTTGGTGTATGGGGGATAGGGAGTGGGATGGGGATGGATATATTGTGAGGATGAGGATGAGCGGACGGCGACCTGCACCAAGGAGTGTCTCTGATGGATCTGCGCGGCGAAGAGAGCGGCGGCACGAGCGAATCCACCGGGGGACGGGGAAAGAGGCGGGCGAAGGAGATGAGGGAAGAAGAAGAAACGAAGCGAAAACGAACACGGAAATAAAACAAGGCGTGGGCGTCGCCTGCTTTTACACACGCGCCAGGCCCAAGCGGTGACACCGTGACTGCGCCGTAGCAACCCATTTGTTCTCGTCGCCGCCGAATCTTCGCACCCATGATTCCAGCCCGCCTTGGCGCTCACTCCGTCCTGCTATACCCCTCCGTAACACTTCGATTCCTATCTAGGTGCCCAACTATCGACCTCGAACGCGTACGAGTACAGTTAAGCACTTTTAGCAACAGTAGCAGTAGCGCATAGCGCAAAAGTAGAGCAAGTCAGAACACGATGCAAGATTCCATAGAGAAATACCGGTTTACAGCTTCGCCTGGCGCTCGGCCTGGACCGCCGCGCTCAGCTTTTCGCGGAAGAGCTTCTCGGCGTCCGTCCAAACCCGTGCCTTGTCGCGATTCGGGAACTCGAGCAGCGAGGGCAGCAGGTCGTGGCTGAACTGCTCCGAGGCTTCGCGCGGCAGCAAGGTCGGCAGATGGTCGATCGATATGACCGACAAGGGCGGGTTCCCAGCGCTATTGACAGACGTCAGCCTCTCGGTGATAGCGCAATAGCAGCGGTAGGGACTCACCCAGTCTCGACAGGTACGGTAGGGTGCGAGAACGTGGTGTTGATGTTGTAGATGGGGATAGGGTTGTGCGGGTTGGTGGTGTCGCAGCTCACGTCAACGACGACGGATAGCCTCCTGTTCTTACCGGCCTTCTGGATGAACTCCTGCGTCAAAAACGGAGGGATGGACGAGCTAAGATAGATGCAGTTGACGAAGATGTCAACGTCAAGGATCTCCTGGAAGGGACCACCCTTTGCAGTCTCTGCCATATCCCACTTGACGATGTCGTTCCTATAGATGGATCAGCATCCGTCCACTGTAGTATGCGCAAAAAGAACTCACTCCTCCAGCCCAATCTTGCGGAACAGGTCGACAGCGCCGCGTCCACAGCGACCCAGCGCACCAATGACGAGTGCCCTCACTCCCTTACCGCTCCCCCCGGGCAACGCCGCGCGCACGGCCTTCACCATCTCGTCCTCATTCGGATACGGCGTCAACAACCCCAGCTGCTGCCCCTTCTTGTTCGCCGCCAGCGCAAGCGCACCCGCCGCCGCACCAGCAAAGCCCGCGTGGTACCCGAACGCAGCAACTCGGCGACCAGTAGCGTCGATGAGGAACTCCAGGTCGTACAGCTTGCCCCCGCCGCGGTGGAAGCGGTCGAGGACCTTGGACCAGCCGGCCTGGTTCTTGTAGCAGTGCGCGAACTGGATGTGGGTGTGGGGGAGCGGGTCGGTAGACTCCTCGAGCTCCTTGAGGCCGATGATGGGGATGTCCTTGGGCGCGTTCGGCCAGGTGTTGTTGTCGACGAGCTTGCAGCCAACACTGAATGTGAAGAAGGGAAGGAATCAGTACACATACGAGACGAAATATGTGTAGGAAAGGTATACGCACGCCTCATACTCCTTGTCGTCAAAGATGCGCTGCTCGTCGCGCTCGACAAAGATCTCAAAGCCCTGGTCAATCAACTTCTTCGCCGTCGTCGGCGTCAGCGCCGCCCGCTTCTCGAACGGCTTCTTCTCGCAGCGCAGCCAGAATTGGGGCTTCGACGGCATCTTGGCGCTTTTCTTTTGGGTGGGTAGGGTGGATGGGTAGGTTGGTGGTGACGGGAGGAAGGAAAAGTGACTCTGGATCGTCGGTGACTCGACGGACGAACTTGACTTGTGGAGGTAATTTAGGCGCACGTGGGCGTGATCGACGCCCCAGAGAGCGGAATGTCGGTCCGGTGTGCCGATACCTCTTGCCCTCCGTCGTCACTCATGGCTATCATCGAGGAAGCACCTGCGGAATCTAGCACTGATCAGGACACTGTGAATGTGACCACTTTGAGCCCTGAAAGTGCAGCGATACAGGTAAGTAGATGTCGAGGGTCGTGGTTGGGCGCCTAAATGATGATATCGTGCGGCAGGATCGCTTGCGTACTGCAGAGGAGCTAAAGGCGGAGGGGAACGATGCCTTCCGCGGGAAGGAGTGGTCAGAAGCGCTCGTGGCGTATAGGAACGCGCTAGCACGGCTACCAAGACGGAAACGCGAAAGCAAGAAGAGCAAAGGAAAGCGAAGGGCTACACCAGATGCAAACGACGATGACGAGGACCGAAGTGCAAGTCGATCGGCGAAGAACGACGAAGACAAAGGAGCATCTCCGAAGGAGGAGGAAGCTAGTGGTGATGAGGATGGAGAGGAGGAGAATGATGATGGACCCGAGGATGACGCGGACCCAGTGCCAGAGGAGATGCAAGCGGAATGCGCGAAGGCGCGGGCCGTATTGAACGCGAACATCGGTGCATGTTATGTCAAATTGGTATGGTACGCCATAGAGGAATACTTCAGTATTCTCACAAAGCACCAGGGTGACCACAAAGCGGCCGTCGCGTCCTGCACCGAAGGTGCGTTCCCTTACACTCTCAGCACGTTTAGGCACTCATCCCTCGTAGCCCTTGCGGACGATCCGAAGTACATCAAAGCCTTGCAACGTCGTGCATCCAGTAACGAAGTCATCAACACATGGGCCTCCTTATCCAGCGCGTCCGAAGGCACGTCCATTAACATCCTGATCTTTCGCAGTTGCTATATTCACCACGCGTACTTGCTATACAGACTATGCCACCCTCCTTACCCTTATTCCCTCGCACACGCCCCTCTACGGCGAGATAGAACGGGCCCAAAGACGCGTCAAGCCCCGGCTCGAGGCCGCGCAAAAGGACGAAATGGACGAAATGATGGGCAAGCTAAAGGGCTTGGGCAACAGCGTCCTCGGTGCGTGATCTCCTCCCCTTCACAGACCACCGACGTTGACGGGATGCGCAGGGTACTTCGGCCTGTCAACCGACAACTTCAAGTTCGAGCAGAATCCGCAGGGAGGGTACTCGGTCAACTTCCAGCAGTAGGCGCCCTATGTAGTCCTCCCTGTCGGCCATTCTGGTATCGGCTTGAAAAGTGGCCATATCTGCGTGGACATATTCGAATCAGCCCGGCCCTCGTTGTAACAACGCACACCACTCACCCTCGCCTTAATCTTTCCCGCTATCAAGCTCATAGGCACCGGCCCATACACCCTGGAATCCCTCGACCACGCAAGATTGTCCCCAGCTAGCCACACATGCCCCTCGGGCACCACGACGTGCTCGTCTGATGGGGCGTACTTCCCGCTGGGGTCCACGCATACGACGTCACCTGGCAGTCCCAGAACGCGCTTGCAGACGAGGCGCATAGGGTCGAGGGGGGAGTAGAAGGACACGAGCTCGCCGCGAGCCAGGGTACGGCGGTCGTAGGGTGCGCCGAGACGTGACTCGATCACGACCTCGCCGGTGTGGTCGAAGGTGGGGAGCATGGAGGGGCCGGCCATCTGGGGTGTGGAATGTATGTATCAGCCACTAGCTATGTGAACAAGTAGGGGGAAAGGGAGATGCGCGCACCATAACAGGCCGCCCGACATATATGCTAATGAGGTGCAGCGCGCAGAACACGTTCGCGATCTGGGGGAGAAGAAGACGTGAGTCCCGAGCGGAGTGATTGCGTTGGACTGGGGAAGCACACCTTCAGCGTCCGCAAGCCTAAGCCGTAAGCAAAGGTCTTAAAGTTGACCTCTTTCCAAGGTATGTTTCGCCACGCCTGCCATGGTCGAAACATGAAGCCGGAGCTCGCCGTTGTTCTACGCGTCGAGGTGGACGACCGTGCGCGTGAACTCGTGTCGCGGTTCGGAGAAGGATGTACGGTCCGAATGCCGGTTCTCCGAGCGGAGGTATATTTTCTTCCCACGCCACAATTAAAGTTGACTTGTTCGTTCCGAGCGCTCTCGTGCATGCCTCGAGCTCGCCTCCTGTATTCTGCTCTCAAAACCCACGGCAACAGGTCTCTAGACACTGATCACCATGGTGACACTTGGGAGACCTGTTTTTGAGGTATGAGCTTTGATCTTGCTGACAGGTGGTGAGGCTGACCATTTCCCGATGTTTACAGACGCTCGACTTCATACGTTTTCCTTCCGAGACGATACACGATAACCAATGGATCATCGCCCCTCCTACAGGGAAAAAGATATCCGACGAGCTCGCCACAATGCCTTTCTGTCGGCCTCCGAACCTCGACCTTCGCCAGTGCACATATCCCTGCGTGCTCACCAACACCAGTTCGTCGAAGAAGACACAGATAAAGGTACGTAACGCGTCACACCATCGAACGTACGTGCTGGTACCAGTATAAGAACAGATTCAGCCTTTGATTGGCACTGCTGACGATGGGTTATACCTTCGAGAGTCGGACATCAAGAGGTTGGGCCTCCGATTTACGGGAAGAACGGAGTACACCCGTCAAGGACATTGCAAAGTGTGAGAGCTGGAACTGGGCTAGAGGTTGGATGGTGTGGCTTACGCTTGTGTCATGCAGATACGAAGGAGCCGTGCGTCTCACCTTCCCGAACGACTATGACAACGGCCTGGTCGGCTACAAATTAATCCACGTCTTCGAGCTCCCGCGCTGGATCTACGAGCACGTCCGCGTCAACAACAACGACAACGGCCGGAAGCAGGGTCTGGTAGGCATGCACCTCCTCACCCGCCACGTCGTCTTCCTGCACCGCGGCGACGCGCACCTCATCAACGTACGCACCTTCGCCATGACCCCCGAGCTGCACCCCTTCTGCAAGAACATGTCCCTCTTCAGCAATATGCGCCTGAAAACCCGCGGTCCGGACCAGGAGCCGGCCATCGTCTTCGACCCCTTCCCGGGCGAGCCGCTCAACGCCGCGCTCGAGGTGGCGTTCGCCTGCCCGAAGCGACGGCCGTTCACTGTGGCCGATATGGCACCGCACAAGCCGAAGGAGGAGGCGTTCTACGTTATGGAAGCATGCCGGGTGTGCGACAAGATTGATGGCGAGGATGGGGTGAAGGTCGTAATGTGCACGCAGTGTGCAGACGAGGGTCGACCGAAGCGGGCGCTATACTGCAGCAAGGAGTGTCAGAAGATTGACTGGAAGGAGCGACACAGAGCGGAGCACGCTGGCGAAAGGCCGTGGGAGGTTCTGGGTGTAGCGGAGACGGATTCGCAACTGCAGATAAAGACGGACCCGGCATAGGCTATCCGGTCAGATATTCGCTCGTTGAGTTCGTCCCCACTGTGGCTTTGTGTTGCATCGTGGACGGAATGTGAGTGGCGACCTTGTTGGTTCCCTATAAACGAAAGGCGTTGCAGATGATGCAGAGGAATGCAAGATGCATATCCGGCCAAGCGCCATGGGCGGGAGCATATTTCTTCCCACGCCACAGCTCTTTGACAATACCGGCAGCTGCCGGTGGTGGACTTTGAGCTCCTATTTCCAACCCTCCTAGCGCCATATTCGAAGTTGCAGTGAACATCGAATGTGAGCCAAGATGGGTACGTTAGGAAAATCCCTGTTCGAGGTCCGTAATGGAATATTGCGACGTACGGACGGTTTGACGGAGGAACGGTACACAGCAAATCGACTACATCCGCTTTCCCTCTGGAAGGATGTATCACAACCAGTGGATTATGAATCCAGAGGACGGAAGAAGACTGTCCGAGCTACTCGCTGGTATGCCTCATGGTCGACCGTCGAATGTTGAGCGTACGTGCACCTATCCCTGCGTTCTCACAAATGCGGCGGGGACGCAGAAGGGCGCCAAAATCAAGGTGAAGCTGTCTCATGCCGTTCTTATAAAGTGATCCTACTGACTGCTATCTGGATAGATCCAACCCTTGATTGGTACTGCAGATGACGGCGTCTACCTGCGAGAGTCGGATATCAAGAAACTGGGCCTCAGGTTCTCTGGAAGGACAATTAGCACTCGCCAAGGAGAATGCAAGGTGTAAGCACATAGTACTCTTCAGTCAATCGTAGGACTTACAAACTGGGCTCTTTAGACACGAAGGAGCGGTCGTCATCAATTTCCCGAATGATTACAATGACGGCAAGGCTGCCTACGCTGCAAATCACATACTCGAGCTCCCTGCCTGGGTCTACAAAGGCGTTCATGTCAACAATGGAGACAACGTCAAGAAACACGGCATCATAGGCATGCACCTTCTCACCAAACACATCGTGTTTATGCACCACGGCGACACGCACCTCATCGATTTCAGGACGTTCACCGCCACACGCGCTCTGCACGACTGCTGCAAAGACATGGGACCCACCAGCTCTATGCGCGTCGGAAAGCGCGCCATTGAAGAACAACCAAGCAAGCCCTTCCCAGGCGACCCACTCAAGATCGCGCTCGAGGTAGCCTTTCGCTGCCCAAAGCGTCCGCCTTTCACCGTCTTCGACGTCGTGCCTCACCAGGCGACGCAGATGGCCATGTATGTATCCGAGATCTGTCGAGTCTGCGGCAAGGCGGATGGCTCGAACGGAGTGAAGATTGTGATGTGCACGCGTTGCGCGCAGGAGGAGCGTCCCAAGAGGGCACTGTACTGCAGCAAGGAGTGCCAGCGCATCGACTGGAAGGAGCGGCACAAAGCAGAACATGCTGGTGAGAGGCCGTGGGGAGTTTCGGGTCACACGGAGGAGATGGTGTCAGCGAGCGAAGACGGTACATAGCACCATTCCTGGTCTGAAGAGCTTTCGCAACCTTCCTGTACCTAGGTGCAGTCACCTGGATCTCCTTCAGGATAAATCGTCCAAATACGCCGATATATAGACCAGCTTACATGAACTATGTACCAAATCAAGCACTGTTCTGTTCCCCTATATATGACAGTATAATACAACAATGATACTGACGGTATCACCCCGGTTAGTAGGCAATAGACAATAAGCAAGAAAGTGTCCATGTCCGATAGATCAACAAGGGCTAGCGATGCCAATACCCGTTACTATAAGCGGGCGCGGAAGGCGCGGGGCTCTTCGAGCTCCCGTTCTCCTGCGGCGTGGCACCGTTGCTGCCTTTCTTCGACGCAGGCGTGTGTGGCGATGATCGCTCAGCGGGCCCGGTAGGAAGAGCGTACGGCGGCGCGCGGGGGAGGTATCGACTTTGTATGTCCGCGCCATATGGGGACGTGTAGTCAGGCTCCGCATCATCGTCATCATCCTCGTCCATCGGTGAGGGCGTGCGCTCAGCCGACGGTGTCCGAAGAACTGCCGGCGGGGGTGAAGGAGGTGGAGGTGGCCGAGGGCCGGGCGTGCCGTACGTGGAGTACGAGTTCCCGCGACTGCGGCCATAGGAAGAGTACGAGCTATACGAACTTGACCCAGTCGCGTAGAGATCTCCGTTAACGGGGTGCATAGGCCGTCGACTATAGCCTCCTTCCGGCGTGGGAGGACGCCCGCGAAGGCGGTTGATGATGGATAGCCGGCGCTCTTGAGTACGCGTGAGAAGAGAAGAATGGATTGAAAGCGAGAAGCACCGTACCATACTCTTCCTCTGGTTCTGAGTCTTCGTTGGGATCAAGAGGATCATGGTTCAGGATTTTCTCCAATTTCCCTGGGCGGCGGTTAGGCTGGCATACGGGCAATATGAGGTATGCCATACTGTAGAACCTGTCCTTCTTCCGTGGAACGGGCTCAGGAGGTGGCACGGGCGGGGGTACTGGTGGCGGCGGAGCGGGGACATCTGTGGTATTTTAGAATATATTCGAGCGGTGCGGGCGATGTGTGGCGTACCATATATCGGCTGCTCCATGATGCCCTGATCATCGTCAACTTCGGGAACGGGAATGGGTTCTGGTCGATCTGGCTCTGTCCTTCGCGGCACATAGTACATGAAGGGACCGTCTTTCCCGACTTTGACCAAATTTCCGTGGGCTTCCCTCCGCGCGGAAGGTCCTGGCTCCGGAGCGCCTGCGCCTGTGAGCACGCGAACTGGAATGAAGTATTGAAAACTCACCTGAAATGAAGTACGGATTATTCTTATTCTTCTTGCTCTCCTGATCTGCGTTACAGAGCTTCTGAAGGAATTTACCGCGCTGCTGGGACATCATTTCACCCCATTTGTTCTCCTCGGGCAGGTCGACGTTCTCCAGGCGCGTCTCTGCCGGCGAGAGAACACGCATCCGGGGCGCTTTCGCGGGGTCCTGCTTGCAGAGATCGTCGCCGAAGGGATTTTCGATTTCGCCTGTCGGGCTCTCAAGGTAGTAGAACATGATGAAGAGGAAGGCGCGGGCGCGGTCGGGCGAGGAGAGGTTGGTGGGGATGAAGAGGTCGAGGAAGTTGATATTTCCATCGAAGTGCGTCCGCGACAGGGTCTGGGACAGCTGGGAGTGAGGAAGTAAGTTATCACGTGCGCAACGCCACACTTACGGCTGCATGCGTGGAAAGCACGAAGATGAGGTTCACGACACTCGTTGGAGGGCGCATGCCAGAGTTCTGGTGCGGGTAAGCATGCGAGCCATTTCTACGAGGGCATACGCACGAAACGCGCAATTATTTCTTGCGGATTACTGGGTGGTGGCTTTTTTACTTCGCTCGGTAGCAGCGCCGACTTCAAGCAGTTCTTGATGCGTGGCGCGTCCTGCGCGTTCCCGTCTGTCTTTTGCAGCGAGGGGACCGGATGGTACGTGCGCAGCGCCGTCTTCATCTCGGGAAAAACTGCGCGTACTCTAAGCGCCCGTTACAACCTGCCTTTGAGAGCACAGCATACGCACAAGCCATAGTCGTATTGATGCGGCCGACATTCGTCAGGAGTGCAATCTTGGCGAACTCAACAGCAAATTCCGGCGTGTCGAGCATCTTGTCTTTGAGCACCTTGCTGCACTTGCTCGAATGGTAGAGCGCGTTCACGTAGAGCTGCCGGAAGCTGACCTTCTCGTATTTACCGGGAGTCTGATTCGTGAAGACGGCCTGGGAGTCCTTGAATATGTGGTAGAGGAGGTCGTACTGGATGTCCTCGCGCGTGAGGGGCTCGGCGTCGTTGCGCTTGATGGGGAGGGCCTTGCGGCTGAGATAGCCGACGCTACGAATGGGGATGGGGGTGAGCGCGCGCTGCGCAACGTGCTGGAGACTGAGGGGAGCTCACGGGGGAATGGCCTCCAGGCGGCTGCCGAGGCCCGCAGGCTCTATGTGGATGACCTCTGTCATGGGGGAGGGCAAGCGGAGTGGCCGGCCGGGGCTGATGGCATGTGTGGATAAAGAGACAGTCGTTTTGGGCTTCGTAAAAGCCGCTTGGACACGGAACCATATCAAAATCGCACCCACGAGGCCGCCCGGGAGCACGAGGATCTCACGCCGCGCTTCTCTCCGACCACGACACCCATGGCCGACATCTCGCAGCAAAAGTTCGACGCCGCGACCCAGAAGGAGCTCCAGGAGTTCCTCGAAAAGGAGCAGGCCACGGTGCGTCGCCCGCAGCGCTCGCACAACGCACTCGGCTGATCGGCCCTCTTAGGCACGCATGAACCAGTCGATCCACACGTTCACCAAGATGTGCTGGAAAAAGTAGGCGCTATACCTGCCCCCTGCCGCGCGCATGCCGACCTTTCCCCAACAGGTGCATGACTAGCACGCCGTCGACGCGCCTCTCCAGCAGCGAGCAGTCGTGCCTGCAAAACTGTGTCGACCGCTTCCTCGACTCGAGCCTCTTCATGGTCAAGAAGATTGAGGAGCAGCGCAACCAATTACAATAGCGCACTCACCCACACCCGTCCAGGGTCGCCATAGACTCACACTACTCTACATGATAATGCCACGCACGCCCGTCGTTACAGTCAATCGAGACCTCCCTGCATCACCCTGAGCCTCGCTTGTCCATGGCGCCAAACCCCGACAACCACTTCCGCAAGTCATCCACGTCATAACATAGTCTGTCTACTATTACAGCAAACACTACAACAGTCCAAAGAGTACACGATGTACAACGCCAACTCGTAAAGTCCATTATGACCTCGCCTTCCCCAGCAGATACACGACACCAGCCGGAAGCAGGAAGCAAAACGCGTCCAAGTACTCCCTCGCCCGCTTGAGCCGCAATTGCAGGTCGACGCCCACATCCGGCCCCTTTCCCTCCGACGCGTGTCCCGTTGCGCCGTTCTTGTGGAAGGACTCTATGGTGGTATCCTTCTCCGTCCACAACCGGCGCAACCATGCGTCAAACACCGCCTTCTCCGCTTCCGGAATGTCGACCTCGACCGTGCTCTTGCCCTTGCCTGGGTTCCCGCTCGGAGGAACCACGTTCGCTCTCGTAGCGCTGAGGTCGCCAATGGGCACCTCAGTAGCGACGTCGAACATGCGCATATGCATGTGGATCAGTGGTGGGTAGACGCCATCCAAGAACACTGAGCGCATGGTGTAGTAGTCCTGTCCGTAGCCCATGGGTGGTATGCCTGCGAGAATGAGACCATTGACTATCGGCGAGAGCTCGGGACATACCTGGGTATACTATCGTAACATCAAGCAGCTTCAAGTTGGGTATCCGCGGTGCAAGGGAACGCAGGCTATAGTGCAAGCCAGTAGAGCGCGGAAGGAGTGTATGCGACATGTCGGTCTGAAGGGGTTTAGCGATAGACAACAACGCGTAGACCTGGCACGCACGATCCCTAGCTTGTCCGCGTACTTCTTGCTTATGGGACGCGTCTGGTCGCTAACGAGCGTGCCCTCAGGGTACAAAATGAATGCAAGTGGGTTGTCCTCCTCTTCAGCCTCCATGCCGAGGCGCGACAGACTTGACGCCAGCTGCGCACGGTCGGCAGCCCATGAACGCGCAAGGAAGATGAAGGAAAAGAACTGCATGCCCTGAGATGCACGCGTCCATAAGCTCGTTCACCCTGAACTACCAGTGAGACGCACCCAGCCGACGACAGGGAGCCATTTCAGGCTGTTCTTGAGCGTGATATACACGTTCTTGTGTACGCCTTTCGGGCCGATGAAGTACGTGAGGCACCACATGTACCTGCGCGAGGCGTGAGCTGCTAGACGTCTTGCATGAACGAGCTGGCGTACCACCAATCAAGGTAGACCTTCAGACATCGTTAGTGACTAGTCGGCAGGACGCGCACACGATAACGCACCTGATGATTACCGATGAGCACGAAGCGCTGAGGCAGGTCCAAGTAATCGATATTCCCCTGCTCATCGCGCCTCACGACATCCAGATCCGTGAACCAGCCCATCCCCTCCTTCTCAAACGTCACCCGGATCGTCGACGGCGCGAACCACTGGCACATCAGCACTGCATCGCGTCAGCATCCCTGCCTCGCTCTCCCTGCCCCGCTAAACCGCGGACACACCAAGCAAGCACCCAAATCCCCCCTTCGTGTACCGCACGCCGTCCTTGTAGGCACGTTCCAGGCGCTTCCCGAGGCCGAACACGCCCAGCACGCCGTACGCGATGCGCAGGGGGAGCAGGAACGCGAACTGCGCGCCGTTCACCATCAGGCAGCCAAAGTTGAAGATCAGGAAGAACGCCGCGGCGCGGACGCGCTGGAGGAGCGGGGCCGGGGGGCGCTTGGCCACCGGGATGGTGTGGAGGGGCGCCATCGAGTGGAGGGACGCCATCGGGTGGAGGGACGGCAGCGGTGGGTTGGTGGGCAGTAGGGAGGAAGGAGGGAGGTGTTGTGGCATTGCGCCACCGGCGGCCACGTGCGCGGCGGCAGACGTTACAGTGGTAATCACAGGCCGGCGCTTACGCCTGTCCGGGCGCGCTACCGGGCCTGCGCTAGCTGGTCTGAGCGAGAATGTTCGCTGGCCATTGTTCTCGGCGCACGGCTTGATGCTAGCGGCTAGTAGTAGTACGATACATTTGGCTGATCTGGCGGCAGTTTCTAGTAGGCCCTTCGCTATAGAGCAGACGATTCAGATCAAATTAGCGCGTTCAACCTCGGAGGAAGGCTTGCGAGACTACCCATACCCATATATGTCATCGGGCCTCGCGCTCACAGTCTGAGTACCTCGCACTACAGGATAGCGGTTGGATTCTTTTAAGTACCTCGTCATGAAGAATTATCTACTCGATCGCAGAGATGCGGTGTAGAGATACCTTTCCAGCACAACCGCAACACCGATGTGAACGATCGGCGAGCTGTCCCCATGTGTGCTAGTACTCTCGTCCCGCGCACCCGCTTAAGGCCTGCGAGGGCGGGATCAGACACGAGAAGACGGGCCACGTCGAGTCCAAGAGATACCTGGGTAGAAACCATAGTATCGGTTAGAGAATGCAGAGCACGATCGACTGACAGACGTGCTCTTGCTCAGCCCGAACATTTCCTGACCAACCGCTTGAAGTCGACATTCGGCGGAGAGGAAGGGGGAGATCCATGCAACGGATCGAATGCCTCTGTAGAAACCGAAATTGGAAGGCAGCCGTAGAGCCGTGCGCAAGCAGGGAATCGGTACAAGGCAAAGTCAACCGTGTAGGACTTTCAAGCACCATTGCGGAGATAATCAGTCCAATGGAGAGCGACGTTGCGACGAAGACAGGATAGTAAGGACTTTCCACAGCGTGAGGAAAAAGCTTGGTCGCCATAGATGTGGTCTTCGTAGATCTTGCAAACGTCGATGGCGATCCTAATTACAAAAACAAAACGAAAAGTCGCACTGTAAGGACGCCGATGGGCTTCTGAGTTGTAGAGTCACGATTGTTGTCCATGAGTATATTAGTTCCATTCACGCCAAGTTGCACGACTGAGGGATGGCGAGCGTAGGTGACCCGCAGGCAGTGAGAGGCGCTGTCTCGAAGTTCTCAGGGACGAAAAGCTTTGCAGGAGCTTCGGCCGGGTCTATCGGTCGATCCAGCGCGTCTCAAAAGAGACGTACGTACGGAGAGATCCTTGTCGCCGAGACGCACTGTTAGGGTGGTTCGAGAGTCGGCGAACCCATCCATGCGGATTCAATGAAGAGCTAGACGGCTAAGAGCACCTAGATGGAGGTAGACCAAAGAAGAAGCAAAGTAGCATGAGGATATAGCCAAGAAGAGTCGAAGTCGGGACTCGCGACCAGCGGCCCAGCCTGAGGACGCGACGAATCCTACAATGGAAGTTCGTCTTGGTCTTGAGATGAAGGTCCGGGGTTAAACCGGGGTGCCCCGCGGGGTCGTGGCCCGTCGCGGCCGCCGCGTGCTGTAATTGGCCGGCCACGTGGAGGGCGGGAATCACAAACTCGGACGTAGCGCCCGATGCCGGTCATCCAAAGTTCAACTTGCTCCTGACGCTCTCGGTATCGGCCAGCTTTAGCCCCGAGCGCTGTCATGGGGCGACCGTCTGCTCGAAATAAGCTCAAAAACATATCTTACTTCCTGTTTCTCATTCCCAGGCTTCTGGAGGTCAACAAGGACGCGCCGCGGCGAGGATGTTCGCACAGGGAACAATAGCTTGACTCTCCGTCATGACGTCCCCACCGCGGGAGCAAATGGTAGACGCCCATAGCGTCTTCTCCCATTCACACGCTGGCGTCTGGCGCCTATGGTCCTCGCCAGGATAAATCATCCAGAGGCACCCAACGATGCCACTTCCGATGTGCCGCAGTCATCTGACAGCGATTACTTTCCCCTGCCCGGTTCCCCAGCCTACCCCAGCCTGCCCACTCCGAACCCCGGAGGTCCGCTGATGTGCGACGCGCATGCTCTCCTCTGTTTTGCCCCTTGCGCATCGATGGATGCGGAGCCCAGCTGACGGCTCCTGGCGGCCATCCAGATTCAGAGCCCAGTCCGCGCTTTCCCCGACCACACTAGTCGTGGATATATCCTTTTCCTCGTCGGTATTTTCCCCCTCGATGAGGTGAGCATCGAGCGGAAGATCGTCCTCTCCTGCCTCTCTATGACATTTGCCTGGACGATATGTCATCCGCCTGGACGCACCCCGTCCTTGGCGCCTCGCACATAAAAGGCCGGACGGACGTACGCTCGAGTCTCAAGGTGAAGTCCACCGCTATCACCGAGTGTATTGGCCATGCGTACACATCTCTTCCTCCACGTCCTTGCTCTTGGTGGCGCCGTCATTGCGGTGCCAGCCACCAACTCTGCTTCGAGCGACAGCACGTCGGACGCGTCCAGCGCGCCCGCCAGTACGCTGAGCGCGTCCGCCACCGCCATCAGCGCGTCGGCCACTAGTCTCTCCGTGTCGTCTGCGGCCCCAACTAGCAGCGGCATCTCGAGCCCGTCATCTTCCTCCCTGCCTGCCACCGGCAGCGCATCATCCTCCCTACCCGTCAGCGCAAGCACCTCCGCCTCTGCGCCCTCGTCCACGGCCACTTCGAAGATCCGTACGTGACCAGCCCTCCTCGTGCTCTTTGCGTCTCAAGCCCTTGGCAGCGACCCCCATCCTCAACGCCGAGTGGGCTGCGGCGTACGAGAAGGCCGAAGCCGCCGTCGTCAAACTCTCCCTCGAAGAGAAGGTCAACGTCACGACTGGTACTGGGTTCAAGAACGGTAACGTTTATTCATCGGTCACAACATCAACAAGTAGCTCATACTTTCACTAGGCCCTTGCGTCGGCAACACGCCTCCCATCCCCAGTATTGGGTACCCGCAAATCTGTCTCCAAGGTCAGCAGGCCCTCACTTTACCTCACTTCTTTGTTCGTACTCACTCCTGATACAGACGGTCCTCTCGGCGTTCGCGCCGCGGACAATGTCTCCGCGTTCAACCCGTGAGTCGCATGTGCTCGAAGGCCTACTTTCCGTAACGTCTTCAAACCCTACGTGCCGTAGCTAACATGCATTCACAGAGGCGTCAACGCCGCTGCGACCTTCAACCGCAAGCTCATCCGCGCGCGCGGCGCCGCCATGGGCGAAGAGTTCCGCGGAAAGGGCGTTCATGTCGCGCTCGGGCCTGACATGTACGCGTCGTCTGTCCCATTGCCCATCTTCGCACACTAAGTCCCTCGTAGGAACATGATGCGCACCGCCGCCGCCGGGCGCAACTGGGAGGGCTTCGGCGCGGACCCCTACCTCGCGGGCGAAGCCGCCTACGAGACCATCAAGGGCATCCAGGGCGCGGGCGTGCAGACCTCCGCGAAGCACTTCATCAACAACGAGCAGGAGCACTATCGGCAGAACAGCTCCTCGATTGTGGACGATCGGACGCAGCATGAGATTTATTTGGCGCCGGTGAGTGGGGTGGTTTGGTATGAGGTGGTGGGGACTCGGAGCTGGGCTGATGGATTGGCATAGTTCTTGAAGAGCGCGTTGGCGGGCACGGCGTCGTTTATGTGCAGTTATAGTACGTTGGTTTCTCGTTCGATGAAAGCCTTTGGACGCTAACTTGCCCTCCAGATCAGAGTACGTCCGCTCCTTGAGAGCCCTCTAGCTCGAGGGCACGCGCTGACCTCTAACAGTCAACGGCTCTTGGGCCTGCGCAAACGACGCGATGCTCAACGAGATCATGAAAGGCGAATGGGGCTACCCTGGTTGTACGTGTCTTCCTCTTCTCTCTTCTCCAATTTCCTCGCGACTTACCTACCTCCAACAACAGACGTCATGTCCGACTGGGGTGCCACTCACGAGGTCGCCGATGTGAACGGAGGACTCGATGTACGTCCTATTACTGGGAAATTTGCTTCCCTCCATCACCTCCGTCGGCGTTTCGCTTGCTAACCCATGACCCCTCCCTCAGATGACCATGCCCGGCGACGACATGACGACCGGAGAGCCGATCTTCGGGCCAAGACTTATCGAGGCGGTGAACAACGGGACCGTGTCCGAGGAGCGCGTGACGGACGCGGCGAAGAGGATTCTTGCGGCTTGGTGAGTGCTTCCCCCCGTTCATACATGCCAGGATTTGCTAACCCTTTCACACCAGGTACCTCCTCGGTCAGGACGAAGGCTTCCCCGAGACGAACTTCAACACCTGGGACCTTGAGGATCCCGCAACCAATCAGCACATTAACGTCCAGGCCGACCACGGCAGCCTCATCCGCGAGATCGCCGACGCGTCGACTGTTCTGCTCAAGAACGAGGACAACATCCTGCCCCTCGCCTCCTCCAAGACCTCCAAGCACGGTCGTCGTAACTCCAAGACAGGGCGCAACAATACAAAGACCGCCCCCGCCAGCATTGCCATCCTCGGCAACGGCGCCGGCCCGTCCTCGAAGGGCCTCAACGGCTGCGAGTACCAGTCCTGCAACGACGGCGTCCTCGGCATGGGCTGGGGCAGCGGCAGCGGGACGTACCCCTACCTGATCACGCCGCTCGACGCGATCACGGCGCGCGCGGCGGAGGACGGGACGGAGGTGACGAGCTCGTTGGACGACTACGATACGGAGTATGCGGCGGATCTGGCGAAGGAGGCGCAGGTTGCGCTGGTGTTTATCACGTCGGATTCGGGGGAGGATTTGGTGCCGGTGGAAGGTGAGCCTGGCGATTTTGGTCGGTTGGCGAGTGCTGACTATGGGGTGTAGGCACCTACGGCGACCGCAATGATCTGTATGCCTGGCATGAGGGGGTATGTGTCTTGACGCGGCTGCAAATCCCTTTAAACTGACCTTTCCCTAGGACGCCCTCGTGCAAGCTGTTGCTGATGCCAACGAGAACACCATTGTCTGCGTGAACACGGTTGGGCCTATCATCGTTGAGAAGTGGATCGAACACCCCAATGGTACGCATTCTTGTGTTTTATCGGCGCCACAAAGGCTCATCTTTCCTATAGTCAAGGCTGTTGTCTGGACCGGTCTTCCCTCGCAAGAGGCTGGCAACTCTATCGCGGATATTCTGTACGGAGAGTACAACCCGAGGTATGCATCCAATCCATCTTCAACAGTGATCTGTGAACTGACCTCTGCTCACAGCGGCCGCCTGCCCTACACCATTGCCAAGGCCCCTGAGGACTACCCGGCCTCGGTGCTCTACCTCTCTCCCACCGGACCCTTCCCGGACATCCCCTACAGCGAGGGACTCTTCATTGACTACCGCCACTTCGACGCCAACAACATCGAGCCGCGCTACGAGTTCGGTTTCGGTCTCTCCTACACGACGTTCGAGTACGCCGACATCGCCGTCTCCGGCGAAGCTCCTTCCGACGGTGCCGCCCTCGCCTCCATGGACCCCGCGCTCCACGAGACCGTCGCGACCGTCACGTTCTCCGTGCAGAACACCGGCGACGTCGCAGGGCACGAGATCGCGCAGCTCTACGTGACCTTCCCAGAGGAGACGAACAGCGCGCCGCTCAACCTCAAGGGCTTCGAGAGCGTGCACGTCAAGCCTGGCGAGGTCTCCCAAGTCGAGGTCAAGCTGACGCGGTACGACCTGAGCGTGTGGGATGTGGAGAGGCAGGGCTGGGTGGTGCCGGAGGGCGAGCTGACGGTCTCGGTGGGCGCGAGCAGCCGAGATATCCGGTTGACGGGGACGGTGAACTAAGCGAGTGGCTCAAACATTTTCTGGACTTTACGCAATGCATGAGCTGCGATGTATTCACGATCGTCACGGTTTACTGTACGATAGTAGTCAAGAAGAAGCAATACTTATCCTCTATCTGATAAACTCGTTTCGCCTGAGCACGGTGCACAACGTTGAGCGCGCGTCACGACACGGTCACGCCCCGGTTGAACGCGTTTGAAGGTGTCACATTTCGCTCTCTGCTCTCTCTTTCATCATCCCCTCCCCATTCGTCCTCAAACAAGGCGCTGGCTGGCCATAAATTCAAGCCCCTCTTCCTGAGAGGTACATCGTCGCCTGAGCGATCTAGTCGTGACCCGCCACCATACGCGCATATACTCAGTGATTGCGGCGATGCTCATCCATTCCCTTTCTCATCGGATCGGGATCTAATTATCGGTCGAGTAAGGTGTTTCGTTGTGGCCAGTGGTTCCGCTTCCTAACTTATTGAGCCCTCAGAATATCGCTGCAACTGCGCAAGCCTCTACAACCGGGAAGGCCCTAGCTATTCAGCCTGGAATATAGATTGCTCAAGCCCGAGTATATCAAGCGTCATCCATCCTGAGAGTTCACGATTACGATCTGGCGGGCCTATGCCACCCGAAAGCATCGTTCAGTAGGCTCTGATAATCCTGAATTTACCAGGCCAGTCTTCCCACAGTCACAGTGAGTCACGGTTTGACTTTTACCTTTATACCCTTGCTCACGATACATTTGCCTCGCAGAGACCTCTCCAACCTCTCCTTCCAGGCTCTTCACGTACCAAGTTCAACTTGCGCCATCAGACTGTGACCCTGCGAACTGATCATCGGCCGGGAACGTGGACTCGGACTTCGGCCGAGGGCGAATGCAGGCGGTCCGATTGGGCATGTCATCTCAACAAGTGATCGACGATCGCGGAGGCACTTGCCCTTACCCTTGGAACGATGCTGCGACGACGAGCGTACGCGACCGCCGCGAGCGTGACGGAGAAGTCCTGCGCTCAGATAACACCACCTTATGCGGACCTCAAGAAGCGGCTCGACGTCGTGCGCGCCGCGTTGAACCGGCCCCTGACGCTCGCGGAGAAGATCCTCTACGCGCACCTTGCCGACCCAGCAAAGGCCGTCGAGTCAGGCATCGTCCGGGGACAGAGCTACTTGCAGCTGCACCCGCAGCGCGTAGCGATGCAGGACGCGTCCGCGCAAATGGCACTCCTCCAGTTCATGTCCGCCGACCTCGATCGCTGCGCCGTCCCCACCTCCATCCACTGCGACCACCTTATCCAAGCCAACGTCGGCGCAGATGCCGACCTCGAGCGCTCCATTGCGGCCAACCAGGAGGTCTTTGACTTCCTCGAGTCTGCCGCGAAGAAGTACGGTATCGCCTTCTGGCCGCCTGGCTCGGGTATCATCCACCAGATTGTCCTCGAGAACTATGCCGCGCCAGGCATGCTCATGCTCGGAACCGACTCGCATACCCCGAACGCCAGTGGTCTCGGTGGACTTGCCATTGGTGTCGGTGGTGCAGATGCCGTCGACGCCATGACTGGCACGCCTTGGGAGCTCAAAGCACCCCGCGTGCTCGGTATCCGCCTGACGGGCGAGCTCGATCCGTGGGCTACGCCGAAGGACCTCATCCTCAACCTCGCGGGCCGCCTGACGGTCAAGGGCGGCACCGGGAACATCCTCGAGTACTTTGGCCCCGCCGTGCACGAGCAGAGCGCCACCGGCCTCGCCACGATCGCGAACATGGGCGCCGAGGTCGGCGCGACGACGAGCGCGTTCCCCTTCACAAAGCACATGGACGCGTATCTCCGCGCCACGGGCCGCGCCAATACCGCGCGCGCTGCAGGCCTAGCTGCGCGCGGGGGCTACCTCGCCGCGGACGAGGGCGCCGAGTACGACGACCTCATCGAGGTGGACCTGAACAAGGTCGAGCCAACCATCAACGGACCCTTCACGCCCGACCTCGCCACCCCGCTCAGCAAGTTCACCGAGTTTGCGAAGGAGAAGGGGTACACGGACAATCTCAGCGCGGCGCTCATCGGCTCATGCACGAACTCCTCGTACCAGGACATGACCGCCGCGGCGGATCTGGCCAGGCAAGCGAGTGAAGCCGGTTTGAAAACCAGGGTGCCCTTCCTCGTCACGCCCGGTAGCGAGCAGATCCGCGCAACGCTCGAGCGCGATGGCATCACCGGTGCCCTCGAGGGCGTTGGCGCCACGGTCCTCGCGAACGCCTGCGGCCCCTGCATCGGCCAGTGGAAGCGCGGCGACGAGAAGGAGGCAAAGGAGCGGGGCGACAACGCCATCCTCACCTCCTTCAACCGCAACTTCCGCGCGCGCAACGACGGGAACCTGCGCACCATGAACTTCCTCGCGTCCCCCGTCCTTGTCACTGCCTCCGCCTTCTCTGGCCGTGTCGGCTTCGACCCGAGAACAGACACCATCGAGCGTGAAGGGGCGCCCCCTTTCCGCTTCTCCCCACCCGCCTCCATCGATCTCCCCTCCGCCGGCTTCGCTACGGGCAATGCCAGCCTATACCCGCACCCAGACCCTCAACCCGACCCCAGCGTTGAGGTCAGGATCCGGGAAGACAGTCAACGGCTGGAGAAGCTCGAGCCCTTCGGTAGCCACTTCGGCGACCACAACCCGCGCGGACTCGAGCTTCCTGCCCTCCAGGTGCTCATGCGTGTCCGCGGCAAGTGTACGACGGACCACATCTCGGCCGCGGGTCCTTGGCTCAAGTACAAGGGCCACCTCACGAACATCTCGGAGAACTTGTTGATCACAGTGAGTATCGACATCCATATCCAGCGGATGTTGCCTCTGACACGCACGCCTAGGCCACCAACGACGAGCTCGACGCTGTCAACGCCGCTGTGGACCCGGTGTCTAACACGCAGGACACCATTCCCGAGACGGCGAAGCGGCTACGCGACCGCGGGCAGCCCTGGGCACTGATCGTGGACGAGAACTACGGCGAGGGAAGCGCGCGGGAGCACGCAGCGCTCCAGCCGCGGTTCTATGGGTGTGCCCTTGTCGTGGCGCGATCGTTTGCGCGTATTCACGAGACGAACCTGAAGGTTAGTGGACGAGGATAGAGGTGCGAACGAGTACTGACTTCTATCCCAGAAACAAGGTGTCCTGCCACTCTGGTTCGCCGACAAGGCGGACTACGCGAAGATTGGGGCGGGTGATACTGTTGAGACGGAGGGGCTTGCGGAGCTATTGAGCGGGAAGGATGGTGCGTACGAGCTCGTTTCGCGGAATGAAGCAAGCTCACGCGCTTCACAGACGCACCCCTCCACCTCAAGGTGACGAAGCGCTCCGACGGCAGCGTCTTCCGCATACCCGTTACGCACACGATGAGCGCGGACCAGCTGCGGTGGTTGAGGCATGGAAGTGCCCTGAACTACATCCGGGCAGTCAAGAGCGGGGAGGCCTAATTGCATGCTTTGGATCAGCTGAGAGTTGGAATGGGGCCTTTCGATTTTGCATATCCTTGAAAAGTACTATACTATCGTTGTGCCACAAGCTCAGTGCGGTACGCGCCTTGTGTTTTGGGGCTCGTAGTTTTCATGGACGCGAACAGATAGTGGAACCGCGCGCAAAACTGGGCTTTACGCAGTCCTTCGCCTTCGCCCCGTGATTTCCCAAATAACGTGGGACACCAGAGCGTCACCTCACTTCGTGGCGGTGTTTACCCACGCCGAACCTTGACCAGAACCATATTCCAGTAATTTTTACTCTGGCACATCGTCAAGCTAGCCCTCATCCTCCCCAGGTCTATCTAAAATATGGCCTCCTTCCCTCTGGTAGGATGTGCTAGTTGCGGTTGTGTCGCGAAATGTGAGCTCCCTCTCATCTGCCAGGACGATACCGCATTACTCCCTACATTGCGAGCGGGAGCCCAGCCCTCGGACACGGCCAAGCCTGTACTATACACTGAGCTTGAAGAACTTCGTGCGACTGCGCGAGTCTTCGAGGAGGAACTGCATCGGATCCGCTTGAAGCTGGACGAATTGCAGTCTGCAATCGATCGGCGGGAGAGCATCCTGCTCTCGCCCATTCGTCGCCTGCCCGATGAGATCATGGCCGATATCTTCGACTCTGTCTGGGTATCCTACGAGGATGCGCCATACGACATCGTCATGAAAGCCAAAGATCCAGATCCACCCAACTTCTTGCCCTCGCGTTCTTATCCCGTCCCTCATGTTTGCGCGTGGTGGCGCCGCCTCTCGATGGACTCGCAAGTGGCACAGCCGGAGTTGCGCATCCGTCTCGGCACAATGGAGGGCCTGCCGCAAGGACACTTAGAGAAGGTTCTTGCCGGTGTACCGTACCCATTTCTGCGTCTTCGGTTGCAAGATATCAAGCACTGCTTGAACTCACTGGACAGCGTCACATCATCTGCTCCTAGGTGGCGGAACGTTGCCCTGATAGATCCCTGGAGTGCGCAACTGCTTTCTGTTGGCAGCATGTTCTTTCCCCACCTCATTCATCTAGAGCTGGGTTTCCTCATGCACTGGGTGGGAGCAGAACCAGGGTCATCCACAGATAACGAAACGAGGCCGCTGCTGTTTGGAAACACTCCAGAGCTGTCTCAGCTATCACTGGACATGGAGTGCGTGCCCACGGCTTGGGAGAGGCTACCATTCGGTCTACCCTGGCATCAACTCACTGTCGTGGATGTCAACGACTGCCCATCCCATATCTGTGCCGAGATAATCACGTTGTGCATAAATCTTCGGTCATTCTCCTGGCGGGACGACAGACCACTACAATGGGAGCAGCAAGATTACGTGCCTTCCCCCGAATGCGGATCTTGGTCCTTGCGCCGCCTGTCGCTCGAGCAGGACCAGAGAATTCCGACCAATGCCACACAAGGCTTTCTGGCGGGCCTAAGCCTTCCGAGCTTGGTCAGCCTCCGCGCCTTATGCGTGCCATCTGCACCCATCCTACCCTTTCTCCGGCGTTCGGGTTGCCACCTCACCTCTCTCGAGATCGTTACGTCTTCTTCAATCATGGAGGATGACCGTGAACTGGAAGACATCTTCAGCGCGCTTCCTGAATTGGAGGACCTACGCTTCGAGTACGACACGTACTATGACCGCGTGGAGATGATGGAAGGAACCTCTGTTGGGCAGATTGAGAGCTTCGCCTGGACCCTTCGCGACATACTGTGCCACCCTGATCCTCTCCCTGACTCTCTGGACGGCCGAGCACCCGATGAGCGCCAGCTATCGTTCGAGTATCTTCCCCGATTGAAGAGGCTCCTGTTCTCCTTCCCCGAGCGTATCCATGACGAGGTCGTTATCGCGATCGCGACGCGACGACGTGTTGATGTATGGTCCTCGCCGCTGGACCTATCGCCAACACTGCGCGAAGTGTGGCTGGAGACGCCCCTTAGGGGAGAGTGCATCAGGAAACTGGAGGCACTGGCGATTGAGTACGGCATACAAATCAACGGACTGAGCAAGTGCGCGGCGCTGTACGACGCCTTGCTACCTCACGATTGGGCGGGCTCACCGTGGTCACGGTATGCTGATCTCTCATCATGTTTCTCTATCGCTCATGACCGTCGTTTGCACCAGAAAAGAGCCTTGATAAAGGAGGCAATCCGGAAGGACATCTGAATAACGTTCGAGCGTCGAGCGTCGGTTGAGGAGCGAGTACACTATCTACATGTCCGAGAGGGGGAAGATGCGCGCGGAGAATAAATGGTGGGTTATTGACATGGCTAAGCTTGATATCGAGGCAGAAGCGTAGCTGTGAGGCTCTAGGTCAGACGAACGTCCTAGTAGTAGTATAGTGGGTCTGCCTACAGCGGCGGCCAGATCAATTGCGCGCTGCCTTTTTGGGAAAAATCGCCGAGGCGAGCGTTAGGCATAGTTTGCGGGTCTCGGCGACCTCACAGAACGGTAGAGCGCCCATGAAAACCCCCGTCTGCATACCAACTTTGCCGGAGAGCGTCCGTGATCCTCGTAAAATGTGCCGACATGCGTCATATGGCACTGCGCGCCCTCAGGTAGTCTACGGCACATATCTCACGAATTACATGCCCGTTTCGCTTCAAAATTCGTATTTGGGGGTTTTTGGCTACGCTCTACCGTTTTGTGAAGAAACTGGATTTTTCCGACCACGCCCAACACCCGCCTCGGCGATTTTTCCCAAAAAGGCAGCGCGCAATTGATCTGGCCGCCGCTGTAGGATTATACATGAAACACGGAATATTCTAACGAGAAACCCGGTTTCTACGTTTTGCCTTCCTTATAAGGCAATTCTGTAGAAACCCGCTCAACTTCTTTACACGAGGCTGGGTTTCTACCGGCGTCCCTCAGGCCGTGCGCCCGGGAGACGGTGATGCGCCATCAATCCCACCTGAGGGTGCCGAAGCCGCCGAGCTCGCGGCTCCTCCTTCGTTTGCCACAGCACCGCCTGTTTCCAGCTTAGTGTCTTGGTGTAGGAGTGTGAAATATCAGGCTAACAGCTCCGATACGACTCAGTTAGCCCTCTTAGCCAGCAGGACTTGTTACTGACCCATAGGACATTGTGTCCACTGGTGGACGAAATGGTCACGTGACTACAATGGGAAAACGACCTTTATTCTCAGAAAGCACCCTCGAGAGGGCCCCTAAGATCCATTCTGTGTCAAAATACGACCAAATGCACTAATGTTTGCCCTCATGCCTCAGGTGCAGGGCGATATCCTATAAAAGTACTCAGTGGAGGCCGGCGCTGTCGAGCTCGTCTGCCTCTCGGAGTTGGCCGATAGCCTCGTGCTGTAGTGCCGAGCGCGGCATCAAAGACCTCGCCGGCGCGTCGCCGGGATGCTCGCCGACAGAAACCGGGTTTCTAGATAAGGTTTCTACGGTTGGGTTTCTCATTAGAATATTCCATGAAACACAACCTGAAAAGCAATATTCTTTCACGAGTTTCCTGTAACAAAGCCAATGAACTTCACGACGATCTCCAAATATTCGCGAAAAGTCCTGACGCCCAAACCAGCACCTTATGAGCTGTCCATGCTCGAAGGCCAACGCTGAACCCCGAGAAAGCGTTGGGTGAGGCCCAGGCGATCTAATCCTGCCTCCTAGTGAAGCTTAGGAGAGCGGAGGCGCGACAGCCGCTGTGCCAAAGGGCGAGCAAGGTCGTGACGTTGTGGGTGCATCACGCGTCCGAAGTAATTTCTGCCGACCCTCCTAAACATTTCGCGCGTTCGGAAAGAACTTTCACCAAAATATAATACTGAATGAATTTGAAACAGAGCTGCAAAATCCTGGGCAGACTCATTCTAGTGAGGACACCAGAGGATTATAGGTACACGGAGCCAGGAGCTTACACGACAGTGGAAGGAACATGTGTTCTCATCGAAAAGAGGAGCGGCCCTTGCTAGCATGGACCCCTGTCTATTTCAGAGAACTCACAACGACAGGAGGCCAAATTCAACCGTGACACTATTCCTATGTCACGCGTCACGGGCCTCCTCATGTTCCCCAGTCCACACCCAGGCTCTTTGCTTTGCGCTGAAAGTCGACCGCACGCATCTGAGACGCAGCCAAGGGACCAGAGACGCAAGCGACAAGCCAAAAAGCAAGAGTACAAAGTACAGTTCATTTTTTTCTTCTGCCAACAAGTACACTTTGAGTTCACTAAAGCCTATACAACCGTGGTCTATAATCCCGTCAATAGGTTGTGTCGCACCCAGCGCCCCGACGCACGCCTACGTGGCGCACGCGCGAGGCCGACAGCGCTAAAGACGTCGAGCGAGGGCGCTTACGCGATGTACGTCGACGCCGAGACGTTGCCGCCGCGGCCGGTCCAGTTGATGTCTGCGAGGGTTGTCACAACACGGTTCATGATTGCGCAGAGTAGAATACTCACGGATGTCCTTGCCCGGCTGCAAGCGCTCGTTCTCCTTTCCGGGGAGGACGCGGAAGGTGTGCGCGCCGAAGTAGTCGCGCTGCGCCTGGAGCAGGTTCGCGGGCAGGATCTCGCTGCGGTAGCCGTCGAAGAACGCGAGCGCGGTGCTGAACGCGGGGGTGGGGATACCCCAGAGCACGGCCTGCGCGACGACGCGCCGCCAGCCGGGCTGCGCCTTCTCGATCGCGTTGTTGAAGAACTCGTCGAAGAGAAGAGACTCGAGGTCGCCCTTCTTGACGAAGGCCTTCGAGATGTCGCTGAGGAAGACAGACTGGGTGAACGTTAGTCGGATTGACAATGATTGTACGGTGATCGGGCATACCTTGATGATGCAGCCACCGCGCCACATCTTGGCGATGCCGGCGTAGTTGAGCTCCCACTTGTACTACATCGAGGTCAGCACCGATCAGCTCAAGAAACGCGCAATTATTTACCTCCTTCGCGGTCTCACGCATCAACATGAAGCCCTGGGTGTAGGAGATGATCTTGGAGGCGTACAACGCCTGCTCAAGGTCGTCGATGAACTGCTTCTTGTCGCCCTTGAACGGCTCCTTGGCCGGACCAGCGATCGCCTTCGACGCGCGGATACGCTCCTCCTTGAGCGCAGACAAGCAGCGAGCGAAGACGGCCTCGCCGATGAGGGTGACGGGAGAGCCAGCGTCGAGAGCGGCGATGGCAGTCCACTTGCCGGTACCCTTCTGGCCAGCCTGGTCGAGGATCTTGGTAACGAGGGGAACACCATCGTCGTCGTTGAACTTCAGGATGTTCGCGGTGATCTCGATGAGGAAGGAGTCGAGGACACCCTTGTTCCAGGTAAGGAAGATGTCTGCGATCTCAGACTCGGTCAAGTCAAGACCGCGCTTGAGGATGTCGTAGGCCTCGGAGATGAGCTGCATGTCACCGTACTCGATACCGTTGTGGACCATCTTGACGTAGTGACCAGCACCCTCGGGGCCGACCCAGTCGCAGCACGGCTCGCCGTACGCCTGGGCGGAGGCCTTCTGGAAGATCTCCTTGATGTGCGGCCACGCCTCGGGGTTGCCACCGGGCATGAGCGAAGGGCCGTGACGGGCACCCTCCTCACCACCGGAGACACCAGAGCCGACAAAGAGGAGGCCCTTGGCAGAGAGCTCGCGGACGCGGCGGTTGGTGTCCGGGAAGTGAGAGTTACCACCGTCGATGATGATGTCGCCCTGCTCGAGGTGCGGGACAAGCTGCTCGATGAAAGCGTCGACGGCGGCACCAGCCTTGACGAGGAGGATAATCTTGCGAGGGCGCTTAAGCTTCTTGCAAAGCTCCTCGATGCTCCATGCGCCCTGGACGTTGGTGCCTTTGCGACGCTCCTGTCAGCGCGGGAGCGGTTGCGAGGGTTCTGTCGCAACGCACCCTTGGCCTCGTTCTCGAGGAAGGCGTCGACCTTGCTGGTGGTACGGTTGTAGGCAACAACATTGAAGCCCTTGTCATTCATGTTAAGAATGAGGTTTTGGCCCTAGAGAGGCGATTGGTCATCGATGCTGGCGATCGTAAAGGTGCTTTCGTACCATGACGGCCAAACCAATAAGACCGATATCACCGCTGTGCGACGATCAGCGAGGTTTGGAGCGCGCAGACTGGGCGAGGACATACGTGGCCATTGTTTCTTGGATGTGTTGGGAGGGACGATGGGTGTAGGAGGAGAGGAGCGATGGTAACGGGCCGGAGCGGAAGGGTTTTGTATTTGGCGATTATCCGCTGAATCAGCCGGCACGACACCATGGTGACTTATCGATGAACAAATATTCGTCCTTCGTCACTGCCGGTGCTTAGCGGTTCTCGCGGCGGCGCGCGCTGTCGTATGCACCGCTACCAACTAGAATACGGCCCCTTGCCGGGGACGCATGCGCGCTTGAGTGGGCTGATCGGCGTAGATAACGAGATCCTGAGCAAGCAGGTTTGTACTATTGTACACCCGTAATATACATCGGCCTCTGCGTAAGCAGCTTCAACAAAGGATTCATCGCGAGGCACATGCCCGCATAGATACGAAACGGAGCCCGTCGCTGTGCGAGACGTCGAGAAGGATGGGCTTGCGGACTTGTCGCCGAACGCGATGTCAGCCACGCGAGCTGACAACGTGCGGACCGGACCGAGCGCTGCTCGCCGCTCGCCGCTCGAAAGCAACAAATGCTGGCGAAACACTCTCGTTCGTTCCACCCGTCGACGAAAGGAGAGTGACGGTGTCCGCGCCACCATGGCGAACCGACTCTCCATGGCTGCAAACCGCCTTTCCACCGACATTCCCTCCCACACCGCCGTCAGCGCCTCCGCCTCGGTCGGACTGGCGGCGAACGCGGCCTCCAGCCAGGCCGTCGTGCACAGCGGCTGGGTGCTCAAGAAGCGGAGGAAGAAGATGCAAGGTGCGTGGTGGGATGACACGACGCCTGATTGACGCTAACCGCTAGTCACCTGCAGGATTCGCCCGGCGCTACTTCACGCTCTACCAGTCCGGCATCCTTGCATACTCCTTCGAGCCCGGGCAGCCCATCCGCGACCACATTGACCTCCACCATGCTGCCATCTCGAGTACACCGGGGCGGAAGGACATCACCCTTGACTCCAACACCGCGACCTTCCACATCAAATGCCTTTGCACCGACGACTTTAACCAATGGATGCTTGCGTTCAGGTTGGTGCAGATGCCTCTAGAATGCGCGGCTGTCTAACCCCTCCCCAGAAAGTTTATCTCGGGTCCTGAAGCACGGCGGTCCATGAGCGTTCGCATGGCCAGCGCGCGTCAGGGAGTCGTCAACATCTCCAAGTCCAGCGCAGTAGTAGAAGAAATGGGCTCGGTGCGCAATCCGGACCGACTACGCTATAGCGACGTCAGACTGATCTATATCACCAGACAATTGCACAACTCGAGACCGCGCTGCAAACGCTAAGTTCGAAAGGAGAGACGGCTATGCAGAAGAATGCCAGCGTCAAGTCCAATGGCAAGGATAAACATCACAAGGCAGGCGCGTTTGGCATCTTCAAGTCGAAGTGTACGTCGCTAGGCTAAGTGCAGAAGTGCATACTGACGTCGCGCAGCCAACCATAACTTGCAACCGGGAGAACCAGACGCGCCTCGAACGAGCATGGACCCCAGTAGCGGAGAAGCTCAGCAAGTATTCTCACTACTTGATACCCTCAAGAATCAGCACGCGACGCTTTCTAAGCTCCTCACCGCCACCGTCAGCCTCGACACCACCCTTCCCAAGACGAGCGAGGAGGACGAGGACCATCTCGTCGACTCTCCGCGCGAAACCGAGCACTGGGTCGTCCCCCACGGCCGCACAAAGCGCTTCTCCAGCTCCACGACCGCCAGCAGCAGCCTCGAATGGTTCGACGCCGAGGACGATGCGGACGGCGCGAAGGAATTTGTTTTGGACACCCGGGCGGCGGGCGATGAGTCGCAGACGGACTGCTTGAGTATGGAGAAGGCGGAGGACGAGGAAACGGCGCGGAGTAGTATGGATACGGATATAGAGGACGAGCCGGCGTGCAAATCCTCGGTAGAAGCGCCTTTGGGTGTGCAAGGGACGCAGTTGCCGTCTCCTGTCGTGGGTGATGAGGGCAGTCCGTTCTCCGTGTTGAAGAAGAGCGTCGGAAAGGTAGGGTCAAGCCAACAATGTAGTGTGTACACCCTTGCGCACGGAATACGACGGGCTGCGCTCAACGCTCGCTCTTCCTCTCGTACGCCAAGCGCAAACGCACGATGGGGGGCAGTAGCATATTTATTCATAGTATGTACGACTACAACAACGACGCGACAAATAACGATTTGGGGTGGACACGTACGAAGCCCGCTAAGCCCCCCTCCCTCCTCGTAAGCACCCCCTCCTCCTCGAACTCGTCAACGTGCACGGCGAGGATATAGGGCCAGCCTAGACGAGACGATGCGGTCAGCACACGATGCGCGAGCACTCAGGGGGAGTACTTACCTCACAAAGCGCTACCCGCGCTTCGGTGTCGAGAAGCGAGAAGATCAGTTTGCTCGTGCCCTTACTCACGTCGTGAGATAGCTCCTGCCGCGCGACGAAGGGCTTGCCTGCGACGCGAAGGTGAGAGGGAGCGCAATGCAGACCTGGGCTTGGTGGTCTCGAGTGGCGTGGAGTGCAGCGATGCGGAGGAATCGCCCTCCTTCGATTTAACTCACGAAGCGTCTTCAGTAGCGCTTACCCCCATCGCCCCCTCCCCCGAGCGAAGGGAGGGAACGCCCCCGCGCTAGGTAGGGACGAGAACCTGTCAAGGAGAGGTCAGTGACTTCGTTTTCTCCTGCGCTGGAAAGGGAATGCACGCCAGACAAAAGCGCCCCTTCCCTCCCCCCTTACAACTGAAGGAAAGAATGAACTCACCCTCATCGCACCCCTCCCTCGAAAGAGGGAGCGCACTCTCCAAGGGGCCTGAGACGGTCACAAACGTCGAATGAGCATGCGGCATATCCCCCTTCACGCACCAAAAAATATCAGGGGGAGGGGAAGGTGCGCCTCCCCCTCCCCCTCTCAACGCGCCGTCCGCGCCTCGTGAGCGTCTTTGAGAGCGGGGGTGCGAGGTATTGCGCCTAGTAATAACGTCAGCACGTCGTCGAGACGAAGGGGAAGGGGACGTACCTTTGCTTGAGGGACAGAAGGGGCACCCCACCCCTTCGCCCCTCCACGGAGTAATCCCCCGCGCGCCCTCGGCCGCTCGGGCTCGCTGAAAAGGTGGTCTGAAAAAGGGTCAGCATGTTTCATGAGTTTGGATGAGATGGAGGGCACCCTACCCTCTTCGCGTCGCTCTCCGAAGGAGCCCGCGCCTCCGAGGGTTTTGGGGTACGCGAAAGCTGGGAAGAAAGGGCGTCAGTGCGCTTATTGAAAGGAGGAAGGGATGGAGGGCAGCTCACCCTCATCACATCCTTCGCCAAGGGAGCGCGCGCAGGCCGCCGGCGGCTCGTCTTCGTCCGAAAACTGCCTCAGGAAGGGGTTAAGGCGCCCCCAGCTTGTTCTCGAATCGTGGAGGAGGGGGAGGCCCCCTCCCCCTCATCACAATACTCGCCGATGAAGCTCGCGCGTGCCTCTGGCGGCTCTTAATCACCCAAAAATGGGTTGAAAAGGCGCGGTAGCAACCCCCCCACTTTGCGAGTGGGGGGAGGGGGAGGTGTGGGTCCCCCACCCTCGCCGCATTCTTCGTCGAGGGTACCCGCGCGCACCTCCGGCGGCTCGCCCCCGCCGAATATTGCCTCGGGAAGGGATTCAAGGCGCCCCAGCTTTTCCTCCAATCGTGGAGGAGGGGAGGAGGGAGAGGCCCCCTCCACCTCGTCGTGATGTTCAACCAGGAAGCTCACGCGTGCCTGCCGGTGGCGCTCGCTCGCCGAGAAGAAAGGGTCCTACAAGGCGCCGACGCCGCATGTCGCAACGTGGGGGTAGGGGAGGGTCCCCCACCCTCGCCGCATTCCTCGCCGAGGGGCCCCGCGCGCGCCTCTAGCGGCACGCCCTCGCCGAAAAGCCGGCTCGCAAGGCATCAGTACGCCCCAAAAATCTCTGAGAAGGGGTAAGGGAAATTCCCTCTCCCCGTCGCATAACTCACCGCGGGAACGCGCGCTCCCCTCCGGCGGCTGAACCGCACCAAAAAGGCATCTCACAAAGGGGCAAAACCTCCCTCGGATGGCAAAAAGGGTGCGGGGGGAGGCATAACTTACGTAGCTAGGGGGCCGGCCCTCCCCCCTTGGATCCTCTCTCCCCGAACCGTGCGGTCCGCCACATCTGCCAGAAAGGTCAGTCAATAACCGATAACAGGGGCGCGAGGGGGACCCCCTACCCCTCACGAAACATCTCCCTAAGGCGGCACGAGCATACCTCCGGCGGCTCGACGTAGCCGAAAGGGGGAGGTAGAATTGAGGGAGGGGCATAACTCACCAATTTTCCCAACCCCTCTGCCAAATCAAGGCGACCCCCACCCCTCCCCGACCCCTGGAAGGTAGGGGAATCTTCTACCCTACTCCGTCGTGTATCTCACTCAAGGGGGGCGAAAGCGTACTCCCGCGGATGTGCCTAGCGAGGGTGAGCGTAGATTAGACCAAGGACAATGGCATCGCTTACCCCCAATTCCGCCCCCTCCGACGTTCAAACGCGCCGCTCATGACCCCTTCACTCGAAGGGGAAGGGGAAGACCCCTCCCCCGTCGCATATCTCACCTGAGGATGCGCGCGCGTGCCTCCGGCGGCTCAGCCCGGCAAGAAAAAGGGGTCGAAATTAGCGAAAACAACGGAAAGGGGCATAGCTTACCCACAACCGCACCCCTCCTCGTAGAAAAGGGCCTTCCCGCGTGGTTTGTGCCCTCGAAAGGGGGGAGGAGGCCCCTCATCCGTCGAATCGTCCACCCCAGAGAGCGCGTGCACGCCCTCGGCGGTGGGAGGTTCAAGGAAAAGGCACTTGGAATCGAGTCAACACGGTATCGGGGTGGGGGTGTGATGCGAGTTCCCCCTCTACCAATGAATTGGCACGTTACCGTGCACTCACCAGTCTCTCTTCGGTATCACGACCGAACTGGGGGTCCTTCCTCCTCCTGAAGATGGTGCATAGGCGCCCCCGCGTCGTCGCGTGCAGTCGGAGTGACCCGAGTGAAGGGCCTAGATGGAGGGGGAGGTAGCTCGAATCGTGAGGGGCGTTGCTGTTGGTCGTCGAGGGGGGCCGAGGCAACGACATGGGGTGGGATAAGGGCGGGGAACGGCGTCGCGGATGTTGCGCACTTCGCCTGTGTGGTATAAAGTCGTAGAGTACGACGAGGGGAACGCTGACTCAACGCTTCGACCAGCGCTCGTGAGTTGCCAGAGTCATGGGCGAGCGAGGGAAGTTGAGATGGGGTCGTGAGCGACGTTAGACTGCGTAATACATCTCAGTAAAGCGCAGTTCTGGATGAGAGAGAAGTCAAAACTCACCGAGGAACGCGGCAGGCGTCGTCAAATCACCGCCGTCACTGTCTTTAGATGTCGCGACGTGAGGCCAGTCGAAATGGCTCGACGCCGTGGACCTTTGAAGCGCGGCCCGTTCTCGCCCCAACAGCGTCGAACGGTCCGCCTCAAGACCGTCAAGAAAATCAAGCATGAGGAATCAAGTCGCGCTCACCGTATATCACTACAGGAGACCGCGTCGAGGACGAGGCGGGCGACTAGGCAAGTGCCTACCGTCGTTGCAGAGTGTGCTCTTCAGCGACTACCGAGCCTACTGAGCGATCATGGAGGTGAGCAGGGGGACTGCGGCGTCGACATGGATAGTGGTGAGATGAAAAAGGCGGGGGCGCGAGTCGTGGTGGTCGCCGTGATGGTCTAGAGCAAAGTCGGTCAGGGTGGCGCGGTGTCGGACAATTCGCCCGTCGTTACCCGACAAGCGAGGATCAGACAGCGACGAGGGTTCTGTGGCTAATAGTCAGTGAGAATGCACAAGAAGAAGGAATGAAAGTCATCAACGTACCTAGAGTGCGTTTGGTGTCGATTGATGGTGCGCGGAGGAAGAAAGCTATGCGAGTGGATCAGTAAATGGGTAGAGCGTTTAGAGGGGAGCAAACGCGGGTAACAGGAAGTCGAAGTAGTCTAGGACATAATTTTAGTCAGTACGAAGCCGAGAGTAAATGGGGCAGACTCACGAAGCAATACTGAATTGTGACGAGCAGATAGTAAGACCTGAATAGAGAAGGGTCAGAAGAGATAGTACAAGAAAGTGAAGAAAGCGCTCACACTGAATGAGATGGTACAGGATACGAATGAAGAGGTAGAGGAGGTAAGGAAGGGTGAGAGAAAATGAGGAAAGGAGGGGAATGCTGGTTGAAGCGGTCAGATGCCCAACCCTTTATACTTCGCGGACGGCCCAACGCCGCGCCCAGTCGCCGTTCAATCTTCCAGACCGGCGTCGCATATTTCCGGATCAGACTTGGCGGTCCGCGACCGAGACCCGCCCAGCGGAAAGTCGGAAGATTGGGGGATGAGCGCCGAGGGCGCGCATTCAGTCTTCCGCCGTATCCCTGCGCGAATGTCAGCCAGAGCGGGCTCAAAATGCGTCGAGACTTGCCCGCCCGGGATTGAGATGCCGTACACGTGGCCTCCGGAAGGGACGCCTGGAAGTTTATGCGTCGCTCCCGCTGGGTGGCGCGCAAGTTGCAAGTCGATGTATATCGTCTTTCTGTCCGCATCGCTCGGATAACAGCGTCAGTAAGGCTGGGAGAGTGCGCGGGCAGTTGAGGGACACGTGCAGCTGCTGACGTGGCGCGCGAAAGACGGTAGACAGAGGAGGGGAAAGTGGAACTTGCTGCCATCACGTCCTATCTCCATTTAGCAGGCTTTGAGCTGCACGGCAGGCGGGGCGCCGCTGGCGCATCTCCTCCGCGCGCCGACCTCCCAAGAGTCAAAGCCATGGCACGACACGTGTATGCCGTTGTGTCGACATGTTGGGCGGTCGTCGGTGAGGGGGAATTGGGGTTGCTCCATTGTTCTCGCCCTGGTGAGAATAGCGAAGTGGACGCGGACGCGCCGAGGCCGCCGCCGGCGCGCGGCAAACTTCCGAAATTTTCATCCGACATTTTAGTGCCCAGAATGTCGCGTTGGAGAGTACGCACTCACCGTATAGCAGAGGAAGTCGTGGGGGACCATAATGGCGGCATACGGGTATTCGGCGGTTTAGACGCGAGGGGCGAGTCCCGAAAGCGAGATAGTACTCTGAAATTGTTATGCAGCGTGTTAGAAATGACGTACATGCGGTCAGCCTTGCTGTATGCGACGCGTCGGTGATGGGGAACGGGAGGGTAGACGAAAAGACGGCGGTGTATTGCGAGTGGGGGATTGCGCGAAGAGCGCCCACACTTTCTAAACTACGTGTATACCACTAGTAGACCATGTGTCTGTGTTGTGCCGGTCAGCGGAGGCTCAGGCGGTGGATGTACGAACGTACCAAAAGCGACGCCACATATTCAAAACGACCTTCTCAACGTCCTAGAGGCAAATATGTGCTACGGATGCGGGTCGCATATACAGAGATCAGCTCGCCCAGTTGTCCTCCTTCGATCCTTGGAGGTCAAATATTTCCGTTCAGGTGACGATTTACCAGGATATTCAGGTCGGGTGTGCACACATCTTGCTTCGGCTTTTAGAAACGATAAGAGAGGACGCGTTCCTCGGTCATCGGCGACATGTAGACCTTAGAGGGACCTTTGGATGTGCATCTAGGACATGTCTGGAACCATCGTGGGTGCTGAGGGTGATGGGGGATAGGTGCCATAGGCTGAGATCGCGTCGTGAAGTGGGGTGCGTGTCGTTGAGGAAGTTCTCGAGGATCGCATTGTGCTGTCTGCTCCTTTCGCTGGATATTAAAGGGGGATCACTCGACGACGGGGTGGCCGTTGTCGGAAGTGCGGGGGGCGGCGGCGATGGACGCAGAACGCAGAAAGCGCGGCGGAGGAAGCGCGGTCGGCCATTGCCGAATATCGGCGGCGCGGGGCGGAAGCCGGTAAGCGCCCGGCGCTTACCTTGATCTTGCCCGTCACCATCGTTCCCCGTGTCTGCGCGCCGCCGCGCCGACCAGCTTCTACTACGCAGGCGACCTTGGCGACGCTTGAGTGCCATCCTCCTTAATTTGTCCGACTCTCCACTCACAATAGCACTCATTTTCTCTCTGATACTGCAGCAAAACTGCGCGGGGACGCGGGGGAAGAGCCCACAAGGGGCAGTCTCCTCGATGAGCTGCGCGCTGTACGGAACACGTGCGACAGCCTGAAGAACACCGGGTGGTCTAGGCAAATTCCTCGCGCGTGGAGAGTTGTTCGTTTGTTGACTCCGCTGCGCTTCTCGTCAAAACCTTCCGACTTTGGAAGGATTTCTCACCTTCCCGCGACCCTGATGGCCCCAGATTCGATGACTCGGCGGCTCTCGTCTGCGAGTCTCGTGCTCTCGGACCTCTGCCTCTCTCTGCGCCGCCATGTCATCCTTCCCACCTCATTCCTTCAACATCGCGCGCGATGACAGCGAGCGCTCTTGCTCCTTTCGTTTTCCAGGATCTTCTCAACCTCAAGCCGTCGTGCTCAGACTGCTTCCCGCACGCAGCCAGTCCCAGTCGATGAGTATATGGATCTTTTACTCGCGAGCGGGAATACGCGGTACGTGGTAAGTTCCTCTGTACGAATGTCGCGCGCTCACTCCAATCTAGACCTTTCTTGTGTCGCCAAAGTCTCCCCTGTCGCTCGTCGGTGCCTGCGTCACGGTCCCAGTCCTTAGAGCTCACGGACGTTCTCCCTCATCGCCGCACGCAATGCTCTCGACCGAACTCAGCGCTGAAGCAGCAGATCGACGTCCGCCGAGCAGCGTGATAGGTTGAGTGGTACGACTTTATTCATCGAGTCTAGTACTCATAATTGTCCAGACCCACCTTGCTGAACATCCTCTACGGAACAGGCCCGGAACTTCTGTCTGCCAAGCGAGGCTTGGCCGGCTCGTACCCTTTTGCTTCCCCCATCGGCCTCCTCCCTTCGTCAACGAACCTCCCCCGCTGCTCAACGACACTATCGCCTACCATGAAGAGGCCCCATCGCCGCATGCCACTCCTCATCGCCGCATTCCACATCACCAGTCGAATTAATCGCCGAAGCAATGAAAACTGATCCGCCTAGCGGGGCAATCCGACGCAGCGCGAGGGATGTTTAGGTGCGCAACACGCTTGTCGTTCACGAGCAGAAGACTTACGACGCTCTAGACTCTGGCAAGAGTCGATGAGGCAATGGATCGCCGTCCGGCGAGCGAGGCCGTCACCTGCGCTTTCTTCTTTGACGCGTTGGGGTATTCAACACGACCATCCTCTCGCCGACACCTCCGACATCTTGCTCGCGCCCCTCCTCACGCCGTCATGTTGGAGCCGTTGCGCTCACCCGAGCGACAACCTGGATTCGTTCTTCTCGCACAAGCTCAAAGACTTGCGCTCGACGTTGCCAACTCTCCCTACCCCTTCGGCATTGCCCCACCCCCAATCAAGTGCTGAAGCAATAGAAATGCGTCCGCCGAGCGGGGTGATAAGGTACGTGATTCGCTTTTTGCTCGTGAGTTGACCGCTAATTCCTCGTCTTCTCCTTCAAGCTGACCCCTTCGCGGACACCTCAAGCTAGCCCCTTCGCCCTTGAACCCTCTCTAAGCACACCATCCGCCTTTGAGCACGTCCTTTCCCACCTCCTCTATCCTGTCTCACCCTGCTCGCCCTCGCCTCAAGTTCTCTTGCACTTCCGCCCCTCAAGAGCTTCTCACCTCGCCCTCCAGACGCCTTGCGCGTCTCTCTGGCTTTACGAGTGTCTGACTGATTTATCGTGTGCTTTACAGGTTCTCCGAGTGCTTCTCTCCCCCTCTGAATGCTTCTCTCCTCTTCGAGTGCTTCTCTCCTCTTCGAGTGCTTCTCTCCTCTCAAGCGCTCCTCCGACTTCCCTCTCGCTTTCCTGGCTTCTTGATGCTTTACTCACGCTGTCGATCCCTCTGTAGTGTGCTCTCCTCCATGTTATGTAGTACTATGCAATATGATCTGTCTTGGCTATATCTCGCTTGCGAATCATTCTCGTTGTTCTCTTCACTCCCAGCTCGCTCAACTCATGCTTCCTCGCTCATAACTCATTTAAGCTTGCTCACAACTCGTCCGACCTCGACCTCACTCGTAACTCATTCGAGCTTGCTCGCAACTTGTCCGACCTCGACCTCGACTTGCTCGCGTTTTTCAAAACACTGAATTTGTGGCAACTCTACACTCTCGACTCGGCTCAACCCTTGACCAAGTTCCAGTCAGTCTCGAACATCACCACAATCCGAACATCTTCCCTACGGCCTTCTCAACTGCGTCTCAGCCTCCCCAGCTTCTCAACAGCCTCGACCATGGCCAGTCTTGTCCGTCGACTGCCTTCTCACCCTTTGACCTGTGACCTCTCAGCTCACCCCTCAACCCTCTTCTTTCATCCTTTGACACCTGTCCACAACTTCCTATCCTCTCACACCCCATTCCATCTCCACCCACATTGTCAACACCATAGCTCATAGCTTACCCTTACTTGTAGCTTGGTGAACAACTTGTAGCTTAGTGTACTCGATAGCATGAGAAAAGCCATTGTGCAGACCATCCTTATATGCCCCTACTACCGACGGGCCGAGAGCAGCTGCCGGATATTCACGGAAGGCAAAATCGGAGTACTCGAGCAGTCGTACGATGGTCAGACGACTAGGAACAGCAACTATGCACCATTTGCGCACCCTCGACCAAGATCACGGAACAATTACTGTGCCTGTCGGAAGATTTGTGATGTGCGGGATTGCTTGGAGGGTGGCTGGAGCGGGGTCCTTGATGACGGGCGGAGGGAGTGACTGGCAGCAAGAAAATGGTAGGAGGGGAGGGAGGAGGGGGGCGGCCTGGTTGCTCTGCAGAGAGGTAGGCATGACCATATCTTAGAGCTTCGCCTTTGAACGAGAAGGAGCGGGGGAAAACTCGTGTCTGCACAATTGTTAGAGTGCCATTGTCACGCTTTCTCACCGAGTTCGGAGGGAATAAGGGAGGACGAAATGCTAGCAGTCACTTGTAACCTCGAGAACCTCTTAGTTTGCGAAATACGCACCCAACGCACTTTGTCCGGAGGCGCTAGCCCCCGCCGTTCGCGAGATAGAACCTTGAGGAGGTCGTAGATGCGAAACTTTTCACTTTTGACCAGAAAGGAAACGCGACGGTTCAACTTTCGTCACGTCACGCGGGCCGCGCAGGAAGAAGCGCCGGCGACCCTTGCCTTGGCGATAGCTAGACCGCAGCGCGACCAGACGCCTGGACGGATGGGCAGAGTACAAGTACCCGCCGCGAGACTCGAACACGGACGCGGATCCCACCATGACGTCGACAGTCGGGCCGGCGACCGACGCGATCGACGATGGACGCGACGCCGACTGCAAGGTGAGTGCAAGTGCAGGGTGAGTGCTCGCTGGGCGGAGGGAGGCGTGCACTGACGTGGGCAGCACAGCGTTCGACCTGACGCGTTCCGTCCTTGGGGGAGAGAGCACGATCGGAGGTGTCGCCATCCATAGGCGGTCACGCGAGCTGACAACGTGCGGACCGGACCGAGCGTCATCACCGAGGGCAGTTCGTGCAGGTTGCCTGCTCGCCGCTCGCCGCTCGGGGGCAACCAGTGCTGGCGAAACACTCTCGTTCGTTCGACCCGTCACTCTCCTTTCGTCCGCGCGAACCGACTGTCCATGGCCGCAAACCGCCTCTCCACCGACATTCCCTCCCACACCGCCGTCAGCGCCTCCGCCTCGGTCGGACTGGCGGCGAACGCGGCCTCCAGCCAGGCCGTCGTGCACAGCGGCTGGGTGCTCAAGAAGCGGAGGAAGAAGATGCAAGGTGCGTGGTGGGATGACACGACGCCTGATTGACGCTAAACGCTAGTCACCTGCAGGATTCGCGCGCCGCTACTTCACGCTCTACCAGTCCGGCATCCTTGCATACTCCTTCGAGCCCGGGCAGCCCATCCGCGACCACATTGACCTCCACCATGCTGCCATCTCGAGTACACCGGGGCGGAAGGACATCACCCTTGACTCCAACACCGCGACCTTCCACATCAAATGCCTTTGCACCGACGACTTCAACCAATGGATGCTTGCATTCAGGTCGGTGCAAATACCCTCAAGACGAGAGCACGTCTGACCTTTTGCCCAGGAAGTTTATCTCGGGTCCTGAAGCACGGCGATCCATGAGCGTTCGCATGGCCAGTGCGCGTCAGGGAGTCGTCAACATCTCCAAGTCCAGCGCAGTAGTAGAAGAAATGGGCTCGGTGCGCAATCCGGACCGACTACGTTATAACGACGTCAGACTGATCTATATCACCAGACAATTGCACAACTCGAGACCGCGCTGCAAACGCTAAGTTCGAAAGGGGAGACGGCTATGCAAAAGAATGCCAGCGTCAAGTCCAATGGCAAGGATAAACATCACAAAGCAGGCGCGTTTGGCATCTTCAAGTCGAAATGTACGTCGCTAGGCTAAGTGCAAAAGTGCATACTGACGTCGTGCAGCCAACCACAACTTGCAACCGGGAGAACCAGACGCGCCTCGAACGAGCATGGACCCCAGTAGCGGAGAAGCTCAGCAAGTATTCTCCTTGCTCGATACCCTCAAGAATCAGCACGCGACGCTCTCAAAGCTCCTCACCGCCACCGTGAGTCTCGACACCACGCTCCCCAAGACGAGCGAGGAGGACGAGGACCATCTCGTCGACTCTCCGCGCGAAACCGAGCACTGGGTCGTCCCCCACGGCCGCACAAAGCGTTTCTCCAGCTCCACGACCGCGAGCAGTAGCCTCGAGTGGTTCGACGCGGAGGACGATGCGGACGGCGCGGAGGAATTCGTTCTGGACACCCGGACGGCGGGCGATGAGTCCCAGCCGAGCCAGATCACGACAGATAGCTCAAGTGTGGAGAAGGCGGAGGACGAGGAAACGGCGCGGAGCAGTATGGATACGGATATAGAGGACGAGCCGGCGCGCAAATCCTCGGTAGAAGCACCCTTGGGGCAGCAGGCTGTTGTTCATCGGACGCAGTTGCCATCTCCGGTTGTGGGTGATGAGGGCAGCTTGTTCTCCGTTCTGAAGAAGAGTGTTGGAAAGGCAGGGCTTGGTTGATGTGTCTATGGATGCAGGATTAACCCGTTTTCCAGGATCTTTCGACGATTGCCCTTCCTGTTACCTTCAATGAACCCCTTACGATGCTACAACGCGCTTGCGAGGAGATGGAATACCAGAGCCTACTGGACGAAGCCGTGAAAGCTACCGAGGCCGCAGATCGTCTTTCTTTTGTCGCCGCCTTCGCTGTATCCGGCTATGCCAACACTCGACACCGCTCCGGCAGGAAGGGCTTGTACGTCTCCTCTATCGCACTTCTCTATCTCCCCTATCCCCCATTAATCCTTCCATAGTAATCCCATGCTGGCCGAGACCTTTGAAGACGTCCGGAGCAAATTCATCGCGGAGAAAGTCCGACACCAGCCACTTGAGATGGCATTCCACGCAGAGGGCTCGGGATGGGAGCTGTATGGCTTGAACGCCGGAAAGACCAAGTTCTGGGGTGCGTGGCGGACGCTCGCGCCAACATAACTCACCCGACTAATGGCCGAGCGCAGGGAAAAGCATGGAAATCATCCCGACTGGAAGTACGCATCTGAAGATCGGCGAGGACCACTTTGAATGGTGAGCGAAAAAGGCAGCAGGGACGGAGAACAAGACGGCTAATCGTTGGCGAAATAGGAAGAAGCCGTCCTCCTTCATGCGCAATCTCGTCGTGGGTACGAAGTACCTCGAGCACGTCGGCGATCTGGTGATCGAGAACCACCGCGACGGGAGCAAGTGCGTGCTCGAGTTCAAGCAGGCGGGCTACTGGGGCGGCGGGAACGTGGTCGCGGGCACGGTGTACTCCCCGCAGGGCAAGGTACTGTGCAAGCTCGAGGGGAAGTGGGACGACCAGCTCGCGCAGACGACGGACGAGAGCCATTTCCGCGTGCTCTGGCGCATCACGCCGCACCCGAAGAACACGCACGAGTACTATGGCTTCACGGCGTTCGCGATGACGCTGAACGAGATTACGGACGATATACGCCCGGCGCTGCCGCCGACGGACTCGCGCTTTAGGCCGGACGTGCGCGCGCTGGAGGAGGGGAGGCTCGACGATGCTGAGGCGGAGAAGCTGCGCGTGGAGGAGGCGCAGCGCGAGCGGCGGCGGCGCGGCGAGGATCGTGAGCCCCGGTGGTTCAAGCAGGACGCTCACGGCGAGTGGATCTACACGGGCGAGTACTGGCCACTGCGTGCGCGGGGATGGAAGGGCGCACACATCGAACCCTTGTGGTGAAGGGCGCTGGTTTACGGGTATTTATTGATTCAGACACTCCTCACATCTGGTACAAACCGCACACACTATGACACGCTAATGTGTATTATAGAAGGATAATATAGACCGCCCGACGCGCTGGGCCCGTGACCGCGTACGGTCGCGGTCAGCTGACGGCTATTGTGTTTGCCCTTTGTGGTTCTGAACCTTCTCTTACCTCTCGCGGCAACCCTTGGCCTTCGCCCACGCACATAACGGAGATATGTTGCGCGCGGACGCACCGATGCACCTTGTCGAGAAGCGGCGCGGGTCGTGAGGTGCCATTGTACTCACGGCACGAGCACCGTCCACCGCAGAGATCCTCCGCGTCGTCCGTGTTTTCCCCGGCTTCGGTGCAGCCGCAATTCCCTCGTTGGGTATGGAGATGGTCTGGGTTGCCAGGCTGGCCTCCTTGGCAAGGGCTTATAAGGCGAAGGGGCGTTGCTAACAGACCCAAGGTGAGCGCCCACAGCTGTACAGAATGCGTCCAGCTGTCTTCTTCCGTGTCCTGGCCCTCGGCGGTGCCGCGCTTGCGGCGCCGACCGAAAGCGCGTCCGCGACCTCTGCGACTGCCCCGTCCGCCACTTTTGCGTCCAGCGCAGTGAGCGCGACTTCGGCCAGCGCCTCGGCGACGAGCGTCTCGCTTTCGGTTTCTGCCAGTGCGGTCTCCAGTGCTGAAAGCGCGAGCGCGTCGGCCTCTGCCACGGCTAGTGCGAGCGTGTCCGCGACATCCTCGAAGCCTTCGTCTTCCGGGACACCGAAAATTCGTACGTGTGCGGTGTTCCGGATTATCCAGTCCATACTCATGCCCGCGAAGCTACCCCCGTCCTCAACGACGAATGGTCGGCGGCATACGCCAAGGTGAGACTCCCCCTGCTTCTTCAGGCTCTCTTCTTTACACTTTCCATCAGGCTTCAGATGCTGTTGCGCAGCTCTCGCTGCAAGAAAAGGTCGACATTGCGACCGGTATCGGCTGGATGAATGGTCAGCAGGAAGTCTTTTATGCCTTTGCGAGTTCTGATTATAGGGCAGGACCCTGCGTTGGCAACACGCCCGCCGTGCCCACTATTGACTACCCGTCGCTGTGCCTTCAAGGTATACTATTCTCTCAGCCTCAATCTCAGCAAGAAGTTAACGAGTGTGCAGACAGCCCTATGGGCGTGCGCTACGCCAGCGAGGTCTCTGCTTTCCCTGCGTGCGTTGGTCTTCACTGATCTCCTTTCCCTTATTGACCTTGACCTCCAGTGGTGTCAACACGGCCGCGACGTTCAACCGCACCCTCATCCGTGCGCGCGGTGTCGCTTTGGGCGAGGAGTTCCGCGGCAAGGGCATCCACGTCTACCTTGGTCCTGACATGTGCGTATCCCTTCTATCCCATACACCTAGAAATCTCATGACTCGTCAGGAACATCATGCGCACCGCGGCAGGAGGGCGCAACTGGGAAGGCTTCGGCGCCGACCCATACCTCTCCGGCGAGGCCTCGTACGAGACGATCATCGGCGTGCAGAGCGTTGGTGTCCAGGGCTCGGCCAAGCACTTCATCAACAACGACCAGGAGCACTTCCGCGAGAGCAGCTCTTCGAATGTTGATGATCGGTACGTGGAATTGACGTCCGGGAGAGAACGAAGACTGATCACGGGTCTTCTTCTAGCGCTCAGCATGAGATCTACCTCGCACCGGTGAGGGCTTCGCCACGCTCCGCATCTCGCTCGTACTGATTGTTGAATAGTTCTTGAAGAGTGCGCAGGCAAACGTGGCGTCCTTCATGTGCAGCTACAGTGCGTACTAGCACATTTCTGATTGACTTCTGCTGACCCCCATTGTCTCTAGACCAGAGTGCGTTTAGCGAGTGCTACTTTGACGTGGCAAACTGACGGCAGGCAGTCAACGGATCCTGGTCTTGCGAGAATGATAAGATGCTCAACGACATCGTGAAGGGCGAATGGGGCTACCCGGGATGTAAGCGTCGCACTCGACTTCATCGAGATGAGCCTTTGTTCTAACTCAGTCGCATAGACATCCAGTCGGACTGGGGTGCCACGCACTCGACGCTCGCCGTGAACTTCGGCTTGGACGTGCGCAGTATAGCTGATTCGGTGCGCAGCTCGCTGAAGTGACTCCCAGATGACCATGCCCGGCGACATCACCTTCGGCTCGAACACCACCTACTTCGGCCAGGCGCTCATTGACGCCGTGAACAGCGGAGACGTCCCTGAGGACCGCGTCTCTGACATGGCTCTCCGTATCCTGGCTGCCTGGTACCTCCTTGGGCAAGACGAGGGCTACCCTGAGACCAACATCTGGGCCTGGGACCTCAACGACCCCAGGAACCTCCATGTCGACGTGCAGGCTGACCATGGGAGGTGAGCTTCTCGAAAGACTCGGCAAGAAAACCCTGCTGAAGCCATTCTTCCGTAGCCTCATCCGCGAGATCGCCGACGCCTCGACCATCCTCCTCAAGAACGAGAACGGGACCCTCCCCCTTTCCGCGCCTGGCAGCATCGCCATCATTGGCAACGGCGCCGGCAACAACTCGCAGGGCATCAATGGCTGCGTCGACCGCTCGTGCGACGATGGTGTGCTGGCGGTAGGCTGGGGAAGCGGGACCGCTGAGTTCCCGTACTTGATCACAGTACGTGGTCTTGGTCCATGGCTTGCGCGTCGATCCTGACATCGTTTCTAGCCTCTCGACGCGATTACAGCACGCGCGCAGGAGGACGGCACGACCATCACGTCCTCGCTCAGTGACAGTGACACCGCCCGCGCCGCGCAGATTGCTGCCGCTGCCGACGTCGCCATTGTGTTCATCTCATGTGAGCCTTCTTTCGACCCCGCGTCCCCCATGAGCTCATAAGGGCTGCAGCGGACTCTGGGGAGGGATACCTTACTGTCGAGGGCAACGCCGGCGATCGGAACGACTTGCTCGCGTGGCACGATGGGGTTAGTAGCTTGCTTTTTTTTTATTCCTGTTTGAGAGCAATTCTGATGCTCTCATCTTCTCCAGGACGCACTTGTCCAGGCTGTTGCGGACGCCAACGAGAACACCATCGTCGCTGTGAACACGGTCGGTGCCATCATCACGGAGGCATGGATCGAGCACCCGAATGGTATAGTCATGCAGTATATCATCTTCTACATCCCTTCTGATGCTCATTTCAGTCAAGGCCGTCGTCTGGAGTGGTCTTCCTGGGCAGGAGGCCGGCAACTCTGTTGCTGACATCCTCTACGGTGCATACAACCCGAGGTAGGCATTGATGCAAGGCTCAGATAGCCTATCCTAATCCTCCTTCAGCGGTCGTCTCCCGTACACCATTGCCAAGTCCGCGGACGACTACCCTGCGCAAGTGCTTTACGAATCGAGCGCCCAGGTCCCGGACATCGACTACTCGGAGGGTCTCCTCGTCGACTACCGCCACTTCGATGCCAATGGCATCGAACCCCGGTACGAATTCGGCTTCGGGCTTTCATACACGACATTCGAGTACGACAATCTAGCGATCGAGGGCAGTGCGGCGTCGGACCAGAGCCCGCCGACGGGCCCCGGCTCCTCCCTCGACCCATGGCTGCATGAGCCTGTCGTGACGGTCACCTTCACGGTGGAGAACACGGGCGAGGTTGCGGGACACGAGGTATGTTGCGTGCTGTACTTGTGGACTCTTCCCTGACCAATCTGCCTCGTGTAGATCCCGCAACTCTACGTGACCTTCCCCGAGTCCGCGGGCAGCGCACCGCTCAATCTGAAGGGCTTTGAGAGCGTGTTTGTTGCCCCAGGAGAGACGGCCGATGTATCCCTCTCCCTCACGCGCTACGACCTGAGCATCTGGGATGTCGTGTCACAGAGCTGGGTCGTGCCGTCTGGCGACGCCACAATCTCCATCGGCGCGAGCAGCAGGGACATTCGCTTGACGGGCACTGTTACTAACTAGATGAGCCATGGCCTTTCCACCAAAGGGAGAAGGCATAGGTTATTAGGTATCTAAAATGTAAACAAAAGGAATGAACAAATAGTGCGAAGGCTTTCGGTGTTCTTTTGAGGCAGGATACAACATCGTGTAGTAATGCTCCGTATAGCCGTACAATTTTGCGACCAGCTACATGCCGCACTGTACGACTCTCGACTTGAGCATGCGATGATTGAACATCTGTGGGTGTCAATGGGTCCACATCTTGTGACTCTTCGGCATTTTCCAGCGGAGGCTTTCCGCAACTTGCGCTCTACGCTCATCAAGGCGCCCACGCGTTTCCACGCAGTTCAGCTTCACTCGCTCCCGTCGCTGGCGGCAATGCCGGTAACCTGTGACGAAGACGACGGGGGAAAGCGCTGTGTTCAGTGCAACCGGCCGACAATACTATCCTCTACACTGTCATGCGATGAGTGCGACGAATCAGCCTGGCGTCCCACCCTCCGATCCGGACAACAGCCCTCTGAGGCGGAGCGAGCGACGCTCGATGCCGAACTCGCTACTCTACGAGAGTCGGCGGACGCTCACGAAAAGGAGCTTCAACGGATTCGCGCACGACTGGACACATTGCAGCCATACATTGATCGCCGGGTATGCCTCTTGCATTCCCCTATCCGTCGCCTACCCGACGAACTGCTGGAGGAAGTCCTGCTCCTGCTATGGCACTCACGAGACCTCGACGAAAGCAAAAGATGGATCTGGATGAGAACGAAAGGGAGCGCGGATCTTCCGGCTTTGCTGCCTTCGCATGTGTTCGCGCCCCCGCACGTATGTTCGTGGTGGCGTACCCTCACATTATCACGGCCTGCACTGCGACCCTGCATTTACATTCCCCGAGAGGCCCTCATGGCTTTCGAACCGAACTCTCGCCGTGTTGTCCCTGAAAGGTTAAGCCGGAGCTTGGCTTCCTTGCCGTATCGCGAGTTCAACATCCACGTCATGCACATGGATATATCTCCTGATTCGGCTGTATCACTGAATAGGCAGCTGCTGCACACTCACAGATGGAGACGTGCGGCACTCGATAGTCTACCGTGGACGACGCTAGAGGAGCTGGCTACTTCGCCTTTCCCGCATCTCCAGCATATGCACATCACATTGGGAGCTGTACACGAGTGGCACGATGCTTCATGGATTGGCGATGGATCTGACCCTCGGCCACTGCTTTTAGGCAATGCGCACCAGCTCACCAGCATATCCCTGGAAACGTCGATCTTGGACCCGGACGCCGTCCTGGTCCCGCTGCAACGTCTTCCCTTCGTATTGCCCTGGTCACAACTGCGCATCGTCCATGCATACAGTTGCCCCCTTCGCATCTGCCTAGAAATCCTCTCCCAGTGCTCGTTGCTGCATTCACTGGAGTGGCGGGACGAACGAGATGAGGATGTTATAGCCGTGCAGGACGTCATGCCGGTCGAACGGATCGACGCCTCCATCCGCCATGTGGCCATACGCCACCATTGGGCCGTTTCACTCGTGGCATTGGAGAATTTCCTCGAGTGGATCAACATGCCTAACCTGATAGACCTGGAAGTGTGTCATGTACCCTCCGATTATCTCTTACCTCGACTGGGACAATATGGGTGTCATCTCACATCACTGACCCTCGTTGTCTCTGTGCGTTGGATGTCACCCTCGGATATCTCCAACATTCTGGAGGCAACGCCTGAACTAGAATCTCTCGCTTTCGTATATGATTCAGCCAGCACCCAGGAGCTCGAGGATTTGGGCGAGGAGATGCACGATACGATGGAGGGCATCCTGCAGGCACTTTGCGATACTCTGACGCTCACAGAGGATTCGAAACTGCCGCCAGGTTCACGCTTCTTTCCGGACCTGTCCCCTCACATGCACCTGCGTAGGCTGAGGTCATTGTCCTTCCGGTGCGAAGAACGGTGCTTCGACTGCATCTATAGCTGTATGCTGCGCGATTGGCCCCCGGACGAGAAACCTGTACGACACCTGAAAGAGGTCAGACTCGCAACGCCACTCTCGCCGAAGAACATTGGGGAGATCAGGGATGCGGCAGCGGAGCTGTGTCTTGAGGTCTATGGCCTCGATACGTGCTCTGCCATGTACGAGACCCTCTTGCCCCACGACTGGCAACCACCTACCCTTACATCCAGGTACATCATTCTCACAGACGCGAACGCAGATCGTATCTGATCCTTGCTTTATAGAAAAGATAATCCGAATCCTCCGGAGTGGTGAAGAGCTGCGTCTACAGATGTACATCGGAAGCAGTGGCTTGACAATGTCGAGATGCTCCCTTCGTCACGGCCCTGCAATCTCTGCTTGCTGGACTATGCGCCTGCCGAGTTCCCGTAGCTGATCCGGCGGCAGTACCCTGTCGTTCTGACTGTCGAGCCACCCTAGCGTATTCTGCGCGACGGACAGAGCTGCTTGTGGCACTCCCGCTAAAGCAGCGACTCGCAAAGCGTGACTCCTCCGGTTGACGCCACGACGGAGGCGATATGCGTATGCAATGTGACTAGACTACAATCGTTGTGAGATGGAAACGAAGCGCTTCAACGTATGACTCACATCTGCGTCGTACACGTCTGTGCAAAAGAATGCTACATCCTTGAAGGGATTCACATCGCGATCGTCTGCTTCGTTGTCGCAGTCGCTATCCGCGTCCATCGCCCTCGCGTGGGTGCGACGCTCCGCTTCCCAACCTACCAGATCCGCCACCTCCGTGAAGTGCGTAGCGAACAACGCTCTACAGCGATTGACCCTCAACAGGTGTACGACTGTGGCAAACGCGATAGCGAGACCGTCGCGGAAGGCAGTCCCGCGCCCAATTTCATCCATGATGACCTTGGGTGGAGGTGTGAGCGATGGCCAGAAGCCTTGGTTCGATACATACCAGGCTCCTGCTTGTCGCCCTCCTCAGCACTGCGCCCGTCTCGAGCATCTCGACCATGAAGGTGCTTCGATCACGCGCAAGGTCGTCCCGCGCGCCGACGCGAGCAAAGACGGCATCTATGAGACCTAGATGAGCAGCGGTTGCAGGCTGGACAAGATTAAGTCATGACGTGCATAGGGCAGACCTAACAAAAAGCTCACCACGAAGCTCCCTGCCTGCGCCAAGATAGCGATCAGAGCCGTTTGCCGCAACACCGTCGACTTGCCCGCCATGTTGGGACCAGTGAGGATATGAAGGTGCGCAGTTGGCGTTGGACAGCAGGTTGGGGTGTGCGAGATAGCTTGTTGCTCGTCGAGGTTTCCCTGACCATTGTGCCGCTCGTCTGTCCCGCTCAAGCAGACCGTGTTCGGAGTGAAAGTGCGCCCAGCGGACAGGAGGCCCATCTCTACAGTCGGGTGACGACCGTCGGTAACGTGATAGGTAGTGCTGAGCAAATAATCAGGAGGGGACGAACGAGTGGTAAGCATTCTTGAGGTTCACGTACTCATCGCGCATCACAGGCCTCACATAGCCATGCTCCGCCGCAAGTGCTGCAAAGCCGAGAGTGACGTCGAGTTCGTCAAGAACACGTGCATTGCGTCGAAGAGCGGGTGCATGAGCATTGATCTGGGCAAAAGCGTGAGTGAATGTGGATGCGAACAGACTGCCAGCAAGCATACCTCGCGTCTCAGTATATCGAAAGCCTCGCGCTCTGCAACCTGCAAAGCCAGCGTCGTCTCAACGATCTCGCTACCTAGCTGTGTCCAGGGCTGCGTCAGGCGTAAACGTCAGTTCAAAATCTGTGTTACATCGCGGCACTCACCCTCCAAAAATACCCCTTCGTACTCCCGCTCTCGGACACCTTGACGAACTCCGGATTCGCGTCCAGTAGACGGCAGTCACGCTTGCGTCGGGCAATATGCACGTGCATCCCGAGTGCAGGTGAAGAGCGTAGGGTAAGGGATGGGGCAACTGACGATCCGTAAGCTCTATACCCAAATCAAACACGAAAAATTTCGTACAATACCGCATCAGCAGCTCGGCCTCCATCTTCTCTCGTCGCTGAGCAGGTCGCTCAACTTGTCGTGCAAACTGCGTCAGGGCAGGAGAGAATTCAGGCTTGACCATCCATCGCTGTGGCGCATGAGGGCGCCAGTTCAGACGTCGAGCTGGATCTTCGTCGACGCCTGAAGGCCCGTTCTGCACTTCACTCGCAGCCCCTTCAACTCCAGAGCCCTCGACCTCCTGCCCCACTTCCGCTGCCTCGTCTACTTCGCCGCCTTCCAGCGCACTAGCGATCCGTGCCTCGAGATCCTCCAGCCCGTCCATGCGAGACAAAAGGGCGTCCATGCTCTGCCATTCCTCGTCGTTGACACTCGGTGCCTTCGGGTTCTTCGACTGCCTCTCATAACCCTCGAACGCCCGCTCCAGGGTAATCATGTTCCTTAACCTGTTCCAGGCCCGGATGGCTCTGCCCACGGCACGCACGTCGCTGGCGTCGCCCTTGCCAAGCATGAGCTTTTGGGAAAGACGGCCGACATCGGGGATGGAGACAAGCAGTGCGGATAAGTCGACGCGCAGGTGAGGGCGCGCAAGAAGGAAAGCAACGAGGGAGTGCCGGGATGTGATCTCGGCGAGGGACAGGGAAGGCGCAGCTAAAGATCTGTCGTCAGCTTTTGTTTTCCCGACATAGCAATGAAGAGTACCAACCAAGCCACCTCGCAAGCAATCGTGTACCACCGGTAGTCTTCGTGCGACGCACTACACTTAATAGACTCCCTTTCGTACCACCCTCGCGCATGCCCTCCCGGATCTCGAGTGCGCGCAGAGTATGCGCGTCAAGATGCATTCGCGGCGGAGGTGCCAGCGAGACTCGACCAGTATGGGTATGTTCTATCGAGCTCTCGAGCGCGTCACCTTCGCGTACAGGTAGCCCCAGGACGGGCATGTGTTCGCGTAGATGTGCGCGGAGGTAGGCCGTCAGCAGCGAGATAGCACTGGTCTCCATTGGGGCGAAGGACGAAGGAGGCGGGGAACGTGCTGCTTCGGCGAGCAAGTCGTCCGGTTCGGTAAGGCGGGTTGCCGCATCGTCTTTCGCGGACGTAGTCATCCTCGCATCTTCATCCCCTTCATGAGTCTGGTATGACACGAAGTATTGCTCTTCCATGAGCGCAGCGAGAACTGGATGCTTTTCTTCCTTTCCCTCGTCGTTTGCTGCCTCTTGTTGCTTCATGCTCTTGTCAAGCACGACCTCCTTTGGTCCGATACGGGCGAGCTCGTCGCGTAGCGTGTCAACCGATGAAACTTTCGAGAAGAATTCGCCTGTCGAGACGTCGATCCAGGCGAGGCCGAGCTGAGGGGCTTCAATATTGTCGGTGGTAGCAGCTTGGGCTCCCTCCGCCGAGATAGCAAGCAGATAGTTGTTCTCGTACTGGTTGAGGAACGGCTCGTCGATGAGGGTGCCAGGAGTTATGACTCGCGTGACGCGGCGCTCGAAAGTACGAGTAGGAAGGCCGCGGGAGATCTTGCCTTCCTTGAGCGCACCATTCGACGTATCCGTGCTGCTGCTTACAGGGAACTCCTCGCACATCGCGACCAGCCGCCTGTTCTCCCCCACAAGCACCCTCAAGTACTTGTCCAAGTGGGCGAGGGGAAAGCCACACATGGGCACGCGCTTGCCGCCCCATTTACGAGTGGTCAGCTTGATGTTGAGAAGGGAGGCGATCTCCGCTGCTTGGGAGAAGTAGGACTGGGCGACAGTCAGCGGTGTGGACAGCGAGCGTTACTGATGAACCATGGCCGACCTCGTAGAACTGCCCTACTCGCGTGAGCAAAAGACAGTTGGGGAACCTTGCAAGGTTGTCAAGGATTTCCTTGGCCAGCGTAGTTTGCTCTTCTGATTATTCTGTAGGTTAGCATCTGAGCGTCAAGCTGAAAGACAGCAGACAAACCAGGTAGAGGCGCCAGTTCTTCGACTGACGATTCAGCCAATGACTGTGCATCTAAGTCGACCAAATTCGACGCAACGTTTTCGGCAGCATCTATAGAAGGATAGGTTTGTGCCGGATAGATACTGATTAAAGCAGAGGGATAGCGTACCAGTCAATACGTCTGCTTTGCGGCGGCGCCTTCGCACAACTGAGTGTTCTGCAACCTCCAAGACTAAGGCTTGCACGGTTAATCAAGGAATGAATGAGGGAAAAGTATGACTTTACCTGGTATAGTAGATTCGGCCTGCTTTCGAGGTCTTCCGCGCTTCGGCTTCGGGTCCGTTTCAAGGGCTGTCCCACCGACTGCACTCAATGGATCTTCTTTCACGACAAGGGGGTTGTGGAGCTCAGCATTGCCCGTAGCGACCTGGTGCTGCACTGCGGCGAAATCCGCTTCCGCTGCGTCTTCTTCTCCAATACCACTTCCCCATTTGGGTAGCGGCTTCGCTATTGTCCCATCGGGAAGGGTATATGTTTTGGGAAGTTCAGAAACCCGTTTGCGCTCCTTTCGAGGCCTGCGCGTAGCGCTAGTTGTTCCCTGTGAGGCGTCAAGCGGGCTTCCGGCTTCTCCGCTTGCGGCGTGCAATGTCGCGTATGACACGCTTTTGAGCTGCTGCTTTACGCGTATTCTGGCGCCATATGCCCTGCGCACCGCCAAGGTCATACGCGAACGCGCTCCTCCGAGATGAACGTTGCTGTAAACGAGTGTTGGTTCATTTTACCCAACAGGCGCCACCCGCCGCCGCGTCGGCCATCAGCGTAATTTCGGACTTTGCCGGGGCTCGAAGCGCGTCCTTCTCGGTCGCCGATCCCGTCCACCAGGCTGCTCTCGAGGAGTCAGGCAATTGCTGCACTTTCGTTGAAGTTCGGAACTCGTCAAGATGTCGTTCGCAGGCAGGCGCACGGGCAACAAGGTCAAGAAGGGCGTGCAGTTCACGCTTATGGTCGTCGGTGCGTGTTTTGCATTTGCGGTTCTGGGGAGCGCGTCGAAAATGAAGTGCGCGTTACGACGATCATGGTGGTGGTGGCGCGGCGAGCGACGGCGCTATCCTCGCTCAACGAATCGCTTTGAGGGGACTTCATAACTGACTGCCTGCTTCCAGGTGCCTCGGGCACGGGCCGTACGACTTTCGTGAACACGCTGTGCGAGTCGGAGGTGCTGGCGCACAAAGTCTCCGATGACCCCGCGACTGCGCACGTCGAGCAGAACATTCGCATTAAGCCTGTGAACGTCGGTGCGTGTTCTTTGCGCCGAAAATAGACACGTACTTGACATTGTACGCGTCTCAGAGCTCGAGGAGGATGGCGTGCGCATCGCGTTGACCATCGTTGACACGCCGGGCTTTGGGGACAACATTGACAACGAATCCTCGTGCGTGTTACATATAACCCCCTTTCACCTCGTCTGACGTGGAATGCAGGTTCCGCGAGATCGCTGGCTACCTCGAGCGTCAGTACGACGACATTCTCGCCGAAGAGTCCCGCATCAAGCGTAACCCGCGCTTCCGGGATAACCGCGTTCATGCTCTGCTGTACTTCATCCCGCCCACTGGTCACTCGTACGTGTTGGACATGCAGAATGTATGCATGTGGACTAACCACCAAAAAGGCTGCGCGAGATGGACATTGAGCTCATGCGCCGCCTCTCCCCCCGCGTCAATGTCATACCCGTCATTGGCAAGGCTGACTCGCTCACATTGAGTGAACTCAAAGCATTCAAAAAGCGGGTTCGCACCTTCCCATGAAGCAAACTGTGTTCGACGTGCTAACATGTATCAGATTATGGAGGACATCGAGTACTACGACATCCCCATCTACAACTTCCCTTACGACGTTGAGGAGGATGACGAGGAGACCATCCAGGAGAACAGCGAGCTTCGCGTACGTCCCTCGCCATGGCGCCCTTCCCATCAATTGACCCCAAGCTTCTAGGCCCTGCTCCCCTTCGCGATCATCGGCTCTGAAGAGGAGGTCATGATTGACGGCCAGCCTGTTCGGGCACGCATCTACCCGTGGGGTATCGCCGAGGTCGACAACCCCAAGCACTCGGACTTCAGCCGCCTGCGGAACGCGCTGCTTGGGTGCGTCAACGTGCCTGCTGAATTTCCGTACGTGTCATCTGACCGCGTTCACCCCTATAGGACCCATCTTGCGGACCTCAAGTCGCTCATTCACGACGTGCTCTACGAGACGTACCGTACCGAGAAGCTGTCGCGCACGGTGCACTCGGTGGACGCGACGGACTCGTCGATCTTGCCCGAGGAGCTTGCCTCGCAGAGCGTGCGCCTGAAGGAGGAGCAGCTGCGCAGGGAAGAGGAGAAGGTGACTTGTACGATGTATGCACCGATCGAAGACTTACTGACTGCTTTCCAGCTCCGCGAAATCGAGCTTCGCGTGCAGCGTGAGATCAACGAGAAGCGCCAGGAGCTGCTGGCGAAGGAGGAGTCCCTTAGGTTTGTCTTCGCACACTATATCATCGCCGTTGCTAAACCTTCCGCAGGAACCTCGAGAGCCGCCTGGCCGCACAGGGCTCCAACTCCGACTTCCGCGACTAAGCTATGTGTCCGAGTCTGTATGGTATACCCTTCTCCGCGATCTACCCCGCTCATTCGATTGCGCTGGTTTCACGATGTTCATCCCTACGTCTCTACACGCTGGTCCCTCTTTCGTCGATTGGCCGACCTTTACTTCGCCCGCCTCATGATGTTCTTTACGCTCTGCGATAACAGCTGTCACTCCTTAGCATCCCCAAAAGTCGCCTGTTTTTCCCCGTAATACACTACCTTAGTACGACATTGTCTTGATCCCCTTCAACTTGTCTTGACCCCTCTTTACCGCGCGTCTTGAAGCTTGACTCCCCCTTCTTTCCTTGATACAATTTGCATGTTGTGGATCATTAGTTGATATGAAGTTGTGGTGGATGTATTTGCGCTACCCTGTGTATATTCAGTGAGGATCGATGGGGGTGCAGCAAGAAGTGAGTGATCATGGTAAGGGAGGGAATGCTGCTCCGAGTGCGCTATCTGAGGACGCCGCTGCGATAGACCCATTGCAGTATCGGATAACATACGGTTGGCGGGGTCCTCCGGCGAACCCAAAGTTACTCGTAATAAGGGCGGGTAGGTGAAGCTGCTTCCTGGACCTGAGCGAGACCAGGATGGGTTATGCCTGGGGTAGGACATGTGCTATCCTCGGGTGTGCCACAAATGTTGCCACCGGCCATAAAGTTCGGAAAAGAAAATTCATTTGAGCCGTCACGGGGTAGGTCACTCGCCATATATTCCTGTGCCAAGCCTCCTCGAAACCTCACCTGAGATAGGCCTCGGGCAACAGGCATTCAGTCACGGACCATCCACCGATTCAGCAGGTTCTGCCACAGATTCAGGCGAACGACCTGGGAGCGGATGACGCTACCCCGCATTGCCAAGCACGCCATAGTCCGAGCCCGCGGGAAAGGCTCTCAGGAATAGATGTTCGAGTAGTGGAAGATACGCCCAAGTGGGCGGCAAGATAGGAATAGGTGGGAGGCGGGCACCGACGGGCGAGGGCGGGCGAGGCGCGTGCATCGTGTTGTGGTCGGGGGCTGACGAAAGGATGCGCGTGTGGTGGCACAAAAAGCCTTCAAGCGCAGGAATACCGGTAGAAGTGGGGATAAAGCGCTGTGCGAGGAGCATGGAGAGGGCTAGTCAGCTTGTCACCGCTCACCCGTCAATCCGAATTCGAGGGGTCAGCGTGAAGAGAAGGGGGAGCGGGGCTGTTGGATCGCGCGTATAGTTGGGCTGAGGGTGCGGGCAGGGGGAGGAATGAAAGGCGGCGAGGATGACGACAGGCATGGAAGCGGTTCAGGGTGCGTTCGGGTTCTATCGATAGGTGAGTGCATTCGGAATGTAAGTAGGGCTGGGATCCGTCCTTCGCCTGTTCGCGGAGAGCGATGAGAGGGATGGAGCGGGTATGACTCCAGAAGGGGCTTCTGAAGTGATAGGAAACTAGTCTTTGAGGACAAAATATCGGTTAGAATTTGAGGACGGGGCGAACTGGCTGGCAGAAATTCGCAATGAAGAAAATGGTGCAAGCTGCATCTGCAGGCGGTTCCTTGCACGAGAAACAACGTACAAAGAAGGGTTTAGCCTGTTGATAGGCATAGGACTCGCCACAGCTGCTGAGGTACATCCGTCAATACCTAACGTGAGCGCCAGATGGTCGACGTGGGATGACAGGGACTGGGGCTGAGCAGCGTTTGCTAGACAGATGCGGTGTCGCACGCCGTCCGAACGTCGGTACCGTGCATGTCTGTGCTTTTTGTGAGAGCGCAAGGCGTCTTAGGTCGCGCATCACAAGGCTGATAAGAAGCTGGAACAATCGACAAGAGCCTAGCAGTTAGCGCGTACAACCTAGCCCATTTTTGCCACCTAGCAGGGGTGGCGGGGACGCCTCAGCATACGAATGACGAGAAGAGCGTATACTTTTCGAGAGTCTGGGACAGGCGAGGATTCAGAGCCCAGACCATCTAACGTGGTATAGCCCCCATGGAGGTTAGAGTTGAGTGGGAATCCAAGTTGAACTTTACGGCAAGATGTCACACCTGTAATATAACTCCATCCGGAATTCGGATTAGACGCCACACGTTTCCTCCTGCCGCCGTTCTTTGAATTCATCGCCCTCACAACCTCCGGCGGCCTGCTCCTTCTCTGTCGGCCCCAGGCTTCTACGGTCTGATAAGAAAGCTGCAGCCCAAACCCAACGGAGAACGGCCTGTCGCTCGGGGATACAGGGGTGACCACTGACCTACAGGGTCCATTACAATGTGCAGGTGACCGCCTCATATAAAGCTCGCGCAGCCGAGCAGCTGTCGCCCCCTTCCCCCCTCGTCATCTACGCACCAATCACGATGGGGAGACCTCACTTTGTCGCCGACCTTGTATTCGAAATCCTCGACAACGATGATCACTGGTGGCCGCGCGATCTCGCGCGCCTCGCCGTCGTGTCCTCGGATTGGCTTTGGCCTGTGCGCAAGCTCCTCTACCGCCGCCCCGTCATCCGCACCTTCGCCGAATGCGCGCTGCTCGGCCGCGCGCTCGAGGGAACCCCAGAACTGCGCGCGCTCGTGCGCGGTATCGACCTGCAGCCCTGCGGCGCATCGTCGCTGGCGCCCGACGCGAAGGTCATGGCGGCCCTGCGGCGTATCCTGACGCTGGAGAGCCTCGAGGCGGTTACCCTCGGAGGCGCCCTGGCCGTCGAGGCGGAGCGTTTCCTCATGATGTTGGCGGGGCACGCGACGGGTGTGAAGGAGCTCAGCATCATCGGAGCACCCTTGTGTGATACCGTCAGCCCTGCCTCCGTCGCCGCGTCCCTCGAGTGGGATACCGCCCGCGCGTGCGCTCTGCCGAGTCTCGAGCGTCTGCGCTTATCCAACCTATACCTCGACATCGAGTTCCCCTACGATTCCATTGAATCACGCCTCCGTGAACTCGTCCTCGACAACGTCACCATCGAGAACGGCTTCCTCCCCCACCTCATACAGGAGTCCGCCCCCGACTTCAAGCACCTCTCTATCCTTACGAAGGAGCGTGAACAGTATGACGAGCAGGTCAGGCTCGTGCTGGAGGCCTACGAGCTGGAGAGCCTTCAGTACGACGTCGACGAGCAGGACCCGTCAGAGGAGGACATCTTCGGCGCAGACCTTCCTTCCCATCCGTCCTTGCGCAGTCTCTCCCTCCGGGGTATGAAGGTCTGCCCCGATATGCTGTCCGCCATATCGGAGAGCTGTCCAAATCTGGACGAGCTCTTTGTCCAGGGTAGAAGCGTCTGCTTGTCACCCGAGCAGTGGGCGACATTCATCGCGTCTGGTGCTCTACCGAACCTGAAGTGTTTAGGACTGCCTTGGAGTACATACCCGCCGTTCAGGCACTGGACGAAGACCTGCAGCAACTGCATCGAGACTGCCTCTGCCCAACGCGATATTCGTCTTCACTGATACCCTTGTAATGACTTGCTTTGCTTTGCTCGCTCTGTACTACTACTGTCTGTTATTCTACTTTTCTGGATATTGTGTACTATACTCAGGAATACATACCACCGCGCCTCAGCCTTTTGCGAGCCTTGCAAATCCCCCTATGATTCAGACCGTGAGAAAACCGGGACAATCACCGAATTGAATTCATTCTCGACGTCGGCTTCCAAACTCCCCAAGACACCGGCTGGGTGTGCCCTCTGGCGGGTCGTCTCTCGTTCGCCGCCGTCCGTAGACGGACGCTCACTGTCGCTCTTTTCCTCTCCACCATCTCTCGCGCCCGAAATGCAGTCCTCCGCGTCCAGGTCGCAGGCCCAGAGCTCGCGCACCTCGTCCTCCCAACGCCCGATGCGCAAGAGCGCGTCCTATCTATCCCTTCGACGAGACAAAGACAACAACATGCAGTCCCCGGACCTCAGCACTAGCCCCGCGAACGGCAAGTCCTCGTACTTCGAGGCGTACCCGCGCGCCAAGTCTGCGTCGACCCCTCGTACCACCGCGAGCAAGGGACGCGAGAAGGAGAAGACGCCCACCTCGCCGCAGCGACACGGGCGCAGCACGGACACGTATCACGTATCGGACGACGACAGCAGCCTGGACTCGGGCGAGGATGCGTATGCCTTCCCGCGGTATGAGGAGAGGCACCGATCGGGCGCTCACAGCAGTCGGGAGGGACGCACGCCCACCGCCTCGAGATCGTCCCAGCGCTCGCGCTCATACACGGGCGGCACGCCCTCGCGCAGCTCGCGGGACGTTCCCGACCTACGACTGTCAGGCTCATCGAAGAACACCGAAACTCCTCCCCTCACTCCTGTCGATGCCAGTCATGGTATCTACTCCAGCGTCTACGATCCATTCCCAAGCATCGTATCTGCGCCAGTCTCTGGCGTAGAGGCGATGGACGCGTTGGTCGACGGCATGAACGGCGGGGACGTCCTGGGATCCGTGCCGAGTCTGTCCATGACTCGCCAGCGATACGGAATGCCCTACAGGAACCCGCTTTACGAGCCGCCATTGCCTTCCCCACCGCCAGGGGTCGTTCTTGGCGGTGGGCATGGCCGGCGAACGCGCTCCAACCCCAAGCTACGGACTACTCGCCGAGACAGCTCAGGAGACGAAGACGATGACGAAGACCCACCTCCTCGGCCTCGACGGCGCCGCCAACAGCGTCCAGCAAACACGCGCACGGTGTCGACCGGCACCGTTACGCCCCAATCCGATCGTGTCATGCATTCCCCATCCTCACGATCTGGCCGCGAACCACCCTCGCCATTGACGCCCCTGGAAGAATCGAGATACCCACCGTCCTCATTCCCCACTTCTTCCAACACTTCCGTCCAAGAAAGGCGCAAGAGCGCAGTCCCATCCATTTCGGACATCATTCGCGCGCATACGCTGCCCGAAGGCCAGACACTCTCCCGCCCTGGTACTTCCCGGCGCACGTCCGTTGGCAATGTTAGCCTAAGCTTCGATCACTCACACGAAGATCTCGGGAAGGGACGACAGCGCGCGAAGACGGCCGACGAAGAGGAAGACTTTTTATCGCGTTCGTCGGTGGACAGCGTCGCGAATGAAGTCCAGGAAACTTTGCGTCGTCAGATGAGCTTGAAGCCACAGGCTCCGCCTCCGCCTTCAGCGATGCTTAGACGGCGGTCCACGACGTCGGAGAACTTCTCGATGACCTCGCCCCGGTCGGAATGCGGTGGTGGCGGCGGCGGGCGCGCCTCGATCCACTCATCTTCTGCGGCCTCTTCGTACCAGATGGCGACACCGTCATTCGAGGATCTCAACATCCACGGGCTGAACAAACCTTCGGCTTCGCACGCAGTGGCGCAGTACCTGCGCTCTGCACGGTTGACGACCCTGGTCAAATGCACTCGGTCGCCCCATGCATCGCCAGACAACCCACTTACTGTGAGCTTGTCCGACCTGGGAAATCCGCACGGATACCCTGTCGTCGTGTTCTTGGGCTTGGGCTGCGTGCGGCATATCATGGGCTTGTACGATGAGATGGCGGAGTGCCTCAACCTTAGGATCATCACCATTGACAGGTAAGCATGCAATCTACTTGTCGCGCACAAAGCACTGATGCACGGTCATAGATGGGGACTGGGGCGTACGGAACCGCGATTGAGGTCTGCAAAGGGCATCATGCAATGGGCAGACGTCGTCGAGGAGGTGTTGGATCGATTGCACATCGACACTTGCAGCGTCATGGCGCACTCGGCCGGTGCGCCTTATGCCTTGTCGTTTGCGAACAAGTTGCCCGAGCGCATACGCGGTGAGGTCTGTCTCCTGGCGCCGTGGGTGGGTGGCAACGATAACAGTATGTCGAGCCAAATCCTATTTGTTGGAGTGGTATTCACTTTTCATAGGCGGCTATAAGTGGCTGAAGTACGTGCCGAATGGCATCCTCAAGACGGCGCAGGCCGCAGAGTGGAAGCTCCAGGCCTGGATGATCGGCAAGCCGCCGACGATCCAGTACCAGGGTATCGGCTACACAGCCCAGACGTCGAGCAAGTCGTCCGAGAAGGGCACGCTCTCTCCCCAGAACACCGGCACGGGCTCCCCGCGTCCGGCGTTCCCCCAGATATCGGAACAGGCGTCGCGTCCTAGTACGAGCTCGAACTTCAGCGAGTATGACGACCTCCGGGATTTCGAGGGAAAGTTCGGCAGCCAGACCACGCTTGGTATCGTCAACTACCCGCCGCCCAGTGCTCAACCGCCGAGGCGTAAGGCGTCCCGAGGATTTTTGGAGCGTTTGAAGAGCCCATCCTCGCCACCCGAGGAGAAGGCCACGCCGACCAAGACCGGAAAGACACTGAAAGCCCTGCGGTCAATGGGCTCCTTGCGCAGCGGCAAGTCATCCACCAAGAAATCCCAGCCCTCAAGCCCTTCGAGCCCCAAACTGCCGCCCCCACCTCAGTTCGATACGACCCTAGGCCTTGGCGTTGATGACTTCAAGTTCTCGGCAAACTCGTCTGACTCCTCGTCACTTCGCGCGGAGAAGGAGGATCAGCTTGATGGGCTGTCGAACCACGGGAGCGGGACGCCAAATTGGCGTGCGAACGGGCAGCGCTCGATATCCTTTGGGTCGACTTCCCCTCGCGGCGCGCACTCGATGCCGAATTCACCCGCGCCGAGTGTGCATAGCTCGCAGTATACGACGCCGCCGACGAGCGGCATGTCCTTCCAGGTCCAGCTGGGGAATGCGCTCCTTGCGGCTTCGCATGCGGAGAGTGCGAAGGGGACGCACAACGATCTGTTGCAGATCCTCAACCACGACAATCTTCCTTGGGGCTTCTCTTACAGCGCGTACCCTCACAAGGTCAAGGTCTGGTACGGGGATCGTGATGAGAAGATTGCCGAGAACGCGGTGCGGTGGATGGAGCATACGATGGGCGAAGACCGGTGTTCTGTGAAGGTGGTGAAGGGCGCGGACCATGGCTTGATGTACAAGAGCAGTGTGGTCATCGAAGTCCTAGAACACCTTCTGAGCTGTTGGAAGAAGTCCGGTGCGTCATGCAGCGCTCTCACACTCAATGGTTTACTGATCCTCTGAGCAGATAGATGATTCCCCGGAGCGCCGTCTCCGTAATAGTTCTTGCTTATTCTCCATTCCTGCACCACCTACCATCCAATGGATACTCTTTGCCAGTACTCGCGACTATTTCACCTTTCTTGGATGGTCTCACGCGCGTCGACTTCTTTGTCGCTTCTTTCTTCCTTGTATTGTGTTTTTAGGACTAGCCGCCTTTCATTCACACCCTTCGGCTGTGCTTCGTGCCCGCTCGCGGGCACACCTCCGCTGGTACACACCCGTTCGTCCACGTCTATTCTACGGTAGTATATCCTTATCTTTGCATAATTTACCTTGTATCATTGTAAGCTAGTGGACGGAGTACAGTTACTAGTAGTTAGTAGATATCCAGTTGCCCTCTCGATTTCTTGGGTGTGATTGGGCAGGGTTGTCGACGTCGGTGAGTCGGTATACGCGAAGGGTCTTCGGTAGGGATCTGGTCAAGTGGGCAATCACATCACACCGGCCCCGGCGCGCGCCAAATTGCAAGACGCGAGAAGCAAAGGTGGGTTGACCTCAGCGGCGTCGACATCAGTCGCGTCCTGTCTCGTCTCCCTGCTCGAGTTGTCTGCGATCCGGCGCAAATCTCGAGCAGTGGCCAGACATGTCGAGGAGGGCTCCTCGGGGTATTGCGCTGAAGCATACCGACGGACAGCCCCTCACGCGACAGGACATTCAGTACGAGCTCCTTGCCGCCATCTTCGCCGACGAGAACAAGGCCTTCACGGAGCCCTTGTCTGGCGAGAAGATGTCTTTTCGCGATGTCTATGTGTGTGGCATTTTATTCGTACTTTCACTCTACTGACGCGCTCACAGGTGTCTGCCATCCGGAACTCGCCCAAGGCGAGCCCGGCGCTCAAGAACAAGATGGCACAGTCACAGGACTACGCGACGGACTTTGGCATGCTCGCATTGTTGACCAATGTTGGAAGACTTAGCGCGACTATGGGCTGTACGCGATCGACGCTATATCTCTTCATGCACGGTGCTAACGCGCGTGCAGTCTTCCCAGAGATGAAGACCGCGGTGCGGACCTACCACCCAGTCCCCTCGCTCCAGCGCACGGGGGATAACAATATGCTGGACATGCCGCGCATCAAGACGATCATCCGGGGCGCGCTTCTTGAGACGGAACGCAATGGGATTCCGAGCACGCTGGCCGAGATTCTCATACACGCTGTGCGTCCATTCAGTCACGTTACCGTGCCGCGAACTCTGACATACCTTGGCCACTCCAGCGTGCGGGCCATGTACCCTCGACAAGTATCACGAATCTCATCTTCGTCCTATCCCATAACTCTGCTGTGAGTGCGTCGTAGTGGAAGCTTTGCAGCTGATTTGAACTTCGAACAGCAAGTCAGCGATTTCTTCCCACCGGATTTCGAGTTCCTTGACATCTTCATTCCGAGCGAGTACACGCCGCAGTCAAGAGCACGCGCATTCCTCTGGATATGCTGCTTCTTGCTCGAAACGCCCCTCGAAGGCGACTCGGACTATCAAGGACCCAGGAATCCCTTTTCAGAGCCCACGCGGCCTGGGAAGGCGCCCCCTCTCGTTAGGATGACCCCCGAAGAAGTCGGCCGCACAGACCAAGATACGCAACGAGAGAAGGATCTCGCCAACACACTCATTCTGACACGCAACCGCTTCCTTCACAACCTGAAGGAGAAGAACAAGGGCGTCCTCAACTTTGCCGGGCCGTCGAGCCAAGCGCCTGAACAACACGAAGACATGCCAAGCGAGACGCCTGGCGCCTCCACATCAGCTGGCACAAGCGGCAAGAGAAAGGCCAGCGGCAGTGCCGCTATCGAGAAGGAGACGAAGACAAGGAGAGTTGAAGGGAGACTTCGCGCAGACACTGTGACCCTCCCACCACGACCTCCCTCTGCTGGTAAGTCTGTCCGCACTCCGCTTGAGTACACTGCCTGATCATAGCCTCAGGCCCCTCCACGCTCATCCGACGGCGCTCTCCTTCTCGTCCACAAAGCCCAGCCGTCGGACGTCCCCCTCCGCGCTCCATCATGGACCTCATCCACCACTCCCCACCGTCCTTACCGCCCCAACTTCTTGAACCACCCCAATCTACTCGCGCTCGTTCGACCTCGCTCCCGCCTGATGTTTCTCGCTTTCCACCTACACCCCCACCTAATTTCGATGTATCAATAACCGAGTATAATCTGCGCGCGCGGTCGCCCCTCGCGGAAGCGCCCATAATAGCCCTTGATCCGCCGCCCCCAGACGGGCCCATGCTGCGATGTGCGTCTTCTGTACCCTTTGTTCCTGCACGGGAGATGCTGACTATTACTTATAGATGCCTGGGAAGACATCCACACCCGAGACTGCTTGCAGGAGTCCGATGATGCGCTCGACAACGAAGAAGCGCAGCAGGAATACGGTACGTCTTGCTACCTCTCTCATGCCTTCGCTGACGACAACTCCAGGACGACGCCTGGACGTCGTCAATCGTCTCCCATACATGGAACCCAGCGCAAGGCCCCAATGGGACCCCGACCCACCGATGCGACCCTCGCCCCGCCATCTCTTCTCATCTTCATCTCGTCCACCCGAACACTCTTAGCTATCCACCAAGCTCGGGCATTCAAACAAACACACGAACGCTGTCAACTGTATCATAGCCTCGTCACAATCCTTGCTATATCCTTATTGTTGTTTATATACTTACGACCCCCCGCTTCCCTGCTTGCTTCCGTATCGGTTACTGTATCTACTTACGCTCTGTTACGGTTACTTCACGTGTACATGTCGCCAGGTTGTACAAACGCTGTGCTCCTCTCATTCCTTAGCTTACCCTTCACCCTTCGTCGGTAGTATTGGGCTGCCGTCTTTAGTGATCCTACTCTACTTCATTTACTCTATTCCCCTTACCAACGGACCTCATAATGGATTGGATACTCTGGCCACTGGGGGAAGGAATCGACGTGAAATTCGCTCGATACTTCGCTTAGCTTCGATGGAAATTCACTAAGAATTGAATGGTTTTCACACAAAATCTAGTGACTTTCGCTCGGCCTTGCGCGAAAACATTTCACGCCAAAAAAGTCGCGTTCCGCGACCTCTGTTTCGCTCGACTTCGAGCGCAAACCGCTCTTCGAAGAGTGAAATGGCCAGTACAGGTGAACCCCTCATAACCCATACCTATCGGAGCGCCTCCGAGGCTCGTCGTAGGCGCGCCGGGGTCAAACCAACTTTCGGATATAATTCTTGAGGGATATGCCTTCCGTTCCATATACTTTTTGGCGCGCAAATCGTACCCGGTCGACCCTCGGAGGCGCTCCGATAGGTATGGGTTATGAGGGGTTCACCTGTATTTCCTTTTTGCTGCTTTCTGCCATTTTTCTCCTTGGCATCGCGCTCATATGAGATCAAATCGATATATTCAAGTGACTACTACTACAACTATTAAACAGCAGCTCTACGAGTATCAAGTCTAAGAAGTGAGCTGTCTCGGCTGAACGACAGAATCACGAAGGTAGAGGGAAGCTACGGAGGACTCTACCAAACGTGAGAATCGGGAGATGGTCGTTGGTCCGTGTAGAGAGCGAAGAGGCAAGACTTAACAGCCGCGCCGAGGTCTCGGAGAGATATCCTGAGCCAAAGTCGCAGGATGGCGTATTAGACTGCAGTCCTCGTCGGACGTTGTAATTCGTTTCAAAGCGGGATGGTGGCATGGAGCAAACATACCCGATGATTTAGTGAGCTCGTAATACGGACGGCGGAATGGTGCACGCTGCATACAAACTTGCTGATGGCGCGAGCGAGCGCGAGGGGGAGTGCCGCGAAGGATGGTGTGCAAGGACTGGGTAATCAAGTGAGAGGGAATATAACGTTGAAGTGAAAGATAAAGCTGGGTGGTATTCAAGGAAATGGAGGGAATAGTCTGCAATGGTCACTCAGGTCAGCGCTCATCTCTGCCAGTGAACAAGGGATCCCATCACGCACCGTGATCCCGCGAGTTTGGGCAGCACTCATCAGCGTTCGTTATACTTCGATCTCGAGGCCGTGCGTCGTACGCTGGGAAATTACCTCCACACATCATGGCGAGCGACGTAGATGATGGCGGTTGAGGACAAGACTCGACGATCCGCGACCTCGCATACGTCACTGTGTGGCGCCAACGCCACATAATGGCCGGGCCCTCGCTGAGTTGCTCATCGCCGCGCATGCCCTTTGGTTGCCTTCTGTGATGATGGAGACCGACATTTACTGAACCCAGTTGCAGCCGAATATTGATGCCAGTCAGAGAACCCTTGGTACCCTCTGGGCTCTCGATACATCGATACCCTTAAGACCTCTACCCATCTCGCTACTCAAGATTATCCCTCTGTAACTTTCGCTCGACGTTAGTTAGTTGTTGGCTGAGCGAAACAGCGTCGCTCAAGGTTATGCAAATTTCGCTCGCCCGACGTGAATCGGATTCGCACGATCTCCAGCGAAAAGCGAAATTCACTCGATGTCGAGTGAATTTCGCGCCGATTCCTTTTCCCAGTGTGGATTCTTACATTCGACAGCTTGAGCTTGAGCTTGAGCTTGAAGCTTGCAATTGAGGACAGGCTCATATAAGAATTCAGCGGAAGCCCAAACTATGTTCACCTGTGCAAAGTATGTGCGAGGGAATAGGTAGGTAGTGAGTCGTTATCGCACAATATTCAACAGCCGAAGGACGCAGATATGTGCTTACGAGCGTACGGTAAGCAGGCGGGGGATGGATAAGTAGCAGACGTCTACGCCGCTCGCACGCGAAGAAGAGATTCATAACGATAAAGTACAATAAAGATGATATGATCCAAATTGACCTGTTCCACAAGACTCCGGGAGGGGTGCAGCAGCAGCAGCAGCAGCAACACAGCATGTACTACAAATGAACGATGCAGGAAGGGGGGAAAGGCGGGTAGCGCGAGGGGTCCCGGGCGTGGAAATGCCAGGCCAACTATGCACAAGGGTCGGTCACCCAAGTCATTCCTCGAGCCACTTCTCGCAGCGCTTGACATACTTGTCGAGCAGCTGCGCGAGGTCGCGGATGACGAAGGTGAGGATGACCGTGGCGAAGAACTCGGAGCACCGCTTGAGTTTCGCCTCTATGCTTGCGCGCATGTCGATGGGGAAGGCCGCGTATGCAGGCGCAACCGGGTGCGCCTTGACCGCCTTCGTGTGCTCGTCCAGGAGCTGCACGTGCAAGAACAACTTCCGCAAGCCCTGCACATAGGCTGCGGGGGAGTCTAGACTGTGCGCGAGTTAGCAACGTCATGATATGTGTAGCATAAGCAGGCAACGTACGTCTTCCCGTTGTTCGTCAGCTTGTCGAAGCTGCGCGTCATCCTATCGCTCCACGTCGACTTCTTCACCACGAAGCCCTCCCCAACACTGAGCTTCTTCCCAAAGCTCGCGACAACCCCATCACACACCGCCGAGAACTCTTCCAACTTCCCCTGCCATGCATCCGCCTCTTTCCGGGTAATGCTCCCAATGCCCATCGCAAGCCCGCTGCTCACGTTCCCCGCGCCAAAGTATTCCGAGCTCTGCAGCGCCAGATCCTCGAGCGCAGAGCACAGAATCGCGACCACGCGGACCTTCTCGGACGTGTTGTTCAGCTTCGCGCCGCCCTGGGACCATACCTCCTGTGGGACGTGCAGCCGCCGCGTAACGTAGCCCCCCGTCGCGGACTCCATCGTCGCCCGGAGGAGGTTCATCATATGATACGGCTTCAGCAGCGCGTCACTCGGTGCAGCGGGCGGCAAGGGGGAGACAGGCGTCATTGGCGACGCCGCCGCCAGTGCCGGGGGGATCATGTCCGTCTGGACAGTGAGGTTGTACGGGTTGAGCTTCTGGGGTATAGATACCTTGCGTGGCGCCGCTCCGTTCATGGGCAAAGGCGGCGGCATCTCTCCAGGAGGCGACTGAATTTGCCCGTTCACGATTGACGGTCGGCGCCCAGGCTGTGAGGACGACCGGCTGCGCGACGCAGGACCACCCGTTGCAGACGAAGACGACGAGCTCGACGTCAGCGAGATCGCTGACGCCTTCGGCAATGAAGTCGACGCAAGCGATACGCTCGACTCGGTCGGTGAAGACGTGTCAGAGCTCGCAGGGGCTGACATTTTCGAGCGACGCTGGTAAATGGTGCCCTGGTTGGTCGTCTGGTTGATGATAGGCGGTGTCACTGTATCCTGCCTTACTGACGCCAGCTGCGAAGCCCCACGAGGACGAGGAACGACGAAGGCGGTCGTACGGGGGGATGGAGGCAATGTTGCCGGCTGCGAACGCGGTGTGTTCGGCGCATCAGATGTCGGCGAGGGTATCGGCGGCAGCGGTGGCGACTCCTTGGCAAATGCACGAGGGGTCTCCGACATGCTACCACGGCCCTCATACTCGTCCTCGCGTGGTGCACTCGCTGGATCATAGCGCTCTTGCTCTTCTTGCAGCGATGCAAGCCTGCTTCCAGAACCAGTACGTCGATGATTGATGGAATTCCCTCGTTGGCGACCGACGACAGTCAGGTGATGCGTTGAGGCAGGGGGTATGTTGGGCGAGTTGTCGGCAGACTGTGAGGGCGCCGGCGGAGGGGAGGTCAGTGGGGGAGGTGCCGGTGGAGGAAGGGCGGCAGAATTTGACCGCGCGCGGAGGATAGACGTGCGAGTGCCAGGGAGCGTTGCAGTGGGGGTCACGATCTGCGGAAGTGGTGGTTCCGCCTGAGAAGCTGCAGCATATGGATGATGAGAGGAGGAAGAGGAGTTGTCTCCCTCGTCCGACGACGCCATAAACATGGCGCTGCCTATCGCCTCGACGCCGCTGTGTCTATCGTACGACGAAGCGTCGTCATGATGATCTCTGCTACTTGCTGCGGATTCCGACCTCGTCGACGTAGACGCTGATGGTGACGGTGAACGCGTAGACGCCTCCGACGTCGATGCTGCCGCGTACATGGACGCGGAATTGTACGGGATCGGTGGAATACTGTATATGAGACTGAGGATGTTCATCCGATCGGCATACGTATCGTGCTGCGAGGCGCCGTTAGCGATCCATCAAACACATTGCAGGAACGCTCACAATCTGCTGCAAGCGCCGGATCTCCTCTTCCTGGGCAACTACGCTGCGTCGTCTCCCGTTCCGCCTGCGCGGGTCGGTGCTATCCTCGCCCCGCCGGACACGTTCCATCACCTCGCTAAGCAGAGCAACGCTGCGGCCGTATGCCATCACGGCCGCCTCGGGGTCCACATTGGAGGAGTCGAGTTCGACGGCTTCCCGGGCGAGCTCGAGGGCGCGAGTGAGGGCGCGACGCGAAGATGGCGGGCGCCGGTTTTCTTGCGGAGGCTCAAGCCGATCGGGCGAGGGAGGGGGCGGTGGTTCGTGCGCCGAGCGTGGAGGCAGTAGTGACGGCGGGGGTGGGTCGAGGAGGTCCTCAGAAGATGGCGACACGGGTGCGAACGCGCGTGATGATGAAGAGGAAGCCGCAGCTTGGCGGTCGCGAGCCTCGGCGAAGCTAGCAACGGCAGCAAGGCCTGGCGAAGCGGCTGGACGCGCGAAGGGGGCTGACTGAGAGCGGCTGCCGAGGCTGGGGCGGCCCTCGCTGTACGGCTGGTCATCATAGCGATCGTCCGCAGGAGGTCTGGGCAGCTGCACGGCGGGCGGGGGACCCGCTGGCGGAAGATTGGGAATGGGATGGCTGGGCGGAGGGCCTGCTGGGCGAGCGTGCGCGGCGGTCGAGCGGCGGCGCTGTGCCAGGATGGAGGCGGACGGGGGAGACTGGGCGTAGATCGTCTGCGCGGCGGATGCGGATGATGGGGGCGCGGTCTGAGCCATGTTGGCGCGCGACGGTGCTCGGGATGGGGGTTCCCTATTCGCTCAGGCGTACGAGCGAGCGCTTCGCGTCCGAGTGTGCGCAGTTTGCCAGTCGAGCCGGGCGTTCTATCCGACTCTATGGCAGAGGAGGGCAAGGGAGACCGCGGGGTGTGGGAACAAGAGGAAATTCCAGAGTTCTCGCACGGTATCGTCGGGGACGGCGGCGGCGGTGGTGACGGTTCGTTCCAAGGAGCGTTCGCGCGCTGACGGCCGCCGCGCACAGTGTCCTCGACAACAAACTATGTCGCCGCTCACGGGTTGGCTCGCCTGGAACGCTCGAGCCGCATTTGGCGTAGACGCCGCACGTGAATCATCCCACGCGTGAATGACCACCAAGTTCATGTTGATGCGCGACTCCGAGCGCGCGGACTTCTAGCTCACCATCGCTGGCCGCGTCCAACCTCCCCAACTCACTACGCAATCCGATGAATCTATCAGGCGCTCGAGTAGATTGGTAGGCATACGCCGTAAACAACATGATCATCTAGTAGGCTGGATACAGCACATTACAGACAACGTTAGTAGGAAGTACAAGGTCGGTCATCACATCAGCCACCGCCAGAACGCCTCGAACTTGTTCCTCGGCGGCGCTTCCTGGTCGTTAGCGCTGGAACAGGGCTTGTCAGAAGGGCTGCCGCGTATATATCACGGTGGCTCTCACCAGTCGGCCTCAATCTCCGCGATATTGGACACAAAGTCCATCTCGCTAGCCTTCACTATCGGCTGGCGGTAGTACAGCTTCGAGCCGATGTACAATATCGGGAACAGCCATAGAGGGAAGTAGCTGAAGAACCTAGTCAGGACGACAAGATCCATAACGAGACGAAGGGCAACTCACTTGGTGACAAACGTGTCAGTCGCCCAATTACCCCGAAGGAACACGCTCCATCCGCTGAACTACAGAAAAGTCAACTTCGACCGCGCGCGCCACAAAGGGGGGCTACTCACGAAGCAGATAACGAACGTCGCGACGAGCGAATACCACGCCGCGTAAGGATTTATTCTATTCCAATAGGGCAGCTTTTTGCGGTCAATGTTCTGCGCCTTGCAGCCAGCATGGAAGCTGCGGCCTTCGTCAGCCGTCTTTCACATACATTTCAACGCAATGTGGGCTCACCGAAGATACGTGATGGAGATACCGAACCAGGTCATCATGCCAGCAATCGCAGTCATGTTCTGGAACCAGTTGAAGACCTCTCCGGCGTTCTTGTCAACGGACATGTACGCCAGAAGCGCGAAGGCAGTGCTGAAGATGAGCGCCACGTAGGGCAGGCCCCACCGCGTCGTCCTCTGGAAGATCTTGGGCGCATTGCCGGCGACGGAGAGACCGTCTACACAGCGTCAGTGGCAATGCCAAGATCCGTATACAAAGTACTCACAGAGTGCGCGAGAGCTAGTGTACAAGTCACTAGACGCAGCAGACCACGCAGAGGTGAGCAAGCAAGCGTTGACGATCTGTACCGCGGTTGAGTGCGAGTTTTCCAGCAAGAGGTATCGCGATACTAACATGAGGCAGGACGCTGATTCCTGCGTTCTCGATGGCGATGACGAAGGGAGATGAGGACGCAGTGCCACTGCCGCTGACCAGACGCTCGTTGTTGGAAGGAACAAGGAGACCTATGACGGGTGAGCCTCGATACGATGGCAGAATACGCATCTCAACGTACCGATCACAATCGTTCCGCAGATATAGAACAGGAGAATACTGCATAGACTCAGTTAGCTTCGCAAGACGGTATGAGCTGGCACCACTACTCACCGAATGTACACCCGCTTGATCGCGCGCGGAAGATTCCTCCTCGGGTTCTTGGCTTCGGCAGCAGCGATCTATGGCAGCGACAACATGAGGGCGAATTCCGCCACGGCCGCACTCGATACGCACAGCAACAATCTCAGTGCCAATGAAGGAGAACGCAGCCTGCGATATCACCGCCCACCAGCCCAGGAACTGGCCCTTCGCACCCTGGATGTCGTGATACTGCGCGAACGGACCGGGGTCTTTCCAGTATCTGAACCCAAGGCGGTCGTGGTTCGGGCCTATAGACGGTCAGCAAGACGCGTCGAGGGCGCTGTAGGACGAGGGACGCACCTCCTCCAAGGTCGATCACAATGCCGAGGATGATCAGGCCGACGATAGTGATAACCTTGATGGAGGCGAAGATGAATTCTGCTTCTCCGTAGGCGCCTAAAATTTGCGTGAGATACTGTCTGCACTGAATGGGCAGATAACGTGCCTGCTCCGAGGAAGTTGATGAAGACTGGGGGCGGTTATCAGTGTCAGGACGTATCTCAGCGTGCTACCGCAAGACGCACCAACGACAACGAGACACATTGTTATCCAGACGGCGTTGTTGACATTCTCTGGGCTGACCCAACTGAAAGGATGTTAGCTGGGACGAGTTGAACCAGAGATGAATACGACACACTAGTTCATGAGGATAGCGGAGGCAGACAGCTCGGCAGGCAGGAGGATAGTCCAGTTGTACCAGTAGTTCCATCCCATGGTGAAGGACAGCGCGGGGTCGACAAAACGTTCCGCGAGCTTGATGTGGCCACCTGCGATGGGCAGGTAGGCAATCATCTCTCCCAACGAGACCATGACGCTATAGCAGATGGTGCCCATCGTGATGTAGCTGCAGGTCCCATGTCAGACAACGCTTGCTCGGGGTAGCTACGCCGTGTTACGCACCCAAGAACGAGGCCGATGGGTCCACCATTGTGCAAGGACTGCGCGGTACCCAGGAAAAGGCCCGTCCCGATGACACCTGCATGGGCGCTTAACCACCGCACCTTCGCTTCGCGTAGCCTGGAAGTACTCACCGCCAATACTACACGATCGTCAGCCTCGCACATTTCACGACGAGTCCCCCACGCACCTGATCATCGCCACATGCCGGTTCTTCAGCGCGCGCTTCAGCGGCGCTGGCTCGCCATACGGGCGCGAGTCCTCAATGTCCGTAGAGACCACCTCCTCGGGCTTGCCCTCCGAGCTATACGGCCGGGACATCTTCTCGCTCTTCTCGCTGGCCACCGACATCGTGTACCGTGTTTCGAGTGGATACGCGGAGATGCTGGTGGTCGTGGTATGAAGTCAAGGAGTGCGAGGGGCCGTTCTATTGGGAGTGCGCCGGTTCTAAACGCGCGGCCGCGGATCCGCTGCGCCGTCATCAGCACACGACCCGCGATAAGCGGCCGAGATACCAGGGGGCGTACATACATACGCCCCCATCAATCTCATCTATTCACGCTGCCCCGGGAAAGTCCCTTGTGGGCCTTGACTGGACGCGTGTACGCGGTGTAGATCGGTGGAGATGGGGTGGAGACGGAGCAGGAGGGCGCCCGAAGACTGTATACTTGGTCGGATCTCGTCTGCTTGCAATTCGGAATTGGCTAGCTCTACGCACTTGCGTTTTGCATAGACATCGAAGTGTATGATCATACTGTATGGGAGAGCATAACAGGCAGGCCAGAGACGCTTCAGAGACCTGCAAAGACGAGGACTTGGGGAGAGAAGGACTGAGTCGGAGAGGAGATGGCCGGGGCCGGCGGCTATCAAAGTCAACCGCTGACCTCGTGACTGGTCACCTGCCCCGCACGATCGTCTCCCCTTGCTCTCCCCCGCCCAGTCGCGACTGCACTGGAAGCCTCTGCTGTCAGCTTTCCTGTCCAAAGCTCCGTCCCTGCCCGTCTCTGCGATATCCCTAGGCACAACGCCATGGAACAGAGACACACCGTCCGACCTCTTGGCGCCTAACTTCGGCGCTATCGGCCACAGTGCAACTCCTGTCGAAGGTCGGGCGCTTAACGTCCTTCCCCTCCAGAACCATACAAAATATAGAGCGAAGGAGCGCACTGATAAGCTACGTACGCGTTTCTATCCCCTGACGATCCCTTGGCCTTCAGGATCGCCATGACGTCCAGGAGAGAATAGACATGGCGCACCGCAAGACTGCAGTCAATATCTCTGGAGATAAGATACCTCTTCGCCGTGCGCATCCGGCGGCGCTCCGAAGTCAGCTCTGGACTTTGCCGTGGGGAAGAGGGGCGATGTCGCCCCTCGCGTCGGGGCGGGACTTTCCTCTTTTTGTGCAGCCGTGTCACCGTGCCGACCGTGGCTAGGGAGGACTTCATGTGGCACAGATAGCAGCAATAGCATACTATGCGCTCGCCTCGACTGGTCTCTTCATCTGAACACCCTCTCGACTCCTTCAAGCGCAGTCGACTCCGGAACGCAAGAGGTATGTGTTGTGTCAGTTGAAGACGAGGAGTCCGAGATCCTGAACCTGTCCTTAATTTGTGGCACCGAACCTGAGGCTTTTGCTGCAAGGTCCATTGCCGACAAGTCGTCGCAATATTGTTGCAGTGTATAGTCCTGTCGTTGGGGTTATTGCTACCTGCTCTATCAGGCTCTCGCATCGGGCTCTGCACAGGCAGCTCTCGAAGTGCAGTGAGAGGACGGGGGAAGAGCGCCGACCCATGATCGGCGCTTACGCTCTGCGGGCCGATCGATCCGAACTCTGCTCTGAACGTTCACGACTTCGAAGGTCGACCCGCTAGCCTCGGCTGACCAGCTTGTCGCATATACGATCCATCCACAACCACAAAATCGGATACTTATTTTCCAAATCCACCTGAACGAGGCGCCAGCAGACCTCAGGAAGCACCATGTCCTCCTTCAAGCGTAAAACCACGAAGCAGACTACTCCCATATTACCGGGAACCCGTCCTTACCCTGGTTCACCCTCGACGATCGTAACATCTACCGGGATACCGTCCTTCGATGACATACTGGGTGGAGGGCTGCCATTGTCTTGTTCAAGCCTCATCGCTGCGCCAGACGTGCACTCATCCTACGGCGAACTTGCCTCAAAATACTTCGTCTCGCAAGGATTGGTCCACGGACACACCATCTATGTCGTCGGTGATGAAGGTGCAGACTGGGTCAAGGACTGCGTCTGGACGCGAGACAGTACATCTTCCTTCCCCACCACGTCCTCGAATGTCCCTGTCGACGAAGGGGAAGCAACAGCGGCAACCGACGACAAGATCAAGATCGCCTGGCGTTATGAACAGATGAAGCCCTTCCAGACTTCCGTATCGACGTGAGTCGACCCGCATCGCCTCGTCGAACTCCCGCGAGCGTGGACAGGTCCGCAAACGACGACGACTTTTGCGAGGCGGCCTTCGATCTCACCTCCACGGTCCCTGAATCCGTAATCCGCGATGCGCGCGCTAGCGGAAAGCTGTTCTTCATCGACAACCCGGATGAAGTGGTGCGCGCGCTCGACAGGCAGCTGGCAGCCGGCGGTGCGAGCGCGCCGGTGCGCATATGCGTCCCCTCCCTGGGCTCGCCTTGGTGGGGTGATATTGAGAGGAAGGTGAGACTTCGCGAACTCGTTCACGTATGTGGAATGGTCGCTCATCATAAGAATCAGGATGTTCTACGCTTCTTGCATTCGCTAAGAGGTATTCTACGACGGCATCCGCACGCCTGCGCGTCCATCTGCCTCGCCCCGCATCTGTCTGCCGACAAGGCTCTCATCGAGCGCGCTGGCTGGTTGTGCGATGCGGCACTTTCGCTCTCGGCCTTTACTGGTACGCATTCGTCCGCTATCGTTACCAATCCGTCCATCCTCACTCACATCACCATCGCGATCTAGCTGATCCTGCGCTCTCCGCGACCTTCCCATCCTACCACGGCCTCGTCACGATCCATACGCTCCCTGCACCGCATACGGTACTGCCCCCGAGCGACAAACACTCGACGCTTCGGGGGTCCGGCGTGAGCGGCGAAAACAACCTAGCGTTCAAGTGCACGCGGAAGAGGATGTTGTTCGAGACGTTGCATCTTGACATCGGAGGTGGCGTCGGGGAGAGGAGGACGACGCCGGCGCCGGCGAGCTTGGGAAACGTAGATGCCAGCGAGACTATGAGCAGAGCTTCTGCCCGGGAGTCGGACAAGGCACGGCCGGGTCTGGCGGCGGTAGAGGTGACTGTACAGGTGGAGGATCCCAAAGATGCAAGTAAGCCCAAAAAGGCGAAGAAGAAGGTCGGCTTTTCGTCAGATTGGTGAAGTCGTGACGGACGCAGGGTAGTCGGCAACAGCCGGTGGTGGTATATCTCCTCGAGGCGATGGCTATGGAGATGGGCGCCGTAGAGCGTGTCGCGTACCGAACAAAACAGTAACGACACGGGTTTTCGAGACGCTCGATCTTAGCGGGTGATGCAGACGGTTAGCGTGCGCATTGTAAGCGCTGAAGACAGAACATATCTGATGCAATCGGCTCACTTACGTGCATACGAGATGTGGATGTGCTGGAAGGTAATAAAACCGAATTGATCCAATTGGCGTGCATGCAGGTGACGGCAGCCCGACTTTTGCCTACACTTGTTTCGGGCCCTGCTCTGGTGCTGCGCCTTTACCTTAGTCGACCATTGTCGGTGCTACAACGCGCGCTTCGAGTCGGTGCCTGCTTTAATTGGGTCGCCCAAAATGTGAGAAAGCCGTACGGAGTTAGAATCCGACTCACCTCATACTTTGACCGCATCCAGGTCACTTTCCCCAGAAAAGGATCGCTGGTCGAGACGCGCGCAAGCGCAGGAAGATAATACACCTGGGGACGCGACTGCGACGCGAAGAGCAGGCGGGCACTTGGACAAGCCTCTGCCCGCGAAACCACGTGAAAGCGGGGAGTTCTGGCTGGACGATTCTGCGTCGGAGATGGATACGAGGAGCTTTGACGACGGCGGTGAGTAGTCGGCTTCGCTGTTCTCTGTGGCGAGCACGGGGCTGGCGACGGTCAGAGGGAAGCCGTGAGCGGGTTAGCTTGATTGGCGGCTTCTGTTTTCGGGTGTTGTTGATCGATACAAGCTCGCTCAGACGGCTGCTTCCTTCTGACGTCCGTCGCAAGCACATACTTCCTGCCCACATCCACCTTGCTTTCTCCTCTCATCATCACCCAACGACGCCAGCGGTCGTCCGCTCCCTCACCCCACCGCACGCCCTCCGCCGCCCCATGTCACTCAGCCCAGACGCTCATGACAACCCCCGTCCAGAGTCCGTAAACCTCGAATATCTCCGTCAAAGCCCCGCCCCATCCGCCGATGGTTTCCCGCCCTCGCCAATGTCCTCCACCAACATCGCACGCCCCCGCGCGCCCACGCCTTCAGCATCGGTGCCGGCCTCCGATGATGAGACCTGGTCTAGCAACGCGCCTCCGCACGGTGGTGCCGGCCCCGTGAACCTCAATTCGCCCACGTACCAGCTTCAAAACACGTCCCAGGCGCGCCACAACCCCCGCCACGCGCCAGAGACGGACAGCAACGCGTACGAGCAGGTGTCCGCCCGGCCATTCGCACGCCCCGCCAAGGCGCTCCCGGATCCGTCGCAGTTCCCCGACCCCTACCCGAACCAGGGGCAGCCATCGCGCCTCAGCTCGCACCCACCCACCCTCTACTCCTCGTCCTCCGCTTCACCCCGCTCATCCGCGTACACCACATACAGTAGTCGGCCCCCGTCCAACGACTACGGTCATGTTCGCATCTCATCGGAGGAAGAGGATACGTCGGGTATCATCTCAAGTGCCGTGGCGCAAGCGCTTGAGAGCAACGGTATTGTGTCCTCGACGCCTGGATCGCGTTCCTCTCGGGCGCCAATTGACAAATCGCGGTGGTCCGAACATGGATTCAGCGTTCGCTCCCGCTCCTCTTCAATCAGCAATACCTATGGAGGAGGACCGAGTCACGATGCCTATTCATCCCCACCTCGGTTGGCCCACAAGCCGAGCTACGACGCCAGCTGGGCGACAGTTGACGAGCGCGATGAAGTCGGCATCAGCGACGAAGATGACGACTTTTTGGGAGACTTTGAGGAAGAGGATGAGACGGAGCTGGAGGACGATCAGGGCGACGCGGTGCTCGCTGCCGAGGAGGGGCGCGGTCTGATTGTTCGCGGCGATCGACGTCCGGTATCCCAACTTCATGTCCAGCCCGGTGCGTTATACGCCTTCCTTCCTGGTCCCCGAACTTACCGGGTGATATCTCAGGCACAACCCACCTTCTCGTCAGCTCCTCCACAACGCCAAACTCCATGCCATCCTTCCTGACCAACATCGTGCCTCCAATATCGAATACGCTTCTTGCCCTAGACATATCCGCCAATTTTCTAAGTGCGCTGCCGCCGGTCCTTGCGCACTGTGCTAATCTCGAAGAACTTAACGTTGCATATAATCCCTTACGAGTCCTACCTGTATTTGTCGCCCATCTCACCAACCTCCGCGTCCTTATCGCCGATTCGACGGGGATCTCTACACTCCCAGAGGCTCTCGTCGACCTCGACCGACTGCACACGATCAGTATTCGGAAGAACAAGCTGCACGCCTTGCCCAGCTGGTTATGCCTCCTTCCGGCACTCGGTACTCTTATCGTCGATGGCAACCCCTTCCAGGGACCTTGGAAAGCACTGGTCGATCCGCTCTTGACGAAGTCACCTACCACACCTGCGTATCCGCCCTCTACTCCCATGATGCCGCATTCCTCCGAGGCATCTACATACACCGACTCGGAGGATTCAGATGAGGAGGAGTCCGGCCCGACGCGACACAGTGGGTTGTATGACAAGCTCACAGCGGAGGAGGAAGAGCAAACCATCACGCCCGACCGACTGCCGCCCGTTGGTGCAGAGCAGATACCGCCGACACCACCCATCCCTACTTCGCCGCGAGGATTGACGCGCACGCGAACGACACCCAACCGTGCTTTCTACGGACAGAACCGCGCCAAGAGCACCGTAGACGAGCCAGTCAGTGCGACGCCAGAAGACTCCAACTTCGCCGAACGTGAAGTGAGGAGGATGAAGAGCGCTGGCGACATTCGCAGAGGACGACCTTTCGCTCCGCCGACCCCGGAGGATCCCAGCTCATCGCGACCGCCGCTGCAGCGTGTCGCGGCTTCGAGTTCGAATCTCCTGATGTCGACCTCACCTCCAACTACACCCGAGCGACCGGGCATGAGCAAGCGCTTCGCGAGCGTGGGCGCCGCAGCCACTATCGGCGCGTTCGGTCGTGGGAGCGAGCATGCGTCACGCCGCCCCTTGGCTCAATCGATGTGGGATAACTCGCCCGATAGCACTACCACAGAGGAGCACCTGTCCCCGGGGCGCGGGTCCGGGCCCTCGTCGCCGGGCATGGTGACTTCGCCTGTGCCGACGGAGTCCCCTGTAGACTGGAGCGACGGGAAGAGCATCTTGCGAGGACGACGTGGAAGGGATGGCAAGGAGGGCAAAGAGAAGAGCGGCCGGTGGGGTTTCCTGAAGAAGATGTCGATGGGGAAGATGAACGCATCGAAGACGGAGGTGCCGACGTCACGTCCGCCTACCCAAAGGACGATGCCCCAGATCGATATGCGCTTCTCGACTATGGGCTCCTTGGACGCCGTCGTACCTTCGCGAACGCCGCCAGACTCGCCGCAGCTGAACAAGAAGGCCTCCGTAGACGCGTTGAGGGTAGTAACATCGCCTCCGCCACCATCTACTCAGCCATCATTGCCGTCCCCGCCGCCTTCCGGTAACAGCTTGTTGACTCCGACTACCGGTCTCACAGCGAAGTCCGCCAAGCGGCGAAGCTTTTTGCCGCTCGACACACATAGTCTGTCAATCGCGACACCGGATGCGGGGTCTTTCGTTGGGTCCATGACAGCGACCAGTGAGGAGGAAGCTGCCGACCTCGAGGACCGGCAGGCCACGCCGAGCCCCGGTCCGCCGTCTATAGACCACCATGAGCTCATGCGGATGGAGGAGGACAGGCAGCGGGAAGCTTATTCTCGGGCTTTGCGCTCCGTAATGGCGTACCTCAAGGACATGAACGACCTGAGCCTGTCGCAGCAGCCTATAGCCAGCCAGGAGGACTCGATGTTCATGACACGCCCACGCCGCGCGACTGCGGCGGATGGCACGACGTCACCAGGGTCTATCGCCTCGTCGGAGGGTCAGCTGCGGTCCACGGACTCCATCCGTATGAACGGTATGGGCCAGACGATGAGCATCGCGCCTTCGGAGTTCAGCCAAGGTTCGGGCGATGAGCGCAAGTACAAGGACGACAAGGGCAAGCGTGCACTCATTGTGCGGGAGATTGTCACGTCAGTCCTCTTATATGTGTTACGTCGTCTATTGTGTACTGACGCGGCGGATATCTAGGACCGAGCGGACGTATGTCAAGGGCTTGCACGAGTTGATGGATATCTACATCAAGCCGGCTTCTCAGCATGCGAATATGTTGACCGGCGTAGGGTCGAACAAAGACCCGGCCATTGTACCAGCGCCGGAGCGCAAGATCGTGTTTGGGGGCGTCGAAGCGCTGTGCTCGTTCCACAAGGACATATTCCTCCCGGCACTAGAAGTCGCCGCGGCGCCAGTGCTCGTCAACCCCTCGGTCCTCGAGGAGGCGGACTCGGACGGGCAGCTATCAATGAACGTCGCGCGGGCAGTTGGCAACACGTTCCTGCGGCATGCCGCGTTTATGAGGATGTACTCGACCTATATCAAGTACGTGGCATGTCCTACCTCGAGGCGCTAGATAGAGAGCTGAAACTTTGCATAGCAACTTCGACCATTCAGTGCAGCGGGTTAAGTACTGGATGACGGAGCGGACGACCGGTACTAACAGTCCCGGATCGAGTGCACCCCCGTCATCCAGTGTTGCCCAGCTTGCTGGAATGGGGATGGCCATCTCCGCGATCTCTGGTGCGGATGGCTCGTCCGCTATGTCTGGGCCGGGGACGCCGCCTCTGTCGACGTCGCAGCGCAAGAGAATACGCCAGTTCCTGAAGCGCTGCCGGATGAACCCGCGGCACTCGCAGTTGAACCTGGAGGGATACTTGCTTTTGCCTGTGCAGCGAATACCGCGCTATAAGCTTCTGGTGCGTGCGAGAAGTCACGAAGTGCGGTACTCATCGTCTAATTGAATCCTGCAGCTCGAGCAACTAATGCGTAGCGCGCCTCCGGCTTTCGACCTTATGGACGATCCCATAGACCGCGCCCTGCAGGAAATTTCGTCGCTGGCCAACAACATGAACGAAGGGAAGCGCGAGTCTGAATCGCGCCGCAAACTAGTCCAGTGGCAGGCGCGCATAAGAGGGCGCTTCCCAAGTCCCTTGGTGCAACCACATCGGTGAGTCCTGTCATGGCTTCCGTTGCTTCGCCGGCTGATAGACATCCAGTCGTCTGATCATGGATGGACCACTATTATTGACACGGGTCGTCCGGAAGACGGTGGTGTCCTTCGATGCGTTCAACTCACAGGGTGACCCGTCGACGGTGCAGGTGGATTGCCTGGCGCCGGAGCTGACGCCGCGACCGCTCATCGGGATCTTATGCAACGACCTGTTGGTTCTATGCCGTGACCCCTCGGAGGGTCAGGACCCCAACTCGGCCGTGGATCTGTGGGCCGTCTTGCGAATGCAGACTTTGCCGCAGCCGGCGAGCATCGTGCACGGTAATGGTACGCCGTTGTTCCCACTACCCGACAACATACGCTCATCTGTGCTCCTCATTAGCATTGCGGTTAGTCGATAACAAGGCTATCCTTTATTTCGATGCACCGTCACCGTCGGATGCTCTGAATTGGTATAGAGGTTCGTGCCGTTCAATCTACTCATCCTCAGCGTTTCTGACGAGGCTCGCAGCAATCAACCTGCACATCCCCGCCTCGAAGAGCTGATCTTCTCCGGGGGTGTGCGCGATTTTCGATGTATTTGCTTTGCCTTTGCAGATGTATCTCATCGTCCGGTCCTTTATACTTATTTCCTCTACGCGTCTAACCTGGTTTTCTCTATTGCTATCGATTGGTTCTTATGGATTTTAGGACCTTCGTGCCGTGCCACCGTACTGTAAGTATATGTGAATATCTCATCCTTAGACAGCGGCGGCGGGGTCTTCCCGCCGTGTATGCAACAGAAATCGAATTATCATCGCATGCTGGTGTCGTCCGACCGTTAGTTCGTCTAAGATTCAAGACCTTGGGGGACGGTCATAGCTCACTAGCCCTACGCAGTCGAGCTTTCACTTCCAGGCATGCGCGAGAGCTGCAGTCGATACATGATCATTTCCAATTTCTACCTCACAATACCTACCGTCGATGCCTATCTGCGGAAATTATACCATTCGACGTAGCTCCAGTCTCGTCGTAGATGTGCACCGGCACGGACAACGCACCATCTTCCTTCGGCGCCGTCGTCCCGTCCGTTCTAGCCATGACCTCCCATGGCCTTTCACCAGCATGTTCCGCCTTGTGCCGCTCCCTCCAGTCGGTGCGCTGGCACTCCTTGCTGCAGTACAGCGCTCTCCTGGGGCGCTCCTCCTGCACACAGCGCGTGCACATCACAATCTTCACTCCATCCGAGCCATCCACCTTGCCACAAACTCGACAGACCTCGGAGAGATACATGGCCACCTCCGTTGGTCTGTGAGGTACGACGTCGAAGACCGTGAACGGCGGGCGCTTCGGGCAGCGGAGCGCCACCTCGAGCGCGATCTTGAGCGGATCTCCCGGGAAGGGCGAGAGAACCATACTCAGCTGCTGGCCGGGGCCACGCTTCTCGTATCGCATACTGTTGAAAGAGGTCATGGTCTTGCAGCAGTCATGCAGAGCAGGTGTATCGATGAGCGTCCCAAGGTCGATGAGATGCGTGTCGCCGCGATGCATATACACGACGTGTTGAGTGAGGAGATGTATGCCCACAATCCCGTGTTTCTTGCTGTTGACGGTATTGTCAACGCGAACACCTTTGTAGACCCACGCAGGAAGCTCGAGAACGTGGATTGCAGCGTAGACAGTCTTCCCCTCGTTGTAATCGTTCGGGAAACTGAGCACGACCGCTCCTTCGTACCTGCAGGGTCAAAACCGTGAATCTCACCAAAACTTAGCCAGTGCTGGGACAGATCGCTTACACCTTGCACTCTCCTTGGCGTGTTTTCATTGTCCTTCCGGTGAATCTGAGACCGAGTTTCTTGATATCTGACTCTCGCAGGTAAACGCCGTCGTCTGCACTGCCGATAAGAGGCTGAATCTATTCTCGCCATAGTGAGAAGCTTTTCCTTGTGAGCGCATATACGAAAGACGACTTCACCTTGACCTTGGCGCCCTTTTGTGGCCCCGCTGCATTCGTGAGAACGCAGGGATAGGTGCACATGCGCTCAACATTCGACGGTCGACCATGAGGCATACCAGCGAGTAGGTCGGATAGTCTCTGCCCCTTGTTAGGATCTTCAAACCATTGGTTGTGGTACATTCTCTCGGACGGGAATCGAATGTAGTCGATTTGCTATGCACCGTTGCTTTGTCAAGTCGTCGATCAGACATGACGGAAAGCTACTGCGCACCTCGAACATGGGTTTGCCAAAAGTCGCCATCGTAGCTTGCTCTCGATATCCGCTGCAACGTCACGGACTGGAAGAGACGCCCGAAGTCCACCATCGGCAGCTGCCGGTTCTAATTGGGGCGTGAGAGAAACACGGGTGGCGGACCGGAATTTTGACCGGTAAAAAGGTGCGGGAAAAGGCGCGGAAAAACAAGTGTAAAAGGGAGTAGTTTTAGCGTGTCAATAGAAAGCTCTTTGACTTGTAAAATCGGATGTAAGAACAATTGTGAAGATGAATGTGAAACCGAGCGCTTTTGACCTGCCAAAAGCGCTCGGTT